GAAAAGCGAAGAGGCGAAACATAACCGGGAAGAAGAGCGAGACATCACACATTGTAGAAAGCGAGCCAAAAAGGAAAAGGGCTACAGACAGCCAAGACTGCGTTCTCTTCGGTGCGCAATTGGTGTCATCTCATCGCGCCGCGATTGGAAGAAACTAGGCAACTTCAGAGCCGTTTTGCTAAGGAGATACGAAGCGCTAGATTTTGACTGTTGAGTAGTTAAAACACGGGAGTTTATAAGGGTCCCTTTAACGAATCGATTATGCATCAACATTATTAATCGCCCCTTGGCTTTTCTAGCGAGGGGAACAGGGGAGGCGGCGGTGTCACCACTACAGTCGCATACGCTCACAACAACATAAAAGAGACAGGCAGCACCACCTCCTGCACACACACAAAAGATGAGACACTCGTTCACTCTGCTCGGGTCGCCCCGGCCACCGCTACTTTGGGTGACGGTCATCGGGACTCTCAAGCCACTGCGGAACGACGACGTGTGCCCTACCCGAAGTCGGCGGCACATCTCCGTCCAGGTCCAGCTTGGACCACTCGATCTCCTCCTGTGGCTCGTCGGAGCTAACGCTCTCGTTGTCCTCCACGCGCTCCCGTTTCAGTCGCTTCCACTCCATCTCCTTATCATCGTCGGAGAAGTCAGGCCGGACGTGCTCGGGCAGCTCCTCATCGTTAACATAGCTTGCATCGGTGCCTTTTGCTGTGTCGCACTGCACAAAAGGGTCGTACATCACTTCCTGATGCGCCAGGTCGTAGTGCAGGGATGTGCCCTCCACCAACCGGGAAGTAGAAAGCAGCGCTTCAAAGTCGTCCCGCGCCGACTTCACCACGTAAAACGCCTGCTTGACAGGTCCTAATACCGAGGTGATGCACCCAACGATGGTGCCGTCCACGAGGCAAAGGCGGGTGCCGACGTCCATGGACAGCGTCCCAGGTGCCGCCTCGGCGATGCACGAGCGACTCGCCGCCGACGTGGATTGGACGACGGCGACGGGGGCCTCGGAGATCTCTTCCATGGGAATAGTTGTTGGCATGTCCGCTACAGCGTCGGCGTCGAGCACCGCCTCGTCGCCTTCCGGAATCACCCAACCCCGCCTTTGTACGCCGTCGGTCTCTGAATGCGACGACGCAGCCGACTGAACCGACGCCTGCCGCACAATGGGCTCGGAGTCGACGGAGCTGATGGAGACAGCCCGGCGCGAGGGCTTTTCATCTGCATAAATGGCACCCACCACAGCATCAGGCGAAGCAGTCATTCTGCGGTAGAACTAATATCCGTGTATTGATGTTTACTATCCTTCGTGATAGCTCAAGATGATACAGAGCTTAAGCGTTAGTAGAGTACAGTGGCTGAGAGACAGAAAGAGAGGAGCATTAAACGTGACTGGTACTTAGAGAGACGTTGCCAATGACGAGCTACAAGCATTAAAAAAAAAACCGGAAATGCCAGGTGTTGTGCGTGCTTGGCAACGTTGCCCACGTAATGTGAAAAAGGCGCGGAGGTGATTGGGTCCATTTCTTTTCTTTTGAACATTGCTGCGGCTTACCACGTTGATCAGAGATCGCAGACGAAGAAACTCATTTACGTTCCTCAAAGCGCTCGGTTTAAAAACAATAATAATAACATTGCAACCAAACGGAGTTGTTCTTTCCTTGCTGTTGACCACGCGTGCTCAATGCTGGGTTGTTCTGCACATTCCTAGGTGGTGATAAGAGAACAAGGAAAAGGAGTGTTCCAAGACATGCAAGATGGAAACAATAAAAGAAGATACAGTTCAAAAAACAAAAAGGGGTCAACGCTCTCCAACGGACGGTTCTCTGCATTGAAAACCCGGCGACTGTTTTGAACGTGAAGCGCTTCCCAAGAGCTGTAAAGAGGAGCGCAAACTAATAATACGATGTATCACTGAGGTAAAGTAATAATAGGAAAACAAGCTAAAACGCTTTGGTTTCAAAGGAAAATGTACATCTTAACGAAAACCAAGAAAAACGACGACAACACTAAGGAAAAGAAAGCGTTTCGTTTTAGTGCATTCACTTCAACTCTTTATAATCATGAAGGAAGCTAAATTGTTGCTCGTTGTAGAGCAGGCCAGCATTTTGCTGCTTATATGCGCGACGCACCGTTTCCTTTGCTCGCTCGTCGTTGTGCATAAAGCTCCGCAGCTGCGACGGCATGATTGCGTCCACCTGCGTGCGATCTATCAGGACGGCCTCCGTGAGACCAAAGCTGCTGACGGTGCAGACGTACTGCGTCAGGCAAAAGGCATACTCGTAGGCACCGATGACGCGTGAGAGACCGCGAAACGACGCATACGACCCCATCAACGCCGCCTCGTTAAGGCTCTTCGACGTGACGGAGACCCGGAACGTGACTTGCGAGCCACTTCGTGCCATGGTGACGTCCAGCAGCCCATTCACGACAAACACGAGGGCGTTGAGGTTTTGACCCATCAAGGCAAGCCGTTCGCCGTTGAGGAACACGGTGGGGGTGCCCGCCTCGAAGAGCCGAGTGAGGACGTTTGTGGGGCAGCAGAACATCATGTACGGGTCCTTCTTGAAGAACCACGACACCGACTTGTCCAACGGTATCTGCGACGCGCGGTCCTTCTTCGCGGCGTTGCGGCAGTGTATCAGCGCCGCCGGCTCACTCATCCCAACTTCAGTCAGCACCTCTCGCTTTAAGCGCCAGATGTCGGAGTAGTTGACGCTGACCACCGACGTCCGCTTTGCCTCGTTGACGCCGCAGCAGCACTCGAACACGCCGATGCAGCTACCCTTGGACACCCTCGTGTCCTTGCCGTCGTGGTCCCGCATCACGGCAACGCCGTCCTGCAGAAAGTATGCCGAGGAATCTAACTCGCCCTCTTTGAAGAGGTAGTCCCCGTTGTGCAGCACGATCGGCTCCACGTTGTCGATCAGCTTCGCGAGACCCTCGTCACTAAATCTCTCAAAGTAAAAGAACTTGCGCAGAAAGTCGACATGCAATGGGAAAAAGCGCTGAAGGTTTTGTCGTCGTCGGACATCGGTGGCCTCTCGCTGCTTGCTGGCAACGTCAGCGCTGAGGAGTTTGGCGACCGCTTCATAGTCCTCCGGCAGCACCGCCCAATAGCCAACGTCGGTTTCACAGAAAATAGACGCTGAGCGTGGCTCTTTGCAGACGACGGCGAACTCACCGACGTAGCAAGGAGCCTTCATCTGAAAGACACCGCTGGAGTTGTCCTTTGTGCGCTTCTTTATGGGGCCCTTCTTGCGCAGAACAATCGACACGGTGCCGGTGGTGATCATGAACATGACGCGTCCAACATCACCTTCGTGCATGAGGAAGTTTCCTTTGCGAACATAACAGGGCTTTGCTTTTTCTACCAGCTTCTCCAGCAAAGATGCAGGCCAGCCTTCGAAGAACGTGCCGCTCATGCTCTCAATTACATGCGGATACGGAAATGGGATGTCGCGGTGGTGCCGCTGCGTTAATTCGGCAGCCTCGGCACGTCTCCTGCGCAAGGCCAGGAATCTTTTGATCATTGGAGTCATCAAAAACCCAAAGGTTTCAAGCGCGTTCTGCACTTGACGCTCCTGCATGAGGGCAGAGATGAAGGCGTGGCAGACCACGATGGTGCACCACTTCCTGGCGCGTGCGAGAAACCGCTCTGTCCGACGTATCTCCAGCACATGCTGATGCTTGTATAAGATAGTCTGGCGCCGCTGCTCCTCGCGCATATACTCGACCTCGATATGCAGGTTGCGTTCCTCCTCTATTTTGGAGGCGTTGTCGCACACTCGACGGACGTGATCGCGCCCATTACGCGCATTTGCGCTTACCAGACGTCGCTGGAACTCCTCCGTGTTCACCGGTGAGGTTTTGCGCAGTCGCGCCAATATCATCTGCCTCTCCCACTCCGGCAAGTGATGGGAGGTTATGTGGGATGCATCGTAGTCGAGGGAGGCGTAGCGGCGCGACACGGTGGTTTTCGGCATCGGTGGTGCACGGAAAGGGACTAAAGGACCGGAGGCATCTTCCGCCGCCGAGAAGTTCGTCGCGGCGGATGCTTGCTTTCGTTGTGCGTCACCGCCCGCCTCAACATCGGTGAGGAAGGTGTAATCGCGAGGGATGTCCATACTCGCGCGCAACTGCAATTCTTTTTCTCTTCTTTGAGGCAGCAGTCACATCTAAAAGCATGAACCAAAACAGAGAGGGGGAGTGATGCAGCGCATTTAGAATGATGTGCAGCGACAGGCGTCAGAGGTGAGTAGGAAGAAAAGGTGTGAAATACACTAGAGAGGCCACAGTAAAGCGACATCGCTGTGCGCTGGACACACATCGTCGGCTTCTTTTACGACACTTATCACGTGAAAGGGAAAAAAAAGAACGTAGTACACACCTTTTTTCTGGCTTTGGTCCTTTTATAGAAGTCGGTGCAGCTTGCAGTTGCCAGGACCAAATCGACCATTCCTATAAAAAAAAAGAAGCAAGAAGGCTGATCAATGAGAACAAAAAGCGAAGGTGTAGAAAACACAACAGCCAACGACGTTCGCTCCTCTCTCCTGTTCTACCTCTCTTTTTTTCTAGAGTTAAGAGATATACCACATTAATAGTAAACGCGAAGGAGGTGATCAAAATGTGAGAAATCGTCTTTAACAACTGAGTGACGACCAAAAAAAAAAGGGGGTAGAAATACGACGCTTTACATGAGTGCACACTCGCTGAGCCTACTCGTCAGAATCGGTGCACTTGACCTTGCGTTTCGTTTTCAGCTTAACGAGATCCTCCTTGCGCAGCTCGTCCGGTCCGGTCCAGCGACCTAACTTTTTGAGCGTTGCCTTAATTTCCTCCACGTCCTTGGGATCCATGCGGTCGTGGAAGCGGCGCACAAACTCCTCTGCACTCACGGGATCGACGTGGTTGTGCACGGCGCTGAGGGTGTCGGCGTCGTATTTGTAGTATGTTTGATTCGTCTTCGAGTTGTGGTAGACAGGGACCAAACCAGCGCGAATTGCCTCGAGAATCTGTTGACCTTTGATGTTTAGCAGGTCAGCTTCCTCCGGGTTGGCGCTGCGGTGGACCCAGAACTCGTACTTCGTCTGCTTCCATGCACGAACGATGGTGTTGGTGTCGGTGTCAAACTTACGCAAGTAAAGCTTTAGCAGCTTGCGGTACAGCAGAGATGGAGATATCGGTTGCAAGTCAAAATTTTCAATTGGCGCCGTCGGCTTCGGTGAGATGAACTCCACCTTCGGTGCGTATTGGCGACTAAAGTGCCGGAGCATGGTGGCTCGGTACTAGAAGGATATGGTGCTACTTTCCACGCAGCGATGGCGGCAGCAGCTTGCAGAAACACCCAGCGCTGCAACCATAGACCTCGTGGAGATGGTACGTTGAGATAATGGAAATCAAAAAGAAGGCAATTAGAGTTAAGGGGTGCTTTGAAGGCATTGACGGCAGAAGACGAAACGGAGCAAAGGAGACGATGTGTCATCAACAATAATAAAATGGATGGCCGCACATCACAGACAACAATTTAAAAGCGACATTGCACTTTTCAAAAGAGACGCAGGGGTAGAAAATACTGAAGTCACGACATTTCCTTCTTCGTAAAAGAGCATCTCCACTTTTCGCAGTGAGCCCAGCAATAGAGAACCGGGCGACAGTGTAGAAAATCTGCTTGAATGAGGCGACTGTCTTGCTTCGTTTTCTCTTTTTCATGTTATTTCAATGTCTAGCACAGCGCCTCGCAGCTCAGCAGCGTCCTGAGCACCCACTCCGTCGAGACGTCCTTGCCGCCCTCCTCCACGTCAGGGTTGTACTCGTACACTGACGGCAGCTCTGTGATGAAGTCTTCTAGCTGATCCAGCGGGGGAAGCTTCGTCGCCGCTTTCCCTCGATCTGCATCGGTGTGTCGCCCCGAGCCGAGACAGTCAAGAAGCGTAGGCAGCTGAAGGGACTCGGATAGGACGGCCAATCGGCTCGGCCCGATCGCAGGGACGCGCGGCAGCTCTCTTGGCGGTCCTTCGGAGCTGTCTGCTGTGGTGCCAGGAAACGGGCCCCGGCGCGGGCGGTCAAAGCGCGGCCTCCCCGGTGTGGCCGAATTGCGGAAGGAGATCGCGGACGACCACAAACTCTCCTCCGGCATGGTCGACGCGCGCACGGGTGCGTCTTTTTCTCTTTCAATCACCTCCGTTGTACGGGTGTCCGCGCTGTCCTCGTGTGCTGCCGCTGCTGGCGTTTGCGGAGGTGGCAGCGTAGTTTCATCTGCATTCGCCTCCTTCTCCTGGGTGAGAACCGCGGTGCTGGACAAGGGAGAAATTTGCGGTGGCGGGCAGCGAAACTGCACCGTGTCGTACCGATGCGGGGCGGCGTGCGGGAGAAGCAGCTTCGACATCAGCAGCACGTCCCTCACGTCCCCGGGCGGCGGCGGCGGACACGGCAGGAAGAAGTGGTGGCGCAGCTGACGTGCGAGGTAAGTGAAATTCCCTGGCCGAATGCCGCCGCTGTTGACAACCTCCTCCAGCTGCGCCAGCATCGCATCGATCGTGCTACGCGTGGAAGGGTCCGCTGTGAGCAGGTTGCTGCACGTGTCCAGCAGCAACTCATCCAGCCCACACTCTTCGCACGTCCAGCCCTTCGCTTTGCCGGACTGCAGCATGATCTTGAGGTGCTCGCACCACTGCTGGAGGACGCGAAGGGCGCCGTGGGGTGCACGGCTGCGGATTAACTCCAGCGAGATCCACTGCGCGCAGAAGGTGTAGAAGGGGCGGAGGAACGGCGCGGGAAAGGCGATGGCGCTCGCCTTGAACAGCTTCCGTAGGACCGCCATCGTCAAGACCAAAAATTCAACCTGGTGCATCACAAAGCGGGCTACAAGATGAATGTGCTGCTCCTCCCCCTGTGTGTTGCCCATCCGCATGAAGTTCACCGCCAGGACCGTCACGTGCTGCAGCGTTTCGAGAACATCCTCCTTCGTCGCTGTGACGGCGTCCTCCTTCACGTAGTGCAAAAGCCAACCACGAAGGTACAGGAGGCCTTCCTTCATGTCACGAAAGGCCAGCTCTATTGCCGAGAAGTCTGTCACGTACGCCTGCGCCACGTAGAGACGGACACATAGGTCATGGCGGTGGAAGGTGGTCGCTAGCTCGATGGCGGCAGCGACGCTGCCGAAGCGCTCCTTATCCGACAAGATTGGCTGCTGATGCACGCAGAAGTCAATCAACTCCATCCACAGGGTTGGCTGATGGGGGAAGTAGCCGGCGGCCATTGTCATGAAGCTGCGGCATCGGCCGTAGTGCAGAATGTCACCGCCCGCTCCAGGGAAGAGAGGCCGCCGAATGCTCTGAAGCAGCGTGTACCACGACGTCCAAAGGTCCATCTCAATACGTGACAACACCGCGTCCTTGATGTTGTTTGGGTTCAAGGGGCCGTCGACCGTGAGGGGGCGCGCGAGGTAAAGGGTGTGCGGGAACACTATTGTCTGCGACGCCGGCTCCCACTCTGTTGGATAGAAGAAGTACATCAGCCGGGAGAGGTCGTCCGCCTCCGCCTTCACCCGCTTAAGGCGACTCTCCACCTCTGCCTTCTCATCTGGGGCTACTCGACCGCGGTACTCGGTGTCGACAAAGATGTCGTACTCCGCCTTCACCTCATCGAGGTTAATTAATGGGATGGCAAGGATGCGCTGGAACATGCGTTTGCGCCAGATCCGCCGTCGCGTGTGGTCGCGTATCGTCGCCGACCGCCACGAGAGGTAATTTCGCCACAGTTTCGTGCTTTGCGGTAGCATGCCGACGTCGCGGCGCAGACAGGTGCGGAAGAGCAAGTCGAGCGAGGTGTTGTCGGGCTGAATGTACTCCGTCGCGAAGGCAAAGAAGAGGGAGTAAAGCTCGCACGAAAACGTCAGTGGGAGATGGCGGTAAAAGGTGTTGAGGACGCGCAGGTAATCCCTGTACACGTCTTCCGCGTCTGTTTCGCCCCTGCAGGCGTCTAGACGGGACGTCTTGGCCACAGCGGCGAGCTCCAGACGGGTGTACACGCAGACGAGCGGGGCGGCGGTGGGGAAGTGGTATAAGGCTGCCTGCCACACCACCCGCACAGACGCTACAGGGAAGCGCATCAACTGGTGTAGCAGCTGCAGCCACGCAAGTGTGTTGTAGCTATCGTCGTAGACCTTCTGCAACTGCAGCAGAATGCTCGTCGTGGCATTCGGCACGTGGAGGTGCGCCTTGGGGAACTCCCGGAAGTCATCCTGGTCAAAGAGGAGGCTGTTTTCCAACGTCGCCAGTACATTCCACGGACAGGGATAGCCGTCGCCCACCTGCGACAGCAGCGGCGCCGTTTGCACACCAAGCCGCGCAAAAAGGTCATCTTTTGCTCTGTCTAGCCGCGGCGTGGGGTCTTGAAAGACGCCGCTGAGCCGCTCCGCTTCAAGCGCGTCGGCCGCCTCGTTGATGAACAGGCGCCACATCACCGCCACCGACGCCTCGCTCGCCGTTGCCACTGGCGTTGATGCCGCGTCATCCAGTTCCTTCAAGAGCTGGCAGTCCACCTCCGCCCGTGAAAGACCAAAGACGCCAAAGCAGGGGTGACGACGAAGGGACTGCTGCAAGAAGAGAAGGCTGTCGCTGGAGAGCTGTTTCTCTACGGATACCGCGGCGGGCTTCGATGGAGGTGTGGGTGCGGCCGCGGTGTAGCCCGTGATGCTCCGCAGCCGGGACACTAAGTCGTCAATCTCCGACATCCACGTGGACTTAATAGATATGCTCTGTTATTATTTCTCCCTCTGCAAGCACGAGGTGGTGGGGAGTGCAAACGAGAAAGAGCGGAAGAGGGGAAGAGGGGAAGAGAACCAGGCGCTGCGATGGGGAGGAGGAGAAGGGGGTCAAGAGAAGGGAACAACAGCTCCAAGAAAGAGGCCGCAGAAAGACCATCCGGGCATGCACCACACAGAGTCCTTACTCGACATCAAATTGTTGTCGTTCGCGCATGTGCACGTGACTGAACGGCTGAAACAACAGATAGCTGCAATTAACAATTCGGAGTCGCAGCTAACGCTCGAAGTTCATCACGATGGATATATACGGATATAAATATAACGTGCTGGAAAAGAGAGGTGTGATGAGAAAGACGTGGGCCAAAAGGCAAACGAATACATCCTTGGGACTTTCCGAAAGGAGGTAGGCGAGAACAATCACACCCAAACGCTTTTTTCGGCCAGAGCGGCATCACGCGCAACCTTTTCCTTTAATATTATTCTGACGTACGCGCGGCAGCCTCTGGAGCGTCCGAGATGTTTGGAAACACGCGAATCCCCAGCTGCTCGGCCGCCTGCGACATCCGTCGATCCATCGTGCACAGGAGCAGACGGTCCACGCAGTACCCCTTCACAGTATTGCAGTACCGCCGCACGTGATACTTCAACAAGGCAAAAAGCGTGATGCCTTCTAACGGCACAACACCGCCCAAGTTCTCAATTATTTTGATCTCGCGTAGGTAATGCTGCAGGGAGACGCATACGTTTAGAATGCGCAGGTCGGGGTCGTGCTGAAACGAGCCAGCCACATTTTCAGACATTTTACTGTACGCCAGCTTGGGAAAGATGCTGAGGGAGGTGGAAGGGAACTCCCCTGCGAGGGAAAGCGCGTAGACGTGCGGCTGCTCCACGATGGCAACGACGCGGGACCATAAGAGCGTTTTGACCGGCAGTGAAAAGCGATTCTTCCCCTCCCAGATTGTGGTGTACGCCTCCTGGAGGACGGTGAAGGGGATCACAATGGTGGCAAAGTTGTACGCTTTTGTGTCGGGGTGCTGCTCCTTCATATAGGCATAGAAGTGCTCCGATGAAAGATTCTTGTACACGAGCTGCAAAAGATAGTTGGTGTCCATCACAATGACGACGTTGTTTTCTTTCACTGCGGTGGTCGCGATGTTGAAGATGTTGCGGGAGTACCACCGGGGTATTCGGATGATTTTGCTGTACAGTTGGCTGAGAGGCAGCAGGACGCCTTGAAAGTGCTGAAACACCTCTGCGTGGAGGCGCAGGCGGAACTGCCTTTCCTTGGGTCCTCTTCCAGCCACTACTCCTTCTCGTGGGTTACTGCGGCTCAAAACGTCCTGCACCACCTCGTCCACGGTGTAGTCGCTGTAAAGGTCCGCGTCGTACAAGCAATTGACCAGCTGATTGAAGAGGAGACAATTTTTTCGCCCCTCCGCCCGGGTGGCGGAGAAGAGCTGCATGCTCTGCGCGGCCTCCAGCGCGGCCCTCCACTGATTGGTGTCCTGCAGCGTCACGAGCAGCGCAGAAAGCAGCGCGGCATCAAAGGTGTACCCAGCAGCGAGGGAGGCGGCGGTGAGGCGAAGCGCCATGTCGCTCTGGCGAAGACGGCCAAAGCAGCGCACGAGAGGCCGCACCACGGCGGGACGCAGCTCCATCGCCGGCGGCATGCGAAGCACTTGAAGGGCAAGCCGCCACTGGTTATTGACGGACAGTGTCGCCAACACGCTGCGGCGCAGTGGAGGATTGTGCTTCAGTTTTGGCTGGCTCAGCAGTGTCGCAAGAGCCACCTCCCACATCCCAGTGTAGGAGGCCAGGGTGATTTTGGCTTTGGCGCCGTCGAGCGTGGCGCTGTCAACGTCTTCCTCGATAACGCGTTTCAGGCCCTTCATGAAATTGAGTTTCTTGTACCGTCGCAGCAGGGTCACGACGAGACTGCTGTCCGGCGTCGCCGACGGCGCTGCGCTTTTGACAATGTCGTGGTAAAAGAGAGAAAGGGCCCACGCGTTGTCCATTTGCGCTAACCCGTACTGCAACTCCGCCGTGGTCGGTTGGTAGGAGCCGTGCAGATACGTGCGGCACTGGCTGTACGCACGAAGGACATCGGCCCACGATTGGGCCCGGCTGGCTGCGAGCAAGAGCGGGGAGAGGGGTTGGGAGGCGCCACGCATTACCGGAGCAGTAGCAAACATTTTGGTGTTGAATTAATGTGCAGACCACGCTCTTTCGCTGCTCACGTTTGAGGAAGAAAAGGCCGTTCGATTCGACACGAAATCGAGCGCGGACGCGCAGATCGCCGTTTACGCTTGCTTGGCCGCACAAAGTTACGAGTAACGCTGTGCGTTGGGGCTTTGGCTGGTGGATAAAAACTGAGAAGGAATTCCATGAAGCAGATCACATGCACACAGACACACACACACACAAGCAAGGGAGGAAACAGCATCGCCCCCTTTTCAAAACTACACGTGACAAGATACGGTAAGAGGGAAACCGAAAGAAGAAAAGAACGTGACGTAATGAAACGGAAAGAGGCAGGGGGGCATAACAAGGGGAGCGAGCAGGACACAACACACGAAGTCGAAGTTGCATCATGTGCTTTGAGGCACACTACGAGAGAGAGAGAGAGCTGTACTCTACAGAAGGCAAAAAAAAACCGTTTCGTGTTATACGCTTCGAGAATACCTCTTTCTTTTTCACTTTTGTACTGTCGCTGCTGTCATCCTTCTCTGTTGCAACACGCCAACGCGAGCAGCGAGAAACGAAGATGCATATTGAATGATTCCTATGGCTTTTTCTTCCGATTAAGTTCTCGTTTACAACAAAGAGAAAAGAAGAAGAATACGCGAACAACAATATAAGGATTTCACAGCATCGCTCGTGGCCGTGAATGAATTGGTTTTTAGCTGACATGCGCTGCTCTATAAGACATCGTGTACCGTAGAACGCACGGTAACGCTACAATACTAAAAGTAAAGGCGGGGAAACAGAAAAACATGAAAGGGAGCACATTTGTGCACCATATGCGTGTAGAGAGAGATTTCCCATTGAACTGCCGACGACGACATCGTGTGCAAAAACAGAGAGGGGTAACAAAATTAAAAACGAGGGTGGAAGGGAAGAGATGAGTATATAAAGCCAGCAGCAGCAACACAGAACATTATTACATCGAAGGATAAGAGAAATATATATATATATGTTGCATTAAAGAGAGAGAAAAAAAAACAGAACACGGTAGACACGCGAGAGAAACCAAAAGAAGACAGGGACAGCAAAAACGGCGGCAACAAATTGTGGTCCAGGAAAACTTTTTAAAAAAAGGGCGGCCAAAACGGCCGGCAACAGATCAAAACGAAAAGGTTGGAGCAAATGAAAGAAAAGTGAGAGAACGATGAGGGGGTGCATAAATATATACATTCATGTAAAGATGTAAACAGATCTAGGTATTCCATAAGTGTTTTTCCCCTTCTGCCTGCGACGCACGCCTAAGTGCAATGCACAGAAGAATGATCGAAAAGACGAAAAAAGGGGGGCAGCTTTCCGGAGGCAAGAACAAAACACAGCGTGGCACTTAAAAGAAAAAGAAAGCCCACGGCACAAAACACCTTCGCGTTTGAGCGCCACTCAACGCGATGCAAACTGCGTTTGCAAAGGCAACAAGAGAGCGAGAGATAGAAATGCTCCAACGCCCAAAACAACAACAACAACAACAACAAGGCAGGATAATCACATTATGCCAATTCCATCTCCATTTGATGCTGCAGGGCAATCAACAGCTTCTCCTTAAACATCTCCAGCGAGGTATACTGAGGAACCGTAATCACTGAGCCGCAGGCCTGCGCACGTGGCAGGTGCTCAACGCTCTCGGTGTTCTCCGCCACCGTAATAGGGCGGATCAGTGGAAGGCGGCGCTGGCCTGAGGCAAAGCAGATGAGCGACGCGCGCTGCTCCATGGAGAGCTGCTCCACAATCTGCCAGAAGTACGTCTCACGGCTCCCCGTCAGCTGCACCCGCATGTACTTCTGCAAGTCTGGGATGGACAGGCTGCTCTCCCCGCACACCAAGTTCTCCAGATCCTTCCAAGAGAGACAGCGCACCACGCGGCGCGAGAGCGTGCTCCAGAGTCCGCTGCGGATGGCGCTGAGCTGCTCGTCCATCGAGTGTACAAGGCAGCGCTCGGCGATGGTACGTCGCTGCTGCGCCGTCACGGCGTCGTTGTCGTCCGCGTCAAGCCACTCCACGCTCTCTGCGTAGCCGGGAATAAGCTCGTCCGCCACGCCGCTAAGGAGGAAGTTGTCATCCTGCACGGTGGCCTCGACGACGCTGTCGACGTGCGCGTAGTAGTCCTTCACCGTCAGCTCGTCATCCACGAGGAACTTCCAGAAGAACGGCGAGAAGTCGATGTCCAGCGGCGTCTTGGCGCGCGCGGAGTGGCCCATGATCTTGCCGAAGAACGTGAAGAGGTTCAGGTCGTAGGCGGAGTTGGCCTGACTGTCCGGCACGAGCGAGATGCGCTGTGAGTTGTTCACAAAAACGAAGAGCGGGTTGCGGTGGAAATCGGAGTTAGGGTAGCACTTGTCGGGGTGCTGCATCATCTCGAACCCAAGGAAGGTCCACAGCTGGCGGTACGGCCCACCCATGTCCACCGGCGTGTGTCCCGAGCCGCTGATGTGTAGGTTCACCTTGAACAGCGGCGTCACCGACCACTGCTCCCCAGTAAAAAAGCCAATCTGACGGTACAGCTGGGCCAAGATGGAGTGCTGGAGGGCGCTCTCGGTGGTGCGAGGCAGGTTCGAGTACAGGTCTGTGGCCCGCACAAAGATCGTCGGCGCCCCGGTGGACGGCTCCAGCAGCGCCACGTTCACCAGCAGGCGCTGGCGGAAGGAGCGGCGGATGAGGCCCTTCATCGAGAGAAAGGCCTGCGACAGCGTCCCGGTGACCGTCTCCTCGTCCAGGTCCACAAAGCGATTCGCCGTCGCCATGCAGCTCTCCGTCACCGCAATCACCTGCGCGAAGCGCTGCAGCGTTGCCGGCGGTAAGGACTGCAGAAGTGGATAGGAGTGCAGAAACAGTGTATAGGGGTCCTCGGGCGGCAGGGAGATGGAGGCGTTGCGGTTCATCTCCGCCTGCTCCCCGAAGTAGTCATCGGCATCGGAAAGGAAGGAGGCGAGTTGGACGTAGAAGGCAAACGACTGCGTCGGCATCTCGCTGCGCAGCGCACGGTCGTACTGGTCCACCAAAGGGCGGGCGAAGTAGCCGGAGAGGTCGGTGTAGCCGTCCGGCGCGTAGACGAACTCGTTCGCACGCAGCCGCACCTTCATGCCGCTGCAGGTGCCGATGGAGGCAAAGGCGAAGAGTGGTGCGTTGCCGATCGAGATAGGGATGGCGATGAAGGGGCCAACAACACCATTGAGCGACCAGGCCGCGGTGCGCTCCTCCATGTTCAGCAGGCAGCCCACCACCGAGCCCGGGACGCTCTCCGTCGGGATCTTGTACTCCTCTTTGCCCTCACGGGAGTTAATGTCGGAGCCGTTGTAGGCGAAGCTGTTGCGGTCACTTCCGACGTGCTGCCCTGGCACCTCATTGTGCGTCGTCGTGCCCCACCCAATCGCGTAGGCGGAGGTGATGCGGTCGGGCAGGGTGACTTCGTAGTAGTAATGGCCTTTGCCTTCGGTGCCGCAGCTGCTCGAGATCTTGCCTACTTTCAGTTCGTGACGCACGTAATCGCCAAAGGTGCACAGCGTGTCCACCTTGGGCATGTTAGGCCGCACGGCCATGTGCAGCTCGTCCACCACACGTGGGAGCGCCACGGCCGCGCTGAGCGAGCGCCAGAGATCAATCAGGCAGTGCAGCGGGGCAACAGGGATGTTCCTCAGTTTCTCGCCGAGTGGCTTGCCGAGGGCCAGCAGCAGGTCCACGCCGGCCGCAACGTCCTTCTTCACCTCCGAGTCCTCGCACAGTGTCACCACCCACCGCTCCACATAGGTGAAGAGCGTCGAGAAGAGCTGCGTGTAGATGTCAGTGTGGTCGAGCCGGCTTTGGACAAAGGTCGTGATGCTGCGGATGATCTCGTGGCGGCGGTAGCGTCCGCACCGGTGGGCCGCCGTGACGACGCCGTGCAGGCAGTCCCACAGCAGGTGCTCCGGCACGTTGTTGACCACGTCCGTGCTCAGCAGCAGACTGTTCGTGACCAGACGCGCGAGCGAGATGGCATCCCATGGCTTGATGGCGGGGTCCACGATGCGCATGTTCGCCTCACTCAGCATGCCACTCAAAAGGTGGTTGTCGGCGTCCCGGCTCACGAGCGAGTCGGCCAGGGGGTGGTTCGTGAAGTTGAAGATGTGCTCGAGGAAGTCCGTTGGCTTGCGCTCGATCTGGCTGCAAATGACAAGGTAAAGATGACGCGCCAATAATACAACGAGGCGGTGCATGCACTCCCGCATGTCGCGGTGCGGCTCCGGCGGGATGACGACATCGACGCAGTCGGGAAGCGGCTCAACGGACCACCTGTCCGACACAGCCGGGAGAAGCGCGAAGCGACGACCCGAGTTGAGGGTAAAGGGGCCGCCCTTGCCTTGGTTGCACTGGAAGGTGCCATTCAGACGCAGCCCTTCAGCGTCCAAGAAACCGGTCATTTCAAAGAAGATTTCGCGCTCCCCGGCGGCGGTGAGGGCCATGTACGCCGTACCTTTGGAGACAACATCATTCGTCGTTTTCACGACAAAGTCCACTTTCTCCTGAAAGCTCATCGGCGTTTCCTTCTCGCTTTCACCCTTCACGAATTTCTGCAGCTGCGTCTGCAGGTCGGTGTCATAGGGCCGCATGTAAAGCCGCACCACGCGGCTGTATCGTTTGTGCTCGTAGATGACAATCATGCGTGTTTCCTCCGTGGTGCCGAGAGCGATGTCCGCGCGGCCAATGCCATTTGGCGTCAGCGACACACTCAGCGACTTCGGTGTCCGCGCAAAGGTGAGCTCGCCGAGCCAGTCCTCCTGCAGCGGCACGCTCTCCGCGGCCTTGGCGGGGTCGTTCAGCCGCACCGTGTGCTCATACAGACTGCACGGGAGGCCGTTCTGACGGGTGGACCACGCCCGACCACCGCACTGCTTCATCGCGACGCAGTTGCGGTACGACAGCCGCGACACCGCCTCCGTCCGCGTGTTGCGCACGGTGAGCGACTCCCCACGCCGCGCCGTGACCTCGAACACGTCGCTGCCACCGCGCAACGTGCGCACCAGCATCCCGCTGTGGAAGCGCCGCTTGCGCTCGTCGGTATTAAGCACGGGCACAAACGGCGCGATGTGCCGCTCCTCCAGCCACCACCCACGCCGGTTCGCCGTCGACGCCACAGAGGCGCGAATTTCCTCCAAGAACTCAACCGGCGCGTCGTTCTCGATCTTTACGGTGGCGAGCCGCTTCGTCATGCTCAGCAGCCGGTCCTGATGCACCGACACAAGGTGGGAGAGGGACTCATTCTCGCACAGGCACGATAGCGTGAGCAGCAGGCGCGAAATGACAAAGCCCTCCTCCACGGTGGCGCCCTCGTTGCGCTCACCGCGCGAGAGAAACCACTCCTCTGAGATGGCGTTGCGCTCATTCGCCAAAAAGGAGCTCGGTGCGACAGTGATGACCTCTTCAGTTTCCAGCACCTTCACGTGAAACTCGCGACTCTCCAGCTCCAGTCGGCGACACTGAGCGAGACGCTGGTCCAGTAGGACGTAGCCGAGGCTGTTTTGCGGGTAAACACCGCGGCACGGCGTCAGCGGCAGGCGGCAGTTGTCGCGCGTCACGAACCACACGCTACCATCGCGGCCAGACGTCTTGAGAATGTTCCCCGTGGCGTCCTCGACCGTGGTGGTGTACGTTGTTGCCCGCTCCGGGAAGATAGACGCCGTGGTGCCCTTCTTGCCGAGCAGCACAAAGCACCCGATGGGCTGCACGTTGTTCTCGTTGTCCTTCAGCGCGACGGACTTGCTGCCCACGACAACCCAGTCGCGCAGGATAGTGACCCTGCCCGTCGCCGCGTCGTACTGCAGGGTGATGCGGGCGCCACGTTGGAAGCCGTACGGGTCGCGGCTCTTGTGCTCCATTGGCTGCCGTAGCGTCGAGTCGCTGCAGAAGGTGGCGATGGTAGAGATGTTCGAGAGGCACTTGTTGCGCAGCTTTTCGCGGGTGGCCTGGACGATCTCCTGTGCAGGCCCTAGTCCGACAAAGACCGGTGCATCAGGGAAGAGCGGGCTGCCGTCGACGGTGTCAATGACGACCGAGAAGAGCGTCTCCGCGTCATCGACGCCGACGAGGCCCCACACACACAGGGCGTTGTCCTCCACGGCCTCCGCCACGCAGTTCATCTTCGCCTCGGACATGCGGCAGCCGCTGCTGCGGAGGTACATGGCGGTCGTGGCGGGGATTGTCACTTCCATCCCACGCTCGATGGTCGCGGGAGTTGTGGTGGAGTATGCAATCGGCGAGCCGTCCATCACGGTGAAGCTGTGGTTCGAGTGGACGCAGGTCAGGAAGCAGTTCGAGCACAGGGTGTAGTCGGCACACTCGTTGCACTTGTACCAGCAGTTCGTCAGGCGAGAGTCGGCGTGGTTTGTCATGCAACCGTCACAGGTCTTGCGCTCGTCTTGCGCGCAGAGGGAGTACTGCAACTTCTGGCACGGCAGCCGCAGTGCCGGAGCGTTCGAGTTCGACGGCAGCAGCACCGCAACTGCGTCGGTGTTGAAAAGGTTCACGAAAGGGTACAGCGTTCCATCTGGCGGCAAATTGTCGAAGATGAGACCCAGCGGGACTTCGTCGCCGTTGACCGGGGTGCGAAAGGCGTGCATGGTGCGCGCCGTGCGGTCAATCTGTAGGCGGATGATGTCGCCACTTACGATGATGCAGCGTGGGTCGGCGGCGAGGGGGAAGGTCGCGTCGCTGCGCAGGTGACGCAGGCGCCACGGCGAGTCGTCCATGTCGTGCAGCGCCCACACCTCCGCGGCGTGCGAGTTCAAGTCCTTCCGCTTCCAATGGAAGGACGGTGTGCACACGCCGAAGTAGTAGCCGCCACCGAGAATTTGGCCTTGATTGCCGCGAATGAGCTGGCAGCGGATGCTGATCTGCGCGCTGATGGAGATGGGAGGCTCTGCAATCGCAATGAACGGTGTCGACACGCCCTTCGCGCCGTTCGGCACCGTCGCGAGTCGTCCGCAGTAGTGCGACGGCAGCACGAAGCCTGGGTTCGACAACGCAGCGGAAAAGGTGAAGTCACGCGGGATGGGCGGGGGGTGCGTCGTCGGTATCGACGGCAGACGGCGCAGCACCGTGATGAAGCTTCCGACGCGCAGGCCGTGGAAGAGGAAGTCCCAATGGTCTTTCTCTTCCAGCACGATCTTCGACCGCTCCGTCTGCTCGATGCAGCACAGCGCCTCCACCGTAATGCGCGGGATCACCATGCGCTCCGTCGCCGCGATCAGCTCGTCAATGCAGCGGCCCAGCCCAGTCAACCGCGAGGTCGAGGAGACGGTGTCGAAGTTGCAGATGGTGCGTGGTTTGGCCGGCGTGCGCATGTTGTACAGGTGCTCGTAGTTCGTCTTGCCGCTCAGTGAAAACTTGCAGCGCAGATCGTTCAGGTGCGACACTGTCACCGTCACCTCCTCCCCGGAGGAGCTGCGCAGCTGCAGCAGACGCGGATCCGGCACGCTGTTAAAGATAGGCAGCGTCACTTTGGGGAACTTCTTCGACTGCAGTTCCTCGCACAATCGGTTCGCCACGAGGCGTTGGAAAGGGTCGAGCGTCAACATAGTCCGGAGCACATCGACCGAGGCCGCGCCGAGCAGGGTGGGTCCGGTGATCGGCGCCGTCATCTCCCCCGTGCTGATCGCGGCCGCCGCATCGTCGTTGTACAGCTGGACAAACGGCACGAGATCGACATCCTCCGGAATGTCGCTGAAGAGGGTCTTGAGGAACTCCCCCTCGCGGTAGAAGTCGATGCAACGTTTGTCGCGGTCCACCACGACGCGAATGACGTCGGCGTTACCGAAGGTGCGCTGAAAGTTGTTGAGCTTCACGGTGGGGTTGGTGGCGTGCGGCAGCTGCGGCGACGTGTCCTGGATCGCCCACACAATAGGCGGATTCACGGCCTTCCAGCTTTGGGAGTTGCTCGTGGGAGTGAGCGGGCTGAGGCCGGCAACGGACACGCCAATGAAGTAGCCGCCCTTCAGCGAGTGCCCCTTCGCCATGTTGCGGCGCGTCACCTTCACTGAGAAGGACACCATGCCGGTGCGGGGAAGGGTGTTGCCCAGTACGATGCTGCGTTGCGCCTCGGGCAGCATGTGGGCGTGCTGCACGTCCACGATTGCCATCGCGATGGCGTCGCACTCGCACCACGTAGGCACAAACGGGATGAACTCCTCGCTGTCTGTGACGTTGTTTGCATTCTCAAAGAGGGTGGAGACGAGATTGCCCGCTGCCTTGCTGTCTGGAACCCCCTTGACGTGCACGATAACGTCGGGTAGCAGCCCAATTGTCGCGATCTGCACCGAGTGCAGCGGCAGCAGCATCAAAATAGAGACGGCGTCGAAGACCATGCTGCTGATGTGCTCGCTGAGCAGCAAGCCGTGGGTTGCGATGTAGCGAATGGTGGAGATGAGGATCATGATCGAGTACTCCGCGACGCTCAGCGCGACAGCCTGCTGCACTCGCGTGGCGGGGCTGCTGTTCGAGGAGCCGCCGACGCCGATGTTCATGAGGGACGAAGTGACGCTGTTCACGTTGCGACACACCACCGTGCACGCCTGGGAGAGGGCGTCGCGAGCGCTCTGGTTTCGCGACTCCTGCACGGCGCACACACGCGCCGTCAAGTAATGCAGCACCATCTCCGCAGTGGACGTGACGCGGTACCAGGTCGGACCCGTGAAGATGGTCAGCGCGGGGTGCAGCTGCCGGTAATCGTAGGCAAAAGGTACGGTGCCAAAGTTGATGGTGACTCGCACCACGCTCCCCTCGTCGAAGGAGATAAAGGGGTAGAGGAGGGCGCTATCGTTCTTCGTGTTCGACACCGCCACACGGCCGCCGTAGGAGAGGAAGCTGCCGTTGAGCGTGTAGAAGAGCTGCTGCGAGGTGGCCACCACGCCGCAGCCCACCGTGTCTCCCTCCACAAACGGCGGCCACTGCTGCAAGTCTGCCCCTTGCACCTCCCCCGTGCTGCTGTACGAGAAGTTGATGTTCTCGGCACGCACGGTCTGCTCCTCCCGCGGCAGCTGCACGCCGATGTCGAACTTGACTATTGGGGAAATAATCTTCACTTCGTAATAGTACACACGCGGCACACCCTCTTTCCAGCTCAGCTGCCAGCCCTCGTCCGCGCGGATCAGCACGGCGGCGCCAGCGCTCTTCTCCATCTCGACCCCGAGCTGCGAGCGCGCCGTCTGGATGCCGGGGATGACGACGGAGAAGCCGTTTGGAAAGACGCGGCTGAGGGAGGTGAAGTCGGCCGCGCAGAGCAGCTCCGTGCGAATCGTCTGCTCCTGATCTTCCAGCACTTTCTCGGAGGCGCGCGACGCCTCATGCCGCACTCGCCACGGCGAGGTGAGCACCCCAAGACCCATCGGCGAGTCCATCTGGTTCTCCAAGAAGGTAAGAATGTCTTTGTCCGTCTCGAAGTTCTTGCGGAACAGCTCGCAGTCCGCCTCGTCCCACGGGAGGCACAGAATGGCGTGAAAGAGCATCAGGGCCCGCCCGCGGTGGGCAGCCTGCGTCAGCGCAGCGCGGTACCCCAGCACGTTCGTCGACGTCTTTAGCACGTGGAAGAAGCTGTGCATCGTCTCGTGGAAGGCGCCTCGGACCGACGCTTCCGCATCCGAGCCGGCCCCGCGCAGCACCTCCGTGAAATGCTGGAAGTTTTCCATGTAGGTAAAGTTCGCCAGCACGCGCAGCGCATCGGTCAGAACCTCCTCCGTCAAACTCTCCTTGTTCAACTGGAGGACCTTCGAGAGAAGCTTCAGCCCTTTCTCGATGCTCTGCGCGGCGTGCGCGCGTCCGACGAGAACCTTTTCGATAATCGAGGTAGAGATCCCTTTGTTCAGCAGACTCCGTACCTGCTCCAGACACTCCGTCTGTGAGTACATCTTCACCACGCTGCGCCGCGAGCTTGTCGAGCCGCGCCGCTCCGAGAGAGAGCGGGAGCCGTTGAGGGAGTTTTCGAGTCGTCGCTCGACCGAGATGCGGCGGCCTGTGCTGGCAAACGGCGAGGCGGCATCGTTGCTCTCGTGGAAGACGCTGTCCAGCATCCACTGCGCCAGCTCCGTCAGGAACGCAATCGTCGGCTCCTTCATCACGCCGACCAGCTTCGTTCCCCACTCCCCGCTGAACCACCGCAACTTCAGCTCGTCTTCTGCTTGGCAGCGGGCCAGGCCGCAGTGGAGGAGAATCGCCAGCAGCGCCTGAATAGCTGGACGCATCGAGGGCACCACCGAGCCCCGCATTGCCTTGCACACCTCGTCCACAAATTCGATTCCTTCGCCTTCGCCGTTCAGCACTTGCCGCGGCAGAACGTCCGTGTTCTCACGTCGAGGACCAGACCACGCGACGCCGTTCTGTTCGAGCACCTTGGTTGTCAGCCCGCATCGAAACAGCGGTGTCATGGCGATGTCCGTCATCGCGGGCTTCGCCATCAGCTCCGAGGCGGCGGCCAGCAGCAGACGCAAAATGCACTCCCGCATCACGGACGCCAGCGAGACGTCCAGCGTCAACTCGTACTGCGCGATGGCAGTGAAGCTGTTCTCTCCCTCGCCGTGGACGTGCAGCACGCCGCCTTCCAACTTCCGAAATGAGCTCGTCTCATCCATCACCGCGTTGTCCGGCTGACCAGTTTTGGTGTCTGTCTGCAGCACATACATTGGCGGGCTGCTGGACTCCTTGATCAGCGACACATTCTTCGCAGTGGCGAAGTCGAGGTACAGCCGCCAGGCACCGCTGTTCTCCCTCGGCGGCACGTAGATGTCGTAGGCTTCGTGGGTGGTGAAGCCTACGGTTTGCATCGAGCATGTTTCGACGGTGCGCAGGCGCGTGCAGAGCTCCGCCAGTTGCTCCTGCGCCTCATCGGAAATGGCGGCTGGGCAGAGATTCGCGACGGCGACGAACAGCGGCAACGCACCCGTCAGCAGCACCGAGTTCGGCTGCTCGTCGACGCGCGACGGCACAAACAGCGCGCTGCTTCGGCTCATAAACTCGACGAACACGTCGACGAGCTGGCCGACGTACACCTCGAAGGTGTCCCGCGGCTTCGACTTGAGCGTCGTCATCACAGCGAGGACGAAGGAGGTCATGAGGTGAATGACCGGCTTCGAGCTGCTGCTCTCATCCGCTGCCTCGCGCTCGCACTGCCGCAGCAAGTTCTTCGCGGCGGAGACGATGTCAGCCGGTCGGTTCTGCACGATGTGGTGAATAACGGTGTAGACCCGCTCGCGAGAGAAGTAGCTCCACTGCAGGTCGCTCTGCTCACCCGACTCCATGTGCAGGAGCATCTCCGTCTGATCCTCCACCGTCAGCGACCACGCCGTGGCCAGATGGTACAGCTTGTACGCCACCTCAAAGAACGTCTTCTCCGTGAAGAGCTCCATGATGAGACTGCACGACGCCTTGAGGGACGCCGCGATGTCAGAAATGCGGGAGTCGTTCAGCGACGCGAGACGGCGGAAGTGCACCAGCGCGAGGGACATAAACGCAAGCACCTTCAGCGGCGCCGCCGGTGTCTTGACCATCCGCAGCGACTGTGCCAACGAGCGCAGCGTTGTAAAGGACAGCGGCGTGTTCTCCGACGGGATACGCTCCAGCTCATAGCTTTCCGTGTAGATGGAGCGGTAGATCTGCTTCAGCAGCCACAGCGCGGAGCCGTGCGCAATGGAGTCTGCGTCCGTGTTGCAAAGCACTAAGTCGTTTTCCATTCTCCGCCGCGTAAAAAGGCGCACTGTGCTGAAGGTGGAAAAGCGTTGCTGATAGACCAGCAGCTCCGACTCATCAGCGAGCAGGGCGTACGCGTTCTCGCCGCAGGAGCGCGGGCACTGGTAGACGCGGAGGATGCGATTCGTCTCGCGATCGACCTCCGCCACCATGTCATCGGAGCCCTTCTCGGGGGGAGGGAGCACGACGAAAAGGCGGTACGCGCTCTTGAGGATACGCCCGGCGAGCAACAGCGACGTGTCGAGGGGCACAGAGGCGGCGTGGGCGGCGGCGATAGCAGGGACCACGACGGCGGGATCCCACACGAACACCTTGCAGTTCAGCGCGACGCACTGGCTGGACGTGGTTTCCTTCAACCACGGGCCGGTGCCCTCGTCCATCGGCAGGACGAAGATGGGCGACACGGAGCTGTCGACGGTGCGCTCACAGAAAAAGGTGCGCACGGTGGAGGGGCCGTTCGGGCCGCTCCACACCGCCATGGACCCAACGTGGCCCACGCAGCGCAGGCACTCCACCGTTTTAATCTTCATCGTCTGCGATTGCGTGTAGTGCGGGCCGCTCAGCTCGATGATGGACGAGTTCACGCTCACCGACCACACACCGCGGCTCCACTGTACGTGGATGAAGTACCACTGATTGCTGCTGGGCAGCACACCTTGGCACATCGTCGAGCCCTGGCGCATGCGGATCAGATTTGAACTCAGCTCCACGCACAACGCTTCTCCGCTGTCGGGGACAATACAGAGAAGGGAGCCGATGCAGTCGTGGTAGGCGTGGACGCAGAGCGAGATGCACTCGATAGAGTCTTGCAGCGGCGCCACGGGGAAGCTCACGGCGTCCGCCGCAGCCGACTCCAACAGCCACAGCGAGGAGGTGGACCCGCTGGGCAGCAGCGGCGGTGGTTGGGTCTCGAGGCCGCTGCTGCGGTAGTCGGTCACGATCGACACCGTCTCCGTGTGGAGGTCATCTTGTGTGGAGAGGTCCGTGGGCAGCACGGCGTGCCGCATGCCGCTGCTATCGGTGCAGATTAGATGCGTGGAGTCCTCGGAAAACGTGATATTCCAGCACCGCCCGGCCAACTCCGGCAAGTCGCGCTCCGCACACGCCGTGCCGGTGGAGAGGCTGACCATAATGGCGCGCTGCGAGCCCACCGCCGCGAGGAACTTCTGGTTGGGGCTCACGCAGAAACGCTGCACCCCGGTCCCCTCGCCTAGCATCACCTTCATGTTGATCGGATCGTCTTGGAAGCAGTCGATGGGGGAGGTGATGGGACACATATCCGCCGCATGCAGGGAGAAAGACGCTACGATCTCGCGCGCGTGCGGCACCTCGACCGGGACGATGGAGGAGGAGCTGATGGTGAGCTGCTCCAGTATGGCGGCATAGCGAAGCACCTCGTTGAGCTCATGACGCCGCCCCACGAGGAGACCCGCGATGGCGAAGCGTTCCATGACCTCCTCCGTCGGCTGCGCCGCTTCTTTGGAGACGTTGTCGAGCTGCGTCAAGAGTTCGCTGACCACGGAGGGAGCCAACGCACGGGAGAGGTTCACGTCGGACAGCAGACGGTGGTAGAGGAGCTGCAACGAGCGCAGATGTGCGTGACACCCGTTCAGCAGGTTCACCGACATCATCAACGCATCAGACTGCAGCTGCGCGCCAAAGGTGGAGGAGTAGATAAAGAGATCGTTCATCGTGTTGTCGGCCCGCTCCGGCACGGGCGTGTTTGTTATCTCCGAGTTGGTGAAGAACGTGCTCTGATTTGTGTCCTCCGTCGTCGTCTTGAGCGCCTCCTGCGCATCGAGAATGACCTCCTCGTAGATGGCAAACGGTGTCGGGACGGGAATGACGCTGTTATAGGCGTTGGCGAGACTACGGACGTGCTGCACCACCGTCTGTGGGTCGATAGCAGAGTCACCGTCGAAGTCCGGCGGTGCGGTGGGTAGCGCAAAGTTCTGACTGGGGTCCGGCTGATGCCGCTTGCGGTAGAGGCGGTGGCCCACCGAGTAGAGCTGCGAGAGCGGCACTGTGTCGAGCTCCATCGTGTTGCGGTTCTCTCCGCTGGGGTCTTTGATGTACATGGTGCCCTTTTGGTACGCGGCGCACTCGGCGTACTGCGCCTCATACGTGGTGGAGCGTGCCGGCACCGTGTCGGTGACCGCTGTTGAGGTGGATCCTCGGTCTAGCAAGGTGATGGGGAGCGGCGGCGTGATGCGGGGCCCAGGGAGCGGGCCCAACCAGTTGTCGACTCCTGCGTACATGATCGTACGCTTTCAGAAGAAAAACAAGGAGGATTTAGGAAATTAAAAAAGGCACGAACCCTTTGCCGGAAAAGACGAGAGGCTGTGCGAGGGAGGGATAACCAACAACTGCTACGCCCAACTCAAAATTCGACGCCGTACAAAACACAAAGAAGATAAAATGTTAAAGAAAAAGAAGAGGAGTGCAAAAGAAACTAATGCGAAGGGACGTCAAAAAATAACACCAGGCAGCCACAGGTAAGACAACAACAGCAATAAATAAAAGTTAGAGAGAGAGAGAGAGAGAGCAGAGTCAGGTTCATTAAAGAAATATAACGCCCACAAGAAAATTGGAAAAAGAAAAACGGCCGTTACTTGAGAATAAACGGTACAAATAATTAAAAGATGAAAATAAGTGTAACTTACGAGAAGTAAAAATCGTGAAACCAGGCTTACCGCAGAGCTTCGATGCGGCTCTCCACTGTACATGCAAAAGCACACCAACAAAAAAACACAGAAAGAAAAGCCAAAAAAAAAAAAAATGCGCGCGGCTACACAAAAGAAAAAGGGAGTCTTGATCGTAACGAGGGAATAAACAACAGCTTCACCCTTCGTAGGCGCGATCAGACAGACAGGCACCCACCCGAAAAGAAACGGAACCAATTACCAAAACAGAAAAGAAAACGGTAGGTTACAGAACGATGCAGAAAACAAGAGGTGCTGTCGGGAAGGCGCGGCCGTTTGCACACGAACAGGCTCACACACCAAAGGGCAAATAACGCAAAGTATTCCTCTGCTTGCCGAGTACCGGTGGCGGAACTACACTAGTAGAAAAGAAAAACCAAACGATGGCAAACACAAACGCAGCAACAACAAAAAATGACGAGTAGAGCGATAACGAAAATCTCTCTTTCCCTCTGGGGGCTTCAACGCTACTACCGTGTGTGCTAACAAAACAAAAGAAAAAAAGAGAGCAGAAACAAAAACTAAGAAGACCACACAAAACCACACACCTTACTATCGCTTTGTGTATAGAAAGAAAAGATACGCCTGTAGAGGCGCTTACACGCGCGTGCAGGGGTAAATAACTGCGAGGGTTGCGGGAATAAACCGACAAGAAAAGGACGAAACCAGAACAAAAAAAATGATGAGACGCAGTAAATGATGTCTGCAGGGCGCTTCCTTCGTCTATGCAGGCTTTTCTTTCTTTCGATTAAAGAAGGCGTCGAGTTTACTGTCTATTAAATAAAAAAGAATATGAAGAGATGATCCGAAATGCGGTGCACGACGACGCGCAATCAGAGTTGAGAGCACGGTAAAGCCTTCAGCGTGGTAAAGTGGAGGAAGACCTTTCGCCTCACCCTATGCTCGCGGCTTCGTTGCTTTAGTATTCTAGAAGATCGAGTAGGCGGTAGTTGAAGAAAAAGAGGTAGCGTCACTATTTGGGTTTTTTTTTTTGAGATGGAACGACTGTTGTACAAATAAAAAATATGTACATTTACCAAGAGCCGTGTTTGTCAGCTAACTAGAGGGGTAGAAAAAGGCGGAAGAGAAGGACCAGTTCTATTAATTGTGGTCACCCACTTTGCGTGCTCCTTTCAGTGTATCATACATCAGTCACACCTCGCTGTTCACTTTTGGTGACGACACTTGCTACCCTCGGGCAATGCTACTCAAACGATTTCCCTCGTGTGCAGTGCACAAATAACGACGCATGAGAGAGAACAGCAAGAGGGGGGGGGGAGGTGCGGTGTAAGAGCAAACGCCAGACGATCTTCGGCTTTCACAAAGGCATCGACTTTTTCCTTTCGTTTCTGCATTACCGGTCTGCGTAACGCCTAACTTTTACTTTTTCATTTTTTTTTTCTCAGAACGGAGGCTTAAAAGAGATGAAGGCTTACACATTATGTCACCACGTGTATGCATGTGAAGTCCAAGGGTCTCTTTTTCCTTTTACGAGTTCTTACCACAACAAGAGAGAGGAGGGGGGGGGAGAGAGATGAGATGCAGCCGCTTGGCAACACCTCGTAAACAAGAAAGGGGGCAATAGAAATAATAAAAAAACTTGCTGTGTCTCAACATACACACATCCACCATATATGTATTTAAAGAGAAGGTGCGTCACAAGCAAGAAAAGGGTTTGATGGAGGCGTGTCGGGAAATCCATGCAGTAAGAATCAGTTTCTTATATCCTGCGGTTCCAATAAGAAACATCATAGAATTACAGGCACAAAGTTTGTCCTCCAGTGCTGTTTAACCACGCATGGCAAACGCAGCGATGCGCGCGCATACGTGTGTGTGCGTAACTTTATACTCAAAGCAGAACAAGAAGGGCAGGTACATTTGCCTGTAGCAGTGATATCAACACAGCCGCCGCCGCTTTTTTTTTAATGGTGGCTTATTCGCCGCCACAGCCGCGGTTTACGAAGAAGCAGGGGCCGGAGGTTCTTCATCTGGGCGAGCGAATGGCGACCGTCAGCTACCATCCTTGCAGTCACTAGTGGTAGTCTCGGTCGTGATGGCCTCACCGTCCTTCTTGTCTTCGATCTTTTTGCCAGTCACGAAGCGGTAGATGAGCTTGGCGATGTACACGATCAGGTACACCACCAACCAGCAGCTAACTCAGACCATATTAAACTCTTATACAGCACAGAAGTGAAAAAAAGAAAAACTTGTCGGGCGTTAACCGTTGAAAGGAAATTTCGGTTTGATTGCATTTAACAAAAAAGGGCGAGGGGCAGAGGAAAGGACAAGGCAGGAGAGCAGAAGGGATAAAGACATAAAATACAGGAAGCCCGCTTCCGCAGCAAGAAGAGGGGAATAGAGAACTATATAATATATATGATGTCCTTCTTCTGTGGAAGAAGCAACAAAGTAGAACGCCAACGAAGACGCGCACAGCGGAAGGCACGAACTGGCACTTTGCAGTGTGGCATTAAAAAGCGTGAACGGGGGAACAGATCACGCAGAGAAGTAAAAAGCTGCCACTTCATCATCACATTTCACAATGAGTCGTTTTTCTTCGTGTTTCCTCTTTGCGTTGTTGATGCAGAGGATGCCAGCAGTGACGTGGTGGAAAAAAAAAACAAGTTTGTGGGCGAATAGTGATGTAGCCCTGGGACAGCAAAAGGCCTTTATAGAATTGCTAAACTCAGAAAACAGCAACAGCAAAATAATCCTCAGGAAGGAAGAATATACGTGAGTATAGGTGGTAGATAAATAATGCAACGTTGCAGCTTTGACATGAGGCTGACTTTACAGTTCGTGATAGACGAAGCCGTCATCCACGCCGACTAAGTCTTGCAGCGCAGTCGTGCGCAGAGAGCCGCCGTTGCCGGCCCGCCACTCACTCTTGATGGCAGCGTAGCTCCGCACCGGGTGCACCTCCACCACTGCATCGTCCTCGCTGGAAACTTCTCCGACGTCCTCAGCGTCGCCGTCGCCGATTGCGCAGTCCCGCTTACGACACTCCCGCTGAAACTCCATCTCCCAACTCGAGACCACCTTCGAAAGGAGGCTCAGTTGGTAGGACATGGTCTGCGTCTTGTCGACAACGCGCTGTGTTCCGTCAGCACCCGCACCAGCGACGGGATTGCTACAGCGCCGCGGCCGCAGCACGTTGGACTGGTGCAGCGTCTCATTCAACGACTCCTGCTTGATGCTCGCCGCGTCACCAACGCGATCGCGCTTCATCTGCAACTTGACGCTGCTGCCAGCCACCGAGCTGTCTGCCGCGGTCGCGGACTCGAGCGGGTTGTACTCCATGATGCGACAGGCGTAGCCCTGATCCACCAGGAAGGCGGTGCGGTGCGCGGCGTAGTTCATCTCGACGGTGTCCATGCTGATGATGGAGTAGAAGTAGGCGTCGACGGTCTTGCCGTTGGCGGCACGATCTTTCGGGCGTAAAATGCGTCCCAGTCGTTGCGCCTCCTGGCGTCGGCTGCCGCCGTGGCTGGAGACCTGAATCACCACGTTCGCGTTGGGCAGGTTCACGCTCACGTCGCCGACGCGCGAGACGCAGATGACGTTAATCTTCGAGGTGCTTTGGAAGTCGGAGAAGATCATCAGGCGATCCTTGTGCTGCGTGCCACCGCAAATGACCGGCGCCTTCAGCCACGCGCCGTACTCGTTCAAGAGCATGATGTGATCGCAGAAGACCAGAATTTTCGCGCCGGTATCGAGGTGCTGCTGAACAAGTTCCTTCACGCACATCATCTTGTTGGGGTTGGCGGCGGCCAGCATGACCAGCACCGGCGCTTTGCCGACCTTAGCTTTGCTGCTACGATCCATGTACTCCAGCCCAAACTCCTTCGTCATGGGCGTGTGCACCTCGACACAGTGCACCTTCGCAAGGTAGCCTTGCGAGGCAAGCGTTTCCATCGAAATGTCAAAGAGCTTCGGACCGACGAGGTGGAAAAGATCGAGGATCTTCTGGTCCTCGCGCACGTACGTGGCGGTGAGCCCGATCACGCCTTTGGCGTCGATAAAGCTCAAGCTCTCACGGAAGCCCTCGGCGGGCATCACGTGCACCTCATCCAGAATCAAAAGACCGTAAGGAGAGAAGAGCTTCTCTTTGGGGTTTTCCTTGCGCTTGCGAATGCCGCGGCCGGTGAAGGCGTCCTCGTCCGCTTTGCTTGCAGCACGCTGGCGCAGCTTTGCCTTGTGGGCTGTGACGAGCATACTGTACGTGGTGAGCACCACATCCGTGTCCTCGGTGATCGGGTCTTTCTGCTTTCCAGTAAGGCAGGCAATTCGAGCCGAGCCGCTCTTGATTTGGTGTGGCTGTCCGCTGTGGATGTTGCTGTTTGCGGGGTGCGCGTCTCCTGCTCCTCCTCCAAGGTCGTGCACCGGCGGCGCCTCCAACGTGGCGTAGTCGAGAATCTGATTCTTCCACTGCTCTACGCTGACGCTGCCGGCGCACACGACGAGGGTGGGCTTCTTCACCTTGCACATGAGCATGATCCCCAGCAGCGTCTTGCCAGCTCCACAGGGCAGCAGGAGGCAGCCGCTGTTTAGCGTACCCTCGTGAATGGCGGCATCTACGGCTTCCACCTGGTAACGGCGCGGCTGCGTCTGGGTGCGCAGCGAGATGTACGCCGTGCGCACCGACGTGTCCTTTTCGAAATCGTACTGCTGTTGGATGGGCAGCCCCAACACGACACAGCGCGCCGCCACGACCTTCGACATGGCACGATTCTGCAGCAGGAAGGAAGGAAACGATGCCTGATCGTCCATCCACACGCTCTCCTCGTAGAAGATGCTCAGCGGGGCAACCGCGACAGACGCGATCACCGAGTCACGCAGCAGCATCTGCGCCGTATCCTCATTTCTGCACTGCACCATCGTCCTCTCTGCGTCAATGACAATACGAGCGAGGTTGTAGCGCAGCATGCAGGACTCAATAAAACCACGCACCGCCTTGCCCTGCTCGGTGCCGGGGGAGAGGTCGTAGGCGTACGTCTCCAGAAAGGACGCCGCATCGGCCGCGTCGATACCGTTCGACACGGCGGCACCCAGGGAGAAGGGTGTGAGGCGGTACTCGTGCATCAACGTGGGGCGTGAAATGGCCTCGGCGAGGGCGCTGAGGGTCGGTTGAATCGCTTCGTAGCAGGCACGAAACGACTCGGCCAGGATGGTGATGTAGCCCTCGAGTTGGACTCGGCTTTCAACGAAGAGGCATTTCTCTTTCGACAGCCCACTGCCGGCGAGGGAACCAGCCATTTTGGGAGGAGGCGGGAGGAGGAGGGGAGAAGCTGCGCGTGTAACGCACAAGCGACGCGAGCACGAAACCGGAACAACGTGACGCGTTTGGTATTTCAAAAAAGGAAAGCGAAAGCGAAAGAGAACGAAAACGAAAAAGGATGTTGTGTTGAGAATAAGGAGAAGTTCGAACGCGCTTCTTGCATTCCACTCCAACGCGACATGCGCTCGACGTACATCAACGCAAACCAAAAAGAGTCTCTGCAGGCGCAGAAACAAGCAGAAAACCCGTGGCTTTCGCTCGCATAAGCCTATTACGCATGCGCATTTTTTGGAAACATGAACCGCCACTACGGCTTCATTTATTTCCTCACACGGCTGCCAACAACCACAGCAACAAGAGAATCCTTGACGGACGCCAACCCGCAATACCAACCTATCGAAGGTGACGCTGCACCACGAGGCGGGTAAAGCAACAGAGGAGCGCTTCGATTTTTCTTCATCATCTTCTTGGCAAGCCCACACAACAGAAGTGTACACGAATGCTAACAGCGCCATTCAGTGCCGACACCACAGAACCCCCACGGCCTTCTTTTACACATAGACATAAGAAGGAAGAAATCGGACGGTAGAACAATATAAACATATATAAGATAGGTAAATATAAACACCACGAACCACCGCTCTACCCCACCGTATCACACACAAAGAAAAAGAAGTCTCGCTGCAGCTCAATCGGCCTTGCCAAGAATACGCCGCTGGATCTGTGCCGCGGAGGTCTGCACGAAGCGGGACAGCAATCCCGCCACGGTAAAGACGCCGCCTACAATGGCACACACGTATGTCAGAAAGTGCGTAAACGACACCCGCGCGGCGCTGTAGCGCACCGTGATGGGGGAGAGCTGGTACTGAAAGACAACCGCCGGCATTTGATTCGTTGGGAGGATGACGGCGCTACTCGTACCTGTGAATTGGTAGGTGTAGGTGGTGGAGAAGGCGCCTTCGTAGATCGTAGGGACAATGTCCAGGTAGTATTGGAACAGCTTCGGCAAGTGGGAACGCTGCGTCATGCCGTCCAGTGGGTGAAGTTGGGCCTGTTTTGAGAACTTCATTACGTCGGTGGAGCCGAAGGACAGGTGATGAATGGTGTGCTCGACATTGATGCCAGCTTTGAAGTGATCGTTAAGGAGTTGCTGACGCCCGTGCGAGGAGATGTGGAAGTTGCCGGGCACCTTCGCGACTTGGATGTAGCCGCGCAGATTGCAGCCCTCTCGATTGCTGACGAACTCCTCAGGAGAGCGGCCGTCGGTGACGGGGCGCCCCTCCGCGTCCAGGCGGGTCTTGGTAATGTGCTCCATTGAATTGAAGACGTGGTTGTGCAAGACGTCCAAAATGTCCAAAGTAAGGATGGAGCACGGCATCTTGTGAAAGGTGAGGTCGAGGCTCACCTTAATGATGCTCTCGGAGTCAAGGTCCGGCATGATGACCATGTCTGACTGGATGCGTGGCGAGACGTAGGAGATGACCTCTCCAACGAACAAGAGCACCATCACAACGACACAGGCGATGGAGATGATGGCGCCGATGGCGGTCGACTCCGTCAGGTCCTTCGGGATCCGGCGGAAAAAGTCCGCCTTCTGCCAAAGACGTGTGCTACGCATGGTGAAATGGTCCTTCGCTTCTTTCCTCTTTCCTCATAAAGAAGAAAATAAGAAACCCAACCAAATCTAACTGAGACAGGTAAAACTGCAACGATAATAATAGGAATGGCAGTATATGGCAATGAGCACCTGGAAGGGTTCGACCGCTGCGGGGAGGGGGGGGTGTTTGTCACAATTATCCCGTTTTCTCGGCAGCGACGCACAGCTAAAAAGCGCTCCTTGATCTACATATATATATATATATTAGGCAGATGTTGTTTCGAATAGGTTGCGTGTGGGTGTGCCGAACGAAAAGAGCGGGATGACGAGAGAAGATTTGAAATGCACCCTTTCCCCTACAATGCGATGGCACGAACCTCTACAAGGAGCACGGCTCAAGCCCTGCAGATTTCGCTCAGACAGCAGAATACTCTCGAGAAGACAACAGCAACAACCGCAGGAAAAAGGAAAACATTGCGCCTTAGCATTCAAGCGACACCGCACGCGTTGTCCCGATAGCTGATCAAGAGGCCTGACACGAGTGACTCCAGCAGGTCTGCTGCCTCGCCCACGCGCCTAAACGGCGACGGGAAAAAACAATGGAGGTGAAATACATATGTCGTTTGCATTCTTCTTTTCGGATAGAAATCATTAATAAAAGGACGAAACATAACAGACGTATCTGAAAGAGGTCACCACCTCGAAGTCGCACTGGCGCGGACGCCTGCGCACGATTCGCCCACCGAGAGACCTACAGCCCGCAGACGGTGGTGTGTAGCCGAGAAGCGAAGAGGCGGTAACAAACAACGAAAAGAAGAAGAGCGAGACGACGCACGTGAACGAGCACGTGAGTGAGACCCACCCTTTTCCCGTCGGTTGAGCCGCTTACTCCTCCGGATGCCACGCACCCTTGACGGCCTTACCACCGCGAATACGGCCAGTACGGCGGGCAGCAATGAGACCGACCTTCTGGCCCGGCGGGGCGTGGCGGGACACCGTCGACGGGTGGCCAATGTGCTGATGGTTACCACCACCGTGCGGGTGCTCCACGGGGTTGCGGGCAACACCACGCACCTTGGGCCAGCAGTTGCGCTTGCCGCGGAAGCGGTAGAACGAGTTACCGGCCTTCAGCACGGGCTTCTCGATACGGCCACCACCGCTGATGATGCCGATCATGGCGCGGCTGGTGCTCGGCACCGACTTCTTCTGGCCGCTCGGCAGCTTCAGGCGGGTGCGGCCCGTCTCGTGGTTGTGCGAGATGATGATGCAGTAGTCGCCGGACGCGCGGGCCAGCGTGCCACGGTCGCCGGGCTTCGCCTCCACGTTGCACACGATGCAGCCCTCCGTGATCTGGCCAAGGGGCAGCACGTTGCCGATCGCGAGCGGGGCCTTCTGGCCGCAGAACACCGACTGGCCGGTGAACATGCCCTCCGGCGCCACCATCAGCTCCTTGACGCGGCGGAACTTGTACGGGTGGCGGAACTCCACGCGGGCGAGGGCGGCACCGCGGCCGGCCTCGTGCACGATCGCCTTCACCACACCGCGCATGAAACCGTGGCGCTCGGCGTAGTCGAGAATGCGCAGCTTGGCGGGGCCAAGGCGCCTGTGGCCGTGCACTTGGTACACGGAGCCCACACCGCGACGGCAGGTCAGCACAGTCTTACCCATGATTCTTGCAGAGGTGTGTAACACACTGAGAACAAAACGGTTGCATTTACGGTAAAGTAGATTATATATATGTGTGTGTGTGTGCAAGGATGGAGTGTGTAAAACACACGTATTGAAACAAGTTGAAAGGCATTTAAATCAGCAAAGTAAAGTACAAAAGAGAACGGCAAATATGAAGAAGAGAGGGAAAGAGAGGAGACAATATCTTTTAAAAAAGCACCGGGAAGTCATGATTTCCCATTCTCTCCACAACCAGAAAAAAGAGGAAAGTTCATTAGTTCTATCGATCAAGGTCTCTACTTTGGAGAACGAAACCCGTTTTTGCGTTCTTTTTCCTTTTGGCCTGAATAAACACCGGTCGAACGGACTGATATGGCGTAGTTCCAATTCAGCAGACGTTCCGCAGCACCCATCTTGTACTATCGTCATCATTGACATAGCGACAAGGCTTCGTTTGTCCTTTCGTTACCAACAGCAAATCAAACGAAGAAAGAGGGAAAAAAAAATAGAAGAAAGAGACGCACATGCTCTCTCCGTCTTGAGGAGATGATATTCTTCTTTTTCCCTCACTGACAGAAAACACTACACATCATACCGCGGTTTCGACGGGTAAAGAAAGAAAAAGCAGAGCAATCTGTGCTCATTGCGGCGTAGCGCGCGCCAATTTTTATCAGCGCGCCTTACCGAATACCAAAGCAAAACAAAACAGAAAAAGAAACCACCGTAATGGAGAAGAAGAGTGAAATACACGCAAACAAGCGATGTGCACATGGGGTCAAAAAAAAAAGAATACTTTTATGCAGGTATGAAGAAAGATCCTTGTGGAGTGTCTCTTTGCTTTCGCCGCTAAACTACTGCCGTGCCCTACACATCACTCAAACTGAGAAAATATGATACTGCTGCGTGGAAGCCAACGCTGTTTCTACATCGAAGAAGAAAGGAAAGGGGAAATGCGAAGGGGGAACCTCTTTACGCAGGGTACATTGGCGCCTCCTCTGAGAATCTTCGCAGGGGATTGAGGGCGAGTGGTGGGGCGGCATCGTCCTGTATGAAATCTGCTTCCTTCTCCGCCTTCTCCCCGCTTTGGCTCGTCCCGCTTTCGGACTCGCCAGCCGCGGCCGCAGGGGCAGGCCCCTCCTTTGCCTTGTGGCTCACGCTTATCAACGGGAACGCCACCAGAGTGTTCACCGCGGCCAGCTCCTTTAAGAACACATCGAAGTCTTCCGAAGTGTGCAGGTAGAAGCCCAGCACCATGCACGGATCGAAGTGGCGGGTGGCCAGGTTGCCTCGTGCGCCAGTGAGAGCGCCGGCGGACTTCTCAGACGTGTAGGCGGTTTGGACGTAGTGGGGGTCCAGGAAAAAGACGCTCTTGCCCTGGTGGCCAAACATGTAGAACGAAGCTGCCTTGTAGCCGCCAGCGATACCGCAAGACGACTTCATGTCAAAAAACTTCAGCATCATGGATTGATACTTCTCCAGAATCGGCGCGATACCCAACACGACAGGAATCAGTAGAAAGACGTGCTCGCCTTCGTTCAGCTGCTGCCGAATCGCCGGTGCATCCACGTTGCGGTCGGCGCAGCAAACGGTGAAAGGGACATCGCCGCCTGCGTCGTGGTAGGCGACGAGCGCCGCCCCAAGCGCCATCGCAGCCTCCGTCGGGGACAGCATGCTGGCATACTTCACACTGTTCTCGTGCGCCATCTCCTCTGCCTTGTGGATCCCAAGCGGGGCAGAAGGGAGGTCCATGAAGAGCTGTGACAGCTTCTTCTTGAGCGCCGCATTGCCTTCTTCCGGCAGCGCCACAGCACCGTTGCAGTGGTACCGCAGCAAAGCCGTTCCGCAGAGCATCTGAGTGGTGCGAATGAGACACCCCCAGCGCGAGTCCGTTGTGGAGCCGTTTGGCAGCTTGGGGAAGCAGTTGCGGTAGGAAAAGAAAAGCAGCTTCTTTCTTCCTGCGTTGACGTAGGCGTTCATGTCTGGGCCGTTGTAGTGGCCGGAGCCGACGACGACGACCTCATTCACATCCTTCAGTTTCTTGTTGGGTGTGCGGAATATCTTGCCTGGGTTGAACCAGAACTTGAAGAGACTTCCCGAGTCGACGCACGGGGTGTTTTCGACCACCTTATCACTTGAACTCATTAGTAAAGTTTTTCGTGTGTGTCTGTGTCTGTGTCTGTGTCTGAAATGATAGCGCTCGCCACCAGCTCGTTGCTCCCGAGAATGGATACGGCAAGTACGTGAAAAGGGGGGAGGAAAAAACTTGAATAATGTTAGCAAAAATAAACTGAAAAAGGCAACGGGAAAAAAAAAGGATGTACGCGCTCGAGCACTTGATAAGAAATAAGAAAAAGAAAACTGAAGCAACACCAGTCAGCGTGGCAGACGTGTGAAGAATACTAACAGTGGAAATAATACTGGAGAGTGTTGCAGGCAATCAACGGCGAAAACGCAATGGAGGTGAAGAAATTCCAAGAAGAAAACAGCAAGAAATAAGAGGAAAACCAGAAAGAGCGGGGGAGCAGAACGAATGGAGTTTTGTAGTTGTTCTTTTCTTTTAGATGCGCGAAGCTCACGTAAGGCAGCTCAGCGCGCATGAGTTCAAACTGTGCAACGTTACTAATCATAATAATCGTGTGAAGTGTGATACCATGCTTCATTTTGCTTCGTCGCAGAGACCGATAGAGAGAGGGAGAGAGCAGCGCAGTTAGACAGGCGCCTGCATGAAAGCCCCTGTACTTCGTCTTTCAGGCCCTAAAGGTGAAACGAAAGCATGAAACGCACCCGCACGAAAACAAACTACGTGCGTGCATTTCTCGTTTCCCATTGAGAATTATTGCGATCAGCGCTTACTCGACAAGGAGATGAAGAAGATAGAAAAAAAGAAAGAGAAAAACGCAGTCAGTATTATTATGTTCAAAAAAAGCTGTTACACGTGAGTGAAACTTAGAATCCTAAGCCTTCGACAGCTTATGAAAGCGGTAACGCGAGCTTAGAGCTCTACTCGCGCAAGCGTGACGCCTCCCATGTGATCGCCAAACACGTAACTGTGCTCACCCAGGCGATCGCCACAGTTCACGGTGGCCAATTGGCAGCCAGGCACCTCACGGTGAGAAAAGGCGGTCACCACCTCTGGTAAGTCTCCCTCCTCCTCCTCTTCGTCCTCCGCAGCGAGGAAGCCGCCAACGTTCCAGCCGGTCACCTCGCCGCAGAGGGAGGTGGTGATCAACACATCGGGAGAGAGCCAGTCCACGTAGCACAGCCCGTTCACCGCGTGCCCGGGTGCCTCGAACAACGCCTCTGGTCCGTCGCGCCGCACGTGGTAGACGGTGTAGGTGCTGTCCGCCCTCCCCACTGCCAATGCAGAGCGACACACCGCCGTACAATTTACCAGCGGCGGGTTCACCACCTGCGCCGTCTGGTGCTTCTGCGGCGCCTCCATAACAGAGAACGGAACGCGCTCGATTGTGCGAGTAGTATTGTTGGGGATGTGGTCCTTGTCCTCCGTGCCGGCGTAGAGTGCTCCGCTGCCATCCATGCCGACCGCGAGGAGCACGCGAGAAGAAACTTCGGTGCTCCCGCCACCACCACTGCTAACATCAATGCAGTGGAGGCCACTGCAGTAGTTACTCAGGTGTCCCAACACGTCCTCACCTGTGGGCAGCGCGCACGGTCTCCCCAGCACGTACGCCTCCATGACATCCGTCCTCGTACCATCAGCAAGATTGAAAGGGAACATGCCACCGTCCTCGTCCACAAGGAGTGTCGTCGCCGCGTCCGACGGCGGCGGCGTCTTGAGAAAAGCCACGCACTCCTTCGGGTGCACGTACTCGGCGACCACAGAAACCGACTTGCGTGTGTCGAAGAGCTGGACCGCGTTGCCGCACAGCGCCACGGCCGCGTGGCGGTCTTGAAAGTAACACAACTCCGACGCCTCGGTCCTGGCTGCTGCATTGGGGTTGTCGACGGACAGATAGTTCCGGCGCCGCAGCCGCAGATCCCACAGGGTGAGAGTGCCGTGCGCGGAGAGCGTCGCAAAGGACGTGTGCGAGGACGAACTGCACGCGACAGACACCACGCCGGCGGCCTCGCGTCCAACAAACTCCATGTTTGCACTGCGTAAAAAAAGAAAAAAAGGGTCTCCACAGAGGAGTGTATTTCCACGATGAAGCTCCAGTGGAAAGCGCCACAAACGTTTCCGCCGCTCTGCTTCGTATTCAACAATTAAAAAGAAGTCGAGATAATATGAGAAAAACAAAGACACGGAGGAAGGGTAGAGGAGACGACAGCAATCGGGTAGAGGAGCACATTGAGGCGACAGCGTAAGACGTGAATTGGCACAGGCAGAACGTTTCTCACTCAGCATATGAAATAGCGAGCCGATCGGATCTCGTTCAATCAATAAGAAAGAAAGAGGTGTATGAGCTGAATTCGATAGTTTGTGCCACCTCTTTGCTGCGCCTTTCATCACACATCATCTTTTCCACGTAAATCCTGAAAAATATTCGCAGTGCATAAGGACGCGCAGGCCGATGCGGCTTTTTTGTTGGCCACGACACACAGCTAGGCTCCAGGCGCCGCACATAACAATGGTGAAAACCGCTCTTGAATTCGCTCTTGTTTGATACTGTTCCTAAAAGAGTAGAAAAACATCCAGAAAGAAACGGCAACCTGACTTGAGTTGTTCGGCCGGTGGAAGCCACTCGTGGATTGGCACAGAACACATTTTCATTGTGTCAGGGGGAGCTTGTGCGACGTCGATTTGCGCTTCACGGCCCTGCAGAAAAGAAATAGAGTTCCAGCAGCCAAAGGAGAGGACGTTCGGAAACTCCGACGCCTGTCGCCGCACCCTCCGTGCTTCAACAAAACGCCAGACACGTTGCATCCTTGTTGATACAGAGGACACACAAAACAACTCAAATGTACCGATAAGAAAGAGGAGAAGCGCCGACTGTCCTTTAAAAAAAAGAAAGAAGGGAGTGAAATGAGGCGTCAACTACCATTTCAAAATCCGCTTGCTTTCCCCTTTTCGAAGGAGCTGCGGCACTCGCATCAACGCACACACACACACACACACACAAACACCAACAAACAACAGTAATAGTAGTAATAGGAGACAATGAAGATGGGAGAAGAAACAAAGAGAAGAAACTCTCTATTGTCATCGTAAAGGAAAAGAGAACAAGCGACAAGGAAAAAACCTAGGCTGCGGTGCTCACAAATCGATGACTCCTCGCTCTCGCTCTCCCTCTTGCTTCGACTAGGCTTTCTCAACGACGCGTCGCTTCGCTCTCTACACGTGCAACCCCGAACTATGGCAAAGGCGAGCCCCGCACAGAGAACGAGCACGTTCTTTGGCTGTTGTTGCTGTTGCTGCGGAAGACGTAAGTCGCTTCGCCGTCGGACAACCCTTTGAAAAAATAAAAGGAAAGAAGGAAAGACAGATGAAAGGGAAGGAGAATGTTTTCTTGGCAGGTCGGGGAGACTATTCAAGGAGAAAACCGCACAGGTCAGAACGGGGAGAAAGAAAACAAATGGGCAAGCCCGAACAACCAAAAATACATTTATATCCATGTGTCCAGCAAAGGACGAAGAAGAAAGACGTTGTGCACAACTCAAACCTCAAGAAGGCTCCGTGCAATGCTGTACGAGACCAAAGAGCAACAACAAGGAGGAAATAAACAAAAAAGAAGACGATGATAACTATATATTGGCGAGTTCAGGGAAAGAGAGAACAGGTGGTTGGCAGAAATAAAGAGCAACCACAAACAAAAACAGCTAACGATAAAAGACAAGTGAAGGAAATAGTGTGGAGAGGAGCCGAGAAAACAGAGGAGAAAAGTACAAGTGTCGTACACAGCGTCCAGAAACAGATAAAAATTGCTCGTTGATGTTCCGGTAAAACAAACGGCGGTGTGTGTAGTGGAGTAATAGCCTATACAGTTTTAGAGTGGAAAACGCGCTCTCTGTGCGATGAGCAGCAACAACAAAGAAAAAGGCCGCACAGCACGACGGCAACGCTGAAAACAAATAGGAGCAAACAGCCACAACTGTGGGCCCGATCTAAAGAACTCAACGGAAGTACGCGTTTTACCTCCTCGCTCCATAGCAGTGATCTCAGCGTCTACGCAAATTGTTATTTACTTGCACGTGACGAAACTCAACGCTGAGAGAGGGGAGCGAGGGAACGCGTGAGTTCATAGAAGGATCACGCGGCGCACGTCGCATGAACAACCCCCGGCTGGATTTACTTCACTTTGAACAGCATCTTGGCGGCGCCGTCGACATCACCGTTGCACTGGCGCAGCGCCATCTTCGCGTCCTGCTTTGCGGCACCGAGGGCGATCAGCTGCTGCGTGCTCGCATCCGTCGTGTTGAACTGCTTGTGCTTGCCGGCGTTGTTGCGCATCTTGCGGCTGTCCACGCCGTAAATGAGGCGGGCCGCCGTGCGCTGCACGTCGCCGTTGTAATGAGCCAAGACGACACGGCAGTCGGACTCCTTGAAGCCCATGCTCGTGAGGGCGTGCACCTTGGCGTCGAAGTCGTCCTGGTGGCGGATCGCCTCTGCCGTCATCACATCCTCGGTGGCGGCGTCCTCGCCTCGGGTGCCGAGGGCGTCGCCGAGGCGCTGGTACTTCACCCGCCGTGTTTGCTGGTCCATCAGCTTCTTCGTAATGGCGACCACCTCCACCTCATTCGCGCCGAGGCTCTTCAGCTCGTCTGGCTGCAGCTTCGACAGCGCCGACACGGTCTTGATGTCGGCCGAGATGAGACTGCTGATGACGGAAGGGCGCACCTTGGCAGAGGTGACCACGTCAATGAAGCCGGACGGAGCCTGCTTGTCCACCCGGTCCGCCTGGATGGCGAGGACGCCGCGCAGCGCCTCCTCGTGCGAGTCTGCCTCCACCGCTGCGTCCATCAGGGTGTCCATGTCCACGTCCGGGAACACGTTCGAGAGGTCCTCGACCCACCGCATCTTCTTCGCCGGCACCCCGTTGGCCGCCGCGGCCGCCTTCGCCTCCCGTGCCTCGCGCAGCTTGCGGAGCTCCTCCAGCCGCTTCATCTCCTCAATACGCTTCCGCTCGCGGAACTCGGCAATCCAGCGCTGCAGGTACGGCTTGCAGCGGCACAGCAGCTGAGCGCGGCGGCGCAGCACCAAACGCTCCAGCGCCGACCACACCTCGGCGCGCAGGAACACCTTCGTCTTGCCCACGGCGAAGTTCGGCTCGTTCCACTTGTACAGCCGCTGGTACCTCTGCAAGAAGTCCTTGCAGGCGTCGGCGTAGCGCTCCTGCTTCGAGAGAGAGACGGTAGTGCGGGGCATGATGAGGTAGAAGTACTTGCAGAACTGCTCGAGAGGGCGGCGCACGGGGTAGCCCTGGCGCTTCAGCGCGATCGTCTGCAAGACACCAGCGGACTCGAGCTGCGCACCGACGAGGCCGTTGCTCAAGTACTCGGGGCTGGCGTCCATGTTCGGCTTGATGCAGCGAATAAACTGCGTCTCGGTCGACTCCAACTCGGCGCGAAGGTCCTTCAGCTGGTTCTGGAAGCGGATGGCCACCGTCTGCTTGCGGCGCGCCAGACTCTTCACCGTCGACAGCAGTGTCTGCACAAAATCCTCCGTGGAGCCTTTCACACACTCGTACATTTCCTCCTTGAGGGCGTCGGTGTTCTTCTCAAGCCACTCGTCGGCGTTGTAATTCACGAAGGAGGCGTAGTGGTTGATGCCGAACTGGTTCGGAATTGTGCTCTTCGGCTTCACGAAGTACGCGTTCCTGCCGTCCCAATACTCCCACAGGTTCGTCGTGAAGCGCTCGGTGTTGCCGCCCTTGAAGTTGCACTCCTCGTCGAGCATCGAGAAGATGCCGTAGGTCTTCTCGTCGAACATGTTCACGCACTCGGAGTTGTCGGGGAACTCGATCTTAGGGACCTGAATGCCCTCGCGCTTGCATTCCTCCTCGTCATTGATGAAGGTGTACTTGTTGTAGTGGTTCTGCAGCGACTCGTTGGCGTAGTTGATGCAGATCTGCTCGAAGCTGTTGCGGGTGAAGTTCTCAAAACCAAAGATATCGAGCAGGCCGATGTACTTGCAACCGGTGCAGTCCACCTGAGGTTGGATGGCGGTGTTCACAAACTCCACAAGGCGGTCGAACATGCCCACGTAGATGCCCTTGCAGAAGGCGTTGCGCAGACCCTCCGCCTCCGTCTTGGAGGCCAGGATGGTGACCAGCGACGTCTTGCTCTTCACCAGGAAGCACACCTGCAGCTTCTCCTCGTTCAGGCCGAGCAGCGCGCAGCCCGTCTTGAAGGGCGTGTCGGTGGCGATTTGCGCCTTGTCGTTGTTATCCGCCGTGAACTCCACTTCCATAAGGTGCAGAATCGCGGCCAGCACGCGGAACATGCACTTCTGCGTCTTGGGCGGCACCCCCAGCTGATTCAAGGCGTGGCGCACCGTTTGGAACTCATGGGCATCGTTGAGGGGCCTGCCATCGACGCCGCGGCGAATGAAGGTGTTGCCGCCGTTGAGGCAGCGGTAGTCCTGCGCCGTCTTGAGGCCGCCCAGCTCCTCCTTTTCCTGTGCCGTCAGACCCGCCAGCATCTCGTAGAAGATGTGGTAGTTGCGCTCCCCGGCCGACTGCATGATGATGCGGCTCTTCTCCAGCAGGTAGGTGACGGTCTGGCCACCCACCAGCACCCCGGAGTTGGGGTCGAAGTAGAGCTTGATGTACTTGCCGAAGCGGGACGAGTTATCGTTGCGCACGGTGCGCGCGTTACCGAAGGACTCCATCACGGGGTTGCTCAGCGTGAGGTTTTCGTCGATCTTGTCCGCGATGGCGCGCTGCGACGTGTCCTTGCTGTGCATGTAGCTCAGCTGACCGAGGTACGCGATGAGCATCTTCGCGTTCTCGGTTTTGCCAGAACCGGACTCGCCGGAGATGACGACGGACTGGTTGCCCTGGCCTTGCACAAAGACGGCGTTGAAGGATTTGTGGGCCACCTGCCAGATGTGCGGTGGCAGAAGCCGCGGGTCGGGGAGGGCGAGGTATTTCTTGCGCTCTTGCTCGCTGTTGAACGGCATGAGCTGAAACGGGTTGACGGAGAGCACCATCTCACCCATCAACGAGTACTGCTTGTGGAGCTGCTCGAAGCGATCCTTGATGCAGTAGAGCAAGGTGGCGACGTGCAGGTCGCTGACATGGAAGAGTTCCGCATCGTTGGCGTCGTAGCTCTCCGAGATGTAGCCGTGGACATGGTCGTGGTCGTGCGGGACGGTTACGTTGGCGTGTGATTCGTTATCCTCCACAGTGACCTTCGTCCCCTCCACCGCCTTCACGACGCCGCGCAGCCAACCATTCTTGGCGTCGAAGTAGTACACCTCCTGATTCACCGAGACACGCTCCGGCATTGTGTCGCGCAAAAGCAGAGATAAAAACGGTGGATATATATATATATATATATATATATGTAGATAGGAGGTGAAAGAAGAGAGATGAGCTAGGCCCGAAACGAAGGGCAAGGGAAAAGACGCGATGTGATGTGCTTGTGGGTTTTTTTCTTCTCTTTTGGCTTTCACTTGAGTTCGTGAGAAACCGATTGATCTACTTGTTATTGTTATGTGTGTGCGTGTGTGTGTATTTTTTTTTTTGATTGAATGAGGTCCAACGCGGTATTTCCGTCTGTGTCCGCTTTGTTGGGGTGCTTTGCGGTAGAGAGAGAGAGAGTGAAAAGAAGAAGAGAGAAAAAAAAGAAGGCGGTCACAAGGGGTTCAGCGATACCACTTGCTCCACGACCAGGGCACCGACAGGGTTGGCCAACCGGCAAAGAAACAAAAAGAGAAAACCACAATAAACACGTCCGGTGCAACTTACTGGGCGGGGAAAGAAGAGTTAAGTCAGGAGGGGAAAAACGACGTTTGGGGAGGCGCAAAAAACAATAGGTAATATAAAAAGGCAAGAACGCAGCGTCAAAGGTGTGGGTGCTCGAATGGGTGTGGGGAGGCGGGTTTTACCTGCGAACAGCGCTCTCGAATGGCCGAATGGGATCGGGAAAAAAGAAAACGAATAATAGTAAAATTGGGCAAGTGAACACGTAAGCTCAAACGGGGCAAGAGACTGACGAAAACGTTGACGAGCATGAGAGATCGGAGGAAAAGGAAAACAAAGAACGTGAGAAGACGTGAGAAGACGTGAGAGAGAAACACACCGATGAAAGCCACGCGGCTGAGGTAAGCATGACACAACATGTTCTCATCGGATTCTTGCCGACTTAGATGTTACGTGCCGTAATTCACTGTTAGTATTGTTTTCCCTTTCCGTTGCTGTAAGCGATCGTGTTGGTAAAACAGGCGCAGCAATGTGAACCAAGCAGCAGCAGCAGCAGCACACACACACACACACACACACATGCGAAGAACAGGAAAACAGTAAACTCCTGAGCAGGCGTGACTCTCCCTTCCGGATTTCTTTTTCCGATGGGCCAAAAAACTTCGTTTTACGAGGGTTAGTACGTTCTGACAGCAAATATTAATGGTCACAGAAAAGGGAAGAGAAAGATCGACGGGCGGCAGTCAAACAGCTAAATAGAAAAAAAAAACTCAATAAAGAAAGAAATTACAAAAAAAAGTCAGCAAAAAAATAAAAGGCCAGCAACCACAACTTCCTTTCGCAACAAAGTAACAGCTTCTCACGGCTGCGTCTCACAGCATTGCAACTTCGTTTATTATTATTATTTTCGACGTTCCGTACAACTAATACACGAAGGGTTTCTTTTGTCTGTACAGACTGCGTTTCATGCTTTGAGCGCGTCCTACGCTTTTAGGTGTATGATATATATATAGTTTTTTCCATTTTATCCCCTCGATGCACTAGCTGTTTCGTGATGTGCCACTACCCCGTTGTGTGGAAAAATAGTACATCTATACAGAGAGATAGAGAAAGACACGCATAATTGTGCCATTGTTGATGAACTTATGTAACTGAACACATTCTTTGCTTGAATGTATGCGTGTGTGTCGCAGATGTGGTGCACGGGACAACGGTAGTTAGCGCCTGTCCATGACATCGTACTACCCGTCGAAGCCGCGTTCGGTGTTGGACGCAGGTCGATCGCACCATCAAAGGCATTTTCGATGCCCCACAAGTCATCGTTGACAAGCAAATCAAAGAAAAAATGTAGGAAGAAAGAGAATGAAACCAAACAGAATTCAAACCTTCATCGCGTACGTGGTGGTGGTGGTGGTGGTGGGACACACCCATCTGCAGCTGTCACTGCCTGAGCACAGCACACGCTAACGTACCTCCTGTTCTTTCTTTTTCTCCTTTTTTTTTTGAAGATGAGAACTTACCAGGACGCACAACGAGAAAACCACACCTTTCGTGTACGTGTTGCTCTCAATAATAATGTCGAGCCCCCGCTCAGCTATACTCCTGGTCCTTCATTCATCTGTTCGTTTTATCGCCTCACAAAAGCCCCCCGCTCCCTCTCCCTCATATTCATTCGGCGCGCTGCGGAACGCTTCGTGCTTGAGAACGCGAAGGAGAAGGGGAAGGCACGATGTGACTTTGATGAGATTGCAGTCCCCGCAAGCGAGCAGGCATGAAAAACACGCCACCATCACTTCTATGCGGCAGACCGGCAGGCAGGGCGCCTTACACGTGCGCGCAAAACGCGACAAAACAGGAATAGCAGAAAGAAAACTAACAAAAGAAACGGAGATCTCTCTGAAAAGGAAGAAGTATACGTTCGTTTAACGCCTTAGCGAACGGATGTACTTCACATGATGGGCGTCCGAGTCCTGGTCCTTTTGCGCCTTTTCCTTCATGATGGACACCCACAGGGGAAGCTGCACCGCTTCTTGCTTGTAGGCAAGCTTGTCTTTGGTGCGCACAAGGCGAGTGGCAATGGGCGAGCCAACCGGTAGCTCCATCGCAGACTTGCGTGCGGTGGCAATCGCGCTGGGCGTGAGCAACGGAACCGGCACGCTGAGCGCCCGGCGCTCCGCACCTACCATGGACGCCGTCACGGGCGGCATTTGCTGCTGCGCATGGAAGGCCTCTTCTTCGTTCCGCAGCGCGAGATCCTCACTGAGGGCGGTGAGTTCGTCGTGCAGACGCTGTTGGAAGACCTCCTGTGCCGCCGCATCGAGGGCGCCCTCCGCCTCCGCAAGCTCGTCGCCGACGACGAACATAAAAGGCACGATGGCATACAGCGTCTGTGCCACCGCTGCTGGGGAAGAATGGGCAGTGGAACGTGGGAAGCGGGGGTGGTGTTGCGGCGAAGTCCCGCGACCGCCACGGCGCGGTGCAGCCGCCCGCGACATCTTTGCCCGCACCACCCGCTGCGCGCCGCTGAACTTGAGCACCGCGCACGGCCCACGCGCGGCCTCGCAGTTCACCGGCGGGTTGATCACCGTCACAAGGGTGTAGGGTGTGTCGGGGTCGATGGGTGCAGCCGTCACGTGCGCAGCGGACGGCAGCTCTACCCCAGGAAGGTGGCGGAGCTGCGCCTCCAGCTTCACCAAGTCGTGGGGTTGGCGCACCTGGCGCTCGGGGGCAATGACAAAGACGTACTTGCCCTCCACCATGGCTCGCATGGGTTCAAGGGCTGCAATAGGGACGGAGAGGAGGATCGTCTGGGGCACGCAGTCGTGCGTGGCGTGGTCCGCCTCGCCCGCCTCCACACGGCGCCGCTTCAATGCGTGTGGCGTAGACGCCGTGTCGGCGGCACTTCCTGCGGCAGATTGTCCGTTGTGATCGCCCTTGTCAACGCTTTCGTCGCTGCGCTCCGTCACCGTATAGAGAGTGCACTCGGCCATCACATTCTTTGGGAAGAGGGGGTCGAGACTCACCACACGGACCACCTTGTCCGTCAACACCTCCGCTCCGTCCACCTCATCGCACGGCACAGGCTGGGCGAGATAAAAGGTGCCGTTGAGCATTGTCTTGGCAGCAGCAAACTCAGCGCCGTCCGTGGTGGCGGCATCTGCGCTTTCGCCACCACTGCTGCTGCCGCTGTTGCCTCCATGTCCCTGGAACGTCAGCATCAGCGGAGCGGCGCTGGTGATGTTACTCGTGAGAGCCTGAATCATGCGCAGGCCCCCGTCCGTTACGAGGACGTGCTTGCCGCTTGGCAAACAGACCAGGTTGCGCACCTCGCTGCGGTCCATTACATCCACATGGTTGCTCACGAAGGTGCCGTACGCGCCGTCCATCTCTTGGAAGAAGTTCGGGGCTGATAGGTCCGCAAACTCAATACCGGGGAAATCGTCTTCCGCAAAGAGAGGCGGCACACACTTGGTGGCATCGATGATCTCCACTCGCGTGCCCGGCCGAAACAACCCTTGCGCCGCAGCCTTCCGCTGGTAATGCAGTGACTGCTGAAGCGTCGCTTTCATCTTCTTCTTCTGCGCCTCGGCACCCGTCAGCAGCTCGCCGAGCAGCTTCGCCCGCAGCTGGCGCTCGCGACGCTTGCACGCACCGCAGATCATCGTCTTGTGCTCCAACGTGTGCCCCTGCTCTTGCGCCTCAAAGCACCTCACGGTGAGGGGGCCCAGGCAACGCGCGCACTCCGTCTCGTACTCCACGGCGCACGGCAGCGCTGCATCGCTGCAGACACCCTTGAACACGTGCTGCACGACGGTGTAGATGGGCTCAAGTGTCTCCTTGTTTATGCCCAGCAGCTTCTCGTGGGAGCAGGTGAGGGGTTGCTCGATCACCTCGAAGCAGTTGCACGGCTGGCCGCACTTCAGCAGGCACTTGTGTCCGCACGGGAGCGTCTTTCCACAGGCGTAGGGACAAGAGACATGGCCCTCGCCGGGGTGGCAGCTGCGGGTGCAAATGTGATCTTGACGGTGGCACAAATAGGGACTCAGACACAGATGTTTGCAGCACGGCTCGATGCGGACATGACCGTACTCCAGCTGACGCTGGTTGGGGTGACGGCTGCAGCAGAGTGGGATCGCAGGACCAACGAGCGAAGGAAAACACGCACCGGCGGCATGCATCGCCGCCTCTGTTGCTACAGACTCATCAAAGGAGATGGGAGGCTGCTCCCCCTGCAGCTTTGCCACAAAGGTTTTGTACCACTTTGCTTGCAGCTGCGGGGCCATCCAGCCGGCGTCGGCGCACAGCACAAACGCGTCCGTCGCGGCCCCCATCGCTTCGGAGATGAATTTCTCCTCACTAACCGGCATGGGCTGTGCTGATGCGTTCAAGTTTCGCGGCAGAGCATCGACCAGATACAGGACAGCTCGGTATTGATACTTGGTGTTGTCCCGCTTGTTCAGCGCAGCGAGCTCGTGGTGGGCCAAGATGACAGGACACTCCTTCACGTGCACCTCACTACTTTGCACCTCAAACTCATGCTTGAACATTGCCTTCCAGGCAAGAGGCACGAGAACCGCAACGCGCGCCATCTCCGCCCCGTGGCGGTGCATCCAGTGAAGGAGGTGAACTACTTTGCGCATCTCTTTCGGGGCCCCGGCGTCTTTGGTGAGTTGCTGATGCGTCCACAGCCAAAGCGGGGACTGCAAGCCCATGGCGTAAGCGAACTTGCGAGCCTCTGCGGCGGTCTTGCCGTAGAAGGCACGGGTGATGAAGTCTTCCGCCTGTGAAGCCAAGGACGGGATGCCGTCGTAGAGACTGGCGCTGCTGTGTGCGGACATGATGACGATCAGACACGTAAACAAGAGTAAGTGCAAAGAAAGGAAGAAAAGAACAGAAGGCGAGAACAGAAGGGGTGAATACGAGAGGGGTGGGGGAAGCACTGGACAACGAAGAAATGAAGAAGAGCGGTACCTTCTGCAGTACTGTTCACTTTTAATTCTAATCTTTATCAAAAAAAAAAAGTGGGGCCACACTTTGGGCGAATGAGATGAGGCAGGGGATGGTGAGAGACAGAGCGAGAGAGTAGGCAGAGAGAGGCGAAGGGATGGAACGATGGAGTTGTTGCACTGAGAAAAGCACTTCCTCCCTTTAATTCACAAATGCTTGGTTGGAGCGCATCACCGCAAACAAAAAGAATTGATCGAGGAGGAAGAGACGGGGGCGGGGGGAGAAGAAGTAGGCGGGTAAGGAAACCAAACCGTGCGCGCTGCTCTACGATAAAAAGATATCGTTGTCGACGAGAGCTGAAGAATAAAAGCAACCTCTACGTCCCCGCAAAAAAGAGAAAGGCCAGTGCGCCGGTGGCAATACGATGCACGGCAGCGTTGCGGCTTTTCAAAAGACTCGAAAGGTGAGTCATGGAACGTCTGAGACCAAAGGTTGAAGCTCTCTTTTTTATTATTATTATTATGGTCACGGATTAAAAGCGACGAAAGAGCTAGCCTTGAAAAGCCCCATCGCATGTTTTCCACACCTCTTTTTGATTGGTCTGACACGTGCGTCAGATATACTTATTGACTGCCGCCTCGACGCATCAGGCGCTATACAGACTCATCACCAAGTACAAAATAGCCGCGAACACCATGATCACCTGATACACAAGGCGGATGCGGCCATCCGTGCGAAAAACGCCAATTTCCTTCCAAATTGTCGTTGCGTCAATCAAGAGAGAGCGTCGCTGGACCACGTACAGGTCGTAGATGAGCTCGATGCTGCCGGCCAACAGCAGACACCACGAGCGGGAAAGAAGGCACTGCAGGCACGCAAACGACCGCACCGCGACCCCGGCCACAATTAAGGGGTTGATGGTATGCTCCAACTCCAGCGAGTTGTTCATTCGATCGACGTACTCCTCGAGGAGGGCGAGATGCATGAGGCACAGGCCCATCGCGCCCACCTGCAGCACAAATGCGAGCACCCACGACGCGATGACGCTCATGAAGTGGCCACACACAACCAGCGCGAAGGCGGCGTGGAGGAGAACGAATAGAAAGGCTCGCTTACGCTCGGCACCGCTGGTGTGGTGACTACGATCGGTTATCAGCACCGGGATCCACTGGAACTGAAGCCGCATTGCCTCAAGCAGGCGCTTCGAGTTGGCCATCTGTGAAGAATACGTAAGAATGCAACGTGTAAGCTCAGCACCCGCTCAATCTTGCGGGGGCGACGATCAAGAAGGTCAAAGAGTGGTAAATTGGCTTTTCGAATCACAGCAGTTTCGTCACCGTGCGTTTACCGCCAAGCGAAACTACCAACAACGGCAGCGCAATGATTGCTTCGGCGCGTTTTCGGAAGCTTTTTACCCAGCTGAAGAATTTTTCCTCAAACAAACGAAAGGGATGGGTGAAAGATTGAAGAAAAAGATAGGATAAGCGAGGTGTATTAACAGAGTTTCCTGTTATCGACAGCGTAAATGGAAGGGATCTTTGAAGAAGAATGAAAACTGACCTCCGTATTATCATTTTATAAGTCGTACACTTTTAAATGGCAGCTTTCATGCAGGGGCAGCCCCGTTTTTTTTTTACAGACGCAAACGCCTCGTTTCCTTCCTGAAATTCAAATTGCTTAGCCACGTGGCACGAAACCATTGACCAGCAGCATTCATTCATTCCTTGACTCACCACTGCAGTTTTCCCCGCACCGTTCGCTCCCATTCCCTTTCAATCTAACTCTTTGTGGTGCATCAGCGTCATGCATAACGCTCTATATAATGCTTCATTCATGGAAAACAGACAGGATTATTTTTCATTTAAATAGGATAGGAATTGGAAGAAACGCCGCGGTATTTCTTCTTGTTTCTTGTCGGCTTCTCCGCCGCCATCCGGCAGAGATGATCTGGAAAAAAAAAGTGAGTTACTATTTACTCCGTCATAGTGGCAATGAGAGAGAGGGGAGAGAGGGGGGGGGGATGCAGCAAAGCGCATCGCCAGACGTCGCTTCTCCTTTCCTTGGGGAGTCAAAATGAGGATGCCCTTATTTTTTCCTCTTTTTTTTTGATAACGCCCTCCTCAACAATTCGTCGCCACCAACCCAATGACAAATGCACACACAAACACACACCTCTTTGGTCAGCGAGGAAAACAAAAGGAGTGTATGGAATGCATTACTTATCTCCATACCGGTTAATAATCGAGAAGACCATGACAATCATCAGCATAATGATGAGCACCACGTCCATCGCTATAAAGAAAAAGCCTTCCTTTTCGTATTGCGACACTTCGCGCCACAGGTTCACGGCGTCCACGTACAGCTTCCCCTTCTTTACCCGGTAGATGGTGAGGGCCAGCATGGCGGCATACGCGATGATGCACACATAGCTGCGCATCATAAGTGCCTGAAAGAGCTGGATACCACGAAGGGCAATGTATGCGTCTAACAACGGGTTGCACGCCCGCTCGCACTCCATGGAGCTCATACTCTTGTCACTGTAGTCGTTGATGTTGAAGGCGTAGATCATGATGAGAATCGTCATCACGACCTGGACAACAGTGGCCGCAATCCAGCCGCTGATAAAGTGGAAGAGGTTGCCGCAGAAAGCGATGCTGCCGAGAATGTAAACAAAGAGAAACATGTACGCCCGCTTGCGGTCCGTCGCGGAGTGCTGCGACGGGTTGCGCAGGGTGTGAATTACCTCCTTCTGGCTCTCGATGAAGCGCATGGTGCTCACTGGATGAAGGTGAAAGACACGTGTAAAGTAACACCAGAGAAACAAAAAAGTCCGTTTTCTGTAGCTGCTTTGTCAAATAGCTTCAGTTAAGAAGCTTGTGAGAAGAACGTGTGTGTTGGAGCGAGCCTCTGTTATTAAATGTGATGGTGCAATGTAGGAAGAGAAAAACAACACCAAATGATCTGATGGATGTAAACAAGAAATTAATGCATTAGAGTTTTCTTTTTTTTTTTAAGTAAGACGTGAAATTTTACGAGTTGCAAAGGAGGGGAAAGTAAGTGCGGAGAAGTGGTCGAGAAGAAGCCCTTTCTCTGCAGAGTGAAGAACGCAGGGGGTGTACGTCGCTTGCCAGTAGGTCTGGTAAACGGTCAAAAAGGCGACCCGTGAAACAGCTCTCCGCTCCATCAACGAGCCAGCACAGGAGCGTTTGTTTGACTTTTCACTCTTTCCTTGTTGCTCTCTCTCGCTCAAAAATAAAATTAAAAAAATGAAGCTGATGCTTGCTTTTAGTCAGTTTGTATGAGCTTTACAGCGGAAGGTTGAAAAGATTCCGGCCTTCCTTGTTCATTCCTTCTTCCCCTTTCGGTTTTTGGTGTTGAGGGTGGATGTTAGGAGGACGCACCGAGCACCTCCTTCGATGGAGCATCAGCAGATCGTTCATGAAATGCCCACCACGTAATGCTGCGCGCCGCCGTCGCCGCAACCTGAAATCGAGGGTTCACCGCCAGGGCAACCGACACGTCGCTGTCCTTCGACTGCAGCTCGTACAACAGACGCCCCTGCCGAGGTGCATCTACCGTGGCCGCTGCCGGTGCAGACGAGCCAACTCCCCCTTCGTACACGAGAAGGTGCCGCCCTCCATTCATGAAGGAAGTGGGCTGCAGAATGGGGGAGTCTGCATGACCCGGCAACGCAAACTGCGCGCCGATGGCGTCACCGGTGCCCACGAAGTGCCGCTTCGCGTCTCCGTGGAAGTAGTTTACCTGCACCTCCTCTCGCTTCCAGTCATACAGCACCACTTCACCATTGGAGGACGTCACAAGCATGTGGTCGCCATCCGCGCTGAACTCAACGCCTTTGCAGCGGGTTAACGGGGAATAGGCGGAGAAGAGGTGCTTGTTCTCCCTCTGCGTCACCGCCGCCGGACGAAACAAGTATCGACGGTCGAGCACGACGAGCCGGTGATCGTCGCCTACCGCGATGGAGTGGCCATCGTTGCTGAACTGCACACAGGTCTTCGGACCCACCACGGTGCGCTCGGCTGTCGCGGCGATGCAGCCGGAGATGAGGGGGTGGAAAAGCGCGAGGCGGCCTTTCGCTGACACTACGGCTCCGATCACGTCGGTCGCGGGGCACTGCGTCAGTGTGGAGTACACCGGCGCATTCGCCACGGCAGGGATCTCGGCCTCAGTGTCGTTCAGGTAGGCCATCTCTGCGAAGAACTGCGCCGTCTCCGTGTTGAGGAGGTGCAGATGGCCGTCGAGGTGAAAGCGCGGGGCTACGCAGACGACGGCGCTGGAGTGGGTGTAGCGCACACTGTGCACCCCGAAGGCGTCGCACACGACGGTGTCGGTGTGGTTGAGACTGCCCACGTCAATTAGTCGCAAAGCGTCGTCGGTGTGGGCGGAGGCGAAGTGCAGGCCGTTGAAGGAGAAGTCCATCGCCGTCGGCCGTGGCTCGTTGATGCCGGTGTAGAACATGGAAGCCACTTCGACCGGTGCACCGGCAGCCTGACTGACTCCATTGGAGGAGGAGGAGGGGGAGGAGGGCGAAACAATGGAAGTCATTCTAACAAAGAAGGGAGGAGTGTAGATCAAGTTCAAAAAGGTTATTTGTGCTGTGGAGAGTGTATGATTATTATTTCTATTTTAAAAGAACAGCCATGAGCAGGTGCAGGTTAATTATAAGAGAGTCTGTTGTTGGATTTTGGAGAGGGTGGCCGCTCTCGTCTGTGCTGCTGCCGCTTTGTGAGCCTCAATAAATAAACAAAAACGAAAGAAACGTGCGCGGCAACACAGAGGAAGGCACCGTTACAGTAAATACTAATTCAATGAAAGGCTGCACTTCGCAGCTAGCGCGGAGAGGAACGTCAGCAAAGGGGGGTATGGAGAAGCAGGGAAGAATCGTGTGTTTGTGCCGATGAGTGAGCCAGCTCGAACGCGGCAGTCTATGGAAGAAGTAGAAACGGAAGTAAAACACCAGGAACCAAAACTGCAGAGTACGCACCACTTACCTTCTTTTTTTTATTATTCTTCGTTGTTCGCCGGCGTTACATTGAGTGACTCTCCACGCATTTGGTGTCAAGCATGAGCGGTCACGAATGCACGGTGTGCCTGAAAAAAAAAGGAAGAAATGCTGTAGACATAATGTGTTTCTTTTGTTCGTTACAGCTTACGCTTTAGGGAACTTCTCACGAATTACTCGATGAGATGGAAGAGCATGAAACACAGCCAAAGACACACAGATACAGCCACAAAGAGGAACCCTCTAAGCATTTTTTTTCTTTATTGTCCACCCCCCTCTTGTCCCTCCTTCTGCCACAACACCTCCTCCTCGTCGTCTGTGAGCGGAAGGCCGAAGTAGAGCAGCGTGAGAGGATTCAGCGTCTTCTTCTCCGAGTCCAACATGGTATGCAGCGCGGAGACGCCGGGCCTGTGCGAGAGCGAGACGGTGATCGGCTCCGTGCGCGACACATGCTGGTGGATCTCAAGAGACACACGCATCAGCCGTTCGTCTGCATCCGGAGTGTTCATCCAGTAGGCGATGAGGGGATCCAAAAATATCGTCGAGAGAAGGTGCTTGTGCTCGGCGTGCGAGAGGATGGTGCGCACACGCAGAAGCGCGCGGACTGTGTATGCCTTGCCGAGCAGCAGGCGAGTCCCAACAATCGCCCAGACACGCTGCAGCAGCGCGCAGTGGCGGTAAAGCGGGTATATGAGGGCACGACGCGCAAAAGCGACACAGGCATCGTAGACGTTGTCCGCCGGGTCAAGGTACGACAGCGCGGGGCTCAGCTGCACAAGATTCCAGAGCGACTCGCTGCACCCCGCTCCCTCGGTGACCAAGTCGTCGTAGGCCTCGCTGAAGAGGACGTCCACCGTCAACGCCTCCACCTCTGACGGCGCGGGAGGGAAGAGTAGACGAGGCATTGCTAAGCGCTGCAGCACCGCGTTCTCGTCCGGTGTGAAGCGGAGCCCCGGTCGCACCTTTGGGATGGCAAGACGGGTGCGTTGTAGGGCAGCCCGCACCGCAGCTGACGGTTGAGACGGCGACAACAACGAAGACGGTGCATCCGCTGCGGCTTCTTTCGTGCGAAGATCAACACACGGCGCCTCACTCGATGCCGCGTCAATCTCCTCAATTAAAGGCTTTTTGAAGTCCGCGATGTTACCGTGCCACACCGTCACCGGCTTCCCATCCTCGCCGCCGCCGCCGCCCACCAGCGTGGCCTCATCCTCTTCTAGGGCATCGCTGAACCGTGAGGGCTGTGTGCCTGCTCCTGGGATGCTCACATACACAACGGGGGCCGCTGCCGCGGTGTTTGGAGAGGAACTGGTGCCCTGCAGGGCGTTGCGAAAGTCAGAGATGTGTGCCGGCACGTAGCGCAGCGCCTGCGCCACCTCCCCCTCTTCGTCCTCGAAGGCAATCAACAAGGCATCTTCGTCAAAATCATTCGTTTCATCCGCCACGCGAAGCAGGTGGCGCTCCTGGCGAGTCGTCTCCTCGGGGCTCGCGCGGAGGCTGACCACTTCCCGCACCACATCGCTGTCCAGCTTGCTGAAAAGACCACTGAAGGCGTTCGCAAAGCCATAGCCGCACTCCGCAGAACCTTCCTGCCCAAGCACGTCGAGAGTGTGCCGCTGCTGCTGCTGCTTCAGAGAAGATTCACTGCCGGCGTCCTGGAGAGACTGCACGTACTCCGTCTCCTCCACCTCTTCTCCCGCAATGTGCTCCGCAGCCGCGTCACCGTCGAGAACGCGAATGAGCTCCTTGCGCTGCTTCTCCGTTGCGATGAGATACGCCGGGTTGTCCAGCTTCGTGAACTCCTCGGATGGGTTTGCTTTCGGCAAGTGCACGATCAGCACGTTGCTTTCTAAATCATAGGCCGCCCGCTCGCCCCTGCCTTCTTGCAGACACTGGTCAAAGCGGAGGCGAAGATAGTATGGGGAGCAGTAGAAGGTAAATTGGTTGTCGTTGATGTCGAAGGCGGCGTCCATTACTTTGCAGATGGCCGACAGGAAAAGGCGCACCACAACGAAGCCATTTTCCTGGCTGCACTCAAACACCGGCGTGAGCATAAGGGATGAAAAGCCAACAGACAACAACAGCAAAAAAAAAAGGATGAAGTACGGAGTTTTCCCGTTGGCTCTTCACAGTTTCTGAGTCCCGGCGCGCGTGTGACGATGCAAGAGAAGAGGAAAAAAAAATACAGAAAACATGAGAAAGAGAGACAGAGAGAAAGAGAACATATACAAAGCAGTGAGCACACGTGCGTGGCGCTGCTCACCGCAGCAAGAAGTTGTTTCAGCATGCGTGTAGAGCGCTTCACTTCGAGTGCGAGAAATGCATCTTGGGGATTGTACTTCGTGACCAAGCCCCCGTCTGAACTCCCCTTTTTAGCGCAACGATAGTAACAGCGTTCCTGTGAAGGTGATTCTCATGAGAACTCTGAAAAGAAAAAAAAAAGTCGCGGTGTTCGTTAGGAAAGTGCGGCTGATATTCGTTTTCGTGCCATCACCTTTGCGGTGAGCATCGTCTTCTCTTGAAATGCAATTCACCTACTTGTGTGGGAGTGGTTGTTTTTATTGAGCTTATTCGCCTTAACGTGCCCTTTCCAAGAGCGCGATTTCCTTCGCGATGGAAGGGTTGCTGTGATCTGGCGAGAAGTGCAATGCCGCCTTGAAGTCCGACAGCGCCGCGTCCGCATCACCCAGGGACTTGCTCGCCAACCCACGTCGATACAGCACTTTGACCTTGAGGTCCTCCGGCAGGGCAATGGCGGCGTCTTGGAGCAGCATCGTTGCGACGAAACGCGCCGCGTCGTAGTCGCGCATGCGGATAAACGTCATGCTCACATTTGCACGCACCACCTGGTCGATCTTCACCGCCTCGGCGTCATGAGCGCCCAACACAGCGGTGACCTCGAGACAGTCCTGGTAGCGCTTAATGGCGTCTTCGTAGCGGCTTTCCTGAAAGGCAAGATTCGCCTGCTGCTTTAGCGCGTCAAGCAACTCTAGCGCTTTGGCGCGCTCGCCCGGCGGGATGGTAGACTCGGGTGGAAGCCTCATGACGGGCTTAGGCTTGTGCTGCTCCGTCTTCCCGCTCGCTGCCTTTGCAAAAGGGACACTGCTACCGTCTTTGGGAACAGACTTCACGGAGGTGCGACTGCGATACGCCGCGTACATCAACGCACCCAGCAGTGCAGCAGTGACCACCGCACCGCTGACGACTTTTTTGGCGTGCGAGTCCATTTAATCGTGTGATGAAACAACACGGCAGGTACGGGAAAAAGCAAGTGCGTCTCCTCCTTTCCACAAAAAAATAAAAAGAGGTGCGTTGTGGAGATCTCGATAGAGCAACGAAGCGGTCGGCGTATTAAGATTCACAATAGCATTAATCGAGCTCCTACAAGAGCCGCGAGTCGATTCTTGGTTTCGCTATTGATAGTAGACTGCCAGGTTTCATGCATTCAACGAAAATTTCTGTTGAGGAAGATAAAGGTCGAAGGAGTAAAATGGTGAGAACGTCAACTGCCTCGAACCACTACGAGCAAATCGTGTTGGGTCACCCATACGCGGTGTCACGTATCGCCGTCGCAACATTCAGACGAAAAAAGGAGAAGGAAAGACGTGCTGTGGAGATCGCAGGGTCGCCGTTTCGCATCTGCTACGTTAAACCAGTCGAGGTAGATTACGTATATGAGTCAGCGCTGCCTTCGATGCCCATGCCTACCATCGCACAGCATGATAACATGTCCTCCTTCTTTGAAGGGTCGGCACGCATCTCTAAATACAAAAGCCTTACCGTAAAGATGTGGCGGAATCGCACAAAATCAAAACGTCAGGCGCTTTGCTGCTATTGTTTGCAGCGCCTCCTCTACGCGCCACCATTTCTTTCCTTGTCTTTCTCTCCTCTCTTCGCGGTGAAAAGGACTTCTGGTTGTCGTATCATCGCTTGCTTTCGACTTTGCCATCGCGGCACATCTCGAACAACATATAAAAATACGACAAGAGGAAAAGGAAACAAAAAACAAAAATCTATCTAAAACCCACACCGCTAAAACCCGCGGTTCGTAGAGCGGTGGCAGCAAACAACGCTGAAACAACATATCTGGAGCTGAGAAAGCAAGCAAACCACTGTCATGCAAAACCAAACAGCAAAGAAACGCACAGCCTCATCATGAGACCTTTGTCGCCCCTCACGCGCAAAGACTGCTGAAGGGCGACAACAACAAAAACGGCAAAGCCGAGCAAGCAAGGGGGAAGCGCCTGGGGCGTGACACACCTGCCAGAGAAACAACAGGAAAACGATCTATTAGCTTTCTACGCAGAAAAAAATAACAGTTCGCTGCTTTGAAAGAAGCGGGAGAGAAAGAGAGCACCTCATCACGCTCTTTTCTTCCTTCTATTACGCAGTGCGCGGGCGCTTGAAGAGAAGCACGTGCGGCTCCGGCTTGTGAATCATGTAATGCACCCAACCCTGTGACTGCTGTACGCCTAGCTGGCGCCACTCCGACTCGCTCATGAGACGATTCGTGGGCACCAGCCTGGAGAGATCCTTCGGCAGAATTACATGACGGTACTCGTAGTTGTCGTCGTAGTATTTGTCGCTGTAGAGAATCTTGCCCTGAAGCTTCTTAATAATGATGAGTGCCTCGCGCTGTGCATTCGCGTCGAGCGAGAAGAAATCCTGCGCGGGCTTAGGAGGCATTGTTTGCTTGTTTCCTTTTTCTTGGATTGGCTGGCTGGTTCGAGGTACCAAATAGTGGTGGGTCTACGCAGGTCTAAAGAGTTCTGTATGAAGCCAAAAAAAAAAGGGGGAGCAAGATGCGGCGTCGACTGCAGGTATGTTGTCGGTTCGCGCAGTTTCTTGGGACAGAGACAGCGATTATGGCCAGTAAAGAGGGTAGGAAGAAGAGCAACAGCAAAACGAAGATGCTCTGGAAACGAAGTCTATGAACTGTAAAACAAGAAAAAGTTACCCTGCTGAGAGAAAGAAAGAGAAAAAACGCTGATGTGACGGCGTCGAACTACGACTCGTAAGAATGACGGAAAGAAAGGGAAAATAAAGGAAGCAGAAGACCAAAACGAGAGAGACGGTGAGGCCCAACAGGAGCAAAGAAAGTAGTGAAGCATTTCGCAAACAAGTGCTCTCTCTCAACGTAGCAGTAACAATTATAGAGCACGTGCTTCGCTGTGGCCCCACACCCTTTTCTTCAATGAGGGAGAGGGGGGAGGGGGCATCAATACAGCTGTCGTCGTCGCGCTGAATACACAGGCCAGAATCCTCTTCACGCTACGGTTCCCTATCCCAATTGTGAAGAGGAAAGAGACACAAACTTCGTTTCAGTAACCGTTGGGGGTGCGTCGCGGCACTCGTCACAATTGTATTGCTTCGTGTACAAACTGTCTTCCTTTGTTGCTGCTGCTGTTCCCCTTCACTTTCTACTTTTTAAAACCACTACAAACTCAGGTGGCAGCCACAGACAATGTGGCTCGAAACACGAACACGCAGGCTCGCGAGGATAAGGGAGGAAAAAAACGAAGAAAAGCTTCGGTGCTACAGCCTTGGTTTTACGGAGTCGCCGGACAACAATGCACCTCTATCGAGACCTACGCCGAAACAACTTTTGGACGCGGTCCCTCCAAGCGCGTCGCTACTGCCGCATGGCACTCGTCAAAGAGAATTGTTTGATGGCGTTGGTTCATTGCGAATCGTGTACGAGATGAAGACATGGAAAGGAGGCCAGAAAAAAAAAATACCGTGAGTTCAGCTGGTACTGAAAAATCAACTTCTATGAATCGCTCAAAACAATCAGATGTAAGGAAAAACAAAGATCACTTGAAACATGAAAAAGAGCGCGTTCAAATAGCGCACCTTAACACACCCCCGAAAATGAAAAGTCAAAAAACATAACGATGCTCGTGTCCATATGTTTCGTTCTTGATCGCGGTGAGACAGGGAAGACAGATGAGAGAGAGAGAGGGGGAGGAGATAAACGAGGCCCTCTTCAAACGTTTTCATCGAATTTTCCTCTTTTTTTTTGATTCATTATCTTTTTCACGTCTATGACAGTTGTACAGGTGATCAACGCACAACACGAAATGAAACCTCTATGAGTTCTAGATAAACTTCGCAGCTTTACTTGTGCGCCTTCTTAGCCTTCAGCACCTTCTTTGGTTTCTCCACTTCTTTTGCGGCCTTCTTGACCTTGCTGCTTGCGCTCTTCGGACTCTTCGGCACCTTCACCGTGCCGTTCTTCTTCAGCTCCGCCCACAGATTCGCCACCTCACGTTGGCGCTTCCTGTTGGACAGGTGCAGAAAACGGTGAGCGTACTCCTTCTGAAAGCGGTTGTACGCGTCGAGGGCCGGGTAGGAAATGCGCTTCGCCCGCTTCGCCAGCGCCGTCTTCTCCGGCGTAGAAAGCTGACGGTACAACTTGGCGGACGTTTTGGTGGCCTTTCGGTCGCCCTTCAGCGTACCAGTTTTGCCGAGGTCCTGCATGTAAAGGGAGAAAGCGCTGACGCGCAGGAGAGTCTGGCTACGACGCATCATTCGATCCTTTTTCTTTCTCCGTGTGTATGGAAGCTTTTGGGGGGTACTGCAAGGTGTTTTGTGGGTGGTTGAAAGGGGGGCTTTAGATTGCAACGGAAACAGCAGAAAGAGGTATAGATGTTGCAGCACGCAGTAAAGAAAAGGCACTCATAACGTGTGCAGCTCAGAGTCTCAAGAGTGGCCAGCCAAAGAAGAGCTGGCACTTGTACTGCAAAGCAATCGCAGAGTTTTTTTCTTCTCCACCTGCACTGCAGAAGTGATACAAACGAACGCTGCCTTTACACTTCGGCTCGATTGGGGGAGCATCATCCATCATCTCGGGCGCGCCTACAAAGGAGAGGAGTGCTAGACACACGGGCCACAGTCAAATTGATTGTGTGTTCGCTACAAGAGAGACGCTTCAGCCAGCTTGCGACCGCCTTTTTTTTTGCTTGTTTTCACATTAATTGCTTCCGTTTGTTTCTTGGTGTTTCGCGCATTTTTTGAAGATCGAGAGAAAATACCTGTTTTAAAATAAACATACAAAAAAAAAAATAATAAGAACCGGATCTGCAAACGTTTCTAATAATTGCAGGCCATGAAGGAAGAGTTCACAAGACACAAAGGGAGAAGAAGAACAAAACAACCAGAAAGGTGAAAGGAAAAACAAAATACGAATAGCAAACAATACGGACGCTGCACCAAAGAAGACAAGCACGGCGACGTGTGAAAAGGAGTGAGAAAGCTATCCTCCTCTTCCTCCTCCTCCTCCTCCCTCTTCTCCCCCATGGCGTCGAAACGATGCGAACGCAAAGCTTGAAAGCTCAGCGTCAGGAAAGCTACGCTGACGACACAGCACTTTGTCCGCCTCACCTACTCGGTCTTCTCTCCCCTCACAGCCCCTTTTTCACCTCTCCGACGAGTCAATGAAGCATGCACAAGGAGAGAGAGAGAGAGAGAAGGAGAGAATGCTGCCAGTGATGCTTCCTTAGATGCCGTATTTTGTATTCCTATCTCTATGAACGTACGATGGGCAAGCAAACAAGCGAATACCAAAAGGAAAAGAAGAGTTAAGGATGTAGCGCTGATAGCGGAGCACCGTCAAGTTTCGATATACACACACACACACACACATATATATATATATAACTGCAGGTTTTTCTTTCTTTCCTTTTACAGATAGTAAGAGTCAACGCCTTGTGCTTCTCTCTCACTCTCTTATCGCTGCTGAATGTGTTTGAGCAGGCCAAAAAGGTGCCAGTCTTGACATTTCATTCGTCGGCTTCACCCATTTTCTCCGCTTGCTTCCCGCGCATGAGAAAGCAAAGTGGCGTGAAGAGAGATACGAAACAGGAAAGGCGGGGGCGGCGTCCGCGTTGAAGGCCGGCTCATCTAATGCGACCTTGCGCGCGCGACAGCAATTCCATTTCCGTATTCTCAATATGACGTGGACATCGGATGCTTTTCGCCAACTTGAGCAATCTCTCTATGGTGTGTGTTTTTTGTTGTTGCTGCTGCGGTTGCCGTCTACGCAGACGCCTTCTTGGCCTTCTTTCCAGCCTTCTTGACCTTCGACTTGGCGCTCTTCGGCTTCTTGGCAGCGGCGGGCTTCGTCGCCTTGCGCTGCGCCTTCTTCACCGCAGCCCACTTCTGCCGCAGCTGGGCGTAGCGTTGCTTCATCGGGACGTTCTTGTGAGCCATCTCACGCTTTGCCATCCGCTTGTACGCCTCGGCACTGGAGAAGGTGGTGGACTGCGCCCGCTTCACCAGCGCGGACTTCGCGGCAGAGGAGAGCTGGCGGTACTGCTTCGCCGCATGCTTTCCGGGGTTGCGCACACCCTTCAGCTTCCCAGCCTTGCTCAAGTCCTTCAGGAAAAGGAAGTAGGGGCTCACCTTCAGGAAAGTCTGGGTGCGGCGCAGCATCTTTGATGTTGACGCGGTGTTTTGCTTTGGTAAGAGGTACGAAGAGGGATAGAAGACACGGCGATAATTACCTGTAAAAAACACAAACACACGTGAATAGCCGAACGAGTGGGGAGAACTAGTGGATGTCAGCATCGGGCGTGCGTACAGCCAACAATAGCGTAATAGGCAGGCAGGGGAAAAACAAAATACATCGAAAAACGGAGGGAACAGAGAGAAAACAGAATTGAAGAAAAAAGGCATCTAAAGGTGTGAAGTTCTACACCACTGCTTCTGTTGCTGGTCGTTTTCAATCGCCACGGAGGATGGTGGCGCTGTGCATACACTGACGGAGAAACATAGTGGGCAACGAAGAGCGACGTCAACCAGCTTCCACGTCGCCAGATGAGTTCATCTCAGGTACCATTTTTCTTCTCTCGGGTGGAATTTGTACGCACTCAAGAGTGCGTCACATACACACAGAAAAAGCGCATGGCACTCCTAACGGCAAACAACGGCTGGTCGATTCAAGGGTTGACGAGTCACTGGAGTAAGAGCACACGGAAATACCGAACTGCGTTGTTGGAATTCAATCGGCAATCGACACCGGAGACGAGATGAAAAAATGAAGAGCGAACTGCAAGACGGTATGGCACCCGTTATATTAAACATAGGCAAAGATACGGTGAGGCCAAGAATGCTTCCACAAATCGAAAATCATGTACATAGAAAGTAATACAAATAATAATAATGGCGTTTTACTTCTTTTTCTTTGCGATGTTCTTCCGCGCGTCCTTTTTCTTCTTGTCTCCCTTGTGCCGGATGGGCGCCACATCCAACTGCGGCAAGGGAGGGAGGTCGTGCCGACTGAAGGTTTGGAACGCCACACGAGGTGCCATCGTCTGCGACGCCGCCAGCACCGTTGCAATTTCCGCCAATCGACTCACTACAGCCATCGTGACGGCAGATAAAGGGCCGGAGCTTGTCATGAGACACGAAGCCTTTCCTGCGACCGCCAAATCCACCACGTGCGCCGCGGCCGCCGCGTCCCCGGCCTGGGGACCGACCAACGCCGTCACGGCGGATTTACCGGCGTCGGACGTGGTCTGCAGCAGCTGCGCCGCCGCACGCACAGACCCGCACCTCGCGAGGTCGATCACCGTGGTCGGGTACGTGGCTGCTAACGCCTCTGCGGTTCGCCGCTCCGCGTAGGTCGGACCCACGGCACTCCTGTCCTCACCGCTTCGGTCTTCGTCCAATACGCTGTTGCCGGACAGCATGATGGAGTCCTGCAGGGCGAGTTGAAGTCGCTGACGTGCGACGGTGTCGTCCATCGAGTGCGTGTCCTCCAAGTATTGCACAACGCCATGGCCGATCTCCTCCAGCTGTTCTTTTAAGTACTCCACCAGCTGCTCCCCTGTAATGGACGGCTCACCGCAGAAGAAGTTGTACAGACCGGACGTGTCGGCTGCAGCCGCAGCCGCGGCCGCCGCTGCGGCAGCTTTGCTGTGGGATGTTGTCGTCGCGGTGGTACTAGCGGTGACCTTCGTGCCGCCCTCCCCTTCCTCGTTGTTCCGCACACGAATGGTGTTTACACCCAGTGAGACCCCGATGCACACGTCTACGCCGGGTTGCAACTCCACTGCCTCCAGGGCGTCCGTGACGGCCTTCACGACATCCGCCAAACTACCGGCGCCGCCCCAGTAGAGACAGCCCTCCGACCCTACGTGTGCGGCGGGGTTGGCGGTGAGGAAAACATGAGCCGCACGGTGCAGCAACTGGATGCGGCGCCGCAACGTCTTCCCCTCCACGGGGGCGACACCTGCGCTGCTCTTGGTGTTGTTGCTGCTGCTCTTCTCCTCCCCCTCCACATCGCCCGCCTCGGTGAGGGAGGTGATGGGCTCGAGACCGACGTAGACTTTCGCAAAGTGCACCAGACCCACCGCCGCCGCGGCGTCGCTGCCGATCGCGCCGGCATCGCTCACCACAAATGGCACGAGCAGCTGTGGAAGGGCGTAGTGTCGGCCGGCTGCGGCAGCCAGATTCCTCTCGGAGCTGGAGAACGAATTTCTGGTAGCGGCCATGACAAGCTCTTTGTTGCTGTCGTTGTGACTATCGGAAGCACCGTCCACGTGGCATGGGGCGGCGGCGAGCAAACCGCCAAAATGCTGATAAAGTCCAATGCGGCGCTGCTTTGCGGTGGCTAGAGACGCCAGCATGCTCATCGCCCACTGAATGCAGGGCGTAAAGGCGATGGGCTCCTTCCACACACTCTCGATCACCGTGTCCCACACAGACTGCGATTCGACACTGCCGAGGCAACACAATTGAGGAATGAGAGAAGACTGCACCGTGTGAAACAGTTGATCGCACTGCTCATACACGTCTGCTTCTTCGTCTTTGTTGCACCCGTCCTTCGCGGTCTCTGTGCCCACGAGACCGGCGCCGAGAACTAACGTAGCGTCAGACGTGGTGATCGACACCACCGTTCCGGTGCAGAGCTCCAGCGTGAAGGCCAGCGCCGGTCCGGCGTTGCTGCCCACCACCTCGCTGCCACAAAGATCCTTTATGGATGTGCCTCCTGCCACTTCGCGGAAGTAGCGTGCGAAGTAGTCCGTGGCATTCCGTGGGTTTTCGCTCACGCACGCCCTCGCCGCCTCGGTCAGAACGGCAGACACGTTGTGCTCCTCGTCGTAGAGCTGCCACGTTGTCGAGCTGGGCATGGTGCAAATAACCTCTAATAATAATAATAATAATAAACGAACGATGTTCCTTATAAGGCCAGATTCGAGTCAGGGATTGGAGAGGGAGGTGTGCGTCTGTGTCTGCTCCACAGAAACGCAGCTTTTCCTTGTCGCAGCGGCTGCACCACGAGACACCGAATAGCACAACACAGAGAAAGAGAAAAGAAGGAAAAAAAGGAGTGGGTGGACTGTGAAAGATCGATATTGAAAGAGACAGAGAGAGAAAGCTGCAGAGGCACAATGACGCCGAATGGGCACCGTTTTTCACTGCTTCGCCAAGTGCCATTCGCTGCACAGAGAGGACACGCAAAAAGAATGAGCCAACCGCAAAGAAAGAGGGAGCTTCTGCCACGCAAGTTGTAAACGGTCGCCTTCTCTCATCAGATGATTACTCGCGTGCTTATGCATGTTACATGTCTGTGACGTAGCCGAAGGAGAACTGCAGTTAGAAAAAGTGAATGACAACAGCTCCTACGCAATCGCAGCAGCCGTCAGCAGCGCCGCGCAGCTTACGGTAAACGAGGCGTTCTGTCCACCTCCGCTTAAGAAGCGGTGTTGTCCAGTCGGCGGTGCAGCTCTGCAATAAAGCGTTCTCGCCGCCGTGTGTTTTCCTCGAAAAGGACGTTGATGTGACGCACCGTACAGCTCAAAAACGTCGCCCAGGCGTCGCTGCGGAAGCTCTCGTGTGGCAGACACCACGCGTCGTGTGCGAAGAGAGGAACGTCGACGCACAGCGGGGAGGTAATGCAGCACGTAATCTTGCGGTGTTCTTTTGTGCCACGAGAGCAGGAGACAACGCCGCTGTTCATCTGGCCGCTTTCACTGCCGCAGCTCAGCAGCTCTGCCGCTGCCTCGATGTCGGCGCACAGCACGTGCAAAATCATCGGCTCAAACTTCAGCTGCAACACCTCTGAGGCGTAAAGCGCGGGTTTGGAGGCTTGGGTTTGGCGCCACACCCAAAACTTTTCCAGTGCCGGGACGATGAGTTCTGCGACCGCACCGCGTGTGTCTTCCGGTAAGGCATCGTGCGACTGGAACAGAGTGCCTTGGCCAAAAGACCCACGCTTGCGCCGCTCGATAAGCAAGGCCGCCGCTGATGCAACGGCCTCCGGATTCGACGTCGATTCTGTGACCTTTGCTGTCCCCTTTGACTCCTTCCCGCCCTTGTGGAACAGAGAGACCCGCCCTGCACACGAGCTGCTGGTGACGTACTGAGGAAACGAGCTGTTCACGTAGTGCACCAGCCCAGCGATCTGCGGATCCACCCGTCCCGCAAGACTCTTATCGTTTGTGTTGCTTTGCAGATCGGTCAGGATCTGTTTTCGCATGGAAGTAAAAAAATGGCTCTCCGCCACACCGGGAACGGCCTTGCGGAGCCGCGGGAGTGAGCGCTGCATTTTTGTGTGGACTGCGCTTCTCTTTTTTCTCCTTCAAACAGCACTGAAGGGTCGTGCAAATGAGAAACATGCAAAACGGTTCGGGTACGCAGATGAGAGAGGGAGAGAATGACTTGAACAACAAGGCGGTGCTTCCATGCTTGACGTGCCTTCATCTATCCTTTACAATACTTTTTTTTATGCTTGAGGTTGAAAGAAACGTTAGGATTCATTTTGAAGGTTCACGTGTTTCAAAGGAAAAGAAGAAGCACTGCGTGTTGTTGTTTTCAGAGTCATTCCCGCGCCATTTCAAAAGTAAAAGGTGATGCATCCACCGTCTACACAAATAGTGCTGTTCGTTCGTTGTGCTTTTGTCTTCGATCCGAGATTCCTCTGTGACGAACTCCGTCTGGTGGCCCAAACAATAAACACACAAGAAAAAAAGAGCAGGCAAATGAGGGGCGTACTCAACCGTTCACGCCGGTTGCGAACGCAAGAGAACAAAACTCCATTTTAAAAACAAAACCTGCTGCTGCAGCTTGAGTGTCAGGGAGGAAGGCTTCTTCTTACGCCGAGGCGGTGGGCGATTTTGCCGTCAGGTAGGAGAGCAGTGCCTCCTTCTGTTTCTTTCCGCGCTCCGCCTCCGCCTCCACCTCGTCGAGGGGCCGCATGAGAGGCACGCCACACGTCTGCCGCTCCACAAAGCGTCCATTTAGCAGCTGCAGGTAATTTGGCTCGTCCTCCACCGCGCGGGCCACCACCACGTCGCCGTTCCGCGGCGTCCACGGACTGTAGTTGGTGTAGTGGCTATTCGGAATGAGCAGCATTTGACACCGCGGCTTCCCAATCGGGCTCCAATCAATCACGTATCGTTGACCGTCTTGGGGGTCAAAGGCTCGGTAGTAGTGGGTCAGGTAGTAGTCGCTGCCCACCCCACAGACCGCAAAAGCAGCAAGACCGTAACGGCACCACGTCGCGGTGCGGCTGTACAGAAAGTTTTCAGCAGACAGCCAAGAACTCATAACTAGTGATGGTGCTCTTCTCCGTTATGAATGAAGAAAAAAGAAACGGGCAAACACAATGGCGAACGAATGCAGCGCATGCGGCGTGGCCAAGTCGGCACTTGAGCAAGCAGAGTAGTAGAGGCAGTGCGAATACGCACACGCACGGCACTGAACACTTCTCTAACAGAGACAATAAGGAACCACACAGAGGACGCAAAGAGTGGCACGGAAGAGAAAAAGTATCCGACGTACACTTATTGAAATTCAAAGTCGAAATAAGAAGACGAGATGAGAGGTGAAGTCGAACTAACAAAGGAGTCTCTTATTATTATTATTATTGAGCTCTTGAGGTTCCACTCGGTCAACATAAAAAGTACCGTCTTCACGTTTCGTGCACCTTTTTTGTGCGTGAGCGTCCCTTTTGTTGTTGCTGTCGTTTACTTAGCAGCCACTCTAACGACAACACTAAAGCAGAAGTCCACTTCATTCAGCACACAGCAGGTTGTTCTCTTCTTCTCTTTCCAATGCGCTGCGTAACCCGCTACTGTTCCTTCTTCGTCTCGGACGATGACTCAGCAGCAGCAGACTGTTGTTTTGCCTCCCTTCGAAGTCTGCGCTTCACCTGTGCCCGCTTCACCTCCACCATCAGCCTCATCGCACGGCACACCATGCGAAGCTGCAAGCACAGAATCAGTACAATCATCGGCGCCATGAACACAGCCGCGATAAAGATGCCATCTTCGGAAAAGTAATTAACGTCAGGGTCCACAAAAATAGAGCTCGCGTAGCGGCGGCCCACGTTGTTCAGCACCACTCCAGCAAGCACGGTGCAGGTCAGCATGACGCAGACAACGATCAGACGCTCATCAGAAGCTGAGCCGCGAGTTCCGTACAGGACGACAATCCAAATAAGAGCGTGAAAAGCAGCGAGGTAGCGGAAGAAAGGTTCGGACCAGTTCACCGACCGGTAAAACGCTTCCACCTCGGCCCGCACGTGGGCAAAAAAGGAGCCCGAATTCTCAGAGGAGCTCGTTAAAGCGTCGATAACTTGGCGAAGGCCCGTCGCGTTCATCACCTCGTTGTGCGCCTTCCAAAACTCGTCCTCTACACTCGCCAGCCAGGAATCAAAGGACGCCATGTTATGTGGGTTTTGGAGCTGAAGAGGAAACATCAAAGCAGCAAAAAAAAGGGGGGGGATGGATAGAAACATGGTGAAAAGAGTGACGATGAAAAGTTGCGTGTTTCAATCTTGAGGTGGAGAGAGGGAAAAAAGCCACTCCGCTGTCGATGCTTCTCAGCCCTCAACCTATCGGCCATGCACCCCACTACACAGCCAAACAGCAGAAGCTTCTTTCGTTGTTGTTTTTGTCATGCTCCGTGCGTGTCGCCCTTCGTTCAACGCGGAAAAAAAAATCGCTGAAATGTTCGAGGTCGGTTTCTTTGTTGTTGCTGTTGTTGCTGTTAGATGTCACCTTGAAAAAATAAAACAAACAAAGCACTTTAAAAGTGCGTCAACTACATCCATACTAATACTAGTAAGGGCAGCGTCAGCAGAAGAAAAAAAGGGTTGAGCAAAGGGAGAAAGAGAGAGAGAACAGAGTCAATCAATACGAGATCCGGTGGCTGCGTGTCAACGGCAGCGAAGAATCGCCATCGTTGTCGCTGTCTTGCAACATGCGCGAGCTTTCGTATCGCATGATGTGAGACACAGCTTCGGCAGCGCCAAGTCTGCCCTTTGCTTCTTTCGATATCGACTCTGACGCCCCTTCGGTCTTCCCCTCGTTTCTCTCCTGCTCTCCCGCCTCGTCGCCCTCGATTGTAGGTGACTCTTTGGTGCTGCTGTGCCGCTCCGGAAGAAGGTACGCTAAGGGAATCGGAACGAGCTTCAGCACAATCGAAATAACAATAAGGACCCACAGTTTGCTGTAATCGGCGCGGCTGATGTTGAGGTCTCGCGCGATGATGCTCGTGAGCAGGGCCGAGATGGTGCCACCGCCGATGCTGGCCACGCTGAAAACTTCAAAGGTTGTCGCCTCAAAAGACCTCGGCGCGTGCTCGGCGGCCATCGCGATGGTCGGCATGAAGGCGAAGCGGACGAACATGGACATAAAGAAGTTGTCAACAGGAATGTAGATCGCCGCCGAAATGCGCAGCATCTCGGTGATAATCCCGGTGCACAGCAGCAGGTTTGTTATGTAACCGAAAGCCCACGCAAAGCTGCCAATCATAAAAATGTAGAACATCGAGGTGCGCGCGCCGCCGCGGCTCTCCTGCCACGCGCGGCGGTCCATCCACATCGAGAAGACGCTCGCGCCGGCGATGGAGCCGAGGTAGCCGATGCAGTTGTTCAGTGAGTAGAACCACGGCGGAAAGCCGTAGGCACCGTAGAGGTAGTTGTAGTAGACTGAGCCCGCGTCTGGCATCATGGTGTACACGAAGACGAACGCAAGGACAATAAGAAAGCAGAAGCCGTCGCTGCGGAGGTCGTGAACGTCAAAACTTCGGCGCAGCAGTCGTCCCGCCTCCGCCACACGCCTGTAGAAATTTTGGTCTTGCGCGCCGGGACGCAAAAAGAGCGTGCGTGGGGCGACCAGGACAACCGGAACAAGAAGTGCCATAACCACACTCGTGACGCCCAGGATGCTCCGGACAGGGAGGAAGAGCACCAAACACGTCTGTAGGGCGTTCCCGATCAAGCTCCCAATAGAGCGCCAAACCATCGTCTTGGACATAATCGCGCTCATCCTTGCCATGCTCTCCTCCTCCGTCTCGGCATCGTGCCGGCCCACCTCCACCACCAAGCCGTTCAGCGGGATGTACAACCCCATGGTAAAGAATTGGCTTACAATCGACAGGACGACAAACCGGCCGTAGGTGCTGGTCGTCGCAGGAACTGCGTAATACAAGAAGAAGATCAGCGTGTTACCGAGTGCGGCGAGGAGAAAGAGAGGTCGCCGCTTCTCACCAAAAAGCACCAGCGCGTCCGACACGTACCCCATCAAGGGCTGGCACCACGCGGTGTACCCGATGTACATCCAATACTGCGTCACCTCGACTGGGCCGAGGGCCATCTCGATGTTAATGAAGATCATAACGGCGCTGGAAGAGAAGCTTTGCGCCAGCGCCGTAAACACGAGCAGCACGAGAACCATCCGAGGTACACGCGGGCACTGAAACTCCCGTGGCTCACCTTCCTCACCAGGGATATCGCGAGCGACGTCGTCTCTGATCTCGTCGCCACCCTCTCCATGCTCCTCGCGTGCCGTGTGCACAGCTTTCTTTGCTGCAGTGTCGGGCCTGCGGTCCCACTGCTCTGCTAATGCGGCTGTGTACGCATCACCACCTTTCTGCTGCTGCTGCTGCTGCTGTTGGTGCTGGTTGCTGAAGCCGCGAGCTGGTGGGGTGGACAAGGAGGGAAGACGACGAGGTCTTGGCGCTTTGTGTTTGAACGCCATCACCGTGACCAGCGGTGATGCCGCGTCGGCCGCATCGGCTGCTACGGTGGTTGGCGCGGCTGCCATCATGGCCACCTCCTCTTTTCTGCGCTGTTGCTGTCGCTGGCCATCTCGAGTCAGCGGTGGTGAGAGCGATACGACCTCCGGCGCCGGTGCCAATGCCGCCGTGTGGCGCTGCAAATCGGCCTCCCACCGCTCGGCTTTTGTGCTGGTCCCCGTCATATCGAGAAGCCGTAGAAACGCATGCAAGAACCGACAAGTGTTCTCCTTCTTTTTACTATTTCGTATAAGAAAAAAAATGGGGATGTATACCTTAATATTTTTGGTGAGTTGGGGCGCACGCTCGTAAATCGACGTACGAGAGAACTCCGAAAAGCAAAGGCAAAAGCAGTGAGTTACAAAGAAGAAAATGGAGAACGAGAATACCTGGTTGAATGAAGAAGGAAGGCTTCGTCAAAGCATCACTTTTCATTTTTTGAGGAGTCTTCAAGAAGCGTTGTTTTGAGTAGCGCCTCTGCTGTTAGGCGGATGCAAGGCGGCACGGGTACGAATAGTCCTACAAGGCAATACAAGCTGCACCTGCAGGTGATACTTCATTAATAACAATAGTAAGAAGAATCAGAAGCGGAGAGAATAGAAAAGGAGGAAAGAAAAAATACTTTTGCACAAATCATATGCCTACCAAAACTAAGCGATACCTCAACTGAGGTTGAGAGCAGGTGTCTGGTGAGCTTCCTTCAATGCCCGATCGATAACAGCCTCAAAAAAGGTTGGAGGGGAACGTTTCACTAGCCCGCTTGCTCGCACGTTGAAGAGAAGTGTGCCAGTTGAAAAAGCTATAGAACGCTGTTTGCCGGGTTTTTACAGGCACGTCGTTTAAAAACACAAAAAAGAGTTTTTTGCCACTTTGCATCTCTTTTTTTCATTCCTGCTGAGGTATCCTTTGTTTCTTTTTTCTCCTGTGGTTTCACACTTCTTCAATTACTCGATACGCATTAGAACATTGAAATTGCTATTATTATTATATATATTTTTTAACAGCACATTATTGTTGGAGTGTGTACTGCCGGTCTGCGGCTCATCCACGTATGTCACACCTTTCGTGTTCCCACACCAAACCCAAGAAACGTAGAGCCCGTCGTGTTCTACTTCTTGCGCTTCAGCTTCAACGTCTTGCTCTTCGTCTTCATGCGGAGCTTTGTTGCGGTAGTCGCAGTAGACTCCTTCTTGGCACTTGTACGCGACATCAGGCGGCCGGTGTGCAGCTTCGACTTCACCCCCGAGGCGCAGTCTACGCAGAAACCCACCACACGGCACTCCTTGCCGCACGTTGGGCACGTCCACAGCACACCCTTGCGATCGTCGAAGCCGTTGTAGATGTCGATCGGCGACGCCAGGCCGAGACGGATCTTGTTCTTGCCTTTCATCTTCGGACGCGTCTTCTTGAGGTGAATCGACTTGGGTGTGCTGGGGACGACGGTGGGCATGACACCACCGTTCGCCTGCAGGGTTACCTTCTTCTTCTGGCGCTGCTTACGGGTTTTGGAGACCATGACTACTAATGCGTTTAGTGCGTGTATTTGTGACGTGAAATGGGAATGAGTACGTGTTGGGGAGGAGGCAATGGAAAACGACTCAATCAGCAGTTCAACTACCTCTGGCCTTTAAAACGCAGCACAGGACGTAAATGGAGTTAAGACACACGATCAAAGGCTTTTTTATTGTATCGGCATAGCCCGAGACGTTAGCAACGAAAAGTCGGTGGGAAGAGGAGTGAAGATGAAAGCGCTGCAGATCGTTTCTCGTAATCGCTGGGTTTCTTTTTGAAAAAGAAATAGGAAAAGAAACGACTGCCGTTCTCCTTTCGCTCTTGTTTTAGAGTTGCATCATCTTAAACGGTTTCCGTGTAGTGCCGCTTGCATCCGTGTGGCAGCCCTTTTCCTTTCTTCTTCCTTTTACGACTACCGTGTGAATCGCTCAAGGAATCAAAGCACTTGACGAGCCTTACATGAATACACCAGCACCACGCTACTTACCGCTCGGTTGATTCGCTTCGCAGTTGTGAACTTCGTAATTTGTGAAGAGAAAAAGCGCCGGTTTCCTGTTTGAGAAATGCGCATATTCAAGACTGGCTCGAAAAACGCAGCTTGCCAAAATGAAGAAAAAGAAACCAAAAGCACCACAAAAGATAACAGTTCCACGGACACGGAAATTAAAAGAAGTAGAACTTCGGCTCCTCGTTGCGCTCTCTGCTCTTTCGGATGCACTCCTCGTACTTTGGTGCCATCTCCTTCGCCTGCTTCCACGCGTGCTCCTTCTGGTCCTCCGTCAGGCGGGACTGGTATTTCTTCAGCATCTTGTCCAGTTTCTTGGGGTCTTTTGTTTTCATCGCCACGTTCATCATTGACGCGGGTCCAATCAAGGCCAAATGCCCCGCCGTCATGTCGCTGTTTGGAAAGCGGACGTTCTTGCGCGGGTCACTCCACCACGGGTCCTTCTTGAGCAGCTCCTCACTGTCGAGAAACTTGCCGCCCTCGGTGCCGTCGTCGTCGTCGTCCTCGTCCAACGTGAGAGCGCGGTTCTGCAGGTCCTTCACCTCCTTCGTGTCGAATCCCGCCTTGTCCATGCGGTTCAGCCAGTAGCTCGTACTCATGGGCGAGGGGATCGCCTCGTTCATGTTGCCGTCCAACGTCATCACCGGTTCTCTCGGCCGCAACTCGTCCTCGCGCAGCACCTCCTCCTCGACCTCGCTATCCAGCAACACTAAATTGCACACCAGCCGCCCTGTACTGCCGAAGGTGGTAAACTTCACCTGACGCCCTTTCCTCAAACGGTGCTGCGTTGACGCGTACGCGATGACGTTTTCTTCGGGGTCGCGCAGGACGTAGCGGGCCTCCTGGTCGGCGTCGCTCAAGACAATGCCCTGACCCTCCACCGCAGACCACGACAGCACGGTGCCGTAAATCCATGCCACCCCTTCAGGCTCCACGTCCGCAGCGTTTGCCTCCGAGGGCTGCGAGGGCCGTGCCGCGGCCTGATGCTCCGCCGTGCACGGCGCCGAAGTCCCACGCACGACAAACTGCGTCTTCTCTAGCATGGGCCTCACCTCACGGAGCGTGGTGGCGGCGGTGCTTAAGATGTCCACCGCACGGGCGTAGCGCGGGTTCGCTGCGTCGCGCTGAAACTGCACCACGGCACCGCGCAGCTGATGCGAATTTTGATCCACCAACTGCACAAAGTCAGCGGCGGAGCGGAGGAAGTAGTGATGACCGTCACCGCCTTCCACGACACCTTGGCCGCCGCTCCACCGCACCACGACACCGTAGTACACCTTGTTGGGGTCGACGGGCTCGTCTTGCTTTTCCCGCGGGCCATCGATGGGCGAGGCAGCAGCCGTTGCTTCACCAGTCTTCACTGAATGATTGGCCACTCCGGAGGCGTCACCGCTGTGTGCAGCACGAGCCACTCCAGTGCCGTCACCACCGCCGTCGTCTGGCTCATCTTCTAAGATGAGGGCGCCGGGTCTGCCAGAGCGCAGGGCGGCCGCACGCTCCTTCTGCTTCGCAGCGTGCACATCCTCTAGCGACAAGACAGCGTTGTCGTACCTCACGTCCCCCTCCACCGCGATGTTCTCCGCAAAGGCGCGGTGGGGCTGAGTAGAATAGGTCACCTTCGTGAAGGTCACACGGCGCTGCAGGAGACTTTGCGAGGTGGGCAACGCGCTCTGAAACGCGTACACGTTGCGGATAATGCACACCGGCTCGGCGTTGCCACCAATGCCCTCGACCATTGCTGTGGCCGCAGTGGTGGTGGTTGCGTTGGCAGAAGCTGCCTTTCCGGCATCCGTTGCCGAGTCTTCGCGGATAAGGCCGCTGCGATGAATGCCGGACCAGGCCAGAACCACACCCGTTGCCTTCGCCGCCACCACAACGCGCTGCACCGCCTCCGCCTCTGCCCGCTCCTGCTGCGCTGCCAGAAGACGCTGCGCCGCCTCCCCGCTGCCCAGCTGCTGTGCTAGCTTCAGGTACGCGTTTGTTTCGCCATCGAAGAGGCGACTGCTGCGCATGTCCTTCAAGTTCTTCGTAGGCATGATCACTGCTTCATCGGAGAGCGGGCCACTCCAGCGTGCGATTTGCTTGGCGGGGATGCTGCCGATGTCCACCGTGATGTTTCTGGCGTACAACTCCGCCGTTTTCTCTGCCGCTGCGTGCTTTGAGGACGAGGTACGCTGCGTCGTGAGAGCAGCCGCTTCGTTGCGGAGTTTCGTTGCGGAGGCAGTGCCCTTCTTGAACCGACTTGCCGGCTGAAATTGCCCCAGCATCTCAGCCGACAGGAAGTTCACCGGGGGTTCCTGTCGATAACTTTCGGCGGTGATGGGCGTCAGTCGATTGCGAATTATGACACGATCTGCTGCTGCCTCTCGGCCAACATCAAACTCCACCACTGCCCCCTCCAACGTACGCAGCATGGTCGGAAGCACCGTCTCAAAGGCGCGGGTATTTGCGATGCGGTAGCAATGACCGGCGGCGTCTTGAATCACGCCGTGGCGCTCAAACGGATCCCACTCGGTGATTGTACCCTTCTGTCTGTTCGTCGCCGCTGCTTTCGAGGCGGAGCGTGCGGTGAGTGCATCCGCCGCTGGTGGTCTCTTGTTGCCCATAGAGAGGGTGGGAGCGGGGGCAACAGAGTAGAGGGTCCTGGCCAGCTCCCTGACGAGTAAAAGGTGGTTGCGACGCATTACGCTGCCTCACTGATTGAGGTGAGTGCTTGTGGGCTCCTCTACTCACAGCCCCAATAAGAGGAGTGAATTGGTAGACGATGCTTTCGATTAAGCACACGAAAATACCACCTATTAACAGAAGAGTGCGCTGCAAAAAGAACAAAATACTGCGATAGCAAACATCAACGCGGTGTACGTATGAGAACAACGCGGGTGCTCAGAAAGTCAATACAAAATTTATTTCCCCTAAGGGCTTTTGAACGCTACGAGATGCATGTGATGATAGCTAGACACCAAAACTACCAATAGAATGAAGCAGAGAGAGAGAGAGAGAGAGAGAGAGATGAGATGAGATGAAGTTGCAAGCACAGTTGTACCGTACTCAACGTAGCGAAAAAAAAGGACTCTCCTTTCGTTTTGTCTGTTTGCTCCACAAGTTGTTTATCGTCTTTTTTCGTCCCCCAAGTAAAGCAGAGCACCTCCTGCCCAATGCCGAGACTGCACTGTCGGCTCGCATTCCCCTCTTCCGTTTTCCAGAATGAAAAAGAAGAAGGGCACATCACAAAGTAGTCCTCACCCCAACAACGCCTGTTTCTGTTTTGAAGCGGGAAACGAACCTCTGCTGGCTGCACGGCAGACACACTATGTCACCTCAAACACATTCAGGAGCCGGAAAGTGTAAAACAAAGAAAGGCGCTTCGTGTTCACCTAGGTCACTTTATAACAACTTACATTAATGGTTTGCGCGATTAAGCGAAGAAGAAGAAAAAAAGTGTCCACCGTAGACGTGAAGCACCCTCGATTGAGAGAGAAAACAAGAGGGCGACGGTCGCTAACAATAACAAGAGGATAACGCCAGAGGGAAAAAAAAAGACATTTACCGGTACATGTAAATATATCCGCTCACCTCAGTGAAAGCAGCACATGCGAACTGGTGGTAAGCAAAAAGAGAATCCATCGCGTTTGCGGCTGAGGCAGTAACAAACTAAAGGGAAAGAATCAAAACACGCAGCAAACACACAAAATAGGGGATAGAAAGAAGGGAGGGGTACGAAGCAGAAATAACACCAAGAAACTACATACAGGAAGTTAGAGGAAGACACGCTTGTGCCCGCATGCCGCGCAGAACTTTGCGCTGTCATCCACGTGGCGCTGCCCACATTCCACGCAGAAAGGTGCTGGGCGATGCTCTTCAGAGGCTGGTTGTGGAGCGGCGGGGGTCTCCGCAGTGGCGGCTTCCACAACGGGCAGCGCCTCAGACGCCACCACCGGTACAGACGAGTTTTTCTCCCGTCGAACCGGGTTAACGGTGGACGGCTTGACAATCGCCGCTTCATGAGAAGCTGGCTTGGCTGGCTTGTCATAATTTAAAGCCCCCGAGTACGGCGTCCTCAGCGTAATCGGAGTGGTCAGCTTCGTACTCAAGCGCCGCTTCACGGGTCTCACGTCACCACCGCTGCTGATGCCAACGCCCGGTGCCGCCATTTCTTTCCGGGAAGACCCTCCGGCGGAGTGCAGCTGGGCACGCGTCACAACGGGGCTCAACGCCGGTGTATCCGCTCGTGTCGTGGGCCCGGCCGTCTCCGCTGTGTCCGCAGCTGATGTTCCAGCGCGCGTATCAACCGTGTTGAGTCCCACGCTGCTTGTTGTCGTCGTGGGTGCTGCACCACTGGCACGCGTGGGCGACGGTGAGGTCCTGAGAGCAGCCGGTTTGCGTGTCTGTCCAGCAACGGCAGACGAGGAAGACGCTGGTGTCGTGGAGGGGTGTGTGCTGTCCATCGAGTGTCCCGCCGTGGTGTAATGCGGCGCGGAAGTAGCTGTCCGCGTAGAAGTAGATGCCGCTGTTGGCGGTGGCGACACCACCATCGTGGTGGACGCATTCGCGGCCCCGGCCACGGAAGCTGTGCCGACTGGGCGCCTTTCGCTGGTCGAGCTTACCATCGCAAATCGTGGGCGGCCGTTTACTGCCAAAGGAGTGGTCATCGCCGTCTTTGTTGCTGCTGATGTTGCCGATGCCGCTGAGCTTGATGCAGCAGCAGAGAGCGGTCGACGTGCCGGTCGCACCGTCTGTCTGTCCTCTTGCTCCACAACAGGTTTCACGGACTTTTCTTTGGCGGGTGTCGGCGCCGTTGCGGCCAAGACGGCGGCGGCGCCCCGCGACTCGGGCAAGCCGGTGGTGGCCGCAAACGTTTTTTTCTTTGCGATGGCCGTGTGCGTCGTCGCACCCACTCGCGCCCGCTCCTCCGCGGCTGCCCTGAGTTCTCGCTCTTGGCGGTCCAACAGCACCTGCTGCCGCCGCAACTCAAATAGCGCCGTTGATCGGTGCAGGTGTCCGGACGATGTGCCGTGCGTCTTCTCCGGCGCCGTGGGGTGCTGTTGCGGCTGCTCCACCGCGTCGGGGTACAAGACGCTGATGCTCTTGCGCTGACGGAATGGGCGGGGCGCAGAGGGGGCGGGTCCCTCGCGCGAGCTGGAAGCCGAGAGACGCTCACGCGAGGCGGAGTTCGCCACCGAAGTGGGGACTGCGTTTTCGTCTGCCAATGTTGCACTCCGACTCGGTGAGTGTGGGATGGGGTGCGCAACGACAGGCTTGTTCACCGATACGTCCAGCTGCGCCACACGGGCCGGTTGCTTCGCTTTGGTGCTGCGGACAGGGGAGGTGGAGGTGTGGTCGCTGTTTGTGTGTGCCCCCGTCGTTGCCGCGAGCGCGGTTGACTCCGTTGTTATTGTCATCGGGGCAAAGGCCGCGTTGGAGGTCCGCATCGTACTCTGCCCGCCTATCCCATCCGTCATTTCACTCTCGCGCTCATCGTCGTTGTCGACGGCGAGTGCGGCTGGTAGCTGAGCGCGGTCCGCCGCCGCCACGGACGCGTCTTTCACTCGCGGGCGTTCGTCTTCCTTTTGCACAATCGATGGAGGTGGTGTGGCTTGTGGAGGGGCGGAGCGTCGTGCACTGTCTTCCTCATCTGCTGCCTCTATTACCCCTAGGGAAACCGGCGACACACCCACGTTCGGCGCAGGAGCAGCCAACTCTGCCACGTCGGCTTCTGAAGAACCGGCTGTGGTGGCGTCTACAAGTGCGACGGAGTAATCCTGAGCCTTCGACGGAGTCGACGCAGAGGGAGCTGCCTGCGCCATCGCAGCCGTTCGGGTGTGTCGTGCCAAATATGTTTGCATGAGAGGGGAAGACGTCGCTGAGATGCCCTGATGGCCCCGTAGAGCAGCGCTAGTGGAAGACGCTGTTGCCTTCGTCGTGGTGGTAGTATCACACGCAGCACCGGACAGGGGGCTGGACCGAAAAGATCCGCCTTGCTGGACTTGAGGGCCCGTAGCGCGTTCTTTTAGCGACGGCGGTGTCGAACTAACGTTTGACGACACACTGCCTGCTTTCTTCGCTATGTCTTCTGAATTACTCACTGGTGTTTGATCGTGATCTTTTTCTTCTATGTGCTGAGTGTCGTGATTCTGCGAAGCCAGTTCTGCTTCGCCGGCCGCAATTTCTGTTTCCTCGTTTGCACCGCCACATGAGTGTGCCAGCTCCTGCTCAGTTGTTGGCTGCGCCGTCGTCTTTTGTGGGGTCTCGGTGGAGCGGCTTTTTAACCATTTTGGCAAGCCAGAAAGATAGGACCGTGTACTGGCTTGCCTCGCCGGATCCTCGACCACCGTCGACGCAAAGCTCAAAGGCTCTGAGGGCGAACCGACGCCTGCGGCACTGCCAGGTTCTGCTGCTGTCGTCGCTACCGCGGAGGCTTCCATGACGTCCGTAGCGATCAGGCGCGGTGCGTGGGCAGCACTCGGTTGCGGCGATGTGTCCGTCACGGTAACGAGCGGGCCCTCCTCACCTCCCCCGCCTGACCCCGCCGCTGCCCCATCCATCCCGTTGGCGCCCGACGCCGCGTGCCATCGCCGCCGTCGCACGGAGTTACGGAATGAGGAGGTCGACGCAGCGCGGAAGAACGGGACGTCGCTGGGCGAGGAGCGGCCGGAGCGCACCGAGCCGTGCATGCGCTCCTTGTTTTCCTGTTGCATTCGCTCGAGATCGCTGAACGTTTGCGCCCATACTTTTCCCTCGTCGGCCGCGGCAGCTGACTCCGGAGCACCGCGACGGCGCCGTGTGGACCGGGTGGAGCTGGCGATGCTGCGATTATCATCGAGCGGGCTACCTAGTTCGCCGGTGGCGATCCATGGAGACCTGATGCCGCCGACACTCCCGCTCCCACCGTAACTACCAAAGTTTCGTGCAGGGGTGTCGACGTGCAAGGAAGCTCCATACCCGCCAGAAGGGCGGGCAGGGGCTGTCACGGTGGCTGCGTTGGCCCCGGTGCTAGAGGACGGCTCACTCATCACGAGCTGGGGACTTTTGTGTCTGTGTCTCTGCTTGCTTATTTGACGACTCTGCGATGTAGCGAGTATCGGGTCAGTTGGCGAAAGAGAGAAGAAAGAGGAGTGGGAAGAAAAGGCCGTGCGTCTGTGTATATATGTAAAGGTAAAAGAAAAGTCTGTTTAGGTTCGAAAAGGCAGTGCGGAAAACTACCATGGTCGGGGGGAGTGGGGGAAGCTCGCAGTAAAGGCAACAAGTTTTATAAATGAAGACTACGCGTGCTTCTCGACCCGGGTTTCAACGCCTCTGAATAATATCCACAAAAAAAAAATGACCGGAAATTGAAAATGTGTTTCTTTTTATTATTAAGACGTGTGGTTCCGTAATGAACCGCCTCGATAGCTGGAGAAAACCGCAAACGCTTTCAGAAAAACAAAAAGTCAGGAAATGCAAAGAAACAGAGAAAAAAAAGGAGACAATGTAACTGCACGACCTGCGGAATAACTAAAAATGATAACACGCTGACGGACACTCAGCCAACGACGAAGATAGAAGAAGAAAGAAAACAACGTTTTGTAGTTTCGATGAAGACAAAAGTACATACAAAACAGGTACACGCAGAAAAGAGATAAATAGAGAACCCCCTAAAGGCTCTAAAGGGAAGAAGAAAGAGGAAGTGAGGAAGTGAGGAAGACCGATAGAGTAGGTGCTTACTTGTTTGTTTTGGTGGTTTTTAAGAATATTTTTGCGCTTTCGCTATTTATGGGAACTACCATTCGCGATAAAGCGCGTGTTGACAGCAATGCCTCTCGCAAACCTTTCTTTTGACTCTTGTCTCGTTGTACCACACATTGCAATTACACAATACTGTTGATCAGGACGACAAAGATACATCCACGAAGGAGAGAGAACAACAACAAAAAGAGAGCAAGGCCATTTGCACAAGCCTTAAATCCTGTAAGAAGCAAGGCAAACTCCGCCATTCAACGACTTGGCCTTCCAATAGATCGCTTGTCCATACTGACGCAACGGTATGGTAAGCGGGCAAGACGCCGTGTGAGACGACTCGGAAAGAGAAGAAAAAAAAAACAGTCATTTTTTTTGTCTTTTTTCTTTTTTCCTTCTTCGAACGGTTTTCTCCGCGGAGCACTCAAGTCGTTGCATGTGGTTTTGTGGGACAATGCGCCCTCACAGGAGCGTAGGGGGGAAAAAAGAGGAGCAAATAAATAAAAGATGTGTTGGGAAGATACGAAATGTAAAGGAAAATGAGACAATAAGTCCCTTATCGTTTTAATGCCGTTTTGCGATACTAAACTTCGGGTCGGTCATCTTCCTCGAGAAAAGAGAAGAAAAAAAAGCACAGCAGAGCCGCACATCTCTCTCACAATACAGAAATTTTGTCACTGCGTCGCTGACGTTGGTGGTTTCACCGGGTCCCACACCATCTGGTCTGGATGGGTAGGATGGAAATAGGCTTCAATCGACTCCTTCGTCACCTCCTCAAACGTCGACGGTTTCCACTTCGGCTGCTTGTCCTTATCAATGAGCAACGCCCGAACGCCTTCGCGGAAGTCGTGCTCCACCAACACACGCTGCGTCGCGCAGTACTCCATCTGAAACGCCTCGATGATCGATCTCAGCTTCGAACCGCGGCGTAGTACCTCCAACGCAAGTACCATAGCGGTGGGCGAGTAGGTCGGGATGACGTCCGCGGCCGCCTTGGCGAGCGAGTTTTTGTCCGCATGTGCCCTACATGCCTGCACAATAGCCGGCAAATTCTGCTGTTCATCAATCGCGAAGTGATCGCGCAGAAACGGCAGTGACGGGGCGAGCGTGCAAGGTGGCAACTGCGCGGGTTGCACCGTGTACTTCTCCAGCACCTTCACCACCTCTGCCGCATCGGAGAGGGCACAGAGATCTTCCTCGAGCTGCCCGATCTTCTCCGAGGGCACAAAGTGCGACGCGAAGCCCAGGTGCACGAGATCGGCACCGCGAATACGATGTCCCGTCAGTCCCATAAAGAGCCCAAGGCCAGGAAAGGGGAGCCGCGGCAGAAACCACGACCCGCCCACATCAGGAATCATCCCGATGGCCGCCTCCGGCATCGCAAAGCACGCCTTCTCCGTCGCCACGCGATACCTGCTGCCAAAGGACAAGCCAACGCCGCCGCCCATCACGTAGCCGTCCCACAGGGCCACCTGCCCCGCCGGGATCTCATACACCTTGTGGTCCATCTGATACTGCCAGTAGAAGAAGTTCCGCCCACAGCCGGGTGGGGTGTTCGTTGTCACCCCGATCACGTCCCCGCCGGCGCAGAAAGCCTTCGTGCCCGCACCTTTGATGACGTACAACGAGGATGCCGGTGCTGGCTTGGCAAAGTACAAGTCATGGAGTTCCTGCACCATGTCGTAATTCAGCGCGTTCATCGACTTTGGATTGTTGAGCGTGATGAGCCGCGCGTGAGGGTAGTCCTTGCAGAGGACGCTGGAGCCGCAGCAAACGACGGACCGCCGCATCGTGCTGAAGAGTCCACACTTATCGCTTTCAAGGCAAAGAAAAAAAGAGGAAATGTGTAACAAACAAAGGGAGAGAAGCAACGATAAATCTTTTTATGCTCTGCGAATGACACGTTCAACGAGCTAATAAACAAACCCCAATGATGCCCGCAGCTGCTACGATGCTGTCTCAGACACAGCTAGAGAGAACCACAGTTTGTGCCTGCGATAGGATAAAACGGTACGGTGTAGAAACCGACCCGATACCCTGCGGAGACGAAGTGACAGTAAGGTGTCACGGAAAGAAAGCAAGCGAAGGTGCTTCTTGAAAGAGAAGAACAAGGTGTACGTGTATGGAGAGTCAGAAGGTATAACAGGGAAAAAAGAGTTCGCATTTATCATTTCCGCGAAGAGGCTCCCAATCCGCGGAGAGATGCTTTCGACATACAATTCAAAATCTCCCGTTTTTGAATGTCATTCCGCTTTCAACTAAAGCAAAGAAACCTGAATAAAAGACGAAATAATAATAGATCAATGGGGGGACAAAAGATGAAGCACCTACGCCTCGAATATAAAGCGCATCAGAACGAAGCCATGCCAGGTGGAAGTGTGAACAAGTTACGCGTCGCCGCCACATCGACATCCTGCACAGACTTGTGCGTCCACTTGGGGTACTTCTCCTTCGCCACAAGCAGCGCCTTCACTCCAATGGCCAGCTCGCGCTTGACATCAGCCGACGTAACCTCCGCAAAGTCACCACGGAGGCAGTCCAACAGGCTGTTGCACGCCGGTGTGTGCTGACGCTTCATGTTTTCCAGCGCAAGCACCATGCCAAACGGCGAAATGCGCTCCATGAGCTTCAGCGTGTCCAGCGCAAACGCCGAGTCATCTGCACGAAGCTTTTCCATGATGTCTTGCAGTCTCGTGCTCTCCTCGGCATCGCCAAACGCTTTGGCAATGACGGCCTCCTGCCCCGCCAGCGTAAACGGCGGCACCGCCACATTCGCAGCGAACGCGTCGAGGCAGCTCGCCGCAGCAGCCTCGCCGGGCAGCGTAGCCAAGGCGGCCTCCACCGCATCGTACTTCTCCAGCGGTATGTAATGGTTCGCCAGGCCGGCATGGTAGACGTCCGCCCCCTTCAGCGCGCCGCCCGTGATGACCATGTACGCACCCAGGCCCTTCACCGGGATCGACGAGAACACCCAGCCGGTGCCCACGTCGTTCACGGCACCGATGTGCGTCTCGGGCATCGCAAAACGCGTGGTCTCGCACGCCACCCGATGGCGGCCGTGGAGGGACACACCGACGCCGCTGCCCAGCACGTGTCCCGCCCACATCACCACCTGCGCCTGCGGCATCGTCGCAATATACGCATCCACCCGGTACTCCGTGGTGTAGAAGGTATGATTGTCCTGCGCTTGATGCGCGGCGACGAGGGCCTTCACGTCACCGCCGGCGCAGAAGCTGCGGCGGCCGTCGCCGCGCAAGACGTACAGCGCATCCTTGTGAGGGTGCGGCTCGGTGATGTACAGTCGATGAAGATCCTTGACCATGGGCAGATCAATGACGTTGAGAGCGTCAGGGCGGCTCAGCGTGATGGTGCGGCACGTCGCCGTGTCAACGCACAGCGCTGCCCCCGCAGCACTCAGACGCGCAGTGGACGCGCAGTGGACGCGCGCATCTACGCAAAAGCAGCTGCCCACAGTTGGCGCGGATGTGTGCGTGTATATGCAAACGGAGGAAAAACGGCGCTGCGTGCGACAGTGACGCGAATGCGGAGGAGTTCGGCCCCCGTGCGTGGAAGGAGTCTTGCTCGGTCCGTGTCGTTTCATGCGAAAGACGGTGTGCGAAGAGAGAGAGAGAGAGAGAACAACGGGGTCGAAGGGTCAGAAAGGAAAAACAGGGCCGAGGGCAGCTGCCACGCAACAAGTTGTGCAACCGACACAGACGGCGCTACACTACGCGCTGACTGCAGACAGGCGTTGATACAAGCCGCGCGCACAAACACTTAGTCTTCAATGCGAAGGGACGCAACCCTCTGCCCTCTCCGCTATTCCGGCATTCTCAATCTTTGTCTCACATGCATCGAGCAGTAGCGCTGTGGCACGCATTGCTGCTGCAACGTCCACGGAGGCGGAACTCAAACGTTCGTAGCGCATCCTCTACGCATCCCCAGCGTTGCCAGCACGGAGGTCCATCTTCAAATTTGGCGCCAACTACTAAGTCCATCTCACACACATGCACACAAACTCAGCAACACAAAGAGGGCTTATCCTAGCGCAATGACTGCAGCATTGGTCGCCTCAGCAGCAGCCTCACCGTCGCTCGCGCCCCGGCCCGCAGAGCCGCCCTCGTCATCGGAGCCGTCCGTCATGGGCGAGCGGGCGCGTCGGCGCTGCGGAAACGCCGGGGCGTCCGCGTAGCTCCCCTCGTCCCCCGCCGCGTCTTTGGCCCCGCTCGGCGAACCGCTCTCCTTTGCCGCTGTCAACAGATTCCTCGAGTAGTGGCCGTACACGCGACTGCCGCTGGTAACCACCACCGTGGCCGCATCCACCACGGTCAGCCCGCTGGTCGGGCCCACGGAGGTACCAAACACGGTGCCGGTGCCGTCGCTCGGAGCCGAACCCACCGCCCAGCTGTACAGCACAACGCCACCCGCAGAGGAGGTCGTGACCAGCCGACGAGGCGCCGCGGGCGACGGCGAAGGGAGCAGGTCGAACTCAAAGACTTGGTTCGTCTTCGCAGGCCGCGCCAGCGTAAAGACAGGGGCTCGCGGCCGCCGCAGGTCCCAGCAGGCGATGCGGCCATCGCCCTGGCTGCCCCCAGCGTACACACGCAGCGGGTCCTCAGCGGAAACGCGTAGCGTCTGCACACCGTGCTGCAGCCCGTGCAGCTCCGCAGCGGGGCAGCGGCTGCGGCAGTCGATCAGGTGCACCGACGGCACATTGTGGTAGCCGACAGCCAAGAGAGACGTTGTGCCCGGCCACGAACAGTCCCGCAGTGCGGACACGAGTCCGTGGCTGCGCGTGGCGCTGTACGCCCACACAGGCTGGCTGCCCTCCACCAGCACGTCGAACACACGCACCGCGGTGGCGTCCTCAAAGCCGCCGTAGCCGCCGGCAATCCAGTGCGGATGGCTCGCGCTGCCAAACCAGCACACCGCGTGCGCGTGCACATGGTAGTCGCTGTCGTTGGTGGCCACGTAGGATGCACGCAGGGAGGCGTCCTCCACGTCCCACAGCTGCAGCGGCTGATCCCGACTCGCCGTGACAAAGGAGGCTTCGCTCTCGCCCTTCTTGAACGGGCACCAGGCCAGGTCGATGGCAGGAAAGGGCAAAGAGACACGCGGCACACCCGCACGGCTCTTCGGTGAGACGGCCACGGAGCGGGTGGCGGGTGTGTAGGTGAGGTACGGCACGTACGCCTTGTCGCACGTCGCGATGATCTCGTTCGGACTGTCCGGGGCGGCATAGAGGCGGCGCAGATGCGCCTGACCCTTGTAATACCCCTCCCCAGTCATGACGGCGTTGGTGCAGTGTGCAGTCCTGCGGGTCAGCTGCAACTCTGCGCGTGCGGTGGTACTCCCGCAGATGGAAAAGCAAGCACTATGGGAGCAGAGCAGAGAAGAAGGTGGAGGAAATGATTGGGGGCACGAGATGATGCGGAGAAGCCATTGATCGTCATCGCATTCGACAAAGCAAACGGAAGCACCAACTGGCTTCGTCGGCGCCTCCGTCGCCCCTCGATCGACGTAACGCTGGGAGGAAGTCCGAGTCGCTTACGTGCATGTTAGTTGTAGTCTTCTCCACGGAATGATGCAACGGTGCTCTTACCAAATTCGGGGGCAGAGCAGAAAAATCTCAACACGCACCTACTTGTTGCGCTTACTCGGCCGCCGTGGCGCCCGCTTGTGGGCTGAGCACTCCACGCAGCCGCTCTATCAGCGCGTCGTCCTCTATGCAATGTCGCACCGAGGGGTCAGCCGTCTCCTCCGCATCCGCCAACCGAGCACGGACGTCGCGCAGCACCAGTCTCAGGCCCAGCGCCTCCATCTGCACCGCCACACATGCCTGCTGCAGCGTCTCCCGCTCGTAGCGCTGCAGCTGATAGAGGGAGATGGCGCTGCCGAGCCGCTGCTGCAGCCCCTCCACGAAGGACATGCTCGTCTTGAGTCGGCTGTAGTAGGGCGACCACACCTGTTCCGCGGCCTCCCTCTCATGCATGGCCGCACTCACCTCCTCCGCGGCGTCGTCCAACCGCGATGTGAGGCGAAGGATCTTGCTCTTGACGAGTTCGTCGAGGGCCGTGGTGGTGGTGGAGGGGGACGACAGACCTGCCTCAGGAAGAGGGGTCACGGCTTGCTCCACCTGCCGTGCGATCAGCTCCAGAACGGGGTGGATGCCGTCAGCAGATCCACCGTGGGGACCGGCTCGGTCGTCGCTTCCGCTGCGGCCGTCGTGCTCGTGCGCGTCGCTCTCAGAAGCGGTCAGCGCGGACACCTCCGCGAACAGGTGAGACCGATGCGGCTGCACCGCGTGCTCACCCGTCGGACTGTCCGGTGCCTGCGTGCTGCCGCTGTACTGCAGATGCCCCTCCGCCACGCCGTCTCCCTGACCCGCGCCGCTGCGCACGTCGTGGCGTCCTTCAGCTCCCACTTCGCCGTTTGCCCCCTCGGCGCGCTGTCCGTGTTGAGCTTCGTAGGCGGCGTAAGGGTCATCAAACTGGTGCATCTCGGCGGCCCGCACGACCTGCGGCATCGACGGCGGTGGTGGCCGCGGGGGGGAAGGCTGGCCCGATCCGCTCGCAGAGGCGGCGCCCATTGGGCCGGGCAGCTGCTCTGGAGAGGGTGGGGAGCGCCGAGCCCCGCCATCGCCGTACCCGAGCCGGCGCACCCACCGATCAGAGTGGCGGGCCAGCGCCGGAATGGTCTGCGGGCTGTGGCGAAACACACTGTCCACGGCGACGGTCTCTAGCAGCTGCACCGTTCGATGGTTTGGTTTCCGCATCAGTGCGCTGCGCCCCGACGACGGGGCGGCGTGCAGCGCCTCCATGAAGGTCTGAAACGCCACCTCCTTCTCCGCGACGCTGGGGACGGAGCGCAGGAACGTGTACAGCGTCGCCGTCGTTTCGTAGGGGTCGTCCGTGATGACCGCGTTCTGCGGGCTCGTCGCCTTCAGGTGCAGCACGGGGAGCGACGTCATGGCTGCGGCTGGTTCCTGTGGCAATGCGAAGGGCCCTTCACTATGGTTATGTTGTCTATGCGGTGAGACCGGCTGACGGCGTGCCCGCGGAGGCCTCTGCCACCGTAGGTTTACTGTCAGCGTGTCTTCAAACCGTTTGGTGTCGCTGACTGCGCTTCGTGATGCAGCCGGCAAGCCTGTTGTCTGCGCTAGATCGTTTGGTCACCGCTGGCGGGAGCTAGAACACACAAAAATCGACACCGTCACGCGCAGACGCATGCATGGAAAAAAGAGTGAAGCAGACGGAGGGAAGAGAGAAGGGTGAGAAATGAAGGCATCGAGCGGCAGGCGGACGCCCGGAAAACGCATATGAGCGCTCATCGAGGAGTTGTTGCTCGCACAGTTAGATGGCGCGAAGCCGTCGTGCCTCGCCCGCCACTCTTGCTTACGCGGCGCGCAGCTGCACTTTCTCAACCCCACAGTGCAGGAGGTTAAGCTCGGCAGGAAAGTCGTTTTCACACGCATGTCAAGAACACAAGATTCAGATGCAAAGCAGCAGGCAGCAAGCAGGGCCCTGCCCCTCACAAGATCGTACCGCCGGGTGCCTCGCCCTCGATCACGCCAGACCGGTGCAGCGGCACCGCCGCCCCACGCGTGATGTGCTGCAGCTCCTCCGACTCCGCGCGCGGGGCGAGGTACAGGTCAATGTACCTCGTGAGCAGCTGCACCCACGCATCGCGCTCCTCCGGGCTGTCCGCGGCCAGCACCAGCTGCTCCCGCTCCCCACTGGAGGCATAATAATCCACCGCAAAGTACGTCTTGCTTGCGTCAGTCGCAGCAGGGCAGTCCTCCCGCAGCACGAGAGGCCAGCACACCGCCGCCTTCTTGAAGCGGCTGCCACGGCTGTTGTGCGTCTCGATCCAGAAGGCAGCGCGGCCCAGCGGACGCTGCGGCTGCTGGAGAAAATCAACCCTGCTTGCGTACCACGCGATGCCCGCGCTGCCAGTGACCACCACGTAGTGCGGCACGAAGGTCTGTGTGCCGCCCGTGCCAAACAGACCGCCACTTCGCACCAAGTGAAGCAGCGTGCCCTCTTTGCTGGTGGCGGCCTCTGGTGCCGCGGCAACGGCAGAGGGACCCGGGGCTGGCGGCGGCGCCGCTGAAGGGCTGCTGGGGGAGCGCTGCACAGTCGTCGGCGACGACCGCGGGGGAGATGCGACAGAGAGGGGAGGGGCAGCCGCGGCAGGCTCCGCGGCGTTGATGCGGGCCAACGGTGACGAAAAGCACTCGCTGTCCGCCGTCGCTTGGATAGGACCGGCCTTGTGGAGGGCGGACGCAGAAGCTGTGCGTGCAACCGAGCTTTCCGCTAGTTTTTCCTCCATCAGGCGGATCTCGTCAGCGATTCCCCGGGTGAGCACATCGATGCGGGTTTCTATGGAGGTCATTGTCTCCCGCTGTCGCTGTCGTGAAGCGCGTCCACCAAACGACTCGAGTACAAATGTGGCGGCAAAGATCGCCTTCGGTGAGAGGAAGCACACGGTTGTGTGCGTGAATTGGTTCCTCGACGCGGGAGGGTCGCGCAGATGAAAGAAACAGCTGGTGTGCGTGTGTGAAAGACGCAGGAAGAGAGAGCAGAAAGAATAGAGGAGGCAGAAAAGGGGCAATAAGAAAACCTGTGAGCAGTGCACCGTGCTTTCCCACGCACTGAACAGGAACGCCAACGCTCTTCTCAAAGTGCAGCGGCGAAGGACTCCCGCTACTTGCGGATTTGCAGAAAGACACGCACCGTCTCTCCCGCCCCTTGCCCACAATGAGAAAACAAGCGCCCGGCCACGACGTGGAGCTGCACCCAGAGCACTCCGTCGCTTCTCGAAGAGGCAGCAGATCAGCCACTACCGTTGGTGGCAACAAAGCTAGCTGCTTTACCGCAAACGGTATTAGCGGCTTTCCTTTCAAAAACTTCCTAGTACTAAATACACCGACCACCACAAATGAAAAAAGCATAAAACCAAAAACAGCTGCTGCTGAGGAAGCGGGGGAGAAAGGCGAGAGCAGCAAAGCGCTGACAAACAAAAGAAAAGAGCAAAGATGACACGTATGATGAGCTCATTTTTCGTAGTTCTTTTCACCTTCCTTGCTTCCTCGGCAGCTGGTTTGTTTTCGTCTTATGTTCGACAGATATGCACGCGCCTTCTGCAGATATCCAGTGTCAGCTTCAAGGGATCTCACAGAAAACAGCGACCAATGCAACTACACGTACTCGCATGGGCCGCTAAGGGCGTGCAACCGTACACCGAGACCTACTACTACTTTAAAATTTACTGTGGTACGTATACGTATATATTTATATGCGTAAGTGCGGCTAGAAAATGAAGCTTGTTTCGCGAAGAATTGAAAGCTAGCACCCCTAGCGCTCCTCTGCCTTCTCGTTCTTCTTACATCTCCCCCACGAAGTTCTCGGTGCCCGGGATGGACACAGTGCCGGAGTAGTGGTGCTTCGCCATCGCACCCGGCTTGTTCCAGCTATACCAATCCATTTCCTTTGCGTACTTATCCTGCGCCCATTGCGGCATCGCAATGCCGGGCAGGTAGAAGGCGCACTGCATCGACTGGTACCAGTCCATGTTGCCGAGCATCATGAGGGCGCAGAGGGCAGATGGGATGAAGAGTACCATGTTGCGCACCGGGATAAGCGCGGCACGGTTATCGAAGCGGCCGTACTGAATAAAGGAAGACCACATGCGACCGCCCCAGCCGCCACACATGGTGATGGGGTAGAAGTTGTTGTACGGCGCCATCCAGCTCACACGGTTCCAGTTAATGCCCATGAAATCGCCCGCGAAGAGGCGGGCTGGGAAAGAAGCCTTCGGCGGAGCCATTATGCCTGATGAGAAGGGAAAAAGAGATTGAATACTGCTGTGAGAAGTGGAACCTTTAGCGGGAAATTCTGCTAGGTGTTGAGTCGATCAACTCTCTCTAGGTGGTTTGGCGTGCTACGTTTATCTGCTTCTATATAGATTTATAGAAGGGAATCTAGGCGCCACGACCGTGGTAATAACCCGAATGTTGTCGTATTGGCGCCGTTCCATTCGTTTTTTGGGCCAACGGATGAACATGAAGAACACCAGTGGGGTTTACGGCAAGGACAGAAAGGGAGAGAGAGAGAGAGAGAGGAGTGACCCGAACAGACCGATCGTAACGAACCCGCAGAGACGCGGATGAGTAGCCTTTTCTTTTTCTTTTTGCGGTCAGGATGCTTTCGTTCCACAATCGCAGCGGCGCAAGTCGCATCGTCTACTACGCCCATGAAGCCGTATCAAGTACGTTCTACATACAATGCGTATATGCAGTCTGAAACCGGGACCCCGTCTCCAACGCTTAGCGGAAACCAACAACACAAAGGAAAGGAAAATTCTTCGTTTACGCTTTCCAAGCAGTATTACTCTTGTGAAAACGATCGTTCTATGCTGCTGTGATCTCAAAAAGAAAAAGAAAAAAGTAGTCAGCAGACATAAATCTAACTATTAGCTCTAAAAAAAGAATAAAGCGGCACCATACTCTAGCAGCGTGGCGTCGATTTCTTGGTTCACCTCCGCTGTCATTTCGCGCAGAAGGTCGATCTCGCCTGCAACAGCGTCGGCACGAAAACTGTTCTGTGCCTCCGCATCGGTCTCTCCTGGGTTGCGCAACAAATTTACCCGATGCATCTCTGCAGTGCGTGCTTGTCGAACCTCCTCACGAAGAGCAGTTAAGTCTTCTTCTGCAGTGTGGGTAAACGCATCTTGTGCTTCTTTATACCCTTCGAGCAGGCTGCACAGCGTTGCGCACGTGGTAGCATCGGCTTCCGTTTTTTCCGAGCTTGCCACCGTGCCTTGCTCCTCGTATGAGTTGACACTACCGTCACGTACGTCACGTGCACTGCTTCCGTGCACCGCCCACCAGATTAAACACCGCACCAGCTCCTGCTCAGCAGACTCAATGGCACGCAAAACATCTTTCTCCGAAGCATCGGTGCTCGCGGCTTCTTCGCGGAGATCCTCGAGGGCCATTTCGAGCATTCGGGACTCGCGCTGCAGACGCAGTCGCGCCGCTCGAGCACGCAGCACTCCGCTCTGAATTCCCTGCGACGCATGGATCGCGGCACCGCCTTGGCTGACGCTCGCCCGGGGTTGGTTCATTCCCTCGAGAAGGGAAAGAAGATGAAAGAGACGGTGCCGTGCTATGGGAAGTCTCGCTTCGGTCTCCTTCTGCGCGTGACCACGTGGATGTAAAGAGGAATAGTTTCGGTGAAATCCAAGAAAAGGCGCAATATGGGAAAAGAAAGCGGTGACACAGAGTTAAAAGGACAGCACTCCACATGTTGTTTGGTTTGGGTATTTTTTGAACAAGCAGGATTCAAGAAGCGAAGACAGCACATAGATGACAGCAGTCAGCAAAGTTAATCCTGTTGAAGATATCCGATGGGACTCATTGGAAGGTGCGAGGAATCCATTCAGGTGTGACAAGTAGCTTCTACTCCCAGCTCTCACAAAGAAAGGAGGTATTAAAAGCTTCGCCTTTTGATACGCCGCGGACACCCTTTGCCTGTGTAATCCCTTCTTTGCACGAAGCCGAAATGATGCAGAGCGCGAGCCAGGCGGGAACAAAAACCCCTTGAGGAAAAAGCAAAGGAACAGAAAAAAGAAGCTGCTGGATAACACCATGAAAAGCGATCGAACGCAGATCAACACGTTTACCACAAACACAAAAAAAATGCAGTCAACTCCCATCGCAGCCACGCCAAACAGAGAAAGGAGAGGCGCTTCCAACATCCAAAAGAGGTCTTTAAAAAAAAAAAGAACTTCAGCAGAAGACGCAACGTATCGCTTGTAGAGTTCCGACGAGGGAAAAACATCAAAATATGCTCGGAGGTGCGACTCGATTTCGTTTCGTTTCTTTCTTTTACGCAAAAGCCCAGTCTTCTCCTCCTTCACGCTTTAGGATTGCGCACCAGCAGCCGGCTGGTTGACGCCAAGAAAAAGGTCGTCGTTTTCGTCCACCTCTTCGTAGGATACCGCACCGGGCTGCGTGTTGTTGCGACGGCGGTTAATGCTGCGCATGATCGTGGTGCCGACATCCGACAGCATCCTAGAGGCTGCGGCGACCGGCGCACCAAGCGACGCCACCGACTCCCCTGCAGCGTGGGCAGAGATGAAAAGAGAAACGTAATAGGAAACCGCCACGAGGAAGCACAGCAGAAAAAACTGGGAGCCGGAGAGGAGCTGCTGTTTGGCGTCATCGTCGTCGGCGGTGCTCGACAGCGCCTTCGCAATGGCGGTAGCGGCGACGTGAATCCGTGACGACATGTTTTCTATTTTGAGAGTTGGTGTGTTTCGGATAAAAAATTTCCGCGTCTGACGTGGATGAACGAGTTGTAGCAGCAGGTGAGGAAAGAAACAGTAAAAAGTGGTGAAAAGCTTGTACCTGTCAGAGTGAATTCAGCGATGTAGCAAAATGCAGACTTCGCTGATGTGATTCGAAGAGAGAAGAGAAAAGAGAAAAGGAAAAAGCAAAGGATATGATAGGAGGCGTTTTATGTATTAGAAAGGGGTAAAACGCTACACTTTGAAGCTGACTTATTTTTCTTTTCTTGTTGCCTCCTTCACTTCTGCTGTGAGACGGTGGGTGGAAAATGAGGTCTCAATGAAGCGGCTACCGTGTAGTACACCGCATGCTACACAAGGAGCGCAGTCCTACGCCGTGCATACGCTAAATCGTTCTCTGGTATTCATTTATTGGTGCGTTAGTGCACATTACGACTGTCTTGTGAAGGTATGTAATTACAATCAGCGTGTCAGAGCACGACGTTCCTGTCGGGAAAATAAAGCTGTGCTTTGTACTCCATTTATTCGGCTTCCTTACGAAAGCAGCCGAGCCCAGCGGTTTACTTTCATTGTCTTTTTCTTTCTTGCGAGTCCACGCCTTACCGTGATGCGTGTCTTCGACGCCACTCGCGATAGTTCGTGTCCTCCAGCCAATCATTTCCACCACTCCTCTCGTACGCCAGTGCGATGCTTTCCTGCGCCAGCAAATCCACGGCCGGTGCGATGGCCTGCCCACTGTGTCGTTGAAACCGTTGTCGCATGTCGGCTGCGGCCTCGTAGTCGTCCTCCGCCAGCTCCACGTCGGCCTCGTCGCCGGGTGGGAGCCGCACCTCCGACTCCGTCTCGTCGGGGCAGACCGCCTTGTCGTCCCACAGCCGCGAGATTGCAGACGGCGCGGCGCCGGTGCGACGGCACACGTACAGCAGGGCATCCCGAAGCGCAACACGCCATTCCTCCATCGCCGCGAGGTGCTTCGCGCGCTCCGGGATGTCAAGAGGAACATCCAGCCGCAACGTGAAGTCGTAGAACGAGGAGTTGTCTGGAGAGGAGTCGTGCTCCATTACCATCGCCGATGCTTTCACGTTAGGTCGTTTGGCGTACTCTACTTGCGCCACAATTCCTGCGGAGTGCAGCTCTTCGGCGACAGCAGGGTGCAACGCGCTGATGGTCAGTTCGGCTCCATTTGGGCTAACAGCTGGGATAAAGGAGTCGGAGGCTGCCTCCACCACCACATTGAACCGCGTCTGCGACAACGCACCGGGGGTTCCCGTGGCGCGGTTGTTGTCGTGGTTGAGGCCGTCCTCATTTTGGCAAATCAACTCCTCCACGGCCGCTAAGAACGCGAGCGACTCGCGCGTCACGGCACCCTTTTCAGCTCTTATGGAGCCGTTGCTGTTCGGGCTCTGCTGCACTTGTGCCAGCTGCTTGTCGCGAAGGTGCAGCTGCCGGCGGACCCTTCGCGACCGCACTTCCTTCGCTAATAGAAGTTCACTGAACGCCAAGGAAGAGAGTCGCAGAACGGGGAGTGCCTTTTTCAGCGCCGCGAGCACCTCTGCGTGTGCTGTCGCGCTGCTACACTGACACGTCGCAACAGCGTCCTTCACTGCGGTGCTCTCAGGATGCGATGAGGACGGCAAGAGACCAACAGGCACCCCAGCGTGAAGGACGCCAGAGCGGTAACGAAGCGATTTCTGCCCGTTCAATCCCGCAGCCGGCGGTCGTGAGGCAGCCTCCAGAAAGCGAAGCATCGCGGGTGTCACGGCACACGTTACTCGACTCTGAGGATGTGTCCACCAGCACAACGGAGAAGTAGGCGCTGCTTTGTCCGTGCCGCGCAACAACGGCGTGTCCTCGACAACGATGGAGGCGGCACCTCTGGCGGTCACACGAAGGCAGATAAGATACCCGCCATCATCGCCTTTACGCACCGGGTCCGTCCGCCAACTGGCGTGTGCGACGGCGGTGCGTAACGCCAATGGGTATTGCTCTGCTTCCTGCGCCGAGGAGCCGTCTTCAATGGCTACCCACGTTGGAAACCCCTCTCGCCCTTCCCTGCGAAGAAGCCGCACCGTCTCCGCCGCGGAATCGCGGTGAGGAACGTAACGCTCCGCATCAGCAGAGATGAAGGGCACGCATTCGACTTGCAACGGCGGCGGAGCCGGCTCACCTGCTTCGAGAGGGCAGGAATTGGCCTCAAGTTGTCGACCTTCAGCGTCAATTTGCTGAAGAACGGCACACACCACCGCCTCGTTCTCTATCACGTTCACGCTCTGGGTCGCGTAGATCACCCAGCCGCCATCCGTGGGAGCATCACCGCGGCCACTGCCCACGTCCACCGCGTGGATGGCATTGTAAAGGCACTGCTGCAGCCGTGAAAAGTTTGTGTTCGCCAACTGACAGCGTTCCACAAAGCTGTTTGGTGGGGCGGTGGAGAAGATGCGCGCAGGTGAGCCCCCTGCAGTGCCGACGTCAGGTGCTGCCTCGCTGCCGCCGCTGCTGTTGCTCAAGCCGTCGGCGGCCTCGTCCGGCTCTCCGCTGGAGAGCCAACCGCGAGGGCGCACACCGTCCTGCGACGTCGTCGGCACGCACACGACCACGCGACCGCGCGGCGGAGTGTGCAATTTGACCCGCTTCTGTGAAGCCGTCGATGATGATGACTTGTGAAGATGGCGGTGGCGATGCGCCTGTTTAGGCGGTATTACGTACACCAAATTCGGATAGCGGTCCGCGACCGGCACCGCAGAAGCATCGTGGATCGGTAAAGCGGCAAAGAGCTCCGCGTGTCCTTGAGCCTTGAACCGTCTCGATGCGGAGGACTTCACCGGAGTGAAGGTCGCATCCTCCACGACGACCACCACACTGCGCAGTCGACTTACCGCATCGTCGTCCTGCTCCTCTTCCTGTGTGGCGCGAAACAGGTACTGGGCAATTTCGGTGTGGTAGGTGCTCGACGCAGCGCGTCCCAAACGCACATCCGCCGTTGTGTCCGCTTGGTACAAGAGCACCGCATAGCTGCTCTCCACCTCCGCGGAAGCGTCGCGCGGTGCGACGGCGGCGGCGAGATGCACACTAAGTACAGAAATAGCATGGGAGAGAAGATCCACGTTGAGCAGCGAGCCGCTCGCAACTTGACGCTGCAGCCAGTACGTGTGGGCGAGTGTCGGCGGACGGTAGGATGCGACGACGCTGTCCTGATCGGGAGCATTCGTGGAAGCTTCGTGTCCTTTCGCCTCTTCTTTTACGGACTCTCGGCCCTCGTTGTCTTGCATTGAGAAGTCGTCTTGCAACATCGCACCCAACATATCCGCCGAGTCAATTGCTTCCGTCTCCGCTACCGCCGTCGTCGATGAGGATACCGTTCTCGCATCTTCCCGCGCTTTCCCGTCTAGCAGACCCGCCGCGGGGTTCGAGCCGCTCTCTGCTAGGCTCACGCGGGTGGTGGCCGCGGTGAAAGGCTCGTAGAGCGGCGCGCCAATCGACTGCGTAGGCACCAGTGGTACAACGTACAGGCACGCATCCAAGTCGGTTGCTGCGAAGACAGGGGAGGTGTTGGGGGATGGAGACGCTGCTGCAGCTGTTGCTGTGACATCGGCACTTCTCGCAGAAGTCACCGGTGACGGAGTGTCCGACATGGCACCTGCGCTGTGGTGGCACTCGAGCTGATCTCGCACCGTCAGTCGCACCAGTGGCAATGTGCTGTTCACAAGGAAAAAAGCACGTGACGGCCGCAGCATTGTATCCACAAAAGCGTAGCGCTCCGCCTCAGAAATGAGACCTTGCTCTACGTAAAAGTCCGCAAAAAAGTGTCGCTGCACGTCACGCATCTCGCGGCGTCGCTCGTCGTCCGACTGCGGCGGCGGAGGCATCTGACCGGCGTCGAGCTCCTCATCGGCTGCTGCTGCCAGCTCAACGAAGAAGCGCTGGGCCAGCGCCAACGTCGATTCACGCAGCTCCGCAGCGTCGTCGGCGTCCTCCTCTGCGAGAAATTTCTGCGCCGCCTCTTCGGTGTGGAAGGTGACCGGCGCCGTGAAGCCACCGCCGTCGCGGTCTGCTTCATCCGCCACCAATTGAATCGGCTTTGCCTCCCGCCATGCACCGTTGAGAAGTTCCTCCTTTTCTTGCCGGGACAGGTCCTTCATGTTGCCCCAACGGCGGTGCATGTTTGGTGTGGGGAGGTCCCGGAGACTGCGTGGGACGCGTCGCCCTCCGCGCTTGCCGGCAAGACAGCGGGTGAAAGAGAGCAGGCCTCGCATTTAAAAAAAAAACGAGAGAAAAAAGAATGCTGAGGAAGGCGTCTTGGCGATTTCAATCCGTTGCCCGTTGACGCCTTTTCCTCGGTAGTTTAACAGATTGCGACATCCAAGTGAGGGAGATTGACAAAGAACAGCAGAAAGAAATTGAAAAGCTGTGATGCTACCTATTAACTCCACAGAAAATATATATATATTTAGGCCCCACGACGTCTTTGCGCAGAAGCAGCATAATAAAACTCCCTTCTTGTTCTTTATGGACAAGGGAGGGGGGGAATGACTCCTGTTGCCCTTGAGGCGTTGCATCGCGTGATGAGAAGAACGAAAGGCCCCATCATAAAAGGAAACCAGTTCGGCTGCGTTCTTCCTTGAAGGTATGAGTCCACGCGTGCAGCTTCTTCCGTGAATCACTTTCGTCTTTTGCCGGCAAGCTACTTCTTGTCTCAATTTTTATTTTTTGAGACGAAATCCTCTCCTGCAAATTCGGTACTTCGCCCGTTTTCGAAACGGACTGTCTTCTCGAGCGGCGACCGCTCATCGCACCGCACCTGAAACCGAGCAAAGACACGCCAGGGCCTGCGCATCCCACAGCGCATCATGCTGGCGCGGTGCTCCATGCAGAGCGGCTGCCGTAGCATCACGCACCGCCGCCTTCTCCAGCGCCACGGAGAGACTGGGCGTCTTGTTGGACGACAGAGCAAAGCCAGAGGCGGTGAAGAGAGGATGTTTCGTGATATCCACCACACGTGCTTCGTACGGTGAGATGAGCTGAACATCGCTATTGGGGGTGCTCTCGTCCGTTTTCCCTGCCTCAGCAGAGGAGGAAGAGGAAGAAGTGGGGGATTTGCTGGACCGATGCGTCAAGAACCGACGCACCTTACTCCCTCTAACCGACAGGTGCAAGTTGAGCGGCGGCACGGATTTGCTGAGCCCCAACGTATTGTGAATGACGCGGAGGTCGGCGTTGCCGTAGACAAACACTTTAGGCGGTGCTGTCCCGGACCCTTCGCCTCTCGTGCTGTCCTCCCTATCACCTCCTCCTCTCACCTCCCCCTCACGGAGCAGCCCACCCCACACCAGGTTCATCCTCGTAGCAAGTTCCTCCAGCGTATTGCACTCCACAAAGACCGCCGCCTGTGTGATGGGTGTCGTAATCGACTCACCTGTGCCGACCGCGCCACGCGCTTCCCTTACGCCTCTTAAGTCCTCCTCCACGCGGGTGTAGCACGCGGTCAGCCACTCATACCAAGCGGACGGGCTCTCGAACACCGCTTGCAGCACTTTTTGAAGAAACTCTGGGTACGTCCTTGTGCAGAAGGCGAGAGGCTTGTAGCCGTTCTTTCCGCGCCCAGCGTGGAGCAGGCAGCGCAGCTGCTTTGCTGCCGCCTTGAAATCACGGGACTCCACTGGAGCTGCGTATAGCGTCTTGAGTGCTTCCCTCTCAAAAATGCGGACGTTGGGAATGCCGTAGGGATCGAGCCCTCTGAAGTTGTGCGTCAGACCGTCACGCATCTGCAGCGAGCGCGACGCCATGGCCTCGGCGGACGACGTAAGACGAGTTGTTTTCAATGAAGAAGAGGAGGAAAAAGCAGTAGGGGAAGACAAGAGGGATGCATCGTGGTCTTCCTCTACGTTAATAAAGTCATCCGTGTCTACTGTACCACTAGAACAGTCAGGCGCGTCACCGGCAGCCCCGCCCGCTCTCTCCTCTTCCCTCTCTCGCTCAATCTTTTCATCTTTCTTTTGCTTGCGTTGCGTCTTAAGGAGGTCACGGTGAGCGCTTAGCTCGTTCCTTGCTGTCTCGTGAAATTCTCTGACGACCGCAGTCAACGCCGGCGTTGGTGCAAAGCGGACATCGATCATCTCGCGAAGAAGGTGGCCGCATGGTAGCGACTCCGCGAGGCTCAGTGTCACATCCGGCTTTAGCTCCAGCACAATTGGTTTGTCGAGTAGCTCGGTCAGCCGCGTCGGGGCGTCGTCGGCCGTACCACCCCCTTTGTTTTGCTGCGTTGCATTCGTCTGAACCGCAGATTCGCTGCCCGCAGTTGCTTGCGCGGTGGTGATGCGACGAAAGGGCACGAAGGCGGCGGAGCGGGCGTAGACGCTGCCTTTGCACTTCACGAACTCCAAGTCGAGCGCGTACGCTTTTGCTGCCTTTCCCTGTGAGAGCATCACTCGACTGGCACGCATCCGAAGATTCCAGCGAGAGGATAACAACGACAGTGACTGACGCTATTTACGGATGCAGAAACAATGCCGCAACCAATCGACTGGAGTGACATCCAGCCAAGCTTCTTTAATGAGAGAAGAAAGAAAGGGGAGGAAAAGGAAGAAGAAGAACAGCAGAGGACCAAGTTGAACGTAAGGGATATGCAGTAGGACGATATACACTTGCTTCGGAACGGAAAAGAAAACGACGCCACGTAAGTGTTAAATTCACATTTTTTGCTTTTTTTTTTAAGAGCATGACGCAGTTTTTCTTTGAACGGAACACCGAAGATGCATATTTCGTAGCACAACGCCACCGCTGGCGTTTGTTTCCTTTTCCTCTCTCTTTCAGTCGCATCGTTACGACGAAGAGTTCCCTACGCATCGATAGGGGAGTTACGGCCCCAAGGCACGCGAGGTGGCGGGTGAGACACACCGAAAAGAATTGCACATCGGGAGAAGCGAGAAGTAAAACAACCAGAGCAAAGGGGAAAAAAGCGACAGTTTCCACTTGACTCGAATACGTCACTCGACACAACCTACATCATCGCTTGGGGGAAAAAATGCGACGGAACAGAAGAAAAAAGGACGCAGAGAGAGTCGCCCGATCTCTCTCAGTCAACGGGCTCCTGCACGACCACGAGGAGAAACCCCTCGCTGCAGCGGACGACAATCTCGTGCAACAACGTGCGCACGCGGATCAGCTCTACGGCACTCTCCCGAATCGGTAAAACGGGCGGGGCAGACGCTGACTTCTTCCGTGACGCGCCCTTCGTACTCTCCGGCGCAGCGGCTACAGGACACGCTTTCATCGGCTCGAACAGACACGCCGCCTGACGCGCAAGGTCGGCCGCCATCGCCGCGTACGACTGCGCCAACGAGCGATCTAAGTTTTGAAAGCTATCGCGAATCGGCTCTCCCGCAGCCGTGCACACCACCACCCCCAACACGCCCTTCGTGTAGGTGAGGTGCTCAATGACGCCCTCGATCACCTCGCGCGACATGGCTCACTAAAAACACCTATTGAGATTGATAATTAATGCTGTTCTTTCCTTTTTAACTTTCCTTAGCCTAAAGAAGGGGAGAGAGCAAATCAGAAGAAACGTCGTTGCTCACAAGAAGAACAAGAGCAGTACGCGCCACCTTCCAAGAGGGAAAAAAAAGAAGACCTCGTTGGAATCTATCGAAGCAAGCCTGCAAAGTGAGAAGAGCGCGGCTTTTTTCGTTTAGATAAACGTTCCGTTCCTTTCCCGCACACCTCTGAAACGGGAAGTGGAGAGAGAGAGAAAAACGTACAGTTCATGGCAGGTGCCATAAGTTGTTGACGTTTTAAGACGAGTAAACCAGAAAGAAGACGATGATGATGAGGCAAAAAAGGGCCATTCTGCACGGATGTGTTATACCAAGCGCAGGCAGTATAAAACGCGTGCAAGCAAGACGCATAACACGCGCTTGTAGGAGGGAACGCATGCGCATCGACCAACCAGGTGGCGTGTCACTTAGGGAGAAAGAGGAAAGCGCCTGCTCCGCGTATATTTCTTTTCTTCTTCCACTGAAACGTACGGCCCAAGGTAGCACAGTGTGAGCGGCAGCTCATCTGAAATAGCCCTCCTTTTTCTTTACTGCGCAACGCGTTCGTTGTAATTCTCGTCTTATCATTTCGAGCAGAGGAAAAAAAAGAGCAGATGAACTCCTCCGATTCACGGAAGAGATAGCAGATAACACAAAGAAGCCTCAAAACGCTGGTTCTTCTCTTTTCCTTTTTGAAGTTTCAAGAGGAAAATAGTATCGTTAGGATATGAAAAGCTGCTGTTGCCGTTTAAAAGCAGTTTAATAAGAGCAAGACAAGAAAGGCGCCAACGCAGCGAGGGGGACATCGTCGTCTAAGGTGGCGCTCTTCGCACACGAAGAAGGCGTTACACGCTTCACCACTGGACTATCCTCATCGTCTTCCTTTCCAGTGCACTCTGAGTCTGACGAGAACGCAGAAGAAGAGATGGAGTCGCTGCTGGTTTCCCTGTCGGCGCGCCACCGTTGCTGTCTGCCATGCCAGCCGCAGGCACGCTTCCCTGGTGGACGGCTTTGCCGGCGCGTGCTCGAGGCTGCCGTTGTCTGCTTCCGCTGCGGCGGCTGTAAGTGCTTCTTCTTTGCCAGTAAGATTGGCTTCCTGGAACGCGAGTTCCCCTTGGCCAGATCTCCGTCAAACACTCGCGCCCTCTTGGCATCTCGGCAGATGTTCCTCGTTGCGTTGTGGAGCTTTTGCGCGTAGAAGTGCAGGGGGTGACCTCCGTTAAGGAAAGGGTGTGTCTGCAAATACGCCTCTTCCTCGGTGACGGGTTGATTCGTTGATGTGGTGCTCATCGGCTTGACGCCAGTGCTCCCTTTGTCTTCTTTCGTGGACCGTGGATGAAGCAGAGAAACGGTTTGTTTGAGACGCGCAGCAGTGACGACCAGGCTGGCCACGCGGATGCGCTCGCGTCGCAGCTGATCGAGGAAAAAGAAGAGGAAAAACCGCAGCCACAGCTGGAGAGACGCCGACACTGCTTGGGCTTGCACACGCGCCGACAGAGAAGCATCGGCTGGCCCACACGAGGACCCGATTGCACGGACGGCGTCATCTGTATGGATGGCCCGCGCTACGCACCGCAGCAGAACCGCACACGTCAGTTCAAGCTGGATCAACACCTGGTTTGGTGAGGGCACCGCACGAGCCTCGCCCGACGCTTCTCCCATCGACTGGTGCTCCAGGGCAGGGTAGAGAAGGAAGAAAAGAAATGCCAACGCTGCTTCCGAGTCTGCATACCCTTCAGGGTCGGAGAGATTGTGCGTTACGACGGCTATCGAAACTCCTTTAACGCCACATTTCGTGACGGCCTTGTTGCGCTTCTCTTCGTTTGAGGCTTGCAGGAGGGGTGCAGTCTTCTTTCCTATTGTTGTTGGGTGTTTACTCCGTTGCGAAGACTGCGCAGCACCGGAGCATGGCCGAGTACGCTCTTCGGTGGTCCTGCGGAGCTCGTCAAGGAGCGCCTGACGCGTGTTGCCAGGCAACCACTCTAAAAAGCTACGCCGAGCCTTCTGCAGAAGCTGGGGATCCTGGCAAATGGGTGGCCATTGGACGGAAAGATTTTCGTGCTGAAACGGCAGAAAGACTGGTAAAGGTTGACTGCAGCGAGCAGCTTGTTTGGTGGTGAGCATGATAAGAACCTGCTTGTTATTGTTTTGTTTTTTGGCAGAGAGAGCGCAGCGTTAGCGGTGTGAAGAGAACGGGTGACCGTCAAAGCGTCGGTGCGATGCTAGCTACGTTCTACACTGCGGAAGCACTGCAAGTGAAGGCGCAGAACAAACAAACAAACAAACAAACAGCAAAGCCTACAAAGAAGTAATTGCAAGACGTCTGGCGAAACAGTGAAGCGGCTTTAGCGAGCAGAAAGTCTGTGTGTCTGTTTTCCCTGTGGACTCCTCGCCTCGAGTCGGTTGACTTTATGGAATAATAATAATAATATTAATATTAATAATAATAATAATAATAATGCGGGGCTCGCCTCTTTTTTTCTTCGCCTTCAAGCCGCTCCATCAGAAAGGGAAAAAAAGATAGGGGAAAGAAGAGAGGAGAAGAAACAGGAAAAACAAATGCCGAGTTGATGGGGAGTTTGAGGTTAAGTGTGCCCCTTTGGAGGTGCTGCCGTGTCGAACAGCGTTGCGCATCTGTTTACTGCGGGGAGGAATAACGGTACATGCAGAAAAGGTCCACAAACACATACCCTCTTCTTTTTCTTCTTTTGCGGCGACGACCCCTCCCTGCTCACACCGCAACGGCAAACATCGGCATTGGCTAAGCCTTTGTGGAGGTACGAAACAATAGTAATGCGAGCACTGGCTGTCATCCGAACCCAGGATACGATGACGCCTGTTGAGCATCCTTCATGCGTCCCGACATGGAGTCTCCACACACGCATCCGTTTACATACGGCCTACTTGCGCAGAGAAGATTTTCGTTTTTGATTATTTGTTACTTTTTCGCTTGCTTGTTTTCAACACTTCAGTTTTAGTAAAAGAAGATTTTCAACAACAAAAGGAATACTAACAAAAAGGAAAAAAGAGCGCTCATGCATATATAATTTTCCTTCCGAAAAGGGGGAAAACAAAAAGGTTCATTGGTTTCAACTGTTGGTACAGAAACAAGAGTTCCTTTAAGGGGAAAAAAAAGAACAAGAGAAGAACAACATATGAAAAAGATGGGCACGAGGGTCATAGCATTCGCGCATACACAAAAAATGCTTCACAAATCAACCTCACTTTGTTACGCCATTCTATTGTTGTTGTTGTTGTAGGGGAGTGTTCCTTAGCAGCGGTAAACTGCTTTTTCACCTTTCTTTCATTCCTCACTCGAGTGCTTCCCCCCGCTACGATAAGCTATCCCGGTAGCTTCGCACAGTGGATCACACGCAATTTTTGATGTCCTGACGAAAGAAGCTTTTGCCAGCACCTTTACTTACACAGTTCTCAAGAAAAACAATACGGAACACAAATAAATATGCCATCACTAAAAAGCAAAGAAAAAAATGAAATGAGAGCGGGTGAAAGGCGAGGACACAAGAGAACTACGTCAAAGGAGAGTCTGCGTGTTCGTTTTCGTGGGAGCAAATACCGAAAGAAGACCACCAGTTCTGTGCCCCGCGCCTTTCAGTAGGGAAAAAGAGAAAAGAAAAACGATCAATGGCAGCTTGAAAAGCCTAAATGCGAACGATAAGCGAAGTAATAAGAAAAAAAAGGGAACGAGAAGAATCTGTTGAACCAACACCCATCAGCGCAGAAAGGCTAAAAGCGGGGGGATGTTAACAAAAGACGTTGCCTAGAAAATGAGGAGAAAGAGGTATAGGTAAATTGGCACGGCTTTGATGTGGTAGTGGTGGTTGTTCTTCTAGAGAGAAATTTCTTCAAGACGATTAAGTAAAGTAACAAGACAACAAAATGTGATAAAAAAAAAAGAAGAAGAAGAAGAGAGTTTAATAACTATAAATGCACGGTTCCACGAGGGGAACGTGTAAATACGAGGAGCACCTTCTGCGCGCCTTCCTGTCGGATACACAAGTCGTTGCAGGAGGTAAATAAAGAGAAGAAAACAGAACAGAGATACATTATTCAAAGCAATTTATCATGGCTGCACAGAGTTCATTAAGAAAGGATATCAACGGGGGAGGGTCTTGTTGTTCGGCCTTTCAATTCGTTTAAGTATACAAAGCAGAACTGAAGGCTCGCTTATAGACCTTTCTTTCCGGTGTCGATCGTGCGCCGTTATCTTTTTCACCTCACGTCTCTTGTCCTAAAACGGAGAGAAAGGGAGGGGGAGGGGACTCTGTTGCCGGCTACAACGCAACTTCCTCCTTCACGTTCGCCCTCACCGGAGAAACGGACAAAGCATGAAGAAAAAGAAAAAGAAAATAGGGGGAGAACAATCTTCGCTCACGGGGGCAGATAAAAAAAAGCTCGAAGCACATAAAAGTTCATGTCTATTGCCGACGCAGCCGTAGTTCTTGTTTCGTACGTACGTGTTTTTCTTTCTTTCTTAAAGAGAGAAAAAAGAATTGATCGACTGTGTGAACGGGCGCAAAAAGAAAGACCTGGCGGGATAGTTAGCAAAAACTAGCACAATTCAAAAAAAAGAGAAGGAGAAGAACAGCTGTCACAGTGTACACGCTGTTTGAAGAGGGATCAACGACAAATAAATAAATATAAAAGTAACAGAAAAGCACAGAAGATACGTACGGAGAAAGAGAAGCCTTCCTATCAAAAAAGGTAAACACGGTGAAATCGGAAAAAGAGAAGGGCGCCTTCGTGATGTCTTCCTTTTCTTCTCTCCGTGAAACAAAACTAAGCAAAAGAACAGAAAAGAGAGCAAAGGAGAAGAACGTCAGTGGCATCATGGAAGTGATAACAGAGGCACGACCCACAAAGGAAATAGTCGCCGGAAGGAAAGGAAAGCAGAAAAAAAAACCCCGAGAAGTGCAGGCACTTTCCCCTTCAAAGTAGTGATGCAGCGTGCCTCTATCTGTTTTTTTATTTTATTTTCTGCCTTCTTTTTCCTCGAGCTTCACAGAAATCACGCAGTGGAACTTGCACAGGTTCTACTTGGCCGCTTCTCACGTGCATTGCACAATCTGGTATTCCTTTTGCCTTGACGTTGCTTATCTTTTCCTCTTTCCTCCTTCATGGGGAAAAGCTGAAGAGACCCAACGGGTCTCTCCGTCGCCATCTCTCGCACTTTCCGCACAGTGCCTCTCTTGCACACCATTTCTGTTCTTTTCCTTTTGTTGTTGCTAAGAGCTACCCCGCTAACGAGGGAAAGGGAGAGAGAGAGAGAAAGACCGCCGCGTCATCTACAAAGGGATTATTCTTGCGTGAGAAGAAAAGCGATGCAAAACCCAATTTCAAAAAAGAAAATGGACAAACAGATCAACATATATAACGAGAGGGGGAGGGGGAGACAACGATCAGGAATTATTATTATTCCGTTAATCACCAACGTGTGATGGAGGAGGAAAAAGAGAGGAGGAAAACGACAACGACACACACACAAACAAAAAAAGAAGAGAATACGAAGCTATTCTGAATACAAGGGTAATACGAATAACAATAATAAAACCGTTTAGTAAGCTCACAAAGCCAAGACAAGTGTCACAAGACTGAAGGTGAAGCACTCCGATTTCAACATGTTTCTTCTCTTCCTTCCTAGGTGGTAGGATTACGCCACTTGAAGACAGTGCTTCGCCTTTCCAAAGCGAGGGGATCGGGCGGTGTTGGCTCATAGTATCTGAACACGATAATGAGAACAAAAAACAAACAGCGGAAGCGGAACATGTAGGAGAATATACACAAAGAAAACGGAAAGAAAAGCCTCACTCATGACGGGAACGGCGCGAAAAAAACAGAGGTGGAATCCATACATACTCATTGGTACATACGTAAGATTTATCGGCCAGCCTCAATGATGAGGAATGGAAAGCTAGAATATCTTTAAAAAAAAAATCATTTTTCGCTCTGACGGAAAAACAAAACTCAATTGCCTCCGGAGACCATTCATGTAGAACGGATGGGAATGAAATTGAGGACGAGTTCACCACTCAGTGGAAGAGTTCAGGCAATATATATATATATATATTAATTAAAAAAAACCCTTTCCTTTCGATTCGTGCACGCGGAAAAGAAGCACTTACCTATAAAGCATTCTCGATCTTCCTTTATGCCTATGAGGAAAGAATCGGTTCGTGCATATTGCATTAAGTATCAAGCATGCGAACTCAAGTACTTCGATTCTTCTTCCACCACAACATCTCTACCTTTAAAAAAAAAGAAGAAGAATTCTTTCCTTTCTCTCATTCCCCGTTATTGTTTTCTCATCCTTTATGCATCGCCGTGGAAAAAAAATGCTAGTTGATTCGCTGACTTTGTCGTAGTCCGTGGAAGGTGTATACAAGAGAAAAAGAAACGTGCGTATATTTAAAGATGACCATCGAGACCACTAACAACAGCCATTATTTTCTGGCGCCTCTAAAAGAATCAAGAGGTTGAGAAACAACAAGCATGAGAGAGTGTATGTGAGCAAGAGAAAAAAAGGAGTCGTGAGTTACGCATTCAAACAAAAAAAAAAAATCAAGCCACGGGTGTTAATTAATCTGCCGCAAAGAATCAAATGTAAAAGAAAAGGAAACGCTTAAAAGGTTTTCGATGCTTTTAATGCGACTTTTTCTTTACTCTCATGGAGGTGTGTCATCATTTTTGATTCACTGGCAGCCTGTTGTGCCGCTTGCTCCAGCGAACGAGTCTTTCCTTTGCAGGAGGGGACTTGGCAGTAAGAGCAAAGCACAAACACCACCGCAAACAACGGCAAAATAAAGAGAAAGCAAAAGAGAGTGGCACGAAAGCGCTCACGCACACACGCACACACGCCTTAGGCACAAACCGTAGAAAGAAAACGGTAGTAGGCAGTGACAGCAGCAACAACAATAATAAAAAAAGCTAAGCTCATGAAAAAAGTTGAATCAAATGGCTGGTATATGGCTCCGGGAAACGAAGGTGTTTCCCTTTTTTAGGAGTTGTTCTACGGAAACACACATATGAGTGATGCTCGTCGACGAATGAAAACTTAGAGAGTTTTTTCTTTTAGTTGTTCTCGTGGTATTAGTTTTTTTTTTTTAACTGTGTGTGTGTGTGTGTGTTAGAGGAGGAGGAGGAGGGGGGGAATACATAAAATCACATGCCGTTGTGTGAGGTTTACAAAACGAACGAGTAGGACAGCGTTGGTGCAATGCAACAGCAAACAATGAATACATCCTTACCTATCACCATCACCCACACGCGTCTACTCATGTCATACAGCCAAAATACTACTTTTGAAGCAAACGAAAAAAAAATTTGAAAAAGAGAAATTAGGAATAATAATAATAATAATAATAATGATCGACACGCAGAAAAATAAAAGAAGGGATCACTGAGAGATTCAGTGAGCGTTTCTTCTCAAAACGACAAGGAACTCACAACGAAGCGGTTCGATGCTTCGCGTAAGTGCCCTTCCTTTTGTTGCTGAGAATCGATTTTCGATGGTGCACACCCGAAAAAAAAAAGAAAGGATAGTTTTTTTTTTCAGGGAAAAAGAAAAAGCGAAGTCCGTGTGAAGCATCACACATCCGTTTAGATAGAACCAGGAGAATAGCGTTGAAAAGACAATGTCATGTGACTTCACTGGAGGCGGCTTACTGGTAGTCGAAACAGCAGGAAAAAAAAAGCATACACACAATCTTCAACACCCAAAACGAAGAGTCTAGCGTCAGCTAAGAGAGGAATAGAGATGCGACAAAAAAAAGGTTATAGAAAAATTCAAAACAAACTCTGTTACACTGAATAAGGCAAAAATGCACGGGAAAAAGGAGGCGAAAAGCCGATCGGCTTGCTGAGAGGTGTTGGCATGCAAAGCGTAGTACAGGCAACCCCTCCTCGTCCAGCTTTTTAACTGGCGCTTACGTAGAGTTCGTGACCCGCTCGTCCCCCTCATCTCAGCAGCACAGCGGCCTCCGTCCCCTCCTTCAGTGTCCTTCACATCTTGTCGTTGACTTTTCCATAATTTCCATTTACTGAGTGCGCGGCCCACGTACAGTCCATGGAAGAAGGCACGAACAGCAAGAAAAAAAAAGGGGGTGCTGTTTGACTGCAGCTCTCTTGGTTTCTCTTTTGAACGCGGCTCCGCCTTTTACTGTCACGCGCCGAATAAAAGCGCAGCCTCCAGAAGAAGAAGAAAAGAAATTACGAAAGAGACCAGAAGAGGCGTGACACCGGACTATATATATATATATATATGTATATAAGGAGTTATTTAATAAACGGTTTCAATAATAGGGAGCCAATAAAGAAGCTCCGCGAAATGGCCATTACACTTCAGGGAAGGAGAACACATAGAAAACAAAACCGGTAAAAACAACAGAGCTTTTCTAGGTTTCAATCGGCGAAAAGAAGAGAGCACGGCAAAGAAAACAGAGGAACACAAAGCGAAAAGCAACACAAATCGATTGCACACATCCTAAAAGAAAAAAACAAGAGAAGAAAAAAAAAACAAAAAAGGTTGTCGCCTTTGTATTCTGATTACGTTCCTACACTCACCTCACCGTTGTTATTATTCTGTTTCTTACACGCTCAGCAAGAAAAACACACAAAGGTAATGAAATGGAAAGACGGGGACGGGGCGTCCATTCGCCAGCCCTTTCAGTGCTCAAGTGCCAGGGAAAGGAAAAAAAAAGGGAAGGTGAGTGTTTTCTTTTCGGGGGGGAACAAGACTTGAAGATTGAAAATGAAGGCAGAGCGATTGTGGGAGAAACAAACAAAAAAGGAGGTATTAGAGAACAATGTCTCCTCTTACGTGACGCGTGTGAGAAGGAACCAAAAAAAGAAAAAGCGAAAAGGAAAAGAGAGATGGGCTTCGAAGAGGACAACACGGATCTGAGCCACAAAAGACCTTTTTCCGTCTTTCAATTCGTATCAGGTGCTCGTGTTTCGAGCACTCACATTTTTTTTTTATCATGTTTTCTTTTTGTCGATGCAGCTACGAAACCTCAAGAACACGACAAAGGTGATTTTTTAAGTGTGGAGGTTGCATCTCCAGAAAGAAAACAAGAAAAGTGATAGTCGAAACGAGTTTTTTTTTCTTCGGGCAGTTCCCTTTCCTTCTTCCTTTCTTTTGAAGCCAACACCGGAGAAAGACTTCACATGCAACGGAGTCCACAAAGATGTAAGCAGAAAAAGGAGAGTAAAATAGATATTAGAAAACGCTTGAAATTGAAAGTCACAACGGTATATAAGAAAAAGAAAAAGCGAGTTCGAATGGCGAAACGAAGAAAAACCAAAACGAAGAGTAACGAGAAAACGAGAGCGAGATCGCTTTCAGACCATCATATAATCCAAGTGAACGCGTGGGGGGGGGGGGTTATGGGTTGTTGTTGTTTTTTTAATTGTCCTACGGTAGAAACAAACATCGGGGTGGTATATTTAATAGATAGTGTTAATGAATCTGTGCGAGGGTGTTGTCTGCGTTTACTAGAGCATGTGTGTGTGAGAGAGTGTGTTTTAATGTGTCTCATTGATTTGTTTTTAAGGTACAATCATAGAAGAGCTTTTATTATTAATACTGGTTATAATCCCTGTACACCACACGCGTCATGGTGGAATTCTCCAGCCACGAAAATGGCGCGTGCTCTACTGTGTGCGTATAAACGACAGAGAATCGGAAGAAAAAAAAAAAGGAGAGAATAAAGCAAGGATAGATGTGGAGCGATCGAAAGTAATTAACATCGTGTTGAAGAGCAAAGAAATAAAAAATGTCCTTCAAGCGACAGTGCTGATAGAAATGAAAACACGCGTAAATAAGTAGTGCACAATACTTCAAAGCACAGAAGGCTGAAGCTGGTTGACAAGGAAAAAAAAAGAAATGCAGCGAGAATAATAATAAAAAGCGGCACGATAGTACATCAGCTTCTTTTCTTTATTGTCTCTTACTGTTGCAGAACAACACAGGAAGAAAAAAAAATCAAAAAAAGGGCGGCCTTCGTAGATAGAATAAAAAAAAACAGCAAAGTTTTATAGCGAAGGTGAAAGTACTTATCCCACCACAAGTATCTAACGGTATCAAACAGCGATGACAATTCCGACAGAACAAGAGCAAACATAATTAGAAAAGGACAAGAAAAGTACGAAAACAAGCTGCATATATTTCTCTTCAGAAACCACACTCATTCATTGATGAGTGTGTCATTACGCAGTATATGCAGCTAAAAAGAACAAAAGACAACTCAGACGGGGAAGAAGAAGTGCTTCACCAGAAGATAGAAAAAAAAAAGGTATCAGCGAACCACTTTAAAGATCAGAAAGGAAAGAGAGAAACAGAGAAATAGCAAGCCCTCTATTGTCGTCCGTTTACGGGGGAAACAGCACAACACAGTAAAATAAGTAACGCTTCCCTGTTCTAGTCCTTTTTTGCTTGCTTGTTTGTTTGTTTGCTTGCTGTCGCGGTGGTTCGCTTGAAATTAGTGGCGTGCGCTTCTATCCGAACTGAACCGCATGCTTCCGCGCGGTGCACGTATATAAGGTATCAACAGCACTTGGCACCAAAGGACATCACAAAAAAAAAAACAGTCAAAGTGGGCATCCACATGAGGCACGAAGAGAGAAAGAGAGAAAAAGAAATTGAGATATATATATAGAAGTAGCACAGCACAGTAAAGTAGAGTCAAAGGAGGTGGGAGAGAAGAAGAGGCTTATTTAAGCTCGGTACCGTCGCAGCACCAGCATTGGCGTGCGACTAAAACACACACGTTTACACACTCTAAACACCAAAAAAAAAACGTCACAGAACGATCATTTTATAAGGCTGCGTTTAGCGAAAAGCAAGAGAGAAAGAAAGAAAGAAATGAAAGTAAAACATGAGGAGAGTCGAAGTGACATTGCACCAAATATTTGTTTTTCCCGTTTCCTTTCGGAATTCCACTAAACAAAAAAGGGGGAAAAAAAGGGAGAGAGGGAGCAATATGTATAGGAAAAGGAGTTCGTTTGGCCATTCTTGTAAGAACTTCATATGTCGAGAAACACAATCATCTCTTGCTTACGTTCGATGTTTTTTTTTTCTTCTTTTCTCTTAGAGCAACGTTTCTTCTCTTTAAGAAGGGGTCTGCTGACATGCAGTAATGCACGACCAGCAAGTTAACAGGCGAAATTTTCCGCCAGACACGATCGCAGGAGGGAGAGAGAGAGAGACAGACACTTCAAAGAAAAAAAACGCAAGTTTGAGACGAATTTTCAGAAAACAAAAAGGAAGGCAGAAGAAAGGAAAATCAAAACAAGAAAAGAGGGGAGGGGGAATTCACGGTGCTTACAAGAACAAAAGAAAAAAACGGAAGAAAAAACAAATGTGAAGCACAGACGCCTTTTACGTCTCTGCGAAAACTGTTGTTTCGCATTCGCACTGTTCGCGCAGCATCCAACTCCCCCGAATGCGCCTTCCGTGCGTGCTACTCGAGGGTCGGCAGAAAAGAAGATCTTACCTCGCGAACAGAGATAACCAACTCTTTAGAAGCAACTCGTTATCAGCAAAGCACCCACACAAACGAACACGCAGATATCCGTGCTTTTCTTTTCCTTTTTAGCAAGGGAAGACGATGGTCGGATAAACGGGGCTGGCGCAGTTGGGCGCGTTCACGCTCGTCAGGTTGCGCTGCACGGGAGGGCTGCTGTACGGGTGGTGAGACGCGTGCGCCGCGACTGCGCTGGAGGATTGCACCAGCATCGCATTCGCGGGCATCTGGAAGCCCGTCGGCGAACTCACCGCACCATTCAGCCCGCGCTGGTACTCGATGTTCACCAGCATGGCGGGTGGCTGGCCTGACGTGGGCGATGCGGGCGGGTTCACCCTAGTAGTCGTGGTCGCGTGCACGGGCACCAGCTGCTGCCGCTCCGGGATCCAGAGAAAGAGGGCATCGCCGTAGCGCACCAATGCACCGGACGGCAGCTGCGCGGCGGTCAGCAACGGCGCCGCAGTGGGGCCAGCGGTGGTAGTCGTGGTGGTGGTCGTTGGCAGCGGCGGCGGTGCGGTGTAGGGAGCCGGGCGACCCGTCTGCGAGAAGGGCGTCACAGCAGACGGCGTGGACGGGGGCGCTGCGCCGTGGCGAGCGTTTGCCTCTGCCGTCGTTGCGGCTGCGATTGCGCTGGTGCTGCCCGCCGATCCGACCGATTTGTGGAGGACGACGGGGTGAATAAAGTGGCAGAGGGGGCCGCGGGCACACTTCTCCCGCTCGTAGTGCTTGCAGACGCGCAGCGGGGCGGTGGAGCGCAGTCGCAGCGCCTCCTGCCCGCCCACCGTCGCGTAAACCATCTCCGACGAGAGCCCCTGCGGGGAGTTAGCGCCGGTGCCCTGGCCACCGCGCTTCACGTACACAACGCTGCCGCCAGGCAGGCGAGGGTACACCGCCTCGGTCAGCGAGTAGACGGGGGTCGACCAATGTACCTGGAAGGAGTGCACCGAGGTTGGGTCCGCCTTCCTGCCCTTCGACTCCGCCGCACTCTGCACCAGGCGCAGCTTCTCCGGGTCACAGTGGATAAAGTCGCACTCGGAGCCGTGGTGGCACGTGGCGCCGCTGCAGAATGTCTTGCAGAGGCAGAAGGAGAACAGGAGCTTTTCGCGGTTGCGGCGGCGGTAGTTGCGGCTGCCGAGGGTAGTCTGGATGTACTCGGCAGGGATCGACAGCATCATGCGTTTGTCCGGTGTCAGCACATTGAAGTTCTCCTCGGCGAGGCCGCTACCGATGTTCGCCAGCGCGTTCGAAACGGCGGTGTTGTGCCGCGATGGGTGTGAGATGGAGAGGCGTTTTGTGGACTCGATGCCGCGCGACGTCATTGTCGTCGACGCCGGTCGATCCGTGTGCGAGCTGGCGCTGCTGCTGCCCGTCAACGCATTGGACGAAGAAGAGGCTGGGTGGCAGTAGGTGCTGTTGGGTGTGCCACCGCACGTGTTTTCCTTCAGCAAGTCCTCCGGCTCCAGCAGCTTCGGCGCCGCATCCTCGGCGTCGTTGTGGTTAAAGAGGTGGAGGAAGTCGCAGCCGGCCTCGAGGGAGTTGTGCGTGCCGACGACGCGTTCATCGGTTTCCTCGTTGCTGCTCGGCGGTGACTTCATCTCCAGTCGCTCGTACAGCGCAGAGGGGTCGGTGTGGATTAGCTCCCCACTGTCCGCGCTACCGGACAGCATCTGCAGCAACGCCTTCACATCTGCTTCATTCGGCGCTGGTGGATTGCTCGTGGCGCTCCAATCGACGGGGTCCTTCTCAATGTACGACCAGGCAGACAAGTTGTTGCTGCCAAAAGTCGGAATATTCTTCAGATCTGCGAACATTGCTTTCTTCTTCGTTGGCCGAAACAGGTCTGAGCGCGGCTGAGTCAGTAAATAGTGTACGGTGGTGCTTCGTACTATCTCTCCTCGGGGGCGTTTCGTTCTGATTGCGTATTGCAGAAATATAAACGGCGCTATGAACGTGAAGAGGTAAAAAAAAAAGTAAAAAAGAGTTTAAAATGAAGTAACAATCAACGGCAGTGTAGAACAGCCTGAAAACAACAAAAAAAGAGAGAAGGGAGTAGACGTGTTTGACAGACGACGAGCTGCAACTTCTGTTCTTCGTGATCGTTTACTTTGCTTGTCTTCTTCCTTTGATCTCGGCTCTCTCCGGGACGGTGATCGAGAACGGAAGGGAGAGAGAAATAGGAGTGGGAACGGCGGTCTTCAGGAGACAAGAAAAGACAATCTTTATATGAATATCCGTATACTTGCCGCTGAAGAAGAAAAACAGTAAGACGATGCGAAGAGAATAGGAAACTTGGGAAGCTCAACTTTGAACGCAGTGACCTGTTGTTGCCAAAACCCAGAAAGATAGAAAAAGGGGGCGCCTGCTTTCTTCGAGAGTTGCACTTATAAAAACAAAAAACACAGTAACATATATAACGAAAAGAGAACCGAAAGCAAGAATTCTAGGAAAGAAAGGGAGAAAAATGTGGAGCGCGTAAACGGGAGAATGGCACACGAATATAAAAACTCGAAAAGTCACAAAAACCAAAAAACACTAAAGCAAGAAAAGTAGCGGATGATACAGTAAATGTGAAAGGTTAGAGTATATATTCCGGCGCGATCGAAAAATAATGTCTCCTGTTTTGTTTTTATTATTGTTTTTTGGGGGATACCGAATAAAGACACCGAAGACAGAAAAGGAAAAAGAAAGGAAGAAGAGCACACTTCAAATACTTAAAGAAGGAAAAGAAAACAGTCTGCAGAGGGTATAAAACACGAAAACTGTTTGACTGCTGAATGACTTTTCTTCTCAGTAGGAAAGATGCTTTTATTTTCAATCAATTTGTTGTCAATTTGAGTGCTTTGTCAGGGTCAGGTAGATATTGATGAGAAGTATGGACGGTCGTTTTTTGTTTTTGATTTCTTTTTAATTTATGTTTACTTTGTTGACGTCTGTTGCTTGGAGGGTTTGTACAAGCGTCGAGATTGGCTAAGGAGTAAGGATGCAACAGCGCGTTGGGTGGAAATGCGGTAGTTTGAAGCCGTTCAAGGGAAGAAGAAAGGGGGGAGGGGGGAAATGGCAGAAAGAAGATACACGATTCGGTCGCTGCATTCCTTCGATACTCGATAGTTTCATTTGGAAAACGAAATAGCATCTGAATGCATTGACCCAGAAAGTCACGTCTTTGATAGGAGAGGACGAGGAGTTCCTCGCAGAAGCAGTGCAACGGACCTCAACGTGTACGAAAATACCGAACTCCGGGCCCATGATGTGGCAGCAATCTGTATTTAGTGTTGTTGTTTTTTGGCTGTTTTGGTTCCTTGTAGCAACTCGCAGTCGAACTACAATGATAATGTGAAGAGGAAGAGTAACTAGTATGGTCACAACGGTGTGGTCCACGTCACCTTGAGGCAGGTAAAGACAAGAAAAAAAGAAACTGTTAGAGGAACTGCGGTATCTGCACCAAAAGTGCAGGCTGCGGAGAATGCTGCGTTGGCAGAGCTATTTTGCACTTTTCTGTGGGTCTTCTACGCAACCTCCGCACCTCCCAACAGTCGCTCTGCGTTGACGTCCACCGCGGGGTGGCGCTTCTCCACGCGGAATTCGATGCCCAGCGAGTTGCAGAAGTCATGCATGCCCCGCGTCGCGCCCCGCGCCATAAGCGTGATGGAGACGCCGGGCTGCCCAAAGCGACCCACACGGCCGCACCAATGCGCGTACTCGAGGCCGCTGGTGGGCTGTGCGAGAATGATCACGTGGGTGAGGTGTGGAAGGTCGAGTCCACGGACATTGCTGCAGTTGCACGTGATAAACGATCGCCGCGGAGGTGTCTGCTCAGCAGCAGGCGACGCATCTTTAGGCGATGGTGGCGTAGCATTGCTTGTTTTCTCCATCGCTTTGGTAAGCGGATCAGCAATACGGTTGCCATGCGGAAGGTTCGCCGCGCACCCTCCCGGCCTCTCCTCCGCATGTGCGCTCGTAACTTGCTCGTCGGCGACGTCGCGCGCAAACCGCGGGAAGACACCGATGCCAGAATTGCTCGACATCACTTCATCGTTCTCGAGTGCCTCGGCGCTGCGGACGGTGCGCTGAATAAACTTTCGCGTCTCTGCTCGGCGCCGCTGCCGCTGCTGCTCCCCCAGCGTACAATCCAGTCGTTCCACCGCGTAGCGTGCACACAAGGGGTGGCCAGCAGTACCGAGACGGCGCAGTGCATCGTCTTGGCTCGGCAGCAAGACATCGGTGATAAACCTGCCCACATCCGCTGAATCTGGCAGCACCAGCAAAATAAAGTCCCGATGCGCAGCAGCAGCACTCGAAATGTCGCTGCTATCGGAGTGACATAAAGTTCTCTCATCCAACCGCGTAGTTTGAAACGAGGGGCATGTGGCAGCCATCGCCTTGGCCAAGCACTGGCACTGCTCTGCTGCTGTGTCAGCGGTGTAGAAGAAGTGGCGGATGCTCTCTGGCACGGCAGCGCGTGAAATCGTGCTAGATACGGCGGCCAGGCGCGTGGACGACTCTCTCGCGCTTTCGAATACGCGCGACGTGCGATCTGCTAGAAGGTTCTTCTTCATGTAGCGCCGAATGTGATTGACGGTCGACCCGGCCAGCGTCGCACTCGTAAAGACCACCTGCACCGGGGCCTGGTATTTCGTGTGCCTGAACAGCTCCTTTAGGAGACGGTTGCCCGGTGCGCTGGGCTGCGTCGACGGCATGACTTCATCCACCTCGTCCACCACAACCATGTCCACCGCCGGAAGCACAGGTGTGAGGGAGAAGGAGTAGCCCTTCTTGTTCTTGTACACCTCCCGCCGCTCAATCGCGACGCGGCGGCGCTGGTAAAACCTCCAGAGCACATCGGGCGTGGTGACCACGACGTAGGGGCGGTTCTCCACCGTGCCAACGACCTTGCTCGGCCGGTCCGCATCCCGCACAAGCTCCTTCGTCAGACGGCGGTACACGTGCTCCTCGGACAGATCGCTTGTGGCTGCAAACACCAGTCGGTCGTCGTTGGGGTACCACCACATCTCACGCAGCCACCTTTCCACCTGCCAGCACAGGTAGTCGCTGGTCACCAAGACAACGGTGGACAGCAGCTTCATCGGGCCGTCCCGCATGAGGCGTGCGATGACGCCGAGACAAAGCGCGAAGGTTTTGCCCGTCCCGGTCGGCGCACACACCGCCACGTCTTGACTCGCATACATGTGCTGCAGAATGCGCGCCTGTGCGACGGTGAGTCCCTGAAAAGAGGAGGAGCCGGCCGTCACTGCTGCTGGTGTGGCGGAGAGACTGCGGTTTGTATCAAGAAAGCGGTGCTCCAGGTACCCCACAAGTTGGGGCGGCAGTCCCATTCGATCGGGCGCCAGCAGGGCGATGGGCTGCTGCGTGATATCGTCCGAATTGTGCGCGCTGACGGCAGCGTTGTCGATGAGGACGTCGTGGAGGCGGGTCACGTCCCGCAGTGGGGCAGGACGCCTAGGCGTAAAAAGCATCGGTCGGCTGTCCGCCGTGCGAAGATCGGTGAACTCGTCAGGGACATCGCGGAAGCGACGTGGCAGGCGCCGTTCTGGACGCCAACGCCATAGACAGCACTTGCGGAGCATCGCACACCGAGTAGAAGCCAAATCGATTTTCCGTTTCTCTTCTACGAGTTGATGTTTCCTTCTCCTACTGGGACTAGCTGTCAGCAATGACAACAGAGGAAGATAACGGAAGGAGTCAGCGCAGCATGGACTCCCAGCACCAGGAAAAAAAGAGAATGGGAGATACGCAACTATCAACCCAACAACAGCAATCCCAAAGGAAGAACATGAGGAAAGGGGAAAAAAGCAATTGAAGCCAGAAACCAGCTCAGCATTTACCCGGCAGCCGCGTCAGAGAAAAAAAAAACCCTGAAGGACGAAGCCATTGCTCGTCTAGAAAATGTTCGCTCGCGTTGCATCACCTGGAGTTCCTTTCCTCCTGAAGCGAACCTCCAGCCGCGACGACGTGCTTCGTTGCGGTGTGTATTACAGCCCAATTCATCCACTACTACCTCTCTGAGCTTCACCGTTGGCATCGACTCCGGCCACACTTCGTTTTCTTTCAATTAGAGCCTTTTCTTTTGGTTGCGCTGTGGGTTGAGGTTAATACTGCTATTCTACTACTACGTAAGTTCACTTTATATATGCAAATATGTGTTCAAGGAAAAATTAAATAGCGCAAGCACCAAAGCAGGCACGGCGGGGAAACACACACCCACCCAAGCCGCCCCCTCATAAATCAAAGAAAGCGCTCTTCCCGCAAGAAGTCAGAGTGCTGCGTGATTGGAAGTAAAGAGAAAAAGGAAGGAAGAGGAGGCGTCGGCACGCTCCTGCAGTTCCTTTCTTGCATAAAAACTTTCTCTTTTTTCCTACGTGGCTCCTTGTCATTTGCCTAGTCGTCTTCGCTAGACTCGTCCGATGCCGGAGCCTCGCCGTCGCTAGACTCGTCCGATGCCGGAGCCTCGCCGTCGCTAGACTCGTCCGATGCCGGAGCCTCGCCGTCGCTCTGGTCTGCCGCTTCGGTTTCCTCTTCCGCCGCCTCCTCGGGAGCGTCGTTGATGGGCATGTCATTACCCGGTTGCCACTGCGGGCAGCGATACTTCATCACTTCCAGCGTGGTGCAGCCGTGGTACACCGCACCCGCACACGTGATGTTGAGGGCGGACATGACTCAAGTTGCACAGAGGTGGAAGAAAGCGGGACTGCTCTGGAAAGGTGCGAAGCTAATGAAATGGGTTAATAAATATATATAGATGCATGCATATATATTACCTTTTTTGCTTTGTTCGTACTTCGTATCGTATGCTGCGAGTACACGCGCAAAGTTGTGCGGTTCTATGCGCCGGTTTGATTCAGGAGTGGAAGAAGCGAGGCGAGGCCGTAGAAAGCGAAATCGAAAACGTCCAAAGCAACAACAATAATTATTATTATTATTATACGTAAATGGAGGTCACCGAAGCACCGAGTCAAGGAGTGCACGCTTCACAGCAGGAGCGTAATAACGCAAACGGTTGATATCGTGCCGTGTGGGCACATCACACCACGAAAGACGCATCAATATGGCTTTCTCACCATATTTACCTACATGAAGCATCGTGCCCATTCAGAGGAAGATGCACGCGTAACGTCGAGAAGAAAAAAAAAGAAGCTGCACCGACGAAACAAACCTTGCTGCTGCTACGGCGGCTGTTGTTCTTTTCTATTGTGGTGTATCTCTGACTGATGTGTACGAGGAGCAGTCTTCGACAACTTCTTATCGGTGGGAAGGAGAGCAAGATGCACGTAAAACACGGTGGGTCGCAAATATTCAAAAGAAAAAAATGAGAGAGTTTTCGGAGCCAAAAGAAAAAAAGCACTCCGACCTCCGCGCACACCCTCGCGCACGCAGAGTGATGTCCTCCACCGTTGATTCCACCACGGCTGATGACGAGAGAAAGAGCAGGAACTGCTCAGTCTGCGTTGACAAACCAAAGAAAGTAATAATCCAGAGTACTCCTCGGGATAAAAACAAAGAAACACACGGGATGTTCCTCTCCCTCTCACTCACCCACCCTTTCTATTCATAAAGGTAGCTGAAGTAACCCCACGGGATCAGTGGTGCCTGCACCGCCACCGCCGCCGCGGAGGCGTAGTAGTCGAAACTCTCCGACGTTGCGCCTTGCGCCTCCGCCACCACACCCGCTCCGGTGTAGGCCTCCGTGAAGGCGCCATCGGCCCGCATCGCGTTGAAGAAGTGACGGCCCGCCTCCTGCAGCCGATTGTGTCGCGTCTCGGACGGCAAGTCTGCCTGCGCTGCCTCCAGAAGCCGCGTCACACCAAACAGCGTGTGGCCCTCAGCGTGGTTTGGGTGGGCTTCCAGGGCGGCTAAGAGCGTCGCGGAGACGGCATCGAAGAGCTTCGAGGAGATCAGCCGGTGTGCGGGTCCCCCGGCGAGAGGCGAGGTGGACGACAGCCCTTCAGAGGCCGTCGCAGTTAACGGAAGGCTCAGCATCGGCGTGGAGTCCGCCGCCACCGTGTCCAACTCCCACTGACCCAGTAAGTTCATGTCCCGCACCAAAGCCGTCGTTGGTGCGCCGTAGCGGCCATCGTGCTGCGCGGCGATCGCCTCCCTCAGGCGAACCAGCGAGAGACGTGCCTGACTGCACTGCAGATCAGCAAAAGACCGATAATACAAAAGCCTGCTCTGCGACGCCAGGTCCGTGCCGGCCGCAATGGCCACCTCGGCCATGGTTGTGCAGCCCAACCGCGTGGCCACGTGACTGAGCAGAGCCCAGTGCCCCACCACCCGACGCCGCAGCTCGCCGTAGGAGTGCTTTGGGCCACCCTCGACGTCCTCATCCGGCGCGCAGTGCGTGCACAGGCCCTTCAACGACTTTTTCCGTACGCCCTGCGTTTCCGCTAAGGCGGCCTCGTCGTGGAGTTTGACAATGCGCGCCATGGCCACGGCGAGCTCCTCCGCTGCCTCGTCGGCGCTGCCGCTGCTGCTGTGGTTCTTGACGATGTTGCCGTTTGGGTCCTTGGCAGTCGCGCCCGCCGCCTCCGACACACGGGACCGCTGCTGCACCGCCGCGTGCACCACGATGGCTGCCACGTCTGTCGGGTACGCCTGGAGCAGGTGCATGACGGCCGCACTGGCGCTCTCGTAGTCGCCGTCCACCGTGTGCAGCAGCGTCAGCAGCAACAGAGCCATGTAGTTTTGTGGGTACACCTGAAGCACCGCCGTCAGCGGCTCCCGCGCCTGGCTCACAGCACCCATTTCGACCAGCATCCAAGCGATGCGTACGGCGTAGCCAGCTGGCTCGGCTGTCATCGATTCCGCCGCTAGCAAGTCCTTGCAGGTGGACGCGATCACCGTCAGGGCGGTTTGATAGGCGGCGCTGCGCTGCTCCGCGTCGCGGGTGACCGTCCCCCAGTGCACACACGCGCCGGCGATGCACCACGCCGTCATCGGGCACCGATAGGCCTCGACGGCAGCCCGGGCAAGACGAACGGCGGACTCCGCGGCAGGCAGGCGATGCGCCTCCACCGCAGCCAGCGACGCGGCGGTGAGAAGGTAGGCCGCTTGCAGCCGCTCCGTCGACGGGGACGAGGCGACGTCCGCGTCTTCGGCCGCACCGGGGGCGGCACTCGCGCTGACTCCCTCCCCTTCCTGGGGGCTGTAGACGGCCGTCTCGGCCTCCACCGCGGTCAGCTTGCGCTGCTGTTGCTGCTGAATCCGGCGTGCCTTCGCATCGTCTTCGAGCAGCATGCCCGCCACCTCCTCGCACAGCAGGAGAACGCGATCCTCTGCCGAACCGCTGTTGCCGCTTGCGATCAGCAGCTGTGAGGCCAGCTGCAGCCACTCCAGGCTGGTGTTAGGAGACGCCTTGGTCGAGGCTGCGGAACCGCTTCCAGTCGGATTGGCTTTGGTGGCCGCCTTCGGGACCGGCAGCGGCTCCAAGAAGGAGCGCTTCACGGATAACGGCTTCGTCTCCGCCATTCTTCGTGTTGTGTGTGTGTGTGTGTGTATTTTGATGGTATTGCTTTTTATTATTATTTCTGCCCTTCTACGCAGCAAAACAATAAGGATTGCCCACGAACGTGATGGCTTCTAGACACGCTCTGTTCCCAGCCGCTGATACATGCATATATTGATACATATATTAGTAAAAGAAAAGGAGGAAGAAGATAAAAAGACAAGCGGAAGAGATGGAACGGCAGCTGACCTCAGCCACGTTTTGCAGTGGCCTTCGCCTAGACGTGAATTTTCTCCATCGGTGGAAAAACTCCCTTTGTTCGGTGAGTTTTCTTTGCTACGAAATGCGTGAACTTCTTCATCTTTCCTTCTTCTTTTAAAGACCGGACGAATTCGCCTTGTCGCTGAAATAGAAAAAAACAGCTCATTGACAAATGCATACAACAGAAAAGCCAAACCCTGTGAAACAACAGCGTTACACCCAGACCCGCTCGTTCAATGAAACATCGTAAGGCACCTGCTCCGGAATGGCTGGGATGCGCACATCCTCGCCGTCCTCCAAGGCCACCACCTCCAGCTTCTCATTGATAACGCCACTGATCAATCGATGGCCGCGATGCAGCGTGTCGTGCAACGCGCGAGAGACGTGAATCGCCTCGTCCAACGTTGACATCCGCACCAGCACACAACCTGTGAAGGCACCGGACAAGTCGTCAAGTGACAGGCGGAGCTCGACGACGGTGCCGTACTCCTGCAGCAGCACTTTCAGCTGATCCTCCGTCGTCCAGTAGGGGAAGCCGTCCAACACCACATCCGGCACAAACTGCGCCAAATCATCCTCGACGCCGCTACTGCTACTGCTGCTGGAGTCCGTCGTTGAGGAGGAGCCGCTCTCGCTACCGCTACTTTCGCCATCCTTGTCCGCGTCGCTCTCAGATGCAGACGTGGAAGCCGAAGAATGGGAAGATGAACCACCCTTGCCGAGCACCGCACGCCGTCGGCGCTTCTGCTCGCGCCGGCGGTGCTTCGCTCGAGCACGTTTGCGTCGCTTCGCCACGGCGGCGGCCACGGCGGCGTTCTCCGCCGCTTCCTTCTCCGCGGCGCTCACTCCCACCTCACCGCGCAGCCGCCACACGAAGGCGTGCCGCCGCATCCACCCATTCACATCTGCCAGGCAGTGCGTGTTATGTACGCCGGTGGCATCGTGCAGGGCGATGCAGACGAGCTCTTTGTAGTAGGCACGACGCACCGCGTGCACGGCGTTCTGGTGAGAGTCGACTGAAATGATGAAGTCTTGCACGTACAGGGCCGAGGAGTCGGAGGTGTTAGAAGCGGCGAAGAGCTGGTGCAGAGCCTCCGTGGCGGCCTCGCCGAGCTGGGCCGCGTAGTGCAGCAGCGATGTCCGTTGGATTGCCGTGCAGTCCACCTGGCCATAGCGGCCAAAGAAGGGATTCAGCGACTCCTCATTCAGCAGGTGGGGGTGGACCATGCGGACGTAAATTTGCGTGGTGGTGCCGAAGTAGGGAGCGCTGCGATCCGTCCCCTGTGCCGCCACAGGACGGATATAGAAGAGGGGGCGCAGCGCAATATCAGCCACGGCCGCTGGTGCCGCCACAACGCTGCTGGCCGGCTTCAGCGCTGCTGGGCTAAGAGGAGGTGGCAGCGACGGCGCCGGAGGTGATTGAGCAGCGGTGGACGAGGGATCCGTGGAGCCTCCGTGGGTCTGCGCCGGCGCCACCGTTTCCACCGTGGAATCTGAGCGCAGCGGCGTGGCGTCCAAGCTGGATGAAGCCGTTGCAGGGAGGGGCGGTGGTGTACTCTGCGTCTCCTCCAGCTGTGGTGCTGTTGCGGTTGTCGATGATCCGATAAGGCGAGACACGCAGCGGGGCCATGGCAGGATGCAGTCTGGGTACACGAGATACGAAAGAACGCACCGCATGGTGTACAGGCGGTAAGGACTTCGTGTGAAGAAGGTACTGCCGCCTCGCTCGCCCTTTTCAAACACGCGATTTAAGGCGAGGAGGACAGTGCGTGCCTGTTGCTTGGCGCTTGGGTGAAGGGATTCGTAGAAGAGAGGATAGCACATCGCGTTGGTGAGAAACACCTCGTACAGGTGCGACATCAAGTGCAGCTGGCGAGCCAGCTGGTGGTTCTGCAGATCATAACCTGCCAAGTCCATTGCTTCCTTACCGCTCAGGTGTTCTGTTTTCTTCAATAACAATAAATCGGTTGCCACCGAATGTGCTGAGGAGAACACGACAACACACACACACACACACACACACACACACACAAATGTGATGTTTGACTGTGCAAGAAGGGTTGTGAAGGACAGGTTGGTGTTGCGCGAGAGGAACAGGGAAAGAAAGGGAGAGAGAGAACAGTTTGACTTACGCATCCATTGAAAAGAAAAGAAAGATAGAAACACGTGCAGATGCTAAAGTGGAGTGCACCAGCAAGAAGAAAAAAAACGGATTTCAAAAGAACTAACTATCTTGCACACGGCCGTTTAACAATTGTTTAACAGGTAAAACAACAATAACGAAAGCTGTTGAGATCTGCGAGACTTGATTTAAAAGCCTGAGATAAAGAACCGCCAGGCAGCAGGAGATCCTTCGAAACAGCGACTGAAGACCACAACGAACTACTTCTCGTTTTAATAGCTTTCCATCCTCCTTTTCTTTTTCATGATAGTTGTTACGCGTTCATTTAGGCGATTAAACACTGAAGGTAGAAACAAGAAACACCTGAGCGTCACTGCCAATACTAGCTGCGCAAGCCAGCTTTCATCCAAAAGGGAAGAAATCTTTCCTCGGTCCTTGCAGCAGCACCACCAACTCAATTCGTAATCCCGCCGCGGCTTCGATACCGGCGGACAACGAGTGGTCGCCGACCACCGCGGTTGGCTGCATTCGTCATTTCTTGCGTTTCTCCGTTAATCGTTCAGTGAGCAACGGAAAAGCCACCTCCCGTGAGTAGATGAAAAGAAACTCAGCCGTACAACGCCTCGCGCACCGCAGCAGATCCCTGCATCCACTGCTGCACCGCCGCTGTCAGGGCCTGCGCCAGCAACGGGCACCGCCCCGTTTGGTGCACCCCGACCACCTCCCCTGACTCGCTCACCGCCACTGTAATAATTCCATCCGCCACGAACTCCTCCATCGCTGTCGTGTCCGTCAAGAGACGAACCTGCGCCCCGGCCAGGAAGCCAAACGTGCAGGCCACCGGCAGACACGACAGCCGCAGCTGACGACGCTCAATCACGTCGCCGTTGGGTAGGCGGGTACGAGGCAGGTGGAGTTTGTGCAGCGCAGCCAACACAGCGTGCAGGCTGCCCGCGCGCAGCCCCCCATCGAAACTCAGCAGCGTGACATTCACATTCAGCACCCAGCATGCCTCCCGTTCGTAAATGCTCAGCTGCCGCAAATCAAAGCACCCCTCCAGCACGATGCCTATGTAGCCCTCGAGTTCGCGCAGGGCGAGGTCGACATTGTCGTTGCTGATGATGTACTGGAAAGACTTGTAATTCGCACCGCCCGCGCCGCCCGGCTGCTCAAGAAACGGTGCCTCGACGTGGACGTTCAGGCGACCCGCGGCAGGGGTTTGAGGCCGAGGAGGGCCAAGTAAGCCCTGCACGGTACACTGAATGCAGGAACCATAGTTGTCGGTGTACATCACTGCTGCGAGACTGCCGTTATTGGTCAAATTGATGCTCGTTGTGACCGTGCTCGTGTTCTTGCTGCCGCTGTTGCTGCTGCCGCTCACGTCGGAGGATGGGCCGACGCGCTCCTCACGCACCACAGTAGGCATGCGACACGTAGCAAAGTCTCGCTTGTCCAGACGCTCGCCCCTCGCGAGCAGCTGGGCCGTGTGCGCGCGAAAGGCGGTCAGCTCAATCGATCCGGTGTTGGGTGGCAGTGACATATTTTTGTGTTCGCTTTGTTGTGTGAGCGGGTGTGTGCGTCGCACTCTGCAACATACAGTTCTACGGTCATCACACACAGACGAAAGAAACCGTAAAACGAAAAACAAGTAATATTTGAGGAGCGATATTTTTTTTTAAAGGTGGAGGCAGGAGGCAAGATGTGTAAGAAAAGAAGTACTTAAGATCCCATAACGCTTAACTTGGCAAAAGTTGATACTGCTGTTTTTCTTCTTACCGAATGCTAGGACAAATCAGCATTGTGAAACGATCATCAGCTTTAAATTATCTTCTTTTCGTAGAGCAGATGCTTTATGGCAGCTTGTGCGCCGCGTCCTCTCCCGCTATTTGTTCTGAAGAAATGCGGTGCATCGGCGAAATCGTCAACGCAACCGCACGTCATGAAGATACCGTAAGTTGTCTGCTTTATCATTTCACTTTGTATTTGCTACGCTTGGTCTACGAGAATATGCGTGTGGGAGAAGGACAACACTATTGACGTGCAGCCGAACACGCCAAGTATGTACATGCCATGTTTTTTTTTTCTCCTTCATTTTTTTTACGTCACGGTGACGAAGAGAGACAGAAGAAAAGAACAGGCGACAAACGACAAGAGACTACACCCCACAACGAAACGATGTTGGTGCTTTACACAAAACTATCGAAATAAGGACGAAAAAGAAGAACCAACCAGATACGAAAGACGAAGAAACCGCAGCGGTTTCATGGAGCGAATAAATATGTAAAAAGGAGGAGACACGAAGCTTCATGGCGTTCATGCACAGTGTTGGTCGTCACGCATTGCCGTGAAATAGCTGTCGCCGCAACACAGGTGCAGACCCTTCAGAAACCCAAAGAACGGAGAGAACAAAAAGACTTTCCTTCTCGACGCGAGAGAAGGAGTGGCTCACGATAGCCACGGCAGGAGACGTAATGAGAAAGAAATAAGAAGAGAAAAAAAACACCCACACCACACCACACCCCACACACACACACACCTCACTCATTTGACCAGTAAACGCTGCATACATGTATATATATATATATATGTATATATATATAAACATCGAAAAGAAAAGTAGAGGAAAGAAAAGGAAAGGAAAAACAGTACAAGAGAGAAAAGGAAAGAAAGAAACAGCAGCGAAGTAACCCGACACACTCTCAACATGAAGATGGTACAAAGCAATGATGGATGGCAACGCTTTCAAGGGCCGAAAGTGAAGATCGTCAGCGTCAAAGGAGAGAATAAGAAGAAAAGGTTTGCTTGCGCCAGGCAGCATACACACGGAACGGTCAATAACCTTAAGCTGAAGAATAGAGAAAAAGAAGACCGAAAGCGGCGGATAAAAAAAAAACAAGAAAGATGAGGAGTTCCGTTTCATCACCGCAGCGCCACCGCAAGTGAGGACGAAGGGAAATGCGGAGGCGGAAGCCCGCAAAAGGCATCTCACGGGCCAGCAACAAAATGCGAAGAAAACAGGCAACAACAGCTCGCCAAGAGATGTGTTTGCATAGACCCGTATAGGAGATAGTAGAAGGTGCTCCACGACGTGAGACAAGCAGAGAAAAAAAAAAGGGAACACAAAAGTTTGATTGTTTTCCTTACAGCTTGAATCCACACTCAGTGCAGAACTTTTGCGCGTCGGAGGAAACCCTCGCACCACAGCCACCGCAGAACTTCGCCTTGTCAGGTGCGGAGGACGAAGTGCCGTTCGTCTGATCCGGCAGAACAGGTGGAGTTGGCGCCTTGGATGGCTGAGGCGACGCCGCGGCACGGGTCGCTGCAGTTGCGACCGTGGAAGTCGAGCCGGGTGCGGACTTAGCGTGCTTCGTCGTCGTTGATGCTGGGGCAGAAGCACGCCGGTTCTTCGTCAGCGCACCCCTGCTCGACGGCGGTTTATTACGCTCCACGCAGCACCCCTCGTGTTTCTGAATCCGCTCCGGCACAAAGGTGCGCCCGCAATACTTGCACGGCACGAGCGTCGACTGCTCCGACACCAGCTGCTGCTTCAGCCGCGACTCCACATTCCTAAAGCGCGAAATATTATTGAGGGGGATCTTCTTGGGGGTCCATTTCTGATCCTCTTCGTTGATGCTGTTCTGCGCGTTGTCTACAGGCTCCGCAGTACACTCCACCACGTTGCCCATGGGTCTGTGCGAGCCCACCACCGGCGCACTCTCCAGCTCGTCCTCATCTGAATGCATGTCCACCTCCACTTCCTCGCACCGTTCGCTCACCAGCTCCGGCATCGGTCGGGTGCGCGACGCACTGGCCGACCCTTGCTTTCGTGGCCGACTGCCCGCCGCATGCTCGCGACCTCGGCTCTGCGACAGCGAGTACGTCACGCTGATATTGTTGCTGCTGACGTTGTCGGTGTGCTGCTCCTCCGACACAGTGGTGCCCAACGCTGACACCGTGCTCGGCTCCATCGACGCAGGCCGATTCGGCGCCGAGGATCCGCTCATTTCAGGGTCACCGCGCAGAATCGCGACGGAGGACAGACAGCGCTCCGTGTCGGCGCGTGGCGACGGCGGCTTCACCTCTTCTACGTCCACGTCTTCCACCACCGCTACGTCACGCGGCTCCGCCTCCTCCGCCGCATCCTCGCTGGCAGCACGCCGCGGCGCAACACTGTTGTTACTGTTTGGTACACTCTGCACTCGCTTCGGCGTCGTTGTCGACGGCGCCTTCGGCGGTGCGCTGTCCGCGTCGACGTCCTCAGGAACCACGTAGCTGCCACGTGCGTGAATGACCGCGTCGCCGCCGCTGCCGGTGCGTGGCGGTACGCTGTCCGGACCGGCGCTGGTGGGAGCACCGTTGGCGCGCGCGACGCGGACCGGGTGATCCGGCGTCTTCGATGCCGCTGCTGCTGCTGCTGTCGGGGATACAGAAGTGGCCGCCTCGTTCATTGGAGTGACGGTCGCGGGTGTGTCGGCGGTGTTGCTGCCCGCGCCGGTCGACGCACGCCGAACGGGACGGGCGGTATTTCCGGGCTTGCAGCTGTGCAGATGCACCTGCAGGCGGTCCGGCAGGAACGTGCGGCCGCAGTTCGGGCACGGCGCCAGTGCCGTCTCGTTGTAGGCGTCCATTTGAACTTGATTGTAGAGTTCGATCTCGTTTGTGACACGGCTATTTGCCTTGCCCGACAACCTCGACGCACCGGGGTGCCCGCCAGTGGTGCCCGCCGCCGCTGCTGCGCTGGCGACGCGCGTCTTCATCATCTTCTCATGCTCCTCCGGCGACAGCGGTTTTGGTCCGCGGACGGTGGGGTCACCACGCTCCCACTCGATCATCTTCTTGAGATAGCACTGCGGGCGGTGGATGTCAATGCTGGCCGTGCCAAACTGGCGTCCACACAGGTAGCAAATGACGAAGTTGGGTGCCTGCCCGCCGCCACGACGATGTGCCTTGCTACTCTTGGGTCCTTTACTCCTCGAGCTCGGCTCCTCTGGCTTGCGAGTCCTACGGTCCTTCTCGAGAATCTCCTGCAGTCCGCGAGTGACGATGAGGCCGCTGCCTTCTTCGGTGCGACCGCCACCTACCCGTTTCGTAGCTGAGGACGGCGTCGCAGCGCTGGAGCCACTTTTGCGACTGGAGGACAGGGCATTGCTGCTGAGTCCTCCAGGACTGGAGGCGGGGCGACGGGGGGTGCTCATCGGGCAGACGCGTCTTACACCACTCTGTTATCCTTTGCCTGCTTATGTGGTTGTTGTTTCTCTGGTCGCTCTCCGGTGTGAAGCACACATATACAAACACAGAGTGAGAAGAGGGGGAGGAAGAAAAATACTCCGCTGTTTGCGCGTGTGATGCGGAAAGCTGTGAGGTGCATCAAGAAAGATACAGCAGCACGAAGGGACAGATATGAAAGAAAGAAATGAGTGGGACTTGCTGAATTTGAAAAGCGAGTCAGATGCGACGGAACAGAGCGCCGCTCGAGTGGCGAAGCGATTTTCATGAACAAATGGAAGGGCACGTTGTCCAGAAATGCCTTTTGAGGTCACTAAAAAGAAGAAACGCCAACGTCTGTGCCGTGCGATGTACTTCGTTGACAAACAACGCAGCGATCTCGCGGCGAAGGAAGACAAGACCACGGAAACGTGGCCACGAGAGCTGCCTCGTGCATGTTACACCCACTCGGGCAGTAAGAATCTCCTTTCTTCTTCTTCTAGGAAAACGCTGTCTCTCTCTTTCTGAGGGAGATGTGTAGCTACCTTCCACAGAAAAAAAAAACACAGAAGAAAGGAATTCGTAGCGCTACGAGACACACACAAGACAAAAACCGACATGCACAACCAAAACAAAGAAGGAAACTACAAAAGTCGACTGCCGAGAAATAACAGTAAAAACGCAATGATGCTAAAAGAAAAATCGTTTGTGAATATATATATATATATATACTTGCTTAACGGAATGTTTTGGTTTCGTCTTGCTCAACAGGGAAAAAAGGAAAATGAGGAGAAACAGAATGCACTGATAGAGATGGACAAGGCAAAAACCCGACAGCAAAGAAGAACCAGTTGAACCCACTTTTCTTTCTTTTCTTCAAACGTGTACGTACGCAGAGAATTGCAAGAGTCGAGCAAGGCGCACGACTGGAGATGCAGTGCTCTGCTAAGGAGTTGATCCATCTGTCGCCCCCCCTCACGGACTCGTCGGCGAACACACAGGAAATCCCTCGAAGAAGAAAGAGACGAAGAAACGTGGCAGCAGCAAGAAGAGAGCGCTAGCACGCTACTCCCTACTTCTTCTTTTTTTGCAGGTGTTTCGGCACGTACGGAGGAGCACCGCCCATCTCGATGGTCTCCATCTCCACCTCCCCGAAAACGTGCGGGCGCAGGTGCTTTGGCAGCTCGTCGTAATACTCAAGCACGTTCGCAGCAGCGCTGCTGACTATGGCGGCAGCGGCAGCGTATGGCTTCCCTCCATTCTTCGCAATCGCGTGCGTAAAGCGGATGGAGGGGGTGTGTAGGAAACGCTGAGAATAACGGAGCATTGCTTTGCGTTCCAAATGTGCTAAGTCGTAATAAAACAGAAGTTTTATAATAAAGGTGTCGGGTAAAAGAAAAAAAGGAGACAGCGGCACTGTTTATATAGCTTTGAAGAGGTGCTGTCGATGCAGGAGAAAACAAAAAGGAGAAAGAAGGCGCGAGTTAGACAAAAGTACATGATCACGGGTTATCACTTCTTAGTATTCGACCATCTCTTCGAAGAGGGGGGGGAGGGAGGGGATTTCCCGTTGAACGTTTAAAGTGCATATATGAGGAAAAAATCCGTGAAAAGCAACAGGAGGAGCCGCAAGCTCCCCGAGGTGGATCCACAGGAAGCGCTCTTCATCTTTCCATCTCCTCCACAACCTGCACCTCATCGTCTCTGCACTCCCGCCAGTGAGCCTTCCCGGCGTGCGCGTGCGTTGTAGCGTCACTTACAGCTTTTTGATATGGAGAGGAATTGAAATCGATCTGCATCGTTATAATGAATGTGTGAAGAAAGCCGGGCACAGACGCATGTAATTCCTTTAAAAAGGAAAGAGAAAGAAGATGTCTTTTCCAGTTGGGCACTTCGCAGAGCTAAGCATGCGTATCAGTGAAAAACACACTAGTGTTCCGTTTCTTTTCCTTTAAACGCGCATCAAGACGATCAAAGACTCTCACCGCTGAATTGTACCCAACGTCAAATCCACCTGCGCAAAGGCGACGTACGACGAAGAGAGCGGATCGACGTCAATTATACCTGCACGTACTCGAACCACCGTGCGACAAGAGACTGCCATCTGCACAATCGATGCGACACGCGCACTCAGCTTCTCCGTCTTCATGTTGGCGGTGCACGAGTAGAGGCACAAACGCACTGGCATCGTGAGAGATGCCGTCAAAGCCGCCTCCACGTCAGCCGTTCCCGTTGCGTCACTGCTGCTGTCGCTTACCGAGACGAGCACGTGTTGCGGAACGGTGCGAAGCGCATGATTCTCCTGCATGTTTTCACTTGCCCGGCGTGGCTCCGTTAAACTTGAAAATACAGTCGCTTCGCAAGACAAGGACTGAAGAGCTGCATCAAGGATCCGTTGACCGGCAAACGCGCCAATATCCTCCGCACTCGCACCTGCTGTTAAAGAGCTGTGCACCGGACGTATTTCGATGCTGAGCGGCGTCTGCACCTCAATTACCTTCGGTGTGCGCAGAGAATCTTTGGTCGCGGTGGGACTCAAGCACACCCTGTCCTCCATCTCTTCCAGAAGCAGCGACATCAACGCTGAGCAGCACATATCCAGGGCGGCTGGGTGGCGCCAGAAAGTGGGCACCCACGGAAGTGCGTTGGGTGAATGACGCAACGGCGGCGGCTGCGCACGTGCGGGGTTCTCCGCCTCTTTTCCATCCCCGAGCGTCAGCCAGGTATGTGGCACGGCAGAAAAGGCGGCGTGGTATGGCGAGAGACGTGCCTGCAACTCTTTCTCGAGCGGCTCGCACCAGCATCGAACGTGGAGCGCCGACGAGGCGTCCCGCAACTGCGTGATCTTGGTGCACGAGTCGGGCTCCTTAACAGTCGATGATCCCCCGCAGTTGCCGTGTTGCAGCTGCTCGATGGAACCGGCGCGATTCAACGTGGGATACAGCACATGCACACACGCTTCTGGTGCCCCTGTCGGTGAGTGCACAAGTGAACTTTCTCCTAGGATGCAAACGAGGACTTCGACGTCAGCCAAAAGCGGTGCTGCCGAAGTGACGACACCCACCAGCTGCTGCTCCTCCGCGGAGAGGAGATCGGCAGGATGGGCGGAACCACACAACGGGCTCTGCATGCCCAGCACACTCAAATCGCGCTCTACCACCAACACCACATGCAGCGATGAGGACGCTGTTGCCGCTGAAAGAGTTGTGGTGGTGTTTGGCTGGGAAATAAAAACGCCGTGCAGTCGGTCTTGCATCGATGTGGGCAGTTTCGCTGCCCAGCGCTGAAGAAATGAAACAAGCCGCTTCTGCTCGAGCGTCTCCAGCAGGCAATCGCTTCGACGATCAGCAGCACCGTCCATCGCAGCGGAGCCACTTTCGTTACTTGTTATCGCTCCTTCGCGGAGTAGATGAATCACAGCGCGATCGTGAATCGTACAGAGATGGATGTCGCGTCGAGACAGCTCAGTGGCCGCGGCTATCGCGGTGCCGGTACCTCCCTGTTGCAGCCGTCGGCAGAACTGAAGCTGCAGGGCTTGAAGACGATTCGACGGTACTGGAGTTGCCAACGGCGCCAAGAAAGAAATGCAGCTCATCATTTGGGTGTAGATGTGCGGTGAGACGTGCGGAGTCCTGCCATCTTTACGGTCGTCGCCCTCCTTCGCAGGCTCCTCGGTGGCACTGGACAGGGCAGCCGACCAGCAGTTCCGCACCGCACCCGTCAGCGACGTCCGCCACGCTCGCTGCTTTGCGCTTTTGGACTGCTGTCGCTCCTGCAGCGCCATCCACGGGCACTGCGCACACGTCAGAGCACTGGCACGTCGACAAGGTAACACAGGTAGCGACACAGAGTGACCAAAGCTGGCTGCTGCGGGCACGCGTTGGCCATCGCGCATCACTATCGTGTACTGCTCCGGCGAAGGAAGTTGGTGTGCGGTGCGCACCCACGCTGCCACGGAGGCGCGCGTGCGTAAGACGGTGCCGGGGGTAATGCCAGTCAGTGTGACGCGGTGACGCGTGTGTGAAGGTGACGACTGCTGCGGTGCTTTTGTCGCTTTTTCCGTACTTGTATTCTCATTAAAAGAAGATTTCGCCTCGCGCATGTCACGCTGCGTGACCAGCACACACGAGCACCCAAGCGGCTCCATTGTCTCCGCGATAACGTAGGCGCCGCACGTGTGAGATGCAGTGGGGACTTTACGACCGTGAGAGGTGACTCGAGATGCGGCCGCGGTACCGCGTCGCCGCAGCTGCTGCTTTACCCATTCTAATCGCATGTCTCGCAAAACATGACCGCCACGGAGAGACAGAGAGAGAGAAAGAGACAGAGCTCAGTGCTCGGTTGAATCTTCTGTCCTTCTTTTGATGAGCTCTTGAACGATTCGGAGGGAAGGAACAGAGAGAGGAATAGTTGGGCGTCCAGCGAGAAAAACGTGGCCGACAGTATCTTACGCTTGAAACGTGTGCGTTCGGCAAATCGTCGCTTTCATGCAACAAAAAAAAGGGGAGGACAACAATCACCTACGCGGTCTTCGCCAAATGTGCACCTTGCGCCGCTGTTCTTGGAGAGAGAGAGAGAGAGAGAGAGAGGAGGCAAAACGCTGATTCCTCTCCCTTGCGACTCCCTCTGCGACCCTTGCGAATGTACTGTAGATCAATTCTACAGAGATACTCTCGCTTAAGAGAAGAGGTAAGACGCAATAGTCCGTTCCACGTCGAGAAAACCCTTCATGAATTCGTTCAACAGAAGTTAAGAAGTACTAGAAAAAAAAGAGGGGGTAATCTATCGGTCACGTGCCTTCTATTACGTGGTGCGCGCGTGCCGTATCTATGTGTGTTTGTGTTGCAGTAGAAAAAGAAAAAAAAATACATCACATATACCGTCACCGAAGTCCAAAAAGCAATTTCAGGGTGTGTATGTATGTGTGTGTGTGTTCTCCCCTTTCTCACACCCTAGTCGCTGTCCGACGAATCCTCAAAGCTGTCATCGCTGTACTCGGCGCCTCTCTTCGGCGTCACCGACTTCGGCACCGGCACAGAAGCAGCAGAAGACACAGAAAGCGAGGTACTGCGCGGAGGTACGCTGGAACGCCTCTTAGGAGAGCTTGAGCTGCTCGAGTCGCTGTCACTACTACTGCTGTCACTGCTGCTGCTGCTGCTGCTGCTGCTGTCACTGCTGCTAGTGCTCGAACTCTTCCCGGACACTTTCTGTGAACTCTTTCCTTGGGCACTAGCCGGGCTGTGCGGTGCGTCTGCCCCATCGCCGGTCGTTGGCTTCGCGCCTTGCTCCGCTGTGGCCTCTTCTGGACTGCCAGCAGTGGCTTCAGCGGCGTCGCCTGTCTCCGTACTTCCTGCGCCACTTGCCGAAGCGGCCAAAATAGTTTTGATGGTAGCCCCGTCAAGCCCGGTATCCTGCAGGGATTTCAAGATGCTCTGCTCCACCGCCGCACGAGCCTTTGACTCCTCGTGCAGGTGCACCGGCTCCGCAAACACGGGCGGCATCTGCGCCACCCGCCTCTTCATCTCCGTCAGTCGCTCCTCAGCGGCTTTCTCGTTCTCCTTCATAGACGCACGCAGCGCCTGCACCTTGGACTTGATCGTCAGCTCATGCTCGAGGTGGTGATCGGTGATATAGCCTGCCAGACGCTGGCGCACCTCGCGCCGCCGATGCGCGACGGCCTTCCAGTATTGCTCGTCCTCCTCCGCGACCTTATCCTCATCCTTCGATTGCTTTACGTAGGTGGAGTAGATGGCCTCGGTGCGGAGCGCGTGCCCACGCGTCCCACGCGCGGCGCTGCTGGGGGACTGCCGTGGCTGTCGAGTTGCGTTGTGCGACGGCGGCGATGGACCCCGCTGGGCGGCTGTGTTCGTTGCCGCCGCAGCTCCGGCCGCATCCGTAGATAAGGTGGCGGTGGCAGTGCTGGGAGCTTTTTTAGCGCGAGAAGTCGGCCGCTGGCGTGCCGGCGTCCCGACGCTACGAACGCTGCGTGTGGGCCGGCGCCCCACGACCTTCTCCGCCTTTGCACTCCGCGTCAAGTCGAAGGGCCTCGGCGTGGTAGTGGGGTGTGCCTTCTTCTTCTCCGCCAGCTCCGCTTTGTTCTTGGCCCACAAGGCCTCGAAGTTCGGCACGCCGGGCTTCACGTGGGGCTTGAAGGTCAGCTGCGGGTTGAAGCGGCGCCACACGGCCTCTCTCCCCTCCTGCGCGTTGTGGGGCGGCGTCGCAGCTGCCGCCGTCGCCGTTGCTGGCGGAATCGCACCTGGAGCACCGGCGGGCGCGGAGGCGGCAGCTGGACTCGCAGCGACGGTGCTGCTGGTGGCAACGGCAGAAGTTTGGAGAGCCAGTGGAGCACCCGACGGGGGAAGCGATGGCGGAGGAAGAGGAGGAATGGAGTTGGGTGGTGCGGTGGCCGTGGAGGCTGGCGGAGATTTCGACATGGCCATTGTCGACGTGGCACTTTCATGGATCTGCGTGCGCATCGACGCGGATGGCGACGGCGGCGCAGCGGTGGGAGGCGGCAACGTTGCAATCGCCTCCTGCGGCACCGGAAACGCGGGCGAGGCGAGGGAAGACGGAACGATCGAAATCATCGGTGATGCGGAGGACGGCGACCACGCACCAGCACCAACAGTAGCAGCAGTAGCCGGCGGTTGTTGTGGGGGTGGAACTGCAGGCACCGCAGATGCTGCACCGCCTCCCCCGAGACCCAGCGGGGTCGCGACGACGTTGGAGCTGCTGAGCAGCGAAAAGGACTGGTGGGGTCCGAGGGAGAGCGGGGCCACTGCGCCAGGCGGAAGCCGTGGTACGGGCGTTGGTATGGGGGTTGGGGCGGGCACAGCGGGTAGCTGCGGCGGAGGCAGCGGCACGCTTACGCCGGGAGGAGGAAGAGGCACCGGCGCTGGGACCGGCGCAGCCGGCGGTGGTGCCATCAGGGAAGCAGAATTTGCAGCCGTTGACGACGGCGGCAGCCCGAGCGGAGAGGCGGAGGGAGCCGTCCCCGCCGTCGTTGCTGCCGTTGGAGGAGGAACTGCAGGCACGACTCCTTGCACTTCTGCCGCAGTGGTAGCGGCTGCGTTGGCCGGATGAATCGCCTGCCCAATACCGTAGCACGGCCCACCACCAACACCAACGCCACCACCCGCAGCCAGCAGCAGCAGCGCCTCGTTCACACCTGCCGCTGCGTCGTAGCATCGGCGAGGTGTGGGGCTGGTGAGCAGCGGCAGGACCTGACGGACCTCTTCATCGACCTCCACTTTCCGCACCGCAGCTTTGTATTTGAGGCGCTCCCTCCGCACCCGCTCGTGATCGCTGAGCGCAGGCCACAACTTCATTTTGACCTCGAGCGGCACTGCATGGACGTGGTGCACGGCACAGCCACTTCGCGCATCGGCACTCTGCGCACGACGACGCTGCTGCTCACGCTTCGTGACCGGCTTCCCATCGGGTCCGTACACAACGCCCATGAGCTCCTCGCGTGTCTTGCGCAAGCTCTGCGCAGAGAGCCGAACGTACTCAGCCTCCTCCTTCGCCAACCGGGCGCGCTCACGCGACATGAGCTCGATGGCCGCCTTGCGCTGACACCACTCCTCCACCATCAGTGCATACTTGTTCATGAAAGTGGAAGGTGGCACCGGCTTCGCCTTCAGAGGATTGCGACGTCGCTCCTCCAGCGCCGCTTCTCGTGAGCGGCGGTCGTCCTCAGCGCGCTGCTCGCGTATCCGCTGCGGCTTCATTAGTTCACGCGACTCGAAGGCGAAGGGCTGCACGTGCTTCATCCTCGACTCCCGCCGCTCCTTGTATCCTTGGTAATCGCCTACGGAGTTGAAGTACTGACTCATGGAGGCGCGCGCGTACTCCTCGTACTTCTTCTTTAGCGATTCGAGCTCGGCTAAACGATCCTGGTACGACCACTGAGCTCGTCCTAAAACTTGGGCCGCAGCGCTGTTGGCTACTGTTGCAGTAGGATCGTTTGGTGGTATCACCGTACTGTTGACATCTGCAGTGTCTGTCCCTTGGACGCTGAGCTCCTGCGCGCACCGTCGCTGCGCAGAAACCTGCGCGTGGCCGTGAAGGATGTTGGCGGCCTCGAAGGAGGTGCCGAGCGCAGTGTGGCCCAGGAGTTGCTCGAGCCGATGCTGCTCTTCCCGCAGAGCATGCAGCTGCACAGCCATCGACTCCTCCATTGCTCGCAAATCGGAGTTGAAACTTGATGTATAGGATCTAATCTATCGTCAACTATTCTAACTTCTTTTTTTATCTTTGTTGAAACACCACTGCTTTCAGCGAAGTCAAATCCGCCACCTCCGCCTTAAATCGCAGCGATTGACTGTGCAAAGATCGCAGCGTTAGCTGTTGCGCTGGTTTTATGTATTTTCTACTTGTGTGTGTGTGTGTGTGTGTTCGTGTTTGCCAACGCCCCCCTGGCTGCTGCACACAATGAAAAAAAAGACGAAGCGGTATTTCTGCCCTGCAGTCTGCGCAACACACGACAGAGCAGCAGACGTCGCGTACGAGAATCACACAAAGCCCGTGTATGAGTAGTGTGTTTTGGCACCCGGCGACGATGCAAACGCAGGGGCGGTGTGTTAGCCAGGACCTCTGACCAGTGTACGGAAACAAATAGAGCAGGAGTGCGAGACAGTGAAAGCGGCAGTCGTCAGCTGCACGTAATGTGTCATGGAATATACAGCAGCGTAGAAGAAAACACCTCAGCGATGCAACGCATTCGAAAGGGACAGGAAACGTCGCTGCACACGCCCACTCACGCAGCAAAAACATGCGACGATAAAAACCTTTCCGCAACGCCGCTTCGGCTCTATTCCCAAATTTAACACCGCCGGCTTCGGCACACTTATCTTGCTCCATCTCCTGAAGAACAGATAAAAATATATAATGTCCGTTTGGTCAAATTATTTTGGCAGCAGAAAGTGGCAGGTTAGGCAAGCAATCAGGTGTTGCTTAAACACACCGCGCATTCCGAGCAATAAAAGAATGCGTATATAATTGAGCTCAATGAACCAAGTACGCACGCAAATAGTCGTTGTTGAATATAGAAAACGAGTGCTTGCAATCGTTGCTTTTACGTTACAGAACTCTTCCTTTCTCGCCGGTAGCACCGGTGTGTGTGTGTTTGTGTGTATCGCCCGTTGTGGCGATGCCAGACCACAAAGAAGAAGCGTAATGAGCTCACACCTGAGCCAAAAAGAGGAGGAAGCAGAGAGCTACGTCTATTGTTGATATGGCTGCTTTGAAATCAAAGAGAACATGAAAGATGAAAGCGAAGATATTCTCGTGTCGGTACTGAAGTCGTTAGTCCACCACAATGCGAATCTCGACTTCGCGGCGATATCTCACTCCGCCGTACACCACCATGCCGGCACCTAGCACAAGAGCAAGCGTCCCTGTCAGCGACAATACCAGCATGGCGGCCCACAGTTCAGGTTTGGACGCCGGCCAGGTGTGGAGAGCCAACAAAACGATGAGGGGAACAGTGGAAAGAGAAGCACCGATGATCATGCAGGCCGCACCAGCGATGTGATCCACGTAGAACGACACCATGTGATACGCGTACCAGCACATCAGGAAGCAGAGTCCGCCACTCAACAGAATGGCGAGGTCGGGAAACAGAGAGTAACATGGAACGAGAACCTCTGCCATGTTCTGCCGCTGCTCCGCAGGCAAATGGGTCTGGAATGCACTCGACGAGGCTCCGGTACGTCGCCTGCTCATCACATCAACAGTCTGCATCGCTGCGTCGGAGCTCAGCAAAACGTTGATCACGTAGGCGGCAATGCCTAGGGCGGCTGTCCACACAGCCAGCGAGCTCGTCAGGAGAAACTGCTGGCTCACGCGCTGGCTGATCTCGCGCAGTCGACGCGTGAAGAGGGTCCAGCAAATTCCGGACACCAGCACACTCACACCCCAGCCCATGAGCACCAACAGGCCAACTTGAAGAGAGCTGCGAGCTTCACTACTCTTGTCACTGCCGTCGTCCAAAAGCTGTTCCATTGCTCCACTCGCGGCGGCAAGCAGGGCACCCAGGCCGGCCACTACGCCACCGACGGCGTCCCAGGAAGTAATGCAATCCCCGCCCTCATCATCGCCACGGTGCAAACACTCCGCAATGAAGTGCCCCACGAGCCCGATCACCATGACGACGGCCACTGTTGAGACCATCGCGTAACCGAAGACGAGGGAGGAGGTCAGCCCGCCAATAAACAAAACTCCCAACGTCCACAGCGGAGGCAGCTGACTCCACTGATCCGGGTCTGCGAAGAAGCCCTGCTCCTCCTCGCCGTCCGGCCGCCACACGGCGACGAGGTGCAGCAGCATCCCGACGGTGCCGAATCCGGAGATGAGGAAAAACATAAAAGGAACAGATATGGCACGATCGCGCACAAGCGGCAGCCCCCGCTCGAGGTAAAGGTTGCTCAAGACGGCAAGACTGAATAAACAACCAAACACCGTCAGAAACACGTAGGCGTACCAGGGGCGGCTGTACACAACGAGAAGACGCATGTACTCATCCTCGCTGCGCGCGATGGAGATGGACTCGATCACGTTTTCAGAAAAATGAACGCTCCGGGAGGGCGACGTGGCGGAAGCCGGCCCCGCAGAATCCGCCGCTATGTCGTCGATCTGAAGCGTGGGAGGCGTGGGTGTGGGCGGGCCGCTAGATCGAGAGGCAGCAGCCGAGGAGGAGCTCCGCCGACGTGGTACGGAAAGCCGGTCTCTCTCCTGAACGTCAGAGGATCGCGCGACCCCATCACGGCGAGGCGAAGGTGATAAAAGCCTTGTCCTCTCGTTATCGTTACCGTCGTCGAGAGGGGACTCGCCGTCCCCCACATCTTCCTCCCGCCAGCCGTCACGGCCGCCGCTACTCCTACCGCTGGGACGGCGGCTGGCTGCGGCAAACAGCGCCGGACGAACCGAGCCGGCGCAGGAGAGTAGACTACCACCAGAGTAACGAAGAAGAGAAGGCACGCTGCCTGCCACGACAGCGAACGGCGACCCGTCGCCTGCCAGTGCGCGGCGCAGCGCGTTGGCACCCCCAGGTGGAGGCGGCGTACCCCGGCGTGGTCGGGCGTGTGGGGAGAGCCCTGCAGACGCTGCGGACGACGCGGGTAACGGGCCTGGCGATTGCGCTGACGCTGCTGGCTGCGCATTGACTTCGTTGTCTAGCCACTGTGTCCCGCGCAGGGTGCTGAGCCGGCGTTGATAGTGCGCCGCACGAGCGACAGGCGGCGAGGGGACCGTGGCCGCACCATCGTTAGCACTTGAGTCCGTATTGGCAGCCGAGGCATCGTTCACGCGCGATACATTCGATGCAGAAGGTGCGTTTGTTGAGGGGGAGATAGTTGCGGTCGTCGCTGCATCGGCACAGAGCACGCTGGGAGACCCAAGCGCGCTGGTCAACAAGGATCGCTCAATGTGGTAAGACGGCGCCGAACGAGCCTGAAACATCAGCCGCTGCGATACCACATCACCGCGGCGCACTCCGAGGGCGTTGCTCAGGTCGGTCAAGTTTACGCTGACGACACCGTGGTCGGAGGTGGTAAAGGCAATCGACTGCGTGCGAGTGTGGTTGTCAGCACTGGAGGCAGAGGCGTTGGTGCCGGTGCTAGCTTGGCTGTCTCGCGGGTCGCGCGAGGTGCGGCTTTGGCGTGCAGACCCGGTCGGAGCCGCCGCAGAGGGCCCATCCAGCACGTCACTGCCACGACGCCGATTCTCCATCTTTTGAAACCCGAAAAAGAAGGGATAGCTTGTCTATGCTTCGCCTATCCAGAAGAAAAAAATTGGTCGCTGAAGAGGAAGCAGTAGAATTGAAAAGAGAGAAAGCAGGCGGCGTCCAGCGTGGAAAGCGCCAACAATTCACAGTTGGCGCTGGTGATGTTGATTTGCACGGCTGAAGGAGACAAACCAAAGAGAGAGAAAGAAGAGATTCCGTGAGAAATACGATAAATGCGCCGCAGCGAAACGAGAAGCACGTGATCGAGACCTGAAATCAGAAGGAGCGCTACCTCGATAAAAGAAGGAGGAAGAAGAGAAACAAAAAAGGCTGATTGGGAAAAATCTTGAACAGCGAAAGTCCCCTAAAAAAGAAAAGGTTGATTAGAAGAGCAGGCGTTTCGTGGGCAGTAAGATGTGGCACAAAGAAAGGGAAAGACAAAAAAAAAGATACACTGAGTAGAGTTACGGAAGAAGTATTATTATGTCGCAGCCACGGAGCAGGTGGAAAAAAGAGGCGTGTTTGGCGTACGTTAACATAAATATATTTACGGGTGCCGCGAAAGGCGCAACAACGAAACCAAAACCGTACACCTACGTTGCGGGCAGGTAGCTACTTGTGTGCGGAATTGATGTCCTCACCGCCGCACCACAGCGACGCAGCAGGAGGCGCAGTTGTGAGTCGATCTCTTCCTCCCTGTACCGCAGAAGAGTTTTAAAAAAAAAAGAGAAGAAAAAAGACCTTTGGGTACGGCTAGGGACGTCAATGGCGTCGCCACGAGTCCAGCGTGTGCTTTGCAGAGAAGCCAAGAAGTTTTTAGAAGGTTTGGCGGGCAAAGGAGCGAGAAGATTGAGAAACGTGTTCAACGAAAGAGAGAACACCTTCACAAGAACGAGAAACGAGAGATGTGCAGGGAGAGAGAGGCCTCACTCAGACTTCGCGCCGCAGATAAAGCACCGCCGCAGGATGTGCAATAGGAACACTAATATGAGAAACCTCAAAAGGAAAAGGCCCCCCTCTATACAGATTTGCTTAGTCCTCCTCCTTTGCACGAATGCGACGATCAGGTCATGCACCGCGCTCTAGTGGTCTCCTTGTTGTTGCTATCCTTTAACGGTTGCGCAAACGCGAAAGCAAAGAGGGAAAAGGGAAAATAAGAAGAATAATAAAGGAAGCACATTAGGCAAAAAGAGTTAAAAGACGCGTTCAAGCGAACGCAGGAGTTCATTAATGCTTGACCGCCTCTGAGTCCTGTGACACACACATCAGCGCCGATACACACACACCGACATGCTGAGGAACATTCGTGGGCTCCGCATCCTCCGCGAGCCATTATCGCACTCGCCACCCAGCAGCAGCGACTTCACAGCATGGTGTCTGGATCGGTCGTCGTAAGATCCGCCTCGACCAGGTCCTGCATATACGCCACATCCACCTCATTGTGATGTCCCACGCACTGACCCAGCTCCGCTTGAAGCCACGCAAAGCGTTGCAGGTCCATTAGCTCGCTCGAAGCGGCGAGGGGCAACGCATCACCGTTCACGCGTTGTAGAAGCAGCGTGAAGGCTTGAGCAGCACGATAAATGCCGTCGAGACGCGGGTAGTGCGTAACAGGGATGTTGTACAGGGGTCGGCGCAGACCGCGATCTGCAGCGGAGGGCCGCGCACGGAGAGGCCAGCAGTGCTGAATGGTAGAGAGCACCGGCGCAACGCCTTCGCCGTCACAACGGAACGCATCGGTTTCCTCTCGCGCCGTTTGACCCCGCGGCTCATGAACGGCACTCACGACAGCCGGTATGCTGAGGTGGGCATCCGACGGCACTGGTGGCGTTTGCTGCAGGAGCTGCAGCACTTCCAGATGGCTAACGAACGGGAGACGACGCGTTGCGGAGGGCCGCAGTGACAAGACAAACGGGGAAGGAGAGTGGGGAGCGTTTTCCGCGTCGCGGCGACTGCGGTGATGACGCTGCTGCTGCTGCTGCTGGAGAGCCAGTAAATTTGTCAGGGCAGCGTCGTCCGTGAAGAGCCAACGGAAGGCGAAGGCGTGGGCTGGACACAGCGTGTAGTCCACATCCAGCACCTTCAACGCCTCCATCTGCAGTTTCAGTATCTCCTGCAGCGCCTCCGTGCTCATCGGCGGTGCGCTCTTGCCGACTCCTTCTCCTTGCGTTGCTGTGATTGTCGGCGCCATTTGCGTCCCAATCGAGAGCGCCCGCAGCAGCTCCGGCCACATCAAGGGCCACAGCGAGGCCACCAACGACTCCCCTACGTTGCTCATGAGAAGCACGCGAAAAACAAGAAAGGCGGCGCGCAGAGGTTGCAGAAACACCTCCTTCTTTTCAATTTGAGCCGCGGTCGGGGTAGCAGGGGATGAGAAGTGCTGCAGGGTGTAGGTGAGCTGCTCGCGAATACGGTGGGCCAGCTCTTTTTGGCGGATGGCCGTCATCGTCGAGCCAGGTCCCGTTGTCGGCTCACTCACCCCAGCGGATGCGCATGTGGCAACGGCTGTGCTCGCCGCAGATGGTGTCGCTGTCGGTGCCGTTGTTGTGACGACATCCTCCAACGCCATGACCGCGTAGGTGTAGAAGGCGAGGTTCTTCATGGAGTGCTCCCGCAGCAGCGCCTCCGTCTCACGGGACATCATCATAGCCGAAAGCCGCCCCGAAGACTGCACCATCCGCTCGCACAGCAAACTGTGAAATTCGCTGTCCATGACATACATCTGCCGCAACAGCAGTGCCCACTCGTGCAAGGAGCTGCGGCTGTAGCGGAAGAAGTGCTCCGAGAGGAAGAGCGCCATGACGTCGCGCTGCACCCGCTTGGCAAAGGTGAGGTCCGGCGCGAAGCCGCAAATTGCCGAGCGCAACACCTGCAGAGACGCGTTTACGAGGGGGGTCGACGATATGATTTCCGCCTCAGATGCGGAGGCGATGCCGCGTCGCAGGGCGGGGAGCAGCGTTCGCTGAAAGACACGGATGGCGGCATCCACGACGCGTCCTGGGTTGTCCATCGCACTCAGCGACGCCGGCAGCATCGCGTAGAAGGTGCTGCACAGCAGCTGGAGCAGCATGAGGGCCGCGCTGCGGTGCGTCATGGCGGGGTTCACGGAGAGCCCCTCCAAGAGACGGCACAATGCGAATGAGTAGTCCTTGTTCTGGTACACCTTGATCGCCGTCACTAGAGGCTCAGGTGCCACGGTCGCCTCACCCTTCGCGTAGGCAACCACGCAGTACATCGTGTGCAGAACACAACAGCAGGAGAGCGGCTCCGGCGGCCACTGAGACACGACATCCGCCATGAGCGCAAAGATTGCCGCCGCCTCCCGCTCGGTCAGCCCGCCGCCCTGCCGCTTCACACAAACGGCCTCGACGAGCTGGTGCAGGAAGTAAAGGAGCTGCGTCACAGGTGGAGGCGGTAGAAGGGCGGTGGAAGAGGCAGAGGAAGAAGACGGCCTTTTGTTGTCGCCGTTGCTTGGCGTGCCCGCGCTCTCCGTTTTCGGTCCCTGCTGTTGCTGCTGCTGCTCTGCCCGTTGCTGCATGGAGGCGGTATCGCGCAGCAGCGGAGCGAGGGCAGCCGTGACGTCCACAACGGACACGCCAACATCCTCCAGCAGCACATACGCGGCCCGCTGCGCCTCCTCTTTCGCATCCCACGCAGCCACCAAGATTTGCGGTGTGTCTTGCTTCGCCGTTTCCTTGGCATTTTTCACGTTGAGACACGGTTGTCGTCCGCCGTGTTGATGCTCCTCCTTCTGCTGACGAAGACGATGCTGCCGCTGTGCAGCTGTTTCAAACATCCAGAGCGACGACTGCGCTGCGTAGGTGCGGCACCAATTAGTGGCGAAGGCCGTCAGAAACTGCGGACCGGCGGAGTGGCTCAGCAAGTTCAGGAGACAACACGCGTGCTCTCGCAGATCAGCTACCTCGCCGCGTTGCTGCTGCTGTTGTCGCTTCACCGCCAGTGATCGACCTTTCCAGCCCATCGCGACATCGTCCTCGTCTGCGGTGTCGTAGCCCCACATCGCGTGCTGCGTGTGGAGAGCAGCGTTGATGGACGCTTCCGTGCCGTGCGGCGCGTCGCAAACACGTAACGTCTGCACCGCCGCAAACACCAAACGATGAAGAGAACCACGGATAGGTGCCAAAACGGGCGACCGTGCCCACATGGTGGAGTTGCGTGCTTGGGTCACTGGGTCGCCCTGCGAGAAGGTGCTTGCGATCCAGCTCATCGACTCCTTTGTCTTGACGGCCGTCTCGTAATTCTCCACGTCTGCTGCACGGGCCACGCTGAACAAGAAGCGCACAACGTAAATCAGAGTAGCGTAGCAGACGCACCGAATGCGCACGCTGACGGCGGACAGAGCATTTGCGGACGGCAGATCGGTGCCGTGCAGCGTTGCCGGCTCCAGCGCCGAGAGCAGCACATCTGCGACGACCTCCACAGACGACACGAGGTCGTGGTACAAGTACGGCATCACGTCACAGTAAAACCGAAGCCAACACGTCAGCGTGTCGACCTCGTGTGCGCAGGAAGAAGCATCCAGCAGCCGCGCATCGTTCTGTGCGGACCACACGTTGCCCAGAACGTGCTCGACCACTTCACCAATCATCGCGTACAGCAATTTGTTCGACACTACTGCGGGAGGGACTCGCTTGAGATCATCCAGGACGGGGGTAGAGCTCGCCTCGAGCGCGCCAGTTTGCGCTCCTCCCTTCGGTCCAGCGTAGTCTTCTCCGTTCACGTTGCAGATGTCGGCTGCACGGTGCGTCTCCTGCAGCGACGACGCACCAGAGAGGAGTCGGTGCGGGCTCCCCGCCGCCGCAACGCCCACGTAGAGCAGCGCGTGATGTCGCCAGTGCCGCGAAGCAAACGCGCCGTCGATCACGGCTGGCGGACCTGCCGTCTTCCCACTCGCAGCCACCGTAGCAGACATAGAAGACGACAACGACGAAGAAGCGGCCGAAGCATTGCTGGTGACGTCGTCGAGGTACAGCACGACGCCGCGGAGGTGGTCCAGCAGCATCGCCTGTGCCGCGTGAAGGTCCGCCTGCACGGCCAGCCGCAGCAACGGCAGAAACTGCGCAGACGTGAACTGCCACGTGAGGACGGCGGTGCGGTGCGGCTGCATACGCGGGCCTGTCTGACTCAGCTCCAGTAGACGATTCAGGCACGCGAGAGAGTCGAACAAGATGAAATTGTGGCGGTGCGCAGTAGGCTCGGGAAGTGCGGAACGCACCGCAGATTCGGAGGTAGCGCTAGCGTTGGCGGCACGCCGCCCACTCGCCTGATCTCGCCGCTGCATGCAAGACCAATGCAGAGCCAGCAGCGACTGGCGAGACAGGTTGAGCAGCAGCAGCGCGGTCGCCGCAAACAGTGTGTCAGACGGTCCCTCCCGTGCAGGGGAGGCAACGGCGGCAGAAGAGCGCGCCGTGGGCGAGGTACCCCCGCTGCTGTCCGCCTTGCCTTCGGGGGCCATGAAAGACTGCGCCTCTAGACCGTGTAGGAGAACCCGCAGGGAGTTGGGCGTGGGGAGCTGCATCGCCTGCTGCACCCACTCTCGCGAGGTCGGCAGCTGCAGGAGAGAACAAAGATGCCGCACCAGCTCTGGAGCTTCGAGGTTGCGGTACGTCCGCGCAGGGCCGCGCATCGTCACTTCGTCACCATCATTTGCATTCTCTTGAGTAACGCTTTCGCCTTTTAAGCGGCTGATGGTGGTGGAGGCGCGCTTTGGCTGTGTAGTGGGCAACAAGACAGTCAAAGAAAGAGCGGAAAACGCTGGAGCAGACAAGCGGTGCAACGACGAGGCGCCACCGCCGGCACCACTTCCTCCGACTCCTCCTTCGCCGCCGCCGCCGCCGTCGTCTCTCTGCGGCACCGCAGACGCAGTCGGCAGCACCAGTGGGCACAGAAAGGAAAAGAAAAGAGGTATAAGCACGTTCGGCGAGTCTCGCACAAGGGTCTGCGAGACATAGGCGCGCGACAGCTGACGCGTCGATTCTGCAGTGTCACACAAAGGAGAAGGAAATGCACGTGAGCTGCTGGTATTTGAGAAGCCACTGACATCGCCTGCATCGCTAGAAAGGCAGTCGAGGACGCTCAATAAGCCTAAAAAGAGCACCCCTGGATCTTGCAACCCCGTCAGTGCCGCGGATTCCGGAAGCGCGGCGGAGAGGAACCGCCCACGACGCCGCAGTGCTCGCAGATCCGTAAGGCAACGGTGTAACCCCACAAGCCGTGACACCGCTACATCCATTGGAGATTGCAGCATGTACACATCCAGACAGCGCGCGCATGCGGGTGAAATGGCAATGAGCACCAAGAGAGACTCGCTGAACGTTGTCACCGTGTCTGGCGAAGCGTGGACAGGTTCCGACGCCGCCGCCGCCGCTGATGGACTTTGCACGAGCTGCTCAGTTTCGTTTCGCTTGTCATGACAGCTTTCCCACAGACAACGCACGACTGGCGCGAGAACAAAATTCCCTGCAAACGCAACACCCTCCGCCACGTCTCCCGAGAGGGGGCAGCTCGGCTCCAAGGCGCGGTAGGCCGGCTCCGGCAGCAGACTGCCGCGTGCACGGAGCAGCACGTCCACCACCAGCCGAACCGCTCGCGCGAAGAAGAGGGGTGCCGCCCCCACCGCCGCGTCTGCCGTCGCCTTGCAAAGGCACGCCAGCCAGGCGGCTGTCTGCCGCGCCAGCTCCCGCTCTCGCGCGCCGGCGCCGTTGTCGGACGCGCAGTCCAGCAGGACACCGACGCCGGCCTGCTGCTGACACCGCAAGTGCAGCTGAGCGAGAAAGGAGGTGAAGCGCAGAGTGGTGCGATGCAGGCGCGAAAGCAGCCTCTGCACCTCTGCACCGTACACACCCGGCAACGTACCTTCCGCGGACAGACGAGAAAGGGCGGGTACGTCGTGTTGGCTTTCGCTGAAGGCCTTCGCACGCGCACCGTTCAACAGGATGGAAGTGGTCCCGGAGATAGTCGCCTGGCGGAGCTGTCGCAGCACCTGGGTGTCCACGGAGCTCAAAAACGAAGAGAAGAAATCTGCCCCGACAACGGCTGTGCCGGTTGCCGTGGCGGTGGCGAGGATGCCGTCGAGCATCGGCTCCATAAGTTGCTGTGTGCGCTGCACGAGCAGCCGCAGCAGCCCGTTGGCGGTGGAGATGAGCAGCGGCAGCCGTGAGGTGCCTTCTTCATCCACGTCACTATTTTGAAGCGTCGCTGCCAGCGCGTGCACGACTTCGCTGAGAAGACGCGTCACGGCGTTGGACCAGTGGAGGGAGGCGCGCACGTACTCCTGAGCCGCCAGCGGCTGGTCGGCGGTGGCGTCGATGAGCGACGGCTCGAGCGTGTTGGCCAGGGCGAAGGCTTGGTCCATGTAGTGCTGAACGCGTCGCTGGAGATGCTCCGTGTATCTCTGCTTCATAGCATTGCTGCAAGACGAAGAGGCGTCCGCATCTGTTGTGGAACCTGCGGCCGCTGGTGTTTCCTCGTTTGTCTTGAGAGGAGTTTGCGTGAGAAGTGGGCCCATCAACTTCTCTACTGCCTGTATCGTGACCACGTCCAGCTGCACAAAATATGTCCACGGTAGTACTCGTATAACCTCACGCACCTCTGCGGCCCACATTTGCTCCTCCGGTGAGCCGCCGACGCCGGCACTGCTGCTGGTGAAGGAGCAGCTCCTTTGGTAGTGGAGGTGCGACCGCATTGACAGCACAGCTGGCACCTCAACAAGAAGACAACTCAGCGATGGCAGCACGAGAGGTGCCACGTGTAGCAAGAAGGGGAAAGTGACATCTGCTGCTGGAGCGCCGTCCAAGGCAGGCAGCTGGGGCGGGTCTGAGGCAGTCGGGCTGCTCACGGGCACACCACCTCCTTCGCCGCCATCACTGCCTCTGTTGTTGGCGAGAGCAGGGCTGCGGTAGCGGAAGAGAAGAAGCAGCGCGCGGAGCCAGACGAGGGGAGTGGCAAGGGCAGCAGAAGCTGCTGAGGTCGTCGCGGGCGAAGAAAACGCGGTGTTGTTGCTGCTGCCGTTATTCTTGCCTTCACCACTGCCAACGCCGCCGAACGCTGCTGCAATCGACGGCGCACTCGAGAGGCGTGGAGCGGCGTCGTACATGAGAGCACGCGCAGTGTGCTGCAGCGCACTCAGCTCCGAGTCTACCTGTCGCCGTGCGGCCTGCTGTTCTGACCCGCTGAAGTCGCTGGTGTCATCGGACCGGTCCGTCCAGGTAGTCCGCCAGTGTTGCACGATCATGTGAAAGCCCTGAGAAAGGACGTACGACGTGACATCACGCACATACACGTCGGCGGAGGGCGGCGTAGAAGCACCGTCGACTGCCGCCATGTCCATCGCACCTTCGTCGCTGCGGTCGCTCGGAGAGAAGGGGCCACAGCCGCCTTCGCGATGGCCGTGATCGCCGCTGTCGACACCCGGGAACACCGTTAGCCACTGAAACATGCGGCGTGCGACACTCGGTGTGCCGTAGCGTGTGCCCAAGAGTTGCACTGCGGCCGCCACAAGCAGCGACTTCACCTCAAAAGAAAAGAGTTCTTTATTGGCTCTCATTGAATGAAACGGGCAAGGGATGGACGCTGACGCCAGAGCCGCAGCACCGTTCGCATCGCTGCTACCCGACGGCTGCGGCGCGCCTGCGGTCGGACTGGGCGAAGGGGCAGGAGACCGTCTGACGGCTCTCTCGTACCGGAAAGCAGCGGCAGCGGCAGCCGTATCAGCACCAGCGTGTTCGTTGCTGTTCCCACTACTCCCGCCATTCAGAGGGCAAATCAGCGTCAACACGTCCAGCGCGAGGCGATGTGTCCTTTCCTGTGTGTCCTGCAAGCTGTTGAGGAGGGCCGACACAACAACTTTTGCATCGCCGCCTACCCAGTCGGGTTGGGAGGGCTGCTGCTGCTGATGCTGATGCTGATGCGCCAGCGGCGAGGGAGGCGCTCCGTCTGGTTCGTCGCTGTACCGCCCAGACTCAGAGCGCGTACTGCCGCCCATCGCGGCCGGCGTGTCCACCTGCGCAATGAAAACCTTCATCACGTTTAACGCCGGAGAGCGCAACGCGGCGGCGTCGCGGATCAACACCCAGGCATACGCTGGTAGCACCTGGCCCCCACGTAATTCCGCCACTGCACATGGTGGTGTGGACGCCACCGCGCGCACCGTGGCAGCGACTGCGTCTTCGTATTTGAGGGTGTTGTGCATGTACTCGAGCAGCGTCATCGCACGGCGGTACATCGGGCTCGTCTCCGATTCCTCGAGACAGCTCAGAAGGGAGGTGAAGAGGCCAAGAGCGCAGGAGCGCAGCGCCGCCGGGGGCATCCGGCGCACCACGCCACGATCCAGCAGCCCCAAGATACCACTTTTGACTTGCATGGTGGCTTGTGGCAGCAGCTCAAGCAGCGCCGGCAGAAACAGCGGTAAGTCTTTTGTCATCGGGTACGCCGGGTTCACGAACTCGACGTAGGTCTGCAGCACCTCCAGCGCCTTGCGCTGCACACCGACCACGTTCTGCGGACTCAGTACACGCCATAGACTCCTCGCAAAGTGATCGCCGTCTGGCAGCTCAACAGCGCCAACGGCATCTTTGAACGTTTGTACTGTTTTATGAAGCTGCGACAAGAGGGACGCCTGCGCTGCCCAGTCCGTGAGCGAGGTGCGGTCCATCGCGGACAGCGTTCGTTTCAGCTCTCGCTGCAGTTTTAGGTAGTCCTTACTTTCCTTCCATTTGCGGATGGCCGCCTCTGCGGTATCCACAGGGATGGAAAAAGATAAGGGAGCGGCCAGCGCGGAGCTCGTCGTTGCTCTCGCGCTAGACGGGGAAGGACTCGTCGCGGCAGGAGGAGGTGACGTCACAAGAGACGAAGAGGGCGGCGGCGATGCGGCCTCTTTCGGCGGCTGTGATGTCGGCGGTGGAGAAGGCGAAGGAGGAGAGGCGGTCGTGTCCACGGCTATCTTTGCCATTTCAGCTGCAATGACCAGACCTGCATGGGAAGCGACGGCTTCATTCCTTTGTTTGTGGGTGGTGGTGTCGTCGCCCGTGGCGACCTCTTCGCGTGCGGTAGACAGGTTGCTTGGAGAATGGGATATACGGTTGGAAGAGGAGGAGGACGCCTGTGCGGGTTCATTTTCCACCAGTTGCTCTGCGTCACGTCGATCCGCAACGGCCGGTGCCACTCCCGCCGCTGCGTCACGTCTTTCCCCGTCCACTCTGTCAGCTAGGTCAGCAGAGGTGTCGATCGCTGAGCGTGGCAGCCGCCCTACGGCTTCCCTTGCCCCTGTGTCGAGAGACGAGACAGACAGGCTGCGGTGGTCGCCAGAAGAGGCTTTTCGGCGTGCTTCCGACGACGATTGCCGAGGGTCGGCAGCTGTGCTTCCCGCAGGTGGAGTGCCGTCTCCGCCCTCGTGCATGGTGCCCTTGGTCACGTGACTATATACGTTGCTCGCTTGCTTGATTATTTTACACAACTGGGACTTGTCTCCTTCGTTTTGTGGAGCAAACGCTCTTGAACGCACGTAAAGGAGCAGCAATAATTATAGTAATCTGAGTATTTACTCACGTCGAGAAGCAGCAACCTGGTTTCGTTTGGTTTGATTTCAGCCGAGAAATGTTGCTTACGTGGGAGTATGGAAGAGAAGCAAAGCTAGAAGATTGTATAGCGCTAAACGAATAATTTGTATTGGAAATGGCAACGGAGAGAAGAAAAACGCTTGCGCGCATTTACGTGTTGTTGATGTTTTTAATTTTTTTTCTTGTTCTCTATCGCTTGTTTGGTTAGGGTGTAATAAGAAGAATTTGCGAAGCACAAATTTTCGAGGAGCAACGTACGGGCCGATTTGAACGAACGTGTAGAAAAGATCATTCAACCAGGAGAGAAAGGTACGATGAACGTCGCCAAATGATAGCATTGAAGAGATGTGCACGCTGAGCAGAAGTAGCGGTCGTGAAATCACTCTCTCGCGTTAAAAAATAAAAATAAAAAAAAGCGTAAGGCTCGTTCAGTTTACACAAGGATAAAGGTGCAACGCTTTGCCTCCCTCCCTCCCCCTCCCACCCACTTGGGCCCGCTCGAGTATGAGACGTACAGCCTTGAGTGTGTTTGGCCGTGACCGCTCACTACACCACTCGCATTTCAGATTGCAGAAGTCAAGGCCCATTTTTTCTTGCTCCATGCAGTGAGCTTCTACACTTGCGTTGACGAAGCGGTTTCTCTAAGAAAGTCTTCTGTTTTCGCTTGCTACGGTTTTTTTTTAGCGTTAAATGGAAGCTCGATAAACACACAGAATGACGGCAGATTTGAAAAGGAAAGAAGAGACCTGCGCATACGACAGCGTTTGAATAATAAGAAGAAAAAACAAGCAAAAGGCAGCGCAAAAAGTCCACTTAAAGTACGTCCGCAAACGAAACCAGCGTTTTATTCAGCTCCTTTGTCTTTCCCCCTTGATAAGTGGCACAGAGAGAAGTTGTTATACTTTCTTATAAAGATAGAAAAGCAGAAGCTCTCGTACATATATGCGTATATATGGCGTTTCGCTTTGGGGGAGTTTAGTTGTGCAGGTTGTCGTAGAAGTTGTCACTCACACGGTGGAAGCGGATGCCGCGGTCTTTCACGTAGTTGTAGGCATAATACGCGGCAGCGCCGAGAGCCGCAAGGATGACAAGAATCAGCAAGAAGCGAAATACGCTCTTGATAACGCTGGTGTGGCCACCGTCGCCGTCGCCGCCGCCGCGGCTGGAGCCGTCGTCGCTGTTGGGCAGGTCATAGTCCCACGCGTCATCCACGCCGTAGAACTCCTTCGTTGGTCCATTCATAAAATCAAGCTTCTTCGAGGCATCGAGGGTGCACTGGTCCGGTTCCGCCCATTCGGCGTGCGCCTTGTAAAACTTAAGGTTCGTAATTATGCACGGCGTGAGAATGGCAGCGGGCTGGTTGGCAATCCCGCGCAGTTGCAGGGCCTTCGCAGTGGAGCCGAACTGACGGAAGGCGAGCGCGGCTTGGCTGGCGGCACCGCGCGGGGTCAGCGGGTCGACGTCGGCGCTGATGAAGAGCACCTTTTGGGTGGCGTTGACGGGCAGCGTCTCCGACGCGGCGGTGCGCGGCACGGCGGAGAACTTCACGGCCGCGGTGTGGAAGGCGTCGATGTTGCTCGCGGCCGGCACGACGACGCGCCGGTTCGCCTCCCCCGTCCAGTACTTCTTGACGTTCTTCGGCGGCGGGGCCTGAAGGAATTCGTTCACCAGCCAGTGTGTCTGCACGTACAAGTCCTCTGGGCAGGTAAAGCCTTTCCCCGCCGTCACGTACCGGTAGAGCGCGTTGAGGGCGCTGACGTCCTTGTCGGAGCAGCGCTGCAGGCGATACAGCATCGAGGGGATGAGGCTCATGAGCTCGTTCTTGCTGGAGAGGAACGGGTAGGCGGGGTATCGCAGCATGAGCTCCAGGACAGCGCGGAACTGCTCCGCAAACGAGGAGCCCCAGATTCTGCTGCTGCCCCAGTTGAGCCGCTTCGCACAGGTAAGCTTGTTGCTCTTCGCCAACGCCAGGAGGGTCTGCAGGCGAGCCCACGAGCCTTCCACCGCGCCGAGGCGGCCCACGCAGCTGACATCGTCGTCGCACAGAGCCAGCAAATGCTGCAACGCCACGTCGTGTCCCATGCCTCCCAGGTAGCCGTAGGTGTCGAAGAGCAGCGGGTGCGCGTAGTCCATCATGATGACCCCGACAGGGATGTCTTTGTGCAGCTGCAGGAGGCGCAGCGCAAATACACTGCTCAGGCCCTGCGTCAGCACCACGTTCCTTCGTCCGTCCCCGAGGGTGCGGATGAGCCACTCCACGTCGTGCGCAACTTGGTCAGCGGAGAAGTGCGAGGCATTGAAGAGGTTATCCCTCTTCGCGGTGCGGGCAGCCAGGTCAGCGGCACACTTTTCGTCCATCCAGCACGCGTCGTTGAACGACCCCTTCGTCTCGGCACAGGCGTAGTAGGTAGTGGATAGCTTTGTGCCGCGTGGGTAGACCACGACCACGTTGATGTCAGACCGGGCCAACTCCTTCGCAAACTCCACATCCGGGTCGTCCATGAGGAGCCACACCGTCAGTACGTCTTTGTTTCGGGGGTCCTTCATGAGCCCGTTGACCGCAAAGGTCAGTCGATCCCTGGGCTTCTCGCCCCAGTATTGATACGTCTCGACCTTGGCGCATACCCCAAAAGGGGATTTGCAGGTGTTGTCCCAGCCTGGAACGGGCAGGTCGTCGGGTTCTGCGGAAACCGCAGCTGCAGCGACCAACAGCACGCACAACAGCAAAGCAGCCGCAAGGCGAGACGACGCCCTCGTAGAAGCAAAACATATGAAACTCATTCTTTGTACGTTGCACGGAATGAAAGCCGAAAGAAAAAAATGGAGAAAAAGCTTTTCAAAGCAGGCTTTTGCGTTGATGTTGGTGGTGGTGTGTTCCTCGTGCGTTCGATTTCATCCAGAGTCGGGAAGAGTCGAAAGCAAGCAGAGAGCCAAAGAGGGATGGCAAGAAGTATCGGGAAATGGATAGAGCAACAAATGAGAGAGAGAGAGAGACTGGATAAGGACAACGCTGTTAATGGTGGACTGCGTCAGATGGAGTTTGCCTTCCATGCCCAGCTAGCCTGCGACGTGCGTCACTTTCCGGTTTTTTGTCATGACCGAGAAACAAAACGACGCACAGGACGTCTCACACGCAAAAGGCTGCATGTGAAGGGAACTGGTAGCTCAAACAGCACATACAGCTGCCTAACACGGCATGCTTGGATAGGCAAGACCAGCAAAAAAAAAAACCCCGTTGAGAAGTCGCTGTGATTCTTAACAGAGCACAGCTGAGCCAAGCACGTGCTCTCCACGGAAGCGACGCAGCGATAATGCAATACGTAAGTGCAGCGGTGTCCGCCCCACCAGCGCCACGTCGCTCAGATTCAGATGCACACCTTCCTTTTACCTGTTTTAACATATATAAACTCAGCTTACAGCTTATGCACTTAACAAAGAAAGTCAAAACAACACACACAAAGACAAAAAACGGTGATTCGACACTGCACCACGGCGATGCAAAAAATGAGACGATGCGCCTCCCGTTCGCCCTCCTTCTGTCTTCTTCCTTTTTCTTCTTTTACGCACCTCTCTGCAGGCGCGCGGAACGCCACCACGGTTAACGGAACGCAGCGCGTGGGCTACGAAGCACAAGGACGACGCTAAGCATCAGCAAACAAACAGGCAGAGAATACTTTTTTTTTATGGGAGATCACAAGCGCATGTGGAATCAAAGAGAAGACGTGGACGACCCTACGAGACAAAGTACCAGCTCAAGGCTAGGACAAAAGTATGAAAGCTGGTGCAGCGTGGCCGGTCGGTTGGTCCCTCTGTGTCTCTCTCACCCAGTGCGTGTGAGTCTGTCCGCCTGTGAGTATGTGTGTGTGTGTATGAAGAAGGGCCGTGTGGGATTCCTATTCTGTGCATTTCAACCTACTGCCTCTTCTCTTTCGCCTGCTCGCCCTCCTCCACGCCATTCTGCTGCTGCATGCTAATCTCGTCATTCATGGATTTCTGTCGGAGTTTCAAGAAGGAATCGCCGCGCTTCTTCTGCTGCCTCGCCTCCTCCGTCTTGGTGTCCGTCTTGTACAGCAGCAGAAGGGCGGAGAGGCGGTAGCAGATCACGGCGTCCACCTCCGCCGAATTCGTCGTGCCGAGGCCGTTCTGGCACTGCATGAGGCACCGCTCCGCCTGCTCCAGCCACCGCTGGCACTCCCCCTGCGGGGCGCGCGTCGCCATCATGACAAAAATCTTCGACAACATCATCAAGGCGTCACGCTGCTGCGCGGTGATGATCTCCTTCAGGCCCTCCACGCCGCCGCTCGGCACAACGTTCGTAACCGCGAGCAGCGACGCGATGGAGTCCTTCGCGATCTTCACCCGACGCCAGAACTCAGCTGGAATGGTACTCTTCAACGCGTAGTTGATCTGCAGCGACGCGAGGGCGTGCAGGGGGCGGGCGAAGGAGACGTATTCCTCAAAGGTGTCGATGGGCACGTCGAGGTCCTCGCAATGGAAGGTTGTGAAGAAGAGAATGTGCGCCTGTATCGCAAAGTCGGCGGAGGGGCTGAAGACGTAGAGGTAGTCGAGGCAGGCCGCGGCCAGGGGGGCGCAGCCCTCTAAGATGGCGCTACGGCTGACCTCGCGCAACAACACGCAGGCAAACCGTGCGACCTCCTCGTGCGGCGGAAAGGTGGTCAGCGAGGAGGGCGTGACAAGACGGTACTGCAACCCCTCCTGCCGCACCGACTTCAGCACGTTAAGGGTCAACTCAATGCCGTAGCCGAGGGAGTTGTTGGGGTCTACGAGCACGTTGAAGGCGCCCTGCTCCAGACAGCGCCACCACGCTACGAGCGCCGAGCCATCTGGCACCTCCGTCACCACCTCGCCGGACTGATAGCGATACCGCTCATACAGAATCGGGCAGAGCAGCTTGTGGTGCTTCTTCATGTGCGCATTCATGCACTCCCGCGAGCAGTAGTGTGGGACCTCGCAACGCTCGCAGGTGTAGCCGATGGCGTAGACCGGGTCGAGGCAGCTCGCGCAGCGGTGCCCGTAAAACGGCTTCAGCAGAAACCGAACCGTCTGCGGCGTCTCCACCGCCTTACCCTCCACCGTCACGGTGACCGCCCCCATGTACCACCCACACGACTTGTTGCCAGAGCAGTTCAACACCACATCCTTCAACGTCTCGGGCTCCGACAGCCCCAGCACCTCCGCCTCTAGGTGCGGCATGCGCACCTCTAGTCCCAGCATGGAGGACGGCGGCACCGCGCTCGCGCCGTCAAGGCCCTCGCCCTGCCGGTAGAAGCTCCCTATCACAACGCTGCATCGACGGTCCTTCTGATGCACCGGCACAATTGGTATCCCGTCCGGCGCGGTTGTGCTCTGCGCCGCGGTGCCGTCGCGGTTGATGCCGCGCGCCGTCCCGCTTGTCAGCGACGGGGTGGGAGAAAAAACTTTTGCGTCGCCCTTCACAAAAAACATCTCGTTCTCCACGTCCATGCGGATGAGAATGTGCCACTGGCTGAACTGAGAAAGGGAGCAGGAGGGAGAGCTGCTTGTGCCGGGCTTGCTGCCCACGGACACCACGGTCGCTGCGGCGGCGGCGGTCGTCGCTGGGGCGGCTGCCGCTGCAGTAGCCCCAGCAGCCGGAGGCGAGGAGGAGGAGGAAGACGCGTTGGCGGCTGCCCCACCAGCCTTCTCCGCGCCCGCCTTCTCTGGTGGAAAAACGGTGGAGAAGTGCATGGTGTAGAGCCCTGAGTGGCCCTCGCGACCTACGTCCATTCTCGCTTGCCTTGGTGTCTGGAGTGTCTTCAGTGCAAAGGATTGTACTCCGCTCAGCTCGCGGCGAACTCTGTCCACCTGCGTTTGCCAAAGTGCTAAAACACCTAAAACAAAAAAAACTGCAAACTCCGTAGATGCAGCGGAGCGCCTCCCTCTTTGGCGCTCAGGTCGGTCCTTTTCCTCCTTCAGGGTCAGTTCCGCGAGTATGGCCGCGTCAAATCAGCAACAACCAACAAAAACAAAATACCGTGCGCACGCGCGCAGCCCGAAAACAAAGCTGTCAGACGGTCTGAATACAAGTAGAATTGGCAGAAGCTACGACGTAAGCGAAAACAAATGAGAGAAGACAAAAAGTGGACAGAGACACCTGAGAGTGTGTACGTCCGTACGTGTGTGTGTGTGTGTTTGTTTGAAATTTGTACTGACTGAACGGTAAAGGCAGCATAGAATGTGAGGGATCAAGAAGGTGAAACAGAAACGCGGAGGTGAGGAAAATAGGGTTGGCTGTACAAATCAAATGCAGCGTTGGGGAGCACTCTGCGCGCCATCCACACAACGAAGTATGCAAGAAGTACAATGCTCAGAAGAACAAAAAAAAGAGCGTTTTTTTTTTAGTTGGTGATGAACCTCTCGTGTAGCGCCGTCGTCAGCTCATCTATCCAAGCGGGAAAGTTGAACCTTGTTGATGTGCGATTGCTTTTTACTTTTCATTCGTTTCATTGAGTCAGTCCCCCTTGCTCGCCGCTGCACGTGTGCACGGGTCAGAAGTGTTACAGCACTTCAAGTCGACAGCGGAGCTTAAGTTCATGCACCAGTGTTGTGTGAGCACGTTAGAGAAAACACTTTCCCTCATCAGAGCCGAGAAGCATTGCCGGCGTTCAGGCGAAACGTATTGAGGACATATCCCGCAACCAGTCAAAAGAAAACAGCAATGGGCGTAGAGGTTCGCCTCTCCCTGTCTCTGTCCATCGCCAACTCGTTTCGCGAGTGCCGTCTCACCACCACTTATCACATCCCAGCACCTCACGCAAAAAAACGGTCGCGTAAGTGGATGACGGAAGCGCAAACGACAGTCGCATGGAAGGCAATGCGGACTGCGAGTGCGTGGCTGGCGTGTCGGACAGTTGCGCCTCGGCGCGCACCTCATCGTTCGTCATCCATTCCAGAACAGCATCGCGCGGGCGCACCACCACTGCTCGCCACGAGCCCGGTACAGGCACACCAGCCACTTTCCGTTGCTCAAATGCCTGCGCCTCGGTCCAGCGAAGTGTGCGCAAGGCGTGCTCAATCGCCGCCTCCCTCCACCCCTGCCACGCAGCGCTGTTTTCCTCCCCTCCCCTAGTGCCCTCCTCTGCAGCGGCTCGATCTACTTGATATCCGCCCAAAGGTAAGTAGGACTTGGCAACAGTGGCGTAGGGAAGCGGGGGTAGACCATCAGCGGTTGCCGCTGTTGATGCTGGTGCGGGTGTTGAAGCAAGTGGAGAGTCCACACTTTCGGTTGCGCCCGAGGTCGGCACGGCGCGCCTCTCACCGTTGGCAGAGCAAAGTGGCGGCGGCCGCTGCATCCCGTCGACGATGAAAGAGGCGGCCAAGTTGAAGAAAACACTCTGCCCGGCGTGCACCCACAACGATCGCAGGTAGTAAGCCACACCCTCCGTAATGGCCTTCTCGCACAGTCGTGTCCAGAGAGCGCTGAAGGTCTGCACATCCGCGCGCGTCAGCGGGTGCTCGGAGAAGTACATGCGGTAGGTCTGACGCAGCGCGTGCGTCATCACCTGTGCGTCTCGAGAGCTCCCAGGCACAAAGCGGGCCTCCATCTTCTCTGGAAAAGCGTCGTAGACGTCAGGGCAGGCACGGAAGAGGCTCCGCACGGCATCCACCCACCGGCCTGCAAAGAGGTGCACCCCTGTGTGGTCGTCCGCGTGCTCGATGGTCTCGCCGAATCGCTGTTGGCCAAAGTAGTTGACAAAGCCGTACTCCACGCACTCACTGAAGCGCTCTTCCAGAAACGTACGAAGAGTGCCTTCTTCCTCACTACGGCATACCGGAGCATTTTGTGGCTCCTCGCACTGCGTCGCCTGTGTGCCCGCGGTGTCGCCACCCCACCCTCGCCTCTCGCCGGCCATGGCCCATCGCACGTGTCGGACCAGCACCAAGAACCAATTCCCTTTCAGCTGTCCTAAATGGACGGGGCCGCTGCGGGGTGCAGCGCAGAGCACCGTGGCGTAGCTGTTTTGCGGGTCAGCAGGCCAGCGCAGAATTATTGGAGAAGCTGGCGTAGAGGCGGCCAGTGAACTGCACCCCACCTGGGACATGGAGGGTGTCTTTGTGTTTGGAATGGAACAGCGCTGCGTGGTGACGGCCTTCTTGTCCTTCATGCCGGCCGCGCACACGCTACCGTCCTTCAGCTTGCAGTACTCCCCAACAAGCTGCCGCATCTCGGCCGTGTCCAGATTGCGCTTCCGGACAATGAAATGAACGAAATCGGAGGTGGCGCCAGAGGGGAGGTCGGCGTTAAGATCCGCCTTTGTTGCTTCCCCCTCAGCTTCTCGCGGACGCCGTACGCCAAGCAGGACGCTCTCATTGGATGGCGCAGTGCTGTCCGTGGTGTTCTTCGGACCCGGCTTTGGCGTGTAGCGCAGGACGACCTGGCCGTTATGTACTTGACATTTGATGAAAGGGTAGAAGCGGCGGAGGGCGTCGTGGACGTGGCGACGCACATCCTTGTCTGACAGCAGCGGCATCTGCTGCTCTGCGCAGCCAGCAGGAAAGGAAGGAGAAGCCTCGTCATCACCTTTATGTTGCCCATCTGTGCCCACGTCACGCGGAGACGACGTCGCAATGGGCCGCCGCATCGCTTCGGTCAGTGGGTCAAAGGACGCAAAGCACACACCTCTGTCCACACTGGCCGGTGCCACGCTGTCATCCACAGGTGTAATGAGCTGCATTTCCCGGCGTGTCGCTGCGTCGAGGCTGCGCTCCTGTCGTGCCGATTGCGCCGCAATGGCCCACCGTGCAATACACAGCGCAGCCTCCGCGCCGAGAGTGGCACAAAACAGAACGTAGTGCAAGTCCAGCGAGCACGAAAGCACAGAAGCTACGTCGTCCACTGACGGTGACGACGAAGAGGCGGCAGTGGAAGCTCCTGAAATGGCTGCGTACGAGCGCATGTGTGGAAAGCAGCGCCGCACCAGCAGATGCACAATCTGGCGCTCCTTCTTCTCGGCGAACTCGCCCAAACAGTGGCTTCCACGCCACCACGGAAAGGTCTCCGTAGCGGATGATGATGCTGTAGTCGTCGCTTCTGGTGTTGCTGCACCATCTTTTGTCTTTGACGAGGAGGAAGGCAGAACGCCTTGCGCAGACAGATGCGCATCTCGAATCAGCGCGGTCAGGTCAGCTTGCGTGAAGGTCGCGCTGACTTTCTCTTCGACCTCCGTAGCATCCCCAAACAACTGTCGCAGGGTAGGCGCACACTCCACGAGTAGCCGGTGTAAGTCGTGCAGCGCTCGCGTCGACGGAGGGGCCACCGCTTCCGCCGCGACAGACTTGCACAGAAGAGAAACGTCGCCCACGCTGTTCCCACACTCGTGTGCCACTTCCCCTCCGTCATCGTCGAGGTCAGCCGCCTCAGTGGGGTTCGTGTCGCGAGCTGACGTGGTGGAATTAAAGGCATCGACAGCAGGAAACACGTATGGGTTCGCATCAGTGCGCTGTCCAGTTGGGTCGATCTCCACCACTACAAAATCCTCTGGCAAAACCTTGATGTCGCCTGTGGCACACCTCTGCCACCACAGCGACGACGATGACGTTGCGGCATCGCCTGGAATCGTGTCAGCATCCACAGCATCATCCAAACGCCGAGCCGTGGACGCAGGACGAGAAATGAGTGAGGACGTGATGCCACACGCGTGCAGCATCCCGACGAGAGGCAGAATGGGAGGAAGAAACCTTTCTTTTCGAAATCGATTTTCAAGCGAAAGACTTCCACGAACACCAGACGTAGGTCACCTCCTGTTTTGAGAGACGGTGCTAAAGCCGAAGAGGCATCGAAATGTGAAAAGGGGCGGAGCATAATGAGGAGAAATTAAAGAGTCGGTGTGTGTGCCGGGCCAGTTGAGTACAGCTTTTGAAAGTGTCAAAGCTTCATCGGCAGCTTCTTCATCCTGCTGCGAAGATAATAACGTGCAATAACGCCGCCTTCGATAACGGGAACACAACACGTAAAAGCCAAGTTGTTTGTATTGACTACCGATAGCGCATCACAGAGTGATGAGCCGTTGCTTTGTTCAATAACTTTAAAAAGACACACAAGACATCAAGTACAGCAGAACGTTGAACATAGGTAAAAGCAACGAGATAATTCTTTTCTTTCTAAGCAATGAGGACTATCGGACGTCTCAAAGCAAGCCACAGAAAGTGTGGATCTCAACAACGGAAGCAGTCTCGGAGCATTTGGCCACGGAAGCTTAAAAAGCCCCACCTCGAAGAGGCGTGCTGTCGCGCAAGTGATCACCTTAGTGCACGTGCCACCCACCATGCGACTCCGCAGCCTGACGAGCCTCCACCTTCTCCAGCAGTCGATCCCCCACAAAGTTCACTCTCGTCAACATCCCCACCACCCGCAGTGTGCGGTCTACTACAGGCAAGTGACGCAGCCCAAGATGGCGAAAGGTGTAGTACGCCCGCGACACGCAAGCGCCATCCTGAACGTACGGCGCGCTGCGGTCAATGTAAGGGCTGAGGTCGATGTAGGAGCGAATGGTGGCGAGCGGGAGGTCCTCGGTCATCGGGATCTGCGGGAGACGATTCCAAAAGAGAAACTCCCGCACACGCTTCAGTTCCGCGTCGGAGACGTGTGTGGGAGCTGGCAGGGGTGGCGCCCACGCGTCAGTCGTTGCGGATGCCGTCGGATCCCCCCTCTCGCCGACCACGGGTGCCGCAGCATCACCGTTGCCATTGCCATCATCGCCGTCATCGCCGTCACTGTCGCAGAGAAACACCTCGTCGGACTCTCCCACTTCTCGCAGGTACACCACCCACAACAGGAGCTGCAGCTGTGTGCGCGTCACCACGCCTTCGTACGCCTGATCCGCCTCGCCAACGCGCACTACGGGAAACGCGTTATGCGTCGTCATGGTGAGCGCCTCCAGCACGTGCAGCACGGTGTCGATCGTCTCCAGATTCACTACAGGAGACGTCATGATGTCACGGGCGGTGTAGGTGTCCAGAAGGTGCATGCTCGTCTGCGCCTCCAAGAAGGGCACCGCTTTCACCTCCAGCGAGGCGTGGTAGAAGGAGTGGCAGCACTTGTCCGCGATGCCCTTCGCCAGCAGCACGCCCAGCATGATACACGTCACGTGCGATACATCCGCCGTTAGCTCCATCATAATGACGACGAGAGCGAAGGTCAGGCGAGAGATGGCGGCGAAGTAAGCGGCAGCGCCAACAAGCGCCACGACGCCCTCGTCCGCCCACTGCGGCTGGCGGAACAGCACCCCAATCAGGCGGCCCTGCACCGCGCCGATCAACAGCGAGGGGATGACCGTGCCGCAGGAGATAAACATGCCACCCGCGTAGCTCGACCCCACCACGTACACGCTGAGGTGCAACAGCAGCGACCACGCAGGGAAGAGTCCGGCGGTGTGGCGAGAAAAGAGAAGGCGCAGCAGGTTGTAGGGACTCGTCATGGTGAGGGTGGCGAGGGGATGGTGCGTGCTGGCGGGCTGCGCGCAGAACGCAGTAAACAGCTCCACGTGAAGCTCCGCCTGCTTCGCCCGCACATGCGGCGGCGTCGGCACGCACGGCGTGAGCAGCGGCAGAAGGTAACAGCACGATGAAAACAAAAAGGCAAAAAGACACGGCTCCAAGACGCGGTAGAGCGCCGTGGGAAAGAGCCACCGCCCGCGCCAACGGGAGAAGCGAACGCTGCTGATGGTGTACGCGACGGCCAGCACTCCTGACACGACGGCCACGACCGCGGTAGGGATGAAGGTGAGGCTGTAGAGGGGGGCGGTGTTTTCTGGGACGGTGTCAATGTAGAACATGGCCATCGCTGCCTCGCGAAGGTTGCCAAACGCCATGGCTGACCGATCGACCAAGTGCCAGCCCGACACGAACGAGTTCACCGTTTGAATAATCCACATGCAGGAGAGACAAGAAATAAAAACGAGCCACGCCAGCCGCACGGAGAAGTGCGTGGCCATCTCCTCCATAACAAAGAGCATGCCACCCAGTGGGCTCGAGAAGGCGCTCGTCAAGCCGCACGCGGCACCGGCAGAGATGAAGTCGCGCTGATCGCGTGGGTTACGGAAGATGTCAAAGATGGACGTCGCACTGCAACGCAGCGACCGGCTACGACCCGTCGGTAGACCCGCACCAATCAGCGACCCCATGTGGATCATCGGACCCTCCGTGCCAACGGGAAGCCCCGCACTCACCGCCAAGATGCACGACAGCGTCTTGACGACCAAGTTGCGGATGTTGAAGATGCGAGGAAACATAACGCCGTTTAGGTAAGCCATCACATCAGGAATGCCGCTGCCTGCCGCGCTCGGCATCACGAGGCAGCACAAGGAGGACAGCAGTGCGGTGATGAGCCCCCATATAACGTAAAGCAGGTAGCCGCGGAGCAAGGCCCACCAGGAGACGGTGCTCAGTACAATTGGACCAAAGGGACTGCTGTTACTGTCGCTGTTGTCATTTCCTACACGTAGCTGCGACACAGTGAAACGAGAGAAGAATCCATTCACATCACTCACAAATAACGGCGCCTCTGTGGATGAAGATGGCGGCTGGGTGTGGTTGCTGCGACTCCGCACCACCCCCTGCACTGCCTCCAGTTTCACATCGGAAAGGTAGTCGAGTGTTTGAAACAGCAGCAGCGACCAGGCGCCCACCGTCACACCAATCAGCACAAACATGAAGAGGCGCAGCCACCCTTGCGCGTCAGCCTTCTTCCGCCCACTAGCATCGATGCGTTGGACGAGAGACTGCCCCTCAGCGTAGTCAATACCCTCGTAGCGGTCCATCCGACGGCGCTCCTCGGCCGTGAAGACATGGGGACGATGTGCCTTCTCAAAGAGCGGCGCACGGGCTCGGTTAACCTCCGCATCCCCCACCACCTCGACCTCCCGCACAAGCTCGTGAAACCACGCAGCGGTGGCGGAGTCCGCCTCTCGCCTGTTGCGTGGTGCGGCAGACGAGGTCATCCTTTCCGGCTACAGCGGCTGCTGCGCCCCACAGTCACGCCAAGCCCCGTGGAAAGAGCGGGTCGCACAGCAACGTGCCACACTGCCTGTAGCACCGCTGCCTCCTCCCCCTCCTCTTTCTCGAAGCCTGTGTCGGCGCCGATGTCACGAAGGACGCTGCGTTGCTGCGTCGATCTATCCGTCGCCTTGACACGGCGGCACCTTTCCTCTACTCGTTGGATGGAGCTTGGAGTGAAGCTTCACGCATGGAATATCGGAGAGAAAAAGAAAGCAGCTAAGCGGAGTATTTCATGAATATAAAATGATTTAAGAAAAAAAGAGAAAGCGGTGGAGTTGTGAAGAGTTGCCGAGTGGGTGGAAGATGTCACAGCACGGTGGTGCCGAAAAGAAAAAAAAAAGAAAAGGCTATGCGTGTCTGTAGCACAATGGATCCCTCCCTTCTGGGTGCGTAGGTGCACCTTCACAAGTACGCACCGTGTTGCAAAAGAGAAAGAAAGATAGGCAGTGAAACGCGCGAAAGCAACGAAAATCTAGTTGGTATGCAGCAGCAGTGCCGCGAAGCAGCGTAAGATTCTCGATGCTATTTAGCAGAATCGTTGACGCGAACAGTTCGCATCGGCAACGGACAGCGCTATGCCGGCTGTGAAGAGAGGACAAATTCAAACAGAAAACTCGCCGACAGCAAAATTCGTTTTCATTTTTCCCTCTTACAGCCGTTCTGTTTTTGATGTACCAAAATAGAAAACACGACACTAAATAGCTGAAGTGGCAACAGGAAGCAAAAAGGAGAAGAAAACCTTCTGAGTGAATTAAAGAGAAAAAAAAAAGACGCCAAAGCAATAATTTGCGTGATCGTGCTGTTGGTGGGAGAGAAGAAGTGGTTTTTGCTTTTAAGAAAAAAGAAGGCCCAAGTGCTCGCTTTTCCCTCACTAGCAGAAAATGCACCCCTTGCGTCACGTGACCAGCAAGGAGGAGCCCAGCATTGATAAAGACAGCGAAACAGGAAAGAGAGGAGGTTGCCACTCCCTCATTGCGTACTTGCGGAATCAGCAGTTGCTGAAGACCGGGGGTTTTGCCCGGTCGCCGCCTTCAGCGAATTCCACTTTGCCTCGTACCGATTCAGCAGCTCCGCGAGGCTACGCAGGTAAAGGCAGGGGAAGTGCTGCAGCACAGCCTCAGCGGAGAGAACGATCTGCTCTCGCACCGCCGTCGCCGTCAAGGGAACCGCAAGCAGGTACCGCCGTCGCGTTCCCGCGGTGACGTTGTACATGGAACCCGGCACGGCGAGAACTGGCACGACTGACTTGTCCGTCACAGCAGCCGCATCCACATTTACCAGGAGAGGTGCTGTTGCGGCTGCTGCTGTGGACTCGGGAACGTTCGGACACGCCGCACCGGTGGGCGTATCGCTTGCTGCCGTGGCGATGCTGTAGGGCTTCAGGAACGTCTCCTTCAACGAGTGTACCTGAAGACGCGTTACCAAATCCATACCGTGCGTCATGGCAATGAGGCGGCTGCCGCTGCGCTTCTCTTCCTCTGCGAGCCACGCGTTGATCTGCGGCACAACGCGCTTCTCCACCACGGGCGCCGCGGCAAACGTGCAGGTGATGGTTTTGGCAAATGGCACATGCGCAGCTCTGCTCGACACGGCGGACGACTCCACGAAGGACGCTGCCTCGACCTCTGCGGCGGACGGACAAGACGGCGTTTTGGTGCGACGCAGCAGCAACGACGAGGAATGCAGCGAGGCGCGCCATGGGCCGCAATAGAGGAGGTGAAAGACGGAGGCCTGGATGCCGCCCAGGGAGTGCCCGGTGACGCAGAGGGTGTAGGAGCCGTACTGTGTGTGAATGGTGCGGAGAATGGGGAGCAACTGCGCTCCGGCCTCGACGATCGACTCATAGAAACCCAGTGGAATCGCAGTGCACACCCTCTGCGGTGTCGTCGGCGAAGTTAAACCTGATCCGTCCGGCGTGGCGGTGCTGTGAGTGGGTTCGATCATCACATTTGCGTAGCCTTCCATGAAATCCACCACCATATCCGCCGCCGTCATCGAGCCGCGAAATGACAAAACCACTCGCTGTGCGGCGTGATCGAGAAAGAGCGACCAGCAAGGCTGTCCCACTCGCAATGAGTAACGGCTCGCCACACACTCCAGCAGCGCATCCGGCTCCTCACCTTGCAGCATGCGCCGCATCGACTCCAGTTGCTCCTCGGAGTTGGCGCAGACGTACCGGCTGTGCGGCTCGGCCATCAACTTCGTCAACTCCCGTGCACTTGTGAAGAAGTTGAGTTCGTACGGCAGCCCATACGCGGCCACCGCGTAGCGTGCAAGGTAAGCGGCGATGTGCAGGGTGTCCAGCTTGCCACGGATGATGGCCCTCTGCGCGGGCGAAAGGGTGAGCTGTGTCAGGCTAGAGGAGAAAGGAGAGGGGGGTGAGGGGGACGACGCACTAACAGTTGAGGAAGTGGTGGTGGAAGTAGTAGCTGCTGGTTGCATCGACCGCCGCTGCTCTTCCCGCACACGCTGCGCCTCTGCACGGACCCACAGCCGGTATGCCTGACGGGCCACCTCACTGTTGGCGGTGGCCTGAGCCGCGTAGCGCGAGGCATCACGAGAGCGCAGCCCGCAGCGGTTCAACTGTCCCTGCACCTCCCGTGCCGCTCGCCTCAACAGCGCCCCCCATGGAGGCTTGCCGAAGACTTCGACGTGAAAAGGATCGAGGCGGCGCAGCTCAGCCACGTCGGCATCTTCCATGGCCGTGTTGGCGATGTCGGTGGAGGTGGTGTAGCCGTACCGCTCGTCACTGCTACTCTCCGTCGTCGCTCCAGAGGGGTCCTCGTCCTCGTCTTCGTCTTCGTCTACGGCCTCCTCGACGACCTCCTCCTTTACAGCGGCGGTTGCAGTGGTGTTGGTGCCGGTGCTCCTCGCCACGGCGGTGTCGGCGTGGGTTTCCTCATCGCACGGCCTCTGCAGCCCGTCACAGATGTCACACCGGTAGCACGTCTCGGTGGACTGCGGCGGGTTGGTAAGACGGCCGCTGCGACGACGCACCACCCAACGCGCCTTTAACGATGGAAGGTGGCCAAACGATGAGAGGAAGGCCGACGCGGGCGAGCTGGAGGGCGCAGTCGTGGCCAAAGAAGCAGCAACGGCGGCAGCAGCAGCAGCAGCAGCGTCGTTGGATCTGTTGTTGCTTGCCATCGATCCTTCTGTGGTGATGGTGGGCGATGCAGAGGGTGCGACATCGGTAGTAGAGGTGATGGTCGGCCTCGCGTGTCCCTGGAGTGCGCTGGCGGGGAGTGAAGTCGACTTACCGGTGCTGTCCACATACACGGTTTCCTGCACGGCGGCCAGCATGGTGGGCTCGTCGTACGGGGAGCGCTGCGAGGATCGCAACGTGAAGACCGGGTAGGCGCACGCGCACACCCGTTCGCGCGGGATCGGGGTGTGGGGAATGCGATAGCGGTAGAAGGGATGGATCCAGTCGTGGAGGAGCCCAAAGATGCGCCCCTCTGCCTTTGGGATCTCCTTGTTGGTAGGGGTCATACGAATGTGTCGAAGCATTTCTTGGTTTGTTTCTCGCTGAATCCCACAAAAGCAATTATGTTTGACTTTGATTGTTCTGTACGACGGCTACTTTCATGTGGGTAGTTTCCTTTGCACGCACACACCACCAAGAGGAGATCATTTTGGTGGAGAGAGAGAGAGAGAGAAGAGAAACGTAGATGCGCTTATGGAAAGAAGGAATTCGTGTCATGCAAGAACGGGCGGCGACGTCGGTCATGCAAGACAAAATAATGCGCTACTCCTCTGTTCTGGTGCAGCAGACGATGTCATGCCTCTTTTGGAGGTAAATCTTCCATTCATAGTGTACGCGCTTTCACGCCGATCGTGTGTTGGCTAACTCCGCGAACTGTTTCTTTAGTTGCCTTCCGGCGTTGAGTTGGAACAGCTGCAGCGTTGCTGCTGTTGCTGCGGTGTGTTTGCCTGTATCTCCCGCCCTCACTCATTCACCCACTCTTTCTCACCATCTCTCTTACAAACAAGGCAGGTGGCTCTAAAGAAGAAAAAGTTAAAAAAGCAATGGAGGAGAGCCGTGCAGAGTAGCACCCCTCTACTCTCCACAACGGTGAATACACACTGGCGCACACGGACTCTGCCTTTCGCGATCTACGAAGCGGAACTTTAGAAGTGAGCATGTCTTTGAGGGTGGAGCGCAAGTGCATCACAGAAGAACGATTAAAAAAATACTTTTTAAGAAGTGAATGGAAGCCAAAGTAATAGTACAGCGCGATGAACGCTTCTAAGAAGTGAGAAAGGGAGTAAAGGGAAAAAAAAGAGGGGTACTGGTAGACGACGTAGAAGTCCTCTAAGAAAAGAAAAATACACAAGTGCAACAGCAAATCAAGGGGGGTCGCCGCCAAGAGGATGCGAAAGGGCAAATCTAAAAGATGAGGAGAGTAACCATAACGTGGGACATAACACTCCGAGAGTTTCACACCTGTCAGTACAGATCGCTGATGGGAGCTACGCATATCTTCACGGTGTTGTCGCGCGCCAACTTGTCCGTCCGCATGAGCTCCTTGCGCTGCAGAAAGGGGTACAGACCCCAACCTTTGCCAGCCATCTCCGTCGGCCACCCTGTCACCTGCCACTCCGCCCACGTCACCTCGGAAAAGGCAATGACGCGGAAGTCCATCCGCAGTCGATGTTGCAACGGAAACACAAAGAGGCCGAGCCACTCCTCCTCCGGCGCACTGCGGCGACCGCCCACAACGGTATCAGGCCCTGCCCGTCCGTCTGCATCCAGCACAGACTGCGTGGCGAGCGGGGAGTGGGCTACTGCCGGCGCTGCTGAACAGTCGCCATTGCCGTCCAGGATCGTCGGCAGCCACGTGGAGGCGGTGGTGGCCATCATGCCGGCATTCATGCCGGGTGCGACTAGCAGCGACGACGACGACGCGGGAGCGCTATTTCGTCTCTGTTGTGTTCGATACGACGGGGGCAGCGGGGCGAGGCGCAACTCCCACTGTGCGCCGAGCAGTCGAAATGATGTGGAGCAGACCGCCTTTAGCTGACCCGGCGCAAAGTATGAAGACGCGTCTTGGATGGCCCAGATGTGGCCGCGCTGGAGGTCCTCCAGGCAGCGCAGCAGCAACCGGTCCTGTTTCGTCGACGGCGGTGGCGATGTTCGGTGTGACACGCAGGACGCGAGATCGTCGCCGACGGCAAGCTGGCGGACAGGCGATCGACCAGGCAAGAGACGGCGTGACACGTCGCCGCTGTCGAACCTCACCAGACGCGACGAAAGAGGAGACGACCGCGCAGAGTTGCGGCCCCGCACGCGCACCGCAGACTCGGTGCTGCCGTCCGCCACGCCGTCAAAGAAGGACAGCGCCGACGACTCACGGCGTGGCGACCGCTCTCGTGACGCCGAATCCTTTACGCCGCGCGTGCTCCGGCTGCTGCCGAGGTGCTCGAGCAGTCGCTTCAGCCCGACCCAGTCAACGTGGTCGTAAACCCCCTCCACCGCGTCGGCACGGGCGTGGTAGCTAGCGATGCCGTCCCGCAGCCGGCGCTCCTCCTCTTGGTGATGCTGCGCGAAGCTCTCCTCCACGCGTCGCACCAGCGGAGGTGCGGTGCGCAAAAAGTGCAGCATCTCGGGTATGCTGCGTGTCGCGCCTCGGCCGCCATTCGCTACATTGGGTGGACCAGGCGGGGCCTGCGAAAGGGATGTATTGGTGTTGTCCTGGGCGTTGTGATAGCGGGTCAGCGCCGCGCTGATCGGTGCGAGGGCCTGCGCGTACTTGCCGATGACCGCCGAGGCCTCTGCGAAGGGTGGCGGACACGTGCGCTGCTGCACTGTTTGGGTCATGTTCCGCTCCGTTTGCTGCAGTGTCTGCTTCAGCGCTTGAAAGTTCTGCTGGAGAGTTCGGAATTCCCGCTGCTGTCGCGCGAGTTGGCTCGCGTGCTCCGAGCGCAGCTTCTCCTCCGTGTGCCGATACTCACTCAGCCAGTGACGCAGCTCTTCGTATAGCTTGTGCACCTCGGCGTGCACGGCCGGCACCTGGTCGGCAGCTTCTACCACGACGTGCTCGCGATGGGCACCGATGCTGGCGCAGTACGGGCACGTCAGCTCCGCGCACGCGGTACAGTACAAAGACTGCAGCTGACGTGGGTGGATAGTGCAGAGAAACTGGTTGAAGGCAGCCGGTGGTGGTGCCGCCGGAGGGAGCCGCGGTGACGCACCAACGGAGGAGGAGCTCCGGCGCATAATGGACGACGGTGAAGGTAACGGGCCAGGAAGTGGTACAACTCTCTCACCGCTGCTGTTGCTATTGTGGTGGTGGTCGGCTGAGACGTGGAACGCAGGGATGAGGGGGTGCGCTGATGACCACTCTGTCGGACCGTAACGAGACGTGCCGCTCCTATTCAGCGGTGCACTGCTTCCCGCTATACTAGCGTTGTGGGGGTTCTGCACGCTTGGCAAAGCCCACCGCTGCGGGGAGAGGGAGAAATCGCTACGGCTGATATTGTTGTGGTTCTTGGTGGCCGCCTGGAGGCCGCTGTAGAGAAGACCGCTGCGCGCGTTTTGGTTCGCATCGCCGCGTGCAGGCAACGGTGGGGTGGGAGGGTCGAAGCCGGGATCGCCGCCCGCCCGTGGACGAGAAAGGCGCCGCGGTGACGCACGCACGGCAGAGTCTACGCGTGGCCCTGAGCCCTGCAGCGCCTCGCGCGAAGGCGACCCGCCGTTGAAGCCGTTCACGGGAGGAGAAAGTCCACCTGGCATGCGATTGACGGCGGACGGCGACGCCGCCCCCCATGGCGAGTTCTGAGCCGGCCGGACACCTCCGAAGGAACCGCCACCACTGTCGCCAAAGCGGTCTTCTCTGTGGGAAACAGGAAGAGAGGCGTTAGGGTGGGGTCGTGGCTGGGAGTGCGCACGCGAGGGTGCGACCGCGCCGCTGCCACCGCTAACATAGTCGTAGTCTCTGTCCGCTGCGTCCAAGTCGGGGTGCGGCGCCGCCGCCGCGGATGCCGCTCGCCGGGGAGTGGTGTACGCGCCTCTACTAGCGTTGGTGTTGCCGCTGACGGAGCCGCGGCTTCCGTACGCGGTGCGTGGCGTGATGGGGAGGGAGTCGGGCGAGGCTGAAAGGCTACGCGGGGGTCGGATCGGTGTACTCGTGTTCTTCTCACTGCGCTTTTGGGGGCTGCGGAACGGACTCGACGGCCACCACTCTTTCAGCTGACCTGACTGCGATGCGGCGGCAGAGGCGTGCCGCTTCTCTGCGTCCTCGCGCGCTGCCGCTGCGGCCGCGGTAGACCCTGGAGCCCGCACCGGGCTGGCGGTGGCCGATACGGTGGAGTCGAAGAACGGGAGCCGCGATGGCGGGCCGCCGGTGGGGGCGACAGTGAGTAGGTAGCGCGGTAAGGCCTGATAGCTGTGGCCGACCTGCACCTGCACAATGGAGATGTCCTCCGCCATGGCGCTCGCCGCGTCCCCCGACTTCACACTGACACGGTCGTCGCGGGTGCGCATGTAGCACACGCTGTCGTAGCCAGGAGGGGCTTTGACGATCGGCTGCGGAGAAGACCTTCTGCCAGTGGGCTCCCCAGTGAGGCTTTGATCCATCATGAAACGCCGCCCAGGCGCAACCTCGCAGAGAAGTACCTTGTGCGGCACCGCACAGGCCGGCGGGTGCTTCACGTTTGGTCCCAGCATGGAGGAGGTGAAGATAAAAGGGTGCGCCTGGGAGTCGAACACGTCCTCCACCGGCGCCGCCTGTCTACTGGACGAGGCAGCCTGTGCGTTCGTTGGCACGGGAATGCTCAAGCGCGTATCGCTCGTCGTCGAAATATCCGACCCGCCGCTCTGCGCGTGCACGACGGCTGCCATGGACCTGGGCACCTCCCTATCCAGCAGGAAGCCGTACTGCAAGACGTCCCGCACACTCCACGCGTTGTTGCTGTAGTAGAGCAGCTGCACCTTGTCCCGGCTGCCCTCGAGCCGCGTGCTGCGGGTCTCGTCGAACATGCGCGTCAGAAACGGGCAGCGGACTCGCACGGCGTCGTGGACCTCGTAACCGACGTGCTTGTTACCGAGCCAACGTGCCACGTGACGGCGCAACTCATCGTACTCGGCCGCGTCCCGTCGCGCATCGAGAGGCTCCAATTGCAGCAGGACAGTTTCTAACCAGAGCTGACCGCGATAGACGTGCGGGGGGTGCCCGGTCGCCGACCTACCGCTGGACCGCCCGCTGCGCGATGTTGCCGAGTCGTGCGCTCCCTCTTCATCAGCTTCGTCGCGCGCGCCGCCCCGCACCCGCGACTGCGGCCGCGACCTGGGTGGGCTGCTCGAAAGAATACGCCCATCCTCCTGCAGCAGTTCCCGCACATCGCGCAGCAGCTCGTACCGGTTGTGGGCATAGTTCCAGTAGGAGAGCAACTTCGCTCGTTTGCCTACTTTGTCCTCGACGAAGCGCCTTAAGCTCTCGACGTGGTGTGGGAGCGGCACGTCGGGCAACGTGAGAGGATCCGGCTCCTCATCGCAGTACACCACAAGGCGCACGTACGTGTTGGACGACGGCGACAATGCAGAGGACATCAACGCAGGTTGCGGCGTGAAGAGTAGCGCCTAAACAAAAATCTAGAGCTCAAGAAAGAACGAAAAAAAAAAATACAAACGTTTTCCGTAGAATTATTCAGCGAGAGGGAAAACTTGATTCTAATGTAAGTGAAACAGAGGAGCAGTAACGGAATGAATTCATGAAGAGAAAAGGAAAAACGCTGGCGGCTACGAAGTACGGAAAAAAACGTCGAGAGGCCCTGAAGGGAGGGAGGAAAACCACAGATCTATTCCTTCTTTGTTTTTAGACGTTCTTTAAGGCCAGGTAAGAAGTAGCATGAAGGAAAGGAGAGAGAGAGAGAGAAGTCGCCATTGCAGCAAAGCAGGTGACTTTATTTTTTAGGATTTGCTCGAGCCAATGTAGAATGATACCTCGCTTTTCGATGATCACATGAATTGCCGCCCCCACAACAGCAAACGTTCTGCGCGTCAGCCTCTGTTCACACTTCTTGGAAATTTCAAAACGGGCGTGTTACCTGCACAGGCAAAGTGGCGACGCGGCTCGTCGCTTCTCCGCATTCACGCGGGTGTTAGCGGGCTGCGGCCATTTTTGGTAAGAAGTTCCACCTGCCGCTTGGAACTCAAAAAAAAAAGGCTGGCCATCAAATGCGGCGGCGTAACAGCAGCGGAAAAGACAAAACAAAAATAAATACCTCCAAGAGGTGGAAGAAGCAATTCGCATTCAACCACGAAGAGAGCGACTTTCCGTCCCTGTCGCTACGTTCTTCAAGCCGCTAACGTCCCCACGAAGATCTCTCTCACATGACTCAGGCTCGCGCTATGGAAGCAGCGAGTGAGAGGCACCGGAGGGCAGGCGCAAGCGCCGGCACACACACGATACAGCCCACACGCCAGCACAGAACCCTTAAAAGATGAGATGAACACAACCGCAGTACACAAATTCAGTTATCTGCCGACTCGAGCGTATGCCCACTGGTCATATTAAATCAGTTAACGTAGTTGACAAGAGGGCCTCCAAGAGCGGGCACCGCTGTTTTTGTTCTAGCACGGTGCGGGCTCATACGAAGGAGAAAACGAATGGGATAGACCACACATGGACGCAAGCAGCGACATACACACGCACACACACACAACAACAACCGAGCCCCTACTCTCGCACAAAACCGCCGAAGGATGAGCAGAGATTCTTTTCTCTCTTTCTTCGTAGGCGCTCAGCACATCGTATGTTCTCTCACGTAGAGCAGTGCTGCAGGAACAAACAGAGAAGAACTTGCAGAGGAAACACGAGAAAATGGGAAACGGTTTCCCATGTCCTTTCAGAGATCACAGAAACCGAGGGCAAGAAGAGGAGGAAAAGCGTAAAGCGAGGTGAAAAGACGAAAGATCTGCCCGCCACTCACACGCCACCCGTCACGTTTCCATGCATCGACAACGAGAAAAAAGACAAAGGCTCGCCCAAAAAAGCACGGTTCTCCGGGTACCCACTTCATCCCCTGGATGTTCAGTTGCCAATAGATCCACAGAGGAAGCTTCCTCTTTTCTTCCATGCGACGCAGAGCTCTGGCATATTATTTTATGTTTTGTGCGTGGTAGCGACAAAGTTTTTTGAGAGCCAAGTTTATTGTATGTAAATGTATATTCGATTTCTTCCGTGACTGAAGGCGTAGTTTGAAGTTCGAAGGACGGACAAGTTAGAAAGGTGAAACCAAAAGCAAGTCTGTGAAAGGAGGAAATGGAAGAGAAGGCACTTACAAGTCCCGGCTGCTTTGCCGCTTGCTCAGCGCCGCGTCTACTTCCTCTCCGTTAAATCTGTTGCTGACTAACACTCACCGGGGAGCACGCAGTTAAGCTTTCCGACTCCGGCGGACGAGCGGCTTCCGGGTGGCGTGCCTCTTCTTCGGCTCCGCGGCGAGCGGCTCCGCACCGCCACCACCCTTCACCTCATTCACGACCGCTAAGAAAGTCGGCCGCGCCTGCACCGTCGCACTGCACGCCAGCTCCCTCCATCGCGGCCGCAACACCGCCCACAGCCCAGGTGGACAGTAAGGGGTAGGCCAGTTCGACGACTCCACGCGCACCGCGTCCGCCGCGTTGAGGGCGTCGACGTCCGCCACGAAGCGGTGTAGTTCGTGCAGCGCCACGAGCACCTCCAGCTGCGCCACGCCCACAGCATCCCCGAGGCGCCCAGTTGTGAGCGACTCCGCCTGCGTGTCCACCAACTTCAGCACCGTCTCCCACGCGTCAAGCGAAAAACTCGGCGTCGTGTTGCACCGACTCAGACTGCACAGGATCAAGTACAGACGCTGACCGCTTGCGGAAGGGAGAAGGCGTCGGCACACCTCGACGTACTGGCGCTCAAAGTTGATCGGCAACGCACTTTTTACAAAGGTGGGAGTTGCGGGAAGCGTCGAAACAGCAGGCGGCTCAGCGCTGTTACCGCCGCCTGGCGAAGCGCCACGTCGCAGCACGAGTGGGTGATTTACGTTGAGCGGCGCGACGTCGGTCAGCAGCAGCGCCGATCCAAGAGAGAGGCAGTCGGCGTTCGTGAAGCGCCACGTCGGCACTGCAGCCGCAGACACTGCATCATCTGCTTCGACGGAGTCGAATTTCCCCCGGTTGGGCAGCGGCCCGTCCAGCAGCTCCAAGGTTCTGTGATACAGCTTTGTGTGCGGGTGGTGGAGGCAGCGCAGCGAGCTCCACGTGCTGGCCAGCTCCGACGCCGTGAAGTCGGCAAGCGTAGCTGCCGCTCGCTCGCACAGCTGGCCGGTCACCTCATCGTGACGCAGCACCCGCAACTTCACAAAGCTGTAGAGGACGAGCGAAATGTCACGAGGAGTCGCGGCGGAGCTGCACATCTTCAGTCGAGCAATGATCTGCTGCGTCACCCGAATTGAATCGCGCAGCACAAAGGTGAAGGTGTAGAGCAGGAGCGCAAGGTCATGCACGGTGGTTATCTGCCACTGCTGATGTCTCGCGGCAGCGGCGAGGCACGGCGAAGTCGGCGCAGCCGCGGAAGACGCACCTTCGCCGCCAGCCTGTGCGCCAGGTCGGAGTCGTTCATTAGCGTCCCGTAGAGCTGACGGAGTCGACTCCACCGCCCGCCGCATCAGGTGCTCGGCGGTATGCGTAAACAACTCCAAATCCCGCACTCCCAGCCGTGCTAGCTGGTGCAGGTACTCCACCACCCGTTGCGGGGGCAGCTGTCCGCGCTGCTCCTGCACAAAGGCCACAACGGCGTGCAGCAGCGGCGAGTCGCGCTGACCGCTGCGTGCCATAATCTGAAGGGCACTCTCCACCTCTTCCGTGGTGATGGTGCGCAGCCAACGCTTCTGCGAGCCCCACTGACGGTACACACTCGGCACGAGCTCCTTTGCCGCACACGGCAGCTGCGCCATCATGGCTGTCAGCTCCAGCTGCGACGTGCGTGGCGCGTTCAGCACGGCCACCGTCATTGCTGGCATGTACTCCACGAGCGTGGCCTCACCGCCGTAGTCACGGAGGGCAAGTAATGCCTCCACTACGGAGCGCAGCTGCACGGGGCCTTCGTGGGAGGAGAGGTCGTTCGAGCGGCGCAGGTGCGCGACGAGAGCCGTGAAGAAAGCCTGTGGCCGCCTTGAGGGGGGCAGGAGTCTCACGGCGTAGGGCACGGTCTGCAGGAGGCGAGGGTGATACCAGTGATCGAGCTCACCGCCGATGGCATTCAGCAAAACTGTAATTAAGTATTCATCCTTTGTTGCGTTGGTGGGAGGAGCTTTCGAGGAGTCCTTCGCAGGTTGCGCAGGCGGCACAAACAGCGTTGCGTCGTTGAACTCGAGTGCGGTCAAGACGCACTGCGACAGTTGGTGCAGCTCCAGCGGCATGTGCCGACGACTCTCTGCCGTCGATTGCCCCGAAGCCTCTGAGGTGGCGCAGCCATGCTCGCCAGTCGACAAGGCCGGGTAGTAGAGCGCCACCAAACGCCGTAGGATAGTGTCCAGCACACGTGCGGTCATGATACGGCGGTGCTCGCACTTGCGCAGCAACTCCAGCACCCCCTGCGCGTCCGCCGCGGCCAGCGCGCTAATCGCGGCGCTTTCAAACACCTCCACTGAGTGCTGCACCGACGCGGCCGACGCGGCATCAGAAGTGCGCTCGTAAGACGTCGTCGGTGAAGATAAGGATGAGACGGAAGAGGTCCGCCGCCTGGCAAAGGACGCGCAAGACGCAACACTCCCGATCACGCCATGGTGCTGCGTCCCTGACAGTGCGGCCACGGTAGCCGCCGCACTTATCGAGCGATCCAAATTCTCTGCGTGCTGCGGCGTGGCGTTAATGACCGCCAGCAGCGACACAACGGGTTGGTGCAGCTCCTTGTAGCACTGCACCACCTGCTGCAGCAAATCTGGGGACAGGTAATTCGGCGGTTGCGACGTAATGTGGCGCTCCGCCGCAACGAAGAAGTCGGGATAGTCGTCCACCCCTTCCGCGCACAGGGCGGTGACCACGCTGCACAGCTGCCGTCCCTCGAAGGACTCCAGGTAACGGAGGCAGTGCTCGGCGAGCAAGTGCCACACCTCCTTATCCCGCACGCCGGCCCGCTGCAAGGCGTCAATCAGCATCACCACGTTGGCCCCCTGAGAGAAGAGGAGCGGCTGCGCATCGTCTGACAACGCTGCAGCAGGCGTTGAGGCAACGCCGCCACTGGCAAAGCTATTGGATGCCACAGTGCCTGTGTAGTTCTGCAGGGCGGTTCGGAGCAGCGGCAGGGCCGTGGCGGTGACGTCCTGCTGAGCGCCCAGCGCGCAACAGGCTGCCAGCGTCGTGCAGAGGTGCGGGACTGGCATCGTCGGCGCACTCCACTGCACCAGCTGCACTGCCTCGCTGGCCACGGCGCTGGTGCCCAGGTGGAAGTACGCGAGGGAGTCGAGTAGGTTGCACAGCGCAGCCGGATCAATGGCGTAGGGTGACTGCGTCGTTGACCAGTTTCCGCCCAAATTGTCCATCACGCTGCGTCCAGCCCTGACGACAGGGCTTTTGGTTGGCGCCGCGGGCGATGGCGAAGACGAGGTGGAGGATGTGGAGCTGCCTGCGTGCGTCCTTTCCATCTGTTCGTGCTTTAGCTGCTGCAGGGAGGGCTGCAAGGAGAGACGAAGAAGCTTGTTCTTAAGGGTGTCGCCGAGAACTGCATCGGGCAAGATGGAATGCACCCGACGCAGGTGGTAAATGTCGTTGATGACTCGATTCAGCATTGCAACCGTCCAAAGCAATGCAGCAAAAACTATTTATCTTCTTTTTTGCGCAGAAGACTGCCAGTGAGATCAACGAATGAACTCGTGAGTCGACGTGTCCGTGAAGAAGAGGAGGTGAGGAAGAAAAAGTCCAGTAAAGGAGGTCATCGCAAGTCTTTGCGTGGCATTAACTATCGTCAGCGAGAGCGTCCATACACGGTGTCAGTTTCCGTGGAACAGCAAACAAACACTTACAGTTCGGCGCGGCAATAAGCAACTTTACAAAGAAAAAGAGAGAGAGCACCACTTCATAAAAGAACCGGCATTTTGAGCGCCTACAGTGGCACAACGCTGCAGACTTAGAAAAAAGAAACGATCGTTGCCTTCCCCCTGCTGCGTGGAACGGAATACGAGGAGGAACAGAACGAGCAAAACAAAGCGATATATGTTCTACACCCATCTTGCCATTCAGCGTGGGTCTCAAAGACACGATTGCACTCCCACTAGGCAGCTGTTTCCGCTTGAGAGCAGGCAGCTGTGCTCGAGAAATGAAGTACGGCACGCAGTGCTCTTCAGCAACACAAAAAGTTAGCTGCGCCTGCAACGTGTTGTGGTACGCACGTACGCCGAATAGCAGGTCGGAGAGGAGACAGCTCCGCAAATGCATAGGCGCAATCAAACCCAAAAAAAAGCTCTCTTCCTCTCCCAGTTTACTTGGCACGCGGTCCACCCTTCTCCCACGACGGTTGTGGAAGGTCCCCCTCTCTAAAGTTCTTTACCTGCTCCACTGACCACTGGCGGGCCTGCACCTTCTGAACCTCCAGCGTGGTCTGCGCATCTTCTTTCTTCTCTTTAATCTGTCGCGCGGTCTGCTTGATACCGGCGCCCAGATCCACCCCGAAAAAGACCATGATGAAGAAGAGCATCGTCACACCTGACCACGGGATCATTCGAATGCTACGGACGACGATGCTCTCGGTGTGGTCGTCCCGCTTCAGGATCTCGCGCTCCCAGCGCTGAATGCGCAGGAAATCTTGAAGCATTCGAAACCCCATTTTCTTTTTTGAGACGGAGCTGCTACGTGGATGAATGTAAGAGCCAACCGAACAGAAATCTGTTACAATGGTGTTTTGTTTTATTGGCTAACTTTTGTGGAGAAGCTCCAAAGAAGAAGAAAAAAGAGCGGCAAAAAGGGCCAAGAAAGACGAAGAGAGAGGAAGCGAAGAGCACAACGAAGTTGATCAGCAGCAAAGGTTCCTTCCTCTTGAAGAGCGCAGTGTTACAAACGAGAAAGAGTCGCACAGAGCTGCAACTCGGTTTTACCTCAAAAGAAAAACGAAGATCACACGCAGCGTGCCTCACCCCCTTTCTTTGTTGCCCCACGAGGCAGTCTTTTCATTTTTTTTCCGCGAATTCAGGAGAATCGACGCCAAAAGCGTCCCTCTCCTGTAGACCACCAGCACTGTCAGCCTTTCCCGCTAAAGCCCACAGGCAGCAGCACAAAGACAGCCTGCGCACATCTGCATAAGACGTGCGACCGCCTTGACGTCGCGCTGCAGTGGAGCGCCTCGATGACCCTCTTCTGTTTTAACGTTGGAATCCCTCTTCGTTTTCAACGGGAATCAAAGTGATAAATACAGAGAACAGACAAGAAATTTATACAAGGAAAAAAGAAATCCATCGACATCTTTTTCTTGCCCGTTCTCCTTGAGCTCGCGCTGATTTGTTGCCGCCGCAGCGTTGACAGAAGTGCAGAATCGGCTAATTGATCAGGAGAAGGAAGACGCCGCCTGCTTATTGTGCGAAATCCACAACGACCTCCACAGGGCCCACCTTTGAGACACAAATGTAGCAAGAAAGCATCGCGCCACGCAGACAACCCGTCCGCTTCCCCATACATGCACAGCTGTCTCTGCGTGATTTGCGCCGAGCACGTACACCCCCAGCACAGCGCTGCGCACGCGCAACGTTAGCGCCAAACGATTACCCCACAGATAAATCAAAGAGTGAAGGGCCTAGGATCATTCTATATATACGGTGTGACGGAAAACAATAAATGTATATATCGGGAAACAGAGCATCGCCGCAAAACAATGTTGAGTTCAGCGGGCTGACATGCAACTAGGCACGTGAGAGCAACATTACTTGACGACAAACCATGAATGCGCACCGAGCACATCGAGCTTTCATATAGTTTTTTTAGCTTATGGAGGGTAGGGGGAAAACGACGAAGTCGGAGTCGCATACAAGGGAAAACGTGGATCGACTGCGTCCAAAAGTCACAGGCATGACTGCAACTGCACAGCTTGCCACTCGCAAGAACATGGTGGTTCATATAACTCCTCCCGTTGCATACGCCTGCGCTTTTCAAACTCTGCCACCTTGCCGCTGCATCCAAACTCCGCCCATTTAAAAGGAAAGCATCTACTGGTGTATTAGTGAAGAAAACAAAGTAAGCAAGCAAAGAAAAGATAAAAAGTGACCAAGCCAACATTAACATACACAACAGAAGGAATCCTCTACAAAAACTCTAAGTGCGACCACGACGGCGTCACGTGCTAACGACCATGCACCCATACCGCGGAATCCGTTTCCCTTTCCTCTTCGCATTTTCTGTCATTTAGATCCACCCCTTTCGTAGACAACGGAGGGCTGACAGAAATCAGAAGGAGCGAGCCGCGCCGTACCTCCCTTGGGTTCTTCGTTTTGCCTCCCTCCATCCCACAGTCGCAGTGATGTCCGCCCTCCGCGAAGTGTCTAATCTTGCCAACAACAATGGCGTAGACCTGAAGCAGCGCCAGCAGGCGAGCCGGCTGGACCCCAACAGCAACGGCTTCGCCGGCGCATCCTTTGCGCAGCAGGACAGCCTGCACCGCATGTCGCAGCCGCAGCCGCTGTCGCAGCGCTTCTCCAGTGCGAGCGCGCACTCGATGAGCGGCCTCGTGGCGCGCAGCGTTGGTGACTCGCAGGCGCACGCGCGGCGCACGAGTGCGGTGGCGGGCCGCGCGCTGTCGAGCCCACGCGTGGATGCGCGCCACGCCCACGTGCCGACGTACTGCGCGGACTTGATCGGCGACATCACGGACATGTTTGTGGAGCGGGAGCGGCAGGCCGTGGCGCGCTTCAACGAGGGCAACGCCGGGCACGGCACGACGGACGCGAGCGTGCTGTACGCCTACTACGCGTCGCCGCAGTACCTGCAGCACCAGCCGGAGATCAACGAGAAGATGCGGATGATCCTGATCGACTGGCTGATCGACGTGCACCTGAAGTTCAAGCTGCACGCGGAGACGATGTACTTGGCGGTGAACCTGATCGACCGCTACCTGTCGTGCGCGAGCACGAAGACGGACCGCACGACGTGTGTGCCGCGTGCGCAGCTGCAGCTCGTGGGCGTGAGCGCGATGCTGTTGGCTGCGAAGTACGAGGAGATCTGGCCGCCGGAGGTGAAGGAGTGCGTGCACATCAGCGCGAACACGTACACGCGCGAGGAGATCATCAAGATGGAGCGCGGCATCTGCACTGCGCTGTCGTTCCGGCTGACGGTGCCGACGCCGTTCCCGTTTGCGTCGCGTGCGTGGACGGTGCTGGAGGGGGACGACTTCCTCGGCGTGGGTGCGGATGAGGAGCAGCGCCGCCAGCACTTCGCGATTGTGCGGCACGCGACGAGCTTCTTCATGGAGCACGCGCTGCTGGACTACAAGTCGCTGCAGTTCACGCCGTCGCAGGTGGCGCACGCGTCGGTGTTCCTTGCGCTTGTGACGCTGCGGACGAAGCTGGAGCTGCCCAAGCCCCCTGCGACGCCTGTGTGGACGGACACGCTGCGGCACTACACGAAGGCGGAGCTGTCGGAGTTCCGCGGGTGTGCGGAGGCGATCCTCGCGTACGTTGCGTACGTGCCGACGACGAAGTACCAGGCGGTGCGCCGCAAGTACAACAGCAGCCGCTACATGGAGATCTCGAAGATGCTGATGCCGGATGAGCTGCCGATGCAGTGAAGGAGGAGGTGACTGTACAAGTCCGAGAAACGGAGGCGGTGACGCGCTACTCGTGCAAGACGAAAAAAAGGCGCGTAGAAGCGCGAAGAAAAGAAAAAAAAAAGAGGTGAAGGTTCTAAGGGATCATACACAGAAGAAAAATTGCCGACGGACTACTGTAGTTACAACGCAAAGAACGGAAAGTTTCTTCGTAAAGCGGAAAAGACAGTGTTTAAAACAGTTATCGTGGCGGTATCTGAAGTGAATCGAAGGAGAGAGGTCTATTTTGGGGGGAATAATCACAAGATAGCGAATCTGAAACACAAAATTCTAGGTGTGTGGGACCAGGTGCACTGTTGGGAAGCGGAAAACGGGGGTGAATCTAAGGAAGACAGGGTTAAACAACAATAAAAACAAATTTATTACTCCGCTTCAATATCAGCAAAATGTTTGTGCCGCGAGGACGCCAACAACACAAAAAGTCGAAGGTATTGGATTGGTTATCATTTAGCATGTAGCGCAGACATTTGCAGGTGAGTGATGGCAGAATAGGTAAAAAATAGGGTGGAAGAGAAGAGGGGAAAAGGGGGCAAATGAGCATGACATAGCACACTACGATGTGTGGTTGCAAACAGCATTCCTTTTCCCATCGTACAGAAGTGCAACGAAAAAGATCTGTTTCGTGCATCAAGCTACACGAACGCCCTCCCTCTTCTCGTTGCAGCACCAAACCGATGGGCAGAAACCGTACATCACCCGTCTGTGACGCGCGTGCTCACGAATTCGCTCACTACGCGTCGATCGTCTCATGTGTCAGCAAATGAAGCCACGTCGATGAAAAAAGAATTTCTCGAGGCTTTCCTCGTGACAACACAAGAAATGGAGTGCACTGTATATATACTTTTTGACATTAGCAAAAACAAAAAGAAAGACGAAGCTTCTCTTTTGACGGGATCGGTTAACAGAGATAAGATTGAGGATACAGAACGACGTACACTGCTGCTACCAAACTCCAACATGAAAGAACGTGCCAGAGAGAAGAGCAACAACGGAGCGAAAAGTAAAACGCAGAAGTAATACCGGTCATGGTGTATTATTACTTTTGTATTACCGCGAAGGAGCCATAAATCACCTCGGCTGCACCCATACCGCGGAATCCGTTTCCCTTTCCTCTTCGCATTTTCTGTCATTTAGATCCACCCCTTTCGTAGACAACGGAGGGCTGACAGAAATCAGAAGGAGCGAGCCGCGCCGTACCTCCCTTGGGTTCTTCGTTTTGCCTCCCTCCATCCCACAGTCGCAGTGATGTCCGCCCTCCGCGAAGTGTCTAATCTTGCCAACAACAATGGCGTAGACCTGAAGCAGCGCCAGCAGGCGAGCCGGCTGGACCCCAACAGCAACGGCTTCGCCGGCGCATCCTTTGCGCAGCAGGACAGCCTGCACCGCATGTCGCAGCCGCAGCCGCTGTCGCAGCGCTTCTCCAGTGCGAGCGCGCACTCGATGAGCGGCCTCGTGGCGCGCAGCGTTGGTGACTCGCAGGCGCACGCGCGGCGCACGAGTGCGGTGGCGGGCCGCGCGCTGTCGAGCCCACGCGTGGATGCGCGCCACGCCCACGTGCCGACGTACTGCGCGGACTTGATCGGCGACATCACGGACATGTTTGTGGAGCGGGAGCGGCAGGCCGTGGCGCGCTTCAACGAGGGCAACGCCGGGCACGGCACGACGGACGCGAGCGTGCTGTACGCCTACTACGCGTCGCCGCAGTACCTGCAGCACCAGCCGGAGATCAACGAGAAGATGCGGATGATCCTGATCGACTGGCTGATCGACGTGCACCTGAAGTTCAAGCTGCACGCGGAGACGATGTACTTGGCGGTGAACCTGATCGACCGCTACCTGTCGTGCGCGAGCACGAAGACGGACCGCACGACGTGTGTGCCGCGTGCGCAGCTGCAGCTCGTGGGCGTGAGCGCGATGCTGTTGGCTGCGAAGTACGAGGAGATCTGGCCGCCGGAGGTGAAGGAGTGCGTGCACATCAGCGCGAACACGTACACGCGCGAGGAGATCATCAAGATGGAGCGCGGCATCTGCACTGCGCTGTCGTTCCGGCTGACGGTGCCGACGCCGTTCCCGTTTGCGTCGCGTGCGTGGACGGTGCTGGAGGGGGACGACTTCCTCGGCGTGGGTGCGGATGAGGAGCAGCGCCGCCAGCACTTCGCGATTGTGCGGCACGCGACGAGCTTCTTCATGGAGCACGCGCTGCTGGACTACAAGTCGCTGCAGTTCACGCCGTCGCAGGTGGCGCACGCGTCGGTGTTCCTTGCGCTTGTGACGCTGCGGACGAAGCTGGAGCTGCCCAAGCCCCCTGCGACGCCTGTGTGGACGGACACGCTGCGGCACTACACGAAGGCGGAGCTGTCGGAGTTCCGCGGGTGTGCGGAGGCGATCCTCGCGTACGTTGCGTACGTGCCGACGACGAAGTACCAGGCGGTGCGCCGCAAGTACAACAGCAGCCGCTACATGGAGATCTCGAAGATGCTGATGCCGGATGAGCTGCCGATGCAGTGAAGGAGGAGGTGCGTGTTCTGGATTTCGAACGGAAAGAAAATGTCTTACGGTAAACACGCCGCGAAGAAAAAAAAGAATAGTGAACCAACAGTTTAGCGTCCCAAGCATCAATAAATTGGTGCAAAACACAATGGTGTGAAGCGGATCTAGAGGAAAAAAGGGAGAGAATAACAGTATCCAACCACTCTAAATTATTATTACAATAGTCCACTCAGAGGCAGGAAATAAACGGTCATGAAAAGAGGTGAGCAGAGGCGGCAAAACACCTTTCTCTAAGAAGCGAAAGGGAGAAACAAAACAAAATGAGAGGCTTCGTATATGACCCGAAACAAAAAAGAAATGATCTAAGTGTCTGTGGACGACTACAAACAAAAGCACCACCGTTTCTTTTCCGATAAAACAGGCAGAGGTGAATATCCAGACTGGAGTATCTAATGTGAAGCAATGCGCATGAAGTCTGCAGTGGTTTTCGTTGGTGTGTGCGTGTGTCTACAAAACTCTTGTTATCATCATCATTATCGATTGAATGGGAGCATGCCCGGAAGTTTGATATGCGAGTCAGGCGTTGCCCGATGTTAGAAAAGCAAACAGGAACAGATCCGAGAAGAGAGAAAAGGGCATTTTTTTTTAATAGATTTGCACACACAGAGAATGTTCCTCGTTATCAAGGTCCTCTTCGCTCGTTTTCTATTGTTCCTGTTTGAGACAAACGGAGAGGAAAAATGCTTCTTATTGTGCTCACAGGACAGCACAATTGCGCCGACGCAGCATCTTATCTTACCAATGTCTCTAGATTTTCTTTTTTTTGAAGCTGGCGTGTGATGTCTCATCGCCAGCTACCGAGAAAGCCTTTAGAATTGTAAATGGCTTTTCTCACTGTTCAGAACTTTTTGGAGCCGCATCTGCTGTCGCCTTCACTACGAATACGAGAAAAAAGGTAAGACAAGAGGTCAGTTTAAAAACAAACAAAAATACGCTTACACACAAAGAACAAAAGAACAAAGCGCGCAACGATAGAGCGTTTGTGTGCCGCATCGACTCCGTACATCTCTTTTGCTGTTGATGTTGTTTTTGGTCTTCCTTTGCACCTCTTAACTGTAAGATACGTGTCTAAAATAGTGGGGGGTAGAAAAGGGCGTCAAACCATCCATGATCTGCGGACGCCTTGCTTTTTCTTTTCTTTTTTGCTCCCTCTTCGCTGTGTGCACTGCTGCATCCTATATGTGCATTTAGGTTAAAGATAATCAAAGGAAAACACGCCCGAAAAGCAAGCGCCGACGACACGGCGCTAGGAATACCACCTTAGAAGTTGATTGTCTGCGAATAGCACGCCATGCATGCCTCTTTCACAGCCTCGGACATGGTCGGGTGGGCATGGCAGGTGCGGCCGATATCCTCGGAGCTGGCACCGTACTCCATGGCGAGCGTGGCCTCCGCAATCAGCTCACCGGCGGTTGTGCACACAATCTGCACGCCAAGGATCCGATCCGTCTTCTTGTCTGTCACGACCTTCACGAAGCCGTCCTCCGTGGCGACCGCCTTGGCGCGAGAGTTCGCGCTGAACGGGAACTTGCCGACCTTGTAGTCGATGCCCTCCTTCTTCACCTGCTCCTCCGTCTTACCGACCTGGGCGACCTCGGGGTTCGTGTAGATGACACTCGGGATCACGTCGTAATTCACGTGGCCCGGCTTGCCGGCGAGCAGCTCCGCACACGCCACGCCCTCATCCTCGGCCTTGTGCGCCAGCATCGGACCCTTGTTCACCACATCGCCGATGGCATACACGTTCGGCACATTCGTCTCGAAGTGGTCGTTGATGCAGACGAAGCCCTTCTCCATCTTGAGGTTGATCGCCTCGGCGTTGAGGCCGGCCGTGTGCGGGCGGCGACCGACGGAGCAGAGCAGCGCGTCCGCCTCCAGCGTCTGCTTCTTGCCGTCCTTCCCCTCCACCTCGATGGTCACGCTGCTACCGTTGTTGGTGCCGCTCACCACCTTCGTGTTCACCATGATCTTCATCTTCTCGTGCTTGACGAGGGCGTCGGTGAGAGCCTTGGACACGTCGGCATCCGCCGTCGCGGCACAACGCGGCGCGAACTCCACCACTGTCACCTCCGAGCCGAGGCGGGCCCACACGCTGCCCAACTCGAGGCCGATAACGCCACCGCCGATGACGATCAACTTCTTCGGGATGTGGTCGAGGTCGAGGGCACCGGTGGAGGACATCACCACCTTCTCATCAAAAGGGAGGAAGGGCAGCGCAGACGGCTCGCTACCGGTCGCGATGATCGTCTTCTTCGACTCAATTGCCTCCTCCTTGCCGTCCAGGCCCTTCATCTTGAGAGAGCTGGCCGAGACGAAGCTGGCTTCGCCCTTGTAGTAGGTGACTTTGTTCTTCTTGAAGAGGTACTCCACGCCGCTCGTCAGCCCCTTCACGGCCTTCGTCTTCTGCACCTGCATCGCTGCTACGTCCATCGTCACCTGCTCGCCGCCGCGAAGGCCATACTTGGCGAAGTTCGCGTGCGCATCGTGGTACATGTGGGTAGCGTAGAGAAGCGCCTTGGACGGGATGCAGCCGACGTTGAGGCACGTGCCGCCGGGGGCTCCGCGCTTGTCGACGCAGGCCGTCTTGAGACCGAGCTGCGCAGCCTTAATGGCCGCCACGTAGCCTCCCGGACCACCGCCGATCACGGTGACGTCGAAAGCCGCCAGGCGAGCTATGTTCGAACGAAACATGCTTGAAGATTCCTTTTTTGTTGTTGTTTGGTGGTTTCGGATAAGTGCCGACGAATGGAGTGAGACTCAACGACTACTAAAACGAAAGAGAGGCTGTTGTGCGTGTGTGTGTGTGTTAAGATCTTTGACGGAGTTCAGCGGAGTTTTTCGTGAAGGTTATACTAGACAAAAAAAAAGAAGAGAAAAGTAGAACCGGTATGTTTACTTGCTGCACGTTCAGAAGTAGCAGAAGGATTGTGTCACTTGCACTTAGAAAAAAAAAACAAAGAATGAGAAAGCAATAAGCGTGCGTTCTTATTCTCTTTTGAATGACGCTGTTTAGTGGAAGTGGCGGAGAAGGGAGCTGAAATCTGTCCGTTATCCTCTACAATAGCACCGCTGAATGTACTCATACGAACTCCACAGACGAAAAGTTTTTTTTTTCCGGTCCTGCGAAATCCTCGAAGTTTGATAGCAAATAGACGGCATCAGCTACAACAATAAGACAAAGAAAACATCTGTCAACATATACACTTCACAGCAGCTTCTCCACGAGCGCCTTCTGCTCCTCTGTGAGTCGCTCCGGAAGGTCATAGCGCAGGCGGATGTACAGGTCGCCGCGCTCCGACGGCACATGCAGCTTTGGCATCCCTTTCCCAGGTGAACGCACCACCGTACCGAACGGCGACGACCCGTCTCGCCGCACCTCCACCTGTTCGACGCCGTCGAGGTGGGTGATGCGGCGATCAAAACCGAGCAGCGCCTCCCTCAGCGTCAAGGTCAGCGACGTATCCAAATCCAGCTGATTGCGGCGACGCGCAAACACAGCGTGGGGGTGGGTGCGGATGTGCACCAGAAGGTCGCCCGGCAGACGATCCGGCGTCTCCTCGGCCTCCATCTCGAACTTCAGCACGTGGTTCTCCTCCGTGCCGGGCTCCAGCTCCAAGGTGAGCGTGGAGCTGCCGTAGACGACCTTCTTGCCCTGGCACACCGGACAGAGTCGTTCCGGCTTCTTGCCGCTGCCTCCGCAGCCCGGACACTGCTGCTGGATGTCCTGAATCATACCAGGGGCGAACTGAATGCGCTGATGTATCATCCCTCTGCCGCCGCACTGATTGCAGGTGACAATGGGGGCTGTGTTGTCCGCGCCGGTGCCCTTGCATCGGGGGCAGAGCTTGTGTTTGTGGATCTGGATGGGTTCCTGTGCACCGGTGAACACCTTCGACAGGTCTACGTTTGTCTCCACCTCCATGTTGGGGCCACGCAGGCCGTCGTCGGTGCGCATGCCAAAGAGCTGCGCGAGGGGGTTCATGCCGCCGCCCGGTTGGTCCTTTGCTCGGTCGATCTGCTCCAGCTGCTCCAACCCCCGCTCACCGCGCATGTCGAAGACCTTGCGCTTCCGCTTGTCGGATAGCACCTCGTAGGCGCGGTTCACCTCGCTGTACTTTGCCTTGTCCTCCTCTGTGCTCGCCACATCGGGGTGGTAGCGGCGCGAGAGGTGACGGAACTCCTGCCGAATTTCCCTCTCCGTCGCCGTCTCACGTTTGCCTTCCAGGTTGAGGATTTTGTAGTAGTCCACCTCTGGCCGGTGTGCCTGCGGAGGCGGGGCTGCCTGCCGTTGGAACCGGTTCCCGCCAAAAAAAGCGTGGGATTCAACTGCCACGCAGAGCAGCAGCAGCAGCAACAGGAGGAGAGAGAAGACGCACACCAGCGCTCTCGTGCGCACGAGTGCACTGGAGAAATGCGGCATTTCTCTTTTTCTTTCTTCTGCCGGCACCACAGGTAGTAGAAGGAGGAAGACAACAGAAACTTTGACAAGAAAAAAAAACGGCTCGCCACTGCTTGTGTATGCGCGTGTGTGTACGGGTCTGTAAACCTCAACTGCTCAAAATTGGGCTGCAGCGTGGAATATCTCTGCTAGAAAGCACTCCGCTACCTCTCTCTCTCTGTCAAGAAAGAGGTTTCTTCCACACAACAACGCAGAGAAATGGACGTGAAACAAGCAGGTGGCGCAAAACTAAGTCAGGACAAGAAAACAGAGAAATAGACAACGCATAGGGTGAGCGCATCCAATGCACAGTGGCCCATTTAACTTTAAAAAGGTCATGACCCCGAGCTCAGCTTCCCGCGATGACTACGCGTATGTGGAACAATATCAGGAACCCTCCCTTCCTCACTCTCTCTCAACGAACCTTCAAAGATACCAGTAGCTCCCATCCCCTGTGTCCGAAACAAAAAAAAGGGTTACCGTGCTTTGAGTACGTCCATATGATTTTCTCTTTCTTTTAAAAGCCACCTATTGCGGTGCGTTTGCCTGCTGCGGGCTCTTCTGTGATACTCGACATCTGCGGGGAGAAAAACAGCAAAAAGATGCTTAAAAAGAAAGAAAATGCCGGTGGAATGATCACCGATACAACAAAGTGGGGCCACATGAAAGAAAGAGCAAAAGAGGGAACAAAGCGAGCTTAAGTATCTCTCTCTCTCTCGTACACCTGCAGAAAAGAAACCAATCCTTGAGCAGCTCCCGTGCACCGTTCCTCTTCTAGGCGTAGAACACGAGTAGCAAAGGCGCCCACACGGCAATCAGGTTCAACTCAGCAGTAAAGACAAACCACAGAAAAGTACTTGTAGAGCGCCTCTTCTCTCTTCTTTCCTTCCTTTCTGTTTTTACTGAGGGGGCATCGGCTTGTAACCTGTTTGCGCCACAGGCGTCAAGACTTGCTGCCCAAGCTGAAGGTTCACGTCAACCGGTCCAGACCCGAGGCCTTGGCTCACGCGCTGACCACTGCGGTTCTCGTTCACGTGGGCCTCTGCCTCACGCATCAGACGCTGCTGCTCCTCGCGCGTGACTTCACGCGTGGCTGTTCGCTTGAACATCATTCCCGAGCGCTGCGACAGCATCAAGCGTCGCACGTGAAACGATAAGTTGCTGCTGTGCTCATCCATCTCCAGCACGCGAGAGACAAACCACTGTTGTACCAGCATGTACGGAATCGTTGCCGCGGCGAGCCCGAAGACGGTACGACCGAGCTTTGGGAGGTGCTGCACAAACCAGCTCGGCTTGCCTCCTTGATTCAGCGGCGCCATCGCCCGCACCACGCGGTGCCAGCCTAGCCGGCCACTTAAGACGTACCCTGCCGCGAAAAAGGCGGGCATGCCCACAAAGGTGCCTATCATCCCCTTTTCCACCAGGCGCAGCTCCTCCTCGTTGAGGTTCTTCTGATAGTTCGAGAGAAACGCGATGAGATCAGCGCGGGTGTAAGGTTTTGTTTTCTGGTCAAAGTTCATGATGGCCATGCCGGAGGTCACCGTGCCGATGTCGCGGACGCCGCCTCCACCGCCGCCCTGGTTGCTGATGGGGGAGTTAAGCGGAGAGGAGTTCATCTTTGCTTTCCTTCGGTGTATGTGTTTATGAGCGTTTCGCTGCGATTGTTAGTTTCCTTGTCCTACTTCTTTCGTTTCCCTTCTCACTGCAGAGATGCGACGGTGACACTACGAAAAAAAAACTTGCTGCTTCAGATGTGGGCGCGCGAGTCTGCACAGACGCCGAGAGCAAAGGAATATAGCGTGAAAATCGGAGTACGCAGCGTAACGTGCAAGTCAACACTCGAGCAGTCGTTTTTTTCTTCGTTCTGTCGGCATTTATTATGAATGCATGCGAGAAAGTGATGAATAGTGTTGTAAAAAACAAAAAGCGAAATGTGTACGGATGAAAGAGAAAGAAAATAAAGAGTATGTGCAAAAGCCGAAAAGATTAAGAAGAGAGAGAGAGGATGTGAGTGAAATCGCACTTTAGCGAGAAGAAACAGCGTTGTACGCCGCAGTCTGTTCAGCGCTGTCAGACGCATCAGGAGCGGCGGCGACGGGCGATGTAAACACAGTCGTGCATTGCTCCCTACCGTGCTAGCGGCGGAAACAAGCGGAGCGCAAAAGGATAAAGAAGGACACCACTCCACGAGTCGCCACACACCAACAGTGACTCTGTCCTGCTGTCCTGCATCTCTGATCCAGGCAAAACCCAAAAGCACTCAAAATCCAAGAGCGCCTCGATCAACGCATCGCTGCGCATTTTTTCCCCGGTGGTCTGTTAGGGAGTGCTGTTGGAACTTTCGCTCCCTCCCGGCTGCGGTAGCATTCGATGGCCTGCATGAAAGTTTTTCTTTCTTCTTTATGCATTTCACTCACAGATAATAATTTTCCTTTTTCCAAAGAGGAAGGGGTGAACAGAAACATGTGCCTACGAAAGAGCACACCTGAGTAAATGCGACTGTCAAGAAAAAGAAAAGAAAGATAAAATACGACAGCACAGCGAATAAATGACAGCCACAGGAAACAATAATAATAATAACTTTTAAAAAGGAGCATAATAAAGCGTTGATACCGTCGTAGTATCATTTGCAAGGAAAAGATAAGGTATTTGTGACCCTCGCGCAGAGAAAAACGTGGCAGATAAAGTAAAATGAGAAGCAAACGTTAGAAACTACAAAAAAGAGAGAAGGTGTGATCAAAGAAAAATAAAAATGGACTCAGCAGGCGCAAGTCGTGCATGTAACTCCATACATACACACGCACCTCTATCCTCGCGCAGGCTGTGAAGGTTGCGGAAACGTACATATAAATAGATATAACCATCTGAAAGGGGGAAAGCAAAAAAAAAAACAGGTCACAATACTGTGACGTGCTTACAGCTTTTATTTAAACCATTTTTCTTTAAAGGAAAAAAAAGAGCCGAGTGAGCCACCGTACAGGCACATAAAAATTGCTGTTTAGGAACCGCAGCGAGAGAATTAAGTCTATTAATTTCTTCCATCCAGTCCAACTGACATCCGCTCACCTTTGCTCCTTCGAATTCAATTTTTACTGCTTTCATTTACTGAGCCCACAAAGTCGATCGTTTGTATTTGATAATATAATCCAAAATTTACAGGAAAAAAAAAGATAACACCGAAAATGAAATGTGAAGAAAGCCAGTAAGTCAGCGAACACAAATAATAAAAAGAAATTTTCTTCAAACCCGGCAGCCGCTGTGTGTGCGTGCGTGTGTGTTCTTGAAGAACTCTACTTAAGAGTTGTGTCTTTTATTTATATATTAGTCCTTTTTATTTTTAAGGCTGACGATCACACGACGCGTACACACGCACGTCAAAACTTGCAGGTTGAGATGCAGAATTGTGTTCATCAACTCGCGTATGTGCGTGCGTGTTTTGACATTTTTCTGTCTTCACGTATCACTAGACACGGCTCGTCTCCACCTCTCTACCTCTTAGCCGTTCTTTAAAACAAAAATACTTCCTGATGTCGACGCAGTTATGCATTTAGTTACGGGTGTTTAGAGCGGGACGAATTCAGTCGGTAATATATGGCGGGATTTTTTTTGTGGTTGTTCGGGAAAAACAAAAGTACATTGAACAGAAATTTTATTATCAAAAAGGAAAACTTGTAATGGTCGCAGCGAAACACAACAGAGGTGATGATCATTCAAGACGAACAAATGGCTGCTTCTTCTTTTGCTCTTTTTTTTTTTAATCGCCCGAAACCAAAGAAAAAAAGAACGGTACAAAGCGCCATCCCCCACTGCTGTCAACGTGGTTTATGGAGGTCATGCACTTCTTCATGCCCCCCTTTCCTTATTGTTCATGAATACACCTGCGTATGTGTGCGCTGGCAGCACACCTATACGCATGCGCTTTGACGCCCCTCACACCCACACCCACCATATGCATAAACGCGAATAATTAATAAAAAAAGAGAAACGTGAGACGGATTTAAAGCCCTGCACACGACACGAGAAGCGGCACACGGCGAGAGGTAGACAAATCAATCGGTAACGGAAATATAAACCCGAGCAGACAACAAGAAGCGATACTACAAACCAACAACAGAGAAAGGGAGGTGAGCGGTGACCAGTCCTAACAAACAAACAAACAACAACAGAGAAAGAATAATACCCAATCAGAAAAAAAACTTAAGGCACAATTGAGCTGCAACATGTCCTTGATCATCGAAATGAGAACAAGAAAAGAGGTAGAAAAAAGGCTCATATCTGGCTTGCTTTTAGCATTAGCATGGTTTTCGCTAGGAACGTGGAGAATGTTTAAAAAAAAAAGAGGGGAAGAAGGATTTGTCGACAACAACCAAAACTATTCAGAAATCCGCGCGGAGTCAGATTCCCACACAAACACAAAAGCACACACTTACACCAATACACAGATGCAATCCCTCTCTTTCACAAGCTACGCATTGCGTTACTGCGCAAAGAATTTAGCTTTTAAAAAAGGAACGTCAAGTTCGACTTTGACCTTCACACACGTCTCTACCCGCTCTCCGGCCTACACACTGCACTGCGTGATCAAGGTTCACTCAGGGAGCAAACGGAAGAGGAGGTAGCAAAGGAAAAAAAAACCACCCTCTCTGGTCTCCGACTACTTCGGTTAGGGCCTCTCATCCACTTCATACAACAGAAGAGCCGAAGTCATCACCCGTGTGTTCTTCCTCTTCTACGTCCACGTCCCGCCATGGGGGAATCCTCTCCCACAGATAAAAAATGTATACAAAACCAAACGAGAAGCGCAGACAAACAAAGAGAGGAACAGCCGGAGGAAGAGAGAAGAAAAAACATGCAACATGTACAAACCTATTATACGCTCTTTTCATCCATTTTCAGATTGGGTATTACCTAACAGACCTATAAATACATCCATATAAATAAAATCGAGTAGCGTTAGCAGCCGATAAGCGTTTTGATACGTATGCGCATTTTTGGCGTTAAAAGGAAAAGAAAAGAAAAAAGACAAGAAGCGAAAGATGCACCATAAGAAGAAAGGGATACAATTCATTGACATGTTCCCCTCGCACTTAAATTGGGGAGATGTAAGAGTTTGTTTGTTTGTTTGCTTTAAGTCACACATACAAAAAAAAAGGGGGAAGTTGGTGCGAAGAGAGAAATACAATCACAACGCACCGTGCTACATTTCGCACTGCACTCCGCCGGCGTCAGTTACTGTTCACATCGATCACCACCGAGAGTCCGCCGCGAACGGCTCCGCGGATGGAGCGTACACCGTACGGTCTGACTCCGCCGAAGCACAAAACGGCACGATACAAGAACGGCGAAGGTGTCGACGCGTCCGGCCACGCACGCGGACACACGCAACACAAAGCCCACAAAACAGCCACCTCTCCCTACTACTACTATACCTACGCTAGTGTGTTTACTTCCTACGATGCGCGCACACCCCGCATGCAAAATCAGTCGCTACCACTTAAAACAAAACAAACACATCCAAAAGCAAACGAAGAAAAATAACTTTTCTTTCATAAAGAGGAATATCAAGACAACACGAGTTACAAAAGAAGAGCACAAAATGGAAACAGAGTCGCATTAAAATAGAAATAAAAAGAAACACGCAAAGAAGCAAGAATCCATGAAGCAAATTTAACAAAGAAAAAAAACATTGAGAAATATAGCGTTTTGTTAAACTTAAAAGCACACGTGTTAGATTGTAAGTGTGATGATATGTCGGGATGAGCGCTCTATGAGGTCAGACGTAGCAACCCTGTCTGTCTTGGTTTTTTAACGTAAATCAGATACCAAGGAAGCACGCGTCGTCAGCGCCATCATCATTGTGAAGAGAAACGTAGAAATAGTTGATCCAGCGGCGTCTATGACGAAGCGGAGCGGTAAAATGGTGGGAAAGAATTTTGGTTTTTGCGCGTCCCATCGTCCGTTGCTAAAGCCGGTGTGCTTTCTCTTGCTCTCTCACCGCCACCGCCACCTGCTTATGCCACCACAGCCATCTTATTCGGCTTTGCGAGCGGCTTCACAGCTGACACCGCGGCCGCTTTGCTCGCTGCAGCGCCTGTCTTCTTTTCCGCAGCGGCAGCGGTCGCCTTTCCCGCCTTCTCCTTCCGCGGCTCCGGCGACTTCGCCGCGACAACCGCAGCCGCCGGCGCCGCCTTCGACTTCAGCCGCAGCGCCTCTGCGTACGACTTGGGGGCTGCTGCGTGGCTCCCGGCTGCAGCATCGGCGCCATCGGCGGCGGCGGCAACGGTGGTGGTCGCCGCCGCCGCCATCTCGGGTGTTGTCGCCATGGTCTCGTGATACGCCGCGAAGCCGTGGTTGCCTTGCTCCATGGCATCCCCCGTGCTGCCACTGCTGCTGCTGCAGCCCTCCTCTGCCCGTGGCGACCGCAACCCGTCGAGGTTCGTGGAGGAGCTGTCCGCCTCGGACGACGACGTGGGGGTCTCGCCCTCCTCCTTCTGCGCCTGGCGACGGCGCTCCCGACGGCGGGCGGACGCCTTAATCAACGGGTCCTCAAAGACGAAGTTGGCTGGCACCTTCTCGCCGGCCAAGCAGCCGGCGACGAGGAGCTTGTTCGCGGCGGGGGTGACGGCCCCGTTGCCCGCCAGGTGCGACAGCGACGAGGCGCAGCTGCTCTCGCTGCACAGCACGAAGCCGGTGGGGCTGTAAGGGTCGTGGCGGTGGCGACGCGAGGTGGAGAGGTTGGCCGGCGAGGTCAGCGCGGGTGGCGAGGAGTGGGCACCGTAGATGCCCACCTGCTCTAGCGGAGGGGACATCGCCATTGGGGGCGGCTGGTACAAGTCAGCGCGGGTCTGCACCGCACACGCCGGCTTCTGCTCCTTCGGGTTGGGCGAGTCGCCAAGGGCACATGGGGCAACCGGCAGGTCACCGCCGACGGCGCGCGGCCGCCCCGGCATCACAGGGGCTGCACCCCGAAGCGAGTACGTCGAGGACAGACTGGGCATGTCGCCGTTGCACACCGCCGAGCCGTTCGCCGCTGCTGCCGCGTTGCCCTCCGCTGCCCAGCCGTCCAGGGCGGTGAACTTGTTGGCCCACGCCGGCCCCTTATAAGGGTCGAGGCCTGGATACATCCACCCACTGCTGGAGTCCATCAGCATTTGATTGGCCAGGGCCTCTGACGTGTCCATCACGGCTCCGCCCACCTCCTCGCAGCCTGGGGTGCGGCGAGGACGGCTGCCACGCGGCAACCAGCCGACAGCCGGCGAGCCCCCCACCGCAGCGACGGCAGCAACAGCAGCCGTTGCCGCTGCCAGCTGCGCCTCGAGGACGCTCTTGGGAAGGAAGGGGGTGGCGTTCATGTTGAACTTCGATTTGGTCGTGCTGCTCTCCGGGGAAGGAGTGGTGCTCGTTGTGCTCGGATCGGAGCTGACTGCCGCAGAGACACCCGACTTGGCGGAGCTGGGCAGCACCGCATCGATGGCCGGCGGGGGCCGCGGCACCGGCACGGCAGCACGCGGCGCCGCTGCCAACGTGCCCATCGTCCCGGTGACCACCTCCGTGAAGTTGCCGCAGCTGGACGGGCAGGAGAGGACCTCCCCGACCACACGCGGGCACTTGAGAGCAGTACGAGGGGCGGGAACGGCGGGGACCGTCGTGGCGGCAGCGCCAACGGCCGCAGCAGCGGGACGCGGAGGGACGGGCAGTGCCTTTCCAGTGGGTGCGCCACCGACGCGGGTCACGCGAACGTCAACGTGCGGGGCGTGCGCGCGCCACACCGCGTAGGCGCGATCGGCCGCCACCGGCGACACAAAGACGACCCGCACAGCACACGGCGAGTCCGCCCACTCCGTTTTCACGATCCGGTGCTGCGGCACGGACGCCTGCAGCTGGCTGAGGGTGAAGCCACGCAGGGCTCCTTCGCTGTCCGCGGCGGTGCTGTGCGGCTTGCGCTCCAGCGACAGCACGCTGCGGTTCACGCCCTCCGCGTGGCTGCGCGGACCCACACGCAGACAAGCTGCCTCCGCCTCGTCCACCGACAGCATAAATGCGCTGGAGGACGGAACAGGAAGGTCGTCGCGCAGCATCAGCTTGTTCGACGCCCGCGCAGCACCCAGCACCGCATCCAGGCGCTCACTGCGGGTGCTGCCGCTGAAGAACGGCTGCAGAAAAGACAGTCCCGCCAGCGCTGGCACGTGGGCTGTGAGTGAGGTATCCAGCAGCTGGACAAGCTCCTCCACGATTGCGTCGTCCTTCACACTGGATTGGCCGGCGAGGAAGAGAGGATCCAGACAAGCCTCCAATGCCTCTCGCACGCTCGCCCACCGCGACGCGGCAGTCCGCTTCACCTCGATCGAGTCGCACTCGGGCGTTGTCAGCCCGCGCGAGTCGTCGATGCTGCCCACGCTGGTTACCGGGACGTCCATCCTCTCCTGCACCTGCACCTCGGTCATCCCCTCCACGTCAGAAGCGCTGTTCTTTTTGGAAGAGAGAAGGGAAACTATTTTTTCGCCTGGCAAAGGGGCGAAAGCGCTGACTTCGGACATGACTGCTACAATATATAGTAACAGCAGCAGCGGTTTCAGGTGGGTTACCTTTCCTGTCGTTCTCTGCAAGTGAATAACACCACAAGCCGGGGAGGGGGGGTGAGGGGGAGTGAAACAAGAAAGAGGAGCAGGCACTTTCGTTCAATCAAGTAAATAGTGAATATTTCAAGGAAAACAAAAATTAACGTTTAGTAAGAGAATTGCACTATGAGGAAAAACACAAACAAAAAGAGAAGCGCTCTGAAGAGACGAAACACGAAATGCCTCTTGTATCTAATTTGCTCAATTCCGTTGAATCAAAAGGAAAAAAAAACGGTAAAACAAACAAGAACTTAAAAAATTGCGCTAATATTGAAGTAAAGAAAGAAAACAGGTTTTTGTTTCTTTTCTAAAGGGCAACGTAAATGTGTGTACTTTCCTTCCTTTTCCCTTCCTTACTGCTGTCTGCTTTTTAAAATGTGATCTACGAATAAAACGTAAGTGTTCAAAACACAGCGCTTCCCGCCTCTCTGTGTCGACCGTCGTGCACACAAACACCTCGATCTGCCAGGTGTGCGAAACGTTGCTTTAAAACGTAGACAAGAGAGGGAGTGGAAAGGTGGAGAATGCTTACACCACAAAGAGGTGGTTTATCCTTTTTATAGTTATTGAAAGAGGAGAAGAAGGCAAAGAAAGTCCAAAGTAAAAAAAAAAAGACGAAGAAGAGAAAAGGCGACAAGTGCCAGAGATGACAGGACAAACAAACGAGAGAAGATTAGTAACTCTGACAGAAAGATAATTGAATATATGTGTGTAAACGAAACAGAAAACAACAACAACGAAAAAGGCGGCGTACGCACCAAAGAGGCCAATACGAACCCCAAGAAAGAAAGAGAGAATTCAAAAGGTAAAATAATATATATTCTTTTTCTTTAGCAATAAATCAGAATGTTAGCACTTTTTTATGTTGTGTGTGACGACAGAGAAATCAAGACAAAATACAGAAATGAATAAATAACGCAAGCACAGCCGTTCAGTAAGAGAGATAAATCACAGCTTCTCTTTTTCCTTCTTTTTCTTTCTTTGATCTCGTCTGAGTCTTGTTGACGTTGGCAACAACTGTGTCGTATCAAGGAGACAGGAAGAGTACAAAGAAAATGTTTGAATTTAAAAAACGGGGGTGGGGGTGTGGTAAAAAGAGGCAGTGGCAGACAAAGAGAACAACAAGGAGACTAAGTGCTAAGCTCTTCTAAGAAAAAGAATGTCCTATCCACCCGCAGAGAGTAAAGAAAACAATGCTGAGGAATGCTCAACCAGAAAACCTCCACAAACAATCAAAGGTTTTTTTTTCAACTTCCGCGAGTTGCAAGTCACAAGAGAAGCGGTGTTCGTAGAGCAGCTTGAAGTGTTCTGCTTTTTTGAAACTCTTCTTTAGAGAAATCGAATTTGTTTTGCTGCTAGACAAAAAAAAAATCCGTTGTCCTGTCTCGTCTCTCTACTTTAAAACCGTTCCTTCAGCTTCTTGAGGGAAACAAACCAGGGAAAAAAATGAGATGTGAGAAGAACGATAAAAATGTGAAATGGGAAACCGTCCGCAGCAATTCGTTTCAGATGGATAGCTCGAGCAACAATAAAGTGCAACACTCTCACAGCACAGAAACCTTACACCTGTTCTAACTAACGCTCAGGCAGGAAAGCAAGCGAAGAAAAGTGGTGGGAGCAGGGTGTTCATACAAACGACGGCAGCAGAATGAAAAAAATGCCGCGCTCACGTAATAGTGAAATGCGATTCGAATCTTTCCTCTTCTCTCTTTTTGCAACTCCCTCAATAATGAGGATATCGCTTAAGAAAGAAAAACTTTGTAATGAGAAAAACAAACGCTCCACCCTCTTCGTCGAAAGAAAGAAAGAGAAGAAAAAAAGAAGGACGGTAAGATAAGGAGAGCCCGCACTCGTTGCTATATGCTTTGTTTTGACGGCTCAGCAATGGGTGGACGCACACAACCAAAACAAGAGGAATAAAAACAAAGCGAAGCAAAACGTAAAATGTAATGAAAAACACAACAAAGAGCACAAAAAAAGGGGGAAAGGAAACATAAAAAAAATGTTTTCGAAATCTAACAATACTTTCTGCCGGAGAAGGTCTAATGTTAGATTTTTCTTCTTTGATTTCTTGAAAGAAGAAAAAAAGAATAGCTTTTATCTTTCCTTTTTTGCCGAACCTTGTACGTTTGTTCTCTTCAATAAATAAAAAAAATCAAGGTGAAAGGAGAGTAAGTGGTAATTTGAGGGTTATAAAACGGTAATGACTGATACTTATACTTTCTTGTCTGAGTGACTAAATCAGATTATTGTAAATCACAAAATAAATAGCACTATTTATTTTATGTATTTATATGTGTATATATGAGTAATTTTCAAAAGAAGGTAAGTACGAGAGGATCGATTCCGTATTCGAATTCCCTGTTGAGGTATTTCAAGGCAAACAAGAGGTACTCTTCGTTTTGTTTTTCCCTTCTTCACTCCTTCTCTCCGATGCAGTCACACACACACAGACAAAACCGTCGAACCACTTTCAAAGGAAGAAAGAAACAACAACCAATACAAAGAAAATTGTAAGAAAGAACTCTTCACAACTTCTCGTCTTCGTATTTCTTTTTCTTGATATACGGATGCGTACACGTGCGCTATTCTCTTCTTCTTTCTTTCTTTCTTCTGCCTAGAAGAGATTTGGTGCGGGGGAAAATAACAACGCAAACAAAAAAAGTAGAAAATAGAAGAGTCGCGGTATTCACTTCGTATTGTGGTCCACCGTTGCCTTCTGCGTCTTTTCCCTTTCGTTCTCAACCACCACAGCACAAAGATGAACAATCCTCAAAAAAAAAAAAGGAGAAGGACGGATGCGCGCACACGCCAATGAAAATGAGCGACAAAAAGTGAAGAAGAAAGGAAAAAAAGAAAAGGAAGAAGAAGGTGCGTAAACGCCGATGGGCGTTCAGGGGCTATATACACTGGACAGAAGAGAGAGGGGAAAAAAGGTGTGGAAATACAGGCGAAAGCCAAAACAAGAACAGGCAACGACACTGCCTTTTCGTTTTTCTCTTTTTAAGACGTGTTTGAGAAAAAAAAGGAGCGAAAACGAGGTCGAAAAGCGAAAACCAGCAGGAAGCGGTTTAGGAGGGAGGAAATATATTTGTGCGACTTTTCGCTTCTTCAGTTTTATGTTTCTTCTTTTTTCCTGCGACGTGTTCTGCTCCTGTAAACCCGTACGAGAGAAATGAGAAAAGAAAGCTACGTAAAAGGAGAGAGAAAAGCTGATGTGAAAAACTTGGCACTGCACTACAGAAAAAACGGGAATTCAAAACCAAAAATATAGGAAGCGTTGCAGCAACGGGTAAAAGGGTAAAAAAAAAAGGAGAAGGAAACCAAAGAAAAGAAAAGGACTCGTAAGCGCAAGAGTAAAACCAGGAGAGCAAGAGGTGACAAAGGAACAGTAGAAAAGATAGATATCCCCCCCTTGTGTAATGCTTTGAGGTTGTTAGAGGGGGAGGAGTAAAAGGAAGAAAAAACAGCGGAATAGCGGAGAACAAAAGATGCGATCAAAAGCAGAGCCCAAGCGGACCACAAAAAACAGACGGTGCTTCGCTCAACTTCGAATGCTGTTCGGTCAGTTGGCTTCAAAAAATGCGAAAACAAAAAAAAGAAAGAAAAGAACTACCAGATTCGCGCACGTGCAATTAGTTGAACGCGTCACGCACCAGTAAGGAAATAAAACGGATGCTACTAGAAGCTGAGCTGGAAAGGAAAAGAATTTTATCCTTTTCCTCTTGCCTTTTCAACTGTAGAACTCTTGTTTTTCTCCTTTTCTTCTTCTGTATCCGCCCACCGTGAAGAAAAGTTCTTTGTATTGTTGGATGTGTTGTTTTTTTTTCTAGGAAAGAAGAGATAATAACGTCCCTTTGACACGTTTGTTGTTGTTCTTTGTTTTTTGTAGATTGTCTCTTGCAGGAGAGAGAAAATAACGTGTGCACGACAACTACAACGTCAAATCCTTTTCTGCGTTCACTACTCGTGGAGAAGAACGTGGCCGAGAGTGAAGGAGAGGCTTTCGCAACAGCCAATACTTTTTTCTCTTTTTCCCCCGTAAGCACACACGCAGAGAAAGCGCAGAAGACCAGAATGAATGCGTCTGGAAAGGAAAAAAAACTCCTCTGGTCTTTCCCTTCTTTTCAATTTCTTTTCCCCTTTCCTCTTCGAAGAAAGATACACAAGGAAAGAAAAAAGGGAAAAGAGCGATGTGAGTGAGGGGGGGCGGATGTCAGACACTCTCAAGGACAATAACACAATGACGCACACTACCAGCTGCGTTACAGAACTCGGCGGTGAAGCCGGAGCACAGAACCAAAAACGTCCCTAACCGCGAATGGTGAGTGAAACGGTGAGTGAAATCGGGAAGTGATATTACTCACGCACACACGTAAAAAAGACAGAAAACGACAAGCTAAAGGGGTAAAAACATAGATAGAAAGAAGACAAAACAAGAAAGAAAAAGGAATTTAAAAAAGAATTTAATAGGTTTTTTTTTAGGTAAATGATGAGGCTTGGTACACCTGAGGGGGGAGGAAGGAATCATTGCATATTGATGGGTCGCGTGAGAACGTGCGCGTGAGTGTGTGGGGATGGGTGGTTAGAAATAAATGCGGTGTCGGTGTCAGCCGTGTGGGGGCAGGATACATAAGCAGAGAAAAAGAAGAAGAGCAGGAGAGAGTCGAGAGCAAGAAGAACTTGAAAAACACAGACAGGCATCAGGAGCGACTGCAACTTGCTGCTAAACATAACTGCTGTCAGCGAAAGCGCTAGCACGAATATGGACCCCATAACATCAGGGGGCTGGGGAGTTGGAACGAGATGAAGCGCCCCTCCGCCATTTTTCTCACGTGGAACGACTTCAACACGGAAAACAAGAGTATGTACACGAGTCTCACTCTCGCGGAGTGAGAACGCACACATGGCAAACACGCTTCCTCTCACAAAGCTGCCCAGCAGCAGTTCCACGAGCAAGTCGTAGAACATGAAAGAGAAAAAAATGGTGCATCGCACTTGCTTCTCCATCCTCACGCTTCGCTGCGATTGCCCATTCCCAAATGAGCACAACTGCAAATGCGAACTGGGTCGCCTCCGATCGTTGAATTTTTCGTTCTCGTCTGCTATTACAACTTCATAAAGTACTCCCCCTCTTTCTCTTCACTGCACGTTGTGGGTGGCGCCGTAGCACACGCACAGGCGGTGAAGCAAGAAGATTAGCGTTACTTATACAGCGAAAGGTTTACGATCACCAACACGGAAATAGCTGGACACACGGCGTCCTCCAAACACACAAAAATAAAGGCGCCAGCAAATAAAAAGAAAGGAGAAGAGAGCAATTCCCTTGCACACGAGCGAATTCCACATGCACGGCAAAGGAGGGGTACGAAAGACTTTGACGGCTTCACCGCTTCTGTTCCAAACAATGCGCAAGCGGCGAAGAAGGAGAGGAAACGCTTCCTTCCTCCCCCCCCCCTTCCTTCTCTCCTTCGTTTTCAAACATCGGGTTTTTTTTTCTTTATGTTGCTAGACATCTATTAAACATGTACAGTCGCGGCTCACAATTAAGGCAGAAGTGCCACCTTCCTTTCTCCACACACACACACACACACACACACGCAGAACCTCAAAAAGAAAAAGTAGACGCCTTCCCCTCGCTCCTACAGCCCTCTTCACCCTCTTAAATTTGTACGTCTACCGCTGCTGCTGCTCGTCCTCCTCGGGGTTGAGGCGGACGCAGTCGTCGATACGCAGCACCGTCACGGCGGCCTCCGTCGCAAACTGCAGCGACTTGATCTTGCTCGGCTTCGGCTCCAGCACGCCCGCCTTGATGTTGTTGCGCAGCAGACCATTCTGCAGGTCCAAGCCGGTGAAGCGCGACTCGCTCTGCTGCCCGCTGCTCTGCGCCTGCGTGTGCTCGACGCGCAGCTTCGCGACAAGGTCAGTGGCGTCGAGCGCCGCGTTCAGCGCGAGCACCTTCGGGATCACCAGCAGCGCCTCCGCGTACTCCGCCACCGCGAGCTGCTCGCGCGAGCTCAGCGTGCGGGCGAAGTTGTCAAGGTAGACGGAGATGGCCGCCTCGACAGAGCCGCCGCCTGCCACGACGGAGCTGGCGTCGCAGGTGCGGGCCACCGCCCACAGCGCGTCATTCAGTGCCCGCTCCATCTCCTCTAACATAAAGTAGTTCGCACCGCGGCAGACGATGGTGGCGCAGACGGTATTGGGGGTGCCGGTGATGACGATGCAGTCATCGTCGCCGATGTGCTCCTCGTAAACCTTCTCTGCCCGGCCGAGCCACTTGGCGTCGAAAATCTCCTCCCCCTCGAGGTCGGACATGGTGTGCACCACCTGTGCGCCGGTGGTCTTGGCGATGCGGCGAATGTCGTCCTTCTTGACGCGGCGCACGCCCAGGACTTTGTTGTCCACCATGTACTTCATCATGCTGTCCTCGATGCCCCACGTCGTCATGATCACGTTGGCGCCGGCCGCGATCATTTTCTGGATGCGCTCCTTCGTAATGTCGAGCTCGCGCTGGCGAATCGCCTCCGCCTTGGAAGGGTCGGTGATGGTGATGTTGATGCCGAGCTTCATCTTCACGGCGCGCAGGTCGAAGTCGAGGAGTGCGATCTTCGCGTTCTTGACGGAGGTCGGCATGCCCTGGGCCGCGCGGGACAGGTTCATCGCGAAGCCGTGCACCAGCCGCGACTCGTGCAGACTCTTGCCGTGCTGCAGGAGGACAGAGACGGCCTTACGCGGGTACACGACGTCGCCGAAGTCGTTGACAGTCTTGACTGACATGATCGCATCCACCACAATCTTCGAGAAGAGATCCGCATCGTTGTTCAGAATCTTGCTGGACATCGATGTGCGGGCTACGTTCAGCAGCACGTCCTTCCCGAGGCTATCCACCGGACAGCAGAGGTTCTCGTTCATGTAGCGCAGCGCCTCCCGCATGGCCAGCTTGTAACCGGCGATGATGCTCGTTGCGTGGATGCCTTGGCTCACGAGGTCCTGCGCGCGCTTCAGCAGCTCCGCAGCGAGGATGACGACGGAGGTGGTGCCATCGCCGACTTCCTTGTCCTGCAGCTGGGCGAGGTCAACCAAGAGGCGGGCCGCCGGGTGCTCCACGTCGAGGCTTTTCAGGATCGTTGCCCCGTCGTTGGTCACGACGACGTCGCCGATGTCGTCGACGAGCATCTTGTCCAGGCCGATGGGGCCCAGGGAGGACTTCACGACGTTCGCGACCGCCATCGCCGCCGTCACATTCTCGCGGCGCACGGCGATGCCGCTGATGCGGGTGCCGTTGATGCCGAGAGCTGCCTTCTGCTTGGGCTGCATCGTGCGTATATGTCAATAACGTAGGTGTTAGTGAAGGAGACTGTGCGACAGTGCGAGGGAATGAAGAAGAGAAAGAGGTGATACAAATAACAAAACAGTAGAAGAGACAGCGGCAATTGGACTGGTGCAGAGCAAAGTTGATATGGGTTTGTAAGAAAGAAAGCAGATGAGAGGATCATGGACATGATTACACACGTGCAGAAAGAAGCAGAAGAAGGGAGGAGTAGAGCGTAGCAAGAAAGAGCTCGTTGGGTGAACGGATGTGCATGCAAAGGAGAAGGCTGTACAGATAGAGGTCCTACCTTCTCCCTGTCAACCAATCCATCGGCTTTGCGCCGAGCAAACGTTGATTGCGGTGGCCATAGCGCTACGCCATTGTTTGCTGTGGTGAAGGGAGTGTTTGAGGTGCCTGCGGGAGGAATTCGCTTCAGATGCGTCGAGAGGCAATAAAAATACACACGGTTTTATCCAAGTGTCGTTCCTTCTTACCTTTCCTCTCTTTCCATGACATAGCTTTTTGCTACTTCTTGTGCGCTGCATTCGGTTTACGTTGGTTTGAATGTCTCAGAAAAAAAAACTCACATAGTTTAACAATGTCAACGAGATCAGCCGTACGTACACACACACACACACACACACAAACGTTTAAGCCCCTGTTAAGAGAGCAAGTTTACAATTGGTTCTTTGTCTTCTGTTGTTAGTAGTGTCGATAACCTTTTCATTATGTGAGCCAGTTATCTCTTTTGCGTTTGGGGGTAAATCAGAGGGAAAATAACACACATGCGCAGAGACCGCTGGAGAGAGAAAAGAAAACTGTATCGAACAGGGAAAAAAAACTCGCGCTGTAGCAGCTGGAAATACACGCCCCACAGTCTTTTCCTTTTCAAATCGATTGTGATAACGGGTTGTTGTACCGGCAGAAATACTTACAAATGAGGATATATTTCTCGTCTGTGTCCTTCCCTTGTCACCACCTTCTTTTCAGCGTCTGATTTGCGCTCGTTTGCGCCGGTGTTGGTGCGCATGTGTATGCCTGCATTACATAGCTTCAAAATAGAACTGCGCGGGTTTTGTTTTGGTTCCTCCACCTTTCATCTGTTCTTCCTCGGTCTCGCAATGCAAAAGACATAAAAGGAAAAAAGAAACGAGAACGAACCGTAAAGGTTTAAGGATGCTTTTGATAGTCCTTGCCGGTCAACAATGGTCTCCGGATACGAATAAAAGTATATAAAAGGGGTTAACAATAATAATAATAATAATAATAGGTGTTTCGACCGTTTTTTGTTGTTGTTGTTGTTGCGTAGCGTCGTCCAGCCTGTTTAGCCTGCGGCTTCTTCTTTTCCTTCTTCTTCTGCTGGTTGAAGAAAAGCACCGGGTGAAACTTGAAAAAAAAGGCAATGAAGCAAGAGCGAGAAAGAGAGAAGATAAAGACCACTAGAAGCTATCTGTCAATAACTTAAACAGCGCAGACGTGCCAAAGGGTGACTTACGACGGATACGGAGAAGAAAGAAAGGAGAAGATTCCAAAGAAAAAAAAAGGAGGGGCACGTCGAGCCCTTTCCGTACCCCCCCCCCCCCCTCCCTCCCTCGTCACTGACCATTTAGGGGTGGTTCTCTACAGCTTAGCGCTCAAACGCTTCACGTTGGCCTGCCGCTCCTCCAGATTCTTCTCCGACAACAGCAGGTTCTTGAAGTAGCGTGCCGTGCGCACCTTCAATTCCAACGTGGCATCATCATCGAGGCAGAGCACAGCGCTGGGGTGCATCTGAAGCATGGTGGCGGTGCACATATGCGTGATGCTGCCCTCCACACACTTCGACACCGCCAGCGCCTTGCTGGCACCCGTCGCAATCATCATCACCACCTGTGCCTCCATGATGGTTCGCAGGCCCACCGTCAACGCCATCGTCGGCACACGCGACGGGTCGTTATCGAAGAAGCGCGCGTTGCTCTCGATCGTCTCCTTGTTGAGGCTCTTCACACGAGTCCGGCTGTAGAGGCTGCTGCCGGGCTCGTTGAAGGCGATATGGCCGTCTGTGCCAATGCCCGCGAGGAAGAGATGAATACCGCCGACGGCCTTGATCTTCTCCTCGTACTGGCGGCACTCCTCGATCAGATCGGGTGCGTTACCGTTCAGGATGTGGCGGTTCTGCTCGGGAATGTCAATGTAATCGAAGAAGTTGTGCCGCATAAAGTAGTGGTAGCTCTCGGGGTGGTCCTGCGGGAGACCAACGTACTCGTCCATGTTGAAGGTGACCACATTCTTGAAGGAGACACGCCCCTCGCGGAAAGCGATGATGAGCTTCTGGTACGTCTTTAAGGGCGTGCCGCCGGTGGGGAGGCCGAGCACGAAGGGACGGTCCGCCGTGGGCTTGAAGTCGTTGATGGACTTGATCACGTACTCGCAGGCGTACGTCGCCACCTTGTCAGGTGTGTCACAGATGACTATACGCATTGTCGGAAAGAGTTGCAGAATACAAGGTTTGATGCTAGTACCGTTTTATTAGGCTTCTATCAATCCAGCAATACGAAAAAGCCTGGTCTATTGCTAAGAAGGAGAAAGAAAAAGCCTGCAATACGTCAAATCCACAAAAAAAAAACGTTGTCGAATAAATGTGTTGTTGGGCAGAGAGAGGGGAGGGGGGAGGGGGAGTGAAATCGACAGCAGTACAAGAAGAGACGCAGTTGTTCTCGAGCACGCGCTTAGGGCCCTTTGAGAAGGTGAGAGAAGAGAGAAAAACGAAGAAGAACACGCCCGCAACGACAGAGTCAGCATAGCGCTAGGCCATCGAATAATAGACTGGAAAGGCAGCATTGCTCATCTGTCAAGCAGCACTTCTATTTCTCCAGGTAGTGTGTTTAACCCCCACCCCCATCGTAACTTAGGTAAAGCCGACAAGAGAAAAGGCTGAGCGCCGCCGAAAAGTCTTGTCCGCCAAGTTTTTTTTTCCGGTGGAGGAAGGGGTGGGAAGACTATCTGAGATGCGTGATACTTTCCTCTCTCCCTCGTTCTCTGTTTTCACCCTTTGGGTACGAATTTGGTGAGTCCTTGTTATGGGTGTAAGCATATGCGCGTCCCGAAGGCCAAAGTCATGAACAGTAGAAGAAATACGAAGGCTTGATAAGTACGGAGTTCAACCACCAGCAACAATCTTGCTCCGACCAGCCAGGTTCACCCACATACAGCTTCCCCCTCCCCTCCCCCGTGTTGCACACATTGAATGCAACAGAGGTGGTCAAAGCGCGAGAAGCAAGGAAAAGGGGTAAAATGTCAACATACATGCTTGGTCTAATGTACAGAGAAGAAGAAAAATGCCGTCCGAGCATTTTTAAGGTAAAGTTGAAGCAAAAAAAAAGACGCAGAGTGGGAGAAGGAGTTCACACAGGGCGGAGCTTGATCTTTCGATGTGCGCCTCTTGTGAAGACGCAACTGAGACGCAGAGGTAGCAGTCGTGCATTCTTTCTTTGGTGCCGTCTCGGCAATCAAAACGAAAAGTTCGCAAAAAGAAACAAAGAAAAATGATCATGAGACCGATAGTAGCACGGAGAGGGAAAAATAACAATAATAATAATAATATACAAATAACGCTGCTTATTTTAACTTATATGGGCATTTCTCTGTGTTGCCAATGAAGAGAGATGCGAAACAAGAGAGAGGAACAGAAGAGATCAAGAACCAGAAGCTTCTTCGTTTGATTCGTTTCTCTTTCCTATGTGAGTGGATAAGAGGGTCCAGGTTAAAAGAAGGCCATTTTCAATGATAAAAGCAGAACGTGAAATACATATATATACGTATTTCTACAGACAACCCAGGAAATGACAAAGGGTGCGAAGGAGAAGTTAAAACATAAAAAAAAAATTTAAAAAAATGCGAAAGCGAGGAGTAGAAGAGTAGAGGAGGGGGAAAAAGTCTTATTACTTCTACCAAACAAAAACGGTTTAAGTTCTCACAAAATTCGCGCTCAACAACGCACAGGGGGTGCACCGACAGAAAGGGATGCAACACAGAAAAACAAAAAAAAAGAAAGGATTTGAAATGAGAGGAGATAATTACATGTCTTTCATTTTCTTTTTAGCGTTCTACATCTGCGTCGTCGCAGCGGTCGCCGCGTTGCACATAAGCGGCAATAGCTTTTGAATACTATCGCTGTTCTCCCGCCGTCGCGGTGTCGGTTTCTCCGTCGTCGTCGTTGCGGTGTTCAACGCAGGGGCGGGCGAGAGCTGCTGCTGGTCGCTTTGACACCGGTTTGGGTAAGACGGCATCCCACCCCTACCAACTCCATTCATGTCGCCGCTAATTGAAGTACAATTCCTGCGCGCCTTCTTCGACGCGAGCGGTGGCGGCTGCGGTGTGATGTTGGGGCCGCCGGACGAACCTTGCGGCGCCCCGCCGTTGCTGTCGGCATTGGAGACTCTATGGTACGGGATGGCGAAACCGCCGTATTGGCTGGAAGACAGCGAGCTCTGCACGGTGGTGGCGGTGTCGTGCACATGCGTAATCGAGCCCGCCCTTTCACTTCCGTCGAGGGAGCGGCGGGTGCTCTGCAGCGCGTAGACGCCCAGTGGCTTACGAGAGCGCATGATCGCCCTCTTGGCTAGTGCGACAGCGGTCACTTCCTTTGTTTGGGTCTTGGGCGGTGGTGGAACAGCGTAGTGGGCGACGCCGCCGCCCGCCTGCGTGAAACGGCTGTAAGGGTACTTCTCCGCCTGGCCGCCGTCGTGTGGAAATGGCTGGTGGGGGGAGGTGGTGTTGTCGCGCAGGGCGGACAGTGCCAACAGCGTGTCGGGCAGCTGTTGCTGCTGGTGCTGCAGCGACGGCTGCGGTGATGTACGCGTGGGACCCTCATGAGCCTGCGAAGTGGCGTGGGTGGACGCGTGCAACGGCTTTGATTTGCGCTCCTTGAGCGGCATCGCTCCGCGGGTTTCTATGCCATATTTTCCGTTGGCCGTCGTCGTACCGGGCGTGTGCGGGGCCGAAAGTCTGCCGCGCGTACGGCTCATCTTTTCCGGCGCCTGCGTCTTGTCTGGCACCGCCACGCCTGCTTCGCGACGGTCGTGTGATCGGGACGAGCCCGGCAGCTGCGGCGACGCGCGCGTCGTGCACAACTTGAGGGCGTTCACCGAGGCGGACTCTTGCGCAGTGCCGTCGTGCAGCGCATGCTCGTGCACGCCGCGCGCGCGCAGCTCTTCCAACAGCTGCTCCTGCGGACTGAAGGGAGAGGTGCTGTGGCTGCTGGAGACGCAACTGCCATGACCCGGCACGCTCTCTTTCCTTCGCTTCATCACTTTCTTCTTGGTGCACATGTGCGGTACGTCGCCGGCGTCGATGGGGCCGCTGCGGCGTGTCTTGGGCGGCGCGCACTTCACGCTGCCGCGGTCTTGCGACGACGGGGAGGCCAACGGGTTTGCGCACGGTTGGCCCGCAAAGCAGCCGTCGTGGGGAGACGGGGGAGAGATGGGGCAGGGGGGCTGGGAGGGCGGCTTTGGGATGTCCTCCATGTCGACGCTGCCGCGCCAGTCGTGTGTGGCGAGGTGCAACTGGGGTGAAGTCAGGTCGGGCAGCCGTTCCGCCAGCGGCATCAAATGGGGCGGCTGCTGCGGCGACGGCGGCGCTTGTTGTTGTGCTTGCTGCTGCCCCGGCGCAGCCTTCAGCACCGCATCCGTGGTGGTGCTCGGGGAAAAAGCCGAGGACGCAGGCGCGACCCCGCCGTGACTCGGTTTGGCATCACTGGGCACATTGGGCGGCGACGACGAGCGGGGGCTCCCGTTGGAGGACGAAAAAGGAGAACAGCCGGAGGTGCGCTTGGACCCACCGCCGACTGCCCCGCCCAACACTGCCTTCGCAGGAGCGGCGGCAGCGGCGGCGCCCGCCAGCGGGTTCGCCACACATGCTGCTACCGCAGCGCCTGGTGCGCGTCTGCCGCCTTCGTCTTCGTCCCTGTTGCCAACCATATTACTCAATCGTCGACCCGACTCCCCATAGGTGGCGCCGTTCATTACGATGCTGTCGGTCTTCTTCACTGGGCTGACGGGCATCGAGGAGGCCGAGGAGGTGCGCCGCGACGACAGCACCGTGCTGAAGGACTGCGAAAAGCGTCGGCCTTTCGGCACCGCTGGGGCAATGCAATCGCCTAAACTGGATCCCGGCGACGCCGTCACGTCAGATGAAAGTCGCGGATGGCGACAGCGGCGGTGTCGCGAGGGGCTCTCCCCGTCTTCGTCGGCGTCTCGGGTCTTCACCGCAGCCACCGCCGCGCCGACGCCTTTGTCGGTGTCCGAGTTGGGGATCAGCGGTAGCTGCACCGACCCCTCTGACTGCCCCAGCGCGAGAGGGGTGACAACCGGCAGGAAGCTGCCCGTGTCGCCCTTGCCCGCCTTCGGCTTCCCGGCCTCCGTGCCACCGTGCTTGCCGAGCTCGCCCTTCGCGTTCATCGCGGGATATTTTTTGCTCGACGGCGGCGTCGTCGGCTCCGTGCTCGCGTTCGACGTCGCCAAAGTCGTCGCCTCCTGCGCGTTCTTTGGTCCCTTGATGACCTTCTCGCCCATGGGCCGGCGCGTCGGCGACGGTGCGGACGCGGTCGGGTTCTGGCGCAGCAGCAGCGGCAGGCCGGACATGGCGCGCAGCTCCTGCTCATACCGCTCTCGAAAGCCGTCTCGCGTAAAGTATGGCAGCGCCATCAACTCCCCGCAAGTCAGCCGCTTCGCCGGGTCGGGGTGCAGACAGGCGTAGAGAAACTCCAGCCAGTCCTCGGACTGTCGGTGGTAGCGCTCCTGCAGCGTGTAGACGATGCCGCTGTGGGGGAAGCTCACATTGCGGTAGAGCGAGTTGTGTTCAAAAATGGTCACCATGTTCTCCGGCACCGGACCGCAGGTTTGGATGATGAGGCACAGCTGGTCCAGGTCGGACTCACCGGGGAAGAGCGGCTGGCCATCGGACAGCTCCGCAAACATGCAGCCCACCGCCCACACGTCCACCGGTTTGCCGTAGGACACGTCGCCCACCAGCAACTCAGGCGCGCGATACCACCGCGTGGCGACGTAGTCGGTGTACTTTCCTTTCGTCGTCATCTGGCGTGCAAAGCCGAAGTCGCACAGCTTCAGCATGCCGTGTTGATCAATCAGAACATTCTCCGGCTTGACATCGCGGTGAATGATGTTGTTGGCGTGGCAGAAGTCGACGCCGCGGAGCAGCTGATATGTGTAGCGGCGCAGGTCTCGTGACGGGATGCCGCGGCTGGTGCCCTCAAGGACCTGCAAGATGGTTTTGTCAATGAATTCAAAAACAAGGTGGAGCTTGCCCTCACGGCGAAATACTTCCTCAAGACGCACCACGTTGGGGTGTCGTAGCTGCTGCAGCATGCGCACCTCGCGCTTTGACGTCTTGCGCACGTGGTCGTCTTCTTCCGTTTGTTTAAAGCGCTTAATGGCGACGAGCTTGCCGGTTATCCGGTTGCGGGCCTTCATCACGACGCCATAGGTCCCCTCACCAAGAATGCCAAGGACTTCGTAGTTTTCCATTATCGGCTACAACTATTTATTGTTATGTTTTCTTGGTGTTTGTGGGAGGGTGTGGGTGTTGTGTGTTGTGTGGACTGAATTCCTGAGTTGAAAGGGAGGAGCAGGCATCTAGCTCGCGGCACACAAACGCTCACTTGAGAAAAAAAAAAGGAAAAAGAGTGCTGTGTTTTTCTTCTTCTTGTAACAGAAATAAGAGCATAAAGTATAAACAAAAAAAAACATATACATACCTATATATATAGTGTGTTTCCCCGTACGGGCGCAACGCAGAAGCTGACCCACACCACGCGGCGGTGTGGGAATAACGGTGCAAGGAGGAGAACAAAGACAGGCAAATACTAAAAAAAAAAACTGAGGGAGAACAACGCGGACCAGTGTCACACAATGCAGGTTAAGCAGATTCAGAAAGTTCAACTTGTTTACAATACAAACAAGAGAAAGGAAAAAGCAAGAGATGAAACGAACGGTGAGAAGTAAAAAGCGATGCTTTCTTGCGCTTTACGAAATGCGAAGAAAGAGGTGGCAAGAGAACAGAAAAAAATGGTTCAATTGTGTTGGTGCAAATAAGCTGACGCACACCGCTAGGAAAATAAAAGGAAGTGTTCCAGTTCCAAGGAGTAGTGGAGGGAAAACAATATGTAAAAAGGGGAGATTTTCAATAATGAACGTCGCATGCACAAGCAGCGAGAAGCTGCACAGCTTTTGCGTCCTTGTGAATACTTGTTCTTGTATCTCGCCTTCACTGTGTTAGAAAGCAGTCAACAGCGTATTCAAAGAAAGGATTTTTAAAGAACGAAGTCTAGTGTAGTAGTTATTTTATTTTCTTCTTCTTTGTTTGCTTCCTAAATCAAGAATGCTTGGCCTCGCGCTGCCTTCTGTGCGAGCTCGCGTGCGTGAAGGCTGCTGAGATCCTGCTGCGCTTACAAGTGTTTCCGGAGTATGTTTTTCGAGAGCCACCAGAGGACCGCAATTTCGAGGTTAACGGGAGAAAGGCGATGAAAAACAAAAGAAGAGGGAGAAGGAAGAGTGGGGAAGAGTGGAATGAAGCAACACAGAGCAACAAAACAGCAAAATGGAAGAGTGCGGTGGTCACCTAGAAAGTTTCACGAGATAGACTTCGACGTATTGAACACAGCTCAAAAGGTAGGAAATTAAGTGCGCTGCGTTATTGTGGCTCTTGACGTTTTTCTTTTCCCCCTCAACAGACAGGACAGGTTTGCCGAACTTTCCTTTATATCTTTTTCTTCTTCTTTCGTCCATCAGTGAGCACCACTGTGCGCAACCAATGTATTTTTCCTCACCTCATACGGTAGCAGACAACGTGAACACGAGAAGGGAGAGCGCCTCTCGCACAGCGCGCAGGTTAGCGCGGAGCGGCTCAAAAAGCGGCAGCTCCTCTCCTTTCGCCACCTCCCCTTCGTCGTCGTATCGCTGCGAAGGCGGCTGCGAGACAAACAAGCGCATGGCGACTTCATACGGTGTTGAAGGCTTTTCCTCCTCCGACTTCCCGCCACGGCTTGACGTCGGAAGACAACGAGGACCTGCAAAAGAGCTGGTCATTCCAGCGTGTCTAACGTGCAAGGCAGGCAGTGTGGAGGGCTTCGCTGCGGAGGTGGCGAAGGAAGAGGGTGCGCAAGACTCTACCGTCCCACGGAGCACCTCCAGCCAAAGTCGGCGCCGTGTCCGCGGTCCACACGTCCACGCACGTGATGCAGTGTTCGCTTCGTTCTGTCTCTCGCCCTCCCCCGCAATCACCGGCTCTGCGTGCTGTGTCGCCACCGCACCGCACGCCTCCGCCAGCAGATACAACACATAGCACACCCACCGGCGTTCTCGCAGAGGCACATCGTCGCCAAATCCGACCACGTGACTTCGCGAAATGGACGAAGCGGTGAGAGACGCCCCTTGAAGACGCAGCAGTAAAAGTCGCAACTGCTTCGCTACGGCTATGTAGAAGCCACCTCCTCCGCGTACTACCCCGCGTAGAGACTCGCCGGGAAGCCCAGATGTCTCTTGACGTGCGCTGCGATCGCCACTACGTGTGGGCAAATCGGGCAACGCGTCCGACAGAGCTAGGCCCGCCTTGCGGAGCAGACCGACGTAATACGTGGCGTGCACGTGGGTGGGAGCCACCAGCAAGATCGAGGGGCAGCGCAGCTCCAGCTCCTGCGCGTCGTTGCTTAATGTGGAGTTCGCGTTCGTGAAGGCCGCTTCCGAAAGGGGTGTGAAGGCGAGAAGACACAAATCCCGTTTGCGCGGCAGAAAGAGCCGCTCCGCGCCGGCGCACGCCTCCATCAGCGCATCGGCGTCGCCGACAGACGGGTGTCGTGCCCAGGCGCGACAAACAACTTCCTCGTCAAGGACGCAGCAGTGGGTGACAGCAAACACGCCTTGCGGAAGGGAAGCGGATCGGCTGCCTTGACCAGATACTAGACTTGGCGTCGCAGCAGCGGAAGGCGCCAATGACTGTGAGCTGAGGCTGCGCAGAACATCGCGACAAAGCACGACAGGAAGAAGGGAGCGGCGCGATCTCTCGTTGCCATCCTGCGTGTGCTGACCAGCCTCTCCTTGCAGTTGTGTGAAGGCCTGAAGGTCGAGCTGATCTACCGCGTAAATGGCCACAGGCGGCTCATGGGCACACGCCGCTGCGAGAAGTGTAGTAACAGCAGTATCCAAGGTGTTATACGCACCCGATGGCGCCGTCTCCCGACCCCGCTTCTTTCTTAAGTCGCACAATGCTTGATGCAACTGCGAAAGGTGGCGGTAACCAAACACTTTTGTGAGAGCAGGGAGCCTCTCGGGGGTGAGGATCACGCGCACCTCGTGCAGGAGTGCGTAAAGGTAAAGACGAACGGTGGCGCCCCACATAAGCTGATCCTTCGCGCTGGCAGACGCCATGCTCTGTACAAAAGGGGTCTGACGTAGAACGTGCGAGGTGAGAAAAGAAATGGTGGCGTCTTCGGCAGCAGAGGACTCGATGCCACTTTGCGTAGAAGAACGCGGAGCCGCGTCCTTGGCTTGAGCAACATCAACGTTGTTGACGTCGCGCCTGCCGGAAGATTGCGCTTCCCGTAGTGCAAAGTCGTCCGAATCCGCCTCTTCGCACACACCGCCCCGATCTTCTGACGGCAACGCCGTGGCTCTCGGCCCGTCCCTCTCTCCCTGGCTCTGAAACGACGCGTGAAAACTGCGCTGGCTGGCCAGTTCCTCTGCGGCGGGCAACCAACACCCCTCCGGATCCACACGCAGAAGAAGCACGCGTCGCACAGCACGGTGAGCGGCACCATCTGCCGTCGTTGTCCGAACTCCGTGAAGAAAAAAGCGAGAGGTCCTCGTCGGCGACGTCGCGTCACCACCTGCCGGTCCGGCATGCTCGTCTGCAAAGGGGAGGATACAAATCGCACGAGGAAGAACACGTGAAAAGGCGATCGGCCCCGACACTGGTGGCAACAGCGCGGAAGACGTCGTGGGGCAGCAGGTAAAGGCGCGCTCGGGAGTTCGCAACAGGCGGCGCAGCGCAAAGCGCACGCACGACAGGGGTACAACTTTGGCGCGCGTAGCGTTTAGTGTTGCCGCCTCCCCTCCCATTGCTGTCGCACCACAGAGAAATTCCACCGCAAGTCGATGCAGAACCGCGAGTACGTCGCCTTCCACCTCCGTTGCGAGAATGTGCCACAGCACCGCACGCATCGTCTCAACGGATACCACAGGTTCTGAAGGCGACGGTTCGCCCAGCACGCTATTGGTATTACCATTATTTCCTGAGGTGGACGCTGAGCAAGAGGACGATGCAGTGAAGGAACCGCTATGGAGGATGCTACGGTAGTCACCGTAGGGTCGCAGGTCGCAGTCTACCGCTTGTTGTACCACGTAATCAAGCCAGTCCTCGCCTTCGTTCGTCGCTCCGCTCTTCGGCGGAGCCAGACGCAGATGCCATCCACCGCACTGGCTGAGACGACGAAGCACACGTAGAAGCAAGCGTTGCGCGTTGGGCAGCTGCGATGTGCACTCCACAGGCGAAGGTACGGCAACGGCGGAGCTTTCAAAAAAGAGAAAAGGCCGAGGAGCTGTACCTCGCAGATGGTGTAGTCGGCTGCTCGCTGAGCTGCTGCGGTCCGCTTCATCTTTCGGCATCCACCACTGCGCGCAATGCCGTAAAAGAACGGCAAAGAGATTCAGCTTACGCCCTACGCCGTCCACGGCTGCTGCCGCGCCAAGTTCGGACGTTGGGGAGAAGGAGGAGGTGGAGGAAGAGACTGGTCTGCCCTCGTCATCGCTGCGTGTAAGTTGCAGTAAAATCTGCATCAGGAGGGGGTAGAAATGTGGACCGCTGTTGAACAAAGGTGAGTTCGTGTTGACGGAGGTTGCATGCCCCGACAGTGCTTCCCTCCCTGGCGTCGCATCTTCGAAACAGCTCGATGCCGCACCGCTATCCTTCGCCCCATCCGTCAACAACTCGGGACTATCACGCGCTAGCAAGGACAGCAGTACGTGGCCGACATGTGGACGCACCAATACGGTACTCCTAGACGGCGCGGCGCTGGATGACGTGGAAAGCGGCCGCAATCGCAGAGACAGACCGAATGGCACCGCATCAACAAAGTTGTCATGCAGCCACCCGCTGAAGGACTCGAGCGAGTGCAGTTCGATGGGTGGCATCGAGAGCGTTCATTGGCGGCTGTGCGTGAATGCGCGTAGGGGAGTTGAGGTGTCGTTGTTACTGCGGTACTATTTGGTGAGGGTTTGTTAGAAGGCGCAATAATCTGCGGCGCTGGTGTTGGAGAGCGTCTCTGTGGTAACTTAAGAAGGAAACGAAAGGGAATGATTCCAGAACAATTTTATGAGCGTGTACAACGGCAGAAGGAGAAAAGGACGGAACTGAAAGGGTGTTTTAAATGAAGCGGCGTCCACGCAAGAGGGGAGGCAGAAAAGGAGCGCGCCCTGAAGATGATGACAACGCTAGCGAGATACCTAAAAAAAAAGGAGGCGCTCTCCGTCGTCCTTCCCCTTTTCTTATCATCATCTCCCTCCGCTTAGCGCAAACGGCTGCATCGATTTTCGTTCGTCAACGATCGGGCGGGGAAAAAGAAAACCGGTGCGAGACGTGGAGTGCAAAAGAAAAGAGGGGAAGAAAAAAAAATGAACCATGTCGCAGCTCCTGTTACTCCCGTATTCGAATCTCTGTGGCTGTTGTTGCCTTCGCGTTCTGTACATCGAGCACGAGCGCCCCGTTCACTTAATTCGCCGCCGTGGCATCGGTCTCGCTATCAACGATGGGAAAGGTGTCTAAAAGAGCTTCGACAAGAAACAAAAAAGAAAAGAGCGAGGAGTCAAGAGAACTCTCCTTCTTGAATCCAGCGCGCTTCATCTACGCAGCAAAGTGAGGCAAAAAGGCAGAAGAAGATAATGGATGTGGCGGGTAAACAGCCATAAGAAGAAGAAAAATTGCGAGCAGAACCGCCAACGCGCATCCACAGCCGATAGTGGCATCGTCTTTTAATGATATCCAAGTGCTTCTCTGTGCTGCCTCGTTACTTCCCGGCATTCTTTGCTGCACCGTTGGTGCTGCTGTTCTTGCGGTACTGCTCCAGCTCCTCATCTTTTTGCTTCCGCAATGCGTCGATGGCCGGCTCGCCAAAGCCGCCCTCGGCGGTGTCATACAAGCGGCGAATAAATGGGTCCTCCAGCACCCTATCTTCCTCGTTTAACTTGCGGGTAGGGAAGGCTTCATCGAATGGCGCCTTCCAGCGGTCCAGCTCCGCGTCTCCGGTGCTGCCACTGCCGCCGCCGTTGCCCAGTCGACTGATATTTGGGTCCCCAATGTCGACAAAGCTATCCCGGTCTACCGTCAGCAGCACACAGCCCCGCTCCGGGTCTGTCTGCAGGTACTTGTTGTCAAACGGTGCCTGGAAGAGGATGTGGTTCATCAGCGCACGCCACTTGACGCTCTCCGCCTCGTTCGTGAAGATGACGTGTGCACTGTAGAGGTGTGCGAGATAGCGCATGCTGCGGCAGAGCAGCTTCAGCTGCTGTGTGTCGCCGCGGAAGGCGTCGATTTTGTTGACGACGAGCACCGTCGGCAGCCCGCTGAGCCGCATCCGCTTGAGGTCAGGGTGGTCCGTCCCGACCGTCTTCTGCGCCCGCACGATGATCTTCTCGGGCGTGGTGGAGCCTCTAGCCTTCATGCGCTCCGCCACCTCACTCACGCGATGATCGATCCGCCTCAGCCAGTAGGTCGCCGTCTCCCACGCGACGGGCAGCCCGTCTTCGCTCGCGTCGACCACCACCGCGGCGACCATGGCGTGCACATTCTCTGGCGTGACCACAATGTCCAGCAGCTGGGAGAACTGCGTGCCCTGAGCGATTTCCCAGAAGTGCGCCACCTGCGCCACGTTGCGCTCCGAGCGCCGCGCGAAGCTGTAATCGAGCGCGGTCGTCGGTTTTACCTTCTTCGACCCGCCCCCGGCTGATGTGCTCTGGAAGGACGAGTAGATGCGATGCAGCAGCGTCGTCTTCCCACTTCCCGAGGCGCCGACGATGGCCAAGTTCGTCTCCGTCTGCTCCACGTTGGCGTCCTTCACGTTGCGGGTGATGTTCTGCCACAAGTCCTTGGTGGGGTCGATGACGATGTTGGCGTTAATCGCAGCGGCAGCGGCGGCCGCCTCGGACATCGCCGGAGCTGCGTCGTCGCCCTCACTCCATGCCGGGGTGGGATTGACCGGAGAACCCAGCTGCTGGGTTGGGGAGGCCCCGCCAGCGCCGCCCGGCGACGACGTCTTGCCGGTTGGTGAACCTGCAGGCATGATGTTTCGCTTCACCTTTTTACTGCTGCTGTTGCCGTTGATATTTCCCTCTGTGCCGTGGCTTCCAGTTTGTGTGTGTGTGTGTGTGTGTGTGGAGAGAGCAGGGAGCTTTGGAGTGCAACGCAAATGGATTTCCTTCAGATACCAAAAGAAATTTCCGTGGACGCTTTTTTACTTTTTACAAGCGCGCGTGTTCGCAGAGGAAGTGCGAGAAGGAGAGATTTGTGGAGAAGAAGAAGAGAGCTGGAACACCTCCGCCGAAAGGGGGCTGTCATCGGAGAGCAGAAAAGAAAAATGCTGCGCTTTTGGTTGAGCATGGATTATGTCCTTTACCTGTTCAAAGAATAGGGTGGAACGCCGACTTCACGCAGGAGAAGAAGTGAGACGCATCCGTGAAGGATACTCGTCGCGCTGCCAGACCACTCCGCAGCGTGGGGAACGAGATTCGTAGCCCGCAGCAGCCAGAAGCACGAAAGGACGGTGCAAATTCTTCTGCAGCAGAAGCGGAGAAATTGTAAGACAGAGAGAGAGCGAGCGAGAGAAAGCAACGGATGGTCATGCACGATCCCTGCTTTCTTCAACGCCACATCATGTCTCCTCCCCTGCATCCTGCCGAGAGTCTCGCCTCATGGTCACTGTGGTCGCTCCTCTGGCATTCATTACTGAGTTGGTTCGTGCTGTTTAAGTGGTACCATGGGTCGCATACCCCTCCATGTGCGTCGACACCAGTTTCCACGAATAAAAAAAGTAATAATATATTAAAAATGAAAGTAAAAAACGGGAGCACACAAGCACATGTGCTATTCATACAAACAAGCATCAAGAGTTAATAATAAATAGATAAAACAAGAAAGGGAAAGATCGAATTGCTTTCATGAAAGTCCGAACACAACGAAGAAGAAGGAGCGAAGGGGAAAAATAAATGCACGAATTTGCCATCTTCCTATGCGTTTTGTAAGAGAAAGAAATAATAAAAGACGGCAAAGGCCTGCAGTAGGAAATGAGGTACGCGCGGTGTGGTGCCGAAATGAAGAAGTTTAGTGCTGGAGGAAGGCTATTGTCCGGAGGGAATATAAAAAGAAAGAAGAGTACCGCACGAAAACAGACAGTTTTGTTCCCGGCAATGAAAAGGGAAATGCTTCTTGAATCCTTTTAACCTTGCTTCTTTCTCTCCTGTACCTTTCTTAATCCCTCAAGTTGTTGTTGTTGTTGTTGCATCTGTTCAACTGCTTCCCCTTCTCGTGTGTCCCCTGGTCCGTCTTCTTTTGTGGGTTCTCCTCCTCGCAGGGAGAAGAACCGGGGAGATAAACGAAAAACAAAACAAAGAGGAGGCCTCAGTGTCAGCGAGAGAGAGCTAAATCGTCTTGTGCGCTTCCTTATTATTATATTTTTGAATGCCGGTGTGAGTGTGTATGCGAGCAGTTTTTCTCCTTCTGTCAGACCATTTTAAACGGGCTAGAGAGGCAGAAGCCATCTTTTAACTTCCCCCTCAACAACCACAGTTCGAAACTTCAAGTCTGTCATTGAATAGAAAAACAAAGAACGCGCACACAAGCACACGGAGACCCACGGAAACACAGGGTGGAAGCGCGTCTCTGCCGCCTTATGAGACTAGCCGATACGAAGAGAATACAAGGAAACAAAGAGCCAAGCACGCTTGACGGCAGCGCTGTAGACGAAAAAGCGACCAGCAAAGGCAGGAACACAAACCTTTTTGACGAGGAGGAAGGACGGAAGCATTAAGACAAAGATGTAAAACAAAAACAAAGACCTTGAGATTGGCAAGCACACAAATACACACCTACACACACCCACAGGCGCATATACGTGCGAAAGAAAAAAAAAGAAGAAGGTAGTGGAAATCTAAATAAAAGTGGAAAAGATGCTTGGGCTCTTCTTTCGATGAAAGCATTGTTCAAAAGTAGTAACTAATATGAAAGAAAAGCGCAGCAATAACACCAGAAAAAGAAAAAAGAACATAAGGAAAGTGCACCGTACTCCCTTTCATTGCCGTCGAGGTTTCGAAAATATTCTCAGAGGAAAAGGGGAAAAAAGATGCAATGTCTTCGTTGTGATATCTTCAAGGGGCACGGAATTTTTTTTCCTTTTCTTTTTTGATGTTGCTGTTGTGGTTACACATGAAACGGACGCGTGTATCCGAGAACTCAAGCAATCTTTTACGTTTTTATTTATTTTGTTGTTGGTCTTGTTTTCTTTTTTACTATAAGACTGTCCTTGGAGAGTCCTGTTTACAGATCATACGTAGCTCAAGTTAAAGAAGGGTGAAGAGAATCAGACGGAATAGGAAAACTGAAGAAGAAAAGGAAAGCAATTTGATTAATACATACTAGTAGAGAGCATCACTCACGAACACAGCACGCACACACATATACATACACGTCAAAGTATGCAGTTTCTTGTTGTTGTGCGTGCTGTGTAACTCTCTTGGCAGCATAGCCGTCGACCATCAAAAAAGCAGCGGAAAAAAGAGCAAAGAAAACAAAAAAAAAGAGCGAAGGCGTAAACGAAAAGGCGGAATAAAAAGTGAGGTTATCTTCTCTTTTAGAATTCATCATACAACAGTGTCTGCAGGTTAGCGGGCATTAATGCCACGCGCACACAGAATCAGAAAAATTAAGATCAACATCTCTCTCTCTCTCTCTTATACAGAACAAATCTTGCTCGGGATCATTTTGCTGTCGTTATCATCTCCGTTTTGTTTCTTCTTTACCGTAGAAAAGCTGTACGTCACCGTGTCTCTGCCTCTATGTGGACCCTGCGCATCCGAGACGGCGAGGCAGAAACCAGAAAACGACACATTTAAAAAGAGTGAGTTAACGGAGTTCAACGACACAACAACAAAAAAGCTAGAAAAAGCTGCATAAGAATGAAATGTGAAAGGAAAAACAAAAGTTGGCGCTTAATTATTGAGAAAGAGAAAGTGAAATGAAAGAAAAGGTGGTCAACAAATTGAAGTAAACAGAAGGCAAAAAAAGAAAGGGAAGAGTAACGAGACACAAAAAAACCGGCCACAGGGAAACGCGTACGCCCCTCCAAAAAAAAAAAAATAGATGTGGGGTGTGACTGTGAGTGCCTCCGCTCCACACGCACACTCATTCGAGCACACACGGGCACGCAGAAAAAAGAAGAAGAGAAAATATAGAAGAATGAAAAATCAAAGAGTTCGCATTGTCACCGGGGAATTTGAGTACCTACATCCATTTCAATGACTTCGAAAAAAGGTAAAGAGATGCAGTAGAGGCAGACCAGACACCTTGCTTTCCATTCTTTCTGAAATAGATTATTTGTAACTGCCCCAGCCAAGGTTGGCAACAGAGATGGACAATGATAATAAAACGAACAGTGTTTGTTGTAAAGCAAAACCACAAAACGTGAAGCAAACAAAAGGAAAAGTCCGCTACTCACCAAATCCATCGATTCATGAAAACCTCCACAACGGTGATGCAGGAAATGAAAACAATCAACTTCCACCTAGACATAAAAGGTGGCACTTCTTTTTCTCTTCTTCTTCTTCTTGACTCCGTCGCTACAATACACATCTCTTCAGCAAATAAAACTACCTCAACCACAACGTACTGAAGCGTTATCTTTTTTCTTTCAATTTTTCGGCTCTGGTCAGTTTGGAAATTCCTTCTTTTCTCCTCCCTTCTGAGCGTTACTCTACGGTCGACTTGGAAGCCACTCTTCAACGTTTGATTGTGTTCGCCAACTGAAACAGTTGAGAGAGAAACTGCGACGCAAACTGACATACTTGAGCAGCACAAAGAAAGCAGCGGGAAAGGAGGGGTAGAGCTATGGAACCAACTTCATCCTCTGATAGCAGAACGCAATAAAAATACTTTTTTTTAAGAAGAAAGAGGTGTAACACCACAACATCCACAGAAGAAAGAAAAAAAAAACACGAAGTGGAAATGAGGGAAGCTACCGCAATAAAGACACGGTGTGTAATGTTGACTACGGTCTCCTTCCTCCTCTTTGGGAGGGGGGGGGAGCAGTATGAAAACTCTAACGGAGAATAAAAAGTGCGTGTCAACTCGAAAGAAGCAAGCAACACGCCAGTCGCTGAGAAGGAAGGTAGACACGGAAAAGGAAAATAACGCAAAACATCCCTTTGTACGGCTTTCTGATTGTAAAGCGGTGCGTGCAAGTTACGTTCTCACAAGTAAAAAGAGCAGCTGCGCCAGAAAACGGCAACGTGGTAGAGTGAAACTATTTCTTTTTCATTTGAGTACCAGCCCTTTTCTTCCTCTAGCAACCATCTTGGCCTTTCTATGGCCCCAGTCAGTGTTAGGTGTGTCACAGAGCTGTGGATTCGAATCGTACTTCATGCTATCTCGTTAAAGTAAACAGAATGGACCAGAAAAAAGAAAAGGAAAGAAAGGTGCCGCGTCTTTGCGAAATCAAGAGAAACCATTTCCGTGTAGCTTCGTCGTACCCATTGGAACACAGCGGAAAAAAACTCAAAGGAGGGAACACAAAAGCAGCACATACATATGCGTACCTTCACACACGTATATATATATATATATATATAGAGAGAGAGAGAGAGAGAGAGAGAGATAATATCATATCGCAACAAAGGATAATTGTAGTTGTGAGGCGGCAAAAACAGAAAAAAAAGTACAGCTGAGAGGAGGAAGGCAAAAACAGAAAAAAAGCAGGCGCAAGTGGGAGGACGAACACGAGATACGAGGACAGCTGCGTAGACGCACAAAGCACGTATTTTTTCTTTGAAACAAAATTGAAGTCAGCTGGCGCGTTCCCAATGCCTCATCCAACAACCAAAAAAAAAATAGCAAAGAGCTTTTAAAAAAGGGAAAGAAAGAAACATATACGACTTTTTCTTTTTTATTGCTTTTCTATGAGACAGAAAAAGACCGAATTTCGTTGCTGGTGTGATCATTCAACTTTCTCACCAGGCAGGTTTTCCTTGCCTCACAAAAGGATGCTCTTCTTTTTTCTTCTTGATAGTCTTTTCAACTTGCAGTTTGTTCTCGAACATCGCACTCAACACGGACACACCTCGCAGAGGCCACACCCAGCTTGCCCCTTTTCTCGCCTTCCCAGAACAGGCAGATGTGTTGGGAAAACAAGAGATGACTTATGAAAAGGAAGGGACATTTCGGCTGTGAGAGAAAAGGTTGCGTTGTTTTGTTGTTACTAAGACTCACCAGCTGAGAGGCACGGTAGCTAATTTCTTTTGTTTTCTTTTTTTTTACGTCATGCACGGTCTGTCTGTGTGTGTGTGTGTGTGCGGAACAGCCAGGCTTCGTCTTCGTTGGTGGAGCCGTCGCTTAACACAATCATTTACGCTGTGCACAGAGGGTTGTTCGTTCGGGCTTTTTCAATTACGAACAAAATCACTAAGAAAACAAAAAGAGTGTGTCGAGAGCAGCGGTGGGGGGATAGCGAGATCGGGAACAGATAGGGGCACTCCACGTAGATGCGCGTGTGAATGAAAAAAAAAGAGAAAGAAAGAAAGCAAAGGACACAATCAGAAACACATAACCACCAGAGCAAAGGAAGGAAAATAATGAGCGAGCTCGAAACCAAACAGAAATCGAAGGAGACCCAACAAAAAACAAAGAAGAGAGCAAAAGAAAACACCGGTACTCCGGCTGGGAAACCTGGATGCTGCGAAAAAAAGGGAAGAGGGAGTGGCGCAAACTCATCCTCTCTGAGCACTACTGAGCCAGAGAAAGAAGAGCCGTCAAGAGACACAAACGTCAGGAACAGGCTTGTCCGCCACCTTCTACGCCCATGCTAACCATCCGTCAGCGTTGCGCACGTCGTCGCGGCGGTTGAGGGGCTCGTCGAGCTCTCCCGCGGGTGGAAGTTCAGCAGCGAGAAGCCGGCCTCTGCAAACTTCACAGTGTCGGCGTACTCGCACAAGTTCTCCTCCTCCTCCGTGAAGGAGCCCCAGCTGTCTTCGGCGGTGTCCAGTGTAAGCGGCTGAAGGCGGCCGCCCGTCGTGGCAGACGTGAACGGGCCCGCGTTGCGCACGACATGGGAGCTGGAGAGATGCGGCGAGGAGAGGGAATTCGCCAGCGTCGTACGGGACAGGGCTTCTTGCCGGTTCAGCGCGTGCAGGGCGTAGCTCGGATCCACCGGCATCACGTACGGCACGCTCGTCTCGCTGTTCGCGATGACGGTGGAGGGCACCACCGCCGGGGCCGTCATGAAGAGGTCCAGCATGGAGAGTCGCGGCGGCTGCATGTCTTTCCAGGTCGGCGTGTGGCTGCCCAAGGGGGGCAGGGGGGACGAGAGGTGGGCAGCGCTGGAGGCCCGCCACGTCGGCGTGCACGTCTCGCTCGGGACCGTACAGCAGGAGAGCGAAGGGGAGAGCTCACCGATGGAGTCGGGCGCGGAGCTTGGCGCCAGGGAGTAGACGGATGCGTCGGGCGACAGCAGCTGCCACGGGTGCATGAACTCGCCGCCCCTCCCCGCCAGCCGCGGGGTCTCCTCCACATGGAGAACCGGTGTGGGCTCCTCGCTTTCTTCTGCGTAGAGGGTGGGTAGCACGAAGAGACGACCTTGGGTTTCTAGGGTGGCCAGCAGCTGTGCCTCGCGATCGTGCCGCTGTCGTCGCTGCTCCTCCACTTGGGCCATGTTCAGTTCCCGAATAATGTGTGCCGGGTCGCTGCTGAAGAGGAAGAGCGCGTTGAGGGCGTAGCCGATGGAACGCAGGTGGCTCTCGCTCGTCGCCGGGCTCTCCTTCTGTGTCTCCGCGAGCAGCTCCTCCACGCGCATCTCCAGCGCCTTCCAGTGCCCCGTGATGATCTGGATGTAGCGGGCCTTGCGTTGGGCTGTCGAGGTGGCGGAGGCCAGCAAGCAGGAGGCCCGCATCGACGAGCGCGTGCGGCTCTCGGACAGCGGCGCGTCCATCCGCACAAACGACACCGCCGGCTGCGAGTGCAGCGCCTGCAGTTCACGGCAGCGCGCCTCCCGCACAAAGGAGCGCAGGGCGTAGCGCATCTGATCCGGCGACGACGACGTGGAGTGCCGCATTGCCTGTTGCCAGGCGTAGCACTGACTCGCGTGGTGGGCCTCGTTGTCGCGATGCTGCCGCTCGCACCACTGCGGGCAGTGGGGGTCGCGTTCCGGCTGCTGTAGCGGTGGGGACGTGGTGCGGGGCAGCGGAACTATCGTCGCCTCGCATGGCGTGTCGGGACGCGCGGTGCGCCACCCCGTTACCGAAGATGGTGCGACGGCTGCGGCGAGGGCGGCGGTGGTGGCGGGACTGTAGGGACCGGTGCTGAAGGTGTACCGACTGCAGTCCTCCATCTCTGACTCGTAGTCGTACGGAATGCAGCCCTCTGCCTCTGCCTCTGACGCCTCATCGTTGATGATGTTGCTGCTGCTGCTCGCTGCGTTGCAGTACGTGGCGGTGTTTCTGCCACAGCAGTTCTCCGCCGCGTACTTCTCCACGTCCTCCTCGGTCACGGCGTTGTCCCACACGTCGAGATTCGTGTCGAGACTCACGGAGGACTGGCTCTGCGGGATGAGCCGGCGCTGCGCCGTCGCTGCGTTGCCGCCTCTCAAAGACGTCTGCCACGCGTTGGCTGGGGCAGGGTTTATCGTGGCCTCTGAGCCACTACATGAGTACGCGTCCACTACACCCTCGATCGTCATCATGATGATGATGCGAAAAAAAGCAAATGGGTGTTCCTTCGTAGGAGAATGATAAACCGATTGTCCAGCTACGCAGGTGAGTATCCGAGTCTATCTCACCAGCCACGTACAAACTTCGCGGGCGAAAGAAAAACAAGCAAATAATGTTCGCGTTTGTTCTTGTCGCCTGAGTTTGATTGTTATCGTGTTTTCTTCTCGATCGACGCACGTACAGCGAAAGAAAAAAAGTGACGGAGATGTCGTTGTCAAGTGTGAAAGCACCAGAAAAAAAGAATTGTAAAGACAGAAAATAAACCAATAACTGTAACACAGAAAAAGTCTGTCACGAGTGTCGGGCGAAGAGTCAGAAGTCACGAGATTGTGGGGCACTCAAAAAATTCCGAGGAAACACTGTCTGTCTGTGTGTGTGTGTGTGTGTGCTTACTTCGGTTGCGCTCTGCCTTGCTGTGCACTGTAATCCTTTGCTTTCCTTTCAAGTTGCAAACTTGCGCTTCAGTTTCTCTTCTCGATCGAGTGAGCAAAGCACAAAGACATGCAAGTTTCAAAGATAGAGCACGAGGAAAAAACCGTAGGCAGACTAAAAAAAAAGTGTAGAAACCAAAATCAACACGTTTTTTTTTTTTTTAAGCCAGAGGACAAACAGAGAATAAATAAAAAATATGTCAAAACAAAAGAGACAAAAAGTTCGAGATAAACTCGATGGGGCAAACTGGTGTGTGAGGAAAGATACCAAGAAACAAAAAAAACCGCTTACAAGAAGAAAAGCAAAAAAAGATATGAAAAGAAGTACAGGTGTGTGGCTTCTCCGTACCAGAAGCCCTTGTGAAGACAAGCAAGAAAAAAAAAACACAGCAAGAAAAAAAGAGGGAAAAGAAAACAAACAAGCTGCGACACAGCTATATATTTGTCAACAGAGTATATAAAAACGGTGTTTTAAGTGCTTTACAAAACGGTTTGTGTCACACGAAGAAAAATGGAAACGCACTTTGACTGATTCCACTCTTTTCTTTCTCTCTTCATCCAACAATCCTAATTAACAACTTTACGAGCGTCTTTTACCCTAACAGTGTCTAGCGTTGAAGAAGGAACAAAAATGAGCGTGTTTGTCAAACGGGGTCTTCTTTTTCTATTGCTTCTTTTTCTTTTTTGCAGCACAGCGGTGGAGAAAACGAAACGCCTACTGTTGAGAAAACTCCTTACCTTCTTGATTTCCGTTTTGGTTATCGTTCCTTTTGTTTCTGTTTTGTTTTTCTTTTGTTATCTTTCGGGTAAGACAGGAAAATCGAAAATGAGAGGAAGAAGCTTTGGGAAATGCCTACAACATCAATTCGAATTGAATTCAAAAGAAAAAAAAAAGAAACACCAAACTCAAGAGAGAACGAATGAGTGAATGAAAGCGCTCAGATCGCACAACACACCTAAAACAAATAAGCTTTTTTTATTCCCTTCAAACTCTTGTCCGACCCCTTTCGGATTTCTTATGCTTACCAAAACCAGAATAATAAAAAACAAGAGAGAAAGACTGTAAAAACAGAATTGACGCGTTTTACGATTCGTGTTTGTCTTGTCTTTCTTCCTTCTTTGTGGACTCCTGCTGTTGATGCTGTTTTGGATCCTGCTTTGGCTTTTTCTTCCCCTCTCTCGCGCGCTCGCGTGATTCTCTGCCAGCTGATACCAATGGTTGTTTGCCCAGGCAATAAGGAGAGCGGACAGCTGCCACTGCTTACTGCACAGACGCCCAATCACCTTTAGCCAGACGGCAAAGTCGGATTCCTATATATTAATATATATAGTTTGCTTATCTAGCCACCCACGTCGTCACAGAGTACTCAAGCAGGGGAGCGGCTACTCGAAAACTTGACAGATGAACCGGGTGTAGTGACTTTAAAAGAAGGAAAAAAGTGGGTAGGTAGATCAAAATACATATATGTATACGGCTCGTGAAAGAGAGAAACTTTGATTCCGTGTGTGGACGACGGCGCGAAAGCCACGAACTTGTAAATCAAAAAGAAAGAGCGTCCTTGGCACAGGAAAGCGCGGTGATTTCAGTTCCACTGAGAAGTAGTAAGAAAAGAAAACAGGAAAATAAAAAATCTGCGCAGACGCAGACACGACTTCACGAAACCTCAACTAGTGCTAGGAGTTGAAATGCTTTTTTTTTTTTAAGGCTAACAAGATTTTTAGAAAAGAATTAGAAGACGACGAAATCACTAGGGAAATAAAAAGGATAACAAGAGGAGCAATCAATACCACTCAGTTAAACTGGGGGGAAAAAAGCTGGGCTTGTGAAGGTTTCTCAATAGACCACAGCGAGAAAATATCCAGCTAAAAGCAAAAAAAAAGGATTCTTGTACCGAAGTGAATCTTGACGAGTGCCCAAGAGCAGAAAAGTTGTGGGAAAGTGTAGAAGACACCCGCCGACTATCAGCGTGGGAGTTCAGCTCCACAGTTCCTATTTCCTGTTCTTTGAAGCCAACTACTTAGTCAACTCCTCACTTCCGATCTGCAAATGGTAAGAAACGGTGTAAATAGATGCTGTACTTGATATTTTGCGAAGATAGCAGTGAAACACTCCTTTCTCTTCGCACCTCCTCAATCCGTTCCTTCTGAACTCTTCTTCCTTTTCCCTTTACTACAGACTTTTTCGACTTCGCGCTGAGCTGTGAGAGGTTCTTATTGAAGTACTCTCGTGAAAAGGAAAAAAACTTCTCTGTTCTGCTTACGAGCCGCCGCAAAACCCGGGATTCGCTGTGATGATGGTTTCTCTTTTTCAGTTTTTCTTTCTTTTATATCGCGCACGTGCAAGCTCACTTTACTGAGGAGCTCGTCGTCTTCCGTGACCAAAAAAAAAGTACGTATATGTGTATATATATAAAGCAGGTGCAAGCGCGAAAAGAGAAGAGGCGCCGACAGGAAAAACCTTTGTGAAGAGCGAAGAGAGGAGTCTTCCTTTTCTGTTTTGATCGTTTACATAAAAAGAAAAAGTTGGAGTTCAGCACGAAACATAAAAGAAACTAATTCAAGCAAAAAGCAGGCCAGTGGTGGAGGAGGCAAGAAAACGAGGAAAGGTGAGAGGAGGGAGGTACTTTAAAATGGGAGTGATTTGTCTTTAGGAAGCAAATAAAATACAAAATATTTTTAGAAGCCGAAAAAGAGAAAAGCACGCACTAGCAAAGCTCACGAGTCGTGTTGAGAGAACACAGAAAAAAAGGAGAAAAAGGCAAATCCGAAGAGGTCAAAAACAAAAAATCGAGACTGAGACGAAGGAGAGAAGGGGAGCAAAGAAAAAAAACAACACAAAACCAGACAGAAAAAAAACCTTTTGTGGAGATGAGCGCGAGTACCAGGCGTATAGAAAAATAAGTACAACTATACTTATACTGCTATACGAAAGATGGACTGATACAGTTGCCTTCTCTGCCTTTCGGGTCTTTTGTTTGTGTGTGTGTGTGTGGTTCTTTGAAGTTCTTTCTCTGCTTTTCCTGATTTAGGTTCCTTTCCTTTCGAAGCAGTGAAAAGAAAGCAATTGGAAGAGAAAAGAAGTAGTTGATCAACTTTTTAAGTGCTTTAAGGTTGGTGAAGTCAGCGGTGGAGAAGGATGTGGGGACGACGCGCAATCGTGACGAGAGAGCGATGTGTGTGTGTGTGTGTATGTGAAGGGAAGTAAAGGGGGGAAGCGGGAGAAGAGAAAAATGGCAATGAGACTCAAGAAAAGCGGAAAAGAAAGGAAGAGAAAAATATCATCAAAAAAAAAGAACGTAAAGTGAAACAAATTCTTCTTTTTCCCATTGACTTCAACTGTAGATCGTTTGCTCAGTGTACACTATTTTTTCCCCCGAAGAGCCAGAAGGACGTGGCACACCGACACCCATTCGAATGCCTGGGTGTGTGAATAAGCTAAACGACGAAGCTACCATGTCGGGGGTGAGGGTGGGAAGAGAAAAAAACAAAAGGTGTTGAACACCACATCGAAAAATGGTCCCTTTCGCCGGCCTTCGACACAGTCCTTCGCGCAAGAGAGCAGCCATCAAGTAATTAAGTAAGCTGTACACTCGCACCCGAATCTGTCCTCCAGCCCGACTTCCCTCCCTCGTCGTTGCTATTCTCACGTGAGTGATTTTACACTCCTCTGAGCCTTCATTCTTCTGGTGTTGCACGTCTGTCGTTCGCATCCGCCACATTTTTATTTTCCTTTTCGCTCGCTATATATATATATATATATATATACTTTTTCTTTTCTTCGTATCTCTCACTTTTCAGCTTCTTTTGTTACTCGGCAACAACCAGAACACGAAAACAAAACACGAAATTTAACTACACAGAACATCAAGAAAGTGGCTGCAAAAGCAAGGGTGCAACGTGGTAAAGTAAAAAAGGGGGTGGGGAGATTTCCCTTTCGCTAACTGTACAAATCTGGAAAAGACCGCCACACAAGATATGAATGAATAAAAGATCATGTGGACGTATCTACATGGCTGCCCCTGTTGTTGATGTTTTCCGGGGAGAGGGAGAAGGAACACCGTGGCGCTGCCAGCAACGTTTACGTACATGCAACTATGAATTTCTTGCCTGCGCGAGTACAAGGGAAAAAAAAAAGAGGCAAGACCGCCGATGCGAAGTAAAGAGCACCGTTGGTGCCTGCGTGTGTGCGCGTGTTGCGGCTGTCGTTTTTCTGTTTTGCCCACTTTGAACCATTCAGGGTCTTGTATTGCTGTAGTCGCTGTTGTCTATTCGGGCCTTCTCAGAGGTTCATTTTGCCCTCCCGTTGTAGCACCTCGTCCTCCTCGGCGTCCATGCGGGCTAGCACGATCGTCTCCACCAATTTGTCAAACGCCGCCTTGAAGTTGTCGCTGTGGTAGTCGAGGGAGGTTTCTAACACCTTAATCTTTTCTAAACCCTTCGGCATCGCGGGCAGCCCCGTGCCGGCCGCATTCGCCGGTGGGCTCGAGTGGTGTGCAAAGACGAGGCACTGCTTGTCCGGTACGCGAATGGCAAAGTTGCCTGCCGCGTCCAGCTCCGACTGGTTCACGGCGAAGGTCTTGTGCCACAGGGACAGCTCCTTCTCGCCGTTCTTCACCTCTGGGTTAAACACGAAGATGATGCCGTCTGCCTTGTTCGCCACCGCGGGCCACCCGGCCTGGTGCTTGCTGCTGCCGCCGAGGTCCCAAATCTGCACCACCACACGCTTCGTCTTGGCGTCGCCGCCGGCGAAGACGACGCGGCGGTCGCTGAGGCTTGTCGTGTCCAGCTCGATCTCCGTCTCAACGATGCGCAACGGATTCGTCTCGTAGTACTTGCTCGTTGGCGTCTCGCGAGTCCCGCAGAGGAAATTCGTCACGGTCGTCTTCCCGCTCTTCGATGGACCCACCACGAGCACCTTCACCGTCTCTTTGGACATCTCTCTTCCTCTCTCTTTGCGTGTGTGTGTGTGTGTGCTGATGCACACGCGCGCTTGCTTGCTCAGATGAGGTCAGTTAATAGGGGGAATAGTACAGGTGTTCCACGAAGCACAATACAAAATGTAAAAGATTTGTATGGGTGGGTGTGCGTTGCTAGCGCCAGTGGATAGTAACAAACAACAAGACGACGACGAGCAGGCACGAGTTGAGGGGAGGCGAGAAAACCCATTTTGGCAACTTCAGCTGCAGCAACAAGAGAACAAGTGCACACAGAAGCAGCTCCATCATCTCGCACGCATACAACACAGCGCTGTCTGTCTTTGGAAGGCGTTTGGGTCGGAAAATGCTTTTCCTCCTGCTGCTCTCCAAAGAAACAAAAAAAAGAAGAGCGGAACACCTCAGCGAATAAAAGTCCACGCTGGGCCGCAAAGCAATGCGCGCGATTCGGTCGTTCCTTCTCTCCGCTGAGGAATGCATTTTTGTGTGGTGTGTGTGTGTCTTGTATGCAGAGGTTTCAAAAACAAAAAATAAACCATTAATAGGGTGTTTGTTTACATCGTAATTCGGAGCCCTGAAGACCCCACACTCACCGTAGATGAGAAAAGTATCAAAGAAAAAAGGAACAGCCTTCTCCCCTGCGCGTGCCATAGAACGGCGACATCGTGGTTTCTCACGGTGCCACCTCAGCGGACAGCGGTGGCCTTCTTAGCACCTTTCCTGTCGCCTTTGGCGTTCGCCCGCTTCAGCGCGATGCCGGTCAAAGTGGCCGCGTTGCCGCTGCGGACAAGCTCCAGCGCCTCTGCGGACCAACTCCCCGTATAGTCCAGCGGGTGCACCACGGCACTGTCACGACTCACCAACTCGCTGCCCCACGGACGAGTGCGACACGGGTCCAGGTGCTGAAGCAACTCCACGTACTCCGCAAAATGCGATGGCCCACCGAGAGAGGCAAAAGAAGAGACCGAGCTAGACAGTGAGCCCGGAGGGAGGCGGCTGTACTGCGCCCACTGGACCTCCCACTGCTGTAAAATTTTTGCCTGCGTGGGGGTCCACCCCTCCCCTTCAACCGTTGATAACGGATTGGAAGAACGAACTCCCTTCGGCGAGTCCTTCCCCGCACTGGTAGCGTTGCTGGGGAGAGACGTGGATGCGATCGAGGTGCCTACCGTGGTCGCCGTCCTCACCGTGGAGGTGGGAGACGCTGTTGGAGAAGCGGATGCTGCGGCTCCTGCTGTGGCCGCCGCCGTCTCTGAACTGACGAAGGTGCCGCGACGCACAATGACATTCCTTCGGAGATAGGGCATCACCTCGCCGACTGGCACCCGCGCCACCGACGACACTTGGTCCGCCTCCGTCAGCTCCACGGTGCCCTCCTGCGCATTTTCAGCTGGTGCCTTCCCGGGGTCTGCGATGGTGCGACGCAGGCACGGCCACCGATGAATCGCACTGCGCAGCCCCGCTCCCCACTGCTGCCCTTCTCGGCGTGGGATGCCAAAGAAGGCGCTGGAGGTGATCTCGTGCGCCGTCACCGATGCCGTTCCACCGCAGCCGAGGGCATCGTCTGCCGCAGCGGAGGTGCTGGCGTGCTCCGTCGGTGCCGGTCCGCTCTGCAGCTGGCCCAGTGAAAAATCGTACACGCTATCCTCCACCATCTGCATCGAGGCGAGCACGTCGTCGCAGATGGCGGAATAGAAAATGCTGGCGAATTTTGTGCCGGTCGCGACGGAGGTGTCTGCGGAGGTGGCGGCGACGGTCGGACCGGGCAGCATGCGGCCGGGCAGCAGCACCTCGTAGAAGAGCGTCGCCGGGCTCTCAGCGCCCACCGTGCAGTCCGACACCGCCGCTGCGATGAGCTCTTCGAGTTTGCTCGCGGGGTATCCGGGGTACATGACAAGTAAGATGCGTACGAGCTGCACCGTGGGAATCCATCCGTTGACGCTCTCTGCATCTTTCGTCTTCTGTGCCGCCTTCTCCGCTGCCGCCGCCACGGAAGACGATGATGCAGGTTTACCCTCCACCGGTGAAGCTGTTTTGTGCACGTCACGTGCGTGAGCCGTCATCGCCGCATCGACCGCACGACACAAGTGGAGCAGCGTCTCTCGCTCCGCGCGCAGCACATAAAACAGCGCCTCGCACAAAGTCCCGCGAGACACGAGTCCGTACGCGTAGGTGAGAGGGCCAGCGCTGACTTGCCGCGAGGTGACATCCAACGTGTAGGTGAGCTGCAAACCTTCGAAGGGGAGGTTCGCCAAGTCGGTGGAAGGCCGCACCAGGTGCAGCACGTGCCGCAGCTCCCACAGAGACGTGTGCACAACGGGACCCTTGGTGATGTGCATCTGGTCCTTCCCTCCTCCCGTTCGCTTGTCGCGGCTTAGCAGGGCGCCCTGTGCGACGAGTCGGGAAACTCGCCTCTCGCGCGCCTCCTCGCGGATCTGCGCTTCCTCTTCCAACCGCGTCCTCTCCGCGGCCGGCAACAGCGGCAGGTACCGATCGGCGCGGTTGAGCCACACGACCAGTATGAACAGCTCAATAAAATCAGAGAAAGGCACAGAGCTGTTGGGGTTGGCGAGGGTGGAAAACTTATGCAGGTCCAACTCTCGCGGTGACGTCACACGACTCCTCTTTTTCAACTTTACGTCGCCACTTTTTTCCACTGCCGTCGCGGACGCGAGCGAATTCGCGTGCTCCAGCTGCGCCTGCGTAAAGGCGAGCAGTTTCTGCCGCTGCGTGAGCAGCTCGTGCACAAAGGCCTCAGCGAGAACGGGGTGCAAAAAGAGAAGCGGCACGGTGGTCGCGCTGCGGAGGTGGCGAGGGACAGAGGGCCGCAGACCGTAGGGTGGTGCCCAGTTGTGCGAGCACGGTGCAGACAACCAACCTTCACTCGTGTTGGCAGCTGCCGCATCGGCAGTGCCAGCAGTCGCAGCGACGCCACCTCCCTCGTGCAGTTTTGCGCTGAGTTGCGTTTGAAGCTCGAGAAGTCGGAGAAGAGCGACTTTGACTTTGCAACGGGTGTCGACGTCATCAACTTGGAGTACCTCCTGTAGCTGGCTCCGCAGTTCCAGCTCCGGCACGGCACGCAGCGCTTCATCGATTTTGTCCATTTCGTCGAGCTGGGGGGTGGGTGAGGCGGTGTTGTTCGTGCAGTCCGCGTCGACGGAGCTACTAGAAGGCTTCACAGCCACGGTGTGCCAGCGACTGTTTTGTGTGAGATTGCTATGCTGGTCGTCAAACCGCTTCCATTTGGGGTCCGCGGAGGTCTTGTCGATCACCTCCAGCTGCTCTAGCAACTCATCAGCGTGATAGCCAGGCTGCACCTGTAAAGTGATCAAGACGATGCCCCGTGCCACATACAGCGCGTGCTGCAAATTTGCGGATCGCTGCTGCTCCTTCAAGTAGTCCCGCTGGTAGAGCTGCACATCAGCGGAAAGGGCGATGTTGTTTTCGTGAATAATGCTGAGACGGGCAGAGAGCTCTATGCACTGTCGGGCGTACTTACCGTTCAGCCTCAACAGAGACTGCACTTTGTTCTCCAGTCCATCGTGCTGAGCGCGCAGCTCACGTAGCTGATCCTCCGTCCTCTCCAGCGTGAGTTCGCGGCCGGCGCGTTGGATCAGGCGCTGCACGTAGGCGGCGTCGCGGCGCTCTGCTGGGTGTCGTCCTTTCACGGTCATGTCCATATCTACCGCACCGCCTTTGCGCTCCGTCGCTGTGGCGGACGCCGCAACAGCGACAAACGGAGAGGCGTTTGGTCCAGCCGCGTTGCCGTCTCGCGCGTCATCACTTCGCATGGGAAATGCTGCACCCGAAGTTGCAGTAGCACCCGTGTTGGCGGCTGCTTCTCCTGCCCAGGAACTCTGCACAGCACCCACTCCGCCCCCCACCAGCTCCTGCCGCAGACGGTGGTCGAGCAGTGTTTGGGTCAGCTCCATCTGATGCTGCAACAGGTCCTCCAAGTGGTACTGCTGCTTTTTCAGAGCCTCGATCTGGGACTTGAAGTGGTCGCGCTGCACGGAGGCTTCCTCAACGAGGGCGGCCATGCGCGACTCCGTCAGACGCACCTTTTCATAGGCGGCCACAACGGCGTTTTGCTCCTCGGGGGTTCCGCCCAACTCACTCGCCTTTGACGACGAGCCGATGGTGGTGCCCGCTGCTCCCTGCCCGCCCTCCCCTTGCTGCCATAGCACGCGCTCCATCGCACAATGCGCCACGTCGTCCCGCAGCTCGTCGATGTGGTCGAAAAGAAAGCGGAACATCTTCACGAGGGCTGGTCGGAAGGCGCCGGCGTTGGAGGTGAAGAGCGCCAGCGCCGCTCGGGCGAGCTCGAGCTTTGTCGTCGCCGCCCGCGCGTGCGCCAAGGCATCTTTCGGGGGAGTGCTGCCCCAGTTGTTGAGAGTGGCGCCCTTTGGCGCGGTGCTGAGAGAGGCCCGTTCAGAGTCTTGATAGAGCGAGTCCCACGGTGCGAGAACCTGCTGCAACTGCCTCACCAACACATCCGACATGACGATGCAGATTTATATTTAAAAAAAAAGACTAGGGGAAGGCTTGTAAGTGTATGTGTACGTAATTATTATAAGGAGGCCACTTCGTGGAGAAGATCAATTTAAGCCTGAAAAGAAAGACGATGTGTGTGCATTTCAAACGAGAGGCAAAGGGGGAGGGGGCAATAGCAGTGGAGGAAGAAGCGCAGGGTTTATGGGAGACCGAGCACGGAAAAAAAAAAACTCGAGAATGCGGAAAGAGTCGGAAGTAAAGCAACTGCAACACACATTTGTTGCTTCGTGAAAGCTACAGCTACTTGGGAAACTGTATTTCAAGTCCCAATTCGATACAGAGGGAAGTCGGAGAGCAGCGTCCTCTCTTTCACACTACGCAGCGGTGAAACATTGTGTGAGATGTGCGTAATGAGAAATCTTATTACAACTGCAGCCCTCTTTCTTCATTCTTCATTCACTGCCAGTCACTGCTTTTCGCGGCTTTTTTCTTTTTCCTCAAAAGAGTCAACCAGTCAGTTCGACCGTGTTCCTTTCGTGAAATCAAATTTGCTCTTTTCTTCTCTTTGAAAACCAGCGCGTTATACAAGCAACAGTATTCTCTTGAAAAATGAAGAGTCCAACAAAGGCCACAACTCCGCAAGCGTCTCACTCTTACCTTCGCTTGCCCCATACCCACCCACACGAACACGGTAACAATCCTCGCACACAGATGCTGCGTTTCCCCTACTTCCCTTCTGCCACCGTCCACATTTCTTGTAGGCGTGGCGCCGCCTCCGCAGAGGCTCCGGCGAGTAGTTGATGATAACGCGCCGCCATCGCATGCTCCACCTCAGTCCTCTGCCCCTTGCCCTCCGCTCCCGCAACAGCGGAAGACGCCGAAGGTGTTCCACCGACTGCGCTCTCCTGCAACAGCACCGCCTCCACGCACTCCACCGCCCCCTCCTCGGACATGCACATCACCGCCGCGAGCGTCACGGCGGCCGCCGGGCCCGGGCCGTCAGAAGAGCGGGTCGCATCAGCACTGTTGCTGCTGTTAAGCAGCGCGTACTGAAGAACAAGGAGCTTGGCCAAGAAGGCAGGCACCGGCGGACGCAGCCGCTCCGCCAGTGTGGCCCGCAGCGCGGAGGAGGATGCCTCCCTATTGAGACCGCCGCAGACTTCGTAGAAGCCCTCCACCTGCCGCACACAGCCCCGCAGCAACGAGGTGGTCCGCCCGACCGCGCCGGCCGACTGAATTGCCTGTACGTACTGCAGAAGCGCCGGCATTATCAGCTGGAGAGCGTGGGCGTAGGCGGGGGCTGTGGCGGCCACGTTTCCCTGCAACTGCGGTGGTGGCGGCGTGGTGACCACGCGCGACAGCAGACGGGCCAGCAGCGTGTCCGTCATGCGCTGGCACGCCTCCATCCACCCCGCAGTTCGCGCGTCGATCAGGAAGAAGAAGCGGTCGGTGAACTGCCGGCACTGCGTTTGGAGCTGCACGAGGGCGGTGCGGCTGTCCCCCGCCACCATCGGAACCGCGCGGCCCGTCTCCGTTGCCGCCGCCGCCGCTGAGAAGTTGAATTCGCTCCGCAACACGTTGTCCGTCGCCTGGGTCAGCGTGGGCAGGAGCACCGCCAGGGCAGAGTCCGCGAACGGCTTCGTCGAACGCTCGCTCATTTCGTGGAAGGCGTGAATGAGCCGCTGCAGCTCCACCCGCTTGTTGCCCAGCTGCTCCAGCACACCGGCGTAGGGGTCAGCGTAGCTACTGTAGCCGTGCCCGGTGCTCTCCATGGCGACAGTCCCGCCACTGCCCCCGCCCGTCCACGCGGCCGCCTGCGGCACACACGCCAACACCGCCGTGCAGTCGTACGCCAGCGTCGTGCAGCCGTTCGCAATGCACACGTGCAACACCTGCACCAGTGTTGGGGCGGTCGTGATGGCGGGAAGGGGAGGCAACGGAAACTTCTTGACGGTGTCGCTGAACTTCGATCGCACCTGCCGCAGCGAGGCCAAAATGCAGTCCAACAGCACGTCCAGTGTGTGCGGGTCTTGACGAAACACCTGTACCTCCTGTGTAATCATTCGCGTGTAGGCCGCCAGGTCGAGCGCGTTGGCCTGCAGTGGAATGGTGGGCCGCCGGATGCCTTGCATGCGCACCGGCGCGACGGCCGCAGGCTGCCCACCCATCGCCGGCGAGGCAGGCAGCACGTTCGACAAGCGTGTGAAGACGCCGCTGATCAGCTCGCGGTGTCGGTCCATCACGTAGGTGCGGAAAGCATCCCGCACGTCATCCGTGACCTGCGCCAGCCACGCGTGCCGCAGATTCTGTGCGTCCGTGCGAGGTGCAGGGGACCTGGCCGCTGGCGGCTGCGCCTTGGCGCGTGTCGCAAGGGGGGAGAAGTCGCCCATGCCGTCGGCGCTGTTCCCGCCACCACGGTGCACCACGGCGGCGGCATCCACGAGGTCGATCAAGTCCAAGAAGTCCCCCATACCACACTGCGTCACGTGAATCGACGATACCAACGCTGCGGCGGACACCACACTCAATCCATTACCACTGCCGCCACCGCTGTTACCACTGATGCCGCTACTCACGCCTCCTGCGCCGCCCATCGATGCCCCCGCCCCGCCAGCCCCATCGATGCGGCTGAGGAAGCTGGCGACGAGGTGGTGAAAGCGTGGGTAGGCGCTGGCGAGAGCGAGACGAATGGCATGGCGCTTCTGCAGGCTGCTCAACCGCTCCCACACCTTCTCCGTAATGGTGGTCCAGTACTCCACGAGGAGCTGCACGGGTGACTCGATGGAGGTCAGGTACGACGCCTGCGTCTGGGCATCGCGCTTCTGCAGAATCAATCGCCAGAGCAAGACGACGCACTGCGTGTGTTGCACCGCGATAAAGAGCGTCTTTTGGATGTGCTCCAGTACGACGTGCGCGGTCACCGCCTGCTCCGACACGCCCCCGTTGTTGTTCGCCTGCGGGTTGCGAGAAAGGCGCTCGCACTCGGCAGAGATGTGCTCCTCGATGGTCTGCGCATCCAGCTCACGCATCACAGTCCGCAGCACCTCGCGGCGATGCTCCGTCATGAAGCCCTGCACGGTGCGCGAGAGTATCCGCAGCACGTAGGCGCACTGCAGACCGGTGTTGGCATTTGTGACGAGCCGCGACGTGGAGGCGGTGGCGGCGGCGGACGCACCTGCGCCACCTACGACGCCGGTGTTGATGTTGGTGTTTGCACCTGGTGGAGAGATGAGCTCTGACATGGCAAGCAGGTCGTGTGCCTTGCTGCGGATCGTCGTCGCGTAGCGCTCCACCGCCGGCAGCTGCGCATCCACCACCTGCAACGACCGGATAGAATCTTCCTGAAGCACTTCCTCCAACTCCTTCAGGGTGTAGGAGGCCCGAATGATGTCGATGTTTGGCGTTGCTGCCAGCTGCTCCTGTAGCCGCCCAGTGAGAGAAAGAAAGCGCAACGTGGACTGCAGCAGTTGTGTTGCTTCTTGAGTCGCCTCCAGCTCCCGCACACGGCTTTGGAGTTGCGTGTAGGGCTCCTCAATCATCAATCGCAACCGCCCCGCTGCCTTCTGCAGCGAGTCGGTGCTCTGCCGAACGCTGGAAACCTCGCGCTGTGCTTTGTGGGTGCAGCGCGCTTGGTCAATGAGTTGGTCTGCGTGCTCCGCGAGAATGGCCTGCATGCCCTCCTTCACATCTGCAATGCAGTGCTCGAGGCGTGCGTGCTCGCTGTGAAAGCTAGAGGCGCGGAGGGCGTAGCGCAGGTACGCGACCTCGTCGAAGTCGGGACTCGTAAGCTGTTCATTCGAGAACATGGCGGATTATCTGATTGGCCTCGAGAAGAAACAATGCTGATCCATACAGCTCTCGAAGACACTGCGAGGAAAAACAAACTTTTCTCTGATGCTCCAAATGCGAAGTAAAACCGGTGAAGACAAAGGAGACAAATACGTCGACGGTGTCAGGGGCTGTGTTGCACAAGACAGCAAGAAAACAGCACTCCCCACCACAACAACAGTTTTCAATCGTAACTATCAAAAGCATAAGTTGAAACGGAGCCGTCAAGATGGTACAAATTGAGGGAGAAAAAAATCGGGGAGGAAGGACGATCACGTCGCCGTTGGGTGTTTCCTCCTCTCGGGTCGCGGAAACACGGAGCCGCCTTTAACGCCGCATCCCACATTTAGGTCCTACGATTCACTGACTGTTGCACAGAAAATTTCCCTTTTTCGGTTGTTCGAGGTGAATTTCTTGTGGCACCTCTAGCTGCGCCCCTGTGACCCCAGTTTCGCATCCTTTGCTTCCGTACGGCAAAGGGCCAATCCACTGTCTTTTCTTTCTTTTCTTCTCTCTCTCTCTCTCTCTCTCTCTCTCATAACACCGTTTCAACGCACCTACCCTGCTTCGTGTTTCTTCGTTCGTGGCACGCCACGAGCTCGGAGCATCGCTTTCAACTTGCACGTCGTCCCATCCAAACTAGAGCCACCTTCATGTCGTGATGAAGCCAGCACAAAAAAAAAAGTCAAGTCAACGGTGCAACGCTGCGCCTGCGTGGAGGTGCACGTTGCTCGCACTAAAGCAGTATTGGCAATGCACAGCGAAAAACAAAAACAAAACTTCTCCCTTCCCATTTCAGGCGTTCGGCAACCACTCAGGGTGCTTCTGTATCGTTGTCAGCGCCGCGCGAGTTTCCACCACGATCTCCGTCATCAAGTTCCCCGGATTCTTCTCTGCCATCATCTGCACCAACTGCGTCAGGTCTCGCAGATTGGCACGCATTTTTTCAAGGGACGCAACATCGATGGTGGTAGACGCACGTGCAACAAAGTCCTCCGCCTTGCTGTCTCCCGTCACGAATTGAAACAGCACTGTAATGCTGTGTAGCACGTGCGCTGCTCCGGCAAGCTGACGGCGAGTGGCGTTGCGTGTTCGCGGCGCCTCCTGTCGCCCCAGCAGCCGCGCGTAATCGAGGTAGAGCTGCAGCAGTGGAGAAGTGGTCAGGGCAGCGATGTGTTTGCATAACTCCCGCGTCGTCTCCGGGTCTACTGGACGACCGGACGGCGGCGCGCCTGGGCTAGCTGGAGAAGTGCAAACGACATTGCACGCAGAGAGCAACCGCGTGCAGCTCAGCAGCGTACGCAAAGCGATCACCTCCACCGTTTTCAGCTCATCTTGTGTCAATAGATGCAGGATGTTCTCATTGGACGAGACCCGCTCCGCAACAGCGGCATTGATAGGGGCCAGCTGGCTCGTCTGTACCTCTTCCACAATGGCCAGCACGGACGGAATGCAGTCTGTGGCGTAGAAGTAGGCGACCGTCTCAATCGCCAGCGGCAGATCATCCCTCGCCAGCGCAGACGCCGCGTCGGGGGCTTCCGGTGCGCTGGCAGCGATACGCGCTGAGAGGATACGCAGTCCGGCAAGATGCCGGTGCGAGGCGAAGTGCAGCGCCTTGAAAACGACGCCCAGTTGACGTCGCCCGAGCTGAGGCAGAGCCTGCAGATAGTCCTCGTGGTCCCGCCTTTCCGCCTCCGATATTGTATCACCAAGTTGCGCGCCGGAGGAACCAAACTCCGCCGCACCCTCGTCGGACGAGGGCCTCGACACAAACGGAGTCATCGTGGCCGGCTCCGTCCATGCAATCGCCGTCCGCACTATCTCATTCAGCACCCGCCGCGGACCCCAGGAGAGGTACGAGATGATTCTGGGGAGCTCAAAGAGCAACTTGCCGGCGGCCTTCTGCTCCGTTAGTAAAAAGGCCTGCATTTGCGCCTTCGACGCCCGCGCTGCCGCCGCCTTCTTCACACCTGCACTCGCAGCGGTCCCCTCACCGTGTGTGGTGCCGGACGACAACAATGAAGCATCTTCGATCTCGGCAAAGTACAGCGATTTGTAGTAGTGACGCTGCGCAACCGATTCCCGCAATGCCTGACCGATGCGCGGCGCGGCGGCTGTGAGAAACTCGCGCGCCACTTCCGCCGAGCCCATTACATGCACGGAGCTCACACAACACGCCAACTCTACTACGGACATGTCCGGCAAACCGCCTCGCATCACAGCCACCAAGCTCCGCGCCAACTCGGCATCCAGCGCCTTCTGCGCCGCGAGGAACTCCATAATGAGTCGCGCCTCTGAAACGGAGAAGTCATCCACCACCTGGCGAATTCGAGGCAGCAGGATTTGCGCGATTTCTGTCGTTTGCGGGTGGTGCAGCCTCAACAGCGTGAGGTGGAACAGAAAGATAGAGTGCCCGTCCAGCAGGAAGGTGTGGCGAGTGACGTGGTTTAAAAAGTTGAAGGTGGTGGGTGTGTTGACGGCGCCAAAATGGGCGCACGCCTGCAGCCCAGCAAACGTGTACCTAAAGTGTGGATCCTCATCGGTAGACTTCAACGGCAGTGTCTGCAGGATACTGAGGGCTTTCGCTCTCAGGCTAGGGTCGAACGTGCGCCGGTGTTGCTGGACCAAGTCCTTCAATTCATGCATGCGAGCATCCGCTAAACCGCCAGTCGGCGTCGCACAGTGCCGGTCTATGTGCTGCATCACGTTGGCGTACGATTGCTTGTGCATGCGTGCTTGCAGGCGAGCCGTAAACTGCCGCGTGTAGGTGGCATACGGTGTCGACATGGTGTCGCAATAGTGAAGGGGTGGCTCACTGTGTTGCTGGGGAGAGAAACAAGAATAAGAAAACGGAATACCTACCTCCCTTTTAGTAAAGGAGGATCAATTTATGGCGGCTTTCTTTTAGCGAGGCGCACACGGATGCTAAGGAGAACGGAGCGGGAAAAGAACTAGGAGGATATATATATATATATATATATATGTGCGCAAACAAGCCGAACCGCGGACGAGGGCAGGAGTCCCGACAAGGAGCATCAGAATTAATGCTTCACCTTGACGGTCGTCACAATCTTTTTTGTTTTAAGACACGCTCGCTTCCAGGCAGCCAAAAGAACGCTTCTATACCTTATCTCAAAGCGTTGTGAATAGTTGCACGTTGTAGCGAAAAGCTGTCTCTCAAAAAAAATGGCCTCGCAATTCAAAGAAACCTCTTCTTTTCTAACATTAATACTCTGTTGCAATCCCTCTTCTTTTTCGGACGCGTAACGAAGACATCGACGCACCAACTCGACTTATCACCGGGTCTTGCGCTAACCACCCGTGCACAACACAATCACGCGGAGCCAAAAGCTACTACCACGAACAACAAATTGGAAGAAAAAAAAGTACGAAAGAGAACGTCCCGTAGCGCATGTGAGTTAGTCTCTTTTTTGAACACAGCAATACGTTAATGGGATTCTTTCATTCTCCGTTGTAGAGCTAAATAAAAAATACAAAGAGCAGAGATCTCAAAAAGAGGGGAGGTGAAAATACGCTACGGACACAAAAGGTAAAGGTTTGGCGCACCGAAAGAAAAAAAGGAGGGGGGAAAAGCCCCCCCTCCCCCCTCCTCCCCTTTCTCTTCCGCCTTCATCACTGACAGACCGGCGTTGGTGCACAAGAAAGGATTCTTCCACTCTTCCCGCGGACGTTGGCTTGTACAAGGAAAAAGAACAATCGCCAATGGGCAGCTGTAGAGAAAGGGAGAGCTACCGATACGCACTTGTCACCGCCGTGTAGAGAGAGAAACACGAAAGCCCGATACGTGACTACCAAAGATGTTCAGCTTGCGCAAATCGAACGTGCTACCTATTTCTACGGCATCAGCTTGCAACCGACGTTTCTAGGGTACAAACGAGGCATTTGGCCCGGATCGTCCACGCCCTCCGGAGTCTTCTGGCCGATATCCGCTGGAGGCGCCACCTCTAACTTCGCTGTGAAGCTTTCCGTGTAGCCGAACGACGTGATGGCGGGTTGGTTGATCAAATCGCCGCCGTCGTCCGTGCGCGGGCGCTCGATGATGGCGTGATTCATTCCGTAGGTGATGCACGCCTCCATAATCTCCTCGCACTCCTCCTCCGTCGCACCAGCGAGGCGGATCATGCGTTGATCGGTCGGGGTGTAGTTCACGTACATGTGCGGCTCGCCAAACGAGAGCTCCTGCACCGTGAAGGTGCAGAACGGGTTCAGAAGCTGCAGCTCTGGCAAGTTGTTGCGCCACCAATTGCGCACGCCGAAGCAATTGGGGTCCTTTGGGTTGAGCCACACCGTGAGGGAGCCCACGCAAGGCGTAAAACGCGCTCTCCAGGACATTGTGGATGCGAATAGGGTAACGTTCGACACACGGTTAGATATGCTACGATAACTGCCTACTAGTACTAGTGTTGCTTCTCTGTTCCGCAGGTTCTACAGGTAAAAGAGCTTGATTTGAAGAGAGCTGTTTCCAGGGTCGCACGCAAACATCAGCGAGCTGCAAGGATACAACAGAAACTGCAACAGGATGAGATAATACGTAGCGAAAACACAAGGGGAGGAAGAAAGGCAAAGGACAAGGGGGAGACGAGAGATGCGATGGAAATGCAACTGCTCGAAAAAAAAAATCCCAAGGCATCTGCCGTTGACACCCAAAGAGAAAACAAAGACGCCTCTGCAGAGCCTCGTTATATGCACAGCATTGCACACAGATAACGTTGCAGATCTATAAAGAGAAAAACGGAAGCTTTCTCTCTTTCAGTCGAATCATCACTGCAAGAAACACTTCATGTGCAAATCTTGAAGGTTCACAAAGCCTCGCACGATCAGAAGAAAGTAAACCTACCCATGGAGATTGCTTTTTGAGGTTTTCGACGTTCCTCTCTCTCAGTAGTAGTACATTACATCACAGCTGAGGATAACAACAAAAGGTATTTTAAAAAGTAGTGGAGAGAGACATTTTGTTACTCTCTTCTCCCTTGAAGTATACATCGTGCAATTGAAAGCAAACGACCCTGTAGAAGCACTAGAGCGCTTAGGGCACCGCTCCCTGTGCCAGGAACTATTGGTGTATCCAAGAGTACACTAGTCTATCGTGTAGGTGTGCCGGTATGGGGAGCGTTCGCGCCACGCCCCAGGAAAGAAAAAGAAGCTTACCACCGGTTTTTCTTTCCTCAAGCGGATGTCGGTGTAGCCGCCCAAATGGCGAGAGAGGCGTTGACCTCCTCCTGTGCGGCGTCCATCTCCGACCACGCCGCCCGGTCCGACTCGCGATGGCTCCCCACATCACAGACGCGCAGCCGCAAACCTGCGCAATGCAGCTCCGGGGCACGGATGACGGTCACGCCCGCCGTAGGGAGGCCGGAGTTCGAGACGTTGTCGGACGCCATCGTGGACGAGGTCGCGACCGACGCGCCTGACCGGTGCGACGACGCCTGCGAACGTTTCGACGCGGCATCGGGAGTGGCGGAGACGGAGGTAGGCGGGGAAGAGAGGCCGGAGAGCAGCCCCGGTGGGTCGCGCACTTCCAACATGGCCAACATCTCCGCCGCGTCCACCGGCTCGCGCAGCCGCAGCAGCCGCGCCGCCTCCCGTGCGCCGGCCACCGTGATAAGTTTGTTTTCCCCTAGGTTCAGCACCTCCAGCACCGTGTTGCCTGGGATGCGGATCGCAGCGTCGTTGTCGGCGATATGGCGCACGCGCACACAGTGCTTGTCGAAGCTGCAGGTGTGCCTGTTCGCCGCGCGTGCGGCGGAGGAGGACATCATGGTCGTGTTGAAGGCGGTGGTGCCTGTGAGGGACTCCGATTTGGTTAACTTGTTCTTGGCGGGTGTGGTTCGTTTGGGATTACCCGCGGCTGTGGGGCTGGACTGTGTGTCTCGTGCAGGGGGGGCGGGAAAGGCCGTTGGCAGAAGGGCCGGTGCTCGAGGAGACTTGCGACGGCCACCTCTCGCACCGTCTGACTGGGTCTGACTCAACTCCGACGGCGGGAGGAGCTGCGCCGTCTGCTGCTGGGTGTGCCACCAGTGTGCATAGAGATCCTCGTAGCTCGGAATGTCTGCCAGAACGAGCGGCAAGCCCGCGGCCTTTTGCTCCTCCTCGGAGGCGCCACGCCGAGTCAGGTAAGCACGCCGCGCAGCAAAAATGTCCTCCGGCGAGGTCAGCTGCTGCATGAGGAACACGCCAATCAGCTCGAGTAGCCCGGTATCGCTGAGCTGGTTGTGGCCGAGGTCGAGCACTTGCAGTAAGTTGTTGACGCGCAGCATCCGCGCCAGCGACGCCGCCCCTGCATCGGTGATGTCGTTGCCCCATAAATTCAGCGAAACAAGGCGCGACTGCTGGTGGTCCAGCAGCACCTGCGCAAGCCGGCCAGCCGTCGCGTCGTCGATGTGGTTGCCGCGCAGACTTAATTGATGGATGCCGGTGAAGAGGATGCCGTTCCAGGCCTTGGGGACCGACATGCGATGCTGCTGATCGAAGGCGCGTAGTAGTTCACGCTGCGCCTGCAGCTGCTGCATCTTCTTTCCATCCACCTTGCCTTTCTTCTCCTTTTCCTCCTGTATTTGCAACTCCAGTGGAGTTGGCTGCTGATCGAGGCTGCAGTACTGCGTAGGGTACAGGTAGAGAAGGGTGCTCGCGTTGTCGTCGTCGGGCAGTCCGCCGGGGAGCGCATCCACCACGACGGGCAGACGGTGCGGGGACGTCGCCACCCCCGCCGCAGCGGCCGCCTCGGCACCGCTAGCCTGCGACTGCCGCCTCTCCAGCGAAGTTGAGCTTTTTCGCGGCGCATTGCCAGCTTTTTGAACGCTGCCGCTGCGACCCCGGGACACCGGAGCAACGGCAGAGTTCATGCGTGTACCGGCCACAAAGGTCGGACAGATGGTCGTGCTGCTCCGCGGTGGCACGGTGTGGGCGCTGGCGTTGCAGACTTGCTCCTGCGAACGCGCAGAAGACACGGAGGTGCGGGAGTCTACGGTGAGCTCTGTTGACAGCAGTGGGCCAGTGATGCCGTCTTGTTTCGCTGTGGTGGAGTAATCAGGTGGGTGAAGAGTGGGGTCGAGAATGAAGCCGGATTCCATCGTGTCCTTCAACCTCGTATAGCGCTTCTGGCGATTGTACTCGATGAAGGGGACGTTGAAGTCCACTGCGACTGTGATGACGCGTGGACTGCGGTAGACGGCCTCGACCAACTTCATGTAGCTCTGCACACTCAACCCGCAGCCGACCAGCTCAATGGAGAGCAGCGAAGGGCAGTGCGGAATTGCACGGCACAGCGGCGTCATGTCGCGCTGATTAAGGCAAAAGACAGGGTAATGCAGGGCGATCGAGGTGAGAGTCACGTGCAGCACCTGGGGTGCAGCGATCGTGCCTGCCAGCATCGCCGCAGCCTCTGCGGAGCTCCTCAGCGAGCTCTTTCGACGCCCACTCACGCCCTCCTTCCCGCCAACTCGGCTTGCTTTACGAGAAGATTTGTACTTGGGAGATGGGTCGGTTCCCGCGGCACCGCGTCCCTTCTCTGCGTCCGTGTGAACGCTGGCTGCGTCGCCCTCTTCGCCCGCGACTGCGAGACGCGGTGCCTCGACGGTGCGGGTGTGGATGGCGCTGAACACCTCCTCCCGCTCCGTCACACGCAGCGTCTCGCAGTACGCGCCGTAATCCTTCAACAAGTCCCCACACGGCTCGAACAGCATTTTTTGTTTTGCTTCGGAAGTGAAATGTCGTACGTGCGTGTGTTCGTGATCGTGTTTAATGCTGTACATGTGGAGAGAGAAAAGAGAAGAAAAAAGCAGAGGGGGGATGAGAAATGCAGATCGACCGCCACATGCCGTGCAGGCTGAGCTGCGGAACGTGAGTGTGATTAACTGATGTACCACACTTTAGAAGGCGTGTACAGTTAACTCATTTTGAAATTCAGAAACAGCAGCGCTTCACAACACAACTCTTCCCTCGTTTCGCGCCATATTTTGCCCCCGGCACGCCAAAATAGGGTCGCCGAGAAATGGGGAAAAAACGCAATTGAAGGAGAAAGCCTGATCTCGCACGCCATCCCTCGTTGATGGTGTTGCTCCTTCGAGAACAAAAAGCTGAAACAGCTACAAGTGCCGGCACTCACGGCAAAACTGGGCGATACATCACAAAAACAGGAAAAATAGAAATAATAATAATGCAAGCGACTGGAACTAACAGTATTTACATGTAAAAGGAAAGGCAATCACAAATGAAAGAAAATCCAAGCACACGAGGAACATCCGCGGATACATACATCGTAACGTACTCAACAAGCAAGCAAAAAAAAAGGCCACCAACATTGGCGCCCACACACACATACACGGAGATGAAATTTTTGAGTCAATGCTGTCTACGCGACAAACGGTTCACTTTAAAACAATTTGTGGTTGAGTGATCAACTTGTGAACCTCACTTTTCCCCACACGCCAAAAGTCAACTTCTAAAAAGTGCTGGTCCGACACCTAGCCACAAGAAGAAACACCGCTACAATGCCAGAAGGGCAAAACAAACAGAGCAGAGGGATTGGCGAGACGCAGGGACGAAAGAAAGAAAAAGCGACGAAGACGACAATTCAGAATGTGTGTCCAAAGCGGCTGAGAAACAACGCAACTAGGGAAAAGAATAAAATCTACGCCTTCTGATGGTTCGCGTCCGCACACTTCCATTGGCCGTGGACCACTTACCAAACACGATCTTGCTGATGGGCTTCCGAAATGGTCCTCTTCCGGCGTGTTTTCGATTTCCGTCGCCGGTGCGGTGCTCACCAACTCGTTCTCACGAAGCTTACCGAGCAGATCAGCATCGTTCAGGTCAGCTATCCGCTCACGCAAGCTACGGCGAAGGGAAAGGAGATCGTACCGCGCTGTTGGACGCCACTGTCTCGCTAAAGCTCCTCCTCCTCCTCCTCCTCCTCTCCGTCCTCCGCAGCGTCCACGTCTGCCTGCGCTTGAAGTGACAGCAGGTAAAGGTCGCGTTGCACCGTCGCCATGGCAGCTTGCTGGCGAGCACGGTGGCCGCGGTAGACACACTGGATTGTCAGTGCCGCCTCGTCCAGCAGCTCGCCCACTGCGATCTCCTCCGCCTTGGACTCAAGGTACGCCTGGCGCAGGGCATCCAGCGCACGCCGCGCCTGCGTCTGCCTGAAGCACTGTTGAACTTTGAGCGCAGCAGCAGACCTCTCAGCGTCATTGGTGCTGTCTTTAGTGACGGACGTGCCATTGCCAACGGGCGTCGCAGACACCGCAGCGTCCCCTTCCCCGTTCTCCTCCGCCTCCAACGCGGATGTGGCCAACTCGTCATCTACCCCTGCTTCAGAAATATCGTCCAGCACCTTATTCTGGTCCGCCTCGTTTTCCGCTGCAGTGAGGCGGTCCAGCTCCGTACGCTCCGCGGCGATTTGCTGCGCGGTCAGAGGACGGCGCGTGTCCGGCATCGACGGCTCCTGCTCTTCAGCAGAAGCAGCGCGTGCCTCTTCTGCCTTCTCCTCCCTCTCCTCCGTCTCTGTGCCGGGCTCCGCGGCGTCCTCGTCTGCTTCCTCTGCCTCCGCTTCCTGCGACGCACGTGCGTCTTCGTGCGCGGCCTCCTCCGCCGCACAGCACCGATCCAGGTACGCGTCGCGTGCGCTCTGGCGTTGCGCTCGCTGCTGCTTGGCCTTGACAACGCGCGCGAAATTGTCTAGAACATCGGACGGGCCGGCAGCAGAAAGTGATGAGGACGCGGGTGCGTGATTCTCCTGCGGAGGCACAGACGAGGGTACAACGGCGACTGGCTTCCGCTGGTAGACTTCCATTTGGGGGTGTCGCGCTCGAACCTCACGCAGACGATCGCTGACTAGCACCGGGCCATCGTTACGCTCCAACTCCTGTTTTGCCGCCAGGTACTCATCGCGAACGTGCAGAAGAGCAGCAAACTGCTGACGTGCTTTGTAACCTGTGTAGTATCGATGGATAGCGTGAGCCGCGTCGCGCTCCTGCGCAAGACGCTGCTGGCGGTGGATGTTCTGTGCGGACGCCTCGTCTGGAGTGGCACGGCGGGCCTTCGCGTCTGACAGAGCCGCGTCCGTGACAAATCGCTTCTGCAGACGCACACGCTCCCTCGCGTACGGCACGAGGTCTTTTTCCTTTTCGGCCGCGGCAATACGCTGCTGCTTGTAGTCGAACATCGCCTTGTGCAATGCTTCCTGATCTTGGCGGCGCTTCTTGTTCGCTTTCTCCTCCGCTTGCCACACCGCCTTCTGCTGAGCCATTAGCTCCCGTTCCAACGCGGATGTGGCCAACTCGTCATCTACCCCTGCTTCAGAAATATCGTCCAGCACCTTATTCTGGTCCGCCTCGTTTTCCGCTGCAGTGAGGCGGTCCAGCTCCGTACGCTCCGCGGCGATTTGCTGCGCGGTCAGAGGACGGCGCGTGTCCGGCATCGACGGCTCCTGCTCTTCAGCAGAAGCAGCGCGTGCCTCTTCTGCCTTCTCCTCCCTCTCCTCCGTCTCTGTGCCGGGCTCCGCGGCGTCCTCGTCTGCTTCCTCTGCCTCCGCTTCCTGCGACGCACGTGCGTCTTCGTGCGCGGCCTCCTCCGCCGCACAGCACCGATCCAGGTACGCGTCGCGTGCGCTCTGGCGTTGCGCTCGCTGCTGCTTGGCCTTGAGAACGCGAGCGAAATTGTCCAGAATCAGAATAGCGCCGTCCCTCCTGGCCTGACGCTCCTTCTCCGCCGCAGCAACAGAAGAAGCTTCCTCCACCTCCGGCACGCTTGCCGGTTGGACCTCCGCGGTGGAGCTGTTGATAGAGGTGTCTTCCTCGCTCACAAGATCATCGTTTTCATGCACATAGGCATCTCGGCTAGCCTGACGACGTCGCAGCTCTTTTCGGTCTTGAATGCTCCTGACAAAGCCCCGCAGACACACGCGTGCTTCGGCACTGGTAGGACGACGTAGCTCCCGTACCACTGGTGTAGTGGAAGAGGAGGAAGAGTCACTGCTAGTGAAAATGCAGTCAGCTTTCCGTTCCAACTGGGCTGGGTTGAGTTGGTGGATGTTGTGCTTCGACTCGTCCAGTACTTTATTCTGGTTCGTCACGTTTTCCGCTGCAGTGAGGCGGTCCAGCTCCGTACGCTCCGCGGCGATTTGCTGCGCGGTCAGAGGACGGCGCGTGTCCGGCATCGACGGCTCCTGCTCTTCAGCAGAAGCAGCGCGTGCCTCTTCTGCCTTCTCCTCCCTCTCCTCCGTCTCTGTGCCGGGCTCCGCGGCGTCCTCGTCTGCTTCCTCTGCCTCCGCTTCCTGCGACGCACGTGCGTCTTCGTGCGCGGCCTCCTCCGCCGCACAGCACCGATCCAGGTACGCGTCGCGTGCGCTCTGGCGTTGCGCTCGCTGCTGCTTGGCCTTGAGAACGCGAGCGAAATTGTCCAGAATCGGAATAGCGCCGTCCCTCCTGGCCTGACGCTCCTTCTCCGCCGCGGACAGGTTTTGAGCAGCAATTTCGCAGTGGTGCTGTACGATGTGGCGTTCCTTCGGTTCCACCACCGCAATCTTGCGACGGTCGTCACCCTCGGCGGCCTGCAAATCGGAGAGCATCTGCTGAATCTTTTGCTTTGCATCGCGCGCAGCGGCGACATCGCCGTGCTCCAACGCACGCAGACGGCGCTCGTAGCGCTCCGCCTCGTCCTGCAAGGCACGCCCCTCCGCACCGATGGACTTGCGGGTGGCGTAGCCACGGCCCACGCGCTGCAAGACCATTGCCTGGACCTGCGCCAATCCCCTCCTCAACTGCGCCACACGCTCAGACTTTTTCGCCGCGTACAGGCGTCGTGCTGCGTGACTGCGGTAGGCGCATTGGATAGTCTGTGCTGCGCGGCCCTCGCGACTGCGTGTGTTGATCTCGTGGGCAGCACGCAGACGAGCCGCCGTGAGTTGCGGCAGAGACCGCTGTTGGACGATGATCATGCGACCGAAGGACTGCAGCTTCACGGCGGCGTGGCGGCGCTGCTCGTACTCCTGCCGTGCGTTGCGCAGCTGCGAGGAGCGGGAGAAGGTGTTGCGGTACAGCCTGCGCGCCTGCGAGCCTCGCCACGCGGACTGGATGCGAACGGCAGACTTCACACGCAGCTGCGCGTCCTCTGCTGCGCGGGCCATCATGCGATTGCGCAGGTCCGTCTCGTAGGCCTTCCGCTTTGTGTAGGCGCGCCACTGCCCTTGAATGCGCGTGGCGGCGTACTGCTGCTGTTCCTCCTCCCGCATCTCCGCCTCACGCTGGGCCTTCTCCGCCCGCAGGGCAGCGTGACTCCGCTGTGCGTGCACCCCGCGGTACCACCGCTGAATCGTGACCGCCGCCAAAGGGCTGTCGTGCACAAACTGACGCAGTTTGGCGAAGCGGCGGCGCGCCAGCCATCCGCGAGCAACGCGTTGCAGCTGCGTCGCGGCGTGATGCTGCGCACTTCGTCGGCCCCCGGCATAACGAGACGATGGGCCGCCGCCAAATGGGCGGCGGCGGTGGCGGCGATGGCGGCGGTACGACTGCTGAATCTGTCGGGCCGCTGTGCGACGCCGCAGATCAGCAAGCCGCGCGTCGCGGGCGCGCAGCGCGCGGAGTTCCGCCACCTGCCTGCGCGCCAGGTGGCCGCGGTAGTGACGCTGAATGACGTTGGCCTGCGCATACTTCTGCTCCAACTCCTCCTCATCTTGAAGAAGAACATCCAGGCGGTTCTGCAGGAACACAAGCGGATTGTCCTCGACGGAGGCGCCACCCGGCGCGCGGTGCTGCGACGCCGAGGCGCGGGCGACGGTGTCGCGTGAAGGACGAGGCGCTTTTTTCGAGGTGGAGGGCTCGCTGTCCGCCACGATCGTCTGCAGCGGCGGGAGAAGACGCGGCGGTGGCGAGGGCGTGGGCCCGGTACCCTTCGCGTTCTTCCCCGCCATTCGCCCCGGCACGCGACTCGGCTTCGGTTGCGTCCCGTAGGCGTTGGAGTTGCTGGACGCCGTGGACCGTGTAGTGGAGGACTTCAACGGCGATAAGCGATGGCCGCCCTTTATCTTCTTGCCGCTGCCGCTGGTGTTCTGCTCAGAGAGGCGACGCTGCGATCCCGCCGCACGCGCTGAAGAAGAAGCGCTGTCCGCCGCACGCGACGGTGAAAAGCGACGTGACACGGCTGCCTTGTTGCCGTGCGACGGTGGCGAGGGCACGAAGCCGGCACTCGAATGGCCGTCTGCGCGCGAGCTGCCGCCGTTACGCGCCGACGCACGCGCGGCGACGGCGTTCGACCGCGACGACGACGATGTGGAGTGCGCCGTCGGCGGGGGAGAGGGGCGGTGGAACGTCTTTTCCGGTGTGCGCTCACGTGGGACGCGGCGCGGCGGTGGTCCCGTGGGGCGGCTCGGGGCGGAGGCGGCCTTAAACGGCTTCCCGGGCGCGGGCGCTTGGCGGGGAACGGAGGCGGTCAGCACAAACGGGTGCGGAAAGATCTCCGCAGCGTCTGCCGGCGGCGGCGTGGCGGCCGCGCGAAAGACGCCGTCCCGCTGAGGCGAGGTTGCGCGGGACGCCGACGAGGTGAAGCCCTTGCCGCCACCGCCGCTCATCGGCTGCGGTGCGAAGTAGCGGCCGCTCGCCTGCAGCGCCGGGGCATGGGTGCGCTCGAAACGCTGCCAGCTGTGCTGGATCGCCTGACTGGTGGAGCTGTCCTTCCCGACGGTGGTGCAAGCGATGCGGTAAGCCAGCTCATACTCCTCGGCGCAGCGCTGCGCGTCGACGGGCTCGAGCGCCATGGCGAGGTTGTGGTGCGCCACCGCGAGCAGCGACGGGTCCTCGGGCGTCTGCGAAAGCAACGTAATGGAGCGCTCCGCCATGCGCACCGCCTCGTCGTTCAGCCGCAGCTGAATAAGAATGGCGCTCAGGTTCATGTAGGCGACCGGTGATTCCACGCCCGTCATTTCCATGGAAGCCTTCATGTAGTTGAGCGCCGGGGAGAAGTGACCGCGGCGCCGCTCCATGCAGCCGAGGTTATTCAGCGTGACACCGCGCAGGTGGCGCCGGCGTTCCTCGACCTCGCAGAGCGGGTACGCCTCTTCGTCGGTGAGCTGCAGAGCGTACTCCAGCAGTGGGGCGGCTTCCGCAAAGGCGTCCTTCTTGAAATGCTCCACCCCGCACACGTTGCAGCACACGACCAGTCGCTCCGCCGCATCGTACAAGTCACCGCACTGCGCCTGATACTCGCGTAACACGTCGTCCTTGCCCATGGCACCGACGGAAGCGGTGGACATGCGCCGCGACTCATTCGCAGCAACGGGCGGAGGGACGCTGTCAGGAGCGCTGGCCCACTTCTCACGCAGCTGATTGACGACATGGCAACGAATTTGCATCGCACGCTCCATCAGCTGAATGCTGCGGCCGCGGTCGCCGTCATGCTCGGCCTGCAATGCCTGAACTTCGAGTATTTCAGCCTCGTGCGCTGTTTCTCTTCCATCCAGCTCCCCTTGCGTGGGGGGTGGGTTCGCGAGGGAGTAGCGGCGTGCCGTCGATGTCATGTGCGCTGCAGTATGCGTACGCAGACGATACTAGCAAGAGAGGAAAGGGAAATATATATACCGTTGTGATGTTTCGCGTTGCGCAGATCTACAAGGCGTCTTTTTGGAAGGAAAAAAAAGGCTGGCGAGGAGGATGAGGGGGCGAGGCCACAGTAGAGCTTTAACAAGTGTGTCCAAAGAACAAAGAAAACAATATACATGAGCGTGTGATGATAACAACGCAGTAAGGTTAAGAAACTGACTCGACGCACCGGAAAGCAAAGCGAGAAAAACAAACGCGCAGATGTGAGGACAAAAGAAATGAGAAGAGGACAAAATAGCGATGACAGAAAGAGACAAGAGAAGGAGATGCCCACGTTTTACACGACATGAACGCTGACAAGGACACTTGCGCAGCGTAGCAACGATACGTCTTCCCAGTTTAAGCACTTGTACATGTATGCAAAGTTGTTTCCTTGCCTTTCCTTCCTTCGTTGGGTTTCCTTTACCAGAACCGTCGATTTCCTCATCAAGAGACAAAACTTAAAAAACAATTGCGAATAAAGAAATGAGTTGGGTCTGCGAGTCGACGAGAGTGATTCCGCATTTCGCTTGAGCAGTTGAGTTTCTTACATTGTCTACAACGAGCAATAAGGAGGAAAGGGGGAAATTGGAGCAAACAAAATAAAGAGAAAAGGTTTGCCGCAGCATCGCGCAAACGCATTACATTTTTGGCCACGATAAAGCGCAACAAACACACGCTTAGTTTTCTTATCATCACTTTTTGCCCGCACGTTTACACACACTGTGTACTTACCGCTGCCCACCTGCCGCCGCGTCGTCTTGCAGCGCCCGTGTCACATCCTTGTGGGTGAAGTGGTGATCGCCGCTCTGGAACTCGCTCACTGTGGCATAGCGGTCCTTCACGGTGCCGGCCACCACCTTTGGCCGCAGCACCCACTTCTGCGTCAACAGACCCTCCACCCCCACCGGACCCCGCGCATGGATGCGGGCGGTGCTGATGCCGACCTCCGCGCCCAACCCGAACCGGAAGCCATCCGCAAACCGCGTGGAGCAGTTGTGGAAAACGCACGCGCTCTCCACCCGCCGCTCAAACTCGGCCGCCGCCGCCGCGTCGGTGGCGAGGATGGCGTCGGTGTGGTGGGAGCCGTAACAGTTGACGTGCGCGATGGCCGCGTCCAGCGAGTCCACCACCTCCACCGCCATGTGCGCGTCGCCGTACTCGGTGTGGAACGAGCCGACGGGCTCCTTTGCCAGGCCGGCTGCCACCGCACGCGGACCCCCGTAGAAGCGCACCCCCGCCTCCTCCATCCCACGGACGAGAAACTGTGCAGCGGTGGTGTCGTGCGCGGGCAGCGTCAGCAGGTCTGCGTGGAGCAGCAGCGTCTCGGCCGCGTTGCAGGCAGCCGGGTAGTTCAGCTTTGCGTCAATGGCCACCGCCAGCGCCTTGGTGAAGTCCGCGTCCTTGTGTACGTAGACGTGGCAGATGCCATCCGCGTGGCCCAGCACGGGAATGCGTGTGGAGCGCTGGATGTTCTGCACCATGGCGTTGCTTCCACGCGGCACCACAAGATCAATGTAGCCGTCCAGGTGCAGAAGGCCATAGACGTCGGCCCGATTGGTGACAAGGCCGACCACGCCGCGTGGCACCCGTCCCTGCGTGCTCGCCTCGACGGCGGAGACGATGACGTCGTGCAAGGCCGCGTTGGAATGCTCCGCCTCGCGGCCGCCCTTCAACAACAGCCCGTTGCCGGAGCAAAGCGCGAGCGACGCGATCTGAGGTAGACTGTCGGGCCGCGACTCGAAGACCACGAGGAGCACACCGATAGGTGCTGTCTGCTTCACCAACAGCATGTCATCATCCAATTCCCGCGCAGACAAAATTTGGCCGATCGGGTCGGGCATCTCGGCGAGAGTCCGGATGCCCTCGACTAGGGTGTCCAGCTTACTCTTGGTCAGCTCCAGTCGCTTCAACAAAGGAGCCGCAACGTTGTTCACCTTGGCCGCCTCCATGTCTAGCTTGTTGGCGGCAAGGATATGCGCTTCATGGTCGAGGAGAGACCGGGCTACCGCGCGTAGCATGACTTGACGGTCTGTGTGTGACAAGTCACTCAGCGCCGCAGAGCCGGAGCGGGCTTCCTCGGCGTACCGCTGCAACACGGCAGTGTCCACCGGCGTCTCGGCGGATGCGCTCATGAATGTCAAATAATAATTGCAGTGGTGCTTGTCGTGCTTTGGCTTGCCAGTATTTTCGTTTTAAAGAAGCGTGTTTCTTCGAGAGGCACGTACCCAATGAATATCAAGTGTCCCTTGCTCAGCTTAAAAAAAAAGGGAGCTGAAAACACTATGGCACTACGGATGTAAGAGGAAGCAAGCAGTTCGGATAAGTACTTGCCGCCGACAGTGTTGTTTGTACGGAAGTCATTTTGTTAACGTTTTGTATTTTTAAAAAGTAATGATTGTGGGTGCGTGCCCAAGACCAGCATCAGAGACAACAGAAGGAGAAAAACATGAGTTGAACAACAAAGACATCAACGAAGAACAAGATCGGTAGCGGGGGGACAGTGGCTGGAAAAGAGCAAGAACACCATCGTGGAGGACCGCGCTTCGAAGCTGACCCTGATAGTGCTTTGTCCCCGTTGCTGTTCATTACTTCGTCGCAGCACTTCCCGAATTATTTGACGGAGTGTCATCTCTCGAAACACGTTGCTGGCCCGTTCTATGTATTTTCTTTAAGCTCAAAACACTAGAGACACTTATTTTAAAGGTATGCGTGGATTCAAAAATATTAATAACAATAATAATATTAATAATTAAATGACAAAACAAAGAAATCGTTCTCGTAAACAAGTGCCCAAAGGCTTCTTCCACAAAAAAAGGAAAGTGGTTAGTTTGTCAAGAAAAAAGTGGAGCTTTGTTTTCCGCTGTTAGCTTCGGCACGGCGTAGGGGCATACGGTGCGTACCTCCGAAGACAGAGGAGGAAAGAAAAGAACGACCAGAGTCCCGCGGTTCGCACTCGCGTTCTCACTTCTTGGTCGTCTTGGCCTTGCGCTCCACGGCGCGGGCAGCGCGCTCCTTGCGCAGGCGCTCCTCGCGGCGGATGCGGTCCTTCTTGAGGGGGCCGAACCACTGGTTCTTCTCCTTCTTCGTCTGGAAGCGGCCGTGGCCGATCTTGGAGCTCGTGTCGATGAACTTCAGCACGATCTTCTCCTTCAGCTGGCGCGACGTCTGCGGGGCCATCGGCCGGCGCAGCGTCATCACACGGCGGCGCGGGCCCGACACGGAGCCCTTCAGCATCACGTAGTCGTTGCGCACCGTACCGTAGCCAACGAAGCCGCCCATCGGCGTGATCGTCTTCGCCGTCAGATCGTACGTCGTCGTGGCCTGGTTCGGCTCCACCGCGACGGAGCGGCCGACCTGGTAGATCTTCTTGTTCAGCTGCGTGCGGTGGTGGAAGCCGTGCTGACCGGCGCGGGCAACCGTGTACATCACGCGGGCGGGGTGCCACGCGCCGATGCAGGCCACCTTGCGGAGACCACGGTGGGTCTTGCGCGGCAGGCAGGCAACGCCCCAGCGCTTCACCACACCCTCCGTACCGTGACCCTTCGACACCGAGCACACGTCGCACGCCTCCGACTGCTGGAAGACGGAGTCCACGCGCACCTCCTTCTCAAGCAGCGACTTGGCGAGCTCCAGCTTCGCAGCGACGTTGCCGCCGTTGATCTGGATCTCCTGCACGTGCGCCTTCTTCACGCCCACGCGGTTGTTGCGCAGCTTGCGCAGCTGCGTGTGCGCCACAACGCGGATCACCGTCGCGTGCTTCGCGAACGCCTTCAGCGTGCGCGCCTCCGCAAGCTTGCCCTCCTTCGTGTGCGCGAACTGCTTCTGGCGTGTGAAGGCCAGCTGCGCGGACTGCTTCCAGTTCTTGTAGTAGCGGCGGCGGAACTCCACGCTCGTGTGGTGCGCCCACACGGTGCCGATCGTCTTGAGGCCCACGGGCGTCTCGCGGTAGCCCACGATGCCGACGATCACCATCGGCGGCGCCTCCAGGATCGTCACCGGCTCCACCACCTCCTTCTTGTTCACCTTGGAGCCCGGGCGGTCCACGTCGCGCACGATGTGCGTCATGCCGGCCTTGTACACCATGAAGCTGGTCAGGTGCGGCTTCTGCGTCGCGTCGTCCTTGGGGAAGGCGCGAGCGCGGCCGCGGATCTGGCGGGAGCGCTTGCGGGGCAGAAAGCCGAGATGGCCGTGGCGGGGGTGCTCGAACTTGCAGTGAGACATGGTTGCAGGGTGCTGGAAGGAAAGAGCAAAAGAAAAGGTGTGGGTGAACTGGAAAAGCGATGTGCAGCGCGTGGGGGACTTCGGAAAGAGGGAGAAGCCGGTAGCGTGTTCGTGACATTGTGAAGAAAAAGAAGGGGAGTTAGAGGAAGAGTGAGGGCGGCGCGAAGCAGAAATAAACTAGCGAGTAGCTTAGTAGAGTCAGAAGCACACACAGCGAGAAGCACTGATTGCGGACAGCAAAGCCCCCCAGCAAAAAACAAAGATTATTTTTCTTTTAAGCTTCAAATATCCGTACAGGACAGCTGTACGTTCCCTTCTTCACCGTTTTGAAAAGGTCTGCGGATTTACTTTCTTTTTCACTTTCTTGCGACCGCTCGTGTGGAGAGTGCCGGCAGATGCAGTGATGAACGGTTAATTAAAAGCTAGGTGAGTAAGGAAAAAAAATGAGAGAAAAACGGATTGCATCAAACATCAATGAGGACAACAGCAGGTACGTTCAACGGAATAACAGTGTCTTGGGTATTTCTCTTTCCAGCAAAAACTTATACGAGGTTCTTTTTGCGCTCTCTGTCTCTCTCATAACATCGCCTCCCACTTCATGCAAGCTGGCGCTTATTCGAAAGCACGCGAGCCAGCACCGCGGCAGACCCAATGACCTCCGTCTTGCGCAACGTGCGCACCGTCATCGGTGCACTAGCGCGTAACACCGGAAAAGAGGCGGATATCTCCGTGGGCGACACCGTCGGAAGCGATGCGAGGAGCTGCTGCAGTTGGCGCTGCTTCACAGGAGCCACGTCAATCACCTCGAAACGCACCAGCTTCCCCTCCAAGAGATTCAGGTGCAGCAAACTGTTGAACACCTTCTCGGCGGAACTGCCTTGTTTGAAGGTGAGACAGTGTGCGAGGGAGCTCACTGGATGAAAGGCACGCACCGGAAAGACAAGCACTACACCGCACGCCTCCACCGCCGCAGCGAGCACGTCCTGCACGCCCGTCGTTCCCAACAGCGGTGTAGACGTTGCTTGAACAGCGTCGAAGAAGGCGGTCACATCTTGCAGCTCCTGCCGCGCGGTCTTCTCCAGCTTCGACACATCACCGGTGTACGTGAGCTTCACGGACGAAGCGCCGGGAGTGTACTCGATTAACTTCCTTCGGTTCAGCTGCAGCGCCAGGCACTCGGTGCGCGCGCTCATCGGCACAAATATCTCATGTGGGTAGGCCACTCGCAATGCGGCAGCGACGTCCTCGGCGCTCGACAAGTCCGCTTTATTTAACGCCACCACCATCGGAAAACGCATGCGGATGTACAGGGCGACAAAGGCGTGCAGCTCCACCGGTCCCCACGTCCGCAGCTTCGCCGTGAGAGCCGCCTCATTCGCGATGCCGAGACGCCGCAGCACCCTATCAACAAAGGTAGATGTGCTGCGATAGCCGGTGAACATAGAACGAAACTTCGCCGGCTGCCGAACTAGACTGTACCACTTCGCACGCAGATTATCGTAAATCCAGCTGTGCACCTCGGAGCGGACCCAGGTAATGTCCTCGAGGGCGGAGCCTTTACCAGGTGCGCACGCCGTGCCGTCCGCCTCCGTCGCCGCTGCCCCGTCCACGACGTGCACGAGCACGTCGGCGTCGCACAAGTCGTTAAGGAATTGGTTCCCTTTCCCCTTTCCCTGGTAGGCACCTTGCACGAGTCCGGCGACGTCCTTCACCTTCACCGGGTGACGACGGAAGCTGCCGTTGCCCAGCGCGCGCACATGACCGTACGTCGCATCACAGGTACCACACGTCAGACTAGACGTGAGAATTTGGCTTGCTGACACCGCCGACGTCGCGGAAGACGCGGCCGCTGCGGTTGTTGTGGTGCTGTCTGTTGTCGATGCGGCGGTAGCTCCCGCCTTAAGTGCAGGCTGTGCAAAGGCCGCGCAGGGACAGAAGAGCGGCGCCAGACCAGCACCGATGTTCGGCTCGATCGTGGTGAAGGGAAAAGCCGCCACTCGGGCCGCACTGGCCTCCTCCTGCGGGTCGGTGACCGCGTTAAAGAAGGTGCTCTTGCCAGCACTGGGTTTTCCAATCAGGCCGATCGTCAACGTGCAAGACCCGCCGCCCGCGTTGGGCATCCCAGCATCTCCAAATGATTCCGCCTCTGCCGCCTCCGTCGCCGCCGCGTCCCTCTCCGCAGCTGTCGAGCCATCGCCCTCCTCCGCTGTCAAGCCACCGCCACCGCCGTGGCTCTCTCGACTGCGCCGCGCCTCCTGCATCAACAGCCGTGCGGCCTGCGCCTCCGCCTCTGCAATAAACACCTCGCGACTCGTTTCGTCCTCCGCGGCCCACGGACTGGCCGGGGCGGCATCGCCGTCTCCGCCCTCCCCCTCTCCATCCCGGCGGCCACTGCCGCCGTTAGCGCCTTCAGAGAAGACCTCCACCAGCACCTCCAGCTTCTCTTGCGCCGCCTCGGCCGCGTAGAGGTACGTGGGCAGCAGCAGCGCCGTGCCAAGACCGAGCTCGTCCTCCGCGTACGCCGACACCCTCACCACCATCTCCGCCGCCCACCGCTCAAACTTCACGGAGTGCCACCTCGGCCCATCAACGACGTCGACGGTGGGGAGCATGAAGGGGTAGCTGGGCGGGACGTGCAGACATAGCTTTATGCGCTCCAGTCCGTGCACGCTAGACGGGTCCAACGCACAGGCCGCGGCAGACGAGGATGACGCGAGAAGGGATTCCGCATCCGTCAACAGCGGCAGACGGACCAGCGTCTCGCTGCCACGCTCCACCACGGCAGCGTCGTCGTACATGGAACGGATCATCTCCAGCTCGTCCTCCCGCGCGTCCCGCGCCTCCGCGGCCTCGACGGACGTCATGGCGGCAGTCACACACACGCCGCGCACGGCGGAGCGCACCTCCTTTAACGTCGGGAGACTGTGGGCGTGCTCGTGGTAGAGGATGCGCGACGCGTCACTGCAGACCTGCGCAAAGGCAGCACTTTCTTCCGGAGACACGATGGAATCCTTCTTGCCAATTATGTGCAGGCACGGCAGAGAACCGAAGAAGGTTCTGGAGGCGTCCGAGTCGTCGAAGAGCGCAGCACGTCGGTTGCGACCAGGCCCAAAGACACGCCGCGGGTCCGGGGCACCAGCAACCACGACACCGCGTAGCTGCCCCTGAACCGCCACATCGTCGCTGTGCAGCTTGAGGTAGCGATAGATCATCAAAGCTCCTTGCGAGAAGCCAAGCATAACAGTGCACGCGAGTTTTGTTCCGGGCCCGGCAGGCTGCATCGCCGTTCGGACGAGGGTATCGCCAGCGCTGTAGTCCTCCTTGCCATCTGCACTGCACCACGATCGGGTAGGGGTGTCGTCCTCTGCCGTAATGAGGGGGAGCACGTGCGGGGCATCGAGAAATTCGAGCTCTGCGACGTCGGCGAGGTCGTCCTGCAGACGACTCAGCTGATTCTGAAAAATATCTTTTGTCTGCTGCGCGCCATGCAGGCACAACACTCGAATTGGCATTTGCAAACGATGTTGGGCTGTAACATGATGGAAAAGGGAAAAGAAGAAGAAAAATTGTTTTGTGGTGGCCGCTAAGGAGCAGAGAGGAGGATAGTACGAGAAAACGAACGCGCACGAAAGAGGCAGGTGAGATGGAGGAGGTGGAACGGTTCACGTGAACGCGCCATACGTTGTTGCGGCTGCAAAACACAAAGCGTGTCCGTAGACAGTGAAAAGCGTTTACAACCCCGGCGTAGCTTGCATGGTAGGCAAACCTTCATATCGATAGCTCGAACACGGACGCGGTGGTTGTTTAAAATCAAATTGTTGCTCCGCTTTTGTTGTTGTTTCTGTTTTGCAGTGTTTGAGAAACTGTACAAGACGGTAAAGTGGTGACGTGGTACAAACTTCATTTCAGCTCACAGGTAGGCATGCAGCCGAGGTACACTGGAAGGAGCTATCGGGGGAGCCGGATAAATTGCACTGAAGAGGCGAAAGAAAAAAATGACTTGATGCAAGCCTTCGTCTTAGAACTCCTTATCCGCCCTATGTCTATGAGTGGATGGAGGTCGTCTTCTCCATGGCACTTTGGCTGCTCTCCTGGCGTTGCAGTCGGTGCAGCAACACACGGACGTGCTCCATTTCTTTCAACGCCGCCTCCTCACCAAGCAAAACGGTTTTGTGCATCGTGGAAAGGTATTCGAGTAGCTTCATCGTCGCGCCGCCCCGTGAGGTCTCGCCATCGGCATTTCCTACGTGAGATCGATTCTGCTGACGCTCACCTGCGGACTTGCCCTCCGCGGTGGAGTACGTTGCTAACATTTGTTGATTCACTTCCTTTCGAGTACTCTGTTCATTGCAGACATCATTTCCACTGCGCTCCCGTGTGCGAGTTAACAATGTCGTGAGTTGTTCGAGACGTGTGGCGGACCCGTCTTGCAGGTGACGGAGCAATTCAAGGCGCTCCGTAATACACACATCAAAGTCGTGCAGCCTCGCCTTCGACCTTGACGCTTGGTCCGTCAACAGCTGTTCCTCAGGAAAGGAAGGTTTGGCATGGACTCGACGTAGAGCATCCTCGAGCTCCCTCCCACGTCGCACCTGCTCACGCTCTAATTTGGCCTCTAGCCTCCTTTCCTTCGCCGTCCAGTCTTCGACCTTCGCTTCCAGATGCGCCTTCTGAGTGCAGAGCAACTCGTAGCGGTGTTTCCGTGTGCGCATAGTTGCCAGCTCCTGGTCTAGCTGGAGTGTAAGCGCGACGATCGACGGGTCGGAGGCAGCAGTAGGACTTTGCAAAGCCTCTTTTTGCTTCTGTACCTCATCAACGGCTTTTTGTTTTTGCTCCTCGGCGTTGAGGAGAGACTGAAGTTGCTGCTCAGCAGCAGTAAGCTCCTCTTGCGCATGCGTGTACGCCAGCACAGCGCCGTGGCATTGCATGGAGCTGTGCTGCGCTGCCGCGCGGTAGCGATCGGCCTCCATGGCCACCGCACCCGCCTCCCGCGCCAGACGCGAGGACACGTCCTGGAAGCCGCTATTTGCGTAGTGCATCAACGCCGAATCCTGACCAAATCGCACCGCCTCTGTGAAGTCGAGTGTGTCGCGCGGTAGGGATTCGAAAGGCCAGTCGCGAGCAAGGACGTCCGCAAACGTGTCGTTCACACGAGCACTTCTGCAAGCTCTCTGTTCTTGCAGCAATACTGTAGCTTCAGCGTCCCCTCGCGAGTTGGCGTCTGTCGATGCGGAAGCGGAGGGCGAAGTGGGAAGGTGGCCGGGCGGGCTGCGACTACGAACAAGATGCGGGAAAAGAGAACCAGAAGGAAGCGCCGTCTTGGATCTCTGAGGCTGCGGTGGACATCCTTCATCTACGCCGTTGAAATGGTCATTCGCTATGTGAGAAAAGGGGGAGTTGCGTACTCCTGGAAACCCGGCTCTACGCTGTGCCGTTTGGTGTGAAGCGTGGGAGCGGATAGGCGAAAGGTCCGCCGACCAGACAGCGGAGACGTTCAGCTTCCTGTGCAGCACGTCGTCGCTTTCTGCACGCATGCTTTTTTGGGGTGACGTAATTTGCGAGATGTTCACATTGGTGTAGAGGGGTTTCTTTTTTGCTGTGTGCTCGCGTGCGCACTGCGATGCACTATCTTGATTATTAGGGGGGAGCCAATGAACGTGCGGGAGCAGTGCGTTCCACCCCCACAGGCGTCAATGCGGTCGCGACACTGATTTGATCTGTACCTCGTCCATAAAAGAACCAAGACAAGTGCAAAACAAGAAAATAGAAGGGAAAAGAAAGATGGGAAGACATGTATTTGAGTTTCTCTTCCCGGTGCAGTTGAGTTGGTTGTCGCTCAGCCTTCACCAGTATTCTTCCTCGGGTAGAACCAACGTTTGTCCAAGTCATAGGTTGTGTCGGCCTTCTCAGTAAGCCGCTGCTTTGGTTGTTGATGTCGTTGAAGATGTCTTTCTTTCTTTCTTGTGGAGTGCGCGAGGAGTTGGACGCACATGGAATTCCGTTTTTCTCTACTGAGTCCTCACTTGAGGGGCGAGAACACAGCCGACGTAGACGCGTGGAATCAGATCGCAGGGTGCTGTTCTTTCAGCGCACGACACGTCAGCAGCGTTTTCTTTTGCCTTTTCAGCGTAAGGCATTTCGCAGAAGCCGCTCCACCAGCTGCAGTGCCCGCGCCTCTTCATCCTCCTCTTCGCGACTTCGCATTCGTTCGCTGGAGTGCGTCGCAGAAGTTGCCTCCGTCGTGGAGGCCACTCGCGTCGGAGGCGCTGCGGGACTGGGACTCAGACGGACGGCCTCCAGCGCCGTTCCCGTCTCACCAGCCAGCCTACGCTGGGAGATAAACTGTAACGCGTACTGGAGAGCTTCGGCGTGAAAGTCTTGTGCAGCCGCAGCAGAAGATGGCGGTGGTGCGGGCGTGCCCTCTGAGCCTGGCAGAGGTGCCCTTGTCAACGCATACTGCGGCTTCTTCTTTCTGAATGGCAAAGAGGCGGTGTTCAACGCCTCAGAGAAAGGAGCAGGCGCGTTTGCGGATCCGGCTTCAGAAGCCACCGCAGGAAACGCCTCCCCTCCCACGCCGATGCTGGGCGGGTCCGCCTCGTCGTCGTCTTCACGGCTCGCCCACGTGCTCGTCGAAAGACTGTACAGCACCGACAAAGGCACGTTGTTGAGCAGCGTGTCTGCCGCCTGTGTAAAGGTACCTTTACTGCTTTCATTCTCGCCTCTGCGCCTGATTCGCTGCAAGAAATCGCTTGATTGGGCGGGTGTAGCTTGAGGACCAGGTCGACTGTCGCCGTCCTTCACAGCACCCTTACCACCCGCAAGGTCGTTTGCAAGAGATGGTGTTGATGGTGCGCCGCTCCTCACCGCGTGCTTCAAACGTCTCTCTGGAGCACTAACAGCCTCATGAAAGATCCATAAAGAGTCCCGCCGCCCACCGGCCAGCACGCGAAACTGCTGTGTTACGAAGTAGTAGAAGAGCTCTGCCAAATGTCGGCACACCTTGGTCCCGTCCTCGGTGTGCGACACCTGCTCATACATGCCCGGCGTGCAAGTACAGGAAAGGGAGCCAACAACACGGCGCCACTGGGTGCGTGCGAGATGCACCACCGCCTGCACCGCTGCCGCCTCTGGTGACGTTGCAGGGCTTGCAGTTGCTGCGGTTGTCGTGGTAACTTCAGCTCTAGCCCTTAGGTGGCCTTTCTGCGCAGTCCTTCGGTCGTCTGCTGCTGCAGCGGTAGCGCCATACGTTGACGTAGCGCTGAACAGCGCGAGAAGCGGCGCCACGCTCACGCTCAGTCGCACGTGCAGGTAGCGGCGCACGGTGGCAGAGACGGCGTACCGCATGGGGCCGGTGACGACGCAGCTGTAACCGGAGATGTAGTCCGTTAAGCGCCGCTGCGATGTGCTGGCGTGTGCGTCTACCACATTTACCGCCGTGACGTAATTGCCGCGTCGAAACAGCAGGGAGGCGAACAGGGAGAGGGCGGACATGTGGATTGGCATAAGCGTCACCGGCGGTGCGTGGCTGGCAAGCAGTCGCGCCTCGCGTCGTGCGGCGTTGACGAAGGTGTCCTCGTTACGCGTGGCAGGCCGGACAAGACCGTAAGAGAGCCATAGCCATCGCAGCGAGTGCGCGGTCTTGCTTGCTGGGGAAACACGGGAGCCAGAGGAAATGGTGGTCCACCTCTTCCTCTCCGTGTCCTCTTCGAGTTGCGTTGGCGCACCCGGCAGCACGTCCACGCATACGCGGTGGAGAAGCAGTTGTGGTCGTCGCGGCTTGTCGCGCAGTCGAGCAGCCAGTCCGCTCCACTTACAAAGGTCTTCAAAATATCTGTCTTGCAGAGAAGCAGGCAGCCGCGACTCTTCCACCTCCCTATTACACGGATCAGAAAGTGAGTCGGAGGAACACACTGTGGTGGCCATGACAGCCGCGAGACTTCCTACGTCCACCTCTTCCTTTGGCACAGCTGCAGCAGCGCTTTCAAGAAGCTGAGCGGTAGATGGAAAACGAAGCATTTCGGCTAACACGTCTGCGCAGGCAGGAAGTGAAGTGTAGATTTGGTTTTGTGAGAGGATTTGAGCGAAGGCCGTGTTGCCGGCCGCGCTGCACGATACGGCCAGACTCCGACCCGGGTCCAGTTGCATATCGAGCGAGGCATGCAGCACGGCTTTTGCCAGGAGTCTATCCACATTATTTGCGGATACGTAGAAGTCCGCTGCCGCCGCCACAGCGGTGCTAGAAGCGGCAGCAGCAGCAGCAGCAGATGGCGGAATGGCCATCTCTGCGGTCATGGAGACGGCGAAGAGAGGAGGCATATACCCGTGCGCGATGTGCGCGCGCTGCGTCCACCAGTGCAGTGCGTCCACGAGAGACACTGTTGGGGGGCAGAGAAACACTACGATGCCGCCATCTCCTTTTCCAGTACCACTCTGAGAAGGAGAAGAAGGCAGCTGTGTGCGGTCAGTGCTCCGCCCTTCGCTTGCACGCGACCGTTTTCGATGCCGACTCGGTGCCTTCGTGGGCCGCACACACGATGGCGCATCTGCAGCGGCAGCGGAAGAGCCAGTTTTGTCGGACCATTTTAGGTGCTCGCACTTCTGCTGATGAACGCACCCCCAATACACCAGCAGCTGGCGCAGCTGAGCGCCGTGCGTATCGTGATACCGCGTGGAGAGCTCAATCCACAAACACGGACGGCGTTGGGATGGGCTGTTCAACTCCGCAGCTGCACGTGTATCCTTCCACCACGGCAGTGCATCAGGACCTTCGTCGGAAAAAAGACTGTTTATTGATTTGCGGAGGGAGACGGTCTCTTGTGGGGCTTTCTGGCCCGGCTGCTGATGTCTTTGCCTTTTCTTTTTTCGGGGAGGGGCGGTTGCTGGTAAGGGAGAGACGTCATTCTCCATTTTCGCTCCTCGCGGCCACACTTTGGCGATGAGCAGCTCATCATCTGCGGTGTCCTCAATCTGGAACTCGGAGTCGATAGTAGAAACCAGCAGCTCCTCGTTAAGCACGTCCGCACTGGGGGAGATAGGATGCACAGGTGCATCTTGAGTCAAACCCGCGCGGCCTTCCAGAAGATAGTCAGACACATCGGGTATCTTTTCGCGCGGGCCTTTCGGCTTCCGGTTTCGTTTCCTTTGCGGTGGCGCTTTGACTTGCTCTGCCGCGGCTGCGTCCTCCGACACCAAAAACGACAGCTGAGACAGCGGGCTCACGTTTCCGTTGCCGCCGTTGGAAAAAACGCGATCAGAGGGGGACCAATCCTCCATATCAAACTCTCCAAAGCCTCCAACTGGCGCCTGCACCGTCAGCGTTGCATGACGCTCCTCGACCTCGGAAGCGATCAATGTCGAGCGCGAAGGAGCCGCACATGTTTTGGTCCGATCTTCCTCACTCGTCAAAGCTGGCGCGGAACTCGTCTCCAGTGGCGGTGACGAGATGCAAGCGTTATTCGCGTTGCTTGTTTGAAGCAACGCGGAATTCGATGTCTCCATTCTGCTTTCATCGGACGCCTTCCCCACCACTTCTTTTTTATCCATTCCTCCCTCCGATGACTTCGAATCCGCTGCGCTCTCCGACCCTGTCTTGCGCTTCCTCTTCTTCGTCGTCTTCGCGACCGCTTTTTTGCGATTGGGAGAGGTGCAGGTGGTGGCAGTGGTCGAGGCTTCCGAGGGAGTTTCAGCCGTCTTTGTAGGCTTCTTTTTAGGGTCCGTCGGGGACGTCTCGGCTGCCTCTGTCTCCGTTGGTGTGCGTGCCAGCCTACCCCTCGGCCTCCTCTTCGCCGGAGCGCTGAGCAGCGGCTTCGGTGTCCACGCCAACTCCGCGGCGTTAATACGAGGCCGCATCAACAGCTGTCCTGCCGTGTCGACAGTCTCGGTGAAGAGCAAACCGGACGCCAACTGCGAGAGGGAAGGGCAGCCGTACGTGTCACTGAGCGTCGCTTTCAGCCCCGATAGGTGGGCTGCTGTCGTAGTGGAAGAGCAGTACGCTCCTGAGCCCCGCGGCGCCGCTGACGAGCTAGATGCGGTCGGGACATCGAGTACCGACGTGGGCAACGTGGACACGGTGACGAGGTCGTCTGGAACTTCCAGCAAGCGCTTCAACGATTCGTCCTGTTTGCGCTCCGCAACATTTGAGATCGGTGACAGTGCATTCTGCGTCTGCGACTCTGCGGGATCGCTGTCCGGCCTGGTGAGAAGCTCTGCATCCTCATGTGGTGCCACGGTAGCCGTGGGCAGACTCGCACCGAAGCATGCACGCCGCGAAGTCTCGGTCACCGCCGTGGTGGCCATGTTGGGGTTAACAGCTATGGTGGCAGCGGAGGGGTCGAGCAAAGGGGAATCTGGCGTAGAAGAAGAAGAGGGCAGCAAATTGTGACTTTGCGACGCCGCGTCGGAGGGAGACAGAGCAATCGTTGGCGCTGAACCGTCTCCTGGGTCGCTCGTGATAGGAGAAGACAAAGGAGACAGTCGAGGAGAGGGGGCACTACCCGATGGTCTTGATCCTACCGCAGGATCACTAGTCGTAGAGGACGACGTGTAGGAGAAGAGGGAACTGGGAAAAGACAGTAGCAACGGCGCCTGTGCAGTCGTCTGCGCAGAAGCAACGTCATGCGTTCCACAAGGTATGTAGACGTCTTCCGGTTGTAGCTCATCCCTCACGGCGACTAAAGCTGGAATCCCTTCCTCCGCTCTCTGTTCAGGAGTGAAAGAGTCCTGTGCCGTCGTCGCCGGCGGCGGAAGCCCCGGTGGTGATGGTGAGGGCGTGGATTCATTAGAATCGGTCATGAAGGTCACCGGCGAGGAGGACCACGGTGACGCCGTCGTAAAGGAGTACCGGTCAAACAAATTCGTTTCGTTGTCTTCGAGCGAAGCAGACTGCACAGACGCGGAAGAAGTCGAGGAGGTTGATGAGGACGGCGCTCCTGCGTCCTTGTCCTCCTGTGAAGATGCGGAAGATCTATGGATCATTATGGGAGGATGTGTTGATACCTACTTTCACGGTGTTTACAAGGGATTCTATTTTCGATCGTATGTATATGTTTTTAAGTAGTGTGTACGTGTGCTATGCGGAGGAGAAGTTAAATGTATGTTGCGGACAGCGGCTTTCCCTCTCGTCAAAGCGCTGGATTACGCCTCAAGGCGTTCCTCTTTAAAGGTTGGCGCTCGCGCGCAGTCGAACTTGCTTGTCGCACCTGTTATACTGATTGTGTTGCGTTGGTTGGAGAAAGTGAAACGGTGACACTCCATTTCAAAATCAAAAGGTCATTCGGCGAGCAATGAGGCGGAAACAAAAGACGAGGGGCAGTGAGTTTTGCTTGTTGCTGCTGTTGATGAATGCATGCAAAGCAAGTCAACGAAGTGGATGGGCCGCATTTGGCATTGCAGCAACGCTGTGCACGCAGCCAGCTTTAACGCGTCACAGTTTCCTTTCTGTGTGTATGTGAAAACATCGGCCGAGCTATGGCAAGTTCGAGGACGGAACACACGAGCAAAAATCCCAGTAGCTAACACATCCTTTGCGCCGCGAAAGATGATGTCGGTAGCCTTCGAGCAAGACGCCTGCAGATCGATGAACGCGGTGCGCTTTGCTTTCCTCATTCTGTCTTTGTCCTTTCTTTAAGAATAGATCGATCGGTACCTACACGGACCACAGATCAGGTAACAGTGAAGAAAAATACTCACACACACACACACACACACACACAGAGAGAGAGAGAGAAAGGAGAACGGCTGCGGAAAAGGGTGGAAAACGCGCCGTACGCCTCCTTCACCTCGCCGCCTCGTTGCACGCGTGCCACATCAACGTAAAACTCTTTCTCATAATGAACCCAAAATTCGCCTACGTCAGCGATTATTTCCCGCTTGCACGAACCCGCGCCACACATCCAGTACATGCTCAAAGCGGCGCGTCACCCTCTGTCCAACATTGGTCACCAACACTACAGCCAGCCGTCAGACGCAATCGGTATAGGTAAAAGCAAGGCGAACAATAGCAGCCATATCTGGCAAGGCAAACAGTGATGCACAGCACTCAGCAAATACAAAAAGGAAGTGACGCCACAAAGACAGAGAGAGAGGGGGGTTGTGCGTAAAGAGAAACGTCAGACACATCACATGTCGGCACCGCTCCGCAAACATTTCAGCAGCCTTTTTTTTTTAAGGGGGACCTTTTAGTGTGCTGATTGCTGCTGTTTCTCACCCTGACTGCATTGTTGAGGATCAGCCTCGGAAGGCGTCTTCTCGCTGCCGTCTCCTCCGGCGCGGTGTCGGTCGCGCAGCTGCTGCAGCCACATCTCAGAGTACAGCCCACCCTTGCGTAGCAGCTCCGCATGGGTGCCCTGCTCCCCCACACCACCCTTGCCATCGAGCACAAAGATTATGTCCGCCTCCTTCACAGTCGTGAGGCGATGGGCGATGAGGATAATGGTGCGGGGACGCGTCCGGCCAGTCGCGCTCTTGAGGGTATCCATCACGTTCAGCTCCGTCGTGCTGTCCAGGGCAGAGGTAGCCTCATCCGCCAAGAGGATCGGAGGATCGGCCAGCACCACCCGCGCAATGGACACGCGCTGCTTCTCGCCGCCGCTGAGCTTCAAGCCGCGCTCGCCGACGGACGTGGCGTAGCCGTTGCTCATGTGCATAACGGTGTCGTGCAAGCTAGCCGCCTTCGCCGCCGCCTCCACCTCCTCGTCCGTCGCGTTCATGCGGCCGTAGCGAATGTTGTAGCGCACCGACTCGTTGAAGAGAACCGTGTCTTGTGGAATTACGCCAATGTACTTGCGCACGCTCTTCATCTTCAGCGTGTCGAGCGGCTGCCCGTCCAGCAGCACCTGCCCAGCCGTCGGGTCGTAGAAGCGGAAGAGGAGGCGGAAGATGGTGCTCTTGCCGCTGCCAGAGGGCCCCACAAAGGCCACCGTCTTCCCACCAGGGATGGTGAGACTGAGGTGGCGCAGCACGAGGCGGTTCAGCTCCTTCTTGTACTCAAAGGAGACGTCGCGTAGCTCGATGGTGCCGTCAATGTACTTGTATTCTTTGGCATCCGTCTTGTTGTTCACGTTGGGGCTCTTGTCCAGCAGGGCAATCATCGCCTGCATGTTCTGCGTGCTGGTTTGCACCTCACGGTAAATCATGCCTAGGTAGCTGAGCGGCATGTACAGCTGCATGAGCAGCGCGTCGACAAGCACGAGGTCACCCACCGTCAGCGCACCGGCGAGCACGCCGCACGTGGCGAAGTACAGACTGAGCACGCCGGCCGTGACAAAGATGACTTGCTGACCAAAGTTCAGCACCGCCATTGTCTGATCCAGAATCACCAGCTGATTGTTCATGTTCGTCGTCTCGGTGCGAATGCGCTGCGACTCGTAGGTCTCCGTCCCAAAGTACTTCACCGTTTCGTAGTTCAGCAGCGAGTCGACAATCAGGCCACCGCAGCGGCTGTCCAGGGCGTTGTAGCGCGTGCGGAACTTTGCGCGCCAGTTGGTGACGAGAAACGTCCACGAAACGTACGCCACCACCGCCACCAGCGCAATGCCAATGAACTGCGGACCCGCCTGCGTGTTCAGCGCACAACAGACCAGCCCCATCTCAAAGGTGGTCGGCACAACCATGAAGAGTAAGGCGTAGGCCAACGACCAGAAGGCGCGGCTGCCGCGATCCAAATCTTTGCTGATCACACCCGTCTCGCGGTTCAAGTGGTAGTTCAGGTCCAGCTGGTGCAGCTTGTCAAACATCTCCATTGCGAGCTTCGTGGACGCGTGGCCACCGACAGGGGCAAACAGCAACGTCTTCAGCTCCTCGGTAATCGAGGTGGTGATGCGGCAGATACCGTACGCCACGACACACCCGAAGACACCGATCACAAAAGGGCCAGCCACCGTCGCGGCTTCGGCAGTCGCAGTGGCAGGAGCCAGTAGATCAACTATCGTTTTGAACCAAAACGGCACCGCCACCTTCAGCACCTTCGCGAGGAGCACGCAGAAGACGCTTCCCGCAACCAGTGCCTTAATCTTCGGTTCCCCTCGTGGCCAGAGGTAGGACCAAACCTTCCCCACCACACGTCCAACGGGAATGTCGGAGGCATTCTCAGAAATATGAATGCCGTCCTGTCGCGGTGGCGTGCTGATCAGCGGCGGAGCCTTATCACTCGCCTTTGCGGGGGGTGAGCCGGACGGGGACGTTCCAGCTTTACTGCCGCCGTTGTTTGGGTCCTGCAAAGCCTGCGTGCGACTGTCAGCGCCTCCTTCCTTGCTCTGTGCAGAAGAGCCGTCTGTGGAGGCAGCAGCAACGGAGGGTGTGCTCTTCGTGTCCGAGCTCTGCCGCTCCTTCAGCTCCTTCGTTGCCGCCTCCACACGCTCGCCCATGTTCACGCGGTGAATTACCTCCGTCTCGTTGTTGGAAAGACGCACAAACGTGCCGCGCGCGCCATCGGCTGTCGGTGAAGCCTCTTCTCCCTCACTTTTACTAGCGGCCTCCTCCTTCTGCTTCTTCGCTGCGTCCGTCGTGGTGCTTGCCGCCTTCCACTTCGCCTCTGTCAGTTTGGATTGTGTGGCATCGAACGACGGCGGCGTGCTGCCAACCTCGAAAGCAGCCCCGGTACTCTCGCGAAATCGCTTCTTCTTTTCATCCTCCGCCGGGGGCTTCGCGCTCGGGGCGCGCAGCAGCCACGACGGCCATACAAACGTGCGGGCCGCAACGTACGTGCTGGAGCTAAGAAAAGAGGAGGAAGAGGGGGATAAAGAAAACGTGTCTCCGCCAACGGCTCCATGAAGAACCGGTGCCCCTCTCCGTGTCCTGTACGCGGTGGTCACCGACCACAAGTGCAACGAGATGGGCCGCATGCCACTGCCGCGATGGGAGACACCCGCAGCCGCCCTGCGCAGCAGCGTGCGTCCACAGCGCAGCATCTCCACAACTATTGCGCACACAGTGCTTTCGCTTTTTAACCGTCCGCTGTGCTGAAGACGAAATGCCAACAGAATCGGACGTCGATCTGCTGCTGCAGAGAAACAAAAACAAGGCGATGCTTGCAGGAGCAGACGATGTACCAGACGAGATAGATAGAGAGAAGGGGAGTAGAGAAGCAACCGTATTCACAGAAGGAAAGAAAGAACAGGGGGGGGGGGGCAAAAAGTTTGCGTCTCTGCTGTGTGGTAGACGTGCGTGAGCGGCCGCTTGTCTGAACAAACACGCAAACAGAAAAGTACAAGACCTTAGCGTCTTGCGAATCACTTCGCAACCTCTCGTACAACAAAAAAGGGGAGAGGAAAAAAGGTCAACTGGAAGATGGAGAAAAGAAGTAAGAAACGGTCGTCTTGAAGAAAGTACGAAACGAGATGAAAGAATGTGTGAAGAGGAAATAGCAACGGAAAAGCGTAATCGCCGCTCGAAAAAGGGGGCGGTCAACAAAATACGCCGGAAGCCGTAAACCCCTCGCTTGACCACAAGCACAAAAAATAAGAGAGAGAGAGGGGGGCGCACGTGGCGCCTTACTGTTCGTCGTTACGAATAAACCGTCAAATAACCGCACACACACACACACACACATATATATATGTGTAGAAAATGCCAAAAGCGGTCCGGTTTTTATTTTCCACCTCACACCCCCATTCCACCTACGCAGCTGCACTGACGTAAATGGAAGGCGAGGCAAGGAAGACGCGTCGCAGTTCTCGGCCTGCACCGTAGATACAACAGAGTAAAGTTGAGCAAATGCCAAGAAAAAGGTTTACCGCTCTAACACCTTCTCACCAGTTCCAGATGACTCCACCGCACACCGATATACAGTACTTGAGAAAGGGGTATTTCGTCAGAAATAGAAAAGATACGCAGAGCAAACAACAACGGTAAAAAAAAGATGTGTAAACAGAGCAAATATTAGCAGATGAATTTTTTAAAGCTCACAAGCAAATCGACGTGTCATGTATGTCCTTCCGAATTATGGTACAAGCAAAATTGTAATGTTGCTCGAAACAGAAGCGGAAAGCAGCTCAAAGCCTTCAGGTTTGGACGCGCCAGTACATGAATCACTTTGATGCACAGTTTGTGATGATATAAACGTGCTTAAAAACCAAAGAGAGAAGGTCTCGCTTGCAGTAAAGAAGGAGAAAAAAAGGCAATTAGAGAGTTCTATGTTGCAACACTACCTTTCCTGCTCTCTTGTACGATCCACTTCGCTCGTGCGATTCTATGCGTGGAGTTGGACGTGACAATGGAGAAACTCGAAGTGAAAGGAAGAGTAGTGAAGAACAAGATCAGGACAGGAAGGACAGGAAGGACCAAGAAATAGAAGAAGTGCAGGAGAAAAAAAAAAAGTGAGAGTCAGGTACTTGGTGAGTGAAGCTACCAACAGGCGTACCATTTTTTCTCTGAACACTTCTCAGTGTAGAAGAAAGCACGTATTGCGCCCAAAAGGAGATACAGCAACACCTTTCTGCTGTAGTCGCCAGCACAAAAAAGTTTTTGAGGTCTCGTCAACATAAGACTCACGTCAGATCATCCACTACACCCCGTGTATCCTTCCGGAGGAGACGCCATGGGTGATTTTGTACCTGTGTTGGCAGCGACACCAGCTGCAGCTTAATTAGCAAACGTTCGAGTTAACATTTTTAAGTATTCTTTTTGCGTTGGTGATGAATTCTATAAGCACGGTTGATCACTTCTATGCCAAAGTTTCTCTCTTTCTTTGATCAAACCCGAAAAAAAAAGTTGCATCTTTGAAAACAAAAAGAAAGCCGTCGCGCGCGGCGAAGAGCGGGTGCGATTCGACAGCGTGAAAGCCTCCAACGTATGCGAGAAGAGAGTGAAGTACTCCCCTCCTCTCTCTCTTCTAAGTTGGCTTTTTGCTATCTCACGGAGCGCCGGGTTGACTCGTTACGGAGTCCGTCGAGACCCGTCCTGAGTGAGCACTCCCCCTGCATAGCCCGGGTGTCTGCCTGTGCTACTCGGTGCGGCACCAGATCGACTGCTTTGCTGGGACTGGCTGTAGCCTGACGGCGCACCAGGACGTCGCCGGCGTGGAATGCGGAAAAGACTCGGCACCGTTAAAGTCTCAATTTCGTCTAAATTCGTCCCCTGCGCGATGCGTCCGCAGCACGCCTCCAAAAAGTCGATCTCAAAGCGACTCAGTGGATAAGACGTGGCCCACACCCCGGGCAGAGGCCGGTAGGTGTGCCGTTGCCGCTCCGCCACCGACGCGTACTCCATGGCATCAAAGAGGCTGCGATGGAAACCGGCGCGGTAGAGGTAGGGCGCGATGAGATCCACACCGTGCAGCACCAGCGTGCCGTCCGTCATCAGCTCCATCGACACCGCAGGCGACGTCTCAAAGCGGCGGACGAGATTCCACTTTTCCTTCTCATTCTGACCGCACTGCGGACAGCCTTCGACGGAGCCGTCCTCGGCCTTCACCCGCGATGCGCCGCATTGTGTGCAGTGCGGCACCCACAGTCGGATTTGGCTGGGCAGCGCCTGCCGTCCGTCGTGCTGGCCCTCCACAAAGTGCACCACCACGACACCGCCGTCGTCTTGCGCAGAAGGGGAAGGGGGAGGAGACGCGCCTGCCTCCCCCGCTGCTGCAGCGATCGACGCCGCCTGTTCACGTTTTACACGCACCGCCGGAGACTGACCACCATCGGAGGCCGCTCTGTCGGACGTCGGACCCGGTGGTAGACTCCGCGGTCGCCGCGTGCCGGCCGCCGCTAGTACGGCCGAAATCGTAGCAGAGGAGGAAGAAGACGAGGGCGGGTTCGCCTGCACCACGACGTCGTCGCTCTCCTCGTCCGTCACGTCGCCGAAGTAATTCTCATAGTCGCCCTGCGTCGCATCCACCACCATCATCATCTGCTCCTTCCGCTTCTCACGCGTCACATCGCCGTTGCGGAAGCTGCCGTCCGGCTCGAGCACCACCATGTGCGTTCCACTCGGCATTTGGTCAATGACGTTTTTCATCCACAGGTCCACCTCGAGGGAGGAGGCGGTGACGCGGCGCTCGCACACGGGGCACGGCCCGACAGGGTCACGCATCGACCGACACTTGTCCAGCATCACAATCCATGACTCGAGGTCGCAGCACTGAAGGTGGTTGCAGTCCCTGCTGCGCACGGGATGGAGAATTGGGAGACGTGAGTACGGGCAGAGCAAGGAGAACTCAACGGAGGACACCATGAGCTCCTCCTCTTCCCCCTCGGCCTTGTCGTTGTGCGGCGACGCACGCGCAGTTGCAGGTGAGTTGCCACCAGTCGCCCCGGCCGATGCGCTCGAACGCCCAGATCCTTGTGCCGCCCGCAGCGGTGACGTCTTACTGGCCGCTGCCTCCTCTCCAAACGCCACTTTCAGGGCACGTTGGCGATGGACATGAAGTTTCCCAGCCGCCTCGCGGCCGCCTTGCTGGGCCTCGTCCAGCTCCCCCACAATTCGACTTCGTACCTCCTGCAACGTGCCGGAGACGTCGTTGGTGACTGGTGACGAGACGCCTGTGTACGAGAAACTCACGGCACCCCCTCGCAGATGTGCGCTGGAGTGATCAGCGTTGGCCCAGTGCAATTGCTGCTGTTGCTGATGTTGATGCTGCCCTGCACTGTTGCTGGTCGAGCCATGGCTGCCTCGAGGAGAAGCCGAGGCGTACGGCGAGAGAGACGAAGATGAATCGAGGCGATAGGCGCCACCGCCGCGCGGTGCCGTGGCCGCGTCGAAGAAGCTCGCGATTGAGAAGTGATCTCGATGAGACTGGCTGGGGGCGACGAGGGATGGGCGCCCACTTCCTCCCTTGGGGGGCATTTACAAACACCCTTTCGACAATCGAGGAAGAGAGAAGAAAAAGAAAAATCCCCTCAACCAATAGCTGATGCTTTGCTGTCTTTCTTTTTAGGGGCTAGGACAAAAAAAACTCGTTTAGCAAAGCTGATTTGCTTACCGAAAAGAGAGGAGAAGTTATAAAAGCAGCAGCAGCACAGACAGAAAATAGCTTTAAAAAAAAGGAAAGGAAAGAAGAGAAAACCGAAAGGCGAAGGGGGAGCGAGGCGTTGCGAATTTGACCCACATGAAAGACGGTTATAGATGCGTGTGTGCAATCACAAGATCTAATTCAGCCAAAAACAATAAACGAAGAGAAACCCTCTCATGCAGATCTGCATGAGCGTACATATGTGCTCATCAACGGCGTGCCTGCTGCAGTTCACTCGCACCCACGCCTTCCTTTCCTTAGCAGCTGCGATAGGTATATTTAAAGCTGTGACCCCAGAAGAAGAGTTATGCGAAGAGACGAGTGAGAAGGTGGAGAAGGAAAGAGCGAAGAGAGAGTGGGGCAAAAAAATGGGGGAAAATAAGTTTGTTTGTTTTTTGAGACGCACGCGACACTTCGCAAAGTTGATGCTCGGATATTTGCTGTCATCAGGTAGCAAAAAGAGGGGTGCCTACTGCTGCACCATCTCTATTTCCGTACAACCAGTGATGCCGCACGACTAAGCTGCAACACTTCTGCCCACTTTAGTCTGGTTTTTCTCCAGACAATTGAAAAGTGTTCGGACCCCGCATCTTGGTTTTTTCAGTAATTGTGAAGCTTACGCATCCAGAAAAAAAGTGCCAGGGATAAGGTAAGGAAAAATAATTGTTGTAACGAATGGGCAAGAATAACAATAGTAAATATCACTACCGGCTGCGGTAATAGGTGGGGCACAAGAGAGCGGCAAGTGAATGCTCTGTCACAACAAGCGTGAAACGATAAAGCCCCCACTCCGTCTGTCCCATCGCAGAAGCAGAAAGATAACAAAGGAAAAGGAAGAAGTCGTGTGAGTCATTCGCGCAACGCTCTCCTTCTGCCGTTGAAGGTGCCTCACTTCTTATCTCCCCACCTTAGTCGTAACGGAGCGCGTACACCCACTTCGCTCGTTGATACGCGTAGACCAACAGACCGCCTGACCACATTACGTAGAGCGAGTTCAGAAAAGAAGGCATCAGCAACCGCGGCGTCCGCATGGCGTGCAGAAAGTACTGCGCAGAAGCCGAGGCGGCAGCGGCGCACATGTAGACGTTTGAGAGCTTCGCGTCATAGGGGTACATCACAATGGCTGCCCCGCCAATGGCCGTGTTGATGGCGCCGGTGAAGAGCATGATGCGGCGGCTGCTGTTGTACCAACACGCAACGGAGCCGCACGCGTTTAGCACAGAGAACGCCCCTGCACCTACAGCAAAAGGAATATACATCATTTTTTGGAGTGGGTGTTTGTTTGTTTGTTCGTTGGATATCGAGGGGAAAAAGACTGATAAGAGCAGTGTTTTTTTGCTTTTTATAGGGTGGTATTATCAGCAAATGATACGGAAGATTTTCAAGATACTAATTGGAGTAGTTTAATGTGAAAGGGGAAGTGTTTGATGGAAGAAAAAATACTAAGGTTTTCCTTTGTGCAGTTGCTTTGAGAACGCAACGTGTGGTCTGACTTTGCTTCCGTAACGAATGCGAGGTGGCAAAGGAAAGCGGGGTCAATTGAAGTGAGGGGGGAGACACAGACAAACGACGGCGGCGCTGTTGAAAGCCAAAGAAATAAGGGGAAAAAAAGGTAAGTGGTGGAAAGGTGAAAATCAGACGAGAAGGCGATGAGCAGAAAGAGATGTACGTCCTCTCCGCGGTTGTTCGAAAATACAAAGCGAGAAAAAGCTGCAACAAGAACTCCTCTCTGTGACGATCATTAGACAAGCAAAGTACGATACGAGGTGACTGATTTGAACTGCGTCGAGTGCGTTCGACAGGCAAGTGCTCCAGCATTCTCGCAGAGGAATGAGAGCTGTTTCCCAGTTGAAAAGAAATGCAAAAAGAAGAGGTAAATATATATGTTGCTTGTTGAGCTTTCGCATTAATGCTATAACGAGAGAAACACGTGAGAAACAGGGACAAAGCACAATCAAATAGAAAAGGCACAAGTATGTGAGCAACAACAGGAAAGAAACACACGGCTCATTTATCGTCCTTTAGTGTCACATAGTAGCAGAATCGATTCCCTCTCTACTGTTGCGCAGGAACACGTACGGAGTCGAGTGACAGCAGTCACGTGCTGCATCGATGTACAGCCCAAAATAAAAAACGCACGTTCTCGAATTCGGCGGTGTTTGCCGCAAAACCCTCACGAAGCCGCAGAGGCAGAGCGCAAGAGAAGGCAGCAGCTGAAAAGAGCTGGAACAAAATAAGTGGCCCCACAACGATGCTGCTGCTCGTACGCGCCGCATGCACATACACACACATTTTGTGGCCACTTGCAACATCGACGTTTTCAGCTACTTCTGCAGCGGCGCTTCATCGCGGCCAGTGAGCGAGGAAAACAGCGAGCGCAGCGACAGGCGTCCCGTCCACGACTGCGTGACGGGCTGCGGCGATTCGCTGGACGGCTGGGGCAGTGGGGGTGGGGTGGCTGCCTCCTCCAGCGCCGCCCTCAAGTCACTTCCGCGTTGCACGTTATCGAAGGGGCTGCTGTCCTCTTCACTGTTGTCGCCGCTCCAGTCCGCAGTTTCACTTGACGGCGAGTACGGCCCGTAGAAAATCGGCGACCCGCTTGGACTGTCGATGAAAGGGGAGAAGTCATCCCTTTCCTCGTTGACGGCCGCTACGGGGCTGAGCCAGCTTAAGGAATGGCCCTTCCTCGGACTGCCCTGTCGGCGCGCCGACTTTGATGGCGAGCGCTTTTTTTTAGCAGCAGACTTGATAAACACCTCCTCCTCGTTTCTCTCCAGCTCCCTTCGTGCCTCTTCGTCCTCCTCCTCCTCGGACCGCAGTTGGTGCATGAGGACGGTGCTACAGCGGTAGCTGCTGTTGCTGCTCCCAGTCGTACTTCGCTGCCCTGCCGATGAACGCACACTCCGACGCGGGGACGATTCACCCTGCATGGTCAAGAGCAACGGCGCCGCCACATCGTAGCACGCGCACGCCTGGCCGAAAATGAGGTTGCAGCGGTGGCCCTGGGTGACGATCACGTTAAACGCGAGTAGGACCACCTTGCCCAGCAGCGCCGCCGTGCCCGCTCGCCAGCTTGTCTCCTCCACCACCTGACGCACAAATCGAAAGTAGGGAGCTATCGCCGCCACCTCCGCCCGGGTAAGATCGCGAGCGAGCACCGGTGGGTCAAGGGCCCGCCGATCGACTTCCATCAACGAGTTTGGCGCGGAAACCGCCGATGCGCGGAGCAGAGACGATGCACGACTGCCCTTTTGCGACTGCAACTGAAACTGCTGTTGAAGATGCCGCCGCCCCCATTCCGAGGTGCTGCGTCGGCCCGTCGTGAGGGCGGGGGCCTCGAACACGCCAGGGAGCACTCGATCAGCCAGAAACTGAAACCACCGCTGGATCGAAGTGGCATTCGCCTCCGCGTGGATGGTGTACTGGAGGAGGTTCGTAAGCAGAGGCAGCAGCCCTGTTTCGTCCCCTGGGAGAAGTTGCCGCAGCAGCCGATGTCCTGGAACAGTGGCTACGTTGCCTGACTTCTTCGGTGTCCTTGATGGAGATCGCGAAGGGGAGCGGGACTTGAGAGGTGGCGATCGCTGGGGCGAGGTCGTGCCGCTGCCGCGTCTAGAATTCTTCGCCTCAATCGCGTCCAGCAGCTCATCCAATGCGTGGACGACCAAGGTGTAGAATTTGCCGCTGTAGGCCGCCCACTGGAGCACGCAATCCGCCGCATACAGCTGCAGCGATGTCAGCTCGGCGTATCGCGCGTGCGTACTGGGGAGGAAGCAGATGGAGAGCAGGTAGAGGCTAATTTCGTGTAACGCGTCCTCATGCGACGCCCAAGTCGTCGCGCGCACAGCCCCTCGCGGCGACGATGCGGAGGTGCGGGAGGAGGAAGAAGAGGAAGACACCTCGTTGCCGTCCGAGGGGCAGAGGTTTGGGCTGCTGAGCAGCATAAGAATGTCCACGCACTGCCCAATGCGCTCCACCGGAGTGGGCTTCGTGTTGAGGACGCGATCCAGCCCGGTGGATACCCGAGGCGTACTAGCTTCATCCGCGCTGCGCTCTCTCTCTGCCGATATACAGTGAGGCAGCGGTGAAGTTGGGCGGGAGTCGCGGCGGCTTGGTGGTTCCGACGTGCTGGCGCGGGATCGCTGATGGGGCGGGGAGGAGCCACGCGACAACGCGGGTCGTCGCCGCTTCGACGCGCTGTAAGAGGACGCCGTCAGGTCGTCGATGCGTAGAATGGCCTCCATGGCGGACCCAATCTCACTCGCCAAGCGCTCCACCACGCCCTCGGACGCCATTTTGTCGAGCAGACGAGCTCGCAGCTTTGCATCGCCGAAGGCGGACATGTTGGCTAGGCCGCACAGCCCACGCAGAGGTGCGACACGCATCATGTGTGCAAAGCCAGACCGACTGGCCACGACGTCGCTGATAATGCGCCGCTTCTTCTCAAACGCCGCGGTCAACAGGCCGTCGTAGCGGGACGAACACACGGCCGGTGGGAGCGCAGCGTCGAGCAGAAACTCAATTAAGTAACATTCATGCAACGAGTCGGCGACGCGGCCCTCAATGCCACAGTCATGCCACACCTGGCCAAGGCTGTCCAGCTCCGTGTGAAGGTTTCGATTTCCAACGATGACGTCCGACGCGCAGCCGCGTCCCTCGCCGTACGGCACCTCGTCCTCCTCCTCTAGCCGCCGTGCGGTGCAGCACACAAAGGACAGAAGCAGAAGCACACGGCTGTTCGTAGCCATGCCGTGGCAAAGGTTCACTGACACGTTGGCGTAAACCAGAAGGGCACGAATGCATTCATCTAACAGAAGCGCTAGCTGTCGATTCGGCTGCCGCTCAGGGCATGGTGCAGCAGCGGAGAAGGGCATGTGACGAGTGCCGTGCGAGCTCCGGCGAGCGGCTGGCGCTTCGATGGATGTCGTTTTGTGATTCCGATGATGACTACTTGATCCATTTGCACCGCGATTTGGCTCCCCGTTCATGAACCTGGCGAGGTAGTCGTTGTCCTTCCAGATCAGTACATAGGCCTGTCGCACCAGCTTCAGTGCTTCGGTGGCGACACGCCTGCTCTTTGCCAGCATTTTTGCGTCGAAGAGGTTTACAGCGGTAACGAAAAGCGCGGAGGAGATGGGTCCATCCAGGTCGATCGCAGCGCCGCCGACGTGGCTCGCCGTTGCCGCCTTCATCGTCTGCGAAGGCAGTTTTGTGCCTCTGCTGTCCACCGTCGGCGGAGATGGGGGAGCGGAGGATTGCTTGCAGTCTTGCTGCGCCGTTGACTCTTCGTTATCGTGGCGGGACGGAGACAACCGAGGAGAGGTAGGTGCGGAGAGCGAGGGAGAGCTGGTGCAGCTGCTTCCCCGGTCGGGTAGAAAAGGAATCACCGCGACGTCCTCCTCCGTAAAGACCGGCTGGAACTGCAGGAGCTTGTCCAGGAGACGCTGCAGACCCAGAAAAATGTCATCCTCCTCGGCAGATGCGCTGGTCTGACTGTGCGCGCGCGATCGCGATCTCGTGCGCCGTCGCATGCCTATCTCCGCATTAAACCCCAGAAAGGACTAACGGAACAGCACAGAAACGACGGAGGAGAGCAGAAGAGCAGCAAAAACACACGGGGAAATACAACAACAAACCGTAACTTCTTTTGGTGGTGAATCTATACACGTGCAGCGAGCAAAACAACAAAGCTGTTGCAAAGACAACGCAGACACCAGCGAACGCTAATGAAGTGCACAGCTTGCCTCAAAAAAAAAAATGTTGCCTTACTTGTCTATTGGGAAACCCACAGTTTCAAGAGTATAATGATAGAGTGTATGTGTGTATATACGTGTCGGAAAACATCCAAAAGCAATAATCGAGAGACAAGGCGTGAGTACAAACCCAAAATCCCTCCTTCTCTGAAGCGTCCAACACGCAGGAAAACAAGGAACGGGGAATTCTAATTGGAAAAAAGTGATGGTTCTTTCACAGCTCAGCCGGCAACAGTGAACCGCATACACCTAACCATACACATACACGCACACGTAGTGCGCCAAGAACAGGCTATTTATTGTCGCCATTGAGAACGGCACACAAGAGAAGAAGACGAAAAAAAGAACGAGAGGAGGAAACGCAGTGAGGAAGAGGAAAAGGGAGTGCGACGCGCTCGACATGCTCAATTGAGGAGCATCAACATGATGAGTGGTAAAAGAATGGATTTATGTGCTTCAAACAAAAAAGGGAAACCGCAAACGTTTCATTCGCGAACTATTGAAGTGAGAAAGAACTTTTTCAATCGTGCTATTTGCTGCGTGACAGCTGCAATCCTGTGACATCAGTACTGGACAAGTATCACACAGCGTTGTTACGCAAAAGTCGCACAAAGCGCAGCTACGCACTTGCATGCGTTGAGGTGCGTATTTTTAATCTTTTAGTTTTATTTTTCTAAGCAACGACCGTGTCCGCTTGTGTTCTATCTCAGAATAAAGCACCATAGCAACAACTCGAAACAATGTCGAGACATTTCAACAAGCAATCCAAAAGAAACAGTTTCTTTTTCATTGTTTCGAACATCCAAACGTGTAGAAAACGAAAAGAAAGAAAGAAAAGGTGAAGACAAAGCATCGAAGTAACAGCAAAGGAGACTACGAAGAGAGGGAAGCAGAGTACCTCCGAAGGAAAAAAGAGCGGTCAGGTGACACAGCAAAACGATGAGCATAGTCAAATAATACAGCCCTGCGCGTCTCCCACAACAGTTCTGTGCCTCCATGAGACATTGCCAGCTTCTACTAAAAGAAGGCTGGCGTCGGCTCATCTTCTAACATGCGACGGCGGCGCTCCTGTTCCTCTGCGCGCTGCACCCAGGAGCGAAAGAGCTCGGCCTGCACCACTTTATCCAAAGCATGCAGATACTCCACATGCGTGCCCAGCGCATCCGTGCGCCCAGCGCCGTCTTCTGTCTCTGCTGCCTCCGCCGCGTCTGCTTCTGCAGAGTCGGCACGCTGCGGAGACGGACCCTTGTACGGAATTCCCAAGTAGCGGCACATGTGAAGGCAAGATCGATGCGACAAGCAGAAGGCCAGCAACTCCCCTGCCTCTACCAGCAAGGACTGCGAGAAGCGCGGCGCGCCAAGTGGCCCTACACCCGATGAAACGACGTCCTTACTCTCAAATGTCTTCCTACAGGTTGGGCAGGTGATGCTGACACACGACGCCACCACGTCCGCCTCCAGCCAGCCGCCGCATTCTTGATTCGGACATGCCACGTAGGTGCGCCGCTGCAGGCCCTTGTACTCGCACAGCAGCCCCAGAAGGGCTTCTTCGACGGCCTGTAGCACCTCCTCCGAGCCACGCGGCGTGTTCTCTGCCGATAGCACCGACACAGCGTTGAGGCCGTCACGGTAGACAAGAACGCGGCACGCCTGCCCCATGAGCCACAGAGAGTCCTTCCAGCGGTTGTGCTCCTCGTCTGCCTCCCGCAGTCGATACCCGCCCAACAGCACATCCTCGTCCTCCGTCCCGCCCAGCGCGGGCTGATACACCGTGACCAGCTTCAGGAAGCGATGCAGTTTGCACTGCAGGCGCCACCACAGCTCATCGGGGAGCAGGTTAAACTCAAATCGCACACGCACGCCGCGGTGAAAGAGAACGGGTGCGAGTCTCTTCAGCGTCTGTGGCGTGTCTAACGGCGCCAGCGAAGGCACGTAGTACCGCGTGAGCTTCTCGGACAGGACCACAGGGCGGCCCACGCTGGGGTCTACCGGCGCCTCCTCTGCGAGGACGTCGAACTCATCGCTCTCCACCTCGACCGGGTAGATGAGCTGCATCGCCTCCAGCAACTCGAGACACATGGCAATGTCGGCATCGTCGGGCGGCCGCCGCAGAAAGTCTGCGAGAGGCTTGTGGAAAAGGACGCGGGCCAGCGGCCAGCGAAGATAGCCTTTTCGTATGAGACTCATGTCCGCCGCTTCCGCGTTGCTCACCACGTACTCCAGACCACCGATCATACTGCGCAGGTGCAGCGGCGTGCGCAGCAGATGCGCGTACGAGAACAGCGAGGCGGCCATGCGATTGAGCCAGCGGGGGTAGAGGACAATGAGCGGGTTGCCCTCGAGGGAGTACTGGTTGAAGAGGTAAATCACATCCCAGCTGTGCATGAGACGCGCCACCTGGAGCAGCTCCACCTCGGAGTCGATGCCGACGTTCACGGCCATCTGTACCAACTCGCCTATCCGCAAGAGCAGCTTCGTCGGGTGGCGTCGCTTCACTTCCTCAATGTCCTCCAACAGCTTCGCGTGCCGCCCCGGCACCGCCGCCGCAGGATACTCGCGATCCGTCACGCAGTCCTCCTTTGCCACGGTTCCCAGGTAGCGCAGTAGCCCGCTGATCTTCTCGCCCGAAAGCTGCCGAAGCGAGTTGCCCGCGGCGATGATGAGACGCGTCTTGCATGAGACGGCGAAGTTGCCGACGATGACGCGGCGTGGGTCACGGCTGCACAGCACCGAAGTTTGCTGCTTCGACGGCCCCCCAGCCGCCTTGGCGGGAAATGGATGCGGTGGGGTGGCGCTGCCGGAGCTGCTTGCTACGATTGGAGCGGCAGTCATGTTCGACGCGGCGATGAGCTCGTCGATGTACGACCGCAGCTTCACCTCTACCTTGTTCAAGATCATCTCTACGCTACGCTGGCCCTGAACGCGAAGCTCGTCCAGGTGTGTGGCCACGAGTACGATGCGCGCACATGGAAACTTGGCGAAAACCTCCGCAATCCAGCGCTGCAGTCGCTCCTCCTCTCGTGCGTTAATGCCACTGCTCTGAAAGTCCTGCTCAATCGCCGACAGCTTCCACACAAGCACGAAGATAGAGCGCTCCGTCAGAAAATACGTGTGAGAGTGGTACGACTCCTGTCCGGCAAAATCAGACAAGATTATGTCAACCGAATCGCCATCGATGGACATGCGCTTCTCCTGCACCTCCACACCGGTCGTGGTGCGCACTTCCGGAAGATTTCGAAAAAAGAAAGGCTCTGACTCAAAACACTTGCGCAACGACGTCTTGCCGACCTCCTGGTAGCCTAGCAAGATAATCTTGCGCTTGTACACCTGCTGGTTCTTGAAGCGGAGTCGCGGAACTCCTTGTATCATCTCTACCAGACCACGTTGACGTCGTGACGAAGATGATGACGCCTGGCTGTGGTCACCGCGGATGGCGTTTTGCAAGACGTAGCGCGCCATTAGACCTTTGCTTTCGTTCTGCTCGCGCATCCGCCTCAGATGCGCTTGGATTTCGGACAGTTGCACGCCGGTGTGTGTCGGTTGCGGCTGCTGTGACGCGGCAGGAACGAAAGCGGGAGTGGCGCCTTGCGGGGATACAACACGTCCCCGGGTGATGGGAAGGTCGTCGGCAGCGCGCGGCTCAGCAGAGGTACGCACCACCTTGCCCTGCACCGCCACACACTCTTCGGACGATATTGTGTGCGCAGTCACCACACCGGATGACAGCGCGCCAGCCGGATCCGCATGCGCTGTGGCGGTGGCGACGGGTGAGATGACAGGCTTGATTTCGACCAGCTTCGCGCGAACGGGGGCTTTCGGAGGTGGAGACTCTCCTTCATCGCCATATGTGGGCCCGTCGTGCGGTGTGCTTTCCAGGCGAGCGGGTGTTTGCCTTGCGTTCCCGGCGTTTCCTAAGTCCTCAGTAGGTGCTGAAGAGCGACCCTCGGTGGCAGTCAGAGGTGGTGAGGAGAGCTGCGGCGGTGGAGCCTGTGTTGTAGCTGTTTCAGAAATGGATGTATCCTCTAATGCTGCCGTTGAAGGGCCCCCGTGGGCTTCTTCCGAACAACTTTGCGACATAACTAGAAACTGTTTTTTTCTTTCTCAATCAATCTGCTGCAGCGCTCTACGAAATTGTATTGCGTTCTTGTCGCTTTACAGCTATTGAATGCTGCCGTTACGCACACTAAAAGAAGAAAGAAACGAGCCCCCGATAACAAGAAGATAAAGAGGAACAGAGCGAAAGAACGACTAGTAGAAACATGTTTTTCTTTTGGCCATTAAAGCTACGTACATGCGTGCTATGGGTTAGAGAAGGCGCTGCTCCGATGCCCTTTTTTCTCGTGTGCTAAAGCAGCAGAAGAAAGGGAAACCACATTCGTGTGATTGAATCTTTTCGTTGAGAGAGAGAGAGAATAAACACATTTCGTGAGTGTCGTCCAAAGCTGCGTCAACGTCGCACACCTTTGGAACATCCTCTCGGTAAACGCACGCTCCTCATCGGCACACCTGCGACAAGCACCTCTCGTGTTAAAACGACGTCACGATTCCGATTTCCACGTTTCACAGCGGCCTTTCTCTTTAGCCCCTGTTGAGTTTTCTTGGTAAGTAACAAAATAATTAACACTGGCTGAAGATGCCTTCCATAAGGTACAAAACGGTAAGCTAAAGGGCAGCACAGGCAGGAAGAAGGAAGACCGTACTATGCGTGAGCTCGAACTTTTCAGCAGTTGCATGAACCGTCCGCTACGAGTGCTCCGGTACGCAACGGGATGTAAAAGACCATAAAAACAGAGTACTGTTTTCTTTTTTTCTCTCGCCCCTTCTCTTGCTCCTCCTGCTACTCTCCCTCTCTTTTTCTTTCACCGCAGTTGCTGAATATCAACGGCTTACAAGCAAATACAAAACGCCACAGGACGGATAGAAATACAGACACAGAGATATATTGCCTGCGTAGTGCAAATGGGTAGGCAATACGCACGCACACACACACACTTGCAGTTATAACACCTTCTCGCCTTTTTCCTTCTTCGCCTTCACTTTAAGCTCACATGACCTACTCTGCTTTGACAAAAACAATGTCTAACAAGCAGCATTTCATCTCTTTTCTTCTTTTTAGCCTGTTGCCTTTGTTTGTCGCACATCGAGGAAAGTGTGTTTCGACCGATTGGGGAAAGAAAAGGGAAAATTGTGGTGCCTTGCTTACATGAAAGTGGCAAAAAGAGACAGTGTTGTGCGTTCACTTCAAAGAAAGTACTCAGGCACTTCGTTCCTCTGCCCACTTTCGCGTGCCTCCGCAGGTGCTGCCTCGAAAATCTTGAAGTTCTTGTTCAAATGCTCGTCCAGCTCAAGAATTGACGCAACGTTACCGCAGCGGTAGCAGTAGTTCGGTGCAGACCAAACCGTCACGAGAGTGTCATTGAACATGGCCTTGTACCCTTCCATGACCAGCTGATGGGAGCGGCAGATGAGGTCTAACTTGTTCGTCTCGTTGAATTGGCGCACCACGTCGCCGCCAAACAGGTAACCCGCGCCACGCGGCGACAGACCCCAGCCGTCGATGTCCTCCGGATCGGACCACAGCAAGTCGCACATCGCGCCCTCGTGTGGCACCTCGCAGTTGCGTCGAATCGAGCGCATTTGATCAACGGTCTGGATGGACGGCGAAAGACCAGCGTGCACGCAAAAGATTTTGCCTTCCACCACGCTCGCGAGCGGGAGCAGATCGAACACCTCGGTGCAGTAGCGCCACACATTCACGCTGCCGTACTTTCGCAGGCACTCGTCGTAGAAGCCGTACACCTGGGTAATCTGGCGGGATTCGTGGTTACCGCGTACCAGCGCCACCCGGCGCGAGTACTTGATCTTAAGGACGAGCAGCATAAGAAACGACTCCACACTGTGGTAGCCCCGGTCTACAAAGTCGCCCATGAATACGTAGTTCGTGTCGGGAATCTCGCCACCGACGCGGAACAGCTCTAAAAGGTCGTAGAACTGCCCGTGAATGTCGCCGACGATCGTGCATGGTGCGGGAATCTTGTGCACGTTCTCCTCACTCGTGAAGATCTCCTTTGCCTTGTCGCAAAGGTGCTTCACATCGGCCTCCTTCACATTCTCGCATCTGTTGAGCGTGGCCAAATGCTCGTCAATGTCTAAGATCTCCGTCGACATGATGATGGTGCTAACGCGATCTGAAGGAGTAGGCAGGCAAGCAGGGGAAACGCTTTTGACACGAAGATGGACAAGAAGAGCGACCTAATCTTCGAGCAGGAGTCGCAAAGCAATTTACGAGAAACAAGAAAAAGCGATCAATTAATGTTGATTAGGGAAGGAAAAACTAGGCCACAATAGAAGATCGCGCAAAAGGAAATGAGAACAGGAGAGATTGCTTTTGGGAGAGAAGCAGCCTGTAACACAAATCCTTCGCAGCCAGTTTCCCTTCTTCCACTTGGCGATGTAGCCTGAGTGCGTATATGCAGAAGTGCGAAGAGAAAAGGGAGACGTGGACAGGAGTTCTACCACACAGCGTAGAAAGCCAATGAGAGAGTGCAAAATAGGGGATCTGAAGGACCAATAGTTTTCAAAAAGAAATACCTTTCTTGATGTGTTTTCACTTAAACTTCAGAAAAAAAGATCGTTGACTTCCTCAAGTCTAAAACAGCTAGCGACACAAGTCCAGCTCCCAAGAAGACGTAATACGAGAATATGAGTTTGGGAGATGATTGAGCGGGTGAGAGATGCAGAAGATGAACGAGGTTAATGTAGAAAAATAAAAGCAGTTGGGCTATTCTGACATGTATTGTTTTTCAAGCGCGTCACGTTCGTCAAAAGAGGCACGGGCCGTGAAAACACGCCCCAAGGTATTCAGGAGGAGAGGAAGGTTGACATGCATCCATATTCGAATGTAGGCTCAAAGGAGCAATTGTTCACATGAGTTATTTCCCCGCCAGGCGGGATGGAAAACTGCGTTGCAAAACTATGGCAGCGTATCTGAGGCTCATTGGTTTAACGATATGTTTGCGTGTTCCAATATGAAAAGATAAAGAGACGGACCAAGTATGCAAAGTAGGTACGTACAAGCGCCGTGCCTTCACCGTAAGATATATGTATGTAGGAGGGGAAAAACAAGTTTCAAATGTAAGTCTATATACATCCTTGAGTTTGAGTTTGGTGTTAATACCCAACAACAAATGGCGGCGACGGAACAACAGCTAAAACGCGGTGACTCTCGTCGATGTTGATGATAAGCCGGCTTGTGCCCTCCGATTCAATGGTTGCGATCGTACTGCCCGAGTGCGTCCGCCATGATGGCTTCCTCCACCTCATCGCCATCCCATCTTCCCTGTTCGACGTACTTCCTGTAGTCGAAATTGGAGTAGGTTTGAATTTTCTCGTCCACGGTCTCGCTGTACTGCGGTGCTTCGCATTGAGCACGCACAAAGGGAAGACTGCTCTTCTTCGCGTTGCTGCTGTGGTCCTCTCCCACCTCGTACTCGCTGTGTGTGGCGCGGTACTGTGCCATCAGCTCCTTCTTGTACGAAAATTGACCTCCTTGCGCACCGCTGGAAGAGGACGCTGAGACTGACTTGTGGCTAAACGCACCCTCCTGTTCCTTTCGCTGCAGCTCCGCGACGATTTCCGCAGACGTTCGCGGCTTCGCTGCGACCACCTCCGGCGCAGCAGAGGATCCCGCAGTTGCGCCTAACCCACGTTGGCGCATACGACGGGCCCGCTCGTACTCTGCACGAAAGGTTGGGTTTCTCGCGTCGTACTCTGCCCGCCGCTTCATCTCCTCCTCCCGACGCTGCTCAAAGGCGCTCTGCACTTGTTGATTTGCGTTATGCGACTGCCTCACGCGATCTACAAAGGCGCGCAGAGTCTCCGGGCTAAGCTCGACATTGGGATCCATCGACGGGTCGTAGGCGCGAGCTTTCTTCTCGATATCGCCGCGCAGCGTCCCACTGTCGTACATAGCACGCTGCTCTGGGTCGGAGAGAATGCCATGCGCGAAGGAAACCTCTTTGAAGACGTCCCCGCCACCGGGATTCTTGTCAGGATGGTACACGATTGCTAATCGGTAGTAGGCCAGACGTATCTCACGCTGGGTAGCGGTCTGGGGGACGCCTAAAACCTCGTAAAGGGCAGAGTGGCCCTTGAGGTCATAAATGCTACCTGCACACATCTTTGCAGGCAAGGTAGTGATACTTTGAGGATAGTCAACAACGGCTAATGGAGGCGTACGCCAATGCTTGTATTCAATCGTTTGTGTAACACAAACACAGCAGGGTTTAAGCTAGGACAGCACAAAAACCTTTTTGCTCGCAGCAGTATACAGAAAAAGAAAAAAAATAATCTTTCAAGTAGCTGTAGGTGGAAAATTGTCCTACCGCCTAGGGCAGACACAACATAGTGAGTATAAATATGCAAGTGATCATATAAGCAAAGAGAAGAAGAAGAGTATTATGAGCGCGGAGGACGTACGCGTGTGCACGCATGCGTGAGTCGCAGAAGGCATCAACAGGACCATCGCCAAGGCGACAAATTCCAGCGAATCGTGGTTACAGCCTTCACACATTTCTTTACCGTTAAATGACCCAAAAAAAAAAAACTAGAAAGCGCGCAGTAAAACAACAGGAAACCCCTGCTACTGCTGTTTCGTAGCTTTTCTCTACCTCCTGAGACAACGATTGCCACGCGGTAAGTCTAAACACCATTCACACCACTTTGGTATCTGAGTGAGAGGGAAAAACACTTTGAAAGCTGTTTTTTTGGTCCACTATTTGTGAAGACTACATTTGCAAAGAGTGCAGACGAAGTTTACTTGCTTCGCTGAAAAGAAAAAAGGAGGCAATAACGTTTAGGCCGCCCATGATCCAGTCTTCGCTGTTGCGCGGCCTCTGTGCTTCATGGTACGTGCGGAATAACTCTTCCCTCCAAAGCCCGTCTGCTTGAGTCCCCGGATGACGGCACCGCCTGTGCCCAGGTTATGGTTGCCAGCTACTCCGCGCACGACGTCGCGCTTCTCTGAGATGCCCAGCCAAGGGCACATGTACCCTTCCGCGTGCATAGAAATCGACCTCGCCTTGCGTTTCTTCGCTACATACTTGGCCAGAAAACGCTCTTCTTGCCTCCGAGCTGCGGAACGGGTGCGACACTGCTTTGTGTCCAGCAATTTGGTTTGCACAACTTCCGGCAGGCGCGCGAAGCCGTCTGTCTCAGTAAAGGGATCAGCAGTGCCCTCGTCCTCCTGGTCCAGAAGCAAAAGTTCCTCATAGGCCCCGGCTCCTGATTTGGTGGCGAAGTGGGTCAACTCGTCTTCTTTGTTCACGGCGAGCTTCTCCACGGAGACGGAGATCATGCTGCGTGGGATCCGTGTCCCGTCAATGGCTGTGACGTAGTTTGCATGTGGGTTCAGCATGGCAGGGAGGGACAAGGAAGAGGGCGAGCGCTCTTGTAATAAAATATCGTTTCTCTCATGCGCATTCCCCGTTGGTGTGGTAGGCGGTGTAATGGTGGTAACATCGGACAGAAAAGCAGGGTGTACGGGTCCGTCAGACAGTGAGGGCTCTGACCTTTCCACGGCCGTATCAGCTGCGTTCTCGACTTGCCCCACTTTTTCATCACTGACATGTACTTCTACGGGAGAGCGTTGTGATTCCCACGCAGAACCCAGCACGGCATGCCATTGCTCCGCTTGCGCTGACAAAGAAGATGGCCTTGAGGCGAGTGACGGCCGAATGCGAAAGGGACGATTTCCTTTCTCCACCATCGATATCGCATCCCGCACCGTATTCGAAGTGCCGGGCTCACGCCATACCGAGGTGGTGTTGTTGCTGCACGTGTCACGCCCACTCTCCGTCAACTGCCCCGCTAGCTCCACGGCGTTCCCCTTCCCATCTGCGAAAAGCTCAACCGAATGTGAGGGCACCTCGAAGAGAAAAGTTGTCGAGGGGATGACGTCGCCCAAACGGGAGCGCTGCAGGGTCTCGTCTTCGATGGCCTGCACCGCATCACCAACGCTTCCGAGGTGACAGGCCGCGACTTCCTTGGCGGTCAGTCTCCCCGCGGACACGTGACGCTCTAAAAGATGCGCTTTCATCTCCTCGTGCTGCTCTACCATCCGCGCCAATGACAAATTGTTATTCTGCGGAACAACAAACGACTCGACCGGATATCGGAGCTGTATTTCTTGAATGCGGTCGGCTGAAGGAGGCGCGTAACTGAGCTTGCGCAGGTTTGTCAGCGTAGGCGTCTCGCCGGGCAGCAGATCCTGTGTGCAGTAATGCGCAATGTCGTGCTGCAAAATCTCAATGTTGCGCGAGCGGGCAGGCTGTTCGCGATTAGCGCTGACACCCAAAATGGGGACGGTGTCCGTTCCAAGAAAGCCGAAGACCTCGCGCATGTTCCGCGCCACGCCTTCTTCGGGAAGAGTTGTGCAGCAGTAACTGGACCCCTTCGGTTTAACGTGTCCAGGATGCACCAGGCCGTCTTTGCCGATGACTGCCGTCTTTCGTTGCTGATCGGCGCAAAGGCGCCAGTGTCGGTCAATCTTTGTCAAAATTACACTGAAAGGAATGCGCTCGCGCGAGAGAAACGCCAATATCTCTTCGTCGCGCGGTTGAAAGGAAACGGGCGATCGGGCACTGGCTTCCATTAGCCAATAAACTCGCTTTAAATTACTGCCATTGCGCAGCGCCAGATAGCGAAACAAGATGGAAAAGGCATTCGCCCTCGCCGCCAGCGGCTCATCAAGTTTTCGCCATTTCCATCCGCCGTAGCCGGGGGTATCCACAAGAAGAAGAGCATCGCCCACATTGAAAAATTGGAGGAGGCGGGTCGTGCCACCAGTTGCACCAGCCTTTCCGAGACGTGCGTTATGCAGCAGACAGGAGATAAGGCTCGACTTTCCGCAATTTGGCTTTCCGATGAAGCAGATTTCTGGGAAGGAATGCAACCCTTCCGGGAGTGCCGTCAACGTTTCCACATTCTTTAAGTGCTTGTTTCCGCAGCCGAAAACCTCATTGCTGAAGCTCTCGATCGCCTCCGCGCGGTCCATCTCAGCGGAAGAGCTTGCAAGGCCTGTTTGGTCGTCCGCGCGGCTCTCAGACGAAACGGAGCCACCGAAACGTTCCCTCACGCCATTCAGGTGGATATGAGTCGCAGAGAGCGCACACCGCAGCACGCACAACACGCTTAGCATACGGTAAATTGAAATAATTTCAGCCCTTTTTTTAGAAGACAGCTCTGTGGGTGTATAGAATCAAACGAGTCCGCTGATTTGGGAAAAAAAAGGGTCCGAAGAGGAGGTGAGAGGAGAGACGACTGTTGTTCAGATGAAAACCAAAGAGACCATTGTAAGTGATTCTTCACGAAAAAAAAGAAACGGATTGCAAAGCAATTGCCACAACAATGAATAGAAGCACCAGCGCTGAATGAAGAAAGCAAGTAAAATATATATGAGAAAAAACCGAACAGGGCAGTACTAGAAGAAATACTCCATAAGTCAGGCAGTAGAATCTACTCACAAGCGGCTATGAAGTGAGATGGGGGCCTTTGCCTTCGCTGCCAGTGCATCATCCACCATCAACAAACAGATCTTTTTCAGCGGCGTTATAGGTGCAGTTCCTTTGTTTCTTTCTTTTTGATCCCCATGTGATCCTTAAAATCAATCCTATCTAAAAAACAAGGCGGTGTTTGGAAAAAGAACAAAAAAAAAGAAAAGAGACTTACTGAAACAAACTCATTGTCAGGGCACATGCGCATTCATAAATAGTCTCTGCGGTGCTCTCAACCACGGGCAGGTGTCCACGGCAAAAAAAAAACAGCGACGTTTGAATTGCACTTGCACTTCACTGAACTGCAAATTACCTTTTAATCTTCAGTGAAAATGCGTTCTGCACCTCCCTTTGAGTGATTGGTTTTTATGTAGAGAAAACAAAGGTGTATAGACGAAAAGAGGAGATATATTTACTGTCTTTTCACGGTGAGAAGCAAAAAACTCTTCTTGTCAGTCTTATTGTTGCATTGGAGGTGCTCAACGTTCTTGGTAACTCCTTGAGCACACACAACCAAAAGAAAAACTGAAACGAAGACAATATGAACAAAAACTCAAACTCAAACAACATCAAAAAAGTATAGAGAGAGATTTCATCAAACGCCAAGTATGAAGCGCCAACGAGCTGAAGAGGATACAGACAAAACGGAAATGATGAGGAGAAAAGGGTACAGGCGATACACGAAAAAAAGAGAGAAATAATCGCTTCACGACACGAAACAACAATCGATGACGATACAGGAAGAAAGAAAGAAAAAGAAATCCTTCGATTTACGACAAAAACGACTCGTAAACACAAACGTAACATGTAAAAATAATAAACAAACTTCAGCCGAAAAAAAAACCGACTTCCTTTTGTCCCGAGTTGAAATCTCAAACAAACAAATCAATAGTATTTGACGAGGTACTGTTGATCGCTCCACTTCGCACAACGAGGGGAACAAAGAAAGACAGTAAGAAAAGGTATAGAACGAGAAGGCGAAGTGCGTCCACGGCGACATACGTGACAACAGCGACAGCTATTGATTTCGAGTCAAGACTAGCACACGAAAAAGAAGGAATGATACCTCTGAAAAAAAAAAAATGTTTTTGAGACAGTACAGACGGAAGTAGATCATTAAGTAAATAATAATTTGTTGTCTACCGTGCTAAGCTTGCCGCGGAGCCAACAAATCGGGCTAAAACAAAAGAAACTAGACTTACAGCTCATCGGAGTCCTCGTCCGAGTCGTGCTTCTTTGGCACAATGTGGATATTTCCCTCACGTTGAGGAGGCTGCTCCTCCGGCGCCGGTGGAGGCATAGACTTCGGCGTCGGCTCCGGAGTGTCTGCCTTCGGTGTCGGCTTGGGCGTGGCTGCCTTCGGTGTTGGCTTGGGCGTGGCTGCCTTCGGTGTTGGTTTCGGCGTGGCTGCCTTCGGCGTTGGTTTCGGCGTGGCTGCCTTCGGCGTTGGTTTCGGCGTAGATTTCACCGAAGGCTTCTTCGACGACCTCGTCGACGTGGGCACGGAGGAAGGATCCGCCGGCGCAGAAGTCGGCGGCGTGGCCAGCGCAGGAACCTCAGGATCGACGTGCTGCGGCGCGGCCTGGGGAGGGGGAGACCGCTGCGACTGCGGCTGCGGCGCGGCCTCCACCTCCACCATGCGCGTCTTCGGCTCACCCTCAACGCCGTCCTTGCGGATCGGCGTGTAGGTGACCTTGAGCATCTTGCCGGCATCGGCTGCCTTCACGACGTACTTCTTCGCGTTGCGCTCCACAATGTTGAACACCTCGGTCTCAGGGTCTTCGGCCTCCCACGTCACGATCGAATTGCCCTCTGTGCCGCCGCAGTAATCCGCGTGCAGGCTCAGCTCCTTGCCCACCGTCGGCTCGCCCACAATGTTCAGCAGGTTCACTTCCGGCGCGCACGGCTCCACCGGACCATCGCGAAGTGCGGTCACAACCTTGCCCGTCACGCCATCGTGGCGCACCGGGGTCACGGAAACCTCGATAGAGCACCCCACATCCCTGTTGGTCAGCACCACAAAGTTGCTGTTTGGTGTGCCGATCTTGGTCATATGGTTGCGGGTGCGATCGCGACGGTACCACTGAACCATGTGCGCGCCGCTCTGCCCGCCGTGATAGTCGAACTCGAGCGACAACGTGTGCTTCTCCTCCATCGTGCCGACGATAGCCAAGTTCTCCACACGAGGCGGAGAGGACTCGATGGGGTTGTCCAGGACACAGCGGCATGTCTCACCAGCGACGCCCTCCCCATTCACCGGGGTGTACTCTACAGCGAGGCATTGGCCGACGTCTTCGCTGACGACTACATACTTGGTGCCGTTGGCGCCTGCGATGGGCGTGTACTCGTCCTTCTTGCCGGACTTGCGCAGCCACTGGTAGAAGCTGTCCCCCTCCTCGCCGCCATGGTAGTCCACGTCGACCTCCAGCTGGCTTCCCTCCACCAGGTTTCCAATGATCTTGATGGAGCGACACTCGGGCAGGCATGCCGTGACAGGGTCCGTCGTCACAGACTTCGGCTCGCCAGCGACCCAATCGTTGCGGACCGGGATGAACTCAGCGCGAACGCGGCAGCCGATGTCCTGGCGGGTCACCTCGTACCCCGCCCACGGATCCACGATGTCCACCTCTGTCTCCTCGCCGTTGGCGGAGATGCGGTACCACTTCAGCACCGAAATGCCTTCCGTACCGCCCAGGTAGTCCGCCTCAGCCGTGAGGAGGCCGCCCTCCGTCGCCACGCCGGTCACCTCCAGGCGCGGGCACTGCGGTGGGGCCGGCTTGATGGGCGACGAGATGTCGAAGTACAGGAACGAGAACTCGCCGGCGACGTAGGCCAGCACCTCGGCGCGCACGCAGCAATCAATGTCGCTGGTGACCGGCGTGTAGGTGAGAGAGTTCTCATCCTCAATGACGTCGTACGACCCGTTGGGGTTGCTGCGCATCCAGCGGATGTGCAGGATGGTGTCCTGCTCCTCCTCCTGGGGCTCCAGCTCCGCGACCTTGTAGATGTTGCAGAAGCCTTGCTTGTACTTGGAGGGCATGCTGTTCGCCTCCGAAACCTTCTCCACGCCGTCCACGATGTAACGGTACTCGTAGTCTCCGGCAGGAAGGTAGAGCGTCGTGTGGAAGTACACCTCGTCCCCCTCGACGCAGCGCTCAAGGCTGATCGGCTCCGTCCAGTTGTTCATGGAGCCGACGACGAAGACCTCCGCCGCCTCGCCGGAGACCTTGAAGATGACGGGGTAGAGGTAGCTGGACTGAAACACCTCCGTCGTGCGCTGCGCATACGGGCGGACATCTTGCATGCAGAGAGAGAGCATCACCGGCTCGCCCTCCATGATCTCACCGTCCTCAGACGCCGGGACAAGGTTGATGGAGCACAGCTGCAGGTACTTCGCCTCCTGACGGGCACGCTGCATCTTCACCATAAAGGCTGCCGCAGCCACCTCCGGCTGCTCGCCCTCCACCATAAATCCCTCGCGCACGCAGTAGGCCACCTTACCCTTGAACTTATCCGCCTCAGCGCGCTCGTCCTCCTGAATCCGGTTACCGTCAACGGACACCAGGTTGAGACCGTTCACCGCGATCGCCATCGGCCGGTAGCGCGGGGCATCGGTGATCGGGTTACCGACAAGGTTCAGCGTGTGCAGGTTCGGCAGCGCGGGGTAGTTCTCGAAGCTCGTAATGTTGTTGAAGTTCAGCGACAGCACGCGAAGGTTTGGCAAGTTTTCCAGCCCGGTGAAGGAGCTGATGGAGTTGTCGCTTAGGCACAGCGTTTCGATCGCGGCGAAGTTGCTGATGCCGACAAGGGTGTCGATTTTGTTTCCTGTCATGTAGAGGTGGTGCAGGTGCGGTGTGTACTTGAGGAAGTCCACCGCCCCGCTGATCTCGTTGATGGAAAGATCCAGAACGCGGAGGTAGTCCATCTTAGATTGACAGTCGAAGCTGACCAGCTCGTTCTCACGGAGATACAGGTATTCCGCATCAAAGTGGTCCAGCGTCACCTCGCGCACACTGCGCAGGTCCTTGTGGTTCATCTGCACTCCAGTAGGCTTGGTGGCACCAAAAGGCCCCAGGCCGCGACGGGTGTTGCTGGTCAACATGGCAGGGTAAGAAAGCAAGGTAATAAAACAGTGTCTGTACTGGTACGTATAGGCTGGGGAACGGTTCAGAGAACTCTAATAGTTAAAAAGTCTGATGATGCTACCTCCTCAGAAAAGAAGTAGGAACTGCTTTCGAAATGTGTGTTTGGTTTGCTTTGGGGAGGAAATTTTTTCTTTAAAGATAATGTATCGAGCTTTTATCCAACTCATTAAAAGAAAAAAACGAGAGTGCAAAGACAAAAAGAGGAAGGATGAGCGGAGAGATAAGGAGAAAGCACACTTTCACATTAATAAAAAACAGTGGCGCCCTTAACCAGTTCCTTTACCTGCGTTACTCGTAAGGTGTTGACTCGTACGCCTCGCAAAGCGAGTGATAATTGAGGACATTTCTTTTCCTTCCACGAACGCAAAGAGTTTGTCCATCCTTTGGAAAGAAGACGAGTAACTCTTATTTCGGCTTGGCAGGAGAGCAAGAACGAGAGAGCTCGGGAAAGGTTTTGCGTGTTTTCTTTTTCTTCCCAAACAAAAGGTGGTTTTCGAATGCCAACTGCAACGTGAACATAACATGTTGTGTTCATTTCAGTGTGAAGGTTGAATTTAAAAGAAGGAGTGAGTTTGAGATCCGGTTAGTCAACACGTCCTAACCGCCGCCACCACCGCTATTCATCATCCACTGACGTGCCTCAAGAGCAAGGGAAGTGCTATTTTGTCGAAATGATTGTACCACGGCATCAAGTGGAAGCTGCGGCGACTCGGCGTAGACGGAATCAAAAGAAGTCGCGTGAACTAGTTCCACGACATCTGCCGTTGATACAATCCCGACCACCTTGGCAGCGTTCTGCGGGCGGGTCAGAGCTGCGACTTGGAGGGGCGACTTGTGCAGGTACTCTAGCAGAACGTTACACGGTGTGCTGGCGCAGTACCTCGGCAGAGGTAGCAGTGGAAGGTCACGAATTCGAATTGTGGGGCCTTCCTCGCAGTACGCCAGGAAAAGTAAAAGACGCAGCTCAAACACTTGAGTGACGTCGGACGGGTTGAAGGCATCTTTGTAGACAGCGACGTAGGTGAGCTTGTGTGCTGCCATGCTCTGTATCATCTTTTTGCTAATAATGGCGTCCTGATGCACAGTGAATGTGGCACCAATGCCCTTTTTCAAGACAGAACTGCCTTCGTGCTCGGAGAGACTGAGCACCCCCAGCATTATTTGCGTTTCGAGTCGCTGAATCGGTATGTGCTCGTCGGTGTCGAGTTCCCTTTCGTGGCGCAGCCCAGGCGCGTCGCCGGCTGCGTGCATGTTGTGCAGCACTTCACCACGATAGCGAATCACCTCTCGCAGTTGGCCTCGCTTGAAGGCAACGCTGGACCGACTACCAACGCACCAGTCGAGCAGCTTGCCCAATGGCCACGAAATCGGCGCTGTCGCCACCATCAGAAGAACAATTAAGGGGACCAGTGCGGAGCCAAACGCCAGAGCGTGGTGGGTGAAAAGAGCTTCCGGGATAATTTCGCCAAACACGACGAGTAAGGCAACAGACACTACAATGGTCATGGCTGGATTAAGAAGCACATGGAAGAGAAGCGGCAGCATTTCTGTCGCGGCAGAATCGACGACGACAAGGGTGACGAGCAACCAATGTGGATTTCGAAGGACAGGCAGCATCTTGCGCGCCTGCTGCCCTTCCAACGTGTCTGTGCGCTGCGCAAGCGCACGCAGTCGTGCGGTGTCGAATGAGAAAACACTTATGATCAGTCCGGCCATCAGTCCGGCGAGCAGCACGAGAACTCCGGTGATCGCTAAAAGCACCCATACTGACACGTTCATCGGCACCCCAAGGATGCTGTATCCGTCTGCCATTGTCGACAATAGAAGGCTAAGATTAGATAGTGAATAGACGCAACAAAATAATAATAATATCAATAACAATAACAATGGGTAGCAAAGTTAGAGTAATACTCGCCACTGGTGGGAAGAAAGATCCGGTGCGCCTCAGATCTCTCAATGTATCGCCCAACGATAACTCTTTTGACACAAGGTTGAATATATTCAGTTTATTAGGTATTTCGCGAAGAACGCTGAGACGCTTTTTTTTTTCTCGTGTACTCGCAATAGGGGTTCTTCTATCACAGGTGAGCGCGGGGAAAAACGCTGTTTTTTAGAGTGCCGCAGGTTTTGAAAAGAGAAGATGGAAAAGATAGTAGAGAGGGAGCAAAGTAGTAGGCAATGCGAGTTCGCGAAGACTGTGGGAGAGCTGTAACGTTTTGTTTTGTGTTATTATTATCATTACTACAGTCGACACTTTACTCCATAAAAACAGCTTTCCATCTGACCACGTAACGGCTGCTCAGGCTCAAGAAGGCTATCAAAGCTTGACGTTGAAAGTACCACATCTTTATTTACTCAATAAATTGGGAGAAAGACGGAAGCATACTAGAAAATACAGAGGAAAAACACGCGTGGAACGTTTTTATAAGAAAAAGAAGAGCCATAACAGCAAAAAAGATAAAATGTGAAAGAGTGAATCCAACGTTTTTTGATGTTTTGTGGATTATTATTGTTTTACGGATGCCCGCCGATTCCTGTGCCTTCCCTCGCAACGCGACCCAACGGCGGAGGAGGTGTGCTGCGGTTGCTCACAATGTTGAGCCGATCTGTCGCGTCGCCGCCCCGTATAGACCTCTCAGCAGCCGGAATCGCAGAGTACAAGGAGAAGCTTGCGTTCAAGCTGCTTGGACGAGTACTCACGTTGAGCGTGTACTCGCCGACACGGCGGAATACCTTCCATGAGCGCATCATGAGCTGCATCGGCGAATGGTTCCGCGGATCCATTTCCGCCTCGAAAGTGGTTTCGTGAAGCTGCTCCGAGACGTTGCGTAGCGTCAGCAACCCAATCACCTTGTCGTCACCCCCATCCGTAATAGCCACGATAGACGGTGAAATGCGTTGCAGATGCACAAAAATATCCGTCGCCTGCGTTCCACCGCTGAAACGGGTAAGGGGCATCAGCTGCAAATCACGCACGCGTAGTTCCTCTGATTCTGACCGGTAAATCAGCAAAAGAAGCATCTTCGTCATGAGGAGTTGCGTCACGTTGGCTGGGTTATTGAGATCTTCGTAAACTGGAATAAAGTTGTAACCTTTTGCAAAAACCTCTGCTATGGCGGAGTGAGAAAGAATGGTGTCGATGTGCCACTTGAACATGTCGGCAATAGGAATTTGAATCATGTCCTTTGCCGTGCTCTCAGAGAGGCTGAGGACATTGAGCATCAGAGTCGCTTCTTCCTTGGTGAGATCCTCCTCGTCGCTTTCGTTTTCCTCGTCCTCTTGGCCACTCTCCTGAGCAGCACGCTTCTCTTGCCTTTTCTTCTCGTTCATCTCGTCCTGAATGCGGATAATCTCGCGCAGCTCGCGGCGCTGGAAAAAGACAGCCTCTTTGTCGCCAACAATCGCATCCATCAGCCGGCCTATCGGCCACGCGACCGGTGCGGTGACCCACATCAGTGCCCGGATGAACGGGGACAGGAAGGCACAGAACTCGAACGCGTGATGGATAAAAATGGCTTGCGGCAAAATCTCGCAGAAAATCAGCGTTATGGCAACAGAGGTGACGATGGCTACCACTGGATTGAGAAAGGCGTTGAGTACCAGCGGCATCATTTCGAGGGCAATGTCGTTCCACGTGAGAAGGGCCATGAGCAACCAATGCGGCTTCTCAAGAATCGCCAGTAGACGCTTTGCGCCCTCGGCGTCGGCTTGGTTACCGCTGTACGCGATTCCAGTTAGACGACCAATGTCGAGGGAGAAGACGCACAGAACTAGCCCAGCCATCATACCTGCCAAGCAGATCAAAACGAGCACAATGAGCACCCCGATAGGGGCTGGAACGGTCACAGACATGCCAAAAAATGTTTCGCCCATCTTCGTCTTTGTTCTTCACTGAAAAAGAGAAAGATAAATTTAACATATATACAACGCCTTTTTCTCAAAAAGTTAGCAGAACTTCTCCTGGGCTAAAACGCGTAACTGGTCATCAAGGCTTGAAGCGGAACGAATTAAACGCCTGCAAAAAAAAAAAAGAGCAGGAAAGCAATAAAGCAATAACTAAAGCCGACGTTGTGCGCAGTGAATGTACGTTTGGGCAGTGAAAGAAGGGAAAAGGTGGCGATCGTGAAGGATTACTAATTTGATGAAGGACACATCACTATTGAAAGAAAAGGTTGATATTCAGTAAAGAGAGAACTTCGAGTTGCAAAAAAAAGCAGTTCAGAAAAGAAAGAGGTAGGTAAGACACAAAGAGACTCATGAATTTTGATTGCGCCCGGTGTGAAAGAAGCTATAGGAAACTGTTCCGGCTTCGTTTTTGAAAAAGGGCGGTTGAGAATGATCGAATGATGTAACACTACTGTTTTTACAGCCGAAGTGCCTTTCAGTATCGCTAATATTAATGTATTATTTTTGCTACATCAACCGTTAAGAGCATGGCAAGTGCCAAAGTGACTGCCCACGTCGCCACACCTAGATGCATAAGCAGAAGCAGAGCCATTCATCGTTCTTTTTATCATTCATAGATCTTTTTATCCTTCATAGTTTTCAACTTTTCCTTTTTGGACAAGAACACAGCTCAGTTATATCGACTTTACTACACGGCACGGTACACTGCCGTTGAGCAGCGTTTTTTTAGAAAATGTAGATGGCGTCATAGATAACTGTCCATACAAGAATGTATGTCATGGCGCCGCTAAGCATTTGCTGAACAGAAAACAACTCAGACGTTCCTTTCGGGAAGTACTTGTTCGGATTGCCGCTGCAGCCAAAAGTCATAATGGCGAACGAGGTCACGGCAGCGAAAGCCACAAAAAAGAAAAGTCCCCACAAGTTTGTCAGCCCAAGAACACCGGCGGCCACTCCGGCGAGCAGTGATCCCATTGTGCGAACCTGGAAAACAGTTTCATAGTTCTTGCCAATCTCTCGGCCCATGAAGCGCGCTTCCGGGAGGCTCATTGTGAAACTATCGAAGGTGAATAGGAAAGAAGAATGTGAGACGACTAACTTGTGTTGTGGAAACGCGGGGTAAAAAAAAAGTAGGTGAGAAAAGTGGGAAATGAAGAACATCGAGGTGAAGAAGAGCAAGCATTCCGCATTGTGTGTCACAAACAGGTAACGCGCAGCAAAAACTTCCTTTTCATTTTGCAGCAGGAAACCAACGAAAACACTGATCCATCCTGTTTTGCTCTTTGTGGTGCTGTTGAAAAAGCCGAGTGGCGACCATGACAGCAAGCAGGTTGTTTCGTTTTGATGTTGCCAGCGTTGGTGGTGGTGTATGTGGGTGCGTGGAGAAAGAGAACGCGCTTGTAGGAAAATGTGAAACAAAATCAAATGTAGCGAACCGAACAGAAAAAGACAAGCTTGCCTGTTCTTACCGACCTTTGTACTGTTCTACCTGCAGTTGAAGAATTACTTCTCGCTCGCGTTGCTTTTCAAAGTACGACACCCAACTTGGCGGACACGATTGGTCATAGATCTTCTTATGCGCGGCGCATTCTTTCTCGGGGTCCTCCGGGAGGGTATCGAGGCACTTGTGGTACGTGTCACGAGTCTCGTAGCACACCTCACGTTTTTTTGCGTTCTGCATCACTACTGATAAAATGCTTTGGGGAGCAAATACTTATGTTGAAATCAAGATGTTGGGCGATCAAAATGGAAGAGACGGTGAGTCGGGCGTCTGCTTTCGAAGCAGACGTGACAATAAGGGAGTGTGCCTGAGAAAGTCTCTTTGTTATGACTTTCACAAGCGATTGGTGAAGTGAAGTCGAAGATTCAGTAAAGTTGAAAAACAAATAAGATGTCAATCGTTGCAGAAAGCAAGGAAAGAGTAAGAGTGAAAGTGGAGCACACCAGGGTCAAAGAGTTGAGTCAGCAGCTCAAACCCGACATGCGCTGTTTAGAATGGCAACTAAGTTTGATATATGAAAGAAAAGAGAGCAAAATGCTGTTAGGAGAATGAGTACGATGTAAACGAAGGCTGCCAAAAATACTCCAACCAAAATCTACCGCGTAAGTACGTCAGCACACAACAACTCAGCGCTTTCTTCTTTTTTTCTCGCAGATAATCATGTTGTCCTTCATAAGCTGCATCAAAAGCGCCGAACCCGGCGCCGAGGTGCCCCGAAAAAAGACACCTGCACCCACTTGTACGTTCCGACAATGAGAAAAAGCGCGGCAATATACTTACCTTTCGTGCGCACTGCTCTTGCGAAATCCTTTGTCAGTACTTCATCCCGAATGTAAGACACACTTTTAGCATCTCCGTTCTGGTGCTCCGACACCACAGTTAGTATCTTGCCGCGATGGTACATCATGGAGACATTAAACGGATTTGCTTCAAGGAAAGCTACCCACCCACCAGCGTTGAGTGGAGAAGCCCGTATCGCTCCGTCGAATTGGGCGTTGGCCGGCCTAAGCAAGCACATGCTTGTCCACGCGCTCCCGCCTTCACATACAACAGCTAATTCATCGCCGTTAGCTGAGCGCCACGTTCCTCCGAGGGCAAAGGAGAGCGTCCTTGAGCTCGACCAACTCATCAAAGCTGAGCAGAGGACAGCGGCCATCAAAGCTGAGGCGAAAACATTGCGGTAAAATGAGTTGCCTTTCATTGAGCTTTTCGCTACGGGAATTGTCATCGTTTTGGCCGGCTTGGACAAGAGTAGTAGCCTTCCATTGCAAAAAAGATGGGAGAGTTTTTGCTTTTAAAAAAGGATGCAGGAGATAAAAAGAAAATTCACTAGGTACATATTTTATTGAGGACCACAGAACTGTCGGGGAGGTGATTGCAAAACATCTCTCGAAGGGCCAAAAGAGGTCTTTCGGACAAAGCGCGAACTCAAAAAAGAATGTCGACTGATCTGGAATTCGGCAATCAAAAGAACAAAAAGAGTAGAGAAAACAATGCTTTGTCTACAGTCATTACTCCTTACTATCATGTTTATTCCTTGCACTATTGTTGTCTCAAAAACCACTTTTCAAGCTGTACAGATAAAAAGGGTGCACCTCATGAGAGGCTTCCAAAAAATTAAAGCCTTTTTTCCCGCGGAAAATCTTCTCCGCTTTTTCTCTTCCGACTGACTTAATGAGTTCCACCAGTTCCTCCACTGCGTTGCGCTCCGCTGCAGTTCGCGGTAAAACACCGCGAAATTCGTTGGTGTCGCTGGTCTTCTCAGTCTCTGCCGCCAGCCGCCTCTTTTTGCGGGTGAAAGCTTCGCGCTCGCAGTATTGAATGTGCCGTTTGCCTTTCAGAGTCAGAGGAGCTAAGACGGACGAGTCGGATATTGAAGGCGTAATTTCATTCATGACCCCGTCAAGCCACAAACCCGCGTTCGCCTTCGTAAGACCGCTCATCAGAAAGTGCATGACCCCAGATTCGAGGAGATTTGCAGGAAGCGGCATCACAGCGCTTGACTCTGCCGTCTCGCTGAAGACACAAATATTATGCAGCGAAATGTGGAAGACGGAATGCGCTACTATAATAGGGTAAGACAACTCCAAGGGACTCTGAAGGCAACGATTCGAGCCTTCAATGATTGACTCCATTTCACAGTAAGCGGACTTGGGAGGCAAACAAACAACGTTCACCTCCTTCTTCTCCAGCGCGAGACCGGCGTTTAACGGTGCTTGTTCATACCATCCTCGGCAAACGGTTGGAATTGAACCAGTCAGATGCGGTCGAAGAGGAAACCGCGTCCCGTTCGGCGAGCTCAAAATGTAATGCACGCGATTCTGCACAGCTCCGTCCCCAAATCCAAACCGCGCAAGTTGCTCAACGAGGGCGCTCCGTGGAATGCTGTTTTGAAATTCAAAGATCAGCTGATGTTCACTACAGAATTCCGCAACGGCGGTCTCGACCCACGTGTGAAAAGTATGGCGGCCTTTCACTACTTCTTGCGGAACGCTCAACGGCTGACGAAGCAGGAAGGCCCAAAGAATGGCCTTCCCATCAGCCAATGTGAGCGAATCATGTCTTGTTTGCACATCGCCAATGCGGAAATGAAATGACAGAAAGCGTCCAAGAACACTTAGCTCCAAAACTTCTGGAGAAACGTCAGAACTTGATGCCATTATTCCAGCGGCTTGAAGAGTGTAAACAGTTGAGTTGAAAAAAATCCACGCCTGTTCCGTACAGAATAAATTGCGTGGGAGAGATACAAACGGTTGTTTGCTGACTGGAGAGAAACGCATTACGAAGCGTCGAAAAAGGAGAAGCAGCGTACCCCCGCATAAGTGAACAGCGTGTTCTGTTGCGGAAGAATTCGGTAGGACGTCTCGTTTGAAAAACGGCGGATTTTGGAGCTGCAGGATCCGTCTTTCTTGCGCTTTCACACCACAGTTTTGTAAAGCGATAGTGCACCTCACAATTTCTTCCTCGATCGTGTTTGCGATCTCGCAAAAACCGCCGTGGATAACAACTTTTACATCCACTTTGCTGAGTAAGTTCTCCTCCATGGACACACTCATCTGACTCACGAGCCACGTAGCGCTGCAGACAAAAACGACAGGCGATGACTTAGCCAGCTCATCAAAGCTCCATTCACGTTCGCTTTGCACACGCAGTGGTTCGGAACTGTAGCTATCAAGAATTTGATTCACTAATGTGGAGCGCACAGCCGCGATGTGGGGTACCACGAGTAGAATGGTAGGCGATCTCAGCTTATTGTCTTGCGGTTCGTTCTCTTCATCACATAGCATCTCATGGGCGTCAACTGCCTCACTGCAAACTGTCTCTAGCCAATCCGTGTCGCAACAAGGGAGACACTGCGCTTGAGAGATCAGTTCTTCGTAGGAGGAGCTAAAATTGTTGTCGTCAGTTCGTGTAACAGACAGTTTCAATTTGTTTTCGGCGTAAAACTGCAGTTTGTCTGCCACACTTGCACCTTCAGGGGTGTTGAGGACAACAAGCTCAATTGTCACAGCCTCAAGAACAGCTTGGTGATGCCCTTTCTTGGAGTAAAAGTGAAGAATCGACGCTACACCAGAGAGCAATAAGGAAAGAAGACATTCCCCATAACCGTTCGAGTGACCTAAAGAAATGTCAACGTATTCTATTCTAAATTTGCTTGGCGTCGCAGCTATTCCGTTAATAAGAAAGAGAAGATTAGTCCAAATTTGATTTATTGTTGTTGTGTTAATTAATTTGATCAACACAGTCTGGGTGTGCTCGTTCGAAGCGCCGCAGTCTGCCAGAAGACACGTCTCCCTGATGACCACGTAATCCGACCCTGATTTTTTAAAAAGCGGCTGCGTCGAAGAAAAATCAGTTTTGAATTCAGGGAAGACAGTGCCAGCAGACGTCGTCCGTGTTCCGGTGGTAGCCTTGAACTTTTCACCCAACGCATCAGCGAAAACGGTGCCTGACTTAACAAAAAATGGTATTGACCTTGGACTTACCATTAAATGGCCTGGAAGCTTATGTAGACGACAGTTTTGCACTGCCTCGTAGAACACAGTGGTTTCAACTGGAGTGAAATATGGCACATCGTTAAAGTACCCTGAAGTCCCGTCGAACCTCGGCAGCATTGTGGGAAAAATGTATTGTGCGCTTCTCTTGAGTACAGAAGTAAAAGGTGTAGAAAAACCAAGGATTGCACAGCAGGAGGAAAATAGAGAAAGACAGAAACCAACTCTTTTATTGTTTCCACACCCTGATGATGCCGGCCACCTCAACGTGTCCGAGTCCAGTACCCATTAAATGAGGAACCAAAGAACCTCCAGACGGTCCTCGTGTCCGGTTGTGCGCTTACTGGCTTGGCGGACAAGTTTGGGTCGTGCTTATGCTAGAGAGACTTGCAGCAGCTCACACGTTCGATACGACTCACAAAAACACGTGTCTATGGGCTACTAAAACCATAAGATGGGCCGCAGAATTTATTTTGCTATTACGCTGTGATGATGGTGAGCGCAATCCGGATGAGCCACAGCGTTTGGGTAATTTACTGGAAGTGACCATTTAAAGGAGAAAACATGATTCTCCGCGTTTTGGCAGAAATTACGCACATGAAGAGGAAAAACATTTCCGCATTCTCTGCGTCCATCGTGAAGGATTGAAGTCGAGCATACCCAATAGAAAAAAAATACGTGTTTCATCGAGACCCTTTACTTTTCGCAACGCACACTTGCATTGCTGCTTTCAATACTGTCTTTCCTTTTTCACACCTCAGCGCTAGCAGATCACACATTTTGCTCAGCGAACTATCAACTAGCGATGTCCAGAGAGAAAAGGCTCGAGAAAAGGTGTCTCTTAACAACAGTCCCAGGAACGGTACTATTCGCCATATTGACTAGAGATGTGATATTATTACGTTGAAAAGAGGGACCAAGAGAGTCCAACAACGCTTGAGTCTTTTCGCGCAATGTAGAATCAGCCCACAGAGGAAAATCACTGATTGGAGGCCAGGACGGTGGCTTCTGGGAATATTTGTCAGAATTGTCAATCATGTGTGAGCGGTCGCTTCGGAAAAATAAGAGGTATTCATCTCCGTCTATTACTCGGAACTGCACAGCGTCCATCAAAAGCTGAACCCGGCTCTTGTAAGGCGATGCTAGAGACTCTTCGAGAAACAAGGTATTCGAGCAGTACATGTCAAAATCGATACAATATTTGCTCCAATTCCCTAAAGCTGGCTCGCTCGAAGAAGACAACGACGAATCATGGTCAATGACAAACCATTTTCCATTTGCTTTATTGTGGACAACTGTGAAGACGTGATAATCCCAAATCACCAGATCCCTACTAGGATCAGGCGATTTAAAGCTACGGTACGGAACGGTGGATGTCCACTGGTTGTAAATTTCGCGCGAGGGATCACAGGTGAAGGAGCTCATGAACACCGCATAGCTGCGGTCAAAGACGTCAGGAAACTCGCGAGCCTTTTCCAGACACATATAAGCGTTCTCTTCGCAATAGCAATGCGCATATGGCAAAAGGACCTCCATTTTGTCTCCCTGAAATTAACTCACAGTGCATCCGCGGACAGAAACAGGTGTTAAAATGCAGACAGGGGAAAACAGTATAGCAGATCGTCGGTGAAAACTTCTACGAGCTCAGCATTCAGCATATGTAATTCCTTCGAACACCGAAACCTTCGCCACGTTTGCTTGGATAAGCCGCTGGCATCGCGCATCTGCTCTCAGTGCTTTTCTTTTCTCAATACATGAGTCGTTGAATATACATCACGGTCGGGATGTTTGATTGCGTATTACACGAGTGGCTGTCGGATGCACTAACGTGATCGCACATCTAGATCATTTCTTTAAACATTTGTCTTGTCGATTCAAACGCTGTTGTGAAACACCTCAGACAGCTTGCACCTTTCAAAACAGCACAACTCCCCGTCGTCCTGTGAACTTGGGCTCATGCCTGCCCCCATCTCCTGCATGATGGAGGCCATAACTAAAAGAGAAAGCGTTAGGCGACGCGACCCGCACGACCCCCTAAACAAGCACCCGCGAGGCCCTTCGGAATTCCCTCCCCCTCTCCCCCCCCCCCTACTTGTTTTCCCTCTTTCGGTGCCGTCCTTTTTGCCCTAACGCCACAATTCTCAAGTCACGCGTGCTCAAAAACGGGACATCAGCTCCACGGCTGTCCAATACCCCTTCCCTCACAGTTCTAGATCCCACTCACACCTTTGCGGAGCCACGACCATCCCTTTATCTGAAACCCTACTTTTCCTTCATAAGCCGTTATATTTCCGCTTTCTCACCCCCTCCACTCGAGTTCCGAAAAGCGTGAGCAACCCCAACAAACCTGCGCTACTTTTCCCTCAATCCAATGAGAAACACGAGTCAGCTCTTACTCGTTACCCACCAATCCAGAGCTGGCAGCAGCAACAAATGTCATCAAATGGTTTCCGACCAGCAAGCCACACCGACAAAAATCAGATGAAATGGCGCACCGCATGTGTCGCATCCGTTACACCTGCGCAGCAGAAAAAGACACCCAGCCCTCGCGCTTTCAACTTTTCCACTTTCCGTTTCATCTGGCAGCAGAGGTTTCAAAACGAGCAGCGGTGCTACAACGTGACACCACAACTCTCACACAAAACATGTGCAGCAATTTACACGGCAGATGTAGAACCAATTTTTCTTTCAATTGTCCATCGGTGACTGTCCGGGAAGTCTTTACAAACGCTTTGGCTCACCTGGATTGCGTCCACCATCTGCACAGCGTTATAGCAAAGCAATCTCAACGGTCTTTCTTACGGTTTTAGTAACCCATACACACGTGTTTCCGTGAGTCGTAGTGGTAGAAAAAAGGCATTTCCTCGGCGGATTGTGCGGGCAACCAATAATCACCAATCTGGCGAAATCTCTTGAAGAAGAAGAGCAGCCACGTTGTTTTCTTCGGGAAAGTATGTACGCTCTGGCTCCCAACTGTTACTGTTTTGCGCTTGTGTTCGGGGTATTTGACCTTATAACTGCTACAAAAGAGCTCTAGAGACGATCACCGAATGCTGCACACTTTGAGCAAAGGTAAAGACAATAAGAATGGGGAGGTGGAAAATGCCAGCTGTAAACGATCCTGTATTTTTAAGGGAGGTGTTTTTAACCATGATCTGCGGTATGCAGCCAACACACACTAGCCGTACGTAGTGGTGCTCGCGAAAAGCAAGCCTTCACTACAGCTCGTTAATAGCTGAAAGTGAAGACTTGACTGCTGCCGTGTGCGGGCAGCGCTTTGTGGTGTTTGAATATACGTTGCGAAGTCGTTTTCACCTAATTTGCAGCTACCCGGGGTATCTACTGCAACTTCACATGGTGATGGTGTTCTCAACTTTCGCAACTCCGTCGAATACAGTGTTTTCCTTGCCAAGAGTGCCCTGCTATCCGTTGCAGTAATGCTCTCGTTTTCCGGTGTCGTCAAATGTGTCGCTCAAATAAGATAAAGAGAGGGGAAGTGACGTGTGTGTTATCCAACACTGCACTTATACACACGGAGGGTACAGGGGAAAGGGCTGAGTAAAGAGAACACGCCTCCTACCAGGGTTTGACGGGAGCTTCCCAGGGGCGGTGCGATAGACCAAGTAAAATAAAAACCTCGATTGCTGAGCAAGTGAAGAATAAAACAACGGAAAAGCGTTCTTTAGAGGAGCAAAACACCGGGTGTACGATTGCAAGTAATCTTGAAACCGGATATGCTGTCGGCTTGACCACACAAGTTTCAAGGAGATAAACACCCAAACGCACACACCAACTGCTCTCTCCCTTTCCTCCTACCGCTATCACCTCCGTGCTCCGGCGCGCTCACAGTAAGGTCCGCCACGCTCGCGCACATCGTACGCGCAGTCGGGGGCACCAAGTTAGCCGTGCGGCAAACCGAACACTGCCAAAGCAGCAAACATACAGGGCGGGCGGGCGGGCTCTGAAAAACCAAACGCGGATTTGAGCAAACCGAAGCGTAGCTGCTTCGTACGTGTGCAGTTGTACAACAGCAGCGAGCAGCAGAGGGAGAGAGTGGAGAGAGGGAGAGGGGCCAGTGACATACAGCGAGAGAGAGCATGCGCAAATCCGCCCAGCCAGCCACCGGCCATCCACATACCATCGTGACCATACGCGTGGACCGCAATCAGCAGAGAACTCAACACACATAATAGTTTGTGCCTTTCGACGACTGCCGCCTCCGGCCACGGGAATGAGAAGACAGAGGAAATGTCAAGGAGAACCACTGCGATCAGCTGTTATGTAAATTGTGAGCGGCGAGAGGGGAGAGAGAAGGAAAACAGACGCCGCTGGGAAGGGGGGGGGGACGTTGCTAGGACCCAACTGGCTGCGAAGGAGACCGTAATCGGTACAGCGCGAACAATTCAGATTAGTGTTACAACTGAAGATTTCTGTTTCCGGCGGGCTAAAGTTTGTTTCAGGTTCAGAAGCATAGTCTGGGAGAGCGGGTAGTGGTGATGGTGGCTCCAGGGGAGTTTATAACTGCAGTTACCTTCTGCTACGGCCAAATGAGGGTTGTATTCGTTGTTTCACTACACAGATGTGCCCTGACCATTGTTTGTGTGGCCTGAGTGAGGCAGTAACCTAGGCCAAGTTGCGTTTCCACCAGGGGTCCGAGGTGAGCAGTTGGGTGATCGTGTAAGGGCAAAGCGGTGCCTGAAATGGCAACTAATTCTATTGACTATGTCGAACCGTTTGGTGCTCGGAGAAATGCAATCCGATTTGAAGCAAACGATCCCTATTGTGCTGGTGACGCTTGAGAACATTCCCATTTTGACACCGATGTGAAGTTCTATTCCACGGAATGCAGCGCTCACGAATAGTAAAGCAAACGGAACGGTCCACACGTAGACAAACTGTATGACATTGTGTTTGACCGCGTATGACTTCGAATGTGGTCAAGAATGAAGGGAATCCCAATTGTGTAATGAGAGGGTACCGGACTTTTTGCGACAACATGGAGTGCTGTCGACGTCGGACGGTGAAAGAACTTAGTAGCGAAATAGCATTTTCCTTTTTATGAATACGTCTGATTGGTATTCAAAGAACAGCATCTAAAAGCACGCTTTTCTCCCTCGATGAATGCTCATTTAGTTGTTAAGCTGTTCTGAAAGCTCCTGTCTTTCAATGCTCTTTTGTTTTACTGTTGACGACCCCTAGGATTCGCCGCAGTAAAGCAAGGGATGTACTGTTCGCGTGTTGCTGAGGCCAAAGGTACGATCGAATGAAAATTTATCCTACTTTCTTTTGTTGCACCTGCTCTTGGAGATGACATTAACAAATGCGTTCCTAGGCTCTTCTATTCTCTCCTTTTTGTTTAAAGAGTATTTTAGAGCTAATATAAAATGGCCTTCCTCAAATTACTGGTAGTTTTCACTTGCGCCGTCATCGTTGCCGTAAATCTCGTTCCTGAGGACAACACCGTTGAACCGCTGCGCGGGCTGCTGCTTAGCTTCGATCAAGACCTCCTGAAATCTCGGTTTGGAGATGCACGTTCTCTTGATCACAAGGCAACTAGAAGTGTCTATCATCAAGTACTATCTGAGGCCGAAAAGATGATATTGAACTCTCGTGATGCGCCCGAGCAGAAGGCGCTCACCTGCAGTTTGATGCGCTCGGAAGCACGCCGTTACGCGCGCTCGCGAGACGGAAGTTACAGAGGTCATTTGACAGATGCTGTTCTGCAACTGCGCGATAGCTACGTTCACGGGCTCCGCTATTTGCCCATCGCCATGGACAAAGATATTCGTGACTCATTGTCCTTACAAAGGCCTACACTGTATCACGTTGGTCTAGTTGTCAAACAAATCTTCTCCTGTCTCGCACCGGCTTTAAGCAGCGGTAACTGTCCTTCATACACATTTCTACGAGAAGTGCGAGGGAAATCAGACGACGAAATTTTGGGCTCCTGCACAACGACGAACACTGCCTATGATGCCTTTTAAGAAACCCTTTTTTCTTAATAACATATTGAAATGCATGGGCTTGCTTTTGCTGCCGTTAAAGTCCTCGCACGTAAGCTTCTCCACTGATGTTGGCGATACGGTTAACAACGTTTTATCAGCGAGGTATCAAATAATTGCTTTGAAGATAACAAACAACAGAATCTGTCTACAACGAAAGATGTGTGAAAATCGAGGATCGTTTCGCTGCTGTTTTCTTTAGAAGACTTCCAATCCAAATTGCTGTGCCTACAAATAATCTCCACTTTTTTCCTTCATCTAAATCTTTTTTTTTTCAAAAGCATTTTCCTCAGTTTTTTTTTTAAACAGCAAGCAAAAACACACCGTAAACACACGTTGAGTGTTTGAAGATGGCGGATCCCAACGAGCAGGCGCTGCTGCAGATCGCCCAGCAGATCGAGCGCGCTGTCGACGATGAACTGGATCGCGTTGATCACTTGGACGACGACGAGCTTTTCGCAATTCGTCAAAAGCGCTTGAAACAATTGAAGGAAGTTCAAGCGCGTAGAGATGAGTGGCTGAAAAAAGGCCATGGTCAGTACCTCGAAGTAACGGATCCGAAAATGTTTTTTGACAACGTGCAAGACTCTGAGCGAGTGGTGGTTCACTTCATGCGTAGGAGTACACCTCGGTGCGAAATCATCGAACGCCACCTACGCACCATCGCGAGTGAACAATTTGAGACGCGCTTTTGCTACGTGGATGTGGAGCGCGTTCCTTCTCTTCCCGAGAGGTTTAATGTGATGATGCTTCCAACTCTTATGCTTGTTGAGAAGCAAAACACTTTTCACAGCATCATAGGATTTGATGAGTTTGGAGGCACCGACGAGTTTCCTACGAGTACAGTGAAGCAAGTCTTGAGTTACTATGGCATGATCAACGAAAAAGGCATGTTTGCCGCTGACCAGAACGATGACTGATAGCCAGTGGCCCTTTGTTTTTTCTTACTGATGTTTCCAGATAGATTATATACTGTTCATAATTAATCGCTTTCCTGACATGACAGTAAGGACAACGATAACAATGAAACTGTGCGTATGCAATACAAGATGCAACAGCGTTCAAGTGCTCCAGTGCTTATTTACTTGTTGTTGGGGCATATTGAATGCAAGTAACTAGCTAACATGTTTTACGTCTCGCTTGCAAGAGTACTTTCGAGCAACATTGCGCTTTTTTTTCATAAAATGCCAGTTTCACTAAACCAACTACTGTTCGTTTTATTTTTTTCCTCGTCTTCTCCGTTCTTCTTCGTTCCAGTTATCTGAAATGTCCGAGCCCGACACCACATCGAACCGCTTTGCCGGCAAGGTAAGGCAAGCGGAAGATCCAACGGAGAAAACCTTGCGAATCAAAGTCAATGCGTTAAAGCGCACAATAAAAGATCTTGTGTACGCAAAGAACGAAGTTGATCGTGAGACAGACCGTCTCGAAAAAATTCGCAGCAATGAGCCCGATCGCGTTCCACAGCAGGAGAAGGTCCTTGATGAGGCTCGGATGATGGTTCCACATTCTGAAAACCGTATAATGTCCCTAGTGAAAGACCTTTCTGATTTTCTTGAGAAAGAAAGTGGTAGCGTTTCCAATGACGAGCTTGTGGAACTTGCTCGCGCAACTATCCTTGAAGGCCAAGCTGCAGTATCGTAAAGTTGTTTGATAATTCTTTTTTTTTGTATTAACTTACCAACAGTGTAAACGCGGGAGTCCTTCTCCCTTGCAGATAGATAAACAAACAAACAAAAGAGTTGAAACGTGAAAAGCTATGAGTCAAGGGGTGAAGATTCGAAATGTTCAAAAATTTGATTTCAAAAGAAAAGTTTCCATGCGCGCTCAAAAGAACCTCTAGTGTGTTTTCTCGGTGTATCGCTATTTGCTCTCTTCCTCCATAGCAAATCAACGACATAATACGGTTTCCTCTTTGCACAGACGATCATTATTATTGTTTGGACTTCTAATTTATTTAAACCTTTTCTCTATTCTTTTCATCGCACTTTGAACGACAATAAAAAGTAGCTGTTCTCCATCAACACAACCGCGAGAACACTTTAATAAGTGCGAAAAAAAGACACTAGACTGCACGGTGCTAAAAGAGTGGACTCCTTTTTTAGTATAGGACTTCATCATGTCAACGCCAGACAAACATGCGTATGCCGCAGCGGCAACAACCAAATACCCTAATTATGTCAATGACAGAGATATCTGCCGACATTTTATTGAAGAATTTAGGGACTCTACTGGGCAGATCAAGTATATGCTGAAGGCCAACGAAGTAGCGCAGCGGCAGTCCAAAGTTTTCTCAGTTTTTCTCGATGACGTGGCTAGCTTTGGCCAGCTCCACTTAGCACAAAGGATTCAAATGAACGTTGTCGGATATATGGATGAATTGTACAAAGTCGTTGATTCTCTTATTCCTCCGACAAGTTTCGTTGTGGACATGGTCGATCAACTGGTGATGGAAGCGCGCGTCTCCGGGCAGGAACTTCCTGCACTGCTGACCCGACGGTACGAGTTGAGAATCGTTCCATTAAGCGCAAACTCGACTCCAATCTCTCTACGCGATCTGAAAGGTGGAACTATCGGCACTCTCAGTGTCCTGCGAGGAATTTGCATTGCGGCAACCGCCGTGCGGCCTAAGCTTTCTATGCTTGTCTCGGTCTGTGAAGTGTGTGCGGAAACAACTTTTCAGCAAGTCATTGGTGATAGGCTGACTCCGCTACAAGTTTGTCAATCGCAGCGTTGCAAATTCAACAACGCTGTGGGGCGTCTTCTACCGCAATACAAGGCAAGTAAATTTGTCAAATTTCAGGAATTGCGCGTGCAAGAACTTCCAGAGGATGTCCCACGTGGTGCAATTCCTCGCACTATTCGCGTTGTGTGTGAAGGAGAGCAAACGCGAGTTGCGGCCCCTGGCCAAGTTGTTCGAATCACTGGGACGTACTGCCCTGACCCCTCCACCGGGCAAGGCCATGAGGCGTTTCGAGCGTCGACAATGGTGAAGACGCTTTACAAGGCAATTAATGTGGAGCTAGAGAAGCGCAGCTACCAAGAAGCGGCAGAGGATATGCGTGCGCAAGTGGAGGACATTCGTGACTATCCGGACCGAGATGCTGTGATTGAAAAGCTGACTCGAAGCATCGCACCAGAGATTTGGGGCATGGAGGACGTTAAGAAAGCGTTGTTGTGCCAGCTTGTGGGCGGAAGCTCGATAACGAACGGCATTCGGATTCGCAGCGACATAAACATTCTCTTCATGGGCGACCCCGGAGTGGCAAAAAGTCAGCTTCTGAAGTGGATTGCCTCTGTGGCGCCGCGCTCTGTGTTTACAACAGGGAAAGGTAGTTCTGGGGTTGGCCTCACTGCCGCCGTCACGCGGGACACCCACACTGGCGAAGTGATGCTGGAAGGCGGCGCGCTGGTTTTGTCAGACAAAGGTGTTTGCTGCATCGACGAGTTTGACAAGATGGACGACTCTGATCGAACGGCGCTACATGAGGTGATGGAGCAGCAGATGGTCTCGATTGCCAAAGCTGGCATCATTACTTCCTTGAATGCGCGAACTTCCATCCTCGCTGCCTCCAATCCAAAATTCGGCCGTTGGAGGCGCAACGCGACGCCAACGGAAAACGTGAATCTTCCTCCCGCCCTCTTGTCACGTTTTGACCTCCTTTGGCTATTGCTCGACGAGTCCAGCCGCGAGCGCGACGCTGAGCTTTCCATGCATGTTACCCACGTCCACCTTCACGGTGTCGCACCTGGCACGGTGACCGACGATACTGTTCGCGGATCATCCACCGAGTACTTCGGGAGGGAGTTTCTGCGCGCCTACGTCGGTGAGGTGAAACGAATTCATCCCTTCGTCGACCCAGGCGCTGCGAAAGCCATCAGCGACATTTATTGCGAGATGCGCGCGCAGAGCGTGCGGCACAGCAACGTTGTCACTGCTCGTACACTCCTAAGCTTGATCCGCCTGTCCCAAGCATGCGCGAGGCTGCGCTTTTCCGAACGCGTCCTGGAGGAGGATGTACGGGAGGCTGGCCGGCTGCTGGATTGCAGCAAGGCTTCCCTGCAAGACCGTCCAGCCACAGATGCACAGCGCGTGGTCACAACATCCGATGCATCCATCTTCTCGGCCATCAGGGATCTTGCGCGAGGACGGCCGGCTATCGACTTGTCGGAAGTTCGCCCCGCGCTGATGATGAAGGGAATCGGAGAAGCACATTTGCAGCGATGCCTTCAGACGTATTCCGAGGTCGGGGTGTGGTCCGTCTCTGGTTCGATGGTAGAGTTTGCTGACGACTGAAGGTATCAGTATAGAGATTTATAGAATGACCCCTTTTTTCTTTGTGAGCGGAAGTATCAACTCCACAGAGCACATTTGATGCTCTCTCCCACACACGAAAATCAACAACAAACTGGGATACACGTAAATAGCTCGCATTGATCAAGTCAGTGAAACCACGCCGTGCTTTCACTTGAAGCCGAAGAGTTTTTTTCTCTTTTTGAAGCACTTTCGTCAACCTCGTAGACTTGATACGACCGCAGCTTTGAGTGCATCGAATTTCATCGACAGTAAGGAAATCTTCTTTAAGTCCTTGATAGTCAGCTGTTACAATGCCTTTTTATATATTCACAGCACTCTCTTTTACTCTCTTTGTCTGCCCTTTTCCTTTCAAACTCATCGTTTGCGCAACGCAAGCTTTCCATTCCAACAGTTTTTCCACCGACTAACATGTCTTCTGAGCGTACCTTCATCGCTGTCAAGCCCGACGGCGTCCAGCGCGGCTTGGTTGGCGAGATCATCGCCCGCTTTGAGCGCAAAGGCTTCAAGCTGGTTGCCCTCAAGATGCTGCAGCCGTCGACGGAGCAGGCTCAGGGTCACTACACCGACCTGTCCTCTAAGCCGTTCTTCAACGCGCTGGTGGAGTACTTCTCGTCGGGCCCGATTGTGGGCATGGTGTGGGAAGGTAAGAACGTGGTGAAGAGCGGCCGCATGCTGCTCGGCGCGACGAACCCGGCTGACTCTCTGCCCGGCACGATCCGTGGCGACTACGCCGTTGATGTGGGCCGCAACGTGTGCCACGGCTCCGATGCCGTGGAAAGCGCGAAGCGCGAGATCGCGTTCTGGTTCAAGCCGGAGGAGCTTGTGAGCTGGACGTCCCACTCCGCCAACCAGATCTACGAGTGAATTGATCCAGTTGAGACTACGAAAGGGAAAAAAGCTGTATCTCAGTGATAAATTTAAAGAAAGAACATTTACTTGGTTTTATAAGCTGTAAGCACTGAAGGGTTTCAGGGAAGTGTGCTGGTTGGCCAAGACTCATTTTGTAAATTGACACTTTTTATCTCTCTCTCCCTTCAGATCACTGCTGGTGACTCGAGCTAGAGGAGAAAAAGGTTGATAATTACATATGTGCGTTTTAGCTGCCAGCCATAGGCTGAGTGTTGGTTTCCCTTTTTGTGCATGCTTTTTATTATTATTACCTTTTTTCCTTCATTTTATTAACCGTCGATTGACACGCATGTATTCATTAGCGAAAGAGCTGAGTAGGAGACGTTGCGTGGAGGTGCGATTGAGTATCTGCGCTTGCAAATGGCGCATCACATGCGCAACTGTGACTTGTGTCTCTTCTATTGCTAGTTCTCTTTTGTAGACAGAGCGTGAATGATGAGAACTGGCGGTCTTGCAGATTTGTGTGCTTATCGGAGTTGCGCTCCCTATATTACTGAATATTGTTACCCTGTGCAGGTTTTCATTACGCTGAAAAGACGTGCCTTTCTCTCTCTTGCCTTGCCAATTGTCACTTGTTCTCTCCCCCTTACGCGTCTCCAATTCGTGTATCTTTTCGAAAGTTGTGCGCGGCAACGAAACCGTATTTTGTAAGAATCGGGCACACCCCGTTTGATCACGGTTGACAACAAACGAGCAAACGAGCGAAAGTATTTTTTCACTCTCTCTTCGCATAAAGCACATATTAACAGTCAGAACGACACCCGCTGAGAATAGCGCGTGCGCATAGAACGGGTTGATTCACCGTGGTACAGTTACATTGATAAAAATTGTATAGAACCGTAAACAAAAGGATTCATCGTGATCATGAAGAGAGCTTTCGTGTTGCTCGCTCGGCCGTTTCAACTGATTCGCCCAGCGAAAATCAACCCATCGCAGAGGAAGGTTCCCATTTCCGCGCAAAATGAGGCGAGCATGTTAGCCACGGTGACGAATACTCCTTTCTCAAAGCGATGTCAGGTGACGCTTCGCGAGGTGGCGAGGCGGAACCATTACATGAGTCGGTACTGGGTGACGCAACCGCAGTCGAGCCGGTCGTGCAACGCCGTTGTACTTCCCGGTCAGAAGCCGGCAGTGATTTACCTTCATGTAGAGAAGGTCATTCCTCTGACGTCGCTAACGAAGAAAGATCAGAAACGCATCCTGGAGGAGCATCCCCCGTTCTTCGGATCGGGCGTTGGCATTCTTTCCGAGAGGAAAAAGTGGAAAGCCGTGACAGCGGAGAGGCTTATTCGCTTGCTGAATGCTGCCGAGGAAGAGCGAGCTTTGTTCATCGACTTGAACATGGCGACCGAATTAGAATTGGCTTACGACAAGAAGGCCGTGATTGACGTTCGTCCGGCAAGCTCTGTGAACGTATACAACGCCCAGCAGCTTGACGATGCCTACAAGGGTGAGCCTCAGAAAGGCGTGGCGCTAAATGCGACGACGGGGAAGCGATTCGGTCAGCCGGCACATGACATTTTGTTGGGGGTGGGAATCTTGCGCGGGTACACGTCTCCCATGTGGATCGGTGAATCGCAAATGAAATACCTGAACGTAGAGCTAAAGCGCCATGCATATCATCAAGCGGTTGCGGTGCCCGACATGACGGGGATGGTTGTCTCGCTGTCTTTCGTGCCACCCAAGGCTAGAGCTCAGCTGCTCCAGGAGCTGAAGAAAACACGGCCTGACGCGTTTGGGCATGACACATTTTTTATCTACGGCGTTAACGGATGGGAGGCAATGCGTTCTCGCATGTTGGTCAAGTATATGGCGGCCGTAAACGACCCTCAATACCCTTTTCACTTTGTGAACTTAAAGTTTTTGCGAGTGCAAAAGCCGGAGTTTGCTGCGTGGGTCAGCCGTATAACAAAGCACACGTCCCCCATTGGGCCTTCGCTCCTAACAAGGACAGTCGACGAGAAGACTACGGTTGAACAGCAAGAAAGCCGCATTGCTGTGCAAGGGACTCGGAGGAGGTATTTTTTCGCAGACGATGCTACCCTGCGCAGGTATTACAACGCGGCGTGCATGAAAACGCCACACCTCATGATGCCATCAGTCCGTCCCATCGCGATCCTCAACGGCAAGCTCATCGGTCCACGAGACGAGAGTTTGCTGCGTGCATTTGCTTTGAAGCACAAGTTATCCAGTCCTATTTGGCTGACAGAGTCCGCCGCAGCCCGCCTGGGGATTGGGATTAATCCTACTCATAAACAACACTTCGTGACAATTGGGGCAGCGGCTGCAGAGACGAACCCGGAGGAAGAGATTGCCGACGGGTTTTACAATATCGGGGACTTCGCACGACCAGAAGAGATCCTTTCTCTTTTTCCAAAAACGAGCAAAAAGGTTCACTTTATGCTGGACACGAAATGGCGCCCAGTTTTAGGAAAGCAGCGGCAGGATTACCTTTGCTCATTGAAGCGCGATGAGCCGTTGTGGGTGTCAGTGAACGAGTGTCTCATGTCTGGCTTTGAGCCGAAACCGGGAGCTTCGCTTATCTCATTCCCGTCAGGGCGAAAAAAAGGAACGTCGGGAACGCGCGTGTACAACTCCCAATACACGACCGATCCTGTTCGTGCGATTGGACTATCTCCTGTGTACACACGTCCTCAAGGCTTGACGGTGTAAGATGAGCTGTTCAGTTTTTTACCCACCCGTATCTTGCGAATGAGGAGCCGTGTGTCGCACAATAAAGAGTTTGTAATGAAATCACGGATTTGGCTGCAATGCCGTTTCTTGGCCGAAAAGCAGTGTAACGTTTTTCTTTTTTTAAAAGTATTTAGATATAGACCGCTTGGCGTGCGCATTTTCTCCTTCGCTTCGTATGCATAGAACCGTGCAGATAGACAAACAACGACATAAGTTTATGCGACAACACGCATTTTCTTCTTTTCTGCTCGTCTCTCGCAGATTCGAGTTTTCTGTTTCAACTTGGCAAGAAGCTCAAACTTCTTTTGACGGCTGCATCCAATTTCTTCCCTCCTTATCCGGTGGCGCCGTTGCACGGTGCAAACTTACCGACTACTCTAAAACAGATATGCAAGGGGATCCATAACTTCATATGCATTACTTCATCCAGAGTCGCCTTTGATGATGCCTTCCACTGTGTCCAACAAAAAGCCTCTATGCGATTGCTCTCTTTTATTGTTATTGAACCTTTCGATCCGACGTGTCTGCAATACCACTACCACTGCTAACAATAATAACGTGCACTTCTTATTCTTGTCCAAACAAAAGCCATTCATTCAAGCATATTGATGCTTTTTCACCCGTGTGCCTTTCTTCTATTTGTGGCTTAACTGAAATATATATAATCGACCATTCAAGCTTTTAGAGTGCGCTGTGTTTTTTGGCTTTCAATTATACATTGTTTATTTTTATACTTGAATTTAACGTAAAGGGATATACTTTAGAACACTATGAACTCTCCTTCAAAGGAGAATCAAAGAACACTGGCTGTTGCACCAGCGGACCCGGTGTTGAGCTCTAGATACAATCGAGCGAACTCCGCGTCGACTCTTGCATCGTATAACACCAGGAAGAATAGCCCTCGCGTTACTCCGTTTGCCAACGCGCCAAGCTCCGCTACGAAAAGAGCATCCCCGCGGTACAGCCAACCCCTTGGAAATGGTCGTCGCGGGTCCGCTCAGTACGCTGATTTGCAGTCATCTCCGCTGCCACCGCAGGCGTCGAGTGGCGTACGGTCCTCTATCTTCGGTTCCGGCGCGGTCGCGTGGGGCTCGTCTCTCCGCGTCGGTTCTGCACGCGGTCACACGGCGTCTGCTCCTCTACAGCGCACCGTGTCGGCGACCGGTGTGGAGAGGCGGTGCAAGTACGTTGTGGCGACAATGAAGCACTGCGGCTCCATTTATGAAGAGATGACGAAGCAGCTGCTGGCCACGGGGCGGTGGTCGCACATCAACGTACGTCAACGATCCATCACGAAAGCTCTCGTTGTATCGGAGACGCAGTGCGACCTGGTCGACACCAATGTGCACCTGCTGCTCGGCGAGAAGATGCCGTGCGAGCGTGTCATCTCCACCCGACGCGAGGCCGCCAAGCGTTTCCAGAGCCGTCTCAACGATCTGGGTAACGGCAGGCGCTCCGGCTATGGCCCGAGGCAGTACGGATCGTTAGGCATTCGCATGCCCATGGGCAACGGCGACGACGGTGAACCACGTCTGGTCGACTTTGTGGAGAACACCCGCAGCATAACGCTGAAAAGTGCAATGGTGACGAATTTGTTGAAACACCACTATTACGACTGGGGAGCGCTGGGGGAGTACCTTCCCATGTCCTTCAAACTGCTCCCACGGCAGGCCACCCGTGATGACCGCCACGCGCTGCTTGCCACGGCAAAGCGCGACTTTGTGCACACCCGTGGGGGCGAGAAGAAGTCGTGCATGTGGATCACCAAGAGCTCGGCAGGGTGCCACGGCGACAACATTGAGATCTTCTGCGGCGACCAAGTTGGCCTAACGAAGCTGTTGCGCTTCGTCGACAGCCAACGTGGAGGCCAGCCGTGGATAGCCCAGCAGTACATTGACCGCCCTCTTTTGTACCACAAGCGCAAGTTCGACATTCGTTGCTGGGCACTGCTGCTGCGCGACAGGTACGAGATATATGTGTACGACGAGCTTGTAATGCGCACGAGTAGCGTTCCGTACAATCGCGACACAGCGACGTCCAGGACTGCGAATGGCCGGCTTGCGCACATCACAAATCATTGCGTGCAGGAAACTGGAGCTGCCTACTCACTTTACGAAGATGGTAATGAGCTTTGGCGGGAACACCTGGATGGACTTGTACGTTACAAAGGCACCTTCAAGAGCGAGAAGCTGAAACAAACGAAGTGCCTGCCGGGGCGAAGTCCGCGATCGCAGGAGCCTAACGCAAGTGAAGCTCTCTATTCCACCACCTCTTCTATCGAGACCAGAATTTCGCCGTACCCGATACGTGAGGTGAAGCGTGGAGAAGGCTCGAGGAGCCCTGCACCCACGAGCGCCCGAGACGCGTCGTCACCGATAACACTGGACAACCACGTCATGCCACAAATCCACGCCATTGTTAAAGATACACTTTTTGCGGCAAAGGCTCACGTGCCGGACGAACCTGTCGTACCTCCGACGCACACGTTCCAGGTGTTTGGGTACGACTTCCTCATTGACGAAGACCTGAAAGTGTGGCTTTTGGAGATCAACGGAGCCCCGGGCGGCCCTGACCGACTTAAATCTGCTATGATGAAAGACACGATTGAGATCGCTGTCGCGCCTTTCTTCCCGGGCACAATGAACCTGAAGACAAAGCGTCACAACGGCTATGTGCGCATTCACCCCTGAGGTGGTGCAAGGGACGGAAAGTCGCTTTTCGAGTCAAGTAATCCACTACCCTGTTGGCAAAGGATGCACAAATAAAGACAGTCATTATTTAGGACAGGGCCGGTACCCAACGAGGGTGCTGAATCACCACGCTGAATTAATGCACACGAGTAAAGGAGAGAAAGCGAAGCAACACCAGGGAAATTTTGGGTCTCCTGTCTCTCACGAACTCAGCTGTCATCGTTTGTGGTGTTAACTTCATATGTGTGATTTCGTTGCTACCTTCACTTTTGCAGATATTTTTTTTTTCAAGAATAGAGTAGAACGTGAGAAAAAATGACAAAAACAATACTACAAACGTGGCAACAGATTTTACCGAGACTATGCATCACAAGCGACGTTGGGTTAACAGTTGTTTTAAGATGGGCTTTTTGGCGTCTGCCTATTGCAGTATGCGTACTTGATTGCCTTTCGGACCGTTCAGATGGTATTGGTGGAGCGGAAAAAGGAATGCCAACCATGAAAGCACTTCATGGTGTAAACTGCGAGTTTCCTTTCCTGGCGTTTCTTTCTTTGTTATTCGCAAGGCAGTCTTCTTGACTGCGAACTCCTGCACAACTTTTTCATCCTTTTAGGGGTGATAGACCTTTTCGCCGTCAATCTCTACCTTCCTTTTTTTCTTCTCTCTTTATCGACGACAATAACATCAAAAAAAGCTGCCATACATTAGAGCTGCACAAAAAGAGAGGAAAAATAGAGGAAAAAAACCCCACAACGATCCTACGTCGGAGAAAAAAGAAAAATGCGCATCCGTGATGTTATTATTATCGGCGTCGCTATCGTGTGCAGTATCATCTGTTGGTCTCAGGATGGATCGTTGAGCTTTAAACGTGGATTTAAGGTGTCTGTACGAGATGATGAATTGGCACAGTCGCTGATGCCAAAACCCATCGTCGTTGACGTGGACGGCTCTGGGTCTCGCGTCCTTCTCGCCTCGACGCAGCTGGGTGTGCTCTCCCGTTTCCGGACACACTACGCGCGCCGACGCATCGATGACGCATTCGTCTCTCTTGCCCCCAGCGGGCAACTGGATTTCCAGTCAGCCATCATGGCGATTGGTGCCGGCTACACAGATCCAAACAGCAAGGTCATGCTCGGCGCGGTGATCACGGAAGACTATCAGCTGATTGCTATCAACATTGACGGCGAGTCCTTAACGGAAAAGTGGAAGAAGCAAATTCTACCTTCGACGTACTGGGCGGACACGGCTCACGCCTCCATCTCTATTGTGCCGGAAAGGATCTGGAAGGACGACGTGGGAACTGTTGCGATCGCTGTTGACGTGGTGGATACGTACAGGATGCAGATGACCTTCTACGCCGCCTATGATGCTGCGTCCGGCGCCGTGCGGTGGAGCTACTTCTCTGACGGCGGAAACGAAATGGATGACGCTGTGCGTGAGGCCACGCTGAACGCTTCAGCGGTTGACTTGAACATCGACGTCGATCAGCCTCTGGTAGCTCCGCCGATCGGCGAGGGTAACAGAGACGAGACACGAGACGCTGTCTTGCAGGCAAGGGCGCGGATGCAGCCGTGGACCACCTTCCGTGAAGGCTTAATTGCCGCCATGCCGCACCGGTACGCGCACCCCTGGGACGCGCAGCTCGTTCCACATGTGATTTACCGCGTCAAGGCAGAACGCAATGCGCAAAAGCGGCAACAAAAGAATACGAAGCGCGTCACGTTGCTGTACAACGACCGCGTAGCGCACATGGGCACGGACGACCATGGCACCCTGGGTGAACAGCTGAACTCTTGGATGCTCTCCGTGGTCTCGAAAGCCCGTCTCTCTCCACCGAAAAGCGAGGCGCGCCGGCGTCGGCCGCCGAACGTGCTTGTGTTTCACGGAAAGAACGGTATCGAGGTGCGGCACATGTACACCGGAGACACAGTGACCATGGTGGGTCCGCTGCGATCTGACGGGACGGCATACCATGACATCAACGACGATTTGGTTTTGGATTCTATCAGCACCCAAATTGGTCCTCGCACCGTCATACACTCGAAACACGGCGTTGACCTGCTGTACGACTGCCTCGGAATGATCGAGTCCGGCGTCCCCACCTCGTCCGCGGAGCTCTTCAACGCAACCGTGTGCGATACCGTGGGATTATTCGGGAACCTGGATCTCATCCACCACTTCGTGGACGGCGACGTACGCGGCGAGGAAGTTTCGCATACCGTCAACACACTCGAGCTTCTGGGGAGTCGCAACGTCGCGTCAGACGCGACCCACGCCACACCACCGCTCGTTGTGCAGGTGCAGAATGTTCGCGGCAGTGGGCTGTACCAGGTGGAGCGGTACGCTGTCTTCATGATCAACACGGGCCTTGTCACGTGCATTGATCCATCTCGACGCCGCGTGCTGTGGCGCGCGCAAACGGGGAGCCGCTTCACGCATTCCGAAACGGAGGACATGACGAGGTGGGACGACCGTGAAAACCGCGAGGAATTCGAGTCAAAGCCATTTCCTCACCTGGTGCCCTATTCGCTGTCGCAGAAGAATCGTGAGACGGACGTGACATTCGTAGGGGGCGGCAAGGAGCCCTACCGACGCGTCGACACGTACGTGTTGGCTGTGGGAGACACCGAGTTCTCAATCATCAAGACGAAAAACGGGAAGGTAACCCGCACCATCGCACTCGCAGAGGCGCCGGTGGCGCCTGTGCAGGTTGTCGACTTCAACGGGGACGGTACCAACGACTTGATTGTCGTTTCCAAGTTTGCTATTTACGGTTTTGTGGGCAGCTCCCAGTCGTCCTCGGAAACTGTAGCCGCCTTGATGCTTCTGCTGGTGGGGCTGCTTGGCCTTCTCTTCGCCATCCGCGAGAAAAACATCGCGGAAGGGGAGGTGGAGGACTACACACTTCCTGTGCACACTGGGGACCAGATGCAGCGTACCAAGACCTTCAAGCGGTCGACGGACTAACATGCCTTTGCGGGAAAGAACGATACTGTTTTTTTCTACCTGCACCGATGTGGCATCACTGTATGTGTTTCTCAAATGACTTCGCCTACAAATGTAAGAACACTTTGTCGGCAGGTATGCAACCCCACAGCCACATTTGATTGTCGTGCCCAGTTCATTTCTGACCATCGATTATCTCTTTTTGTATTTTAGCCGTTTTATCATTGCTTTGTCTGCGTCGTTTCTGTGACAAGAGTGCGGAATTCACGGGACGGTTTTGTTTGCCTTTCTTGTTGACACGCCGCCGTGCTTATTCCTCATTCCCTTTTGTTTGTCGGGAGGGTTGTTTTGTTGCCTCTTTTCCGCTGCCTGGGCGGAACGATATGCTAATTAGCTGAAATGCAAACCCACGAAGCAAATAAAGCGGGAAGGCCTTTGAAGGCGGAAGAAGGGAGGAAATGCCGCTTCGTATCACATTCCGACTAAATCTGTTGACCATACGGATGAATATTAGTTTTTTTTCTGCCTTGCGCAGTCAAACGAGGTGCGATGTGCTCGCACGAACATGACCGCCATTTGTGTTCCTTTTTTTCCGTCAGGCGCGTTATTTTGTTTGGATGGCTCTCTTCATATGCTCTGTAAATATGCTCCTTCATCTTTTTCCCTTTTTTTTTTCGCATCGCGTCTCTCTAACTTCTCTTCCCGATTTGTGAACTTCTGGTACACCGAAAGGATCCAGGACCCATTTGTGAAGCATTTTTTCTGTTTTCCTTCTTTGTTCACTCAACAGCGATCCTTCCGTGCGTCTGTTGAACAGATTTCGGTGTTCACAAGATATCCAAACACAGAAAACGAACCAAGCTGTTCAAGGCGCATTCGCACGTACGCAAAACACTATTGACGCGTGCTAGATTTCTGGCCTGCACGGCGTCGAAAAGTGAAACGTAACTTCGTTACCGTCATCGCTTTCTGGAGCTTTTAGTTACCTCCTTTCTTCTTTACGCGTACGCGAGCCGGTCGTTACGTCGTTGACATTTTTTGTTGTTGTTGCGGAGATCGCAGACCGTGTAGTCGAAGTAGAGTCAAGTCTTTCTGTTTTATCGCATCTTTAGCAACAATGAGTTATGTGCCAACAGATGGTGCTGAGGAGAAGGGCGGTGGGGACAGTGCTGATGCGTTTCCGCTGAGCGCCACATCGCGTAGCTCGTTTTCTCCGTCCGAGGACGAAGCGCACTCACCGCAGCTCAATGATGATGCTGACGGGGGCGCCGCGAAAGACAAAGTGATCACGTGGGATGGGATCCAAAAAGAGAGTACCATACCGAAAGAAATCGACGCGGTCGATGAGGCGGAGTCGACGCAGACGCCGACCCCCGCGAGCCCGTTGCAGGGCTTCGTAAACTCGCTGGTGGGCATTATTCTAGAAGGACTCCGCGGCTTTGATGGCAGCATCACCTGGTTGAAGCGGTCCAGTGCCGTGACTGCCGCGCAGCTGGACGTCATTAAAGCCGTCAAGTCACCCGAGCACGTGGAGGAGTTTAGTGTCGCGTGGTTCGGCATTGCCAGCGCGCTGCTGCGCGATTTCATTCAGGAGAGCGTAGAGGGAATGATACTTCAGGTCACCCCATCATCCCCAACTACCGACGCAGAGGAGGATGAGTGCGTGGGCGCGGGAGTGCACGCCACCCCGCGTGAAGTTGCGGTCACGTTTGTGTCTGGGCTCCAGAGCATTGTGGCGGAGGTAATGAACGACTGCGGGTGCCACACCACCAGCGCCGGTGGGAACCGGTCGTACTCGCGCTACTCCCTGCGCAGCTTCACGTTCGCAAAAGAGGTGAGTGAGCTCAGCAGCCGTCTCATGCGCGACCGACTGACGCGCGGCGCCTACTTGCCGGAGGCACTCCGTGACAAGTACGCCGACGACGCAACGGTTGTCGACAGCAAGGACGATTACTCCGCCATTTTGGGCCCCATCGCGGACGCGTGGATTTGCAGCTTCTTCCCGGCGTACCAGCAACTTTCCCGCAACCCAGTCGAAACGGTGCCGTACCTGTGGACGGAGGAGGAGGAGGACATCTCACGGCTCAACACGGACCTTTTCTTCTACTACTTCTTCTTCGCCTGTGAGCAGCATAGCTTGATGAAGAACAAGGAGGGATTCACACGTGGGGTGGCGGTGCCTACGGCGTGGATGGTGCAACTGCTGAGCTGGACCGCGAAGGCGAGGCAACAGCGCCTTCTCACCCCACCTGGGCCCCTCCCCCAATTTCCCGGGCCTATCGACACGTTCGATTTAGTCTCCGTGTCTCCGCACGACCCCCGCCGCCACTGGCTGCGACTGGACACAGGCCTCTACCAGGTTATCCCTGAGAGCTTGTTTGACTCCTTTTTCCGCTTTTTCGGGGCTGGCCCAAAATACACGATGTACGGTCCCTTTCCGCTGCGCAACCAGTGCCTCGCAGCGTGGAGGGCGCTTCCGCTGAAGGTCGAGGTTACCTTTGATTGGGTCTCGACCAACAAAGAAGACAACGTGATGGACTCATTCACCGTTTCCGTGTACGTCGAGGAGGCGCTACTGCACAGCGAGATGCGAGAGGTATGCCATCTAGCGTGGGGGTTGGCAACTGAGGAAAAGGATACGATGTCAGAGGAGGCGTCCATGGTGTGGTTTGCCGCCGTTAACGGCAACGACACGGTGCGTATCTCTTGCAAAGGGCTCTTCACGCTTCCCATCGGTGCAGATGCCTTTCCCGTTGCTGCAGAGGGCGACGGGATGGACGTGACGGTGCAAGAGGTCCTTCAGCAACTTCGCGACCACATCGAGACGAAGAAGCCTGGGAGCTTGGGCGAATTCAAGAAACAAACAAAGTCGCAAGTTTTTCTCTCTCTGGGGGTTACCCTACACAACGTGAACGGCGACGGACGCGAGAAGGAGATCACCGGAACGATGGAGGTGGCGGCGCACAACAGCGGCGTCTGTGGTCTGACAAACGTCGGCAACACCTGCTACATGAATAGTGCGCTTCAATGCCTGTCCAATCTTTCAGCGTTCCGCACGAAGTTGCTGACCTTACCTATCTCCCACTTTATGCAGGCCACCATCACACCGGCGTTTATCAAGCTTCTGTCCGGTATGTGGTGCGGCCAGCACTCCTTTGCCGAAACGCGCGAGCTGAAGGACCAAATCGGGATGCGTGTGAAACGGTTTGCAGGGTATCAGCAGCAGGACGCCAGCGAGTTTATCGAGGTTTTGCTCGACAACATGGGCGAGGAAATCAACCTCGTCTCAGCTCGCTGCTACCGCCAGCGCGAGGACAGCGATAATGCCATCCCTACACAGGAGCTATCCACCATTTTCTGGGAGAACTTTCTGGAGAACAATCAAACCTTTCTCTCTCCACTTTTTTTTCACCAGTCGAAGACGGTTTTCACGTGCCTCACGTGTGGTGAGTTGAGCGTTGTGTTCGACAACAATGTGACGCTACCGGTGAGCATCAGAGAGCCACAGCAGAAGCGCACGTACGGCGTAGAGGTATTGGTAGAGCTGGATCGCAGAGAGTGCGCAACAGACAAAGCAGTGGCAGAGCGGAGCGCTGCCTCGCCTTCTCGACCTGTCACGGACAACAACCGTGCTTTTGTACAAGCCACACTTCGCGTGCAGGCGCTGGTGGGGCCGGACAACACAGTGCGCAGCCACGACGTTGAGCAGGGCCTCGCCCACGCGCTCTCGGGTGTCGCGGTCGACAGCAAGGAGGTGTACAGCTTCTTCTTCCCCCCCGGTGCTGACAGCGGCGACAACAACCTCGATGATTCCGAGGAGAAGCCGTTAGATTGGTGGGAGAAGAAGAGGGAAGTGATCCGGTCGCGTTTGCGCGTCGATGCGCGCTTGATAGAGGTGCCGGAGCACGGACGTGTCCACGCGTGGGCGCGGCTCTCCCTCGCTGAGGCCGAAACGAAGGACGCAGTGGATGCAGCCACGGAGGAGCAGGACGCAGCGCCGGCTTTGCGTGTCTGGTACTTCCTCAAGAACGTCAACGACCCAGCACCGACGACGTTCACGACGAATCTGGTCTGGGTGGACGAGATAGCTGCGCCAAATAGAACGCCCCCAGCTGAGAATCCGAGTATGGATGATAGCGCACCCTTCTCGCGGCACATCATCGCTCGTAGCAAAGAAATTGCTGCCTCCATGTTGGAGCGGCAAACGGAGGACTTGGTAGACCATGAAACAGCCTTCGTGGCTGCTGATGCGCTGAGCGGCGGCGGCGGCTATTTTAACTCTGTTGCGTCTGCCGAAGAGGAAGAACGAGGCGAAGTGGAACACGCGGAGGGCAATGTCGCGGCTCAGCAGGACTCGCCGCCGCCGACGCATTTGGACGTGAAGGTGATGCGGCGTGTGTCGCGTGTGATGCCGCTGGAAAACGTCGCACAGTTGATGAGCGCTGCGGGTGATAGCTGGCTGAACATCGGCGGGAAGGGGAGCGCGGAGGACGAGGAGGAAGAATCCAACGTCGTCACAACGCCGGCACAAGCAAGGAAAAGCGCGGACTGCCCCACCACTACAACGGTGGTCATCTTCATTCAGTACGATGCAACGTCGTACGTCGCGCATCCCGTCGAGATGGCGGAGTCGCTGTGCCTGCGCGCGCACACGAGCTTCCAGACCGACGCCAAGTGCACGCTCCACGACTGCCTGAATTACACGATGGAGCCGGACGTGCTGCGCGGCGACGATGCGTGGTTCTGCAGCCGATGTAAGGAGTTCCGCGAAACGCGGGTGCACCGGACACTCTACCGCCTGCCTCCCTGCCTGATCGTGTCCTTCAAGCGCTTTAAGATGCACACGTACAGCGCCGATAAGAAGGACACCACAGTGCAGTTTCCGACGGAGATGGACTTTGCACCCTATCTCGATCCCGAATCGGTTGCATTGCAAACGGAGGGAACACGGTATAGACTGCGAGGTGTTGTGTACCACTCCGGCTCGTTGAGCTTTGGGCACTATACTGCTACCGCGTACAATGACTACGTCAAAAAGTGGGTGTACTACAACGACACGCGCGCTACGCTGGATAGCAGCGAAGCGCCGGTTCCCAACGGCGCATACATCCTCTGCTTTGAGCGTGTTCCTGAAGTGAAAGAAGCCCGGTGAAGGTGATGAAGCAAAGAGAGAACCGCGAGTGGAGAGATTTTGTGACGTGGAAGAAGACGAAATACCCAATCTGTGAGTTTGCTTCCTTGCACTCTACAGTGGAAAAAGCAAAGGGTATCAAACGCGTTGCTGTTGGGCGCTGACTGTGACTGCTGCTTGGCGTGCTGGGTTTTTTCAGCGTCTTGCTTCTTCGGAACCACGCGTGTTAATTGCTGCCTCCTCTAAGTTAATTGTTGTTGTGCTAATTGCTGAAGGGTTTCGAATTCTCCTTTGTTTTTTTCCGCACAGGTGTGTGTGTTTATGTGTGTGTGTGTGTGTATACCCCGAGAATATTGACGCTGGGAGCAAGAGTCGTGGGTTTCCACAAGTTGTTTGAGTTTTCGTATCATGATACATCTTGTGGCTGTGACTGTATTTGCCGTTTCATCTCTTTTTTTTGTGAATCGGCTATGGAGCACCAACGCCTTTTTCTTTTCTGCTTTTGGTTTCGTTCTTTCCATTCGAGCTGACTACTGAATTAAGGCTCCCCCAAACGGTAGGGCGATAGTTATTTCAGTAGCGTGTCACAACAGCTCTCACGTGAGGAAAAACAACCTTTGCGGAGGTAGGGGATCACGAAATCGTGCGGATCTTAGCGTTTATTATTATTATTAAAGCTCTTTTCTGCCGTTTATGGACGTAGGCTGTGAGGCAGGTCGGGCTACGGATAATTCGTCCATGTTACTGAGTAATGAATTTGCACGTTGCACCTTTTAAGCAATAAATCAAGCTACGCTAGCAATATCAAAACGAAACGAAAAATCAAAAGCGACAACAACATCCGAACTGAGTGCTCCTTTTTAAAGGAATCTTCTCCACACATCGCATTGCGATAAGCATGTTGCTCGGGGTCGTAGTAGACGCTCGTATTTCACTTGAGACGCGTGTACCTTCTCTTTTTTCCATTGAGTTTGAACTTAAGGCTTTGAAGTAAGAGGAAGTACGCACCCCCAAATGAATGCTCTCTAAGTAAATGGGTGTGGCCTCTTTTTTTGTTTTCCACCGTGGAAAACAATCACTCCACATTTTATGTGCGCGGATCGTGTTGGTAACAAACTTGAACTCATTCTTCTGCGCTGCCCTACTCCTCTCCTTATTGTTGTCTTGCATGCGTTTTTTTTTTGCTGAACTGACATAACGCTATGAAGTAAGCTTTGTGGAAGGCAAGTAACCTCTTCTTCGTTTGCTCTGGCCACCTATTTTTTTTCCCCCTTCACCGTTCGTGCTTTCCTCCAAGACACAAGCGCCTCGCAAGCCGCTTCTGCCTACATCTATTACGACGGCGTTAAGCTGACTCGCGTTCCATTTCCGGACGTGTTCCACTGTGGCGTACACGAACACACACTACTCAACGCAGCAAAAGAACGGCTCTTTTCCCTTTCCTCTTTGCACCACATCTGCGATTTTGTGTTGTTCCTTTTATCGGTTGGAGCACCATGTCGGTGGAATTGTCCACGAAGAAGAAAGGGTCGGAGTTGGACCACCTGCGCCGCTCCCAGATAGCAGAGGGCATTCTGAGTGCGCAGGACCAGAGCGCCAAACAGCAAGAGCAAATTGATCACATGGCAAATGAAAACGAGCAGCTCAAGAAGGAGATCAGCGCTGTTTCGGGAAACCACTATGACTATGTCAAGGCAGATAAGCTCGCCTCGCTGCAGGCCGATGTCGACGCCCTGGAGCGCCGGTATCAGTTTGAAAAGATGCGCAAAAATGATCTCACGAAGCGCTATCAACTTGCCCGCATTGATCTTCTGCACAGCCGAAAGATGAAGGGTGGCGTGAACGTGGAAAAGGAGCAGGCAGACGCGGTTCAGCGCCAAGTCGAGATTCTCGAAAGCCGACTGGATCAAGCCTTAGGTCAGTTTAACGACGCCCTTTCCTACAACAAAGAGCTGCGCGACCGCATCGACGTCATCCGTGAGGAGCGGCGTGTCTTTCAACGCGTACACAAGCGCATGGAAGATGACCTGAAGAGCAAGAAGCGCCAGATGGCAGAGCACATCGAAAAGTCGAACCGCGACATGGACGACCGTGATGCGCAGGTGCGGGAAGTGGCGCGGCTGCGTGCAGCACTGGAGGAGCAGCGCCAGACCTACTCGGACCAGCTGCACGACCTGGACACCGCCATGCTGGACATCAAGACGATGCGCGAGGAGCAAACCGAGATGCAGCTCGAGTTGGAGGCGCGGGAGTACGAATTTGGTGAGCGCGCAAACGACCCCACCGCACCCCGCGGGCAGGAGGAGATGCGAAGCACGACCGGCACAACGTCTGGCGCCGCCGACGACACCGTCTCCGTTGCGGGCAGCGACGCCGGGGATGAGTCCACGAACGTGCTCCGCGTAGAAAAGGAGAGCGCAACCATCACGAACATTCTGCACCAAATCAAAGAGGCGCTCATGACAGAGGATCTCGAGGAGCTGCGAGCGCAGTACGTGCACACCGGCGACCTGAACTTCTCGCTGTACAAGTACATCAACGAGCTTTCCGCCAAAAAGGAGGTGCTGAAGGACAACACCCGCGATCTGCAGCGTCTCTTGAGCGAAGAGGACGACAGCGAGACTCAGCACCGTACGCTCATCAAGCGCCTGGAAGAGGAGCTGGCCGACACGGAAGGCAGGCTTGACGAGATGACGAGCGCGACAGAGCAGCTGCGCGACAGCGTGCAACGAACGGCCGGCACTGCGGAGGAAGTGTACACGCACATTGGGTGCCCGCAGATGGCGAGCAGTGCTGTGGAGGGCGAGGAGCGGTGCACCGAGACGAACATGAAGCAGTTCTTTGGCACCATCGAGGAGCGCGCGACGCAGATCCTCATCGCCTTCCAGCATCACCATCAGGCCCACTCCTACTCGCGTTGTACAACGTCGTCGCTGCGTGTTAACCGGGACTCCGAGCAGCTCAAGGATTCGGCCCAAGCTGTCGAGGACGAGGAGAACGCGCCGACGACCGTCACGACTGACTCGCTTGCGATCGAGCGCGTCTCGACGACGGAGGACTGGGAGGTCGAGGACGGGTTAGCACCCATGATGCCGACGGCCCCCCAGACCGCCCACAGCGCCGTTAGCGCGCGCAACCTGGTGCGCATGATGGATCTGCCCAGTGCCAGCCTCGGCGGTGGCGCTGCCGATCGCGACAGTGCTCTTCATGTGGATCAAGACGACGATCACATCGTGTCGCACGAGGATCTTCGCAAGCAGATGGAGTCTCGTCTTGCGGCGATGCGCGAGCGCGAGGATCGTAATCAGCAGCGCAAGAAGAAGGACCTGTGTCGCGAATCACCGCATAAGGCCATTGCGCAGCAGGTAAAGGCGGCCATTGTGGGCGGGACAAGTTGAAGAATGCACACGCAACGTTTCGAAGCTTGGCACGCTCGCGTCCTTCTGAGCTTTTGCTTTACCTACTGAATGTCAGGCGGTATAGGCGTGAGATATACCAAAAGTCCTTTCTTTTTTGGGCTTCGCGCGTCAGCGGTGGCGAGTCAAAAGCAAAGCGATACACAGCGGACCTCTAGCGCGGCTGCAATGGAGTATAACTTTGCTATCAGCAAAATAAAGGGCGCATGCTTTTTTGTTTTCCGATGTACATTGAATCTTTAAACGGGACTGCGTGGGCAATACATCAATAGAAGCAGAAAAAGCACAACAGGGGAAAATGGTTGCGAGCGAAGTACGTTGCGCGGACGAAGAACTTCTTTGCAACGCATTTTTTCCCCTCTTTTCTGTCGGTGTATCTGCTTTTTATTTGTGTTCTCAATTTTTTTTTTTACGGACCTCTCTCACCACAAGTTGCCGGTTTTCACCTTCATTCTCAAAATCGTCTGCCACCACAACCGTTGTCTGTAAGTGTATGTGTGTGTGTGCGTTCATGTATGCTCTGGGAATGTAGTTTGACTCATGTATTCACTTGCTTTAGTGCGAACGAAAAGTTTATGACCAATGAGATGCGAGGAGCACGATCACCGCGAGTGTCGTGATGGACCTCCTCTTCGTTCTTTTCCTTTTTGCGGCATTAGGATCCACTGAGGAGAAGGAGCAGAGGTGTGCTTTGGATTCTGCCACTGAAAGTGAGTTCACGCGACGCCTCTCCCTCCCTTCTATTTGCTTCCCATGCGACGAAAGTGTGAAGGCGGCGTAGAATCGACGACGTTCACGCAAATTGGTTGACGCACTGCGTTAACAATACAAGCCTGCGTTCCGATGTTTTTGTCCATAGAAGACTTTGTTTTAATTGATGGAGCTGCTTCTTCTTTTTCAATCGGCACATTTCTTCAACTGTCCTGTCCTTTTTTTTTTGCTTCCTGTATTTGGAACTTCTGTCTTCTGTTTTATCGAACTGCTTACCTGTATCATATTGCCACGTTGAACTGTTGTCCATTCTCGTGCGCGCCATGGACAAAAACACGTTTCTCGTGTCACTTTCGTCGAGCTTTTACAGTTTCATATTCTTCCGCACCTTGAAAGAAAAGGGGAAAAAACCCTCACACATATCTACATATACGCACATCCACCTGCTCTTTTTCACTCGATTGCTTTCACCGGCTGGTCTTACAACAATAACAACATCAGCAAAGGGAACAACAGGTACAGTATCAATATGGAGGAGCGCGGTGATGCTTTGATGGCGGAGGGGGAAAAGCAGCTCAAGAAGCGGTCGTGGTTCTCGTCGAATGACACCAAGATTGATGGGGCGCACGACAACTTCATGCAGGCGGCGACGCAGTATAAGGCAGCAGGGAACTTCGCCAAGGCCGCCGAGGCCTACAAGCGTGCGGCAGAGATGTCGCACAAGAACAAGAGCGAGGGTGATCAGTCCGTAGAAATGGAAGAGGCGGCGAAGGCGTACGTGAAAGCCGGCGACGCCAAGACCGCTGCCGCGATGTTGCGGGAAGTGGTGGACATGTACGACAAAGGGCAGAAGTACACAAATGCAGCCAAGGCGTGTGCTGCGCTGGGCGACATTACAATGGGCGATGAGGCGATGAAGTGGCTCCAGCAAGCCGTGCGCTACTACCGCAACCAAGGTGCCAAGGTAACTGCCTCTGAAATTGTGATCAAGATGGCTGATCTGAAGGCACGGTCAGGTGACTACGCAGGTGCGCAGCAGATTTACGACCAGTGCGCGCGTGAGGCGTTAGAGGACCGCGTGGCACGCGGCAATGCCCGTAAGCTGTTCTTCACCGCACTGCTGTGCCAGATTGCGCAAATGACGTCGGACAGTTTGATGGAGGATGTCGGCGTGCTAGAGGAGCGCTTTCAGGAGTATCAGGAGTTGGACACGCAGTTCAACATGAACACTCGCGAGCACATGGTCATCACGGACCTCATCGCCGCATTCCAAGGCGAGGATGCTAACGCGTTCGATGAGGCGGTGCGCGAGTACGACAACATCTGTCCGCTCGACGACATGCGCGAGAAGATGATCTTGAAGGGCAAGCAAGCTCTCCGCGAGCGCGCCAGTGACCTCCGGTAAACAAAAGCGGCGTAGTTCAGATTCTGGGCGCACACCGTAGAAAAGTATGCTGTAGGGATAGCCGTTCTCGTATTAAGCCGACCGCAAACACTTATGATCTGTGTTTTCTTGTTGCGCAGTTACCGTTTCACGATCACGATTTGCTTTATTCTTCTTCCTTTTCAAAATGAAAATCAATCGACGCTGGTGCGCACATTTCCATGTGCAAGTGCGTGCTTAAAAAAACAAAACCGGCCTCTTTTATCGCTGTGTCGTACGCACGATTTTCTCTCTTTGCGTGATTTTTGTTTGTGCACCTACCTGCTTATACATGCAACGCTGCGGATAGGTTAAAGCAGACGGTTTTCTGTTTCCGGTTCCTCAATACCAGAGAGAAAGAATTGATGCTACTTCGCTTGCTGTTATTTTGATGCTTTGCTGCTTCTCTATGCAGGCGACAACAGCCTTGTTTCTTCTTTTTTAAAGAGTAATGCGGTGTCTTTGTTTCGTGCTGCTCGACGTGTTGTGAAACCGTGTTGTGGGGACGGCCTGAGAGAAAGACAACAAAGTTTAATGTTCTCCTTCGCTAGATGGAGCATTTGGCGAAAGACAGCTCTTGCAAACGACTGCCTTCATGCCGTTTTCTTAATCTTGAATTGTACCTCCAGTACCACTGATGCCTTCCGCTTCGACGAAAGGCACATAAACTCGGGTACATGCCTAAGTCTTCCCTTTTCATAAACCCACCACTTTTACCCTCTTCTCCGTCCGTAGAGTATCCGCGTCCCCGGATATAACAGCAGCAGCAAGGCTTGGGCAATTTGGACTTTTCTTTTTCTAGAGTCGCACGTTGATCGAGTAGCACAGCGTCTCTTCATGTCACCTTCAGTGGTTTGCGTACTGCACTCGGCCAATGAGTGCTACGCAGAGTCACTTGTAGGGAACGCTTTGCAGTGTCTGCACGCCATTCAGCGCAGCGTGCGGGTCACCGCGCCAGATTTCATCCCGTCTATCGCGGTTTTCTTTGCCGATCCGCAGAACGGTGCGAGGTGCGTCTACTCATCCGTTGTGCCGGACCGCAATCACGCGCTGGATGGCGTTGCGGCCACCTATCCGCCGCTCGCTGATGCCAATGGAGTACCGTTCTCGCACGACAACGGCGCAGAGGCGAACCAAACGGAGAAACCAACCGCCTTTGTTCAGCTCTTTCGTCTTCGCTCTCCGCTCTTTCTCCAACAAACTGTATTGCAGGCTGTACGAAAGCAAAACACCTCCGTCTCGACCTCTGCCAGCGTTGGCGCTTCCACCTCTGCGTCTCCCGCACCCACAGCGCGTGATAGTGACATTTGGGGCTCCTTGACCGGTGCCTTGCTTGCCTCCTTGTGCTACCTTCGTGCGCATCCCAGCAGCGCCTTCACCAGCGTGGGGATGGACGACATGGACTCTGTCGCGGACGACGCCACCGATGATGCGGCGGGTGGTACACCCGATGAAGGCGCACACCCTTCCCGCGGCACAAGCCGTATTTTGATCTTCAGCGATGCGCGGGCGGGGGCGGCGCCTTCTTACAGCGCGGAGTGTGGACTTGCGATGGCGGTGGTCACGGCGAGCAAGATGGGCGTTGTGGTGTCGTGCTTCGGCGATGCGGTGGCACAGACCGACTCGGCCGAAAACCGTCTCGTTGGACTCGCCTCCAGCTTGGGCGGCTTCTGCGCCGCACGCTTCACCCTTGCGGACCTTGGCCAGTTGCTAGATGGCGAAAGCGGACTGACGGAGGGCAGCGGCGGGAGCAGCTCGCGGCGGAAACGCGACCGCATCGCGTCGCAGTTTGTTGTGGGTCCCACCATGTTGCCGTGCCACCCATTGCCCACCTCGACGTTGGAGAACACCTCCCTCGACATTCCAATCGAAACAGAAAAGAAAGAGGCCGTAGCCGTTGATGGGACCTCGTCACGCGAGCGTGCGTCGCACCTGGGCTGGCTGTGCCCTTCGTGCATGGCGATTATACACCGCAGCCCCCGCGAGGTTCCCGAGTCTTCCTCCGGTGTGACCAATCAACGCGCTGAGGACGGCAGCGGAGAACCGCAGTCGGCGGGGGTGAGGTGCCCCTATTGCCACGCGGTTTGAGCTCCGTTTTTACTCCCCTCTCTTGAACTCTTCGCCCTTACACGCATTTTGCACACATAGTCGATCCCCGATTTCGGGCAAAATTGCAAGATCAATTTCTAATTTGAAAGCTAATTTCCTCCCTTTTCTGGATGAACAACATATTTGCGTAACGTGAAAGGCATTCACAAATGAATGGCCCGTGAACGTCCACAACAGCAGCAGCCGTGAAAACGAGTTTGCTATGTCCACCCATAGATATCAAAAGAATTTCGCACGGTGGGCAAGATCGCTTTCTTCTCCGCCTCTTCTTCCCCTTCACAAACTGACTGTTACTTCCCGTTGTTCTTTCCCGTCTTCGTTCTCTCTGATTAAATAGCAGCAAAACAAGTGTGCACAGCAGCTGCTCCTTTTAGGCACAACAGTTCGGTTCGTTCACACAGAAGTTTTACATCTCACACCGGCTACAGTTTGTTACTTTCCTTTTTCTGGGAGCGATCTGTCACTCTTCAACTTGTCACCGCACTTATTATTGTAGGGTTTTCTTTTCTTGATCCACATTGACGTTGTCTTTCTTTTTTTTCTCTATACTTGACAAGTGGTACTTCGAGGTCAAACTCTTCCACTGGTGTGCCGTTTCCTGCTTTATTTGTTTATCTAGAGTGTCTCAGCTGTCATACGGTTTCGTGTACGTATACCCTTCTCAAATTGTTCTAGTTGAAATATATCTTTTCCTCCTGTCCTCAGACTTTTTTTCCTTTCGTTCCTCCGTAGTTTCGAACTGAATTACGCATACAACTGTCTACGTAAAGAACCAACAAAAAAACTCACTTTTTGTGATTCTTCCAGCTGCACAACGCCAATCCTATAAATAGGTCTCTCTTTTTCTTGGTTCCTACTGGTAGAGATTGATTTCTGTTTTCCCTAAACTCGTTCTCCGAAGAATTTCACCTTCTTCCATTTTTCCTTCTATATAACTCTACTCATTGATGACTTTTCGCTTGTCAAGGCTTACTGGTTGGGACTAAAAAGGGAAAATCTTCGCGAAGGAGGAAAAAAGCTCTATTTTTGTGTCAAGACCCTTTTGAGTTGTTGAGAAAGGAGGAGACAGACTCTGTGGGTTTTCATTGCAGTGGTGTGGAGCAGCTCGGGAGCGGTGAGTATGCTTTCACCCCAAAACGAACAACTTTGTGGCAACGGCGACGGGCCTCGAGGCGCAACAAGTAAAAGCGCGTTTCCAGAAGACTCCAGCCGATTCAATACCTCTGATGCCACGTCGCACTCTGCCCCAATCCCCATGCACTCTTCTAACAAGCCTGGCTGCAGTGAACACGGTGAGCTTGTTTCCTCGACACCTCGATGCGGCGAGCACAACAGCGCCAGTTCTACTAGCTTAGATGCGGATGACGAGGCAGACGCTGGGCAGCCGGCTGACACGGCGGAGTTGGCCTCCACGCCGCCGTCCGCGCTGGTGAACTCGTCAGGGCACCGCTGGCTAATGGAGCCTCATGTGGGGGAATCACCACTGCGTCGGCTGAGGTCGGCGCACGAGGCGGAGGCGGAGGACACACGTGACACATCCACACCAGGACCCCACGTGCCGCTACCGCACTCGTCGAGCGCCGAGCAGCCGCAAGCAAATGGCAGTTTGGCACCGTCGGCATCATCAGCGGCAGCGCCGCCACGCTCCCCTGTTCTGCGCAGCCGTCGATCACTGAAGTGCGCGGGGCGGTCCAACTCGCGACGCACCCATATGGAGGCAAGCAGCAGTGATGCCACTCTACCGTCGTCGCTGCTGGCATCCCTCGCCGCGCGTGTGTCGCTCTCTCAGCCGCCGTCTGCCTTTGCGCTGTCCGTTGTTGACGCTGAGGCGACCCAGTCGGGCTGCGTGGCAGCTGAAGACTCAATCACCTCGTCGCTGTTGCGAGCAGCGCGTGGTGCGAGTACGGAAGGGGAGGCGGGGATGCACGTGTCCTCCAGCCCGCCGGTGTCCCCCCCATTTCCCACGACGACGGCTGCGGCTGCGGCTGCGTCGGACTTCTCCGACGGCTCACCGGGGCCGCGCAACTCCGACGTCTCCTGCTCCCCGCTGCGTACGCACCTGCGCCTGACTCCTCGCATCAATGCGGAGCTGCAGCAGTTCGGCTGCTGCGTCTTCTTCTTCCCAGCACCGCTCATCTCGTGGCTGTTCCCCCTCGTTGGACACGTGGCCATCAGCAACGCGGAAGGTTCGCGCCTCTTCACCTTTGAATCTTCCTACTACGTACGGGAGGAGAAGCTCGTGACGGTGCTGGATCGCGTGCTACGGGAGGAGATGACTCACGACAACAGTGTGCTCTCGTCTCCCGCACGGCGCAATCGGCCGGGGCAGCGAAGCGACACATCCGACCGTGCCAACTCCCCAAGTCCCGCCCAGTCTCCGTTGCTGTGCCGCGGTTCGGCCATGAATGACGCCTCCGCCTCGGACGCCGGGCGGAACTCACCGTCCGACACGAGCGCCGTGCTGCCGCCGCCGCGCAGCGCCTCCATGCCGGTCTTCCCGCCCCGCCCCACTGCACGACCCCCGCGGCGAACGAGGCGGTCCAGACCCGCAGGCGGGGGGTCCGCAACGGGGCACACGCACACGCGCTGCGTCCGCATATGGGACCTCAAGCCGCTGCTCATGGAGAGCCGTGGCCGACGGACGAGGCGTGCGCCGTACATCATCACTGGAGAGGGCGGCAAGCAGGCGGCTGTGGCGTTGTGGGAGCGCTTGCAAGGGCTGTTGCAGCCCACCGAGGGCTCGGCGGGCAGTGGTCCGAGTACGAGAAGTGCCCCGAGTTCTCTGCCGGCTTCTCACATCCGCGGCCGTGACAAAGCAGAGCTGAGCGACAACGCAGAGGGCTCGCCCTCCGCCCCCGGCGTGAGCAGCAGCAGCAGCGCCGACGAGGAGAACGAATTCGAGCTGCTCGACGCGGAGACAGCTCACTTCTACAATCGTAACCTCAACGTGACGATTCGTCTCTTCCGCGGCAGCGCTGACGGGAGCAACAACTCGCCAGACGTCGTGCTACAGCACCACAGCTCCTTCTCCTTCGTGGGATTTGTGCTCGAGGCGTGTGGGATTGGAAGTCAAGCAAAGCTGTCTGCCGCAACTCCCGTCCCTGCTGCTGCTCCTGTTGGTGGTGGTGGTGATGGTAAGAGTAATGTTGATGAACATGCGCAGGGAAAGAGGAACGACGCAAGCGGGACGCCGAACGTGTCGAACGAGACCACTGCAGCCTCTGCGACTGCCGTCTCCGCAGCGGAGAGCACCGAGGCTAATGATGAGACCCACTGGGGTGCCGTAAAGCTACTTTTCCACGTCTGCGTATTTGGGAAGTGGCACCGAGGGGAGGGTAGGCTGCGGCGTGCCCTGCATGGTGGCAGTATCACAAGCGCCGCAATCCTTTGGGCAATAATACTGGTGGCGTTTTTTCACTACCTTAGCCCAATGTTTTCATGGTAGGCACGCCCCTTTCAAAGACGATGCTCACCGGCTGGTTGTGTCAAGCCGCGGCTGCTAAATGGACACTCTTTTGTTTTTGTTTTGTTGTTCGGTTCTCCTTGAAGGGAACTCTGTTCTTCTTGAGTGCCACTAGATCCCCGCCGCTGCACGTATTACCTGCCAGGTTCACTTCTTGCTTCAAAGCTGTTTTCACGCGCATAGAAGAGGCCCGACCCCTTCTTTTACGGCAATCGCAAGAGATGTTGAACTTGTGAGAGACATGAGTACTCGTCGGTTTTTTTTGTTTCTCCTGTGCTTTTGGTGTCTCCTTCAAATTTTGGCTGCATCGCGTCTTGTCGTTTCTTGCAAGTTTTTTTTTCAAAAATACTTTGAACTTGTCTGTTGTTGTGAAGATCCACCGGAAAGTAAGCGCTAATAATTTATATAAAAGGAACCGCTGTGCGTGGCGGGTCCGAATTAAAAAAGAAACACTTCTGCTTTTTTCTTTCTTTCGCTTTTTTCCTTTTCCTGCAGTCGATACACTCAAGAAAGGTGCGCGTGTTGGCGCTTCCAGGCGGCCTTTTGTTTAATGAAGGAGGGAGGGGAATGGCGGTGCCCCAATCGGGCGGAATGATCAGCCTTTGCGTTCTTTATTTTCTTGCCCATGCCACCCTCTTGCCTTGTGAGCCGATATTGAAGTCCTTTTCTTCGACAGTGTTTTTCACGCAGCTTACGTGTAGCTACGTTGTTGAGAGAAATAACAGTGCTCGTATTCATATTAAGGGAATTCAGCTCATGTGCATGATTGAGATTCGCGTGCTCGGCGCATCTACACTTTCCTCTCCTTCCCTCCTCTTAACCTTTGCTCGCTCAATACGCAGCGCATTACACCAGGTCGGTGGATTTTTCGAATAGAGTTCGGTTTGTGTTCCTAAAACACACACCGGAAATATCCCCTGGTTGCTCGTAATTCTTTGCTCTCTGTTTTTCTTCTGTGTGCTTTATTCCACCTCACTATACGGTGAATGTAACACAGCTTCTAACAAGCTTCACTGCACATCGCTTTCCATCTTCAAGAAGCAGCTGCGCGCATGCGACTTGGCACGAAGTGTTTTTGTATATCTCTTTTCAGTTATTTGCTTTATGAACTCATAGCTGTGTTTTTGTTGCCCATTCGAAGCAAAAAAGGAAAAGATTGCTCTCCAACAACAAACACAGAGCGATGAGCCGTGCGCCTGCTAAGACAGCCGCGCTTGCGAAGCCAGCTGCGCCTGCGCGGAACCGCCTGGGACTCACGAACCTGCAAGTGCGCGCCGTTACTATCGCCACGGTGGGGCCGTCCATCATCGCTTTTGGCGCCTACTCTGAGAAGTGCGGCACTCTGCTAGTCTTTCTCGCCACTTTTATCAGTGGCATTGAGTGGAGTGGGCTGAAGCGCCACCTCAAGGTCGCGTTGCTCATGTCCATGGACAGTCCCAGTTCCATCGCGCCTGAGACCGCGTTCCGGGAGTCGGCAACGCAGCTCGCTCCAGGACGCGACTTTGTAGCCGGCTCGCCGCCACCGTCTCCGTTGGTAGGAGGTGTTCCTCTCTGCCCTATGGAGTATCCGCTGCCCGTCCCACCTCTGAGCCTTTACATCATCATCAAGCACATCGGCTGGTCGCTTCTCGTCATTGCCGCCTACCACGGCGTGAAGGTCTTTTACATGGTGCTTGAGCTCTACTTTTTGGTCTTTGTTGTCGTGACGTTGACGGCGCACAACCGGCTAGAGATGAGGGTGGGCAACGCGATGGACCGCCTGAGTCACCAATTGAGCGCTGCGAATCAACACCTGCCACACCCCAAGAAAACAGATCCCGACAAGCCGAGGCCACCGCTGTTGTTGGCGGACCCTGGCGAGTCGATAGAGGCCCGCATAGCCAAGGCGCAGAGGAACTACTTTATTTCGATGGAGCTGCACATGATCGCTGAGCGACAGCCCACGGAGCAGTTTCTCGACTTCTGCCTTGACATCTTCGGCATCTTGTGGATCACCGGCATTATCATCCCCGTATTCGTCTACCGCATCCCGAACGTCGGGGTGCCGTGGCTGGCCTCCACGATTATTGGCAACTTCATGAACGACATCGCTGCGCTGGTGGTGGGCCGAGGCCTGAGGACGCTGCGGGAGCGCTACGGAGCTGTGTACGACGTTACAGGGGAGGTGCCTGCTGCGGAGACGGGGAAACGCCCTCTATGCGAGGCGAGTTGGGTGAAGCGGCTGATCTTGCGCGGTCCCCATCAGCTTTACCGTGCGATTAGCCCGAACAAATCAGTGGAAGGCGCAGTGGCGGGCGTGGTCATGAATGCGGCGACGTTTTCGGGTTTGATGTTTTGGTTCTACGCGCGACTGGTCGACGCGCCGGCGCCCCATCTGGTCGCCCCGGTGTTCCAGCACGTTGGTTTGTGGTTGGTTATTGGGGCAGTTATGGGTGTGCTTGGCGTGTACGGCGACCTGCTGCAGTCTCTTCTCAAGCGCACGGCGCGTGTGAAGGACGCGGGCTTTATCATCCCTGGGCACGGCGGCATGCTAGACCGCATTGACGGCATGCTCCTCGTCTTCCCTTTCATGTACGGCGCGTTGAATACGATCATGAAGATGTCGTGAGCTGCAAACTCGTTAGGTGCCAGGGCCCTCGATGGCAGACCGAAACTGTTGCCGTTGCTACTGCTGGTTTAACAGCGCGATGGCTTCGAATTCGGATTTAGCGACTAGGCAAAGCATGTCGAACCCGTGATGGTGCGGTTGGAGAAGTGCAGTAAGGGAGATATGTAAGATAGCCCCCCCTTTTTTGTTAATAACTCTCTTTTTGCTAATTTGACGGGTTGTCTCTTCGTTTGGCCCGGTTTGCCTCTTTTTTTTTTCTAGGTTTGCTGTGAAGCCATGCGCGCATTATTGTAAAACTGCATTTCATTATTGGTGATGTGAAACCATGCTTACTGAGAGGAGTTGATGTTGAAGGAATACAATGCAGGAAGGTACACGCACGAGAGCCTCAGAAATCTGCAAGTCCTCCTCTCTAATTCTTTTTTCCCCTTTTACTTTGTTCCTACGTAACAGCAGTTCGAGAAATGCATGATGCTAGTATTGAGAAAGAAGCCAATCATAAAAGGGGAAAAAGTCATGTTTTACCAAAAAATGCCAGGCGTAGGCCGGTGTCGGTCTGCTCTGCGAAGCCTTCCACAGCGTGCTCATTTTTGCGATGAAGGTGTGATGAACCAGGTTTTTTGTTTTGTTGGAAAGCAGCACCTGCCGTTTTCGGTCTCTCTCTACGCATTTCGTTTTTTTTTTTCCAACCATCTTTTCTCTGCACCTCTTTCTTCCATCGTTTTTTTCTTTTTGAAAACCTGTGGAGAAACTTTTTCACCCTCCTTAACAATTTAGACGATTGATAAAAGGTGAAAACAGTGAAGCACCCCTTATTTTCCCAGAGTGTATTATTTACGTATATATGAATACCTAAAGCTCTCAGAGTTGCCGGAACACGGTGGAAATATATAACGTGTTCGAAGTGTTTTTCTCCTCTTTCTTCTATTGCGTTCTAAAAATCTGCTTTGTGAGTGTTGTTTTCCTTTTCTCTGCTCGGTGTGCAGGCTCTATTGCCTCCTGTACGATTCGCAGCAACAGCCCAAAACCGTTTTGGGCTTTTTTTAAGGACACATCCTGCCCCTGCCCTCCCTCCCCCCACACACGCCAAAAAATGCCACCCGTTTCCAACGGAGGTTCAGACGGATCTGACCCTTCCAGAGTTGAGCACGCTTTGCCGTGTGATGCCGAGGAGTTGCATGATCGCACCCACCGGTTTCTGTCTACCGTGGGGCCTTCGCTCGACTCCATTGAGGCGTTGCTCGAGTCGTGGCGCCGCTTTCGTGCTGTTTCGGCGACGACGAACGGGCTGCCCGAGAAGAGCGCCTTTCGCACCGTGCAGATCGACCCCTTCTCCATCCGGCAGCCGCCACCCACCGTTGCAGAGGCAGAGATCACGCAGTACATCAAGAAGCTCTCCAAGAAAGACCTCAAGGCATTGCACGACGAGTACGAACTAACGTGCTCGGAAGACTTTGAGTACGTACGCGTCGGCGAGGACGACGCAGAAAATGCCTCGCAGGCGGCGGCGCGCATCGTGCACTTTCCAAGCGAGGTCGCCGATGCCAACACCGACGAGGAAGGCGACCCGACTAAGCACCCCCTTCCCCCCAGCGTGTCCCCCATTACGCGGGCGAGGGCGCTCTTTGAGAGCGAGGCGACCTCAGTGGAGCCGCTTCACATAAAGCCGGACGGCCGCATGACAGAGGTTCGTTCCTCTGCCCCCCCAATCGCGTCCTCAGAGCTGCCGCCTGCTTTTTCGTTAGAGCAGATGTCCCCTTCCGCCGTGGCGGACTACGAGCGCAAGAGAAGTACATCGTCCGACTCTTCCTATTCCGGCCCGCGAGCACGGTCACCGACCACGGCGGACACAACTGCAACGGAGAACTACACGGTGGAGATTGAGTACGAGCCGAATCACTTTATCCCGTCCGCTGCCCAGCGCGCGTTGCGTGACGGCGTCGGCAGGGGCATCATGATTACCCCCGCCCCTCATCGCGCGCCAAAGACGGACACGCCATCGCAGGCAACAAAAGACAGTAAAATGGCGCCAGTACTTCAGACGGACAGCGACGCAGAGGCGGATGTCCAGTCTTTTACCACCTTCTCTCGCATCGTGCTCGCCAATGAAGGCCGTCGCTTGACGTCCCAACGCGCTAAGGCGGAAGCATGGGTGGGTGCGGAGTCCTCGCCGCCTGCACGAGCAGTGGCATACCAAGAGAATCACCGTATGGAAGGCGAAGTGGATGCTGGTGCGACGCCACCACGGGCCGCTCGATCAGCAATACCTGCGGCGGCGGCGGCTCCCGCTGCTCCTGCCAGGACGGTGGCCGTCAAGGTGATGAAAAGCACCATCCCCGTCAGCACCCGCGACGTGTTTGTGCGAAGGCGTGTGCACGACATCCTCTTGGCCAATCGCGTTCGCGCCGAAGATGCCGCCGTGCTGGGGGCTGCCTTCTTTGAGAAGCTGGATGATGCGTGGAACAGCGCCGCAAACCAGACGACTCCGGTGTTACAGAAACTTGACGAGCTGCTGCGCGAGTCGAGCGCGCTGCTGCACATGCTCGAAGTGATGGACCACCAGGTCTACCGGGAGCGTGTGATGGACCCGGCGCAGTATCTGTGCGTCCCCCGCTACAGTGCCGCCTGCGCTGCCCCGGACTGTAACGCCCCCTTCTCGACCACCGTCACACGCGTCATGTGCGGCCGCTGTGGGCAGTTCTTCTGTCCTACATGCTGTGGTGAGCGTGGATTGGGCCCAGACGTGGTGTGCGAAGGCCAGCGATACTCCCTCGGATGGGAGCCGCTCTGCCGGTTGTGCTTCCAAATGTGCAGAGACAGTCAGCAGAAGCTGTTGGAAGAGCGCAACCAGTACCTGCGCATCGCAGCTGTCTCGTCCTACCATGATGCGGAGGGCGGTGACAGCGAGGAGGACGCGGCTCGTCGCGCTTCTGCGGACGGCTTGACGCTTAAGCAGGCCGTGTTGTTTGGTGCCTATTGCGACGAGCAGAAGTGCCTCAGTGATGGGCTACCGCCTTTTTACGTCATGGACCGCACGGCAAACGAGGCCGTGGTGTTCTGGGATGTTCTGAGGTATCAGTTTGCCAAGACGCAGGGATCGCTTCGCAGGGGATGGCAAAATGCGGGCAGCTTTGCCACACATGCGGTGAAAAACGCGGCGCAGATGGTGTCAAGGGGCCGAGGCACCTTAAAGACAAGCTGACGTGCAATCACTCTCATACTGTCTTTATTTTTTCTCTCTTCTGGTTTTCCTTGGCGATCGTTCTTCCAGTCATGTGGCCTTTTCCCTCATATATATGTATTGCCTGTTTTGGTTTGTCCGCCCACAACGGAAAGGGGTGATTCGATGAGGCAAATTTGGTGAAAAAGTGCTATGTCCGTTTGCCTTTGTTACTTTCATGGTGCGCGCCCCAACTTAGCATTCGTTTCTGCTGTTGCTGATATTTCTTTCCCCAAAGCGTGCGTGCGTTTATGACTTTGTTTATGCTTGCGCGGCTACGCGTTTCGTATGTACGCCGCAACGTCTGTGGTGCTTTCTTGATACCTTGCTCTGTAGTTTGCGCAATCTTTTGGTTCTCTCTTCAACACGCCGGCGAGGCCTGCCCGGTCGCTCATTTCCATGCTGTGCTTTTCACTTAAAACGACCCCACCAATGTGAAAAGAGCAACGCATTTAGGTGCACACGCGTACGCGGAATCCTGCGAAAGCAAAAGGCAGCGTTCAGGCGCACACACACACACAAACCCTGCTCATGCTGTTGACGGAACCCGAGGCAAAAGGAGTAATGGAAGCTGTGCCTTGCCTGCAGCTGCAGGATTAAATGGCAGCGTTCGCTGTTCTCGAAAAGCGTCTTAAGTGATAGGCTGGAAAAGAAGAAGGACAACACGTTTGATGCTTTCAGCGCTCTAACCTGCACGAACTCTTTTTGGGTTTTCTATTATTCTTCTCTTCGTCTGCTTCCATTTTCATCCTGCCCGTTCATGTATCTGCTTGCCACTTCTCGTATGACTAGAGTTCTTTTCATTGCACACACCCTTTGAAGGCACGCAAGGAAGCATGCCGGTGAAGCCTCAGTTTGAGTGGGAGCAAACGGGCGAGGACGTTTTGCTGGAAATCCTATTTAAAGGATGTAAAAGGGAGACCGTCGACGTGCTCATAGCAGACGTGTTCGTGAAGGCAAATGCACCCCCACAGTACCTCTTAGCCGTCGACCTGCTGCATGAGATCAACCCAGAAAAGTCAACGCATTACTTCACAGAAAAGCAGGATGGATTAGCGCTTCATCTGAAGCTGCACAAGGCGGCGCCCGACGTCGTCTGGGACGCGTTGAGTCTCCGACAGACGTCCATCGGGAAGGCGGCACTGCTGCAGCGTCGACAGCAGTCTATGCAGCGCGCTGAGCAGCGCTACCGCACCCAGCTTGACGCACGCGTGACGCAGCGTGAGGCAGAGAAGCGCCGCATGCTGGAGGCGCAGTGGGATGTGGAGAAGGAGCAGCGCACGCACATCGAGCAGAAGGCGAAGGCGGAGAAGGACGCTGCGGAGCAGGAGCTTTTCGAGTGGGAGGCGGACCAACAGGAAGTCACCAGCAGCGCCGCACCGCAGTCCCCGGCGGACATCTACGCGGCAGCGCTAAAGAAAGCAGACGCGGATGCGGTACCGCCTACTGTGGTGCAGCAGGATCCAGCGCCGGCAGCCGTGATGACAACCGTCTCTGCCATCCGACAGGTCGATACCGTCAACGTGACCATCGACTTCACGCCCAAGACCTTCGCCATGCCAACACGCTCCCGTGGCGATGAAGACTACTACCGCCAAAGCCGCTACAAGCCCGTGTCCATTGAAGACACCCCGATGTTTTGGAAGGAGCGCGCAGACAAGCACTACCGCGCGCGGGAGTGGAAGGCCGCCGCAGACGCCTATTCTGAGTCCATCAAGCGCGACGGGGCCTTCTTAACCTGCGTCATGAACCGCGCGGCATGCTTTATTCACCTCGCCAACTACAAACGCGCAATCGACGACTGCACGCTTGCCTTGACGATGCTGGCCAACACCCCCGCAAGCGAGGTGACCCAGGACCGCTACCGCGGACTTATGACCAAGCTGTACGCCCGTCGCGGCGCCGCCTACTGCTGGGCCGATGACTTGAAGAGTGGGGTGGCCGACCTGCGCATGGCGGCGGCCTACCGCGACCCCGCTAGCGACGAAGACGTCGCCGCCGATTTGGCTCTCCTGGAGGCGCAGATGAAGGAGCGGGGGATTGCGGATGACACACAGAGCGACCCGCTCGCCACACGCATGCAGGAGGCCGCCACGCAGTACTACCAGGGCTCCTACGAGACCGCCGAGGCCACTTATCGTGCTGTCCTCGCGGCGAATCCTTTCGACTCGAAGGCGCAGAGCAATTTAGTGGCAGTGCTGCTCCGGCAGGGGAAGTTTAGGGCGGCGCTTGAGGGGTGTGAGGGGATTATTCGCTTTTGTGGGGAGGTGGCGGCGGCGCTGGAGCAGCCCGGTGGGCTCGCCGCCGATCAACTCGACAGTGACGACGAGGAGGAAGAGAACGAGGACGATGCGGCGGGCCGCACTACTGCGTCGAACGCTGCCGCCTCAAGCGACCACCCATCAACAGAGAGTGATGACAACAAAGACAAGCTGGTGCGTCAGCGACGGGCCGCTGCGAAGAAGCTGGGGGAGCAAAGCGGCCACGTGTACATGCTCCTCAAGGCCTACGTGCGCAGCGCTGCCGCGTTGTGTGGATTGAAGGAGTACCACAAGGCCCACGCGTATTTAGACCGGGCGCTGCGCATTTCACCATACGATAACGACCTGCGAGATGATTGCAATCGACTAGCTGAGAAGATTCGCATGGAGACGCTTGTTGCCGTTTCTGCAGGCTCGGCCGCAACACAGAAGACGGTGTCCGCGTAGTACGGCCTCGTGGCTCCTCAAGAACCCTCGCTGCGCCTTTTCGTCTCTTCCTGCTCCACTACGTCCTGCGTGGCTGAAGCATAAACACCCTTTTTCTCTTCTTGCTGTGCAGCTGACTTGCGGCGCTTTTGTTTATTGTTAAAAAAAAGGATTTATTCGTTCTTCCACCGAACGAAGGGCCGACGCGCTTATCACTGCGAGGCGTTTGTGCGCCGCACACATACGATGTACATACGTTGGATTGGCGTTTCTGCCAATGCACGGTGCGCCCCACCGCCTCCTTCACACCGGTGAAAAACACAAAGAAGTTGAGAATGAACAAGCAGACAAACACAAACCTCTTTTAAGAAAAGAAAAACAACACTGTGTCTTGACGACAGCTATTTAAAACGCGATAAGCAATGCGGAGAAGAACTTCTCAGAACCTTGCGTACTGCGTTTTTCTTTTTTTTCGAATCGCGGATGCATGTAGTTTTCCTTCGCTGTATAGTTCCTCCCCCCTCTAAGGTGTTGTCAAGAAGCGCCGTTGAATGCAGTCATTGGCGCTGCCCACGCTAAAAAACCGTGCACTTGCCACCCTTTTTGATCTCCTCCCTCTCTTTCTCATTTCTACATTCCGGCGAGTGCCAGCGCGAATACACACACGGAGATTCACTAGATGCTTCCACTATGAGCACTGAGGAGGAGTACACCGAGAACGAAGTGCTCAGAGGAGCTGAGCTGTACCTCTATCTCCTCCGTCAAAATGAGGAACAACGGGAGCGTGCGCAGAGTAAGCTGCGCGAGTACGCCGCCCTCAAGGATACGTTGCAGGTGCTGACAGAGCGCAGTCGACGGCGTGTGTTGGCGCCGGTGGCGGGCGGCCTCGCGTACTTTGCTGCGGAGTTGAACGCCACCAACACCATCGTGGTTCTTCTGGGAGACAGCTGGTTTGCCGAGCGCAGTGCCGTGCAGGCGGCCGAGATCGCCGGGCGGCGGCTTGACTTTCTGCGCCGCGAAGTCGAGGCGCTGCGGCAGGAGGACGCGACACTTCGCTCGAAGCAAGAATTTTTTCTCTCCGAGATGCCGGAGGCACAGGATGTGGTGGTGCAACTCCTGGCGGAGAAAGATGCACTTCATGCAACGCTGGTGAAGGAAGTCACGCGGCCGTCATCTGCATCGCCAGTGTCCGCGTCCTCTTCGCCTCCGGCTAAGAACAACGGACAGAGGCAACAAGAGCGAGCACCCGCCACAGCCGCGGCGCCATCAGCTGTTCACGTCCCCAAGGAGTCGGCCGTGCAGAAGCCTCCAAACAATCCGTCCCCCGTACCAAGTTCTCTGGCAGAAGACCTGGATTACTCGTCCATTGACGCAGCCCTTGCCACCTTCGATGAGCAAGATGAACTGACCGAAGATGAGTTGATTGCCTTGGAGAAGGAATTAGGCGATCGTCTCGAGGACGACGCGTACGTGGAGCAAATAATGACGGAGCGGATGATCCAGAAGAAGGAGAGGCGCGTCAGAGCAGAGCTGGGGCGGCGCCAGGCTGCTTTGGCAGGATCGAAGACAGTCTTCAGCCGTACCAAGGGCGCTGGGGCGACAGCAACGCACCCTACGAGTATAGCGGCTCCCCCCACGCCTTCCCCCTCTGCTCTTTCCTCTGACCAGCCTGCAAAGGAAGCGCACTCTTCCGCAGAACAAGAGAGTGCGACCATCACCGCAACTCTTCCAGCAGCGACAACAACGTATCGTACTCCTGGAGACATTGGACATGCTGCTAGCAGCTGCACCGCAACAGAGGCGGCAGCAGCAGATGCATCTCCCCCTGCAGCGGTGCACGTTGATCCAGCTGTCGTTCCGCCTCCGGTGCTATCTCCATCCTCTCCGCAGATGTTGTCGCAACCTCCAACGTCGATAGTGAACGCTACGAGCGACTCAGATGCTCCCGCGGCTTCGCCTGCCTCGTCCACGTGCTCGTCATCTTCTCGTAAAGAGCGGCACGTGCACTTTCGTGGTGATACTGTTTCGGAGCGGAAGGGGGTATCGGCGCCGGCTGCAGCGGCGGTGGCACCGTCAACGTACGCCAACCAACCGGAGTTGACGTCTTCTGTTGGAGCAGCAACGACAGAAGCACGGGAGGAAGAAAGAGCACCCGCCAGCCCGTCCGCACCGTTCCTTCTGCGAAGTACTTACCGAGTTGCGGACATCGTGGAGCACACGGATGCGCAATTGGATGCGGCGATGCCACCCCCTCCACTTCTCACCAGCCAACGCCAGAAGCCAAAGCGGAAATCGCTCTTCATGCGTGACTTGGAAGACGACAGTGCGTAGCCGGTGGTGTACCCTCTCTCCACGCAAACGCACCGATCTTGCTTGTGCCGACGTGAGTAACATAACTTCTCAAAGCAGCGAAAGCTCCAGAGGAGAAACTAATGTGTTTTACACCATTTTAATGACGATACTTTGTTGCCTACGGTAACGTTAAGCGAACATTTATGATGTTTTATTCTGCATGGCCATGGGTGTTTCTCTCCCAATTCGAAGCTGTGAAAACCTTCGTTACAGACCGCGTTGTGTGCAACATAGACCGCGAGCCAAATGGAGACTTCAGTGTGACGTAAACGGGCAAAAAAAGCGTTCGCTTGTTTTCCCTGTTTGCCCACGATCTTGTTTCGATTTCATCGCTCTGCTGTCTCTTCCACCGCCACGTTAAACTTCTCATCTCGAACACACTGCGGCTCCGCAACGACTGGGCGTCTTTTTCACAGCACTGCAAACTGCTGATTTACATTCATTGTGAAGAGAAACACGCGTCACACCGGCGAGGTAATCAGGAACTGTATGGACCGCCTCTATTGTTTTGAAGAATCACTTTGTAATTTTCGACTTCATTTGCTTTCTCACGTTCTGTCGGCGCCAGCAAAGAGCGAGTACAAAGCGAGATCGATGCATCGTGAAAAAAAAGATCTTGCAACACGATCAGTCTTTTGTTTTTGAGAAAGCAACGCACCATTTCTGTTCATGGTGGAAGGAAAGCGACACCCTCTCACCTCTCTCTACACTACCTATCCTATTTTTTTTCTGTTCAGAGAGATATAGTTGCGCTGCGATGGAGACGTCAGCAGAAGAGGAGTCTGCGCCGCTCCGCCAGAACATACGAGGTTCCTTGAGCTGCAGCAGCGATCACGGCGACAAGGACGCGCAGAATTTCGCTCCGCCAAAGACGGTAGGCATCGTCCCTACTGTGCACAACTGTCAGTCCTCCCATGAGCAAAACGCCGGTCTTGGCGGAGCCGCAGCGGCAACACCAGCATATACCGCTCTGCCATCAAGCGCGATTGCAAACACCAACCATCACAACGAAGGTGCAGTTGAGGCATCTACGGCTCACCCCACAACTCTTACTTTACAGCTGAGCCCCGTTGCTGCTGCTGCGGCGCCACCATCGCCGAAGACTGGCTCTGCTACCACCCTAAGCGCTTTGAAGGGGAAAGAGCATCGGTCGCCGCCGACCGACGGAGTTCTACGAAGCGAGCGGGTGACAGCGATGAAGTCCACTGCAGCCACAAAGAGTGCCGGCTGCGAAACAGCAGATGCTCCTAACTCTTCTCTTTTCCTGCCACCACAACCACTACCACTGCCGAGTGTACCAAAGAACTCCGCCGCTTCTTGGTGTACCCCTTCTACCAGTCACGGCGGTGATGAGGGGTCGCAGCCAGCCTTGGGCGAAACGCACGGGGCACGCTCGTCTCCCGCTGAACCGTTGCCTACAACAGCGGAGACTGCTGAAACGCACGCAACACCGACGCGCTGTGGTGAATCATCAGACGACGTTGCCGTTGCCGTTTCTTTTACTGCGAGCCGTAGAACCAAAAGGGAGCAGCCTCCCGAGTCTCCGCCGGCAGCGTCGGAGAACAAATTCAAAAGAACCACCGCAGTCGCTGCTAGGCCGCACCAGAAGCCGTCGCACACCGCCGTGCGTCGTGCCCAGCACAGCGCTGCCACACCCATCAAGCAGAAACCGAAGAAGGCCACCATCACTGCTGCACAGATCGCCGAACTGCTCACCGCAGCCGGAGGTACGCCGTCCAAAACGGCTACACCTGATAAAGCAAATAAAACGAACACATCCAGCTCTCCCCCACCCATATATGCACTCGACTTACCCTTGGGTCTTCTCGTGCTGTACTGCGCCGCGGAGGACGTCTGCTCAGCGACAGAAAGCGTTGCCGCACCGTCTCCGGCGCCTGCGCACCCTACCACCACCGCCGCGTACTCACTCCTTTATTTGCTGGAACAGCTGTCTGACATGCGCCGCAGAGATCGTCGCCGCGCCGCTCTCCGGCAGGCCAATGCGACGGAGGAGGCGAAGTGCAAAGAGCTCTTCGAGGCCGCCGCGACGCAGCGCAGCGCCAACGCTGCTCGGCACGCCGCACACGTGCAGGAGGTGGAGGCGGCGGAGCGGGAGCAGTGCACCTTCCACCCGGAGGTGTCCCGTGTCGCGCAGAGCATCTCCGGTAAAGGGACAAAGGACTTTATGGCGAAGTGTCTTGAGTGGCAGCAGGAGGCGGAGCGTCGGCTGAAGCACAAGTACGAGCGTCAAGCCGAACTGGAAGCAAAGCAGGCGGTGGCGGCCGCTGCGCAGAGTGGCATGGCCGCGCCGGGAGAGTTCATGACGGAGCGCAGCCAGCGTCTGCTGGAGACGCCCTCGGCGCAGGAGCGTCTCAAAGCTCGACCGAGCTTATGGGAGGCAAAGAAACCAACGGCTGAGACGACTGCGTGCGATTCACGAGCACTCACCGCGCACCTGGTACGTGCACCGATTGGATCGAAGATGGAGGAGGAGCAGGAAGCCGTGCTGCACTGTTTGCGCAACCCGGACGTGAGTGGGCAGGAGACCTCCCTTCTCGACACCTCCGACCTGCAGCGGGGAGACAAAAAGAAGGGCGACACCGTGAAGCAGTTTCTGAGCCGTGTTGAGGAGGACGCGGCGCGGCGAGCGTCAGTTGCCGCGCGACTTGTATTCCGCTACCACAACCCAGAGATGGAGCGCTACGAGGTTGGCACCGGACAGCAGCTCTTCACGCCCAATGCCATGCCAACTGCATGGAAAGACGGCCGTCGTGTCAACTACGAAGACTTGACAGAAGAGGAGCAGCAAGACTTCCGCGCAGTGTTGCGGAAAGCCGGCCTAGACTTCGTGCTGACGCGCTACAGCCGTGATCAGAAAGGCCGGTCTGTTCGGCACGACGGTGGAGAGGGGGATGGCGCGGACGAGAGCACCAGAGCGCGCGATGCATCCTCAAATCCACCAGGCGGTGCCCTGACCAGAGCCCAGCAAGAGCGTTTCGTGGCCTCTCTCCAGGAAGCACTGAAATCGCGCGAGAAGAATCTGCAGCGGGTGCGCGAGCAGGCCACGGCAGAGGAGACGTTCCATCCGCGCATTACACCTCGTTCCATTCGCATGGCGCGGCACAAAAACGGAAGCAAGCCTATCTACGAGCGATCAACGATCGCGCGCGACGTGGCAGCGGTGCCAGCGAAGTCGCCGTCGAAGGAAACGGACACGGAGGCGAAGAGGTCGCTCGATACGTCGCTGAAGGGAAAGCCGCTGCCCGAAGCCGCGGAGTTGTTTCTCGCGCGCAATGAACAGTGGAGCGAAGCGCGACAGCGACGACTGGAGCGCCTGACCGCCATGGAGGAGGAGAAGCGGTACGGCGACTGCACTTTCTCACCCAACCGGAACTTCGACGACACGGAACACTCGCCGCTGCAATTCAGCGATGCAGCGGACGAAGGCAGAGCTCACGAGCCGCATCCCCTCGACTCCTCTCGCGAGGGCAGCAGGCAGGCCGGGCACCGATCTACACACACGCGCCATCACCACGACGAGCTGGCCACGGCAGCGGATGTGCGACTCATGAACGAGTTGGAGCTGCTACGCTCAGGGGCTGCGTTCCGCGATGAGCGCTTTGTGCAGGCCGTGTGCGACAGCACCGGTGTGTCCGACAGGCGACAAGCCATGGCGAAGCTTTCTCTCCAGTCCGCACCTCGTTTGAGTAGCAGCGGCAGCCGCGTAGGAACGTCAACGGCGCCGCACCGCGGCAACGCAACGGACAGCGTGCGCTCCCCCTCGCGGCAATTCTCTCCGATTGCGAAGCGCTCGCTTCGGCCCTCTGCCTCGCCGTACGCCGTGCCCACCCGCCTTGGCCCGCGTCGTGAGGCGTCGCTACCGTCCGCGTATGAGAGCCAGCATTCCGTGCCGATGATGCGGACCGAAAGCGGTGCGACGCAGACGCCGACCCACCGTCACTCGTACGCCGACAACCTCCGCAGTTCTCAATCTCCGCAGCTGCTGAGTAAGGCCAATGCGCGCAAGTCCTTGGAGGAGCTGCCCCCCGTCGAGGACCCGTGGACGGCGCTTGATGCGCAGACAGATGCCATTCTAAAGCGTCACGGTTACTGAGAGAATGTATGAGTATTGGTGCCTAGGTAGCTGCGGACATTGAAGGCAACCTGTCTCGGTCCGCTTCTTCAACAAAAAGAACAGGAAAAGATTTCAATGAGTCGTTTTCTGATCTGAAAAGTGTCTTGATCGCGGCGCACAACCCTGAATTATCTCTCCTGCTCTCTTTTCGGTTTCTTCCACGTGTCTCTGCTGTGATGCTGCCAGAGGAGACCTTTTTTTTCTACTGTACCATTTACTAATCAAACATATCCTTTGTTTATTAGGTTATTATTTTTCTTCTTTGTGTGGGTGATGATTGTCGGATCAGCTGATGACTCTCTTCCCCAGCACCACGATTCCTGTACCACAAAGCAAGCAAAGCAGATTGTCACACTTCTCGACGAAAGGAAAAGGCGTGTCTGTCCTCTCTGTACGCCGGCTCTCTGTGCCTCCCACTGGCGAATGCGTCAACTTTTGGTTGGAGTTAATCATCTCGTCAGCTGCTACTAAAACAGGCCTTGCCTCAAGAAGAAGGGAAAGAGAAAACCAATCCAAAGGCCACGAAGCGCGTACCCCGTTTTTTTATTTTGATGAGGATGATCTATGAGCTACGCCCACAGCTTACTCCTATCTTCGTTGACCCCTCTTTTCGCTTTTGCACCTCCTGTTCTCTTGTGCTCATTACTTGATCAACGTAACCCATCGTTTACTTGCCAATGCGCACGCGTAATTGTGCATGCGTGCTTCGCTGCCGTTCTCAAAAAAAAAAAAGAAGAAAGAATCTTGTGTATACGTGTTTTTTTCTTTACCTTCCTGCTGTTTACTCTTCTATATACAGCTGTGCAGACACGTTCACCGTAAGTGATGTCGTCTCCCGCACCCGCGCTGAGCCCAGAGGACGACCTCCACAAGAATGAAGAGGAGCAGACCGCCGTGGAGGTAGACGAGGCCAACATCCCCGTGGACCCGCTGCTCACGTTGCTCTATTTGCGCCACACGCTGACCTCTCAATGGAGCTCCTCGGAGGAACGTGAGGCGGCCAAGACAGCCATGATGGAGGAGATGGAAACACATAATATGGCTCCGTACATCCGCTTCGTCTGTGAGGCCCTCGGTCTCCCGCTCGACGAGGCGAAGCTGGAGGCAATGGACGCGATCAACGCCAAGAAGGTTGCCGCCTTCGACGCCAAGCTGCGAGATGCCGTGGATAACCTCGGCGACACGGAGGTGCGAGACGTGCTGCAGGCGAAGTGCGACCACTACGCCAGAATCGGCGATCTGGAGATGTGCCTCAAAACAAATGAGGAGTGCGCTGCCAAGACGCTCGCTGCAGGGCCGAGGCTCGACCTCTACTTCCAACGCATTCGGCTCGGCATTGCCTTCTCGGACAACGACATTGCTGCGAAGGGCATCACTGATGCGCACCGGCTGATGAAGGACGGTGACTGGGAGCGCCGCAACCGCCTGCGCGTGTACGAGGGCATTTACTACGTTTTCATCCGCGACTTCCGGCGCGGGTCTGCTCTGCTGTTGGACTCCATCACCACGTTTGCGTCCGGCGAGCTCATCTCTTTCCAGGACTTCGTCTTCATCACCGTAGTGACCAGCCTGCCGGTGCTGAGCCGCACCGAGCTGCGCAAGCGCATCGTGTACAGCCCAGAGGTGAACCGCGCCGGCGTGGACGACGTGCATGAGTTGGTCAACTCCATCTACGACTGCCAATACAACAAGGTGTTCCCGAACCTCGAGGTGGTGTGCCAGCACCTGCGGAAGGTCGTGTACCTCTCCCCTCACATCAGCTACTTCTTCCGCGAAATGCGGGTGTTGGTTTTTACCCAGTTTCTGGACTCCTACAGCAGCGTCACGCTGGCGTCGATGGGAACCGCCTTTGGTATCCCGGTGGCGGCGCTGGACAACATGCTGTGCACGCTGATATCCAACGAGCGTATTGCGTGCAAGGTAGACCGCGTAGACGGCAGCGTCAAGACGTACCGCGGTGACACCACAAACTTTGATTACCACCGCATCGTGAAGAGCGGGGACCTTTTGCTGAACCGCATTCAGAAGTTGTCCCGACTGGTGGATATGTAAAGGAAAAAAATAAAATACATAGCGAGGGAGAGAGCCAGTTTTGTATTGCATGCGAGCGTGTGTGTGTATGTGTGTAGATGTGCGTGTGTATGCGCCGCTGCACAGGTGCCTCTTGAAGCAGGCATGCGTCCTTTGAGGCGACCACGCGGTTGTTCAGTTGACTCGTCGTGAAGGCAGCGGGACACACCGAAAAGTGTGAGAAGAGAAAAGAAAAAGAACAGCGCAGCATGAAGGAGTCGATGCCGTTCGCGTTATTTTTCTTTTTCTGAGTTGTGTTGCAGCGCATTCGCATTCATAGTTTTTTTCGGGACTGTTGCTATAGACGGATTCACACTAGCTACATTTACCGATAAGGAAAACCTGCGTATCACACAGCCATCGGGTTGTCGTCTTCGTGGTGCATTTCTTTTCCCTTTTACTTTCTCTATTTTTGGCTGTTATGGTGTTCTGGTGTTCTGGTATGTGTGTGTGTGTGTGTCCCTTGTTTCTCTTTACCGGGGTTTGGCGAAGCAGAAACGTTTTATTTATGAGGCAAGATAAAGAACCACAACAGCATTCTCATGCAAGTGCTGCGGGGCTTTTCCTTCTGCGGTGAGAGGAATGGGAAAGTGATACCTGTCTTTGGTTTTCATTGCATATGCGGATCCAAAGTGCGGCGCCTTCTGTGAGACATGCAGCGAGCATTTCTCTTGCTCCATCTTGTTCATTGAGCGCAACTGTATAACAGTACGCGTGCTCGTCCAGAAGAGAGGTTGAAATCATCTGTCTTTCTAACGTGTTGCTAGCGTACAACGCACGGCTGACATGAATGGCAATCGATGCCTTCACCTCGAGTAAAACACCGGCATGAACAACCACACCAGTTCTTTTTTTCCTCTTTCTGCCTCTCCTCTACCTTTTCTTTGACTTCGTGAATGTAAGCAAGAAGCTTTTTGGCTCGCGTTTTTAACTGGAGCTTCTCAACGAAGGAGCTCGTCAAAGAGCATTATTTTTTTTTCTCTTTTTTGAAGAGAGACGAGTAGCCTCGGGCGTATTTGATAATCAAAAAGAGCGGAACGAGAATGGCGAAGGGCACCGTGAAGCGCAAGGCGACGCCGTCGTCGCTGCGGAAGAAGAAGGCGCAGCAGCGCATTCGAAAGCAAATCCGGTCGAAGTTGCAGAAGAAAAAGCCGAACTGGAAGACGGCCCTGGCGAAGGTGTACACGCGCGGCAAAGACAAGGGCGGTAAGGACAAGGCGACGGCGACCCGAAAACGGAGCCGTCGTGAGGCTGACGACACAGAGGAGAACACCTTCAACTTTAAGCGCGACGGCGAGGATGAAGACGGCGAGGTGCAGAGTGACGTGGACGAGGAGAAGGAGGAGCGCATGAACCAAATTGACCCCTTAGAGACCCAACTCTTCCTTAAAAATCTGCCGCTCGACACCAACGAGGAGGAACTCATGACATACTTCAAGACTCATTTTGCCCCCGTGAAGCGAGTGCTGCTTGTGCGCAACCGGGCGAGCAAGACTCTCTCCGGCACCGGCTTCGTGCACTGCAAAACGGCAGAGCTGGCGACGAAGATTTTTGAGTACGCGCAGCAGAACGCACGCGAGGTGTCGGCGACCGGCCGCGAGGAGATGAAGGCGAAGACAGAGGGAATTTCGCACCACCAGGCGAAACGCATGCTGCACAAGATGCGCACCGACAGCTTCATTGTACGCGACCCCTTCCTAGAGATGCGCGGCACGAAGTTTACGGTGCTGCGCGTGCTGTCGAGAAGCGACACGCAGGAGGCGGTGAGTGCGCAACAGAAGAAGAAGAAGCGTACGAAGGTGGCCGCGGACGACCCGCGCAACCTGTACCTCCTTCAGGAAGGTCTCATCCTGCCAGACTCGCCCGCCGCGAAGGGCTTGCACCCACGCTACCTGAAAATGATCGAGGACGACTACGCGGCGCGCAAGCAGCAGCTTACGAATAGCAACTACTTTGTGAGTAAGACTCGCATGAGTGTGCGCAACCTGCCGCGCACCATGTCAGAAAACGACATGCGCCGCCTCTTCGCGGAACAGGCGCGTCTATACCTCAAGAAGCACCCCGACGATACGGAGAAAGGCAAGTGGGGTAAGTACGGTCCGATCCGCAACGTCAAGCTGCTGAAGGATACGGCGGGTGTGTCGCGTGGGTACGGTTTTATTGAGTTTGTCAACCACAACGTGGCCCTCCACACGTTGCGCGTGCTCAACAACAATCCGACCATCTTTGGCGATCAGCGGCGCTTAATGGTTTCGTTCGCGATTGAAAACACGAACGCGGTGCAGAAGCTGCAGCGCATGAAGGAGCTGAAAAAGCAGCGAATGATACGCGGACCGAGGGCCGGTACTGCCCCCAGGGCGAAGAAAGAGTAGGCGTGGCATGCCGAGTCTACGGTCCGGCATTCCTCGCGTTGACATGCGCGCTGTGCGTAAGGCCGTCTTTGGCCTTTTTTTCCCCTCGGGTAACTTTTCCTCGTCTTTCTAAATTGTTGCGTACGTGGCGCGTTTGTAAATCGAGGACTTGTCGAAGTAAGCTGCAGTAACTGATCTACGAATAAGTTGTTATTTAACGACAACAACAAAAAGGTGATGGACAAACAGAAGACTGTGTGGAGGCCCAGACTCATGTGGCCAAGTCCTTCTTCAGCATATGTACCTATCTATTTTGAGTACGGCAATGCTGTCCTGTGATTGACAACACGTATCGAATAAAAGAACGTGTTGTCGTCCCCGAAAAGACATGGGTAGGAAAGTGAAGAATCAGCTCGGACGTAAGAATATATATGTATTTATTTTCCTCTTCCTATTGAAGAGCACTTCATCCTGGACTTTTTGAACTCTACCTCTCTTCGCCTTCCTCTCTTTCTTCTCTCTGCTGCCACATTGCTTTTGACATCTGATTTTTTACTCTCTTTCGTTTCCCCCACTACACCATCCGGTATTCTTCTTTTTCTTTCGTTTCAACACTTTCACATTGAACTCGGTAAACAGGTACGCAGCAAGAAGGCGCTGCGGTTTTTTGTTTTTTCTTTTCTTGAAGATTACTGATTCATCAAGTAAACGGAGCATTATAACTAGCAAATTGTGTTTATTAGCGAGATCGCGAAGGCCATTTTTCGCCATCCTCTCCCTTACGCGCTTACATTGAAGTCAATTCTATCTGAAACGAAAATATCGGTTGATTGTGGTCGGCGCATTCTTTTTGTTGTTGTCTGATTGTGAGTAATAATCGAGACGCTCCCGCAACTCCCATCTTGCCGAGCTGATTTCGCGTTGCTGGGCACACCCGCTTTTATCTCTTCTCATCTCCCACATTGAATTCCACGTAGCGAGAAGACAAACAAACAAACAAACAAAAAGACAAACCTAGGAAGGCCTGTGGAGAATAACTCAGTTTTCTCCTTGTTACGCTGTTGGGCCATGTCGAACCCACAGAACCCGCGCGCGGCCCCTTCCTACGGAGCGGGTAGTGACGCGCTTTCAAGTCAGGCGCCGTCGTACCCGCCACCCCAATATGCAGGGGGCTATCCGTCTTATCCCACGGAACACCGTTCACAGCCACTACAACAACAGCAGGTTCCCCAGCAGCCGGGCTATCCACCTTCTTTCCCTGCACACGGTGGGAGTGCTCACGGCCCATCCGCAGCTCCAGTGCCACCTCACTCCTCGCCCGACGCCCTCGACGCAGGATCCTCCGCAGCGTACCCCTCCTTCCCAGCTTACGGCCACTATCCTCCAGCACAACAACCATCATCACAACCACCAGCAGCGACTGCGAGATCGGTCACGCCTTCGCACGCCTACGTCCCTCACGAAGCCACACGCGAGACGGTGGTGGACGAGGCTATCGCCTCCACCTCAGAGCATTGGGTGAAGACGCAGCTGCGACGTGAGACAGAGAAGAAATTTGAGCAGATGTACGGCACGAAGGCCCTCCGGCGAGAGCACGACGACACAAGGGCGGCGGACAGGGATGACGGGTGTGCCCCCGAAAACCGACCTCGTCGCACCGCAGGCGCCGGCGTGGCGCCTTCTGGGTCGACGTACACCTCGCGCAGGCACGTCGAATTCCACGTCGGCTCGCCGCGCCACGTCGTGTGCTTGTCCATGCTCTTCTTCGCCACCCTGTTCGGTGTGCTCCCCCTCATGTCAACCTTTCCTTTAACCGTGCTGCTGTGCGGTGTGGTGCTGGCGTACATCTCCGACTACCTCGATTATCACCGCACGACGATCTTTGTTATTCTCGGCGCTGCCGGCCTCTTTGCGCTGTCGTTGCTGCTCTCCAACTTCAACGCGGCGGCCACCTCTTTTGGTCCCATGCTGATGATTACGGACTTGGGCTTTCTCCTTGCGGTGATCGTCGCAGCCGTTGTGCAGCACTTCCGGTGGGTGCAGGAGACATTTCCGAACGTCCTCTGCGCGCTGGAGCGGCTGGTCTTCGCCGTCGGGCCGATCGTGGCGCTTCCACCGCTGCTGGCGACCACCACGGCGCTGGCAGGCGCGCGCTATGCCCCTTTCTTCTTCTTCCTCGTCATGTGCACCTTGCACAGGTACTTCTACTGCCCACTCAAGAGTAGCTTTCTGGTTGTGGTGACGGCGGAGGCAGCTGCTCCAGCAGAGAAGCAGGAGTCACGCGCCGTGCAGGACGCTAGCGCTACCATTGGGACCGTGCACGCGCGCAGGAGGGACGGTGCGGCGGACAACAACGCCCACGTGACGGCCCGCGACGACGATGCGGAGGGCGACGACGACGGTGCGTCTTCGCAGGACTCCGCTGCAACCTCGAGCGGTGCCCCGATGCAGCTGAACGAGCAGGCGGAGGCGCTCATCTTCAGCTGCCTCCTTCTCATTCTTCCCGTAGCCGTTTACAACAGCCTGCAGAGCAATTGGCCTGACCACGTGCTCGCCAACGTGCTGAACTCGCTCGGCCTCGCTTGTGGCGGCTTCGCCTACTTCTGCGTGTCACCTGTGCAGAGTCTGTGGTTCCTCGCCTCGCCACCCGACAGCACCTACAATCTGGCGCAGCAGCTGGAGTACGACCCGCTGGGCCTGATGGACCTCGTCGGGACCTACCGCATGCCCGTTCTGTCGGCGGTGCTGCTGGTTGGAGTGCACTGGGGGGTGTACCGCGTGTTCACCTCGCGCTACGCCTATCTGTTCTCAGGAGTGCCTTTCCCCTTCAACGCGATCGTGCTGCTGCTGGCGTTCTACATCGCCGCTTACGTGGCCATCGAGATTAAGCGACTGATCGACGTGGACCGCAGGGGCGGTGATGTGACGAAGGGGAAGTACCTGGTGCGACGCACACCCGTGCTGCTCGGCTCCTGCGTCTCCGTCATGCTGCTGTGCCTCCTGGCGAGTGTGCCGGGCATTTTTTACGTCCCCAGCGTGCTGTCGGTGATGGCACTCAACCTGTTCCTGCTGGACCGCACCAACGGCGGTCCCATGTTCACCTTCACCGTCTTCACCAGCCTGCTGCTGCTCTGGTGGATGTACCGCACCTACTCCTTCATCGTGGTCGACCTGCGCGTCTTCGGCGAGCTGACGGTGGTGCCGACGCCGGTGGTGGCGGTGAGCGTGCTGTGGAGCTACGTGCTGGGCTGCATGAGCTTCACCATGTCGTTCTCACCTAACAAGACACCGCTCACCATTGTTCTGTTCCTGCTAGCACTGCAGGTCACCTTCGTTGAGCACGTGCTGTACTCGCAGAAGGAGGAGGGCGTGTACCCGGCCCTTCTAGTGGCCTTCACGAGTGTCGTGGGCATCGTCGTGCCGTGCCGCATGCACGCCAACGGTGTGTTGCCCGTTTACTCGGCCTCCTTGATCGCCTCCTGCTACGTGGCGAAGTTCTTCACGTTCCTGGTCGAAGTGACGAGCGCGTACTACGCCGCCGAGCTGGAAGTGGCAGATGACATGCACGACGTGCGCGCTTTCATGCTGGTCGGGGAGATCACCGGCGGGTGGTGGGTGGAGCTCATCGCCAGCCATCTCGTGGCCACCTTCGAAATCGAAAAGCGGCGCCGCGTGAAAATTGAGGCGGCGCGGCGGATGTTCTACACTTACGCCGCCTGTGCGGTGGTCCTGTCGCTACTGACGATGCGCAACGTGCAGCGCGCGGCCTACGAGTTTGTGACGCAGAGCTACGTCGCGGAGCAGGAGCTGCTGCACATTGCGCCCGGCACCTGCTGCATCACGTACGCGCTGCTGACCATACCGGTGTGGTGGCGTCTGCAGTCCAAGTACCCAGCCGTGTACCCACTCCGCACCATCTCGCGTTGGATCGCACTGCTCGGCGTCGTCCTCATCGCGGTCCAGCCCACGCGTGTAATGGAGGAGACGGCGTCCGATTTCGACTACGACTTTGCGTACGCACGCAGTGGGCGCTACGGGACTGCGATTGGCTTGTTGATGCTGGTGGGGGCTCGCATGACCCTCCTGCAGCGCATTTCGGCACCGTTACGGGTGGTCTGGTGGCTGGTCGCCGCGGCCGCGCTTGCGCTGGGCATCACCGGTCTCGTGCAGGCTTCCCCAAGCTTCACCTTCTACCTGCTGATGTTAGGTCTTGTCTTCACTGTGCTGCTGCTCATCGACGTGGCGCACTACCGCGAAGTGAGTAGCATGGTGCTGTTTGTGGTGTATGGCGTGTCGGTCATTATGATCCCCCTCGCGTTCCTCCAGTTCAACCGCTCCATCGCAGCGCAGCAGGAGCTGCTCGGAAACGCGGACGAGCGCGTCGCCACGCTGTGGGACTCGTTTGAGCAGGGCAGCGTGCGACTCCTCGCTGTCGTCGTCGTTGTGCATCTAGGGCTGGCGGTGCTTTTGAACTGCCGCATCAGTGGCCGTCCGCTGTTGCCCAAGTGCAAGGAGGTCAGCCGCGAGTTCGCCATGTCGCTCAGCGTCGCATTGAACTTCTCCGTCGAGCTCGCCGTGGCGCTGCTGTGCGCCATCAACTTCTACGCCAACGACAGCGAGCCCGCGATTTACGTGCTGTCTTCCCTGTTTCTCCTCATCTTCGTGAACGATGACGTCATGTTCTTCGGGCTTCGCGAGCACAACTTCCGTTACTTCCCGCCCGCGGTGTGTGCGTTTTCGCTGCTGTGGCTCTGCGCGGTGTGGGGCGCGTGGCGCGTAGGAGAGGCCTCGCTGTCGACCCTATCGCAGCTGGGGTGGATCGCCTCTGCCCTCCTGCAGGCGTCCCTCACCGTGCCGGCGCAGATTTCGCTCCTTGTGCTTTTATGGAAGGGCCGCAAGATGGGCAGCTCTCCCGGCTTCGTCGTTGTCGGGTCGGTCGTACTCAACGTGCTGTGCTTGATTTTTGTGTCGAGCAAGTCGATTCAGTGGATGGCGATTGTGGGCATCTTAGGGCAGTGTGCCCGCCTGTTTGATAATCAGCTGCGACCCACAACCCGTGTTGCGCGTCGAAACAGCTCACTCTAACTGTATTGGCAGCAGTGGCGCGAAGACGAAAAGACGGGCCTACCTTCACTTTTTCTTTCTTCCGCTACCCCCGTTTTTGTCGTCCCGTCTGTTCGCGTTGCGCTCTGTTTTCTCTGGTTTTATTTGTCTCCTCAACTTCATTGAGCTTTTGATATTTTGTGCTGTTTAGGTGCCGCACCTTTTTCTGTCTTCTAGCTTTCTGTTTCTAAGCGGGGATATACGTCGGTGTCTCTCCTGCGTTGGTGTACATGTGGCGGTGTCTCTTTCTTTCCTTGGCGCTTGTGCAAGTGCAACGTGCAAGCGGAGACGAAGTTGATTTTATTCGAAAAGTGATAAATTGCGCTTGCGTTGTTCTGATGCACAGCTACTTCCTGTTCTGCGTCTTATTGTTCAGTAATCCAGGAAGGAAAAGTGGTTCATTCAATAGGAATGACGTGGGCGTAGTCGTGAAAAGGCATCTGGCGGCACACATATAAAAAAGAGCTTCTCCGCGTAGTCGTCTGATTTGCTTGAGCGAAAATGGAAAGGGCGTATATATATATATACTTTAGACACGGTGACTTTACTTGCGCTCCCTGTTGAGAGAGCGAGCGAGAGAGAAACCTGTTGAACGCTCTTATGTACTCCCGCTTCTCAGAATACTTTTGACTTTTCGCGCTGCCAGCGAGCTGTTTCCCTGCCGGGGCCAAACACCTGCTGATGCGCTGATGGACTCCCTTACCACATCATCTGCAAGAAAACAGGAAGATCACTCGAGAGCACAAGTGTTATGATGATTGGTTGATTGCGTCCTTCTTCTCTTCTTGCCGTTACTTCTGTGCGTGGGCTCCGAGCGCTAGACATGAAGGAGGGAAAAACAGCGCTTTCATTGCGTTAAACACAGCGAAACTCGAGCAAATCTTCTCGCGTTGACGTGTGCGTGTGTGGCACGTCATGGTCACTGCGAGCCATACATCTTTTTCCCTCTCTATCCAATTTCTCCCGGATACATATATACGTACGCATAGAAGGAATAGCCGCCACCAACGGCTTCTCCTAATTATGGATGACTTCACCACACGTCTTCCGCGGCTTCGCACAGGAACTGAGCAGCTCCGCAAAGATGGACCAGTGAGCGTCAAAACGGTTCCTGCGAAGGCAACGAGCACCTCCTCCGCGTCGCCGAAACGTGTCTCTGCGTTGATGCGTATGTGGACAAAAAATGCACCCATCTCGCAAGCCAACGGTGTCGGTGATGAGGAGAACCTTTCTTCCTCTTTACAACTGCACACCCCTCCAACGATGACGAAGCGCCACGGTACAGGACAACTCGAGACAACACCGCCCCGTTCGGCGTTTGCTCCTTGTATCAAATCGCTCCCGTCGCTTCTTCAAGACACCATCGGCTATCACCCACAAGCAGAGTACCTCGCGCACGCATCTTCTACACACGCGGAAAGAAGCTCATCGAAGCGCGTCGCCTGTAGGCCGTTCAGCTGCGTTGTGATTGACCTCGAGACGACCGGGTTTGACCCCGGCCGGCACACGATTGTTGAAGTGGCATGTGCGGAGCTGCGGTGGAATCCGCCTCAGCCTGCTGTGGCCGTCACCACGGCGGTGCAGACCACCACACCAGCCTCTCCGTCTACCTGTGTGCCCGTTGCGATGGCAAATAACGACCAGTACCTGCCTTCCTCGCCCAACGACTCCGCTGTTTCATTCAAAGGCTTTTGGGCACGCGGGGCACGCACTTTCCACCGCTACATCCGCCCACGAAGCCGTGCGGCTCTCACCGCCGCAAGCACCACTGTTCACGGCATTACGTGGGAGAAGGTGAAAGACTGTGGCGAATGGCCGGCCGCGGCGAGGGACCTCGTCCGGTTCCTCCACCAAATTGCGACGGACAGCGGTCCGCTACCGTCTTCTCCATCACTTCCAACATCGGCGCTGGTGTCGGAGGGCGAGGGCTTCGTAGGCTGCCCGCAGCTGCTCACGGTTCAACTGCCTCCGCTTGTCGCGCACAACGCGTCTTTTGACGCGTCTTTTCTCGAGCGCCACCTGCAGCTCTGCGGGTACCGCGTTGTGTGGGACGCACACTACCCGTTAACGTGTTCAATGAGGTGGTCTCGGCAGTCGTACCCACACGTCGCACCGAATCTGAACTCCATTTGCAAGTTTTTCTGCATACAAGATGCTGAGGAGCGGGCGGCTGGCTTTCACGGTGCGATGATCGATGTCGTGCTGACGGCGAGGCTGTTCCTACAACTGTGCCATCGATGGGAGGAGAGCTATTCGATCGATTCGGACTAGTGTTCAAACAGCACACAATCAAGAAGCGAAGCGTGCCACTCTGGCAGCTGTGCCTTTCTAACGCGAATTGGGCCAACGCCTTAGACACCTCCTGTTTCTCTCTTTGCCCGCAAACTGTCGACGGTGTGCGATCTTTCTTGTGCAACATCGGTTCTATTTACGAACGTTTTGTAGCGTCCACGTTTAATACGAATAACATGCTTTCTTCTCCCTTGCGCTGCCGTGAACTGTTGCATTGGACAGGCACGTACTGCTGAGAAGGTAGAGGCGTTTGCCCACAGGTCAGCGCACGGACACGAAGTAGAAGGAGAAGACAAAAAACTTGAAAAATGTCACCTGCTCCTCTGCAGCCGCCTCTCTTTTCTTTTACATCAGAGGAAGCTGGCTTTACACAGACTTGCACTCCGTGGGTTCTTAAAGGAAAGAAATTACTCCTCTCTCACTCCCTGACCCCCTTCAGCAATTCTTATCCTCATAGAAACACCGAGCAGGTTTTTTTTTCTTTGCTTCGCGCGATGTTGCAGAAGCGTAGGCTGACAGTGCAGCCGGTCGATGCCGCCCACTTCTGCGGGTGCGACAACGGCATGGTGGTCTCCTTCCTCAACGGCGTCGACCACCTCGTCATCGACCCGGCTGCCACGGAGCAAGTCGACACACAGCCGCTGCCTTCGCGTGTTGCCGCACACACCTACACCGGCGCTCAGCTGGTCGGGGCGGCAGTGGACACGCAACGCGAGTGCGTCGTGGAGGCGGCTGTCAGCGCCGCTGCAGTGGTCGCCTGTCGCGTCACGCCACTGACGGCGTCGAAGGCAAACCCGACAGCCGCTTACCCGGTACGTGCCGAGGGACCGTCGAAAGTCGTGTTCTTTTTCGGTTGTCAGCGACTAGCAGAGGTGCGAGTGAGTGCGGGCGTCGCCACCACCGCCGACGCTACCGCCGATGCCGCCGCGTGCCCGATGCAGTGTTTTCGGGTGGAATCGGGCGCTGTACCGGGGGCCTTTGCCCTCGACATCGCCGCTTTTATGGAGGGCACGCAGACCCTCTGCGCCTGCACGCCGCAGCTGGGAAAACTGCAGACCCTCCGCTTTGATGAGCAACACGTCTGCTGCATGGGGCCCGGGCGAGTTGGTAGAGCTGAGGTGACAGTGGTACTGTCTAACGGTGTGGCCGTGTTGTGCGGGATGTTGCGCACGCCTATTTCCTCAGATGATGGTGAGGGTGCTTTGGCATGCGAAGAGCAGCTCGCACCGTCCGCCTCCTCGTCTTCCTCGACGACGTCTCTGACGGCGGCAGCACGGCGTGCGTTTGCCAAGGCAAATGAGCACAGCAGCCTATGTGTCCTGCACACCGTCCAGCTGCCGGCCACACCGTCGCCTACGTCAGACACCGTCGCGGCACCACGACGCGTTGCGTGGAGCGGGGCGTCAACGCTGTGGGTGGTGTACGCCGATGGTGCGGTGGTGGCAGTGCGGTGCAAGGAGACAAATCTCGCACACGACGCGCCACCGCGCCACACACAGCAGAACGAAGAGTCCCAACAATCCACAGATAGCCACAGGGTGGGGGAGCCCCCGACAGAGACGACCATGTCCGTAGAGCATGTGTTCCACTCACGGCTGACAGATAAAGACGGGCACCGCATTCCCATTCAGAACATCTTCACAAATGCCGATCCCCGTGCTCCCGTCCTGCACGTTGCCTTCACGAGCGGCAACGAGGGAAGTGACGGGCGCATTGCGCGGCTCTTTTACGGCACGGTACGCTTGAGCGAGGCCGCCGCCGCCGCCGGTGATGGCAGCAACCCGTCTTCACTGAGCGTGCAGTGGCGGCTGCAGTGGATGCCTTACGATGAACAGTTGTATGGTGTGCGATATGAGAGAGGTCAGTTCCACATACTCACCCAAGGCTGCCGCGGTGGCGGCCCGCTGTACATCGCGCTGCTGCCTCGGAGCTGCCCTGTGCATACGTCACCGAGCGGTGCTGCCGCAGAGTGTGCGGGTCTCGCTGCGAGGATCATGGCGAGTCCGGAAAACGATCTGGCAAACCACTGCCGTGCGTGTGAAAGCCTTCTACAGGAGCTGCACGCCGCCACTCAGCAGTTATCGTGTGAGGGCGACGCTGAGGCGCTGCTGTACCGTCTCATGCAGGCGCAACACGCCTTGTATGCTTTGCTGAGTCGCCAGCATCAGTCGCTGAGTGTCACCGACCTGGCCCCGAGTGAGAGCCTTCCTTACCACCTGCTGCAGCGCGCCGCGCGGCTCTTCCGGCAGCTCTCCGCGTACGTGTTGTTTCTCCGTCTCGGCATCGTCGACACCGTGACGAAGCCGGTGCAGGAGGTGTTGCGGCTGGAGGAGGCGGCGATGAACAGCAAAGTCGCTCAGGCGCAATGGATTGCGCTGATGCGGGACACGTTCCGCAGCGCCAGCGTGTATCAAAGCACCGTGGCGGAGCACGCGATGTGGCATGCGCCCACCCCGCTGTGTGTGGACCTTCTTGCCAGTCAACTGGGCCTCTTGCTGTCCGACTCCTCGTGCACCATGGCGTCTGTGCTGGGCAAGATGGACACCCTCACGACGGAGTACGCCCTTTTCATTCTGTACTACAGCTATCAAGTCATGGGCTGCGCTGGAGACGCGAACGCCGCTGTACCGTCGCTCAGCGTGCAGCAGCAGCGCCGTCAGTGGCGCGAGTCCTTCCTCCTCCTGTTTGGGCAGTCCATCGAGCTAAATGGGTGGGCCTTTACGTGCTACGCCGTCGATCACCACCTGAATCCGGCAGAGCGGTGCGGTGAGACTGCTGATGCGCCAGCGCGGTACGTCCTCGGGCTCGCCGTGCACCACCTCGGCGCGCCTCCCTTCACCAAACTGCTCGCTCCCGTCGTCAACGGTCTCGCACACGTGGCGGCGCTGGATGTGTTGCTGCACATGATTCCCTCCTGCCTCGCAGCCTACAGCGCCGCAGAAGAGGCTGTGCCGATTACCGTCTCGATGCGACTGCTTTGTGTGGCGGTGCGCGCTGGGTCGCATCGCATGATCGAGGAGCTTTACGAGGTGATGCGTTCTTCTCCCCTGCTGCAGGATCTCGCCGCCCAGCCGCTCGCCTTTGCAGCCCTCGCCGCGCGTGACGTCTCGGGCTTGCGTGGGTGGGTGGAGGTTGGCAGCCCGGTGGCCGCCACCATCGAGCGCACCATGCAGGCGTCCGAGAGCATCCCACAGCGGGAATCGGTGCTGATCGCCTACTACATTCTCTTGCAGCGGTACGAGGACGCGCTGCGGGTGTGCACCTCGGCCACCGCGGCCGACCCTACGCAGGCGCAGCGGCTGCAGGTCGTCCTTTCGTATCTCCGCAGCCTGTTATCCGTAGCCTCCGCGGCGTGCGGGGGGGAGGAGGCGTGCAGGCCGGCGCCGTGTGCGGTGGATTCGCTGCTCCCGTTGGACTCAAGCGTTCACTACCCGTGGTCACAGACGGCGCTGGCGGCCCCTTTGTTAGAGACAGACTTCGCGACGCTGTCCAAGGAGCTGAAGCGGGCCGCGCTGGGTGTAAAGGAGGGAGGTAGCGGCGTGAAACTGGTGCCATATAGCGGCGCGGGTGGCGTGGCGGGGACAAGCGGTGCTGCGGCCTCGACGGTTGGGCAGGGACAACCACACCGTCATCACGGCGATAGCAGCACCCCGCCCAACGCGAAGCCGCCTGTCTTTCGCCCTTCCACGCTCCTGCTCTCGGTGGAGCGCAGCGCGGGCTCGCGAGGGGCCTCCTCTCCATCACCGGGCTCCACCGTGAATCAAGCTGGCGGCTTCTAAAAACAAAGAAACAAAGAGGAAAGAGTCCATATACGCAAGACAACTAAATCAGTTTGTTGGCGCCGGACGGCAGAGTCGTTGTGGGTCAGAAACGGACGCGTTGCGCAGCCGCGCACTTTGGATGTGATTTCGTCGGAGGATGCGGTTGGAGAGGACGTGGGAAATGAAAAGTGGTGCAACGAAAAGGACAACGAAAGGCAATAGCAGGCACACCGAATGGAGGTGCAAGAGCGAGGCGGGGGGGGGGGGGGAGGGGGAGGGATGCACGCGTGTGAAGGAGGTAAACGGAAACGATAGAGCAGGAAGCGGCGCCCCGCAAAAGGACTTGGCGAACTGCTCTTCTCCTTCAGGCAGTGATAAGGCGACGGACATCGGACTGCAGCGACTGTCGTTTCCCCCTCTTTTGCTGTGTCGACCTCTGCCATTGCCACGGTTCCTTGCTTTTTTGTTTCTCGTTTGTGTGGCTGTCTTGTAATTCTGTTGCTGTGTGTGTAAGCAGGTTGAGAAGCGCTCCTCTTAATATGAACAGCAAAAACGGACTCTACGGATAAATCTAGAATACATCCTGCGGTGGTTAACACCTGTTTCGTCGCGTGGGTAGTGGACGTGCGGAGTCTGCAACCGTATGTCTCCTCCTCCCCCCAATACACCTATCTATCTTCTTTTTTGTTTTCGCGCAGTTTGGCCTTGAAGGTTCAGCTGAGGCAATGAAGCCATGCCTGAGATGCGCATTGCATCACTAAAGTGCCGAACACGTCCGCCGCACTTGTCTTTTTTTTTTTGCGCTAAACGTATCCGTTGCGATTGTAATCCTACCCCATCCTCTTCTTCTCTCTTCCTCTTCATGAACGACGCAGTTGAAAGCAGGTCACACTGAAAAGCGGTGCAGCGCCATTCAGGTGTCGTATCACGCCTTCTCACAGCGGATCTACTTGCGACTTCACATACGTACACTCTCCAGAATATCATTATATATCACATTACAAAACAACCTAACAAGGCACCTACGGATCCTGCGATTTCCATAAATCTGTTTCTTTTTTCGGCGCTGGCGTGCGGCTTCTCACGCTTCGGAATCGTCTCGTTTTTCTTCTTCTCTCCTAAGAAGAAAGGAAGGTGCGATTAACATCTGGTGTTTTTCTCGAGGACGTTCTTTCGAGACATTCTCGTCCACGCAACGCTCTAGCGCGCTTGTTTTTCTTTAGCGTAGAGCCAAACAAACAAACCCCAAAAAGTGTTTGAAAAATTCGAAAACAGAAACTGTACGGCAGCATTTACTTTTTTTTTTCGTCTTGCAATTCCTTTGCTGCAAATAATAGTTTCGTTTTTCTTCTTACCTTTGAATTTGGTTTCATACTCGCAGAGGTGGGTTTCTGCAGTCAACAGAACAAGCGAAGTTATTTCTTTTTGTGTTGTCACAAAAAGCATCGTTCATATCTCCATCTCTCCTACGATCCTCAAATAACGTCCATGTCCGCAGCGGAACATTCGAACGCAGCACCTCCTCCCGCTTCCGCGTCTGCAGCGCCGCGAACGGCGCTCCCCTGGCAGCCCCGCGAAGTTGCTGTTGCGCCGACACCCACCTCAAGCAGCGCGGACGATATCTGGGATGCAACCGTCTCCAGCATTCCGTACCTATCTCAGACCCATTTTAGCGGTTTCAGCATCGTGTACAAGCCGCCCACTGTGATACAGCTGAGCGAGGCGACCGGGTGCTCGGTGAGCGAGCTGGCAGGCGCCTACAACGATTTGCCCTTCATTCAATTGTGCAAGGAGCTGCCGAGCGACGCTGCAGCCACGGTCGTGGCCGCAGACGCGCAGACCTTCGACTCCTTCGACTACCTCCAGCTGGTGCCAATTGATGAGACGCTGGAGCTCGCGACCAACGCGGTACGGGCACGCCGCCCCGTCCCCGACGCGGAGGAGACCTTCTGGGAGGCGGACTACTGGGAGAAGTTGAAGCGAATCAAGCAGGAGGAGCAGCAGCGGAAGGACATGCGACGAAGAAACAAGATGGCGAAAGAGGGCAAGAGGGAAGCGAACGGCGCCAGCGTCAGCACAGTCGTCCTGCCCTACGCGTACACGCTGGGCAACACTCTCTCTGCGACCAACTCGCCCTCGTTTATGACACCACACAGTCGTCAAGGGTCACTGAGCGGACACGTGGGCGACGCGGAAACTTCGCCGACGATGGCAAGCTTGCAATCCGCACAGCGACAAAAGCGCATCGCAAAAGGTCTCCTCCGACGGGCACGGTACAACGAGTCACACAACCCATCGCACGCCCAGCTGCACACGACCCGCTCCGCCTCACTGGCCTCGCAGAATAGCATCGGTGGCTCGCTTCCCCAGCAACAACAGCCGGTCATCCGCTGTCGCACACGACCGCGCAGCTACTCCATCAACTCACAGCAAACCGATGTGCGTGGGTTTCAGTACTCTTTATCTTCTGCGATGAGCGAAGGGGGGCGAAGTGCGCTCAGCGACTCTCTGCGCACCCCACCGCCTCTCTCCATTAACGTCGTGCCGCAGCCACGCGAGGCCTTCATGACCAGTATAGACCTCGAGCTGTCCACGTCCGGTGATGTCACGAAGTCTGGCGCGACGACGCACTCGCGCAGTTCGGCGGCTCGCGGCGGTCGTAAGGCGGCAGCGCTGGCAGTATCACCGCCGCAAGTGGAGTCCGTTCTGTCGCCGCACAGCTCTCGTGTTGGCGCGCGCGGCAGTGGCAGCACAAACGATCCGATCTCGCCGATTTCGGCGGACTCGAAGCGGTCTTCTCCGCGGATGGATCTGGAGGCAAGTCTGTTGCAGAACAAGGGTAACACCAATGTGAACGAAGCAGACCCTTTGCTTTTTCACACCGCACCGCCTAAGACGGATGCTGCTGGGGCTGGTGCTCACGCGCCGCTTGTCATGCCCGTGTCGTCACCTTCCCAACAAGGTGACGGACTGGGGCTGGCACCTTCGAGGCTCGCACCCGACACCCCACCACAGCCTGCGTTGCATCAGCAGGGGCTGGCTAGCACTGTTACCACAACCGTCAACGTCACGCCGGCTCTTTTGGCGACGCCGAACGAGGAGATGTGTGGAACAACGGCATCATGCGTACAGGCGTCTCCTGCTGTTATTCACAACCGAAAGTCGATTTCACGTTCGTCAGAGGACAAAGCGAAGACAGCGGAAAACGCAGGACCGAGCACGCGCGGCACCGCCGCTGATCCATCCCCGACTGCACTTCCTTCTGCTACTGCGAATGCTAGTGCCTTATCTGGAGCCGCTCGCGGGTCAAAAACGATGACATCGCCTGCTCGCGTCTCCGCTCAGAGAGGCCGAAATCTGGCTGCTTCGTCCGCTCCAACGCCTGTGCAGCAAGCAGACCAGTCTTCCACACCGCCTGCGACGGTGCCGGCGCCGTCCAAAAATGTAAAAGGGCACTCCGCAGGGTCTAAGATTCTGAGTCCGGGCAAAACGAAGGAGCCGGTGGCCGCGGCGGCGCCTGGCACTTCGAAACGGAGAAAAATTGACCCTAAAACTGAGAAATCGCGTGGCGCCGGACAAGCAGCGGGTGCAAACGCCGCATCCTCCGAACAGGCGTGTCCGCCGCCGCCGTCAGGACCGCCCCAGTCAACACAGCAGAACAGCTTTACCGCCAGCGCTCTCACCACTCCCATCCCCTCCACCATCACCCATGGTCCAGCGGTGCAGGAGATCTCCCCAGCGAAGTCCACCACACGCACCGCTACCCATTCTGGTAGTGTGACACCGCGGGCGACGGCCACAACCGTGCCACCCTCTCGCACATCCACACGGGAAGCCTCCACGTCACCACGGTTCGAGCGCCCCATTGCCGTGCACAGCGCCGCCTCATTCGACCCGCAGCCCACCGCCTCACAAGCGGAGGACCGAACGGCGGAATCCGCGGCGAACACGTCCCCTCCGCTGTCGCGTGCGCTATCGCGGCCGCCTTCGCGAGATGCAAGCACGCTCCTCATCACCACAGCAACCGCCACCGCATCGTCACCACCACCACCAGAGCACCCCCCTCCAGCGGCGGAGGAACACGCGTCCAACGCTGCATCTACAAAGACGCCCCGCAAAAGCAGCGTTTCCACAGCGAAGCCAACAGAGGACAGTGAGGGTGCAGATCCGCGTCTTGTTCCAACAGAGGCGTCGACGGCGGCGCAGCCCACCTCACCAACAGCCAGGAAGGATCCGTTGCATGTCCCTTCTTCCGCGGCCGCATCTCTCGCCACGACTCCGCTCAAGAAGACACCCCACAAGGCGTCATCCTCTGTCGCACCCAAGGGAAACGACGCTGTGCATCCGTCTTCCGCTTCACCGGGAGCACAACCAAAGCCAGAGGCAACGGTGAAGCAGTCGCCCGACACAAATCGTCCTACTGCACCGTCAAAGGCGAAACAGGAGAAAAAGACTGCCTCCGCCTGTTGTACGGTCTCGTGATGCATCGTTTGAAAGAAGACAAAGGAACGTGCACTGCTTTTTCATACGATGCCTTTTCTCTCTTTGTCAGTAAGAATGCAGCTCAACGAGTAATTTCCGATTCCGTTGCTCATTTTACCGATCAACGCTACGCAGCGGTCCAAATGCATCTGCTCTTGCACATTGATGCGCGTGGCTCTATGTAATATTTCTGAATTTCTGTGTCTGTATCACGTGATCAGCGGGCGCTTTTGTTTTGTGAACTGTTATCTTTTCTGCGTTGTCTGACTGTGTAGCTTTCTCATTTACACACACATATATATATATATATATATTCCGCTGGCAACCGTTTCTGCTCTTCTCGGTTTTCACTTTTATCCTTCTTCATCACACTCTTTCGCACGAGACGCAGTCTTGCCAGTTTTCCTCTATCTATCGACCAATATATGCACCTGTTTCTCTTTTCCGTGCTTCAACGTTACCGACACGTTCAACCATCACATCTTTCTGCTGTGGTTCTTAGCTCTCACGACAACGTAGGAAAGAAGATCGTTGTTCTCGGACTTCTTCGGCGCAACGCTCGCAAAGCGCACCCCCATCTATGTGAGTGAGTTTTTTTAAATTTGTTCTCGCCCCGTTTTCTCCACTGAACTTTCTCTCTTCATCGATTTTGTTGAATGCACGTGCGTTGCGTGTCTCTTTAAGGCGCTTGCCCACCACGCCGTGAATACGTTTGACCTTCAGAGTTCAGACTTCGGTGTCTTTATACTCCATCTCGTCTTTCCGCTTTTGCTTTCTTGTTCCTTATTTTAGGTTTCGGAAATCGCTCAATGACGCCTCAGCTTACTAAGAAAAGAAGAAGAAAAATGTGTTTCTTTGCCGAAGATGCGCCGCAGCTTCGTAAACGGAAGCTTCTTTTTTTTCCTAGGAGGGAACGATGTTGAAGGAATGCCACGGAGAGGTGGACAAGTTGCTGCACACGAAGGATGGCACCGCCAAACAACCGAAACTTTGTTTCACAGTACCGCAATTCGGTTTACCTTGAGTACGTTGAACGGAGGTATCTGCGAGAGACGACGGCGGGTTCTCTCACTTGTCCACCATTTGGCGGAGCAGGAAGAAAAGTTGCGTCTTTGGCAACTCGTTCGAAAGGGCACCCGCACTTTTCAAACCGATTGCTTGTAGCAGTCACTCGTACGGGCACCTATTCCGTTGGTGTGTCGCTTTTCCTAAGCAAATGGTAATCTCAATACGAAAGAACTACTGTCACCGTTTTCATGCTTTCTACACCATAAACCCTTCACATTCTATATATATATTTCAACACGTTGTAGAGAGAATTTCTAGAGCAGATTTACGACGTTGCAGCCGCTTCTGCATCAACCACATTCTTCTAGTGCACATCTCCTACAAGTTTGTCTTTATCGATTCTTGCTTTCCTTTTCTAAATCATTTCGTCCACTTTCATCATGTACCACCACATTCGCCCAAGTGTGGATCCGGTAGGATTCCCCACCCTCGCCAAGCAAATGGAGGAGGTGGTGACCCGCATGAAGCAGGAGGCCGCGGACTCACATTGCGAAGACACCGTTGAAAGCGTCGACCAACCCATCTGGCGCGTGGCGGTGTGCCCACACGACGACTACACCTACGTCGGACGCTACTACATGAGTTTGCTGCGCCACATAAAGGCGAATACGGTCTTTTTATTCGGTGTTGCACACAAGGCGCGGCTGCTGCACCTCGAGAACGACCTCCTCTTCGACGCCTACGATGCGTGGGCGATGCCCTACGGACCAACCAAGGTCTCGAAGCTGCGTGACGAGCTGATGGCGGAGCTGCCGAAGGACGTGTACCAGGTGCACGAGGAGATGCAGAAAATCGAGCACTCCATCGAGGCTATCGTCCCATTCTTGCAGCACTACAACCGGGACGTCGAGATTGTGCCCATCGTGGTGCCCTATATGTCTTTTAATCGTATGCAGCACATTGCGTCTTTGCTGGGGAAGGCAATGGCCAAGGTGACGGGCGCGCACGGTATGCAGTGGGGCACCGACTTCGCTGTTGTCATCTCTACCGACGCCGTGCACTACGGTGACGAAGATTGGGGACCAGGCAGGCAACACTGCGACTTTGGCGTGGATCAGAAAGGCTACGAGCTGGCCGTGCAGCACGAGCACCGCATCATCGACGATTGCCTGACTGGCGTCTTGACGACGGAGAAGATGAAGGCATTTACAAAGTACACCGTCAGCGACGAGGACTATCGGGAGTACAAGTGGACATGGTGTGGACGTTACTCGGTCCCATGTGGGCTGCTGACGTCCTTCTACCTGCAGGACGCGCTGAAAGCTCCTCCGCTGACGGGCAAGCTTGTGTCGTACGGCACCAGCATCGATGGACGTGAGCACATTCCCGTCAAAGACATTGGCCTGGGCACGACGGCTATCGCCACGCTGCGGCACTGGGTCGGGTACGCCAGCGTTGGGTACGAGTAACGAACAATCAAGCATCAATAACATCAACAACAAAAAAATAATAGACTTATTTCAATTTAAGACGATAAAACGAATTGTAAGCGCAGGTAGTCGTATCGACTCCGCGTCCCTTTTTTATTTCTTTCTTCGTGTTATACACCCTCTGTTGGTATGTATTCTCTTGCTTATTTTATTTGGCCAGGATCTCTTCAACCGAACAGTGCGAGAAAAGGCAGGTAAAAGCAGAAACAAAACCACGTTTTTTTCTAATTCAAAGGCGACATGTGAAGCGACTTGTGTCAGGTGCAGATGAATGCGGGTTTTGCAACGGTTTGAAAGCAGCGCGTCAAATGGAATTTTTCTTTTCGTTCCTCCTTGTCCATCTTCTTGGCGCAGTCACTTCTTTCTTTCTTCTTCTTCTTCTTACGTGGGGGTATGGCGCGCGATCATCTGGAAATTCTCCTTCCTTTCTTTTTTCTTTGGTCTATTTTTAGCTTCCACTTTTGTCCGATACATGATATCGTTCATCCAAATAGCAAACAGTAAACAGTAGTTGGTGGCTAGACACATCAACATGGCTGGGCTTTTAATTATTCTCCGGCATAGACATGCTGTCTTGGGTACAGACATGCGCTGAGAAAAGTATCAAAACGCACATACGGTGAAGTGAAAGACAGGAATCGAAGGCAGCTGCCGGCAAACAACCAAGCCAAATAAAGCGTCCTATGCCGGCTAGGAATTTATTTCAATAGTGGCACGAAACCTTTACTTTCGTTTTCCTCTGCCTCTCTTTATACATCAACACCCACAACCTGCCAGTGTGCGCACTAAGGTACACTTGCCGTACAGACGCGTTGGCTGCGGTTGCTCTTCGTTGTCGCCACCAACATCTTTGTGCACGACAGACATAGGTTGTATAACCATATATGTTCTTAGACAGCAATATCGATGATCTCACCTCTGTATTGAAAGCTCCATTTAAGACACACACACACACCCATTCACTTGTGCCACCAAAACGATTTCGCACCCCTCTTGGGACTTTTGGATTAGATTCTCTCTCTCTTGTTAAGAAGATCCCAGGATGTCAGGTTCGCGGTCGTACCTGGATATCATGGCGTCGAGACCGCCGTCAACGGCAGTGCGCAGACCGCTCCCCCACACCTCCCCTTCACGGACGCTGTTCAGCAACGTGAGGCACGATACGACGGCGTCCTCTTCAGCCATCGCAGACTCCCCGCGTCGCCTTCTTTCTTATTACCTATCCAAAGCGGCATACAACACGGATGAAAGCGGTGCTGCGCCGACACCGCAAAAGGAGACGCCCAACATGCAAGCGAGCAACACGCAAAACAAGGGTAGTGTCCTCGCGCCGCATGACAACGGAAATGCTGCAGACACCGACAGCAGCACGTCCGTCCCGTCCTCGGCCGCTAAACTTCTTCGACCGCCTCCTTTCTCGCGAAGCGCCTTGTCAAGCGAGCAGCGCTACCCTTCTGCATCTGTGCGTGCTACGCAAACACCATCTCCGGCACAGCGACCCTCCTTTAACTTCAGTGGTAGTGCTGATGCTCCAGTCGCAAAAGCAAGCTCGACCGCAGCGGCTGTGCCAGTGCGCAACCCTTTCCGTAGTTCTTCACTCAGGCCGGCAGTGGAGGCAGGAACAGCTCCTCCGCCACAGGAGGACACGGAGGAAGAAGAACAACCCATTTCGCAGCCAGCATCACCTCTCCAACTTTCCGCCCGCCCTCCACCACAAGGCGCTACCCCTAGAGGTGTTTCGAGTAGCATGACGTACGACGAGGAGCAACAGCGCCAGTTTGAAGCAGACGTTATGAGTCAGGTGGAAGCGCTATTGCAAGCGCAGCGTAGTGAGAGCTACACCGAATTAGAGACCTACCGCGTGACGGCTGAGGAAGCGCAGACAACCCTCCGTGCGGTGGAGAGCGCGCTGGGGGAGCAGCTTGGGCCTGCGACGGCGGCTCGCTTCTCTGCCCCGCCCTCCCATTCGCCACCTCTTCTTCCGCATGCGACGGCGCAACGCCAACTGCCGCCGCTAGACGTGGACACACTTGCACTGGAAATGTCTCGCGCCGCCGCTGCCGCGACCCCTTCCGCCACGCAGCGGCTCCTCAGCGCGATCATGAACATCCAGGATGGCCAGGATGTCCCATCAGCGCTCCATGAGGTGGTACGGGAGCTCTATGATGAGCTGACGCGTGTACTCGTGCCGCCTGTCATGAACTTCATGCAAACGCACCAGCGGGGACAGGAATCGCATCGACAGCAGCAGCACCATTCTCTGCAAAATTCTTGTCGGCTAGTCGGCGAAACGCCAGTCCAAGATGAGCGTCTCCTGCAAGCACAATCGGAGATCTCTGCCCTTCACGAGGAGGTGGCGGCACTGCGCCGTACACTCGAGAGTCGAAGCGTACGCAGGTGCGTTGTCCGGTCTTCTACAGACTCAGCGAATCAGGAAGTGGCTGCACTCCATTCGAGTGAGACAATGCACCACGCGCTGTTGGACCGTTTTTTTACGGAGTGCCACGCAATGCTCACCCGTAGTCGTCAAGAGAGCTTCGCGTTGCGGCGCGCTCTGGAGAAGGAGCGACGAGAACACTTCGTGACGCGCATCCGTTTACTAAAGCCGGCGCCGCCGTCACTGCCGGTGCAGATGAATGCCGCCCCCTCACGTGCGCCGGTCGCAGCGAGAAGGGAGGAAAGCGTCTCCTCGCCAATCGTCCGCAGCAGTACTGCGTCGCAAGACGGACTTGCTGCTTCAGCGGACAGACCTTCGGAAGGCGGTGCCCTCGACTCTTCTCCTGCCCCCTCTTGTTTCACTCCAAAGGAAGAGTATGCAAAAGCGGCGCCACATTCCTGGACACCGGCGCAGGCTACCGTACGACTTGCGTCGAATACGGAAAAGAGGGTGGAGGGAGATGAAGGAGGCGCCTCCGCCGATTATGGGGATCTGGACAGTGATTACGACTTCAAGGATGGAGACGCAAGCGCGCATTTCGTCTCTTCCGCGAGTGGGTTTGAACAAGTCCAACGTGCTCTTCCTCTGCGCGCTGCGATGCGAGTCGCGGAGGAGGTACTGCGCACCACCAGCACCAGCGGTGAGGTGAATGCGATGACGGGACATCCGTACTACGCGCACATGAACATCGCTCACAGCAGGCGAAATCCTCTTATTGACTCTCCGGCAACGATGAAGAACGCGAACGAGGACGTGGCTGCGCCGAGGCGTGGAGGACCACATCGGGTTGGTGGCCCTTCTGTACGCTTTTCTGAGCCATCGTTGGACGACTCGTATCGTAGCTCGAAACCCGCGTTGCCGGGCCGAGGGAGCAATTCAGCAGCCAGTGACCCGCTTTCAGACAGAGAAAGCAACACCGCCACTTCCGTTAACGCCGCGGGTGTGCTGTCAAGCAGCGAGCACGAGAAGCGTGTTCTGAGCAAGGCCGTGGAGCTCCTTCGCCGCTACTCAGTGGCGTAGAGAGAAGCGCAAGAACCAAAAAACAAACAAACAAAAAACTGGATGTGCTCAGACGACATGATTGGGAACGCATGCGCTTCTGCGCTGACGGTTTGTCAGCAGCAACGCCTCTTGCCTTCCAGTTGTTTTTGAAATTTACTTGATGCTCTTTTGGACCGAAGCGCGAAATCACCTTCTGCCGCCGCTTCTCTCTTTTAAGCGGTTGGCGCTTGTCCAGCTAGGTGATGGTTGTGCCGGCGTGTGTTGGTTTCCCTTGAGGATCCACTGCCTTGACAGCGCCTCACGCGTTCTACTTCCTGTTTCCTGTCCTGCTTCTTCTTTTTCTCAATTCACTGTTTCGTTGCTCTTTCTTTCCGCACTGAAGCTTAGCGAAGCCTGCTGCATCCAGTCTCTCGATAACCCTCATTGTTCTTCTGCTCGCACAAGCCGTACGTTTTTCTTTTGCGTCTACCGCCTCTTTTATTGCCCCTTTTCCCCACCCTTGTTTCAAGGCTTCTTTTGCAGCAGAGAACAAATTAGGAGGCATTCTTCACTGCGTTATCACGCGGCGCAACTCCACACTTCGTGCAATACACCTATATGCAGAGAGATACACTGCCCTTTTTAAACAGTTTTGCTGTCTTCAGCGTAAATCGTTGATCAAAGAAGCTGAAACGGAAAGCAGAAGCAGCAACGTTTACTTGCCGGTTTGTCGCGGTGGTGGCTGTTCGTAGTGTGTGTGTTTATTTGCTCTTTTCACATCTGTCATATCTTATATCATTTCTATCTCCCTCTGCCTTCCCATCAGACTCACGCACCATGGTCCTCTCTACCTCCTCCACGCTGGGTGTCAAGACGGCGCCCGCTGAAGCCCTCGAAAGCGCGGTGGAGGCGTGCCGTGCTGTTCTGCACGAGGTACGCCGCCGCGTCGACGCAACGGTCACAAACACCATCACGCGGAATGAACTTCGACAAGGCTTGCGACTGGCCGAAGTAGCCCTCACCAACGCCAGCAAAGCTGCAGCCCACCGCACCGCCAGTGCGTCCTCTGTTGCCCCTCCCTCGCTCTCGAGTATGGAGGAACACGCCGCGACGAAGGGCCGCAGCAGCGGCGGTGGCGGCCGGAGATCCAGCACGGACCACTCACACGGACACCACAGTTCACTGTCCAACCAAGTCATTTCCTCCGGCTGCACGCCCACCTCGAATGCGCCTCCGCTGCCCACCAGAGACGAACAGGTGACGCGTCCAACGGTGTTCCTACCGAGTCAGCGGGACGGCCCACGACACGCGAGCCCTCTCGGTGATGGCGAGGAAGCGTCGACGGAGAAGCACGCCTCCGACAACTCCCTCAACGATTCCTCGGAGCGCTCCAAAGGGGCACCCGAGTTGCCAACGAAGAACACGGCAGAGACGTGTCTCCCCCTGTGCTCCCCGCCGCAGACGGCGGCGCTCTACGGCTTCGTGCTCAGTGCGGTGTTCTGGAAGCGTCGCAAGCTGACCGAGTACGCCCTTACCGCCATCGAGGCTCTGCTGCGGGCCGTCGCGGTCCCGCAAGACCTCAACGTCACCTTAATGGTAGACCCGACAGCGCTGAGCGGCGGCGACGGCGGCGGCGGTCACGGAACTGCAGGCGATCGCAAAGGCCGTCGGGGCAATACCGGTGCCGGTGCGGGTCACCGACGGACAGGTCGCATCTCCGTGGCGGTCGGAACCGCAGTGTACTACTCCTTAGGGGAGTGCCTGACGCAGAGCTTTGCCGAGCCGGCCGTGCAGACCCGCGCGCTGCGTGTGCTGAATGCACTGATTGAGGAGAGTGCCGTCGGCGCCGCAGCCATCGGCACGTCGGCGACCACGGCCTCCAACGGCGAAGCCAGCAATGTGCTGTTTCGCTCCGATAATGCCCTGGAGGACTTTTTCCGCAATCAGGCGGCCACTCGAACGATTGAGGCGTGCTATGCTGTCGCGGTGGAGGGCATTCAGGAGGTGGTGCGGCAGCGGGCGCGGCTGGTGCTTCGCACGGCGGTGCGCCACGTTGTTCGCGCCTTTGTGACGATGCAGATGTATGGCGGCGCAGTGGTGGTCGACGCGGACGGCAACAGCGCCGAGCCGCACACCACCTTCGCCACGGACACGATTCTCGCCGACTACACGGTGGACGTCGACCACGGCGAGCCTTTTACGCCGATTCACATTGTACCATCGGGCAAGGCAGCAACAGTGGCTGCGTCGTCGAGCTCGCCGCGCATCGGTGGGCGGAATAACACCATCACCAGCGATTCGTCTCACACACGTGCGCAAGCATCCGTAGATGGCGGTGGAAGTGCCGAGCATGAGGCGCCAAACCATAACAGCAACGGCAGCCCCATTGCCAGGGATGCACTCACGGCAGCACCGACGCCAGCGGGTCACGCCTCCTCTCTGACTCGTGACAGTAGGGTCGATGCGGACGACAGCAGAGGTGCAAACAACGACTCCTCGCCGAAACGGACCAACTCGCCAGCCCCGCCGAAGGTGTCTCCAGCCGGTGTGTCTTTTGAGGCTCAAGCACTCCACCTGAGCAGCGACAGCTTCGTCCGCGGTGGGCACAGCAGCGGACGCAGCGGCGGCTCCGCGCAGCTCGCCGGCTTGTCCTTCAACCCTCACTTGCTCTTCACCAGCAGCATCGACGACTCCCTCGTGACGGACGCGCTGTCGACGCTCAACGACACGGACGGGGCTCTGCCAAGTTCACTGAAGGACCTGTTGATGCTGTTGCGCCGCATGTGCCGCTACGCCACTCGCCCGTGCAGTGGAGCGCTCAGCGACAGCAACGTCGACATCCGCGCGCGTGATCTGAGTCTCTGGGTGCTGGAGATCACGCTGGAGGGGTTTCCCGTTGCCAACTGCGAGCAGGAGCACCGGTGCGCAGTGTGGATGTCCTTGGTGATGCACGCGTGCAAATACGAACTATTGGGGTGTCTGTCGCGAAACTTGGCCATGCCGGCCCCGTTCTCCTTCTTCGCGCGTGCGCTGCACCTGCTCGAGATGCTGCTGCGCAAGTTACACTACCACCTGGCGCGTGAGCTGCACACCTTGCTCGGTGCCTTTCTTCTCCCGTTGATGGCGTCTCGGTACGCGGGGTTCCGCCAGAAGCACGCCGTGCTCTCGATGATTCGACAACTCTTCTCGGTGCCGCACCTCTGCGTGTCGTTCTTTGTGAACTATGACTGCAATCCCGCCTTCGACGCCGGCGCGGAGTACGGCGGCTTGCTGGAGCTCCTCGTGGAGCATGTGGTGGAGACGACCTTTTTGGACCACGTGAACGACGACGGCGACGCCTACCCGTGGCTCACCTCCGACCAGCAGCAGCTCCTGCGCAGCGAGTGTGTGGTGGTGATCCACACCTTCATGAGCTCGCTGCAGCGGTGGATTGCGGAAGACCCGCAGGAGTACGCGGTGGCACTCCGCCGCACCGTCCAAAGGACGATCCAGCGTCAGGCTCAGAAGCAGCAGAGCACCGGCGATGGTGCGGAGGAGTGCACTGCCGCGGCGGACGAAGTCGCCGAGCTTTACCTGGACAACTGGGCTGCGGATGAGGTGACCTATCCAGAGCAAACCGCGGGTGTCCGCAGCGGGAATGGAGACGCGGGAGACGACGCCCCCAGCTCCGGCTCCGGGGCGCTGCACACCCGCAACTTGACAATTGTGTCGGACGCCGCCTCCGGCCAGGCCGTCCCGCACTGGGGCAAGAACCGCAACATCGAGTACCACTGGAAGCACATCCACTACCTGCTACACAACAAGCGCATTGCCCAGGAAGCAGTGCAGCGCATCAACGCGGGCAACTGGCAGGACGCAAAGGCGTTCCTGGAGAGCCGTGGCTCCATGGCAGCAATTTCCGCCTCCGAGGCGGAGATCAGCGACCCGACCACCGTCGGTCCTGGCGAATCGAGCTACTTTCTGTTTGCCCACTTCTTATTCGACTACCCCGGCATCTCGCGCGACTCGCTGAGTAAGATCTTCGAGAGCGTAAACAAGAAAGGCGGGGCGTCGCGGCTCGTGCTCGTCGAGTATCTGCACTGCTTCAACTACGTCGATGTCCCTATCGACATTGCCATGCGGGACACCACCTGCAAGTTCATGTCGTGGGACCGGCCCATGTTCGAGTCAAAAGTGTGGGAGACGGTGCAGAAGTGTTTTGGTGCCGAGTACGCGCGGCAGAACCCGAACTTCATCACCGCCGACGACGCCGACACCATGGCCGGTGTGCTGCTCTTCCTTCACTCCAACCTGCACAACCAAATCGTCAAGAACAACCGCATGCCCGTCAGCCAGTTCGTGCGCGACGCCAACGATTGCCTCTCCTTCCCAATGGTGGACGATGACCTGCAGGCGATGTACAACCGCGTGCTGGGTCGCAAGTGGGAGCTGGACATCTACGGCCGCACCCCGCAGCAGGCGGAGCGGGAGCGTACGCTGGTGCGACTGTCGGCGAAGATCCACATGGGTCACGCAGCGAAGTGGCGCCGACAGTGCGGAAACGTCAGCAGCAACAACATCAGTAATAATAATAATCTCATCACCAACAGCGATGTGCACGGACACCCGCATGCACCCTCGACGACCGCCGACGTCGCACCGCCGCCTTCTCTGCAGCGAGTGTCCTCACAAGCGAGCAAAGACCCCGCCGTGACGGACGCGGACGCCGCCGTCTTAGACGAGGTACTGCAGGGCACGGAGACGGATTCCGTCTCCTGTCACAGCTCTTTCGCCGCCAACCACAGCCCGGCTTCGATTGCCGCGTCCGTGCCTGCGGCGCAGAACCCGAACTCGTCGATGGACGCGGCTTCCTTCCAGATGTGGATGAGCAACGATGTCGCGCTGCTCGACAACACCATCCCGTCGTACACCGACAGCAAAGACACGCTGAAGTTCAAGGACGAGCAGCACCACGCATTTCTTGACGTGTCGGTCATCTACCTGAGCAAGTTGGAGTCTGTGCACCGCCTCTACTGCATCGAGGGTGAAGCCTATCGCCCGCAGCCGTACATTGTGCCCTACTACGCGGAGCACGTGCGGCAGATCCTCTTGATGACGTACCCGCATGTGATGTCCTGTGTGTACATGGGCTTCCGCGTTCTCGAGGAAGCCCCCATTGCAAGGAACATGCTGGACACAATCCAGGTGACGTACGACATTGCCGCAGCTTTTGTGCTCAACTTGCGTGACCTACGCCCGGTGATGGAGGAAGCGTTTCAGCGGTACCTTGACGACGAGCGAGCGTACAAGCTGCTGCCTCCGTCGCGCGCCACGTTTGTTCCTCTCATGTTGAACACGCTATAGAAAAGGCGGCAGGCGCAGTCGCGCTTGGTCTCTGTTTTTGTTTTTGTTTTGCTTGTTTCTCCCCTTTGTGGTTTTCAAGCGGTGACTGCGTTTCGAAGGTGAACTCTTTTTTTTTATGCTGCCGCTGCTTCTCCGTGGTTTGTTTTCCCGGTTTGTCTTCTGCTTTTTCGCTCACGTTTCCCTTTTGTCTGTTGCGCTTTGTATTGCGTTGTTCTCTGTGGACGTTTGCTGGTTTCTTGTTCCCCCCTCTTTTTCTTAAAGACGGTCGCTGGTGTATCTTCAAAAGTTTGTTTTCCTTTTACCCCACGAAGGAGCTATTGCGTCTTTCTTCTTTTCGCTTGCCACGTATGTGGAGTCCAACCGTTGTCAGCTGACGGATGTTTCTGTACACTTTGTTTGCATACGCAGGAGGCGCTCGCATTTATTTATTTAAGATAATCTGGGGTTGTTGTTGTCACTTATGCTCGGTGATGAACCACCAAATGGATGCGAATCAAGTAAACATATTCGTCTGCTTGAAAGCGCGTTGAGCGTTTGTTGGGCTTACTGCATTGTCGTGGTTAAAGAGAAGTAAGCGCTTCATCGCCCTCACGTGCTTGAATGCTAGCGAGATTTTCAAGAGCTTGGGACAACCGTTATACAAGACGCTCGGCGATTACTCCGAAGCCGCCTCCCCCTTCAGATTTTTTTTTTTTTGCTGTTGGAATGGTGGAGTTGTGGCCCAAAGAAGAAGGCTCGAAACATACACACACTCACAGTACCTGGTGCTTCTACAACTATATCTCTTCGTTGTAAATTACCTTTCCATATAGAAAACGTTCCTTTCCCACGGATTACCACGCAAAGGAATCCAGCCAGTCCGTCTTGCCTTCTGGTTATCCAGCTGCGCTGTGTTCGTACGGCCACAGTTTATTGTGCTGTGCAGCTTCCATATATATATTTTCTCTCGCGCTGTTCTGGCACAGCGAGTCACATCAAAAAAAAAAGATACGAATAGCTTTAGGAATGGCGAATTACCGATACATCAGCCCAGACGAGTTGGTCGATCTGCTCGATCGCCCCGACTCTTTTCATAAGGTGGTGGTGGTCGACTGCCGCGACCAGGACAGGGACAACGGCTTCATTGCCAACTCCATCAATGCCCCAACCATGAGCTACACTGATGAGATGTACGAGCAGCTCGCCAAGCAGCTCTTCGAGGAGAAGAAGGAGATCGCAGTATTCCACTGTGCGCAGTCGCTGATGCGTGGACCGCGGGGTGCAAATCGCTTCGTCATGGCGCAGAAGGCGAAAGGCTACCCTCTTCCTGTTGTGTACGTGTTGCGGGGCGGCTGGGACGACTTCTACGACGTCTACGGAGACATACGTCCTGACCTCATCTATGTGTGATGAACCGAACGGGTCGACGAGACGAGATGGAGGCGAGGCGTGTTGAGCCGATTTTCCCTGCTGCGCCTGCAGCGCTCTTCACATGGCACTCCACTATTTCTTCTGTTATTGACGAAAGCGTCGGGAGGATCGATCCGTACTCCCTCTTTGCTTGTTGATAAATCCTTTTTTTTTCTTGTTCTTTGCCCATCGGAAGAGTGGACACGGCTGCTTTGCACGTAAGGTTCTTAGGAGATCTTTTTGAGAAACACGATGAACTGAAATAACACCGGTCACCAAGAGATTCTGAGAAACCTATTTGGTTTGCATGGGAGCTGCATGCAACACACATCAACGTCGAGGCATCAACCTTCTCCTCCATTAGCGTTGTCGAGGTGCCATATCAAAGATGCCTCTTCTTTCGTCTGTGCGCGAGTTGTATCCGAGGATAAGTGCATCCGAAACCTTTTCTTGTCGGAGTTGTTATCGTGTCGCTCTATAGATCATTTCTCCGCCTTTCCGACTATTTCACTCGTCTTCTTTTCTCTTTCTGTTCGTTCAGTTTCGCTGGACATCGTTGTGGTGCTTCTGACCTTCGTATGGTGTGCAACCTTGCTTTCATACGCACCAACTCTCTCTCTTTTTCCTCCTTCTTAATTGCAGTTCCACGCTGCATTGCAGTGCTACCGTGTCGCTGGTCTTTTGCTTGGTATCATCGCGTGGTGCAGGCAACGGTACTGACGAAGATCTGACCAGCATCGTCACATTTGCAACACATTCGCTTTGCAGCATTCATACTCTGTCACCTCTCCTTTTCTGGATACGTGTGTACGTTCTCTGTTTTCTCTTCCTTTCCAGAGCAACAGAGCGAATGAGTCGACTCGACAAGCAGCAGCACCAGGAGCACGTCGTGGGGACGGTGCATGACACGAGTGTGCGCCTTTTCGCCTTCTCCAACACCCGCCCCCGCTACCACGTTGTCTTTTCTCCCGAAGAACCGCTGATTATCCTCAAGTCGAGGAAGTCGGCCACACCGCAGCACCCCTGTCAGCAATGGGAGCCGCTGTGCTCGTTGATCTTCAAGGCCCAGCCCAACACCACTCATGCCGTCTACGTAGCGGACACGACAGAGATGAGCAGCGTACTCACCAATGAGCAGGAGGAGCACGTGAACGGCGCTGCGGTGGGGCCGCTGCTGAAGCGGTTGAGCAACACGCTCACACGGCTCAATCCACACAACGCGACTATGGTGGCCGCCGGTGTGTCGGCACACCTGGGGTTGAAGTACGTGCTGGTGGGGGAGAAGACGCTGGGCCACCGCGATCGACTTGTCCAGCGGATCATTCTGGTGTGTCCTACGCCGTTGAATGCGCTGGTGGCCCTCACGAACGCGGTGGCGAAGAAGCCCGTGGCAGACGGCTACCCGCTGCCGGAGGTGATCGTGCTGCTGAAGGACCCCGCTGAGGTGCCCGAGTGGACCGAGTGGCTCCAGTGTCTGCGGGACACGCTGCAGCGCATCGCGTCTTATCGTGTCGTGACGGACCTTTCCCCGACGCTGTTTTCGGCGGTGGCGAGGGAGGCGGGGCTGGACAGGGCGGACGGCACCACCGTGGACGTGCAGCAGCGTCACCCCGACCCACGCGTCTACCGCATTGACTTTGTGCTGAGCAAGCAGACGAAGACAGTCATTCAACTCCCACGACTGAGCCCGCTGTCGACGCTCGGGTACGACGAGGATGAAGAGGAGGAGGACGGGCATGATCACGGGCACCACCATCACCATCACCACGGCCATGGACACCACCACGGTGACGTTGTTGATGCGCATGGGGCCGAGTCGGAAGAAGACGGCGACGTGGAGACGGAGGGCGACTTTGAAGACGACGATAGCGCCTCCGCAGACGGGGTAGAAGACGCAGAAGAAGGCAACACTGAGGGACGTGCGCACGCCCACCATCACGATTGCGATGGGCACCACCATCACCACTCGAATCATCACGGGTGCGGGTCTCTGTGTGGCCCTGACAGCGATCACGCCGGCGCGGAGGATGAAGATGGAGAGGAAGCAGGCGGCAGTATGCTGGTAAGTGGGCTGCAGGCGGTGGCACACTGGTGCGACCCTGTCCGCGTTATTGTGGAGGGCCGTGTGCTCGACTTGAATGGGGGTCTGGTCGGCACGACGGACGGTTGCGTCGTGGTGTCAAACCTGAAGGAGATGGCGGACGCGGACACAACTCTGTCAGCCTTTCTGACGCGCGCTGCGACCTCCACAGTCGCGAAGTGGACGGCGCCGAAGCCGCCGGCAGTCGCGATTGCCGCGTTGCTCCACCGCGACGAGGAAGGCCGCACGACGCTGGTTGCCGAGGAAGTGCGCCCGCTGACCAAGGCGGAGGTGCGTCAATCCATGACAGCTGGCAGCTCGCTCGAGGAGATACCCGTGCAGTACAACACATCCCGCATCGCACACAGCTACGGCGCCCTGCTGATTCGCGGTCGCAAGTGCGCGTTGGTGCGTGACGTCGACGAGGCACGGCGCCTTGGCCACAACACCCACCTGCGCATTCCATCTGCTCCACACAACAGCGCCGAGGAGTCAGCGATGGAGTGTGCCGTGCGTGCCCTCTGCGACGGCTGCGAAGTGAGCAGCGACAACTTCTACCTCCCCAGCTACCTCCCGCCTGTTGTGTACTACACCGCCGCCAGTACCGCCGGGGCAAAGCGGTGTGCGACGGTCTACACGGCCCTCGCCATCAGCCCCCCGCCGCGCGGGCCGGAGAGCGATGCCGTCGAAGATGCGCCAGAGCCGGAGGAGCCGTACGACTGGGTGAGCTTCAGCCGTGCGTTGACGCTCCTGGCGACGGAGGAGGAGCGGGAGGCGCTGCGTGAGGCCCAGCGGCACCTAGAGAAAGCACACAAGGCGGGCTTCTACGCTTCTTTGAAAGGGTGCGGTGTATTTGGCGAAGAGGTAAAGCCGCTGGCGGGTGATGCCAGCACTGCTGCGCCTGCCGCGGCAGCTTCTTCTGCCTCATCCTCCCAAAACGGGAAGGGGAAGACTGTTCCAGCGCGTGCAAAGTCCTTAGCTGGCATCGAGTTTTACGTGGTGGCTTGCCCGGGCGATGCCGCACAGGAGCTGGTTCCAGTGGTGCTCCGAGCGTTGCAGACCCATTCCGTTCTCGTGTGCGGGGCTAGTATCACGACGACAGCCATTGAGGAGATCGCAATGGAAGCAAAGCAGCAGGGCGAGCAACACGTGCTGCTCTACCTCGGTGAGGAGGAGGATGCACAGGCCTTCTGTGAGGAGCATCTGCTGGAGCTGACAGAGGAGAAGCACGCGACGGCGCAGGTGTTCACAGTCTTGCTGCCGCAGGTCGCCGTGTCCAGTCTGTCACTGGCGGCGGCGGGCACCACTGCGACGTCGGCGTCGGCGGAGGCGAGGCTGGACGCTCTCCTCGCTGCGGCCCGCGTGTCGGATGCCCTCATCACGTTGGTGCCGCCGGAGCGGATGTCAGCGGAAGAAAAGGCGACGCTGCGGGTGTGCTGCCGGGCAAACGCGGAGTTGTCACTCGTGTACAGCTGGGAGGCGCGACGGCCTTTCAAACTGGAGAGCGAAGACGATGATGACTTGAGCAAGGGAGACGACGACGCAGCGGCGTTGAGGGAGTTCACGGTGCGCCTGCCCGCCGGCGTCCCTGTAGCCCCCGCCGCCCTCGCCTATCTTACCCGTGCTGGCTCGCTCGACTGCTTCTTCGCAGAAGGCAGGTGCCGTCTGCTCTTCGCACAGGGTGATGTGTGGATCCCGACGCGTGGGGCGACGCAGGGCTTCGTGTACCTCGACATCACCTCGCATTGCCTCGCGGTGGAGCCTGGGGATGAGTGGGACGGAGCGTCGGACGCAGCCCGTACATCTGAGTTGACATTGCTTATTTGGTGCGCGAATGCCGCCGCTGCGGCGGAAGTTGCCGCTCAGGTGTCCGTGGTTGAGGGCCAACTGCGGTGGAGCGAGGAGCGGGACGGAGCGAGCTGGGCCGCCGCCCACGACCCTTTGCCAAAGTGGGAGTGAGACATGCAGGCAGACAAGTTGCGGTGCAGGTTCCACCTGAATGCTGGTGGTTTTGCCCTCCCCCCTCGAAACCCCTTTTTTTGATTGCTGAGGGCTCAAAGTACGTTAATAAGAGTTGTTCAGTGGCGCAGGGGGGGGGGAACGGAATTCAATGCGTGCTTTTTCCCTTTTGTCTCCGCTCTCATGACGAGCTTTATCTAATCTTCGTGTAAGGCGGCTAACGCTGATTCTTTCTTAAAGCGTGATGCCTTCCTAACCGTGTCGTAAGACAAGTTCAAAGCATCCATAGAGCGATAACAGAAAATGACACTGATCGTACTGCTGTGTGTTTGTATGTGTGTGTGTGTGTGCCTACATTTCTGTTTTCGAAAGCCTTTCTTTTCCTTGCAAGGTGCCGAACACAGCTCGAGCAGGTTGCAGGAGGCCATTGGTTGCGTTATTTTGCAGTGTGGAAATAAAAGCGGAGAAGGAATCCGTTTACGCACAAGCTTGATGCTGTTTAACGCTACACTGGCGGCTTCTTCACGTTCTTCTCCCCCTAAAACTGATTTGTGACTTCCTTATGTCTTTCAACTCCGAAAGAAAGGGAGAGTTTTTATTCGTTTACCTTTTCGTTGAGCTTTCTTTCGTCAACGGTCCTCATTCAGTTAAGAGGGAGCAAATCAGCGTCTGAGCTTTGGGTTTTTTGACGTACTCGTAGACTGTCGAACACACCATTGCGCTGTGCTCACAACTCGTCACCAAGAAAGGCTGGCGAGAGCACTCTCCCCGACTCCGTGCGCGCCGCTTTCTTCCATTCTCTTCCCGTATATCGTGTAGCAAAGGAAGGATGGTGGTGCATCTCGTGTGGATCATTAATCAGTCCGGGCAGCTCATCACGAAGACGAGCTTCACCGGACCAGAGAACATCGGCGACCTCGGGGCCAACCCCGACATGCAGCTCACCCTGTCGAGCGTGTTGTTCTCCACGTGCGGCATGTCGCAGCAGCTCACGCCGAACGCCGATCCGCTTGACAGCGCGTGCATGGACTTGATTGAATGCGAGGAACACAACATCCACATCTACGAGACGCCCACGAGTGTGAAGTTTGTGGTTTTCTCCGACAATCGCACGATGGAGTGCACACAACTCTTCAAGGAGCTGCATGCATTGTACGCGGAGTACGCAACGAAGAACCCGTTCCACACGGTCGATGAAGCAGGCATTGGCCAGCCGGTGCGTGTACCGGCGTTTAGTGAGGCAATTCGCGCCGCTGTGGCAAATTACCAGCGAACCTGAAGATATTTTCTTCCGTCTGCTGTGATTTCTTTATTCGTGCCATGATGAGGAACTTCGGTGAGCGTGGCGACTTCTGTGGTCTTTTGTTGGGCTGAGCTTTTTGCCGGCCGCGTTTGTTGCCCGGTGTTCGAACACGGCTCTTGTGTGTTCTGACAGATGCTGTCCGCCACTTCGTGCAGCGCAAGGCGTGTTGGACTGGTTGTCGTGTTTTCTTTCTGCTAAGGAGAATTAGAAAAGTCGAAAACAAATTCTGGTTCGAAAAGACGGCCTCTCAAGTTGTACGATGCAACAAACAGAAATGCAGGTGCTGCGTGGGAGAGATCAATTCACCAAGAAATGTACGACCACTTCAATTGCTGCTATATGAAATTCTCCTACGGTGGACTTAACGGGATCAAAACTTCTGCTTGTTGCGACAACGAGCTGAAGTCCAGAACAGCCTCTTTTGGGGGGCGTTACTCCACCTCAGTTGACTGGCTTCAGCGTCATGATTCTACCTCGCGATACAAAACCGCCCCTCTGCTTCCTCTCTCCTCTTTTCTTTTCATTTCTATTCAAAACACCGATGCACAACACATCGTATCATTTGCTCGTTTCCTCCCTTTACACACCCTCTCGACAGCATTTCGCATCTTCTGTCTCCAGAATGACGAAGTTCCTGAAGCCCGGCAAGGTGGTGATCGTGACCGCGGGCCGCTACGCCGGCCACAAGGCCGTGATCGTGCAGAACTCCGACGCCGCGACGAAGGAGCGCCCGTACGGCCGCGCGCTTGTCGCCGGCATCAAGAAGTACCCCAAGAAGGTGGTGCGCGGCATGAGCAAGCAGACGATCGCGCGGCGCTCACAGGTGGGCGTGTTCATGCGCGTCATGAACCACAAGCACTTCCTGCCCACGCGCTACAACGTGGACATGTCGAAGGAGCTGCGCGGCAAGATCAACGTGTCCGATGCGTCGAAGCGCTCCCGCTCGAAGAAGCTGGTGAAGCGCGTGTTCCAGGCGCGCTACAACGCCGGCAGCAGCACGTGGTTCTTCCAGCGCCTGCGCTTCTAAGCACGGGGCGAGGCGTGTGTGTGTGTGTGTGTGTGGGGGGGGGGGGGTGGCGTATGTATGTGGGTTGAGACAGACACAGAGAGGGGACTCATTGTTTCCAGTGTAATGGAGAAGCGAGGAGGAGAAATCGAATAAGGGAGAATAGGTTCGTCATGTCGCAAAGAATACTGCAACGACATTTGGAAATGCGGGAGAGAGCGTCGCCTGCGGCTCCGCAAAAGGCACGGTAGGACCGCCATCTTGTTTGTCAACGATCAGAAACGAGAAGAAAAGCAGCCCATTTCCTTTGAAAACCATAAGAAACGGAAGGGGAAAAAAATGCTTCAGCTAACGGGGCCGGGTGGCCGCTGCACCGTTTCACGCAGCAGTCTAAAGCCGCAAAGCAGCCACGAGTATCGTAGCGTGACAGCTCCCCTTATGAGCAAGACATGCTCTTCAGCAGTTTGGATTTTGTTGCTGTGTTTTTATTCATCAAAAGACAAAACATAGAAAAAAAGAGAGATAACGTTGCATCCGCAATCTCGAGTGCCATTCACCGCACATCGGCAAGACGTGACAAATGGCGACCCCGCACAGACAAGAAGGACGCCGCAGCGCTTCACACCTCTACGCTCACGCGAGACACACGAAATACGCCACTGTCCATT